TCTTTTAAGTTTAGGCAATAAATGTTCACCTCGGTGTGTGTCCGGGCTTTTTCCGAGCTACAACCACTTCCTCAAGATGATAAGCGACCGCTTGTCTAAAAAGCGAGTGGTAGCATTTGAAGCATGGGCTAGTGCTCCATCCTGTTAATATTAAATTTGTTTCGAATTTGGAAAAAGTTTGTTAGTTTGCATAGTATCGAAGTACATTGGCCAGATGTGGCTACCCGAAAACTGTCCGACCATATTTTGACAAACAAAATTGATGTGCAGCTCGGTGGCGCCAAGACAGCAGAGCCAACCACAACCCATCAATGGTAGTCAGTTTTTTTGAAGCTTCTTATCGGGGACCTCATTTCTCTTCACAATTTGGTACCTTGTATAGTGAGGATTCGCCACATGATGACCATTCATTCCGGTCTTTTGCGTACATAAAATTTCTCCACCCTTTTCGACAGCAGTCAAAAAGCCGTTTTGCTCCAGAAATTTGCTAAAGTTTAGTCGATGTTGAATGTTTTTGTTCGAAAATGCGTTGTTTTGGGACTCATGAAAGCTAAGTGACCCTACTCACTGGGTTTTACCTGATTCTGGATAATGGAACGACAGCTTTCCTACCAAAAATCGTTAAAATCGATCTGCGTGATTTAGGACCACTACGCTTTATGGTCGAACTTGCAGATTTTCGGGACATTATTTTCAAAATCGTGTCCAAACTTATGGCTGAGGTTATTGTGGGTCGTCCAAGATGAATTGGGTCTCTGGATGGCTTCCGGTTCCTCCACAACTTGACAGTATGTCAGGGAACCCAAAATTTTTGAGGAATTTATGAAACGAATTCTCCTTCATCTAAACGTGAGGTTGTTTTTATAATTTTTCCCACATTTGAACATAAACGTCTGAGGGACATTGTCAGAAAAAATTAGTACCGAGAACACAACAACAAGAAAGTTCTGACAAGTTTTGTGGCAGGTGGGATGATTTTTTTGGGACCGTCAGATAATTTTTGTACACTATGTACGTGCTCCAGTTGACACGTTTGGCTTTTGGTTGTCCATGTTAAATTTATTATAAAGTGCCTGTTGGTAGGTTGGGTGTGTTTATTGCGAGAGATGATGAGAAACTTTCACCTGTCGTAAGTATGTAGTAGTCTGCTGCTTACCGTTTTCGTTATTAGTTTGACACTGATGATGAGTGCGGCAGAAGAGCGGATGCAATTTAAATGCTAATCCCAACATGTAATAAAGTGGGATCATAGGAATATCTACGTCCTCTTAGACTATGGGTCTACTATACGCCCCATTAAAGAAAATGACCTCAGAGAGCATTTTCTCAAGACTCGTAAAACAGTCGTTAATTATCAATTTTTTATGATTTACGCCAAATTTCATAATTTAAGGACTCGCAAAATTTAGCCATGGTTCGAAAAATTGCATCCTTTCACATAATGACTGAATGTCTGTTTGTCTATCCATTTATTACTAAATAGAAATCCAGGCTTATTGCATAAACGGATCAGATCCTCAGCAGCCATATATCGTAAAACAAGGACAGCTACATGTTGCGGCTTCTGCTGGCCAAGCAGAAATATGTAACCGGGATAAATTTTGTACCTTTTTAGCTTTTTACGACCCCATCTCACTCGCCTTTTGTCTTTCATTTCCCCCACAAGTCAACTCCTTGCTACGACTCACTCACTCTGAAGAGGGATGAACGTCGTCTGTTCTTTTCGTTTAGCTTTGTTACTACTCCAATAAAACCGGAAGGATGAGCAGAAAAGAAAGATTAAAACATTGTGCTCAACAGAGACGAGAGCGTGTGTGCGATGTTGGATTTTGGGTTTGCGTTTTATGTTCTTTTGGCACTGGATTGGTGTCGAAAGTATGTTTCAGAGTGCATAATCTCATCCATTCATGATACGATACTCACCACCACCACCAAAGTATGCTTTGTTATCTATGCATGCAAAATAGAAAGCGTGGTTTAGTCAGCAGAGGTGTTGGTTTTTGAGGGATTACACACATCTGCATCCAGTAGCGATCCAAGTTTAAAGACCAAATCCATCCGTGTCCACGTATTTTGGCAAAAATTATAATCAGGAAAAGCATAAGTAAAAAAGCTTATTATGTTTTTCGATTCAACGCAGCGATACGACCGGGGAATGGGAAGAGACATGCAGAATGAAACCTTGAGTCACAAAATGTTTAACACATTAAAGTGAAAATAAACAAAATGAAAAGTTAACAGAACACAGGAGTCATTCTTGTGTGCATACCTACATAAACTCCATGTTACTTTCCACGCTATGCACATACATACTTCATATTGTGGCGTACATGACAGTTGGTGGGTTTAGGTTTAGGTTGTCTGCTTGTCAGTATGGATTTTGGGCCGAGTGAGAAGAATCAAGAATTGTGTTAAATCATTTCAAGAGATAAAAAGAATGAGCGACTTTGTTAACGAGATGTGAATTAACTCGTTTAGCATATGCTTACACAGCTCTCCTGATAATGTCAGTACTCCACGACGGACGGACGGACGGGCGGACGGACGACGGGTGTCAGATCGACGACGACGACTGCCTAAATGCATAATAATGTGTCAGAATGAGCCGAGTGTGTGGACTGGACAGCGCTCGTGATGATAAGGAGGATAGGATGCGATCATCGTGATGATAATACTTAAATAATAATAATTTTGGATGTGTGTGTTTGTGTAACGAGAGAATGGAAAGAGTTGCTGACTTGCTGGGTGATTAGTAATAAATTGTTTAACTTTTTGATGGAGTAGAGTGCGAGAGATAAAATTAGAGAGGCATTATTGTTTGTGATGTGGTGCGAGTCGTGGGTGCGACGTGAGAAGAGTTGTTGTATGGGCATGATGTCAGGCAGTGTTGCAAATATATAGCGTATCATTTATTTCGTAGTGACAACAGACAGATCATCGACGGATCGGTGTGGTGTGAGGCGTGGGAAGAATTTTGACACAATAAATTTAAAGGTGAAACAATTCATTCCTCGCCAAACTTAAAAGTGATTCAGTAGCGTCAAGAGATCAATAAATAGAAAAACGAGATTTACGACTTGATTTGCCACTGATGAATGAGAAGCCAGCAGTCCGAAACAAATAGTTCGGTAGACACACACAACAAGACGCAATATCACCCACGGCAGGGAGCAAAAGAAGCGAAAATACCACGTCGGGATATAAAGTGTTACATTTTTAATGTTCGCAACAACATTTTTATATTCGAAACACGCTACTTTGCTGCGGTGGTGTGGTGCCGTGTCTATTTTTTCGTGAGAGGTTTGCTCACGATTTTTTCAAGGATTTTTTTCTTCTAACAATTTCTTGTGATGTCCGACCAACTCGTTCTTGCTTGTTGGAGGGTGATAACTATTACCCGGTGAGAATGCAGCCGTGTCGGCGAGGTTGTGAAGAAAGTGAAAGAGCCAGTCAAAAAAGTGTGCTTCAGGCTCCTTTCGTTCTGGGTGAGCCAATTTCTCTCTTGTATTACTATGAAAATAGTGAAATTATTGAGAGGAAAGTGCTTCAAAGGAATCCTACTAGCGAACCGGCGAAAGAAATTGCTAAAAATTTGTCCACCATTATCCGAAAATAACAGTATGCATGAAATGAAAGCCATGCAATCTTCTTGTACACACATTTGCAAACTTCTTTTGTCATTCGTTTTTCATGCGCTACTTGAACATGAAACTTTTTTCCATAAAAAAATTTGCAAAATGTGTTGAATCACAAGGTACACACATTTTAAGTTGGTTTTACATACGTTTTTTTGGGGTATTTGCACACACGGGAACAAGTTTTGTCCATAAATATGTATGCAGGAGAAATATCTGCAATGTTAATAATAATAATATACTCAACGAACCCTGCTTATTACGACGCCGGCAAAATAAGCTTCCCCTCCGCTCCTGTCATGACATCATTTGGAAATATGTGTAGAATATAAGCGGATTATTCTGGGAATCTCCTCTCAGCTTGGTTTTCTCTTCCAGGGAGGAAATATTTATTTTATTGCAACCGTTCTAGCACAAAATATCAGATCGTCAGATAATACGAGCACTTTGTATGTAAGAGGAATCCTGGTAAGTATGCAGGGAAAATGGTTAAAGTGAAAGTGGTGGTGGAGAAGAAAATGGGACGATTTTGGATAAAGGGATTCCATCCTCTTTTCTCTCTATGAGAGGAAGCCTGATTCGGATGGACGTTATTCTTTGCTTCACACGATAGAAGAATACAGGGAAGAATTTTAGACAGATATGTTTCTTTTTACATCCATACATGCAAGAAGTGAATGGATACATCATGGATACGCTGGTTAGTACAGTGTGTAATAGTTTCTTTTGTGCATCCGGAAATCCCGACAGCGAACCCACTGACTTTGGTTTAACAATGCCTTAATTGTGACAAATGCCTGATTCTCATGTCTTCTAATGTCAAGTTGAGTAAGTGGGAAGGAAATTTTTACTAAAGTCTGTAGCGTGTGAACTCAACCGTCGTCTTTTATTTTATTATTCTATGAAAAATGCAACTTATTTCAAAGAAAGTTTGCCAGGATCTGTGTCTTAATAAGGCAGAAACAAGGGCATGAAACATCCTCATCCATCACCATCATTCTTGCATTCTTGTCGCCACATCCGCAGGTATTCTGCAGCAAGGATGACCTGACAAATTAATTTGTTAACCCGGTCGCAGTAATTACGATTCACTGGCTGAATCCCTTGATCCACAGAGTTTTGTACCGATATGGAATTTAATTTAGCTTTTCATTATTCCTCCTCTCTCTCGTCAAATTGGAATCGTAATGAAAACCCAGAGAGGAAGAGAGGAGGACGAGTTGAAGGTAAATAACATCAAGGATTCGTGAATGTACTAGTAGTTTACATACAGAGTATTTTGGTGCATTCAATAAAATAAACACGGTAGCTTAGCCAGCCACCCAGAGAGAGAGAGAGAGAGAATGAAAGCGAGAGCTGATCCACAATTCGTAATACTTACATATTAATTAAAGCGAAAATAGGATTTAATCAAGTTTATGGAAATTATATGGCAATTGAGTCCAACTATTGTTCAGCAAGGATCAGATTTTCAACAGTATTGAAGAATCTGTAAGTTGAAAAGCTCAATCCGTCTCTCCATCCTTCACTATCTCTTCATCTATTTGAATACGTCGAAGAATAAGAAGGATTTCTGATTCTGAGGGCGAGACAGATTTGTGCACATGATAGAAAGAGACAGCTCTGATTTTTTGGCGAACCTTGCAATTTCCACGAGAGTCAAGAAATCTCGAGTCCTATTACTTTTTCCTTTTCTTCTTTTTCTCGCTCTTATCTGCAGACCTGGGGGAGAAAGTAAACTGACTGAGATATTTGTAATTCAGATTCTGTTTTTCTCTCGCTCTTGGAAATTCAATTTATTGCGTGCACATATACGTAGCATGGTAAAAATGGTGGACTCCTGTTAAAACATGACACTAAATGAACATGCATGAAATTAAAAGATGAGAATGTGTGAGGAGTGAGTGAGCGAGTGCAAAAGTGAGTATCTGTTCTTCTGCCCCTACACAATGTCGCGATGATTGGCTGGTTTTGAAATGTGTCATAGAAATGGGGAGGACAAAACCAGAAAACAGAACAAGACCAACCAGGCGTTTGCAAAGGGTGTGTGTGCATGTATGTATTTGATCATTTTATAGAATTTGCAGTTTTCTCTAGTGCTTTGATGATGACGGAGAGCACGGTCATGATGGTGCTTGGCAGCAGTGTGGAGGCGAGAGAGAGAGAAAGATAGGGATTGGATCGAGATGAAGGTTTACTTGTTAGTCGGTGTTCAGACCGAGCATGGGAGAGAGTGGTACAAGAAGATCAAGTAGCTTTGAGTGGAAGAAAGTGGCCAAGTGGAAGAGAAAGTGGCTCTCAGTCAGCCAATTGAGGAGAGAATCTCCTGCCTGATTGACTTGTTAATTACTCTAGCGAATTTTGTTTACTTACCTTATTAATTTTAGATTTGGTTCCATTCAGGTAGTGGGCAGACGATGATAGCACCAGACCAGCGATCAAAGCGTATCATCACAAATACTTAAGACGTTGAGACAAGTTGAACGAAACGTGTGGGCGAGAGTCGGACTAGTTTACTTTTACCCCGTGAAGTGATAATGGTGGTGATACGGAGAAGAAGAAAGTGATGCTCTGCAGACTTAAGGAAAGTGATTCATCACCATAATCAACTTCTACTACTGCAATAACTAACTCTGCGGCTTAGATAATTTGTGAACGAAAGACGTATATTTCCCAATGGGGACGAGAACGTGATGCGAGGAGTCGGCTGAAGTTTAGTTTATGCAGTGTGTATGTATGTAAGTAAAGTTACACAAAGTGAAAGTGACTGCGGCTTACAAAGTGAGACAAAGGCGAAAGTCTTGGTTGTACATACTTATTAGTTTGGCTGCTTCTTCTTCTTCTGGAAAACAGAGATGTGACTTTCTCCGCCAACTCGACAACATGACGAATAACGATGACTACTATCTTAACGACACGTACCACCCACTGTACAATTATACGACGGAGGACTATCTCGATGACCCCAACCTTGAGCCACCCCCGTTCTCATATCCTTTCCAATTCCGTATCGTGTGCTACATCTTGTACAATTTTATCTTCACCTTTGGACTGATTGGAAATCTTCTCGTCTTTTACACCATTCATTATACGCATCCAAATATGAAGGTGCGTAATAAATATGCATGAAAATATGTAGGTATGACTAAATGTTTAGTTAAACTTAATTTCAATTTTATGAAGACGGTGCAAAACTACTTTCTTGCGAATCTCGCCTGTGGGGACTTATTAATCGGTACGTATGTATAAGGACGTAAATTGCATACTCCGATGATCGATCGACAATGAACATAATTTTTCCAATGTATAATTGATACAGTAATTCTTTGCGTCCCTACCGGATATATTTCCGTACTTTGGCAGTACTGGCCCTTCGGTTCCATCGCTTGTTTCGTGCTGACCCCAATGAAAGCCGTGGGAGTTTTCGTATCCAGCTATACTCTCGTCGCATTGGCGATAGATCGTTATTTAGCAATTTTATACCCACTCAAGATGGGTCTCAGCAAACAACAATGCCGCTGGATCATTGGAATCATTTGGGTCAGTGCGGTCATTACTGCGGTCCCGGTCGCTGTAAATTCCAGGATCGAGGTGCATCTGGGCAGCGGTGAGGAGAGGTGTGGAGAGGTGAGGGATTTCATCCAAATAAATTTCAAAATTTTATGAAATTGTGGGCATTGCTTATTTATTCACTGTTCCTGACCACAGTACGGATGGGAATCCTTCACCCAAGAACTTACGTACAGTTTGGTCCTGCTGTTTCTCCAATACTTGTTCCCAGTCTGTGTCCTAATCTATGTAAGTTTTTTATGAAATTGTGTCTGCTTGAATTATTTGACAAAACAAGTTTCCATTATTTTCTGTTTTCACAGACCTATACCAGGATCTCATTCGTCGTTTGGGGGAAACGGTGTCAGCCCACATTGACAAGGAGAGGGTCAGGGCAACGAAGCTGGGCGGGTGGCGTCCGCAGTGCGGTCATTCAACAACCAAGCAAAGGAAAGAGAAAGGTAAGAATAACCAAAATAACTCGTGTTATCTAAACTAAAAGTAATTGCAACTACGTAATTCCCGTGCAGACCGTCATCCTTTCACTCTCGGTCGTTTGTGGTTACACACTCGCCTGGCTGCCCTATAATATTGTCTACATGATCTACAAACATGGCCCAGAATACATCATGGATGCTGAATTTTTCCCATATCTCTTCATCATTTGTCACCTCATTTCAATGGGGCACTCAATTTACAACGTAATTATTTACACCGTCATCAATTCGAGGTGAATTATTACAAAATTCTTGGATTTATTCCATGTCTATAAATTGCATTTAATAATTTTCATAGGTTCCGAAGAAGCTTTGCAATGGTGGTGAAGGCCAAATGTCCCTGCTGCGTCTGTTTGATGGGTAAGAACGAGTACAACTTCAGAGGCAGGGGCAGCAGCAGCGTGTGCGGGACGGAAAGACGAAGGGTCGAAAGTCTGGCGGACAACAATCGGGCGTCCTCCGTAGAAAAGGACCTCAAGTTGAAGAATGTGAAGGTGGGGACGCCCAGTGTGGGGGTACCTTTGTAAAAAAATATCTAATGGGTTCACACAGTGAGAGAAATGGGAGACTGATTTATTTTATTGGTGGGGAAAGCATTATGATAAACTATAATTTTGTAAATACATTAAATAAAATATGTGCGTAATAAATTATATTGCTTTCAGTGTGAAATTTAATTAGTTTTAATTGCCATCGTAAAATTATTAGACAAGGAATCAGTATATTCTCATCTTGCCTCACGCGTGCATACTTGCCTGGCCTCTACTAAATTATGGTACAACTAGCGTATAGCCCGGCCAAGGCCGGGTTCTAGAGTTCCAGTGGGGGTGTGCCCAAAGCGAAAAATCCGTCATGCTATACTTTAAATAATTCCCAGTGGAGACTTCGTCGTACTACATACATACATCAGAGTGAGGGTTTGCCCCAGTCATACTGCATTTTAATTAACCTGGTCACAGTACAATTTGATTTCCCCCTGTGGGAGTAGTTGAATAGCTAATTACTTAAATTCCCGTCGTGTGGGAGTAACTGCATAGCTAACTATTTATATTCCCGCGCTTCACGCTCCCGTTCAGTTCCATAAACCCCAACTTCTATAATTAACGTCAAACTATTGACGGATTCGGATTCAGCGTCAAAAATACATTCGAATTGATATGCGACATCACGGATAAGCCATATTTGGCTGCCACGGTCACGGGGGCCTCGGAGGTCAAAACCATTAATGGCGTTGGATTCAGCGTCAAAAATACATTCGAATTGATATGCGACATCACGAATAAGCCATATTTGGCTGCCACGGTCACGGGAAGGTCACGGGGGCCTCGGAGGTCAAAACCATTAATGGCGTTGGATTCAGCGTCCAAAATACATTCGAATTGATATGCGACATCACGAATAAGCCATATTTGGCTGTCACGGTCACGGGAAGGTCACGGGGGCCTCGGAGGTCAAAACCATTAATGGCGTTGGATTCAGCGTCAAAAATACATTCGAATTGATATGCGACATCACGAATAAGCCATATTTGGCTGCCACGGTCACGGGAAGGTCACGGGGGCCTCGGAGGTCAAAACCATTAATGGCGTTGGATTCAGCGTCAAAAATACATTCGAATTGATATGCGACATCACGAATAAGCCATATTTGGCTGCCACGGTCACGGGAAGGTCACGGGGGCCTCGGAGGTCAAAACCATTAATGGCGTTGGATTCAGCGTCAAAAATACATTCGAATTGATATGCGACATCACGAATAAGCCATATTTGGCTGCCACGGTCACGGGAAGGTCACGGGGGCCTCGGAGGTCAAAACCATTAATGGCGTTGGATTCAGCGTCAAAAATACATTCGAATTGATATGCGACATCACGAATAAGCCATATTTGGCTGCCACGGTCACGGGAAGGTCACGGGGGCCTCGGAGGTCAAAACCATTAATGGCGTTGGATTCAGCGTCAAAAATACATTCGAATTGATATGCGACATCACGAATAAGCCATATTTGGCTGCCACGGTCACGGGAAGGTCACGGGGGCCTCGGAGGTCAAAACCATTAATGGCGTTGGATTCAGCGTCAAAAATACATTCGAATTGATATGCGACATCACGAATAAGCCATATTTGGCTGCCACGGTCACGGGAAGGTCACGGGGGCCTCGGAGGTCAAAACTATTAATGGCGTTGGATTCAGCGTCAAAAATACATTCGAATTGATATGCCACTCGCTGTGGGTGGAGTTTCTCAAACTAAAATAATTAATTAATAGTGTTTATCACGATCACTTATCATGATAACCACTATTGATGAGTAATGATGGTTGGTTGATCAGTTGATGTATGTATGGGGTAGCAGTTCATGCATTCATGCATGCAGTGTTTGCTCCGCTTCCTTCTTTGTCTCCTCTACGGGGCGACTTGCATTGACTTACGGACCGACCCAGAACTTAACACTGTCATTTTATGGTAGTGATATGTAGTAGGCACATAAATAAAGTTGGTCCTTAGTAAACTGATGCAAATCCACCCATAATAGTAGGTGGTCTAATATTTGATGCTATGCACACAATTGACATACATCATTGGCAGATCATATCATGGTTATTTTTAACAATCTGATGGTAAGCTTGAGTTATAAATACATTTTTAATAAAAAATACTCTTAGGTGCGGCTATTAATTTCGCGACTAAAAGATTTAAACAAGTAATTTATTAATCACCTTTTACCAAAGATTACACTTGTAATTAATAATTATTACTATAGTTAGTTAATTATGTAGCAGCATTACCATTCCATTGCCATAGCCATAATATCTACTGAATATGCTACTGAAACCTTGTACCATCTGAAACTTGTTTATTTAATGCTCACACTGCTTGTAGCAAATAGTAAAAATGGTATTACCCCACACACGGAACCTGTCACCGGCCTCACGACAAAGACACTGATCGAATTTCATGAGCAACTTTACAGCCAAAATAAATGATATCTGCAAAATGTCCCATTTCTGACATGTGTTTTAAAATTTTCTACATATTCTGAAGACTGAATTTAACTTTAAACAAAAAATGGGACATTTTGCAGTCATCACTTATTTTAGGGTAAACCACCACCACTTTTGCCATACTTATCTCATGCATTTTAATTTATTGCGCTGTGCACCGTTGTTAGAGGTAACTAAATGGAGTCATATTTTCATATTGCTGCATTATTATTATTTGAAAATACCAAAAAATAACCCGATCGAGCTTGATAATAAATCCAGCTGCTTTTATCAATCATGCCGCACACTATTTGTTTTTTGGACGACTGTCACAGACGGATTAAGTCGAACCAGAAACGGCATCGACTGGGAGCGTCTGCACTCTGGCCCTTGTATTGTCGACTGTACCATGATGAGGAGGAAGCACACAAAACCGAGGTCATATGCGAAGCATGCCACATCAAGGTACGAAAAATATTTAATTTAGTCTAGTAATATGTATTTAATTGCTACTTATTCTGCAGATTCGCTCTCAATTGAAGGATGAAGGGACGAAACAATGGAGGTCAAAACCTAAAGTAAGGGGAGAGGGTGTCATTCTACCGAGCCGAACAAGATTAAATATGAGAAGAGAAGACAATGATGCTCGTGGCGCTGAGGAGGAAGATCGTCGTGGCGCTGAGGAGGAAGATCGTCGTGGCGCTGAGGAGGAAGATCGCAGTGGCGCTGAGGAGGAAGATCGTCGTGGCGGTGGCGAAGACGATGCTCATGGCGCTGAGGAGGAAGATCGTCGTGGCGGTGGCGAAGACGATGCTCATGGCGCTGAGGAGGAAGGTCATCGTAGTGGTGATGAAGACGGTGCTGGTGGCGCTGAGGAAGATAGTGGTCGTGGCGATGATGGAGACCGTGGTCGTGAGGAAAATTATGCTCGTGGAGGTGACGACGACTATTTTTGTTGGGCTGACGACGACCATGCTCATGAGGGTAAAGATGACGATGCTCAGCAAGAGATTGACCGCTTCGAGTATGGATTATTGGACATGGAGCTTGACGAAGTCCATTTTAATAGTGAGTATAGCAGATTAAATACTATAATCATAATGCTACAATACTATGATAGTATATTTAACTACCAGGTGGATTTGATACTACATCCCGTCATGAAAACTCCATGGCTATTTCAATAAGTGGCAGAAGTGAGATCCAGTCAGAATGGAGCACTCAAGGCACAACAGTGACGATGACCGCCCGAAGTCACTCTCAAGCGTCAATCGTTTCGTCTCTTTCCTGCGACCCATTCAACTCCCAAGTATCGATGTCCAGCACTCAATCAAGTAAATCACGGCGCTTACCAATGATCAGCTCCGTTGGATCCACGCAGAAGCGGTGCTTTATTTGTCATGACCCCAACGGCAGAAAAAGGATTCCAAAGTGCGCCATTACTCAAGCATGGACAGAGAAGGAGATATATATCCCTCATGACAATCGCTGCTGCAATATTCACCTTGAGGGTAAACTTTTCACAGATGACGCAATGCAGTTGATTATACCTACAAAACATGGTGTTCTGATGTCGGATGAAGAACTTGCACAGTGGATTTTGGATCTCAGCAGCAACAGAAACAAGTTAGGTGCTAGAAGACGTCGTTATAATTTCGACGATCAAACTGACGTGGACAAGGACGACTACCCAAATCTTGTCGGATTCTCTAAAATTCAGTTTAACTCGCTGCTAGCAGAAATATCAGGCCATGTACATAACAGTGTCAACCGAAGTGTCCGAAATGCGTTGGCCATCTTCCTTATGCTGCTTCGCCACAATTTGGCTCAGGTATTAATATTTAAGATTTATTCTTACCGCAAAATTCATTAGAATGAATACTTAATGCTGAAATACTCTTGTGTGCAGAAAGTGCTGGGCAGTCTTTTTGGAATCCCCAATCAATCATGCGTGAGTGAGACCATTGATGCAGTCGCTACAGCGCTGGACAACCATTTTGTCAAGAAATACCTCGGTTTTGAACACTTGTCCCGTGAAGCAGCCCTTCGTGACCACTCTCGTCCAATATACTCGAAGCTATTTAAAGAAGAAGACCCAACTAAGCTGTTTCTTATCATGGATGGAACCTATATTTATATTGAAAAGCCGGCCGACTTTCACCTGCAGAAACTAACTTATTCTGGGCAGAAAAAACGCAATTTAATCAAACCATTTATGATAGTTCTTCCGTCAGGGTATATCTTGGCTGCGTGTGGTCCTTATTATGCAAATGGTAAGTGTATTTTAGCGGCAAAGCTGGAAGATGTAGCAAAATGCATAATCTGTTGCAAGTTACATAATTGTCAAATAATCCGTAATTTTTAATTGCAGGTGCGAATAACGACGCTGGGATCTTAAAATCCATCCTGTCGGAGCTGCCACCTGATTCACCTTACTTGAAACCGGGCGATCACCACATTCTGGACAGGGGATTCAGAGACGTGATTCAGACTCTTCTTCGCCTTGGACACCTCACACATATGCCAGAACTACTAGACACCGATGATAAACAATTCACCACTTCGCAAGGAAATGAGTCAAGACGGGTCACGTTGGTTAGATGGTTGGTGGAGGCAGTAAATGGAAGAATCAAGAAAAAGTTAAAATTATTTCGAGAGACAGTTCCAGGAGGTAAGTCTATATAATAATTTATGCGTACCAATGTCAATGTATGTTGGTGCAAGTTTTAAAGTTATTATACTGTGCGATTAATTGCAGGATACCTTGAGAAGCTGCCCATGTTGTTCAGAATTGGTTGCGCCCTTATTAACTGTTTCTGCCCTCCTCTCTCCACCCACTCACCCAAGCATGATAAGATAGCCGAACGAGCATTGGAACTTGCTGACCGGGAGAATTTACTACAAAAGCGAGTGGAGGACGAGGAGATGGATCGCCGGACTAAGGAATGGAAGACGGCCTCTCTGAAAGAATTTCCAAAATTCCCGAAGCTTAACGTTGACGATCTGGAAGACATAACCCTTGGAGTGTATCAGATTGGATTGGCCAAGAGATACGCTAATCTGCACATGAAAAATTCTCCAATCTTTGAAATTAAACTGAATTCAGAATTTCCAAACATCGTGCGAGCCAAGATTGAATCAAGGTTTACAGCCAATAAAGCCCACGATCTATGGATCGAATATTCTTCCGACCCCAGAGGTTAAAGGTGCTGACGCAATAATTGGTTTCTACTGTAAATGCAAACAAGGCGCTCGGACATTGGGATGTTGTGCACATATTTGCACAGTAAGTTAAAATTATTATATGTAAAAAAGCACAACTGGTAAATGGTAGATGTCTATTTTTATTATATTGTTAGAAGGTGCTGTGGTACTTGGGTTATCAGAGGTACCAAAACCCAACAACAATTAACGTTCGGAAAAGAAAACTGGAAATTATTAACGCCGGAAAACCTTAATCGGAGGAGGAGGAATCGGAGGATTATCATTAAGGCAGTTTTTGGTCAGGTTATGCATATACATTTATTTCTTCTAATCTGGTAATGACTCACAATTTTAGATCATCTATAAGTACGGCATAATTTGGGAAGGCACATGAGTACTATGATTGATTTCGTAGTTTGCAATCCCAACCGTACTTATAAATGCATGTTAGGCGAATTAAACTAATATTAATATTGCGTATTGTTTTTTTCAGGTTTCATTGAGTTACAATTTTTTTGTGTTGTGTACATTTTCATGGATGTATGTATGTATTCCAGTGTAAAGTTATGATGCTGTAGAAAAATAAAATCTGAGTTGTATTGTATATATGTACGAATTATAATCTGTCAAATTATAAATATACAATATATATATGTAATACTCAAAATTGCAACGAAAACCGAAATGAATAACGAGCATTGTTGAGTACCTCAAATGCGGCTGCAAATATGTACATATTGCTTTCTCGCTTAATCTTCCATGATTTGTTACCACACAACTAAAAATAATAATTAATATCGGGGGCCCAGCATTTTGCATTGTAATCAATGAAAAATAATGCAAAGGGGCCCACGGTTACCATCAAGTTCGATCAGTGTCTTTACGGTGGGTTTCTTTATTTCCCGTAAGGTGAGACATGGTGAAAAAAGCCATGGCCATTCGCCTCACTTCACCATGTCTCACCTTACGGGAAATAAAGAAACCCACCGTAAATTTGTCGTGAGGCCGGTGATAGGTTCCGTGTGTGGGGTAATAGTAAAACTTAATAAGCCACTCATTCAATAAGTTTTACAAGAACGAATGAACAAGCAAAACGAGTACTTTTCAATGAGAAATTGACACTAGTACAATGGATTATCGAGGAAAAAACATGCGTATATCGTGCATATTAAACTGCGAATGGATACTTTATTGTTTGTGTTTTCTAAAGTTTGTTTCTCTAAATAAATATAAATACTTATGTATTGAATATTTTGACTCTTATATAACCAAAACTTTTCGAGGACGTTGTGTGCATTGTTTCATTCTCCGGTTACTTTTCATCTACCCGAAAATGCGCATCACATTAGCTTGATGCTAAGTTTTGGGCTGTAGAACATCATAGCAATAGTCCATTTCATGCAGGCAGGTCAAGTGCATAGATCCATCATGTCCAAACTGCTACAATTCAGCCATATCATTATTATTTCTCTAACACTATCATGTCACATTTTGTTAGCAAATCAGCTATTGGTTAAAAACGTGTTCAATTTCAACTCTCAATTTTTGGGCTGTACTCTTTCAATCGGTGGGGTTTCGTCCTTCGACTACAACCGAGAACAATACGCGATAAGGACAGAAATTATCCAAAAAAATTTGAATTCCATTTTGCAGCTTGGCTTTACAATTTTTCCATCTGCAGTACTAAGATTTCAAGCTTGCTGCAATGTGATAGTAATTGTTGCATTAGATACTTCAAGTGCCAATAGTTTAGAGGAAATGGTGTTCAACATCGCTTCTACAGGGATAAATGCCAGACATATTTTGTGCATCGTAAAAATAGGTTCGATTCGTAATTTTGAGGTCTCTCGGTTCACAACAAGTGTGTATTTATTGGAGTTGACAAGCACAGGGAATCCAAGTACTGGAACGTATCAGTATGTCTGCGTTCTATGCGGACATCAACAATTGGTCCCTGTCGAACTGATAAATTATCCCATTTCCAAGTATCTTAAATTCCAATACAGCCGATGGGTAAAATTTGACATCTTAGTAAATAGTTTGGCACCACAAATGGACGCAGATATGAATCGTGATTGTAATCAAAGACCACTCAAGGCATTGAACCTTTTGTGCAAGTAAGTTTACACCTCCGACCTCGACCTGTCATTTAAAAATAATATATATACATATATATATAACTTTTTGTATAAAATATTTATGATCCCACAGATATCACAATCGCTACACAAACTTGTTACACACCCAATTAAATCTGACATTTAAATATGCGATGGATTTAAGAACAGTGTATCAGAACCCGTATGGAAGCATCGTCTTTACATTTGGGTCAGGTGGGATTTCACCTCATGGAATGTCCAGTGAGATAGTTAACCATAAGAGGTTAGGACAGTACCTCATCTACTGCGACTTTGGAGTGTCAATAACTCGGAACAATTTTCAGCTTTTTAATTCTGCGTGGGGTGCTCCATACAATCTGGAAGTTTGGGGGTGTCTCGGTCTCGTAGTTGGAGTGCTAATTCTAATTCTACGAATCCACACGACACTTTCTCCTTCACAAATTCTTCTCGCTATGTGCGCTTTATGCTTTCGCCAAAAGTTCATTAAACTTCGTGTCATTCAGTTGACAGCACTAGTTTCTATACCAATTCTTGCCATATATGAATCATACTTTGCGTCAAAGTTGATCGCACCCGTTCGTGTGACTCAGTTCTCGTCTCTCAAAGAAATACTGGAGCATGATATTGAGATTTACGGAATAAAACCACCTCCTGGAGGGGACTCACTTCGAAACTTGTTGCACAATGACTTTGAAATGTTGGGTTACTTGGACAAGTTGAATTCCTCCGTTTTTGAGATTGCAGATCAAAACACTTTATCGTTACTCCGTGTTCTTAGCCCTTCCACGCCCAACCGGAGTATAATATTTCTTGCAGATAATATCGACTTTATTCTAAATTATGCACAAAATGTGGTATTGCGTGGACAATACAAATGTCACAAAATTGCAAATTTTGCCATAATTAATGACTTCTTTGACCTTTTGCTGAACATGTTTGAAAGTGAGATGAGACAAATTGTTAGGAAAGTTGATGGTGCTGGACTACCAAAATTGTGGAAGGAGTGGTTAGATTTCTTTTATGAAGTGATTGCCCCTAAAAATAGAATACTTTGGGTTGAAGCTGGTCGTATAGGTATGAGTAATTTAATCTCTTTAGTACTAGTGAATTTAATGCTACTGATTGTTTCTGGGATAATTTTTCTGTTCGAAATTAGGTGAATATCTAAACTATTTATTTGGGGTATTTTAGATTTGTTAAGCCTTTAAAGATTTATTAATTGTTAATTAATTGCTTATTTATTAATTGTTTATTCATTTATTCTGAATAAAGAAGTTTGTTCGGTTGCATGAGTAGGTTCGAAGCTACTTAGGCGTCACTATTTCGTTCTTTTAACCCTATGTTTCCTGTGTATCACGAATTCGCAGACCAGGTAAAATACACATCCACCAAGTAACGCTGCATGTACTTGGAACACTCTGTAGAAACGCCATGCTTTTGAGAGAGATCTCACAACTTCTCTTGCCGTCGGTTTTCCTGAAGATTTCGCAAGTTTTGCCATACTTTCAACATGGCGTTCAGCACCTGTTGAAATAAAATAAGTAAGTTTATCCCAAGATTAAGTAATAAATAAAGGTGTTGGCCATTGTATTAATTAACCTGAGAAATAAAAGTCTTCCCAAAAGTCGTGAAATCCTCCTTGTACGAGAGAATGCGCTGCCCGATAAAGTTCTCTGGAATAAGGACCCCTAAACCAAAAAGATTTCCAACTGGAAGAAAATGTTTCTTGAACCGCGTCGCATTGTGCAGTTCCCCTTATAGAATGTTCAACCCCGAAGATGTTCTGGTTGGCAAATCGAGCTCCTACTTTTGTTCCAACTTGAATCGCAGGGGAAACCTTTGTTGCGAGGAAGGCAACACAAAACACTGTCCAAACATGGGTACACACGGCCGGATTATTAATGTGGAATACGCTAAAACACAGACAAAATCAAAATGTGTCATTACATCCCAGGTAAAGAGTATCACGAATCACACCATACGTATTAATTTCCTTTTCCGTAAGATTTCCAATTCCGTGTCTAGCAAACTGTTCAGGAAATTCGGCCACCAGGTCGATCGCGTGGTCAAGTGAATATGCGAAAAACTTGAACCCTTTCTCCGAGAATGATGTCATCGTAGAAATTCTCTCGGGAGGAAGTGGGGACACGCTTTCAGTTGTGATCATGCAAAGGAGTTTGCAATTCAGAAAAATAAGTGAAATTAACCCAACCTGGAGAAATGAAGGCCTCCAGTTTAATTGCCATTTATAACCCAAAACTCCCATCCAGAAATCTAGAAAGTATTTCGGTCCTCGAGTATGTGACATCGCTGAGTAGCAGATGGCAAAGAGGAGCAGAATCGCCCAAACCGTGGGATGACAGCTTTTTATATAAATGTCAAGAAATCCGGGCTTGCCAATTAGGACAGAACTCCTTCAAAGAAAATTACATTGTTATGCTAATAAAATATACTTATTACATTTCGTCACAGCCATTAACCTGCAATACATCATCAAAAATGCGGTTTGTCTTGTTCCCAAAATTTTTAGGCTTGTATCAATTTCAAATATAGTAGCAGACGGTGGTGCACAATGGATGCATAAAAATGACCCAGCGTACCTTAAATATTCAAATATTTATACATTCATATGTACAAAATCAAAAGATTTAGCAAATTTGTATCCGGAACTATTATACTCTTTCTCCAGGGGAGATGGCGAATTTCCCAGAAATGTGTATCGTTTCAAGGTCACAGACGTAAAGTTGAGACGATTTTGCAAGATGGCCCATACGAAATAGCGACGCGTACCTCCACTTCGAAAAGGTTGCCGTGGTATGGTTTCCTCAACTGCGGAAAAACTCACGATCTGTTCAAGCTTAAGGGAATAATTGCCTTTGTGTGCAACATCTACTTCGTGACCGAGTTCCACGACTATTTCTGATCCATTAAAATTGAGGGTTTTTCGGGGAAGTTCTTCAGAATTAAATGGCGAGTTTAGCAGTTCAATTTCTGGGCATTTTATGTAATACGTGTGGATATTTGGCAATGGAATTCTGCTATTTTCAACTCCCTCAAAGTTTTTTAGAACGACAATCTCGTCACAATTTAACAATAATTCCCAGGCCTTGTGGACCGGTGAAAAATAATTATTTCTGCTATAAATTGTTACAGGGAACTGAAGACAATGCAAAACAAAAAGTGATATGTCAATATTGGTAGAGTTATGACAATTTAGCGAATTATCAATAATTACGTTTACTGTACTGATCTTTGGTAAATTTATTTGTAAATTGGCACCGTAAAAAATGCTAGTCAAAATTACGAAGAAGATGGAAATTTTCCCCATCATATGAACGTTGTAAACGCCAATTCCAATGACGACTATCTTATGTCGATCTGAAAAAAGAATATAAAAATGTCGCAAAATCTATAGATAGATTCATTATGCAGATCTGCATAATGAAGGAGAAAATGTAATTATTTTTATGGCTAATAATACATTACCATAAACATATGTAGGTTCTGATTTTGATTAGTTTATCGATTTTTGTGATGTCAGTGGAAAATATATAAATATTTAATTATTTCCGTTTGGTAAACTCGAATTTTGACATTTTCAAAAAATAAGGCAAAATTAGCCAATACAGGTTTTAGACTTAAAAAAATGTATTTCAAACTAGAAAAACAGTCATTTAAAACAATACATTTAGCGCATTCCAAGGAAGATACATACAACTAATTCATACTTAAATACCACACTGGTTATTAATAAGTATGTGTACATACACTACGGAATAACTGTACCATTTATAATAATTACAATAGAGGTACAAGCACAAAATTATTTATTCATAATGAAAGTCGGGTAAGCTTTTTCTGAGCATCATTAGATAGCGACTACTTGTTTAGATTCGAAGGAAATTACTAAAAATTGATCACAAATTCTAAAATTGATTGCCATATTATATTAAAAGAAATTCTTTCAATTTTACTGAAGAATACTAATGAATAATAATGAATATCACTAGCGAGTTTCATGAATTTTTAATGACAAAAAAATTATGCATGTTGCAGGTAAAACTTTAGAATTATAAGAAACCGAACAAAATTAAAAATATTTTATTGTATTCATTGCAAGCGTATATAAAAAGATAACGAAATTTAAGTTAGAATTGGTCTTACTTATTTATGAGTTATGAACAACTGTATCAAGCTAGAAACTCAGATAAAGTCAGTAATAAAATAGATATCAATTTAAAAAGAATTGTACTGTATGTACATGCTCCTACTGTTTCAAAGTCTTGTTAGTTTCTGTCGTGCTGGAAATGAGTTTCAACTCCCTTTCCTCGTCCATTTTCTTCTGTTTACTTCGGAAATCCAGCTTGAGAATAAAGATTTCAAAAAATTAGAACTTACATACACTGACCGTAGATTATAAAAATTAACATATTGACAAACCTCTTTCTTGAATCGCGTAAAAATTTTACTATTTCGAAACGTTTGTTCAGTTCGAAGTCTTCTGTTATTAGCAGGACTGATGAGATTGTTAAAGTACTGCATTCCCCAGTGAATGGTAAAAATTGGAGTTAAAACTTTAAACTGCCACCCCTCGGAGAGAGCTGCTTGTACCTGAATGTGCCAAATTACATAGTCGCGTGATAGTGTTTATTAATATGTTCATGCATGCATTATAATATTTCGAGCTGTAGCATGCTTACTTGCGAATTCCGTGTAAAACCGTAGCCGACGAATATCTCGGGATACTCTGGAATTGTATTCAAACTCAAGGCGAAAGGTTCATAAGTCTGCATGCGACTTTTCAGCGCATCATGCGAGACTTTAACTGGGCCTTCGTCCAATCCAGTTGCTGCCCACCTACAGATTCCGATAACAATAATACCCGTATTTCAGTCAGGGTGCACATCATGCATGAGATAATACAGTTTAAACTGAGCCAATTATCTTAACAAAATGTTGGCACACCTTGAGTAATCGGTAGCATTGTGACCCTCCTTGTAAATATTGAAGTGGAATGGCGTCGCGTTCTTTGCTTTCCAGAATTGTAATAATTCCAGTTTTGACTCTGGATATGGTAAGGTTTCGCTAAGTTCGAAAGTTGGAATGACAAATGCACACCTAGTTCACAAGATCTTGTTAGATAAGCATTACAAATCAAACTAAATATTAATGTGAGGTTACTTTTCGCAAGATTGTGCTTCCTCCGTCGAAACAAAATTTGACAAAAGCCTTGCCGAATTTGGCCTTGGGATAATATCAATATCCGTTGGAAACACGTAGCCCAGGCCGCAAGCATTTTTTGCAATATTTCTCAAAATATTTTGTGGGTAACTGATCATTAATGTTTCGTTAGCTGTAAATATTTCATTAACACTGGCCACAACTTGCTTGGGTGCAATTTGACAAGACGTATTTGTAAAATTTGAGACAAAATGTTCAATATCCTCGCTATCAGTCGAGAACTGCAATTCTTCCCATTTCAAAGTCCAGTTACCAATTTCTGTCGGAACTGCGACATGAATCGAGACAAAATCGCGAAAGGGCTCTGAACACTTTTTAAAATGGTGGACGACTAGGTTGAGTCCCATCCATTCCTTCGGAGAGGTGACGAACACTGCCAGCGAAATAGGTCCGTTCCAGTTCTGGATTAATTCATAAATCCAGTGCAAGCGATCCATCGATCCCTAAATATCGTGCATGAATGACCAGATGCATATGGAATTACTGTTCAATTTGCAATTGTGAGTTATATACTTTACCTGCGTTGAAAGGCAAACGGTTAGAGAATTTCGAACACTTTCCCATTTTTCGCCAGACCAAACCCAATCATAAATATTTACAATTGATCTACTGTCAATCCTTGCATTGTGAAATTGCAATTCTTTAATTAACTTTAATGTGCTTTCTACACTACTGTTTGAAGTTGAGCTTTGATCTAATACGAGTTCAGACAAGTAAAATTTCCTTAGCCAATATCCAAGCAGTATAAATGTTACGAAATAAATCACGAATCGGTATCTAAATAAAAATTTCATTGTCAATGTTGTAAATTTCTGCAAATAAAAATGGACAAACTATTTACGTTGGGTTGACAGGTTTACGTACGTATGTAGATATGTATAGATTGAGGTAAAATTATGGGTTCAATGCACACGAGCAAGGAACAATCAACTAAATATGTACTTCGTTAATTTTCAGTATGCGTATGTACATTTTTAAGGTATGTATGTATGCATGGTGCAGAGGCGTCATTGTAAAAAAGGTGAAAAAGGTTATTTGAATACCCCGAAACTGGATTAAAGTGACTCCATTTAGTAAAAGGGTTGCTTGAACTTTCTAATTCTTTGCAATTATTCTAGTTGCACATGTATGTAAACATTTACGTGCTTTTTTAAAGTAACATAGTAAGAAATGGTTCCAAACCAATCGATACCGATAATGATGAGTTTCAAATGAGAGGATCATGTATAAACTCAAGGTGATAAATGTGTCAATCTTTAATAAGTTTATTTTGATGAGCTAGTTATTGATGGTAATTAACGAAACTGTTAATTGCCAAACTATGTAGATAGATATGCACATTATTTGTTCTGTATGTATTATTATGAATTCACAATTTTAGGTTTTACGTAACTAGACTGATTGTGACAGCAAGCAGTTCAAATAATTAAACCATTATAAATTTTATGGGTTTTCACTGGGTATCGTTTTTATTTATCTAATAATATTTCCCCCAAAAATTTAATTAGATTAATTACAACTTTTAATTGGCACAATATTTGATACGTTATATGTGCAAACACAATAGAATAAACATATTTTGGAATTAATTATTAATAATTGTATTATGATCAGTCATTTCTGCGGTTTTCGGGGATTATATTAAAATATTTATCTGATTTTGAAATTGCGAGTTTGAAAAGGAAATCATTGACAATATTAGCTTAACACATAAAGTATTAATAATGCACAAAATTTGAGTGTGATTAGATTTCAAGGCTATACAAATAAAGATTTGTAGGCAAATTCGAAAGGGTGCTTTTCAAACGTTAATTACTTGAAAATCCTGAGTGTGTCAGACTGTCCTCGTTTTGGGAACAATAGCCCTTCACATTTGGATGCCTCTTCCTCGCCGATGGTATCATTGAGTAAAGCGACAAAGTCTTTGCGGGTTGCAGTTTTGCTTAATAGTCCATCTCGTTTCAGTCTCGCCATCAGCTAATAAAATATCAGACATTACAAGAAATTGCATAATTAGATTTCACAATCACTTGTAAAAGTAAATTAAAATTGGAAAGCGTCTTATTTCCTCACCTGTTGAAATGTCCAGACGCCAAAGTACAACGGAGTGTTGTCGCATAGGTCGTTGAAAGTAGTTTCGATGTAGGCGTTCATGTTTCCGTGGAGGGTCTTTAGCTGGGCTCCAGTGAGAGTCGTGTCTGGAACATATTTCTCAATTGTTTCCTTTATCAAGTCTTCTGAGACGAGGCGTTTGTTATACAAAGCTTTTCCACGGCCTTGCATTATGGGATGGTCAGGGCCCCACGAATTCCGATTGCCTTGTTCTACTTGTCGGACTCTTTTTTTAGGAGGCTGTCCCTCCTCATCCGATGATGATGTAGCTTCGAGCCGCTGGTTGTTTTTCCGGGTGGGTGCTTCTGCTCGTTGAGAAGTAATTGTGACATGCGGTTCTGCAATCTGTGATGGATTTCGGCTGGATGAAGAAACCGCTGGTGGTTGTTTTTCAGTGGCTTTCCCACGACTTTTCGCCTGAGGTTGGCCCCATGTAAAGCGTTTACGTCGGGCTCCTTGTCCGTCTTCTTGTGACGACGATCCCTCATCCGAGGACGACTGGTTTCGACTTCTGGATGCTCGATCAGGAGAAGGGATTACAGGTTGATGTTCTTCAGTTGATTGTATATTTCGTGATGAAATTTGTGTTGGGTGTCTTTGGCTGGATTGTCCCATATTTGTCGAATTTTTCTCATGAGTTTGTTGCTGAGCTTCGAATCGACTGGATGGTCTTTTACGGGAAACAATAACTTCTTCAGGCTGTTTTGTTGGAGCGGATGGTGCAACAATTTCCTGTTCTACAATTGATACAATTGATACAATTGGTACAATTGATGCCCTTAAAGCAGATGTAGGCTGACTTGGTTGGTGTTGTCGTTTCGACGAAGCGACTGGTTGTTGTCCTGTGGATGACCTTGGTGCTAGTGAGACAACTTCCAGCGGATCTCGTCGAAGTGATGATCTTGCGGAAGTGGTGGACGTCCGAGACACAACTAATTGCCCTTGTCTCGACGACCTCAAAGGTGGGACAACCTCAGGTTCTTGTCGAATGGATGACCTTCGTACAGGCGAGATAACCTGTTGTCGAGTGGATGACCTTCGTATTGGAGAGACAACTTCAGGTTCTTCTTGCCGAATGGATGGCCTTCCTACAGGCGAGATAACTTGTTGAGTGGATGACGTTCGCACCGGTGAGGCTTCATGTTCTTGTCGACTTTGAGTGGACGATCGTTTTGGAGTGGATGGTAGTGGGCCAACTACAACAGGTTCTTGATGATCCAACGTTGAAACAACTACTTCAGCATCTTCTGTTGGAGTTGGTGATTGTTCATCTTCCGTCGATACTGCATCAAAATGTGTACCTTCAGGGTCTTGTCGAATGGATGACCTTCGTCCTGGTGAGCTAACTTGCTGTCGAGTGGGTGACCTTCGCACTGGTGAAATAACCTGCTGTCGAGTGGGTGACCTTCGCACTGGTGAAATAACTTGCTGTCGAGTGGATGACCTTCGCACTGGTGAAATAACTTGCTGTCGAGTGGATGACCTTCGCACTGGTGGGACAGCCTCAGGATCTTGTCGAATGGATGGTCTTCGTACTGGTGAGACTTCAGGTTCTTGCCGACTTCGAGTGGACGCTCGTTTTGAAGTGGATGGAGTTGGTGGCGGGACAACTACAACAGGTTCTTGATGATCCAAAGCTGAAACAACTACTTCAGCATCTTCTGTTGGAGCTGGTGATGATGCATCTTCCGTCGATACTGCTTCAGAATGTAGAGTGTCAGGGGGTGGTTGTGTTGTTAAGGTCACATCAAGTTGTGGGTGTGTAGCAACAGATGAAGGTCGTGGTATTGGAGAAATACTTGAAGAGTGTACTTCTTCATCATGTGATGCAGAATCATCCGCGACTCCGGGATCTTGATTCGCTTCCGATTGCGAAGATGGTGTTGCCGAAATTTCTTGGACACGTTGTGAGAGGGGAACGTCGACAACTTCGCCTTGCTTTGAATTATTTGGTTGTGATAAATGTTGAGACAGAATATCCCCGTAAACAGACTGAGATTGAGATTGGTAGGAGACAAGAGACTGAGCAGTAACAGAGTTATTTTCTCTTGTCCGAGTCATTAAGGATGTGCGTCGAATTGGGCGCCTTGTAGGTTGGGCCAAAGGAGGAGTTGTTTCGAAATCCGGCGAAGACACAACGCTGTTAATGTGATTGCTTTAATTATAAATATCAAAAATTAGTTTTTACAACAAAAAAATTAATTAATATTATTAATAAGAAAATAAGATTACGATAATGTTCCTATGCGTGAAATTTTAGGTTTTCCCCTCTTCCGCTTGGTTTTAGAAGGCGAGTCATCGTGCAATTGTTGCGATGCTGACACCGAGGACTTCTTTCTGCCCATTACCGATAGACTTGACCTGGCTGGCTCCGTTTCTGAAGGCTGAGGGAGAGCAGACAGCTCCTTATCCAGTGGCCGAGAGGGCACACGTTTGTTATTGCGATTCCAATCTCGTTTGGCAATGGGGGTCCACTCATCGTCTTCATTATCATCATCTTCTTCGTCATTCAGTGTCTGCACTCGACCACGAAAAAAATTCGTTCTGGTGGACTGACGGCCACGTGAAGCAGGCAACTGTCAAAGAAAAAAAATACCTAATTACGGTGCGGTGCGGTTATTTATTTCTACAAATAATACCTCAACACTCGACTTCTTCTTCTTGCCGTAAGTCTTCTTGGGCATTGCCGGCTCTTCTGTTGGGGGAGAAATGGGGACGGGTGATTTTGGAATGTTTAATGTATTTTTTTGTTTTCCAAATTTTGCCACAAAATCGTTCATATTAATCTTCTTTCTGATCTCAGCCCTCTCTAGTGATTCGTCAAATGACGAGTGGAGCGGATCTCGTCCAGGACCAGGTTTAGGTTTGCTTACTGCCACCTTCTTTTTGCCACGTTTCGGTGGAGGAGGTAGCATTTGTTTCACCACTCGTCTTGATTTCGCCAAAACTTGTGCCACTTTTCGTTGATCTACTCTCACATTCTCCGAGTCGAAATCGTGATCTGAGGGGGAGGGGATTCTGGAGTCGTCACTGCTGCTGTCACTTTTTCCCGTCGTGGTGGACGACTTTTTCGGTCGTTTCTTTCTAAGCTCGGCAAATCGCATAGGATCGATCTGTAAATGAAGGCCAACAAGGGTATTGAGTTTTCCCCAATTAAAATAGAAAAACCGTACACACATGAAATGACAATAAATAAATAAAATCTCACAATTCTCTTCCTCCTCTTCCCAAGTACGACGCTTTCTTCTCCATCTGTCCTAAAATAGGCACTTGGGGGAGATGGTGGCAAGCTATCGTCCGAGTCTGCCAATGATTCCTCGGATGATGACATCTTGATAACCTATTTAATTTTGAACTAAAGAAAAGACACAATGTATGTATTTACCATTACCAGTAATTCCTAACTTCTCCTATTTCAAATAACAGGTAACTAAAAACTTACCAATAAACTCGTCAGTGATAAAAATTGATTGATGAATTCTTGATTACAATTGACGAGGACGGAGGCTCGAAAATTTCTACTAGAAATTATTTGTTGGATGAATGAAGGAGGAAATACTTTTACCGGTCAACGGAGAGAGAAGTTCCCTCCTCCAGCTCGTTTCCATGCATTTACAACTTTCTCACTGCCCAAAGCGAGACCCGTCGAGTCGTCTCATCAACTCTCATCTCGCTCACTCGTCTCATATTTCTCAATTTGCCTCCGACAATGAAATAATGAACTTTCATACTCGTGGATTGTGTCGTTTCGTTGGGCTTTGTGATATTACGATTATTAACAAATGTTGGAAATCATATGCAAATATATAGAATTGGATCCGCATCTACGTTTCTTAAATGACACAAGATGAACATGAGTTGAATAATTATCCTACTCACGAAAATAAGTAAGTCAACGTTATAAGACGTGCCTAAAACTAATTCAATTCGTTTTGCACTAATTACAACATTTTCTAGTTGATTGCATTTATTCAACTTGCAGAATATAAATAAATTGTCATGCATGTTATATGAATAGCCGTCTAATTCGTCAAAATCCAAATTTAGATGGCATCGTCCCTCCAAACGTCCGAGTTAATTGGTCGGGCTCAATATATTCTCGTAAAACACTTGTCCATTCCTCCCTATTGTTGCCATACACTTTAAACGTAGCTTTGGTTTCTTCGTCCATAACTGATCTCGCTAGAGTGAGAGCAACTTCAAATATTCTAGGAGCTAAACAAATACGGAATCATGATTTTTTAAATCATGATTCTAAAGAAGTTTTTATTCTAAATTATCCTTAAGAATTGACGTACTATTCACCACCCAAATATTTGATCCTTGTTTGGGGAAATTCCTTTCATAGCTCAACACAACTCCTATGTAAAATGGCATACCTGTTGCACAAATTAAGAATTTCATACATTTCAAATATGTAAATGTAGTGCCAATGCTTATCATTTACTTGCTGGGTTAATGTGTTGGCGGATGTTAATTTTTCCAACGTCAATCACAATCACGTATCTGGTCACGTTTTGTCCACTCTGTTGCAAATCTCTCACCTTCAGCCAAGCATCGTTAAACATTTTTGAGGCGTATAGAATCATTTTGTCCATCTTTCCAGCAAGCGCAGCCTTTCGAAAGTCCCAGTCGCCCAAGTAGCAATGAAGAACTGCGATGTCACAAAATACAGTATAAAATCAACAACAAGAATTTAATTTTCATTAGTTTTCTATAACTGACTGGGTTTCCCCTCCTTGTCCTGACCCACAATTTCGTAGGGATAATCATGAATAAAGTCTTGGAAATCGGAGTCATCAAGTTTGTCGAAGTTGGTGCTATCTCTCCAGCTTAAATGCTACGATAAATCGCTTATTTAGATTTAAATGAAAAAAACATCTTTAAATAGAGTATACAGGAAACAAGCTTACCCTGTTCAGAAACTCAACTGCTTTATCCACATCAAACTTACGGGCTGAAAAAAATTTACAAGACATATCTTATGAAACTGGATATCTTCTGTAATGTATTTTTTTGCATCCAATTTCTCACCTCGAAGCCATTTGACCAAATAAATGTCTTCTTTCATATAATCAACCTTCAGTTTTGGGATAACTTTTTGTTTAAACTGAAAATTAAATTGTATATTTAAAAATTTATTTGTAGGATTGTGTTAGTTTGGTAAAAAACCTCCTGCAAAGCGTGAAGTTCAGATTCCGATAAAGTGACTTCCTCTTCAAATGTGACACCTTTACAGCAATTTATGCAAGCAAGAATGATAATTGTAAACGTTATCCATATCAAGTTAGAATTGATGCTCCTGTTATTCGTCATATTTATAAAAGGTAATTTGGTTAACGAGAGTTCGGAAAATATAACAACGTTCGAAAGAGAGAGCTGGAAAGCAATGAACAATCATTAGGTGATAGGGTACGTATTTATGCATAAATGAGTATACCTAAATTGGTCATTTGACTCATGCAAACAACCTTCATTTCTTATGGGGTCAAGGTTAGCTAAATTTCAATTAATCCGGTTTATCTAATTAATTAAGATGCTATATAGTCTTGTCCAATAAATATGAATAAAGAGCTAGTGAAACAAAACTGGTTCAGCAACAAAGGTCCAGAAAAAAATTACAGATTTAATTAGTTTCACTATGTCAAATTGTGATAAGTAAAGTGGAAGACAAACTGAGTAACTAAGCGAGTAGCTTGGCATAGGTAAGTTTTATGGACATTGTTTAATGGATTTCATTGTGCACATGTGACATGCATATACTGTACATATGTACATACATATTCTTAAACAAGTATTCGTACATATATTATTCTACACGTGACGTTTTTTCCTAATGATGGTATTAATTAATGTATGTTCATATTCAATCCCAGAGATAAAATTTATGGACCTTTAGTTCCATGGACCATTGTAAAACGGATGTAATGCAGACCGAGCAAATACTTTGTGTAATATTTATTTGTCTTGTGTAAAATTTTTTATAATTGTTTTTTATGTGTTTTAATTTAGGCTGTTTTAGAATTTTCAAGCATTGGATTGAGTAAATAAATTGAAGTTTTGTACATTCCTTTATTCTAAAATTTGTTGTAGTCATCTTCTTGCTCAAAGCATCTTGCGTATGGTTAATTCTCATGATGTTTCATTTTGGACTGAAACTCTGTGTAAAACGGTGTCCAATTGTTTTTGCAAGTATGGTCACGTAAGTTAATTATAAATTATATTGGCACACAAATTTCATATTTTCCCTAATATACCCTGAATTAAAACAGTCCGTTTAGTTAATATTTATATGTATAAAATCCTTACTTCCATATTGGGTAATTTGAATTGCCTGACAAATTAACCTGTTACAAAGACTAGAATTAATTTTAATTTCTTTACGCGGATTAAACGCACGTAAATCACGATTTTACGACGTCTACATAGTTCATGCTATTTTATTTTATCATATTCAATCATATTCAATTTTTCGAACTCATTGTATTTCATACATATACATATATTGGTGTACATATATGTGTTTTGAATGATTCTAGTTCCAAATTTCTGATTTAAATTAATTTCTGGTGATTGAGTTTCGAAGATGTAGTTTCGAATTGTCATTTTATCCTCGTTACTATTTAACAAGATAATGCGAGATTTGCAACTCTTCCCCCAAATCAGCATAGTCTCCAAGAACTCTTCCCTTCCTAAATTCACTCCACAATATGGGTCTGTAAATTTGGTCTTCTCGTGGACAAAGTGGTTCCACAAGGCAAGAATATTTCGGATTAAGAAAAAATGGGATGCTTATTCTAGTCTTGTTCGCATTTGTCAAGACGCGATGAATTGGAGCCTTGTATCTTCCGTTGGACCAAACTTGAGTCATATCTCCAATATTGATGACGAATGAATCTATAAAAAATAGATGGAGAAGCTTTGGAATTTTTGGAATTGTTTAGAAATATAACGTGGCATGGACGTGATTTTACACCTTTAATTGGAGGGATGTCATAAAATGTGTTGTCCTTCAGCACTTGGAGGGAACAGACCCCTTCTTGTTGGTATAAAACCGTGAGGACGCCGGCATCTGAATGTGGCCCAACGCCTAACTGGTTCGAATTATTCCCATTCGAAACGTACTCGGGGTAATAGTTGAGTCTTCCAAAACTGGTGTCTTCTTTGATGGAAAAACAATATTCCAGTAGATCTTGTGTATCCACAATTTGGCTACAATCCATCTCCAGTCCTTTAAATATTGCTTGCATCAAAACCAAACCAAGATTACGGACTTCCTGTACGTGTTTAATAAATATATCCATATGTATCTGCTGCTGAGTTTAGTACTTAAATATTTAAATAAGCTAACCTTCAAGTAAGAAGTCATTGTGTTTTTAAAATTAGGAAGAATTGCGTCATTTGGCCACTGGTTTTTTCCATGAATTCCAATTCCTTTAAGTGGTGATGTTACTTCACTTTGAAATGCGTCTTCTGGGGAAAAGTCGAAAATTTGCTTCCAGTCCAGTTTTTGTTTAGTCAATTCGGTGTCCGAATATCCTTGAAAATTTCCCTATTGCCCAAAACTATGTATGTCAGTCTTTAAATCAAAGTCATATCTTTTAAAATTATTTATGAAACTTACATCAAATCGGGCCACAGTACTTTTGATCTCTTTGGGCAGTTTAAAGAAGTTGAGACTTTCACTTTCTACAGACGAAATTACGCTTTCCTTGATATTATGATTGATGACATAAAAGAATCCCCAATTTTGACAGGCTAATGAGATTTCTTGTATAACGGATGAAATCAAATCGACGTTCCCCTGACTTTTGGAAATCAAGGGAGAAATGTCAATCAAGGGAACTTTTAAAGTTTGCATTTTCTCTCTCTATTAAAAATTTACATACACAACATAGGATGTAAAGTGAAAGAACTGTAATGCCAAACGTGTGGTATTTGGTATGATGATGAAATAGTTAAGACGATTGAATAAGACTCATTTACGAAATTAAATTACTAAAGTCTATGAATATGTTCAACTAGATAGATAATTGCGTGTAGAATGTATGAGATCTTTTCTTTCCCAGCTGGATTATACAGAATAACGATAATCCTGTACTACTTGCTTAACCAATTATATTTATACATGAACCAAGCAAAAGAAGATATGTCATGAATAAAAATAAATTAAGTACGCATTTACGTATGTGCATGCAGTAATCCTATTACAGATTAGTTTACTTACATTTGGTCTTATAAGGGGAGGCCTAAAAATCAAATCTCAGCAGTCAGTATTCTCGATTCTTTCTCCATGAGTTGTACTATATTGTGTATCTCACATATTACTTTCTAGTTGGGTGTGGGATTTTGTATGCATATTATATAATCATCAAAATGATTTAGAATTATAATTTACATATATATAATTCATGTAAATATATATAATTGGTTCCGCATCTACGTTTCTTAAGTGGGATAAAATGAACAAAGTTGAATAAATATCCCACTCGGAAAATTTTGAAAATTCAATGAAAATATACTCTAACTCTTTTGTATGTAAGTACATATCTACTCCTTATTTAAAATAGTCAAGTTTTTTTTGTTTTTTTTCACAAGCATTTGTATATTACTAATTAACTGAGGAGGACAACCCTTCACCGACAGAATGACCGATCTTGATGCCCTTTGGATATGTTGTAGTCCTAGGTGAGTCTAGCAAAAGTGAAGAAGGATTTCATTCCATGGCCCCATTTGCGCCCGCCACACCCACTCAAAGAGGAATCCCATGCCAAACTGGTCGCATTAAAAAATTCACCAAAAATCCATTTTTAATGATGATTTGATCATTTTTGCACCTTTTTGATCCCAGATAGTTGTTTTATCGTATCCGACATGAATTTCAATTTTTTGAATTTTTTGAGTATTTTCGAAAATTTAGTGGATTTCGAAAAAATCAAAATTTCGAAAAAGTTGAGTTTGCTATTGGATATGATAAAGCAACTATCTAAGGTCACAAAAATGCTTAAATTGTGAAAATCCAACCAAAATTGAATTTTTGGTGGTTTTTTTAATGAACCAAAACAGGGTATTTTTGCACCTTTGAGTGGGTGTGGCGGGCGCAAATGGGGCCATGGAATGAAATCCTTCTTCACTTTTGCTAGACTCACCTAGGACTACAACATATCCAAAGGGCATCAAGATCGGTCATTCTGTCGGTGAAGGGTTGTCCTCCTGAGTTGATAAAATTTGTCCTCGATTGCTGCATTTTAGACTAAATAGGTAAATAGTATTCACCTAAACACATATGCATACAAATTATCATTCAACCCATTTTATACGTTTATGAATATGCATATTACTTCTCGGAGTGCAATATATGTTAATACATCTAAAGAGAAATAAACCATCAATATCGAGTCAGTTAGCTATTTAGTGTTCAATACATCTATTTATTTATGTACATTTATGTATTTTTAGACGTTAAGTCTAAAAAGTAGGAGGATTTTCTGTTTTATCAAACCCTCAGTTAAAAAAGGTTTCATATTTGTTGAGTTCCTATATCACGAGTGAATTCAATTCTTCAAATTTATTTCAAACACTCGCTTGCCGTAAAATGGTCAAAATAGGTGAGAAAGTTTTTTATTCTGGTCAGCCAAGAGTTTCAGTCGTTTTTCGTTTTCCAGGTTCCATAATGCCTAAATAAGTTTAATAAAATATTATTCGATTTATGTTGCACATATCCTTTTCATTACGACGCTGCATTATCTTACCTTGGCTTCTGCAGACGTTCCAGGCTTTGGTTCTTCTTCAACTTTCAAGTTTTGGAGTCTGGAAGTAATCCATCGCATGTCAACCAATGGTGGCCCAGTAGGCACGACTTGTTCCAAGTTCCAACTATTCGACATTTTACTTCTTACCTTTGTACATATATTTATTTCGAATCATCAAACATAGAAAATGCACATACATAAATTGAAAATTTCTTTTTATTCCTTTTACTGTATCATAGAAACAGATTACTCTCGGGAAAATGGTAAAACGCCATCCAGATTTTTACTTTCATCCATCTCACAAATGTGCATAAATGTTCTTAATTCTGTATTACTAAATGTTACCATTTTCACAATCCAATTAAAATTATCTGCCATGTCTTTTTCCTCGCATGCAACAAATTTGTGATAAATCATAAGACGTAAAAGACTCGTCGCTTCTCCGCTATTTTAAACTTTACTTGCATTCTCGAAATCTTTATGTGTTTATAAAATAAGCTCTTAAACAATTTTCAGGCGTATCATATTCAATTATTTTGGAGCAATGTATTATACGACTAGATCCAGATCATAAGTATTTTTCTGCTCCTCAATCATATTTTAAGTACAGCTTCTTACTAAATCCTGTACACTCGTAAGTAGGACATTGCTTAGCTCCGTATTCTGTTTCTTCTTCATTAACTTTATCAAAGACCTACGTACACATGTCGTACTTTACACAATGCAACTCTATATATTTATGTATGTATCCCTTAAATATTTATTAAATATTACCAAGTCCATAATTTCCTTAAAATCCTTGCTTCCGTTCGCTCTAGTTTTTAAAACCTTGCAAAAATTTTGAATAAACCAAGTTCCTCTGGCAGTACGATAAGCATAGTGGTCTAGGATAATGAGTTATCGAAATGTCATTACTACCATACAATAATATTATATGTGTACACACTTATGTACTTATACCATCATATGTTCCGTGACAAAGTATCATGTCGGAATATGTCCCTGTGGAATCTGTCTCCTGTATATTTAGTCAATCACAAGAATTAATACAGTAAAAATGACAATATGATGATTATCATATGCATACACACCACAAAGGAATCAGCATCAGTGCATCCGTCTGAGGAGTTTTTCTGTGATGACGTTTCCTCGGACTTTATTCCAGAGTCTTTGCAAGTATCAACTTTGTCCCCTCTGCAAATAGTGGGCACTTGTTTCATCTTTCACGCTACTCAACTGCATGTGTAATTGTGTGTGCTCATAATGTATGAATAAATATTCTGTCGTATACCGGCAAAAATTTGCTAAAAATACTTTTGGCATGTTCCTTAACTCTCGACACCGTACATTGTTGAATTGGTTAACGACCACCTTCTTGAAATTTAGATCGACATCATCTTCGGTCAAAAAGTCATACATTCCGACTCCATGACTCATCACGGCAACCAGACAACATGACACCCCAGTTAAGTTGCTTTTGAATTCTTGAATAGTATTCAGAATGCCCTAAATGTATACTTTAATTAGTGACACACTTCCATTTTTACTTAAATAGAAGGGTTACATCCTCTGTGAAACGTTGGCATAGCACAACGTCAAATCCACATCGACGTAGAGTCTCATTCAAGGCCGTCGTGTCATTTTCAGCACCGCGCCGATTTTTTAGAACGTTTATTATCAGAGCCATTTTCTTTCCAGTATGTGGATAAATCTACCCAGCATTTAAAACCATAATCAATGATACAAATTTTGTAGCAATTTAATCTTAATTAAATATTAATGAAATACCTCAACTAATCTGCAAGCATCTAATTCGTCATCACTCCTCGTAACCATTTCTGCAGGTTGTGGTGTGGGTGGTCGGTTAGAAACTGAAACTGAACCTCCTTCCAAATCTGTTGCTATTCCCTTTTTTAAGCTTTCAAACATTTTCAACGCTTCGGTATTTCCACCAGTTTGCAATGCAGATATTATATTGTCCAAGTCGTCGTCAGTACGCGATTTTTGTAGAAATTCGAACAGGATCATATTTTTAGACGAGTTCCCACTTTTCCTCATCTTAAAGTTACGAAATATAAATTTATACAATGAAAAAAAATGCTAAATAAAGAACGTACAATGTCATTGTGTTTTCCATCCGAAATAATGTTTTTCATTAAAAGAAAGTCTAAAAAATCTTCACTTGGGTTCGTTATCCGGCACAATTCTCCCATATTTTTAAAGATAAATTCCTCCATATTGTACAGAAATTAAAGTATTTGAGAGAAACGTTGCAACTTTAGAAAGAAATTTTCCTGTGTGAGTGATGACTAAGCATTAATTCAAATTTGCATTATATTGAACTGGATGTTCTGTGTTTTTTCAGTTTGATTTTATTTTCAATTAATCTAATCAGCTCTTGGAGAAACGGGATCATGTGTAAATGCACAATGATGTGTACATATATGTGTATATGAAGTGATAATATCTGTATTCACTCAATAAATAAACATTTACAATTAACACATGAAAATGATTCATCTTAGTTTGTATTTATGTATATGTACTGTAACACAAAGGTTTGTACTTCGTCCTTGGGGTTAAATAAGCTTCATACTTAAACGACAATAATTTTGAACACATCGTTTCGTACAATTCGATACAAGTGCTGGTTTGCTGATTACGCAAAAGTGTTTAAAAATCACTTTTTTTAGCAATAAGCATTCTGCTCGTGTCATGAATTTGCTTATATTCTGTAAATTGATGGTGTTACATATTTCTGTGTGCATGATATGAGTCAGATGTCATTTGTCTACCATCTTTGATCGAAGGCAAAAGGAAAGCAAGATGATACAAAAAGTAATGAAACAACTTTCTCCAATCCAATTTATAAGTTGAGATGAGACAGAATGGATGGTATCCTGAAGCTTCGTAGGGTTGTTTTCTCGTTCCACACACAGACTCAACAGATCAGTACTTTGTACTTATAGTTAATTACACTTACATATATATGTACATTACATAACTACATGAATCAGGCAATAATAAGTGCAATCCATTTACCTTTATTTGTAACTCTTAAGTTCAACAAGTATATACATGCGTTTCTGTATGAGTTCTCCTCTAAATATAAGGCCAACAAAGGTAGATTTCGGGTATTTCTGTATCAACGCCCTGTATCAAACCTTACAAGGGAAGGCCTAGATGAGAATAAGAAGTGAGATAAAAAGCTCTTACAGATAATAAATTTCTTCTCCAGCGAATGATATCGAATTTTCACATTTCTAGCATCAGCGCTTAACTTTCACTTTATCCATTCTTTTATATGTGTACGATGTGTGGTTTTGCAATTCTTTGACCAAACTTGTATCAAATATTGTTATATATATCAAATATCATTGTCGATAATTATGTAAACGAAATTCGAGAGGCGTTAAGGATGAGCTAGACATTGGTGACGTAGGTGATCCAAAAACATGTGCCATAGCATCGACCAATTATAACAATCTACTTGCAACAGATTAGAAGTGAAACCATATTACGTGGAGAAAGCTTCTCTACTTAAATATGAAGCATGCACATTACACAGTAACAGTGCATATTTATTTATAATGGGGGATCTACTAATACTCATTCTGCTTAGCCTTGTGTCACTGAAAACGTAACTAATCCCGAAATCGTGGCTTCAATACACGATTGGAGAAACGTCGTTTTCGTAGATTTTTTTGCAACAAAAATATTGCTGCCAAATATTTTAGCATGCAATTTTGTAGGTTTTAAAGCCCGAACTGATTTCTTTCTGAATGTACGTTCTCTGCTTTTTCCACCAAATTTTGTTGCACTACGATTTGTGACCTCCCTCCATTCTACCAACATTTCTTTACTGCTTTCATATATAAGAGCCGCTTTCGGCAAAAGCAATTTAATTACGAGAGGGACGAGGAGGGTAAGCCCAGGGAAAAATAAGTATAGCGGCATCGGAATGATGTCCCACATTTTAATCGAAGCGATACTCGCCACCACAAATACAACTTGTCCTAAGCACATCAAAGAGAGAGTAGAGAAGTAGGTAGGTTTATTCAAGATTGATATAGCGCAAGCTCTTACAATCATCATCGTTCATTCATTTCATACAAAAGTTCATTCAAATTACATACATAGTTTCATAATGATTAAGAATTAACAAAGTATGTGCTCAGTTGTGGGCATAATCCACAAGTAGCACACGGCATCCCAATACAGGCTAATCACACACTATGATAAATTTATAAAATCTAATGATAATATGTATGTAGCAGTATGGGTGTAGAGGAAAAACCGGAGATGGTCTCGGAAAACCTCTACATGTATTGGGAAGTTGGCCCAATACACCATTCGGCCCATTACTGCTGGACACCAGGTAGGAAAATGAATGGCAGGGATACATAGGCGGATTCCGTGGGGTGGTGGTGATATTCAAATGAGGGTGGCGTCTGCATGCGGAAGTAGACGGTTGAAGGTTGTTGGGCGGGGGCTGTCCACGGACCGCGGGATCTTGCCCACGTCCCCCATGGAAGCCGTAGCCGGGGCCGACGACACCCCCACTTGCCCCTTCTCCCATCACAACACAATCAGGTCATGGGACCCCCATAGACCCGACTATGCCGCCCTCCGACATGCACGACCCCCTCCTCCACTCTTCAACCAACCACTCCCCACGGTCACCACCCTGATATGCCAAACAAAAACCTATCTGGGGGAGCCCCTCCAAGGCGTAGATCCTCCTGTGCACTGGGTCCTGCGAATCCATCTTCGCCTGTTGGCTCAGCTTGTCGTTGCTGGGACGGGTGTGGCAGGGGGTGTCACTAGGCACGCAGGTGGGGGGTGTGAGTGGACGAGGCTCACGTGGCGAAAAGCCTTTAGGACACACTTTACTTGCCCTGGCACACCCGCGACCCAGATGGAAGAGGATCCAGATGCAGAGCGAGAGAGAGATACGTCGTGCACGGAGGAAGCCAAAGAGGAGACTTATCAAAGAGAGAGTAATTGGTCCCTGCATATCCGATTGTAAACAAGCTACAAGCTGCGTCTGAATGAAAATCACCCTGAGTCTTTTGAAATGTTTCGCCACGACAAGTTTGGATCTGCATTTACGCAAAATATTTGTTATATTGATCGCAATTTGAAGCAGTATGATAAAGTAAAGGATAAGGAAGGACAAATGTCTTCCAACTTCCACTGCTGTTATGATTGCCACAATTATCCTGAGTGGGAAAATGCAGAGATACTTCAGTATGGAAATTGTGAAATAGCTCACAAGACCATTGGATAGAAGCAGGTTAATCATCTCGCGGAGAAAGTAATATGAGGGGTCGAGGTGAAATAGACAAGCAAATATCGCCACGGGAAGGGGAGACGTCCAAAGAAAAGTGCACGTACAAATGACTACAATGCCGATTGAATCATGCAGATGAGGTCGACAGAGCAGCACAGCGTTTTGTTGCGTGTAGGCTGAAAGTTTAAAAAAAATTGTCACCTGATAGTGATGAAATTGTGTAAGAATTAATTCTTTATGCAGTTTGGTCAGTTACGATCCACTCACCCAGAGGAACCGCTTTCTCCAATTGAACAAGCAAATTAAATCCCATCACCGCAGTTTCAGCATTATAGAAAATAACAATGTTTGCAATAATTGTCAAGGATGATACTGTGCCAAAGGCAGAAAGGACAATGATGACCAACTCATATTTATCTGAAGGGTAGGTAAGTCTCCCCACAAGAAAGAGACAGATTGGAAGGACAATCGCTGTCACGAAGACTATAAAATTTGCAATTATCCAAATATAAATGTATTTGTGAGAATTTACTATCAGGCTGCATTTTGAAGTGGGACTTATGTAAATGGGGCAATAATTCCCGAACGGAAAATGTTTGAAATGTGATTCAAATGATTTCCACAATAGTGGTGTCGACATGGTGGGAAGAGAAAGTATGTGGAAGGAACAAAATCAAAAAGTTGTTAGTTACGTTTGACCCAGTTTTATTTATACCAGTTGATTTTGGTTTAACTCAAGACCGATATTATTATTATAGCATGTCCAAGAAATAAAGAGAATGGACGAAAGTGCGCTTATCTTCAAAAAGATGTTACAAATCTTGACAATCTTGGCAAGAGAATAGCATGCACAACAAACCACGTAAATACTTTCACTTCTCTTAATTATTCCAATAAAATTTTCTGTTTGGTGTTAAGTATTAATTTGGTGACACAGAGATGTAAAATGATACTTTCATTTATTCTCTTTACTTGTTGGACAGGCTTTGTTTATTTAAATAAATAAATAAATTATTGATCAGGTTAACGAGGACGGCACATCTACATAAATTGCATAATTAGCATATGTAAATTTACAAACTAATGTAAGAAATACAATTTTATAATTATATTTAAAATAATAACATAAGTGATGCGCAATTTATTACAATTATACGACGAAAATTTGTTCAAAATATAAAAATTCAAGTTGGTACGTACGTGGATGCATTACTGAGGATGAGTATAATGACAGCTTTAATAATCAAATATTTGAAATATTAACCCGGTAATTAGATAGAATTAATTTCGGCTAAACGTAATAATTAAATAGCAAAATTAAAGTGTCGTTATTTTTAAAACCGGGCATATTTACTAGAATACGTTATGTACACATTTATTACAGCACAATTATGTAGAATTAAATTAGATTGAGTAAATGCTACGATTCTAAAAAGCTAGAATAAATGGTGTAAAATTATGACTTGTTTTTGTTCAACCAAACGTTAGGTTTAATGTTGTACATAATTAAGGCGATCACGATTGCTTAACTTTTAGTATTAAGAGAACGTTAGTGTCCCTTTTAGAGTTATGCAGTGCCTAATAATATTGCCAGCATACATGCTTCACGCCATCATCGCGTCCTACTCCCAATCCGGTTTTCGATTGGTCGAAACTTTTAATTGTCGCAGCGATAATTTCGATAAGCTAATCAAAAACTCGGATTGGAAGCAGGGCGTGATGATGACGTGAAGTATGGATGAAGCTTTGTTGTAGTCATATGGTGCGAATTTATCTAATTCTTACCATTACCGAAATGTAATGATTAATAGAAAATGTCTGTTAAGTATTAATCGGGTCACGTGTATCCGTCACTACTAAAACCCATGTCATTAATATCATACTTGTTCTTCAAACTGTCGAGTTGATATTTTCTGGTTGCAATAACAATGTGTGGACATATAGCAGTGATGAGATTGATTGGTTAAACACACCTAAATTTCTCACAAATTTCAATTTTTAGTATTGTTTTAAAGATTCCGGTTGTAAAAAATAAAGAATAAATAAAATAAGAGCAGAATTATATATTTGTCAATAATTTCAGAGTATTTATTTACATATGTATATACTGTTTTCATCAGCAGTAGGGAATATTTGTACATACATTGTAAAAGTATGTTGAATGTTTTAAAAGAGATGACAAGAAAGTGATTAGTGATTATACAAATATTTATCGACGTTATTGGAATAGAGTCACAAAAGCTTTGCAAATTTTTAGATATACTATTTGTTACATAAATTACTAGATATTTAAATTTTAAAAATAATACAAGCTCTTTATTCTAAAAAATCATGTGCACACAACTATCTTCGATTTCTCGATTTATATATGTAACTTGCTACCGCAATAGGAAAAATAATCCAAAATAGCGTTCCACCAAATCCTACACAAATTTGGAAGTGGGTCAAATCCCACCCACGATGTATAACCGACCTTAAAGTCGAAATCGGCAGGGTAACAGGAAGTAAGTAGCAAAATTGTCGATACCAATATGTAACTCCTTCCAATGGCCACATGGATCCTGGTTATCATAAAATACTGCTGTGAAACTCTCATAAATAAACCCAGGCATATTTCTATGAAGTTACCTGCGCCACCAATGTATGCAATATTAGCGGCGAGAAGGACCATGACCACGTCCATCTCGTGCCTAGAACTAATTCCCCATACGAAACCTATATGAAGAAAGTCAGTAAAAACTAAATTGTTCTCGGTTTTTTTCATGCTCATGTATGTATGTAAATGTAATCCACACCCACCCAGAGCTACTCCACTCAAGGAGGATAAATAGACCAAAATAATAACCAAAATCCACGGACCCTGTGACCGCATACCATACACGAGCGGTAAGAACGTAAACGTTGTGCTCAGTTGAAGGATAATGACAATGCTTCCATGGAGTAAAGATGATGCTACCAAATGTCGGAATTTTACACCTGCCACATAATCTCTGTCCAAATAGCCTGAAAATAGTGCCAACAAAAATATATCAAGAGTTGGTAAAAGGGCGATATGTATTTGACCTACCGAGGCGTTTCTCAATGGCCGTCATCATTCCGGGGGCACTGGACAGAACTGACATGATTCTACACAAGATTGTAATTTTAAGCACCAAGATTTGAATTAGATTATTTGTAAGTAGCTCAACTAACAAAATGATGGAAGCCGGTTGTATATAATGGCTCCATCCAAGTTCTTCAGACCCATCGTCGTACAATGAGTGAAACTGTGTGCAAAATATATAAGTAATTAGAAAATGGAATAAATTCTTGCGAATTAAGTTTGTCGTATTAATCACCTGCAATGGCAACTGAACCACCCTAGGATCTGCTCCGCACCAAGTTGCACTATTTTGCAAAAATTTTGAGTAACTTGTATAAATTAGTTTTCGCAACAGGCCAGAGTTGACTGCATCTGTAAAGCAAAAGACGCATAAAATATGCATAAAGTCCGCAACGAGTCAATCGTTAATATTTTGAACACTTACTGGACATATCTCCCCGAAATGAAATTGTTGCTCCAGCTAAAGTTTCCAGCTCAGCATTATTTCGAAATATCAGTCGGTCTAGGAAATTCTTTGAGAAATTTTGTGGAAATTTAATAAATCCAATCGCATCGCCAGCTTTTACTTTACTTAGAGATGCATCCTCCGATTGAGTTGGAATCTTGAGACAAAAAAAATATTACAAACGTGCCAAATAGGTATTTCCGATTTTAAACCGCACCCAAACTATTTTCTCGTCGGGGAAAGACTTGATCAATGCACAAACATAAGTTAGTGGCTCCAAACTCTCGGGATCACAGGTACCGTTGATGATAGCGTCTTTGCCACTCCACCACGATCGGTGCAATTCGTCACACTTCTCCAAGAGACCATCACTCGTGCCACTCCAGTCTTGTGTTACCAATCCTAATTTAAAATAATGTGGCGTAGTACCAACAATACTGTTGATTAGGAATATAAGAAGGAATGGTATAAAAATTAGGAGGACGACATTTCTGAAAATAACGATGACATGAATTATATGTCTGCTAATAAACGTGGCTCCTACTTCACTTTCTGCAAATATTTGCTTACGTTGGGACTCGAATTTGTCGCAAAACCGTTTTTTTGACGAGCGTGGATATAATTTGAATATCACTTTGCACTCTGATATCTGAACATTCGTCATAATCCAGTCTTGACTCTTTATTACAATCACTCGATATTGTTTTCACAGATTGGAGTAGTACACCAGTCATGTCATCAACATTATCTGATTTTTTCTGGTTAAGTTGCATATTTGTGTAATTTTTGTCCAGACGACACAAATTGAGAAACACTTTTTCCAAGGAACGAGTCTCAAATCGGTGTAGCATGGATGTTGGAGAATCCTCATTTAAAATACGACCTTTCCGCATAATTCCAATCTAAGTTTCAAATTTGATTAAATATGTACATTTAGATTTCTCATAAAAATAAACAATATGGAATGTAGATATGTACTTTATCACAAAATGTTGCTTCAGGAATATACTGAGTTGTAATTATGACTGTAGTTTTTCCATCATTTCTCACTAGCGTATGCAAATATTCCCAAATCCTTAAAGACAATAAAACCCTATACATTTCAGCTTGGATAATTTCTTGTTGAATAAAAATAATCATGCAACATACGATGCTCTCAGCTCTGGGTCCTATATTTTGAGTTAACATTGTATTACTAATTTAGTTTCGAGTTAATTAATTTTAAAAGCGCATTACTAGCCCGGCCGTAGGTTCATCCAAAATAAGCAAGCGTGGTTTATGTATCATCGAGACCCCAAGGGAAACGCAGCGCAGTTCGCCTCCGCTAAATAAATCCTTAGCAAATTGTAATAAAAATGGACACACTACGATTGTTTGGAATTACCTTAAGCTGCGAATAAGTCTGGATGTGTCTGGAAGTTGCAAAAATTTCGCAAGGAAATCTGTTCTTTCATTTATTTCATGCTTCTGCATTCCATATATTCCACCAAAGTGTGCCATTATTTCAGCGATGGTTAGATTCGGGTATAAAGCTACTTCCTGTGTAACAATAAATTCTTCACTACATACTCAAAACAAGGTAAAATTCAATCCGACCTGTGGCATGAATCCAACTAAAGGGCCTGGTATACCACTGTCTTTTTTGCCAGGGACCTTTCCAAAAACCAGGACTTGACCAGAATCCAATTTTCCAAGTCCTACGATGCATGACAAAACTGTAGTTTTTCTGCAAATATTTGTTCACAAATTTTGTTTAACAATCGTTAAATTCTTCTAATATTCGCTATTTCCTACCCGCAACCGCTTGGGCCCAAAAGTCCATATCTGCAAATATTTGTGTTTTTATGAATTAATAGAGTTCGGGATAACCGAAAAGTAGTAGGCTCTTATTTATATGTAATTTTATGAAATTTAGCTCACATCGTTCCAGGAGCAACGCTAAGTTGAAAATTCGATAAGACTGGAGGGCCACTGCCAAATTGTTTGAATCCATCGGTTACAACGATAGCCATGGTGTTTCAAGTTTTCATGAATCTCCACGCTAAAAATGTTTTCACCACTTTTCGTCTCAAAAATTCACTTCTGGGTTGTGCAAGAATTTGCCTGCCACATTTCCCATTAATTTAACTTACAAAGATTTAGTTCACAAAAACAAATAATTATGGGAACTAAAAATTCAATTCTTCACGATATCAATCGTACGCAAAACTGTTGCTCTTTCTTAGCCTCCAGAAATCATAACTGCATGATATCAACCTTGAGTTGCAAAAGCATCTCACCTTATGTCAGATTGCAAGCACTTACGTGACAAAAAGTTCAACATTGAACATGATAGAAAACCAGTTATTTTGGCATGATGAGACTACATGTATAAATGTATCTGTGTACTCGTGTATCGATTTTTGCGTACGAATGCATTATGTATGGTCTCGAATCTTTTGTTTTCATATATGATTATATGCGAATTCGCTTTGTTCGTTGGCACTGATTTTTAACAAGCTACATATAATGATTCCTCATTGAACTCATTCTGTAGGTATTGGCTTTATGAGACGCATTTATTAAGGAAATATACCTATGGAAAAAATATGGTTACGAAACCGTCCAGTTTTTTCTGGAGTAGAAGGAATCCACTTTTTACAGAATTCTGTACATATCTCTTCCAATGACTTTAAGCCATTTGGATAAGCGAAGCATGCAACTGGCTGAGAAATGAAAACCTGACAAATGTAGCGTAGCCAATTTAAGTATTTATTAGGACCCAAGGCACGCTCAACTGCAATCAACTTTCAAATAATGCAATTACTTGAGTCCAGAGATCATCTTAGAAGAAAGTGAAGCGTAATTCCTCTGGTAATAATTCCGGTGGAATACTAAATAATATTATTTTAGATGAAGAGGACAACATGTTGTTTTGTCATATCAATAAAATTTGCAGTCGTGTATCTATTTATTGTTGTGAAGTATTTGCATGGTTAACCTTCAATCAGCCCTTTTCAACATTATAGTACGTCAATGTAGACAATAAAGAGGAAACTATGTTACATGAATTTTTGCAGCAACCTGGAACCATTAGTAGTTTCTTTTATTATTACTCCAAATATATTTATTTACACCTTTGCCAACTTTAGGCACGTGTAAAAAGGCTTTGCCCTAATATCAGATCCACAATATCCACCTATTTCTTGATATTGATGGAAAACGAGGATACTTATGTACGACCAAACAATATCTATAATAAAGTCCAATGGATAAGGGACTGCATAAATGTACTGTTCGATTGTCCCAAAATGTAAGTAGTATGGCCAGGTTAACATACGAGAAAAAGTAAAATAAATTTGGCAGACGTTAACCTTTTAATTGCTTATAAAGACTATAAAGACTGAGTTCTGACTTCATCAAACTTTAGAATAATGAGTCATTGCATTGCAAATTAAGCCTCAACACTAATACAGTCCACGAAATTATTTAAATACAAATACTTCACACCTTACTCTTTCCATGAAGAAAAGTCTTAACGGGCAACGATTATAGCATTTGTGTAGCTATTCACACGTGTGCATATTTGCATACACATGTAATTATGATCGCAAACTTATTGTTAGTATTAAGTAACTCGAAATATTTCTAGAAATTCATAATTTAGCGAGACGGATTCTGCAATGTAGAATCTGCAATATTTGCATATGTTGTATGCTTGTATGTACATCCACATATATTGCAGCAAGTTATTCAATTCGGGTGTGGTTGGTGACGTTCTTTCTTGAGAAACCGACACTAATTTTTGTTGACTTTTTAAATCTTCTTCAACCGAATATTTAGAATTATGGATGGACGGATTATGTTTTTAGCTGCTAAGAATCATTTACCGAATTCATTATACTACATATTTCTAAGAAATATGTGAGTCATTTGCTTATTAAATAAATAACATATTACGATGAGGCGAAAAAATCCGGCATGACATCGGTTCATCAAAATTTCCTTCAGTCGTACATACATAAATGCATAATAATCGGACGATTAGGAAATTGAAATCATTCAGGAAAACCCACACTTTACTTAGGAAAAGCAAAGATTTTTTACTACCATGAAATTAACTTTTATTAAAAAATTTATTTCAAAGATATGTAGGAGGAAAGTACTTATTCACATTTTCCTTAGTTCAGGTAGTGTAAAAATTAACAACTTATGCGACCTTCCAAAGTCCCTGTCCTATGGAAAATATATCCGTCTTTCGTTCTTTATGTATGTTGATTAAGGGAAAATTTTGTGCAGCATGCATATTTTCCAAAAACAGGTTTATGAATGGTCGTCACACATTGCGACGATTACAATTCAATCGCTATGGCCAAATGATGCTACCAGTGCAAAATCTTTAATTTGCTGTCGTCATGTTGTTATTTACACTCTTGCCACTATTATTGCTAGTAGTGGAGTACTGGAACTGTATTAAAACTATCATATAGGTGACAACGGTTCCAAGACACTGCAAAATTTCAATACTTAATGTAATTAAAAAAAGAACGTACCATGTGTATTGCTCATTAACGATACCTTAACAATAAATCCATAAGAGATAAGAAATTTGAAAGCATGAAGCCCCAAAGGATTATAATAAAGGTCATTTTGGATTGCGAGTAGTTCTACGTTATTCTTATAGCCTGGCTTCGAGAATCGTAGAGAAATATATTTTCCCAACGACTCAAACTATTTAGGGGAAAAATTTACATAATTACGTACAATTTGGATATGACGCTTAAATATTTACTCACCTTCACTGCTCCTTCTGCCGCCCAGAAGAAACTGGTCACATAAATCATCAAAATTAGCACGCTAATTGATCTCCGAATGGTAATTGGGGCAGGGTCTATTATTTCAAGGAAGGATTGACTAAAATAGACAAGCCCCATCGTTACTGTGCCTAATATTACGACCCCAAAGGTTTCATTCAGCTCATATGTAAATATTTTCATTTCTCGGTATAACTTAGATATCTGCCAAATAAATATTTAGTAAGTTATTTATTCAAGAACCATCATCACAAACTCGAAAATTTTTGAGTTTACCTCGTTATAGCCCAAATTTTGGTTCCGTTTTAGAAATTCGTCACAGTTGCATCCCACCCTGTAGGTTACGAAGCATATGTAGCTGCTCAGCATTACCTCAGCCAACATGGAATACACAGAATAATGCAGAGTCAAAATGAAAAGCAAGGAAGAAAGTGCATAGTCTGAATAAAATAGAACCCAATCGTTCTCATCATTCCATGGCTCATCCCGTAGTAATTTTGCCACTCCAGAAAATATAATTTGGTTCAAGTTTAATGACCTCTTAAAATTAATAACGTATGAATATCTAAAATTCCTAACTCCGTTGATGTATGACAGCAACGTTGGAGCCACGTACATAAAGATGGGTGCGAATGTGGTCCAAATTGGTAGTAATTTTATGAATACATTGTCCTGAACGAAAATATATTAATCGTAATTTCAGGTTTAGATGAGTTATGGGAAATTTGCATCTTACTCTTTTTGAAGTATTTACCGTGTCCCCCAAGTGCAACAACGTATTGGACAATGTCATAAAGTTGCGTTTTCGAAACCAGAAAAGATATATCAGGTAATAGTCTGAGATCAGGACGGTGCACATTTGCGCCACGGTATAAAATTGGGTCGGATTCTTTTTCAAGGATGTGAGGCCTCGAAATGTGTTGAGCACAAGAGTTAAAGTGCTGGTAAGAATGCCAGTAATGCAAAGGTATCCGAAAATGAACTGTAAAAATGTCCATATCTAAAAATGAGATTAAAATGACGTTAATAATAATGATGCATGTGTACCATTTTCCAGGTTCGTTTCCTTTTCTCAAGTTTTACTATCTTTCCTTCATCATTTAGAACGGAAGTAATACTGTATGGATTCACTAATAAAAACGATGATAATTTTTGAAAAGCAAGAATATATTGATAAGCTGGATTTACAAATGGTTCTTGGTAGAGATCCATGATTACTAAAATGTAATAACGATGATTGAATAAGTCGAAATTACACAATTTTGCACAGGAGAAAATATGATTGAAAATTTACAAAATAATAATTCCGGAGTATATACAGGGTGGTTTAAATGTCACGCAACAATGGAAAATTTTCTAATGGGAAAAACCCCTAAATCTCCATTAGTTACAAGATTTTGGATCAAGATTTTTGTAATTATTATCAAAACTAATGGAACATTGATGACGAAATTTTAAAAATATTGAATTTTAGCGACAAAATTTCGGTAACTAATGGAAATTTACGAATTTTTCCCATCGAAAAAATTTTCCATTGTGGCGTGACATTTTAACCACCCTGTATAATAAGCATTCAAAAGGAGTTTGTGTACAGGCATTAGTTGATTAAAGAATTTTCAGAGGAGAGGAAGCAACTTTAATTTGAGTACTTCTTTTGCTTGCTATGCATGTATGCATATACGAGCTTGCATTATTGATAACTTTAGTCTCTAACGTATGTACATAAATGTAGGAAGCCCATTTCTTATCTGTTACATGATAAGGGTACTATTGATAAGCAATTTATTAAATGCATGTCATTTGCACAATATGACAATTAAATTCTACACATCACCTGTGATCAACTTTTAGTTTTGCCCAATTTTAAATTATTTACTTGGTAAAATATTTATTTTTAAAAAATATGGAGATTATTTTAGGTAAGCTGAAATTAGTTCCATTTTAGTCAAGATAATCACAATGCGTACAATTAACACATAACCTTACATAGTTCCAGCAGAAATCGACTGGACAAAAATTAAAGACAAGATAACCGAGGTCGAAAAGAGTATACGACATGCAGTAAACATCGTCTTGTCTGAAACCCACAAAGTTGATCAAGACGCTTCGAATGATGTCAAGATCAGGATCGAACCCATGGTCGACGAAGTGCATAAAATTATTGCAGGCATCTCACAAACAATAGATGCAAAAGAACTAATGGATGCAGAAGTGGATAGCGCAATGGGCGAAATCTTTAGAATCCTGTCGAACATGATATCTTCAATTAAGCCGGATGTTCGCTCATTACCTGGCAGCGTTAAGGATGTAATTTTCATAGAACTTATACAAACCAGATGCGCCGTGGTTAAAATTTGTTCGGAAATCATGATACTTGCGAAGCATTGAACAGATTTTAATATTACATGTCAAAGAAAAGTTCAGATTTGCAAACAAATTGACTTTCTGGACTGGAGGATTCAGCAATATGTACTTAAATAATTCTCAGAACGCGGATAACATATTTACATACGATTCAATATTTCGCTTTACTTATTTCCATGTCACGCAACACGACATTTTCACTATTACAATTCAAGTGTAAAAGAAATAATGGTTGTTTTTGTAACACCAAAAGTGGTAAGAATCAATAAATCTATACGTATAAAATATTCAAAGGGGATGAGTTTGTTCTTTCCATTTTCTTTCTCAAACTTTACAAGCACTTGTAGTCAACAGGTTTCCTTCAACACTTCAGAATATATTTAGTTCGTGAAACTAAATATGTGTATGACTAAAGTTGTAAAATTCGTATTTTTAGGTGTTGACTAACCTTTGAAATACTTATATCGAAACTGCAAACTTTGACATTATGGTAAAATTAGAAGATTTCCAGCATGACTTTATAAAACCCCGAAGAATTATTTCTCTCCGGAGACTTGGTTTCCTAATTTTGATACTTGTCCTCGGAGGGTACTTTGTCAGGACAAAGTTTGGAAATGATCCAAGTAGTGAGGTAACACTCAAATATATAGAAAGTTAGTTACTACAAAAGTTTATTCTAAAAATTTTCAGCTCGAAGAAGAAGACTCTGACAAAATGGCAAAACGAGTAGCAGAAATAGAAAAGGCTCGCAAGGAAGAGGTATGTTCATGAAAGTCTTCATTTATTTTAAAATTCAGAGGTGTTTCTAATTGAAAGTTGTGCTTAGGAAGAATTTCAACGCGATTTTCGAAGGAGTTTAACTCCCAACGATTCCACCGAACTTACGATGGGACCAAGTCGATATAAACTCTTCAAAAAACCGAGACTTCACTATAAATTCGCAATCAAATATTGCAAAAGGATGGACGGAAAACTTGCTATGGGTAAAAAAAATACTTCTACTAATTCAAATAGAAATCAATTAACTCATTAAACATGTTATTTTGTGTCACAAAGTCCATAAAGCTGAGAATACGAGAAAACTGCAACAATTGGTCGGTAAACGTGATCGAAAGAAGGAAATGGAAGCGTATTATGGGCGAAGTCAAGATTCCGTGTGGGTTGGCCGGGATAAACCTAAAAAGAAAAAGAAGAAAAAGGAAGATAACCCAGAAGAGGGTGGAGAACCGAACTACATGGATTACATGGGCGGAGGAATGATGTGGGTTTTTCTGTAATTTCCGTGATGATAAAAGGTACATTTGACTATTAATTTTTTAGGGGCGGGGGTGGTCGTGGTGAAGAAATGTGCCCAGCCATAAGTCCACACTCAGTTTATGCTCCATCGCCCTGCCAGTCTCCGTTGCCTTTCATCTGCGAGTTTGACAAGAAGAAAGCCAGGACACCACTTCCGGACGGAAAAGAGTTCAGAGGCAGAGGATACGGGTATGATCGAGGTGGCTATGAACCGGACATGGATGAAATGGATAGAGAGGAACCAGAACCAATACCAAAAGACGAATTGTAGCTCAATTAGTGGGATCATAAATGCAATCCTAAGCTTAAATTTAATGTGCTTGTAATTACACGTGAGTGCTACAACATTTTGAAAAATGCAGAAAAATTTAACGTTTTAGATTTGGCACATTCTGTCCAATCGGTTACACATATGAGAATGCATACTTATACACTAGCCAATCTGTCGGCCAAGGGTTGTCCTACTTAGAAATGGTGTATTTGATCAATTAATAGTATTATGTATTTGTGAGTGTATTTTCTTGTATATTCCTATAATTAGTGCGAATTTTCACAAGTCAAAATCAATGTGCAAAAAAGTCCACAACCTTCCCGATTGATTTTCTTCTCCATCCACTCCACCCGAGTTCAATTTTTATGTAATTAAATACTGAAGTACTTATTAAGTAAATTGCTATTATTTTACAATCGTATGTAAGTAAATTTCAATAGCAAGCAAATAAATCAGAAACAAATTAGGGTGCATGAATACATGATTTTTATGAATACATATACAGCTCCTTTAAAAATTCAATTCTGCATATTATTATCTAACAATCACATTTCAAAATGTGAGACCTGGATTTCTTCCCCCCGGTCGGCAAAGTCCCCTTCGTATCTCGCTTTTCGGAAGTGTCCCCAGTGAATTTTTTTATACTTTTTCTCCTCCTCTTTTACTCCCAAGGGTTCCACGATGCAACTGTAGGCAGGTGCCAGAAAGTACGGCAAGGAGAACCGATCGCTGTCGTGATTCGCCAAAACTTGGTGAACTGATAATACAAATTTGCTTATATAGACAAATTTCCCAAAAAATAAATATGTATAAAATATCATTTAAACCTGGTCCCCTATACTTTCCATTACTCCAGGCTTGCATCATGTCACCAATGTTTATCACGAATGAGTCTATGAAATGCATTTTAAAATAGAGAATAATTATAATTTCACCACAAAATTAAGTAATAAAGTTCACCTTTAACGGGCGGGATGTCATAAAATTTCCCATCTCTTTGTACTTGAAGAGAACAAACTGCAGAATCTTGTAAAAGCACGGTTAAAATTGCAGGGTCAGAATGTGGTCCAACGCCCAGGTGAAGGGCGGGGTCCGGACATTTCGGATAGAAATTGAGCCGACACACGCTCGTTTCTTCGTTTCCGGGAAAACATGAAGACTCAATAAAGTTTTTGCAATCCATCCCTGCATTCAAAGTTTCCAGTACGGCACAGAACAGTGATTTCGCAAGGATTTGCATGGACTGTGGATATTATGGCATTTTAGAGCACTGCTTTTTTTGCACTTGCCTATGAATTGCTTACTTACTTTAAGATACTTTTCCATTGTGTCCTGAAATTCAGGGATATCTGGCCATTGGTTTCTTCCATGAACACCCATACTTGACTCAGCTAAGGATCCACCGGGTAATTCTGGAGTAAAATCGAATACCTGTTTCCAGTCAACCTTTTGTTTGGTGAGTTCACTGTCTGAAAACCCTTGAAAGTTGTTCTAAACAAGAAATAAGTATAATTTTATTATTTACAAATTAACTGTCGGATAACATTCTGTATTTTAAATTTAACAACACTGACCTCACTTCTAGCGACTTTGTCCTTGATTTCTTTTGGCATGTGGAAGAATAACTTGCCTAGCGTGGTCGCCTTTTCCACCAAATCAAGATCGACCCCATGGTTTACCACATAGAAAAATCCCCATTGTTCACAAGCATCTCCAATTTGCTGGATGACTTTAGATTTTTCAGACACGTCATTTGATGCTCTTAAAGCAGAAATGTCAATTGTAGGAACGGAGAGTACCATTTTAGACAAGCGAAAATCTGGCGACTTGTTTCCGTAACAGGAGGTAACCGATCACTGAATCTTAAAATAGCAATCTGGAATAAATTATATAATAAGCAATTTTTTACTCCTGCAGCAGTCAACACAATGAATAAACACGATTCTCCTGCATGACCATCATTTTGCAAAGGATTATGTTTGTAATGGACCGCAAACATATTTATTTACATTAATACATGCATCAATATTATCATCATGATGAGATGAGAACGTCAATCTCGCTTAATCTGCTAAATGAATCAAGTTCAAGGTCATTTTCATTTAATATTATTCCCATTATTAATTGTATATTTCACTTGAAAAATTATTTAACTGAACAATTTTGATACAAATACATTTGTACATATGTAACTTTGATGTACGCAAGTATTTAAATATGAATGTACATAATCTCCTTCGAATATATCTTAAGAGAAAGAACCGACTGGGTATCCGTATCGTTACACATTTTTTTGCAAACGTTGCATTCGACACTGTCAACCGTGTCATACTTTTCAAACTAGTGATTCCTTCATGACGTACATAAGTAATATTTATATGTACTTAAGTACTCGACTTGTCCTTACAAATCTTTATTCCTCTCATTTAGACAATCTTCATTTATTGTCGCATACAGACTGTACTTAAGTAATAAATCCAATCAGTATAGATGGCAAGAAGTATGATATTCACATTTTTTAAACGATGACGTTAAGTGCAGGTGGGATCATCTCTCTATCCCTACAAAACCTCCAACTGCCAATTGTATATTTTTCTCTATGCTATGATAAATAACTGATAGATTGGTGCGAGTCATTCTCTTTTTATTTGTACATGTATTCATGTATATTAGATGCACGTACGTATTTATATTTGCTTTACAAGTAAACTCGTCAAGTGGCATGTTTGTGTAAGTTTCAAGAATCAATGTTGTCATCAATCCAGTTGACAAATACATTTTTGAACATCCACATCTTTCCAATCGTACTCCATATACTTGGCAACTTTACTGGCGGAGTCGAGACCGTGGAGTTTCTTGACAAGATGAAACGACAAGTCAATTCCAGCAGAAATTCCTTTAAAAAAGTACCAAACAGTGAAAAACCTTTTGCCAAAATTTTAGACTTGCAAAATCAAAATCTTGCTAACAAACCTGCCGAAGTGAGAACTTTGTCGTTGTCAACGAATCTCCTGCATTTGCAAAATTTAGTCGTGGTAGGACAATCTGGACGAACCAATTCGAAGCAGAGGTGATGGGTTGTCACCGTCATTCCGTCAAGTAGACCTGCCTTTCCTAATAATTGGACTCCTGTGCAGACCGAGAGCACAAATTCTGCAGAAGCTGATACTGATTTTATCCAAGATATTAGTCTGGAAAAATATTTAAAACTAATTTAAAGTATGCAACCGTATACATAAAGAGTTATTGCTGGTGAATATCTCACGATTCATTTTTCGCCTCAGTCACAGTCCCCATTCCTCCTGGAACGATTAAAATGTCCAATTTAGGAATATCTTGGTCCTGTCCAATTACATAGTTTGGTAACACTGCGAGTCCATTTCTTGCAGTGACTGGGGACTTTTGAGCCAATGTCACAACCTAGATTTTGGCATAGATAGATATGTACATATGCGAAACAAAGGTTAATCATTGCTAATTTTATCATAAGTAGACTTTCAAAAGTTACTTAAATGTGTATGTATTTATTTATACGAGTATAAATTCTACTTACTTCGAACGAATTTTCAAGCAGAGTTCCTGTAATTGAAAATACTTCAAACGGTCCACAAAAGTCTAACACTTCAACTTCATCAAAAAGAAGGATTCCCAAAACTTTGGCAGACATTTTAAAATTTGCTGAGCAAATTGTTCTCCAAAGATTGGCCCTCAATAAATAATGAAATATGAAATCACAGGCTGTAGATCTGTGGACGTCAATGTATGTAATACTAATACACACATGCATATGTATGTACATATAGCGTGTCACCTTGAGTTTGACTTTGGCCATTTGTGCAACATCCATTAGAAAAAATTTGTGGTAGAATTATATTATTCATGTCTTTTAGTTTTAGTCAAGTACATAAAGCACAGAAAACATACCACAACTTGTGGTCCACAAGTGACAAGTACTTGAAACCAATACACAGTGTGTGTTACACAGTGCATTCGCACATGGTATAAACCTGTGTGTAAATATCTAATGAAATGATTAAAGTATATTTAGTAAATATATTGAATATTGTATAATTCGAGTATCGAACCCTATATTTCATAATGGAATATATAAAATGCAGTTTAGGTTATAATGGCATTTAAAAATATGCAAATTTACAAAAATTCCTATTTCTCGAATGAATAATTTGCCTCATTTTTAGACATTCGATTTAAGTCTAGCTAAAAGTCATTTCATAATAGAGATATATTTTTCAATTTTTTACCATTTACATACATACTTCCTCGAGCTGGATGTATGTATATATACATATATATGAAAGCTATAGTAAGCAGTCAGCACTTAAACCAACCTTAAATAAAATATTTCAGGGCGTGTAGGCAATCCTTTTGAGACATGTAAATAGGAAGAAATGGTAAAAAACATTAGCACCAGCTCACAAATATAAGGTGCCCATACTGTGTTTCTAAAATTTTAAAACTTTCTACCTATTGACCTTTACATGCAAATGGGTCGTCTATAATGTTTATTTCTCCGAGGTGCATATGGAAAATTACGTCCAATATGACGTTGGATACAAAAATATTTGCAAATAGGCGTCTAAATTAAACTTATGTCACGTTAAGAAAATAATGCAACATTAATTGTGAGTTAATTAAAAATTACATTAAATCGCAGTAACCAAGTGTACACACACCAACTCATTCTTAGCGTTTAACATGGTTTATCGGGATTTGATTGACATTAAAGTAAAGCCAAATGAGTGACATACAATGTACGAGAATATAAATAAATTTGCTTTATAAGTAAAAGTAGAATTATTATTCATAAAATTATCAAAGTAAAAAAGTTACTTCAAATACAAATACATACTTGCCCGACGCATATTTAGAGTCACCCAAAATAACAACGTAGTGGTATGTTCAGCAATTCCATTACAAATTCCTCGTCATATTTCAAATCCTGCAATATCAACCAAAAACTATTATTTGCTCCTTTAAATTATTCTAATTCTAAACTAGATATTTACTTACGATGAGAATCTTGTTGATTTCGTGAAGCCCTCGTTGTCGAACTTTTTCATGAATTGTTGGCTCCATTTTATTAAAAGCTTTCAGCCCAAATGAATTCACTATCGCATTAAGATTTCTCCCAGCACCCCAAATTCCATCAAATTTTACAAATAGGTCAAGAAGTTTGATGTCAAAATCAAACGATAACAGTTCCAATATTCCGTCTTTATATCCAAATTTCGAAAATACAGCGATTTTTGCTTGTTTCGGAGCCAGGAGAAATTTACCATTGCCGAATATTGGAAGCGGCATGGGAGATCTAACAATTCCTCGTAAATTGTAGTCACCTATATCCATGCACGAAAAGATAAATACAGATAAATAAAAATTATTGTTGAGATGATGCAAATTGTAATATTCACCATGAATCGTCATTGTATCAATTTGCAAAGAAAAGTTTGCCTCCAGCTCTATAAGATTACTTTGAATGTCGAGGATTGTGAATTTTGACAGCTCACGAACGACAACATTTCTGCACAATTAAAAAAAACTCATAATAAATGCGACGTCAAAATTGTAAAACTCATTACTGTATCATTTCTTAAATACGTTAAGTCAGCCTTTATCCCAAATTTGTGCTTTATTCCGGTCTGCTCAATTTGAATTTTAGGAATACCGACTGGATCCAGGGGAGGAACGCCAAGCGTTGGATCACCAGTTTTCATGCTGTCTCGAATATCCAAAATTATGCGTAAAATGACGGAAGTCATGGCGTCATGATCACAAAGTCCTTGTCGATTCCATCGTTTAAGATTTGGCTTTTCTGTGATATCTTCATCCTCGTCTGATATAAAATCACTTGATTTTTTAAAAATTAGTCCCAACTTCTGCCCCTCCCAACATTTTACACATATCTCAAATACCTACCCCACGATGACCAATCGTCGTCCTCCTCCTTGGAGTTAGAGTCCGACTGAACAGTCATGATATGAATATTTAAAAGAAACGTGAACACGCAAGTGACATAAATGCATTGCGTCCAGGACTTCATCCTGAAGATTATACTTTCACCAAATTTTAAAATGCTTACAACAAGATTAGTTCAGATATTCTTTACTACTTAATTAATAATGGTAATTTTATTTTTTTTCGAATTAATCGAATTATCTTGAAAGAATGAGACATACATAAATCACAAACTGTATGTATATAGATATGTATGTGCATGACGGAGACGTAGTATGTACATAAATACATACGTATGTAAAAGTCAAAGCGCATATGTAATTCCTGGTACATATAAGTACATATGCTATACATTTCGTCTGCTGTTTGCAGTAATTAACACACAAGATTCACAATATTTTTTGATGGAAATATTCATACAAACATACGTATATACATAGATTAGTACCAATTAAATTCTTAATGCTTTAATGGCAAATCGTCCATCAACGCAATTAGATAAATGTAATGACAAGTATCTAATATAATTAATTATATCAATATTAATCACCGTTTACAACTTAAAATACATACAACGAGCTAGTTTCATCATTCATCCCCTCCTTAAAGTTGTCAATGTTTTGTGGATATCGTGTACGTGTTGTTAAGCATGTTTCCATGACGGAAAATACGTTACCCACGCGGCTAAAGATGTTCAAGTTCATATTTATAATACATACGTATGTATATCTATTACAAATATATGGAGTCTATGGCAATATGCAAATCCAACAAATCATTGGGACTATGCATTTCAGGTAAAGGTCAACCCTTATGAGTCACTCGTGGGCGAATTCCCAAAAAATTGATCTCATGCTTTATGTATCTATGTAAATATGTAGTCCTCTAAATGAATAATAATAATTGTATTGGTTTGCGAATTCTGCACTTTTTGCATAAAATCAAAATAACTGCAGCACATTAACATGAATCGCACATTTGAATTCTTGCTATGGGTGGGGCAGTCATTGTCAGTCAGTCAGTCACGTTAATGACTGACCCACCCAATCACTGTAATGGTTCAAAGTACAACCAAAGTACATAAAGCATCAAAGTTTGGAGTTGTTATATGGAACGTTCTGTGAGCGAGCACTAGTAAAAACGTATCCAGCTCCTTGCCAATTATTCTAAAAGAGCTTCCGGTAACGTTCAATATTTATCAGTGACTATGCATTCTGTATCTGCATGTATGTATATTTCAATTCTGATGCAATGACCCCTCACAATTTATTACATAGATTTCTAACCTTTCCATTGTGGACGTGAAAATTCTGGAAGAAATGTGTCAAAAAAGTATAAATTACTTGGATAGGACTATATTTTACTGCTTGTAGAATTAACTCTGGCGCGATTGAAGTCCAAAGAACAAGATGAGCACTACAAAGCATTATCAAATTACTTATCTTATCATCATGTATCCATCTTTATAATTTTAATTTGCTTAACGCAATAAAAACAAACGATATGCATACGTGCACAAATGATATCCAGGTCTTTCTTTTTCGATTCATGAGCACTGTAAATAATCCCACCCACCCAGAATATGATATCAATCAGCATAGAACCTGCCGAAATAAAATGTAAAAATGATGTTAAAATATAATGACAACGCCAGTGCTATTTTGGGATTCTTTGTCAGGATAATTTTGCCATTTCCACGATAATTATGCAAATTGGATGGTACAATAGCACCAACTCACATCGTGTTATGAAGTTGTCATGAATTTTTTTACTTAAGGCGACAAAATCACAGCAGACAAAATAATACGTGATAAAAAAAGACTAACACGAAAGTCAATTAAATATATACACCATGACGTTTTTGCAAACACTTCCATCCATTGAACGTTTTGCAATCCGGGAGGAATGATCATATTTAGTTATCTGCGTGCCGAGATAAAACTTACACACATTATTTAACTGCAGACCACTTTATAAATTCGTACATTACGAGCTGAGTTACAATAAGTCTTCTGATCTAACTGAAATAATATCAAGTTTAATTAACTAACAGTAAATAAGCTGATCTCTAATATTTTAATTTAGAAAATTCTGCATACTTTCACAATGTCCACCACTCCTCTCACCCGAGGCGACTCCTCCCAATCTTCCACATATTCTACTACCTCCTCTAAAAGTTCTCGTAAAAAGAAATGTTATCACCATCGTGTCACGATTGACGAAGACTTGCACAAGTGTTCTATCCAGTGTGTCGATAAATACCCAATCCATCATGCCGCACGATTCGGCAACTTTCGAAAATTGAAAGAGCTGTTAGATGACCCGAATTGTTCGAAATGTCCGCTCGAGCCTGATGAATGTTTGGGAAGGACACCTCTTCATTACGCCTGTGCAACAGGTACTCATAGCGGCGACATGGAAATATTTTGAGACTTTTTGTGGTTATGCATAAAGATTACTAAATTAATATTTCGCAGGAAACGTTGAAAAAGGACTCATTTGTGTAAAGCTTCTCCTGGATTGCAACAAGATCAAGACGCACACAAATGCGGCAGAGCATATAAAACGTTATGTGAATCATTTGGACAAATTTGGCAAATCACCGTTGCATTTAGCCGCAAAGAATGAAGCAACTGCAATTGTCATTGAGCTGTTAACAAATCGTGCAAACTTTGACATCTCGTATGTTAACTGAATTTATTTAAATGGCGTTTAAATACATGATAAGTGTAACTAAATTCTCATGAAAATATATGAAATCTCAGCTCCTTAGATGGCACCTGCGCCCTCAGGGAAATCTACAAGTCTACTCCAAATGCAATGGAAGAGGCCTTAAACCAGTCTATTGGCTATATTGAAACGTGTGGCAGAGTAACGCTTCCTTCCGACAACATTTCCATAGCACAAGATGGAGAATTGTTTGACTTTACGCGGACGTGTGTCAATATTTGTTTGGATTTTTAGTATGTATTTAATGTGCTTATCTATAAAATACATGTAGAAAGCAGGAATAAGTATGTAAGAGACAAAAGAAAAATGGTATTTGCTTTACACAGCCCTGTTATCGGCTCCAAAATGAAAAAAGAGGAATGTGCCGCATATGAAGAGAGTAAACGTTGTCATGGAGACGTTTCTAAATGCAAGAGAACGCCAGAGACTGGATTTTTATTCACGGTGAATCGCAAACGAATGGAGGCGGGTCAACGGAGACAGATCTTAACAAATGCCCTCGTTCAAGCGTTTCTCTATTTTAAATGGCACAAAGTAAAGTGGTTTTGCTTTATGGCGATTGGATTTCATGTGAGTTTTACAGATTGGTTACCTATACGACAACCGAGAAAAAATTCGGAAACACTTTATAATATTTCAGGCCATCTGGTTGTCCCTCTACATATCGACCGTGATCAACGTATTTGTCCTCAATTGTCCATACGTTGTTCCCGTTTCCACAGGGGAAACAAGTACACCTCCAACAACAAACATCCCGACCCCTTGTACTTCCTCCATCCCACTCCAATTCTCCGCCCTAATCCTCCTCCTCATGAGTTTTCTCGTTACGCTCAAGGAATTTTTCCAACTGCTTCGGCTTCGTTCTCTGTACGTTCGATTTGAAAACATGGGACAGTGTTTGCTGCTGGGTTTCATTTTTATGACCGTCCCAGACATTTATTTTCATGGGATCATTGGATTTGGAATTGGTTCTCTGGAATACCAAATTAGTGCGGTGCGCAAAAACATGGGTGTTACCATTATGATCTTTGGTTGGCAGTTTATTAATGGTTTATCATGCATTTTACAGTTTGGAATTTTTCTCGCATGGACTCTATTGTTGTGTCAACTCGCAAAATTGCCACAAATTTGTATTCGGTTTAACTACTTCGGACGGAAAGGGATGCTTATTTTCCCTGATCATGGTATATACGTAGAGATTCTGTCAAGGGTGAGCTTCCCAAATGTACACATTTTAAGCATGTTGATAAAATACTTAATGTAATTTATATGCAGGTCTTCAAAAACTTTCTCATCTTTATCACCATTTTCTCCAGTCTTTTAATTTCGTTCGTCTTCTCCTTCAATATTTTGCTGCCAAATGTAAGAAAATTTTACATTCATATTTTTATGAAAATTAAAAAAACAAATGAGAAAAAATTATAAATTTGTCCAGTCCACCGGTTTCGTGAATTTGCCAACGACTCTACTTAAAGTCCTTACAATGATGACAGGTGAATTAAACTATGACGAAATCTTCCACTCTGAATCAGAGCTGATCTACCCGATAAGCAGTCACGTCATGTACGCGATTTTTATCATGGTTGCAACCATCATCTTGTTCAACTTACTGATTGGTTTCACCGTCAGCGATATCCAGGTTAGACAGTGATAAAAATCATATTCGAGAATCTGATTGATTAATGCTGCAGTAACATGCATAGCAATCAATGTAATTCAAAAATTATGTCCCACAGGGTCTGCAAAAAGATGCACAAATTAACCAAATTTCGAACAAACTGGAGCAAATTTTTCTGATGGAATGTTTCCTATTGTCCGGGATGATGCAGAGATTCGTTCGATTGTTTGGTAAATTGGTTGCTATGGACACGGGAAAAATTTTTGATCGGATAATGGTCGTGAAAATGAAGAATAGCAATGTGTGAGTTTAATTCTACATTTCTTCCATGATAATAAATAGCAAAACAATATCTATATTTATTTCTTGCCTAAATTACAGCCTCTGCTACCACACAACCATCAAAGCACTCCCATTCGCCCTCCGAGTAAAGTTACGCCACCATGCTAGCAAAAATTGTATGGCGCTTAGCGATATTTCGGGGACATACGCGCGACAATTATTTAGTAAAAACGTTGAGCACTGAATTTTATCTGTTAAAAAATTTGCAATAAATTATTTTGCCCTTGTGGAAAAACAGGAGCAATAAAATGATAAAACAATTCTAGGAAATATCATCTCGTAAATCATGTTAATGCGTGCATTTCTATAATCTGTCATCTACTTAGCAATCGGCATTATGACAGAAATGTGTCACTCATTTTATTACTTATTTGTACTATATGACCTTAGTACGAAAACATGTTTACAGCTTACTGCACATATATCCATATGGCTGTGTTTTAAATGAAAATATGTCATTCAATAATTAATAGCATATTTGGCATCAAACCTGAAGTAATCTAGAACCACAGACGTATTAGCATAGAACTTGTTGACAAAAACAAAAAAACAGGGATTTTGAAACGAGTATAAAATGAAGAAAATATCTCACCTATTCCAAACAATTTCAATTTTGCAGAAACTACAAACAGAAGAAGCAACATTTATAAATATCGTATAAATATATATACATACACTAAAAAAATCAATAAACGGAATCATGTATTTTTTCAAGATATTAATCTTGCTCATAACCGCATTTGGTATGGTGAGAGTAACTACCATATTTTGTAACGATAATACATAAACGCTAACGTGAAGACTTAATTTCAGGGCTGGTGTGCCCCAGAGACCAAAGAAGACTCGAATTACTCTGTTGCAGAGTCCACCGGGGAACAAGGAACTTTCGGAGTTTCGAAAAATCGACCTACATTTCTTACCAGCAACTCAAACAATATTGCAGCATATTGCGGCGGGTTGGCTCCTGTTTATTGTAGCGACGCCTGTTATCGATGCACCTTTACCAGTTGCGAATGCACTAACAGTGGGTGCTGAACAGATGCAATGTGAGAGAAAGTCATCCCTTCACTTTATGCATTTCATATTGGATACTTCGAAATTTTAGACAAATTTTCACGAATTTAAATTCTTGATTTATTACCAATTTCTAAATTGTTTTGAATAAATATTTCAACTTGACAATCCAAAATGTACTCGCACGAAAGATGTGCTGTTATGTTATGATGATTTAAAATCACTCAAAATGATCTACCTCCCCTTGGCCTGCATCTCATCCCAAAGTTTTTTGCCATCTTTGCCAGTAATCTGCTTCCACACGTCATCCTTGTACTTTCCTTCCCTCGTAATTTTGAAAATCTTTTGAGCCACGTCCGGTTTACTTGAGTAGGCTGTGACGACATAGTTCAGCCAGTACGCGCACTCCGCTGATGCTACGTTCTTGGATCATTTCCGCACCAGGATCATTTCTAGGCTTGCTGGGACGGTCGGTGGGTTCGTAGTGATAATATCGAACGTAGTCTGTGAGACAATGGGTCATCCATTTCGGCGCATCGCTGGGGAAGCTCATAATCGACCAGGCTGTGGAATGAACTATCATTTGACTCACACCCTCTGGAATTGTGTCCGTGTCGTCGCCAAATTCGGCGACGTACTCGTTGTTAGCGCTACTCACGCTGGTCCTCCCATTATTCTTGGTGGCACAGACGAGGACTATTTTCAACTTTTGGGGTGGAGTGTAACCATTGTAAGTGAGGTACTCGGATATTTTGGTATAATAGTCGACGATGGCATCTCGCAGTTTGGGAACGCAAGCCTCATACTTGACAGCTTGGGAGAAATCAATTTCCACCTGAACTTCGCCTGGGGAAATTAACATGTGTAATATAAAAACGGTAATGAATTTTGGATTTGGAAGAATTTTATATAAACTATGATATAAAATGTTTTACCAAATGTGCCTCCGGCAACTGCCAATACGAACAAGAGTGTTACGATCATTATGTTTCTTCAGGAACTTTGAAGATACTTGTATTGAAAATGTATTCTGCTACTTTAACCCGTTAATGTGTCGGGTTTTATACCGATCAAGACCACAAATTTTCGTTCTGCGGTGAAATTAACTTTGGGAAAAAGTAATTGAGAAATTGAACAATCTGTTAGCCCAATGCTATGGATGACTAATTTTCAACGTGTCTGTTAATACGTTGCAATTAAAACTACTTATTTAGGTTAATTTCCAAGTTACTACTAAATTTCCAAGCTTTAATTGTTTGTGTCTTGGAACCTCTAAATAATGTAACCACCAAACCATTCCAGCATATTCTACAGATGTACATTAGCTCCGAATTCTTGGTACATACACGTCTCAGCAAGCTGAAAATTATACAATATGGTAATTCAAAAAACATTTATTTCTATAAATTACTAAAGCCACACTGCATATAAGTACTTAGATAATATAAGTGTTAATTAGCACTTGGGCACGTACTCAATTTATTTAGGTATGGATTACATAAATATATACATAGATAGAGGAGCATTTGTTTAGATTAGTAAATTGTAAAATGTTGAGTTTAGCTCCATGTTACCAGTGGTATCAAAGGATTTCTTATACGCATCTGTATACTGGAGGTTATCAAATTAAAAAAATTTAAGTTTGTATATAAAAATTTGTACATTATTATTTGGAGCGTTTTGATTGGATGTCTTGTAATGTTGTATACGCAGCGTTAGGTCTCCGACCTTGATGCAACGAGTCATATTCATGATCTAAAAAATGTTTAAGAATGAAACAAGTTAAACAATTTTGGGATTTAGAAACTTGAATTTGCTTTGTGACAATGACAAACCATGGGCACCCTCGTCATCTAAATCTGGCAAAGCCTCTGCGTATATATGACTTTCTCTCTCGTTATTGCCAACTAGTGGAAAGCCAAAATTTATGTAAGGTTTATGTGTACCCATATTGGAGATATACATACATGCAAAATGATAGAGTAATACATGAGAATGGAAATTTAATTAATGAAATACTTACCTTGCCCAATATATGGAAAATTGACGGCCTGGACACGACCTATGTGTTGTCGTATTAACAAATTAGATCTTGGGACGACATGATTAGGTCGCATATAACCATCTTCGTCAACCAAGTCATCTGTAAGATCCCAGTATTAGTTTTCATTTTCACATTACAACAACTCGATAATATGATTTGACTTACCAACAATCACTCCTTCAGACAAAGTTGCAGCGTTACATTCTACACCTTACATGAAAATCAATAAGTTACTTATTCGAGAATATTTGTGGTACAATTTTGGTTACTTGGGTCGTTAGGCGAAACCATTGTGTAAACATTTTGAGGCTGGTTCCCTTTGTGAAAGCGTTTTCTGACAAAATGTGTCATAATTAGAAGAGCCATCATAATTGAGACGGTGGCAATTGTGAGGAAAATATATAATCCAAAGTTGGACGAAGTACCCTGGAAATTTATTAAGTAGCAAAGATCAAATAACATTTCTATATGCGTACGTCTATAAATTGTCAAACTGATGCTGGTTGCAATACTGTTGCTGTTATTTGCGATGCAGCTAATTAAAAGAGCAACATACATAAATTTAATAGAACAATTTAAACTACGAATTTACATCTTTATAATTTAATAACTCGCGTGCAAGCTCACGCGTAACAGTAGCTTCGGCATATTTAGATCCGTACTCATTGAAAATACTACATCCATACTGACCCACCAAGTCGGTTGAGAAGTTATAAATTTTCAAGCTTTTCCCATTATTTAGCACAGAAAATCTAATAACGTGTCCCCCTTTGGTTTCATTCAATTCTTCGCCGTTAAATGTCCAAGTAATGAATGGCATTGGTTCTCCATTTCCATTACAATTCAAAACAAAATCACTGCCGATTTGCACGTTTTGATCGGTGGGTCGAGTTGTAAAACGGGGGCGAGCTGTAGTGAGTGAGCGTAAAAAATATTCATTTAATATTCTTACAAACTGTACATGCAGTAAATAGTGAATCGACTTCCGTACGTACATTTCACTACAAGATGGAAGCTCTTTAGAATAAAAGAGTTGCTTCCAAGCTGAGAAATGAGGCATTGGTACGAACCACTGTGCGACTTTGTTACGTTATTGATGACAAAGGTCATGGTAGAATTTGCTATCAGTTCAGAATCAAATGTCCAGTCTACTTTTGGAATTGGTCTGAAACGTTAAGATGGATATGATTTGTCAGATTGTTTTCATGCAATTTCTAGGTGTCGTCAAATGCATACTTTCCAGCCGCAATGCACCACAAAGTTGCTTCTTCTCCTTCGAACGCAATGACATCTCCAGAGTTATCAAAGAGAAGTACGGGAGGAAAATCTCTCCATTGATCAAGACCAGGAACTTGTATTGGTGGTGTCAGATATTGTGTGTCCATCGTAATGTACAAGGGCTCGTTTTTATATCTGCGCATCGTAGTTATTAAACTACCCGTTGACTCAACTTTTAGCCACCATAAGTATCTTATACTATTTTTACGTGTAATGTTGTAAAGGTGCTACACAAAAATACTTTAGGAGAGGATGATCTTCTATGAAGTCATCCTTTATGAAGTGTAGGATGTACAAGCTTCCGTCTGGTCCAACTATGTGTCTTGGTGCGTGTTTCCCAAATTTATTAACAGTTTGTACGGCCCAAAATTTGTACGTGGGTGGGAGCGACTCCTGAGCAAATAAATCCCTCTCTTTATATGCAAGTAATTAGAGTTTGCGTGTAATTACTTACTTTGAGATCAACCCACTGAATTCCTCTAAAACCTTCACTAGGACATGACAATTTTCCCCATAATTTAGAACCGTGCAGATCGGGAAATGCAAATGTTTCATCTTTAATCTCGTGTACCGTTTGACTTTGACTTTTTGAAACTCCCCACTGATTTGTAGCAAGGCATTGATATATTCCTTTGGCGGATTTTAGTTGGATTGTTAGATTTTCATTGCTGCCTTCTAATTGTGGCATTAAAACTCCGTCTTTCTTCCATGAATATGTCATGGGTAGGTCCCCATTTGCGGCACAATGTAATCTGACTGTTTCCCAAGAGTGATTATCCAGGGAAGAGAGTTCTTCAACGTTTGAGATCGATAGCAAAGGATCTGTGTAAATTTTTGGGGGCACTTGACCTGGAATTTATATAATCGTGAAGAATATTCGCAAAACAAAATACCACAATTTATATATTATGTATGTACCTGTGGCTTTATAAGTGGAGAGTATTAGGAGGGTAATTAAGACGGAGATGGTAGGAGGGCTAAAATCAATTATTTTTTTCACACACATCTTTAATTTAAAGTTTCAGTGCAAATTTCTAGTCAAACATTTTTCAGCATATAATTTTGAGACAATTCACGTGATTTTCACCACTCGTAAAAAAATATAATATCTTAACTATTTGTATTAAATAAATATGTTTCGAAGATATTATTTACATATATCCGGTGTTATGCCTCCTGAGTATTTAGTTTGATGGACCATTACATAAATCGCGGATGGTAAGTAGCATAGACAAATAGGATTTGTGATAAGATAGACTTATCATGCATACGTAAAAGCATGAGTCATCCTCTAATTTGCTCAAGTTGATTCAACTCCTGATTGAAAGCTTATCCGGCTGAAAATACAAGCATTAACTTTGCATACTGCCGGGCGCATCATGTACATAAAAAAATATGACACTACATTATAAATCATGAATCCCACTAACAAACCAAAAGTATGCTTGTGATTATGCGTAAATACGTATATGTACATAAATGTAGTATATGAATCGCTCGAGTTTTTCAAGCACGCTAGTATTTAGACTGTCGTTATAAAACTTTCTATAAGTTTCAAATGTAGTATTTAAGTTTCACCATTTGTGGCTGCACCTGGACATAATAACGTCATTTATTTCAGTAATTGTGCGCCAGATGAAAACCTAAGATATCCAAAGCACAATTGTAAGTTGATGTGAGAAATCTTTTGTAGAGTGCTCAATAAATTTGACACTTATGTAACATAAATCGTTAATTCTTATCAAATAATAGTATCGATATTCCGCATAGATAGTCAATTGAATTGTGAATTAACTATAATCACCAACAACAAATCTTTTATAATGTACAAGAAAGTGAGCAGCAGGATCAGGCAATGATAAGCATAGTCCTTGAATTACAGGAGAAAGCTTTCACAAACTTGTATGAAATTGGATGATGTATGATTTTTTACATTTTTCCTTTTTTTAGCGGTCAGTAGGTGACTAAATCTTGATTTAAAAATACAACCTTATGTTAATTCATCATATTAATTAAGAAAATAATTCAGTATGGCTAAAATACTTGTATTATGTCTAGCAATGTTGTTGTCATTTCGATTTTTCAACATTGCTCCAGCGAATGGGTTGATTAAATCAGATTTAATTGTAGTTAGCGAATCATTATCCGATAAGGAAGTAGAAATTCCATTTAACATCTCGGAATTTCTTCCAAGCTTGACCTCTTCATCAGTACAAATTCTCAGTGCAGAAATATTAAGAAATACATTACTAATTATTAGCAAAAGTCCAGAAATATCGGGACTTTACATTTTTATATTTTCCAGAAACGAGACATGTCTTAAAGAAAGTATTGATCAGGTAAACTAAATAAACAGCAAAAAAAACTATTTCATGAAAACTTTTACATACAGATACAATTACATATGTACATTTACATGATATGATATTTTTGCACGCACATAGATTTCCAAGTTTCACAAACAGAATCGGACTCCTTGGAAAGATTTTTATTTCTTAGTTCTTTCTAAAGCCGTTAAAATTTCCGATGCAGCAGTGACAAAAACGTTAGATGAGTCGGAGAAAGTTTTGATAAATGAAAATATTTTCCACGTATTTTTCACGATACCCAGTTCATCAGTCAATTGCTCTCAAAATGATGTTAAAATTTTCATATGGGAATTTTATTATATAAATAATAAATCGGTCCCATTTTATCAAGTATTGTACAACAACTATGCTTCATCAAAGTTCATTTTGCCTGGATTAAGCCATCCCATGTATCAGAAAGTTGTAAAACGGAAGTTTCATGGGGCTGAAATTGTTGCAGCTGCCGGTGTGAGTTTATGTCTATATTAATTCTTTCATAAACAAGGATTAATTGAAGCTTTTTGTGCAATAATTAATTATTAGTTTGAGCTGGATTATATTCACGAAACTAAATTTAATTTGGATAACTCGTCCTTTGAGAGTGGGATGGCTGTCAGCATGTTCCATGACGCACAATTATATCTAAACTTTAGGCAAGTTAATTTACCCATGCATTATGCATCCCATAACCTGTAAATAGATTTTTGCTGAGAAGCTTTAATGTATTAACGAATTTTTAGCTATTCTTCCATCCCGGGTCGTTGGATGGTGGATAACCAGACCGACAGCATTGACCAACTTGTAATTCATGATGAGGCTGAAATCGCAATATCTCAGACAACTCTAACTTTAGACACGTTCAACGACACTCACTTGTTCTTAACATATCTCCAGCCAACCTCAAATTTCAGGTAGGGCATTAATTTTTTGAAACACAAAAAATGCCAAAATTTCCATAAATCAATATTAACTATATTTATACATAAATGTAGATATTTTGCCATACTAACGCAACCACCAGCCCGTACAATTCGAAACGTAGTAACCATGCCGTTCGCTCCTTCCATGTGGTTAGCGTATGGTTTCATGGTTCTCATAATATTTATAACCGTTATTACATCGCAATGGATAACACGTCGTTTTATATGGAACGATAACTCCAATGCTGACATTTGGACCATATCAGACGCTTTTTGCGCTGTGATTGCCACCGTCTGTCAGCAAGGTGCGGATCTCTGTAACATTTTGCAAATATTGTATATAGTATAATTCACTATCTTGCATATTTATCGCAGAATTGCAAATAGTCAATAATAAGACGAATGCAATCATTTTTGATCCGAGATTAATTATGTGGACGGCATATGTAACGGGGACAGCTTTGTACATTGGGTACTCTGCAATCATAATTTCGTTCATTTCTGCGGACAATCTTGTTCCGATCAGGACAGCCGAGGAACTGAAATCTAGCTCATTGCCAATATATGGCGATGGCGATTATAGAATGAATCCATACGTGTATGAAGTGAGCCATTCCTGTAATATGTATGTAAAACTGGAGAAAGTGCGTATGTAAATATGTACATATGTTGCCATTATTGCAGGGAGTCGTGGACACGACGGATCCCAGAAATATCCTTTCCCCAGAGGAAGCTTTGGCGAAATTGCAAACCGAGGTTGGAGCATATTTAGGATTTTCGGACGCTTACACTGCTGCCGGTCTCAGAATGGGATTAACGGAGGACTTTTTGTGCAGAAAGTTCTCCCACATTCCCTTCAGCAAGATTGACTACAAGAGTTCAATGTTTGTCAAGAAAGGGTCGCCATATCGGGAGTTTTTTAACTACAGGTGAGCCATTGAATTCATAAAGGCCACATCATTTCAAACTATGACATTTTTGATTGCAGAATAATAGCTGGGAAGGAATTTGGACTTAATCACCGATATATTTACATATACTCGAGGAATGCAGCAGTGAATTGTCCTCCAAAGGAAAAGTCAGATCAAACGCCTCTTGAAGTGCGAGACATATTATTGCCATTTCTCTTCAACTTTTTTGGAATATGCAGTTCCTTCTTGATTTTTGTTGGAGAAAAGTTGACCATGAGAAGTCTTGAGGCGTCAAAAGTGCAAGTTTTTGAGTATCCAGCGATTTGCTAATGTGATTGCATGCAAGGCCGATGCAGGCAGATAGCTATTGTAGCATTTGTAGCTCGTTGCATGAGAAATTTATTCCACGAAACTTGAGCCATGGAAAATTAATCAGTGATGATTTTGCAAGTGCATGATGTTTATCAGTCATTCTGATTTGACCAACATGCGTTGGCATTTGTTCACTTCCCTAATTTTACCGAGCGTAATTGGATGTTCATGCATATTATTTTGAGCTTGTTTAATTTGTTAGAGTCGTTTATTTATTTTTTTACCAATAAAACATATATTATTTTTAAAAAACGTATAATTATTGAAAGAGTTATATATTTTTTATTCATCATATAAAATATTCACCTATACAAACGAATTAGACTTGACTCTTACAATTATTGATTATTTGTTCACCTAATAAAACCAATAAAGAAATACACATTCCATTCAAGTTAATTAAAAACGGAAGAAAGACGTCAAAAACTGTTAATGACTTGTGGACTGGTTTATCCATTTGAGCACAGTTCAGGGCTGTATTCTTCAGATAAATTTTTACATATCGGTGATTCAGCCCACACTCCTTTCCAGCCATTATTCTGCAAATGAGAAATAAGTAGATGCCGTCTAACACAATGAAATTATGAAATTAGCTTGCATTCCACCTGTAATTAAAAAACTCCCGATATGGCGATCCTTTCTTGACAAACATTGAACTCTTGTAGTCAATTTTGCTGAAGGGAATGTGCGAGAACTTTTTGCACAAAAAGTCCTCCGTTAATCCCATTCTGAGACCGGCCGCAGTATAAGCGTCCGAAAATCCTAAATATGCTCCAACCTCGGTCTGCAGTTTTTGCAAGGCTTCCTCTGGGGACAAAATATTTCTAGGATCCGTCGTGTCCACGACTCCCTGCAATAATCACAGCATAGATATATACATAAGTCATCAAATTCTATAAATCTCATAGGACTGGCTAACTTCATAGACATATGGATTCCCAATATTGTCTCCATCGCCATAAATTGGTAATGAGCTCGATTTCAGTTCCTCTGCCGTCCTGATCGGAACAAGATTTCGCGTCGCCATGAATGAGACAACCGTGGCAGAGTAACCAATATAAATTGTAGTCCCTGTGAGATAAGATGTCCACACGATAAGCTTCAAACTAAAGGAAAGAGATGGACCCTTTTTCTTTATGATATTAAATTCTATGAATAAAATCGATAAAATAATCAGTTCATTGCACTCTACATTTTTCATTAACTTTGTTCATTCAATAGTAAACCTTGTTGGCAGACAGTGGCCATCACGGTAAGGAAAACATCCGAAATCGTCCAAGTATCATGCTTGGCATAGTATTTCCTTTTAAAGTGTACCGATATCCGAGTCGATATTAAAATCGTTATAAATATGAAGAAAATTACGCAGGCATAAGCTGACCACATTGCCGTCGTAAAAGGCACAGTAATAGCGTTTCGAATTGTACGGGCTGGTGGTTGAGTTAAAATAGCAAAATACCTAAATTGTTTTAAAGAAGATAAATTCATAATTTTGGCTCCATTTGCTTCATATTTAAAGGAAATTACTTGAAACTTGACGTTGGTTGGAGATACGTCATATGCAAATCCGTAAAGTTTACAGTATCTAAAGTTAGCGTCGTTTGAGAAATTGCGATGTCGGCATTTCCTGAACTAACGAGTTGATCAATACTATTGGTTAAATTGTCCACTATCCAACGTCCCGGAATAGCGGAGTAGCTGCTTACGCAAATAAAGTTAATTCGATATGAACAATCAAGAAAGTCTTGAATTATTAAGCTTGCCTAAAGTTCAAAGAAATTTGAATATCATGAAACATGCTGACTGCCATTCCACTCTGAAAGGATGAGTTATCCAAACTAAATTTGGTTTCATGAATGTAATCTAGTTCAAACTGTAATTTACAAATTATGATTTTAAGCAGGTTCAGCTATTTTGAAACTGTGAAGATGTATCACAAGATTAAACTTACACCAGCAGTTGCAGTAATTTTTTGCCCGTGTGCTTTTCTACCGGCAACTTTCTGGTGCATGCCGTGATTCCATCCTGTGAGAATAAATTGGTCTCCAGAAAAGCAGAATTCTTGGTAAAATTGAGCATCCTCATTATTATAAAACTCCCATATGAAAAGGCTACTGTCACTATCTGAGCAATTATCTGAAGAAGTGAGGTAGGTGGGGAACGCAACGAAAATGTTTGCATCAATTGGAACTTTCGTCGCTTGGCTGATTTTTTTCGAAATTTTCGAAATACTTGAATTGCTAATAAATTCTGGATAAATTAGAACAAATGAATCCTTCCATATTCGGGGACCCGAATGAAAGTGGACGATCTACACATATTTACAGAAATTGTTGTCAGCATGTCGAAAGTTTTAGTTACTAGGACAAACGGATTTACCTGAGTAATGCATGCGTGCAAATCCGTCTCATCTTTGGGAAAGATAAAAATATCTAGACTTGCTTCATCTCTACCCCAAAAATGCAACAAATTCTGTAATTCTTTAATAGTAAATTTTTGCAAAGAAGCAGTCACGTAGGCCGATTTAAAATTTGATATTTTAAATGGAATCTCTACTTTTGAAATTTCTAGCGATTCAACAACAACAATAAATCCTGAATGTAGTGCTTCGATTTCTCTGATTGAGAGAATCTCGCACAATTGCGAAAATAATAGAAGTATTGGAATAAGTATAATTTTTATGATTAACATTATGATTTAAAGCAAAAATGAATGACTGATTTTTATTATTAGATACATATTGTCTCATTTCTTGGTAGATTTTTTATGCACATATGTACCAATTACTATGATCGCTCAATTTAGGTTTTCCTGTTATCGATTAGTTAATGGTGTTCAGAACGCGATAACAAATGAGACATGAACGGAAATGGAATAATACTTACATAAAATAACAAACGAGACATTAAAATGTGAGTGACATTTTATGCAAATGATGGGCTTGGGCACCTTAAATAACAAGACATCCGTTATGTGAATGTCAATATTGTCAAATGGGTTTATTCTGGCTATGTATTTAATTGGGTAATGGCATAATTGTGCTTTCACCTTCAAAAATAATTTTAGCCTAAACCCAATACCCTGGACTATACTCATGTCTCATTAACCAAACGGTCAATTCGATTGTTTTCCCCGTTTCCAAAAATAAAAATCGAATAAAAATAATATGACAAATTAGTTGGCATTTTGCATTACCTATGTATGAGACAAAAAACATGTAAATACGTAGGAATAAAGTAGGAAATAGAAAATCCCTGGAAAATATCTGGTCATGAATAAATTGAAATATTGTTTCGTTAACAATAAATAAATCGTCGTCGATATCTTTGGTCTGACTTGTTAACCTCTTTTTCGAGATAACGATATTAAGTTCTACATCAATGAAACAAAAATTCATACATCATGCAGGCAAAAAATTTATTACTCATATTGGGCTGAAAAACCGATTGGAATAAAATATGACTTTTGATTAAACCAATGCTACCCACTATGTAATTTAACCTATATATGTAAAGTTTCAGATCGAAAGTGAAACACGTGTCGCTTCATCTTTGTCAACGTAACACTTTCACTTTTCTGGAAATGGGAACATGTGACGTATGTGGGTCCTGGTATGCGTTCGTCTTTCTGCGAATCAAACCAACATCTGAACTCATGCTTTCACCAAGAGCGAGATGGTCCATGTATTCCTATACTTTCCTAATTTCTCAATTTCTGTTCACACACTGGTTTGTGAAAATTTGTATTGCGCATCAACTGCATGCATAGCACCCTGAACAATGACGTCATCAGCAGGTGGTTAGATCTTGTGATGCGATCATGACGGAGGAGAAAGACATAAACAGAGAGAAAGCAAAGTTATAAAAGGACACTCAACATTCCAAAATAGAGTGAGATTCACTTTTCCTCTGTCATTTTATACATTTCTTCTCACAGAGAAGATTTTAATAAAAGCATGATACAACGAGGGTCAAAGTCAAACATTTCGCATTATTTAAAGAAACCATACAATTCCACATGTCAATAAATGCAACACAAGGCAATAACTTTCTCCAGATCGTGGTGCACATACATAAATTCGACTAACTTGTTGTGGTTGCTCATTTGCTAAGTAATTCACTAGGCACCAAATACTCTACGGAATCATCATGGCTATGCGTGCTGGTGTCGGTGGTAGTTCTAATTTCGGAACTGGAAACATGGGGTTTTCACCCGGGTGGGCGGGGCTATTTACTCTCGCAATGTTGCTCTTTGTGGCCCTGGTATGAAACCGAAACCGTGCAATCCAATTTTCCCAGGCATTAACAAATAATACTAAATTCTTCTCGTGGTTAGGCCTGCTCTTGCTGTTGGTGCTGTGACTTGTTGGCCGTGTGGAAGCGATGGTACTGCAAACACATAGGAGGAGGGAGAAAGAGGTCATCGTCGTCTTGGAATCATTTAGAGGACGGTGGTCGTGGTGGTGGGATCGGATTCGCAAAGACGGTGCCTAATTTTTACGTAGAAGTCCCAGTTCACAGTATTTGCAACAGGGCTGATAATCACTATACATTGTCCGACGATGCGTCCTCTCATTACTACCAAAGTATAAATTATGAGCAAATTGGTCCTAAAAATTTGAAGTCTTCTTCGTCCGTTAGCATATCGCAAGAAAACTTGTATTGTGAGATTGACCCTACTTATTATTAAGTAGCATGCTTATGTATTTACATCAGCGGAGAAGGGAAATTGAAATTGTGGTCTTTATATGTCAAGTCTGATTAAAATTACTCTATTGTATCGTTACATATTGTTACACGTTTCGTAAGCAAGTAATAAACATGTCTGTGCCAAATGTCAATTTTTTGCTAGAATTGTATTTCTATTCACTCAAAAATAACTCAATTAAAACTTTAGTCATAGACAAACATTCAATTTCCGCTATTTATATACGCCAATTATCACTATTTAGGAAATGTGTATTTATTTCTTACTTACTACTTGTTAATGAGTTCGTATAGACAAATGCTCTGAATTTAGCTCGTCCCTTGTCATGTCCTGTTGTGATGTCTACGAAGTTACTTAAACTCTGGAATTACGTCCAGTTATAGATAATTGGAAAGTCGGCAAAGGAAAACCATTATTGACCAGGCGTCACCTATTCATTTTACGACACGACTTTTCACTGTACAAAGTATACAATCCATCCATCCATCACGCAACTATCCAATCATTCATTAAAGATTCTGTCCAGTCAGTTCGTCTCCTGCTTACATGAATACTTGATTTGCATTTTATGGCGTGGGTTGTGCACATTTTTTTAGCTCACAAGTCTACAAGGGTGAAGAGGTACAATTATATACTTAAGTAGCCATTTATGTACGGCTACTCCATTTGCTTTTCGCAAATCTTTGATAAGGTGTCGCTTGATAAGGCACGATAAGCCAGAAAAGCAGCGAAATCCGTGTACCGTCCCCCGTCCAGTACTGCACTGCGGGTAAAATTTATCTCGGAGGAGAAAGTGCAGAATGGAACTAAACTCGACTAACTTTCCCCAGCGATCGATACATTTCTCTTACTCGGCTGCTCACTCCCTTTCATATAGATTTTTGCACACAATAATGTAAAAGGTAACAACCGAGTTATTTGCAAAACATCGAATTTTTCTCAAACCTTTCTTTAAATATAAAGTCGAATGAAAGTCGTCTAGCTCATCGCAAGTAAAATTTATTAAGACAAATTGTTGTTAAGTTTCTTTACACGAGTGAAGTAGGGGCCCCAGTTTTCTGGGGAAATATGGGTCAAATTAGAAATAGGTGAGATCGCATATAGGAGAAGGACGATACGACAATATGTCGGACACGTCGTCAATCGGGTCATCTGCATCGGATGCTCGTCCCGTTTATTTTCGTCCCTTTACGAGGGAGTCCCTCAAGTCCATTACCCAACGAATGGCAGAGGACAAAATTAAGCAAGCGGAACTAGCGGCGAAAAAGGCAGAAATTGAGGTAAGTAATTGGACAAATAGTTAATATCCCGTATGCAAATATGTATTATGGTAGGAAATAATTTACTTTCACTAAAACTGAAACACATAGAAAGTTACAATAAATTGAGAAAGATTAAGCTAACTTGACCTAAATATGCAAATAATTATTATCGTAAACACCATGATTTTTTGGAGAAGGGAGGCGAAGAAAAGATAAAAGTGAAGACAAAGAAAAAGGAAGTAAGTACACGAGCCAGTAAATAATTGCGACTTTAGAACAGCACCGACTAAAGATTAGTCAAATCAGCAATTAAATAACATAATCACGTACATTTAATAACGGATTAACTTCGCCTGATCACCTCACACTTTAAGAATGTGAACAAAAGAATATGTGGAATATGTGCATGACACGATGGATTGAGGCTAAAAATCATTTATGAGACCAGTATTTAGTGACTTTTGTATTAAATCTGACTTGACACACACACGCAACATAATATCTGTAATACCACAAAGATCGCTAATAATAATACCTAAATAAGTACCATGTCATCCTAAATCTATTAAATCATTAACTGCTATATATTTACATTCGAGTATTGCGTCACACGTAATATGTAACAAAACAATTGTATACAATTGTGCATATTAATTAATATTGCTCCGTAATTACGTAACGTAACCCTGACCTGTCAAATCATAAGGAGCTGGAACTAGACACAGTTCTATAATCCTCTCACAATAATAATTAATAACGTATTGATTAGCACTTAACTTGTCCCGTCATAACTTTCTCTTAACTCGATAATGGTTTAGCGATAATGCGGATCCCGAGTCCACTAATTGATAACTTGATTAATAATTAACTGATATTAAGCGATGATTGATCAACTAAAAATAATATCACACTAAAGCAATCTATTTACATGCACAGTAAAAGTCTATCGTCCTTAATTATAATTCATGGCATCATTAACAAGGTTTTGTACTTTTGTAATAACTTGCAACAGAAAAACTATGACGAGGACTCGGAAGATGAAGGGTGGGTTGGGATCAAAATAATTTAAAAAATTTTTTATGAGGAAAAGAAGCAGTTTATGAATGTAAATTTTGCGTTTTAATTAATAGACCCCATCCAGACGCCAACTTGGAGCAGGTATTTATTTACCAAATTTTGATGCACAGAAATCAAATGCTTCGAGCGTGTACATATTTTACTGATTTTTTAGGGAATGCCACTTCCGATCCGAATGGCTGCCGCATTTGAGCAAGAAATGGCCTATGTCCCTCTAGAAGAAATTGATCCGTTCTACCAAAATATTCCGGTGCGTTGTTGAATAGCAAAGATGATTATGCTTTGAAGAAATTCTTATAAAAATCATCATAACTCTTGTCTAGTAGACATTTGTTATTTAACGTATAACTAAATTAAATACAGCAACGTCTTATTTTTTAATTTATAAAATACACTTATTGTTTTTTAATAGACTTTTGTAATAGTCACCAAAAAGAAAGACATTTTCCGTTTCTCTGCAACGAAGGCTGTATGGCTGCTTGATCCTTTCAATCCTGGTAAATTATTTTCATGTGTGACTTATCAAATGAATCTGTAATTAATTTGCAAAATTTCTTCATTAATTTACAGTAAGACGAGTTGCCGTCGGAATTCTAACTCACGGTTTATTTTCTGTCGTTATCATCACAACCATTCTTACCAATTGTTACGTCATGATTTTGCCAGCTTCACCACTCACAGAGTCAACAGAGTAAGGACCACCCTCCTTAAATTACGTCAAAGACATGTGTTATTAAGTATTTCAAATTTTATGATTACAGAGTAATTTTCACGGCCATTTACACTTTCGAATCAGCGGTGAAGGTCATGGCGAGAGGGTTTATCTTGGAAAAATTTACTTATTTAAGAGATGCTTGGAATTGGCTGGATTTCGTGGTCATCTCGCTTGTAAGAAAATTAAAAATAGTCTCATAACTGGTAATTAAATTTAGTTTTTAATTAACCAACTTACTTTCTGTTACATTTCATGTCTAACAACAACAGGGTAAGTTCATGCTGGGTTAATTGCTCCTTCTGGTTGAAATATACATATGTTTACATATTCGTCAGGATGCTACGTTTCTTTAAAAAAAAAGAGTTAAAGTAAAAAAAAACCGTAGTTATGAAATTGTGTTTTTAAATTTAAAGAAAAACAGATGATTCGTATTTTTAGTGTTCAACTTTCGGTAGCGTTCTCTTTGACCTTTATTAAATAGGAACTGTATTAAACATAGTGTTTTAACAGCATAATTATTGGTAATGTATTTAATTGGTAAATTATTGGTACTGTAACTTTGTGGTTGTTTCCTTATATTTACTATCTATCGCTCTTCTACATGCGACTTCTCGCCTCTGGTATTCCCTCGTAACACTGTTACATTCATGCAGCGTGAGTCAACATTTAATTAGTTTAGTCTAGTTTCTAGCACAATTTAGTTTAGTTTACTACCTACTTCACTAATTATCATTACTCATTATTCTATAGCTTTAGCTTTACCGCTTTTACTCTATTTAGAACTTTGACATACATATTTAGCAGTTTTAAGTAAATCTTTCCGCAGTTGATTACGTAATTATTTAGTTCTTTATCAGTAATATTTTAGAAATTTCCTATCAAACCTAACTTTTACAGGACTTCGACTAATGAGAAATTTTCTTGACCACGTAATTAAGTAATTTTACCTATCTGGAGAAAGCAGCAAGCAGCACAGCACAAATTCATGCTCCTTTACTTGATTTTCAATTCACTCATTTTTAATTGTGACACACTTCATTTACATGTTACTTATGTCATTTAATGATTAATGCGTGCCTCTTACAGCTACATAACGATGGGTATCAATCTCGGAAACCTTGCTGCTTTACGAACCTTTCGTGTGTTACGAGCCCTCAAAACTGTGGCTATTGTGCCAGGTAAATAAGGTTAAAATATGGAAATGCTATATCGCTGTAAATGTTACACTAGCCAATTGTCCGGAAGAACAGAGTGCGTGAATCTGCAGAGATCGACCATTATCTCCGTTCACCTTGTAGTTGAGCACACATTTATCTTCAGCATCCAACATTTCTGTTTGAGGTCCCTGCATGGTTTGAGATTTAGTTTCTCGTGAAACTTAAGAAATTGACATATTTATTTAGCTAACTAGAATTACAACTCACGTCTAATTGGAATAGAATATCTACCCAAATTCCGGGAGGGACGATGGGAAATGTTTCGATCATTAATTCCTTCTCCTTTTTCAAATCTACATCTATGATCTCCCCCAAAGTCAAATTTCTTTCAATTGTAATTTCCTCCATAAACGTAGCCATCGTTCCTCGTCTTCTATTAGCAAAACTTTCTTTAACCTGAATCCTCACCACGTATGGGACGGAAAGCGAGTAGAGTTCAGTTAATGTAGGTCTCGAAATCCCACCATCTTTCAGAAGTTGTTGAATAGCTTTTTTATGTGGGCCGAAAAACGAAAATGATTTCAGTCCGAGGGAAAATTTTTCATTATGCTTGAAGCTATCGAGAAATATTGACGTTAAAACGCTAAAAATTATATAAATGTGTATGAACTTTTGAATATTTACGTAAATCTGTGCTGAATGCCACCAAATGAGCCACCAATTTTTCCAGGAAAGCCACGGGTTAGGTTGAATTGCTCCATATCATGGTTTTAACTGAACGTTCAGATTGACTTGTCCATCTGAACAAAATGGACACATCGTTGTGGTCATTCATTTGTTCTGTCACACGGAATGCGTGAGTACAAGTGTGGGTGTTTGGCTATTGTACTGGACATGCAATCATATTTATTTATGTCCATTCAACGAATCTCATGCAACCCTTTGAATACGTTTTTTAGGGCTAAAAACCATCGTGGGAGCCGTAATAGAGTCCGTGAAAAATCTGCGCGATGTGATTATCCTGACAATGTTTGGTCTCGGAGTTTTCGCCCTCATTGGTACGTCAAGCTAATCACCCCGCAGCAAATACCGTTGAAAAATTACCTTAATGCTCGTTTATTATATTTAGGTCTTCAAATTTATATGGGTGTTCTGACTCAGGTGCGTAAATGCATACGGAAATTAGATGCCTGGATAATTTTTAATGACATGCATATTTTATGTAGAGATGCACTCTTGACTTTGAAGAGGACGGGTCAGAAAATGAAGAACGAGACTTGCATTGGAAACTTTGGAATCAAAATAAATGTGAGACGACTAAGAGAAATTAATTAATAATGAGAATTTTATATAATTCACTTTTGTATGTATGTATTTATTAGCACATTGGTGGATTGTTCCTGGGACGGATGAAACGCAGCTAGAACTGAATGGTTACTATCTATGTGGAAATGCTACTGGGGCAGGGTACATAAATACTTATCTAGTCATATTTAAAAGAAAAAGTCGCAAATGTATTAAATTCCAAGCTAACTTACTTATCTCACTTTTTCAAATTTTTGAAGACAATGCCCCGAAAACTATACCTGCCTCCAAGGTTTCGGCCCTAACCCGAACTACAACTATACCTCCTTTGACTCGTTTGGGTGGGCCTTTCTTTCCGCGTTTCGGTAATATATGCATTTATGCCACAATAAAATTGTTTTTTATACAAGCTCCGTAGAAAAAAATCACTTTATTTCAAAATGGCCTATTTTCTGACTAGTCTGATGACCCAAGACTTCTGGGAATCTCTCTACCAACAAATCCTTCAAGCGGCAGGTCCATGGCACATTTTGTTCTTCATTGTCATCATCTTCCTCGGCTCGTACTACTTGGTGAATCTTATCCTCGCCATCGTCGCCATGTCGTATGATGAGCTCCAAAAGAAAGCTGAAGAGGACGAGCTCGCGGCTGCGGCAGAGTTTGAGGCAATGAGGGCAGAAGATGACGCCCGGGCGGCACGAGCGGCCGTGCGAGAGGAACGAGATGCGGCGAGAGCGGAGGATGCCGAACGAAGGATGGAGGGCGAAGGAAGTGGGGGTGGTGGTTCCCCATCGGGCACAGAAACCGTGGGTGGATCCAGGGCTGGCGGGTTAAATAAGACGTCCATGTCAGTACCAGGGTCACCATATGTTGAGCGGAGTTTAAGAGGTGCGTCGTCCCGGATGGTGTTGTCCACTTACTTGGATGCTCAACAACATTTGCCATGTAAGAGTAATGCTGATTTTTATTGGTTACGAATTATGCGTAATTGGGAATAATAAATAATTCAGGTTAAAAATGAGTAATTATCTGTACTTCTTCTTGATCCATAGTTGCGGATGATTCAGCTGCTGCGACACCAATGAGTGAGGAAAATGGGGCAATTATTCTGACGCATCATTACTCGTTTCATGGGAATGGACAAAATTTCTTCCAGCCAAGTTTTGGTAAAGATATTGAGTAGATTTATGTATGCGCATAATCCGTATTGAGAGGATGTCAATGGAACGTTGGGTTTTATTTAGGTGGATTGTCTTCATACAATTCGCATGCGTCCAGAGTCTCCTATACTTCGCACGACCTTCTAACCAAGAGACATCCAAACGCTGTGATCACAAAGGAATCTCAACTTTTACAAAGAATGAATGAGCATAAGCAGTTTGCAGATGGGGTAATAAAATAATTACGACAAAAAAGAAATTTCAACAAGGATTTTGAATTTTACTGGTAATTTACATAATTCGGTTTGGTTTGTGTGATGAATAGGGGTCATCGACATGCCGATCAATGTTAGACCTCCAGTCTAAAAAGGATAGGGCCATGTCCGCCGCTCACACAGAGTATCAGCAACCGAATAACGTCCTTGATATGAATGGTACACATTAGAAAAATCGGGTGAATTATGAATAAGTGTTCATTTGCTCTCTTTAGACGTCCTCGTACTAAATGACATCATCGAACAAGCCGCTGGGCACCGTGCTCCGCATTCCCGTCTAAGCGACGTCCCACCGTCCGAAATGATTCCTGAACGCATCCCATTCAAAGAATTATTGAAGCAGAAAATTATCGAGGGATGTTTTCGTTGTATTGACATTTTTTGCGTCTGGGATTGTGGATTCCCGTGGTCCCTCTTTAAAAAGGTCTGTAATTTACTTTACGATATACTGAAAGTGGTTTGTCAAGAAATGTCTTATTTCCGCAGATAATCGCATTTATCGTTTTTGATCCATTCATGGAGCTGTTTATCACCCTTGGTAAGATAAATCGTGTATTATACTATTAAAAGATTGACAAAAAGATATTAACCATATATTATGGGTTTGCAGCCATCGTGGTGAACACGGTATTCATGGCATTGGATCACTACGGACTCGAAGAAAACTATTTCATGGACAAAATGCTCAAAACTGGAAACACAATTTTTACAACCATCTTCACCGTTGAATGTGCAATGAAGTTGGTTGCAATGAGTCCAAAGTTTTACTTCCAATTTGGCTGGAACGTATTTGATTTGTAAGTCCATGAATTTGATGCACATTTTTATACGAAAATATTCGCACCAGGGTATTTGCCATTTCATAGAATTTCTTAAACTGAAATGGCAAAAGTTTTCAAATTAGAGGAAAAGTTTAGTGTAGAATTATCTCATAACAAGAATAAGATGAAAGATGGCAACCTTGTTTGGGTTGAAACTAAATAGCTTAAACATATTTTAACTATTGAACTTTCTTTGCGCAGCATCATCGTGGCTTTGAGTTTGATTGAAAAGATATTCGAGGATGCTAATTTGCCAGGTATGTAAATTTATTACAAGAAGATAGTTTTAAAATGAATGTAGTTAACCAAATAAATTACGAGTATTTATTACTAATCGATTGATTTTATACATTCCAGGCATTTCCGCCTTGAGGAGTTTCCGATTGGTATGAAAAATGATATGAATTACTATTAATTCGAGCATAAATAAACCGTTGCAAACGAAATGTAGCAAAGGGGTGAAAACACACGGAAATGTCTTTGTGGCACGCCCACAACGTCTTTCAGCACTTTCCCATTCTTGTCTCACATTACCCCACGTCTCATTTTGCCCCGTTTTGACACCCCCACCCGCGTACTTCAAACGTACACGACAATACCTTTCAATAGACACCCCACATGACAAAAGTCATTTTTTCGACATTCGACACCTCCCACACGGTCATGGAGTCGTCGCACGTCGAAATGATGGCGATTTCTGAAATCCCCGCCAAAAAATACGTCTAAAACGGTGGCAACAAAAAATTCGACAATTTTCGACTTTGGCGTCGTCTACACGGTCACACGGTCATCTGACGTCGAAATGGTGGCGATTTCTGAAATCCCCGTCCAAAAATACGTCTAAAACGGTGGAAACGAAAAATTCGACACGTTTGACCGTTGGATTCATCACCGTGGCGCCGTGGCCTTACGACCTACAACGCCCATCTTCGAACTCATCCATACTTCAAAAATTAGAAACACGTTGACGAAAACCGCATCCCGAAATACGAAACCATTCTAAAGTTATCGTGGATACAGACGGACAGACGGACAGACGGACGGACAGACGGACAGACAGACAAGACATTTCCATAAAGGGGTTTTCACCCCTTAATAAATACCAACTAAATATTGTATTTAATCTCCAGTTGCGAGTCTTCAAACTAGCAAAATCCTGGCCCACACTGAATCTACTCATCAGTATCATGGGCAAAACCATGGGAGCTCTGGGAAATCTAGTCTTCGTATTTATCATCATTGTCTTCATTTTTGCCGTGATGGGGATGCAGCTCTTTGCTAAAAACTACTTTGATAAAGTTTCACTATTTCCGGGAGGGGAAATGCCTCGCTGGAATTTTACAGATTTTGGTCACTCTTTCATGATCATATTTCGCGTGCTTTGCGGAGAATGGATCGAGTCGATGTGGGATTGCATGTTGGTAACGGGTCCGGCTTGCGTCCCTTTCTTTTTGGCCACCGTGGTCATTGGAAATCTTGTCGTTAGTGAAATCCACTTATTAATTGGAAATAAATAATTATTGCATACACTAATTGACTAATGATTATTAACGCTGCAGGTTCTCAATCTTTTCTTGGCTTTGTTACTCTCTTCGTTCGGTGCATCAAATTTATCCGTGCCGACTGCAGATGCTGAAACGAATAAGCTGGCAGAAGCCTTCGCACGTATTGGGCGATTCAATCGATGGGTGAAAGGACTTATTCGATCCTTCTTCATGGGGATTATAAATTGTTTCATCTGTGCCAAGAATCGCGTCCTGCCACGTCCACCCCCACCACCCCCGGAACCAGAACCTGAGCCAGAAATCCAAGTGAAGAGAAGACCTCGCCTTGCAGGTACGAATGCAGAATTTGTACGTATAAGTGAATTTGCAAAAAAAAGTTGATATTTTAAATAACGTTTTCCTTCACAGAAACGGCCAGATTGGTCATGAACTCGAAGAAATTGATGAATGACTTGAAAAGATTGCATCCTGCTGGAGAAGACGGTACGGACGGGACGGGAAAAGATAACGCGGACACATTGTCCATGGCATCTTATGGGTCGCACAATTACATCACGTCGAAACCGGGGGTGCAGAGGAGAGGGCCTAAGGGAGGCGGTGGCGGAGGTGGAGGTGGAGGGGATGGAACTGACACGGGAGAAAAGTTGGACGGTGGTGAAGATGAGGTTGATTGGTGTGACGACGATTTGGAAGACGCGGAGGATGAAGAGGGCGAAGGCGAAGATGGCGAAGAACAAGTTGCCCCTCACGTCGTAAAGGTCGAAGAACCGGAAGAAGAATATCCAGCAGGTAATTTACATATTTGGGAAAACTTGTGTGCAAACTAATAAATAATCCGGTACCTGTTTCTTTTATTCTTTTGCAGACTGTATGCCACCCAGATTTTATGAGAGGTTGCCAATCTTTCAATGTGATGATACACCCTTTGGTGTCGTATGGATTAATTTGAGACTCAAGACGTTTCGACTTATTGAGAATAAGTATTTCGAAACTGCGGTAAATAGTTTGACTTAAACATTAACTTATTTAAACACACATTAAGTTCGGAACGGATAACATTAAACTGTGTAATTAATAATTATGATTAGGTTATTACCATGATTCTTCTGAGTTCGCTGGCACTTGCGCTTGAAGACGTGCATCTTCCCTCAAACCCAATCTTGACAGATATTCTATTCTACATGGATCGAATCTTCACCGTCATATTCTTTTTTGAGATGTTAATCAAATGGTTGGCTCTTGGGTTTGTGTCGTACTTTACAAATGCTTGGTGAGTGACGACTTTATTCTCAGTTAATTCCAAAGATTTCGATAATTTGAGTCACTACTTTCACTTTCCAGGTGTTGGTTGGATTTCGTTATCGTAATGGTCTCCCTAATCAACTTTGTGGCCGCATTGCTCGGGTTTGGCAGTGTACAGGCTTTCAAAACGATGAGAACTCTCAGAGCCTTGAGACCTTTGCGAGCCATGAGTCGGATGCAGGGCATGAGAATCGTCGTAAACGCTCTCGTTCAAGCGATCCCATCTATTTTCAACGTGCTCTTGGTGTGTCTGATCTTCTGGCTGATCTTCGCTATCATGGTGTGCAAAATATTCTATATGCGACTTATTATCCGCTTTGAGCCTTTTAATAACGTAATTAACACGTATGCATTTACAGGGTGTCCAACTCTTCAATGGGAAATATCACTATGTGAGTATCTAATGCATTTTGTCATAGTCAGGCTAGTCAAATTGATTCCTTATTAATTACACAATTGTTATTAATTTTTGCCTAGTGTGTCGACCCAGTTGACGGTGTTGAGCCGGATTACCGCATCATTGAAAACAAGCTGGAATGTTTAGCAAATAATTTTTCGTGGATAAATAGACCCCAAACTTTTGACCATGTCGGGAAAGCGTACCTTTGTTTGTTTCAAGTCGCAACTTTTAAGGGATGGATGCCCATAATGTAAAGATATTTAATTGCGGATATAAATTACGAGATATTTTGCTTTGATTTAATAAATTAAAAAAAACAAATGTTTACACAGGTATGCAGCCATTGATGCGAGAGAGATTAATCAGCAACCAGTGAAAGAGCACAATTTTGCAATGTGAGACACCTTCGACATGATTTTGGTGCACTATATTCCTAACTTGAACCGTTTTACGTGCAGGTACATCTACTTTGTCGTGTTTATCGTATTTGGCTCATTCTTCACTTTAAACCTCTTTATTGGTGTGATCATTGATAACTTTAATGAGCAGAAGAAAAAGGTTCGTGAATGTGAAAGTAGATTTATTGACAACTTAATGATTGACTAATAATGCTTTTAAATAGTCCGGAGGTAGTATGGAGATGTTTATGACAGAAGATCAGAAAAAGTACTATGCAGCCATGAAGAAAATGGGGAGTAAGAAACCAGTGAAAGCCGTTCCTCGTCCATCTGTATGCAAATTGAATTTTCAATTTTGTTCCATGCAATTTTTCTAAGAATTTCGTATAACTTTAAACAGTGGCGACCTCAGGCAATTGTTTTCGAGATTGTCACCCACCAGAAATTTGATGTAAGCAATTCCTAAAGAGTATTTAAAAATCTTAATCGCATTTATTATAATTTTACATGAATTTTCACAGATGATAATCATGTTGTTCATCGGAATTAACATGGTCACAATGACGATGGGTGCGGTTTTCTCGTTTTTATACTTCACTTTTGTACTTTGATTTCATGTCATTACGTGAATTTTGAAATTTTTAATTAAAACATTGTTCCTTTTAGATCATTATCAGCAAACGCAAATCTGGGATGACGTACTCAACATTTTTAATGCAATTTTTATTGCAATCTTCTCAGCAGAATGTTTCTCAAAAATATTTGCGCTTCGCCACCATTACTTTACAGGTACGGATACATGGCTTACATAAAATCAGAACTTGATATGCCTGTTTTATAACGATATTCACACAATACAAAAAATGTATATAATGTGATCCAGAAGCATAAATACTTTAGCATTCAATACCAATTTATATGTGTATATTTCTGTCTTTATGACGCACGAATCTCAATTTTTTGTATCAAAAATTCAATTCTGCAGCGTTGATAACTCTCGGGTCGCACCCAATTAATCATAATCAATTCAAAGCTTAAAATGTAACTACTATTTTTCAGAACCGTGGAACTTGTTTGATTTCGTTGTGGTAAGTTTGCATAAAATTCAGCCATCTAGTGCCAATTAATTATAATACGTACAACTAATTTAAATCAGGTGCTAATGTCAATCGCCGGGATGATGTTGTCCGACCTTATCGAAAAGTACTTTGTCTCGCCCACCTTGCTCAGAGTGGTTCGTGTCGCCAAAGTGGGGAGGGTCCTGCGTTTGGTAAAAGGGGCGAAAGGGATCCGGACGCTGCTGTTCGCTTTAGCCATGAGTTTGCCAGCCTTGTTCAACATTTGTCTTCTGCTCTTCTTGGTCATGTTCATTTTCTCCATTTTCGGGATGTCCTTCTTCAAAGACGTGAAGTTGAGGTGGGTCACAATCTGGCCGTTTATGAGGTGTCGATTAATTGACTAATTCCTATGCAATCTTGTAGAGAGGGACTCACAGAAGTTTACAACTTTCAAACTTTTGGTCAATCGATCATCCTACTTTTTCAAATGAGTACGAGTGCCGGATGGGCTGAAGTGTTGGCCGGGATTATAAAGGAGGACGAGTGCGAGTTACCCGATACGGATTTGGGCACTTCCGGGTATGGAATATAACTAAATTTAAAACTGAAATTATTTTTGACACGAGCGGATGATTACAGAAATTGTGGAAATGCCACCGTTGGAATTGCTTTCCTTCTGGCGTATCTCGTCATGACCTTTCTCATTATCATCAACATGTACATTGCCGTGATTTTGGAGAATTATTCACAAGCAACAGAGGAAGTTCAGGAGGGCTTGACTGATGATGATTACGACATGTACTATGAAATTTGGGCACAATTTGATCCCGACGGGTCGCAGTATATAAGGTGAGCAATAAATTAATGAACTTTAATTATATAGTAAAAACATTAGTTAATTGCCAGCATACGTTAATATGTACTCATTGCTATCACTCAATGTCCACAGATATGACCAGCTCTCCGACTTTCTCGATGTTTTGGAGCCTCCAATGCAGATTCATAAGCCGAATAAATATAAAATAATTTCAATGGACATCCCCATTTGTAAGGGTGACATGATGTATTGTGGTACGTGAAAAACATAAATATTTGCATATTTTATTTAGTATTTAGCATGCTTGGTGTCAGATTTGAATAAAATTCCGTTATTTATCTAGTTGACATTCTTGATGCCCTCACTCGAGACTTCTTTGCCCGAAAGGGGAATGCTATTGATGAAGCAGTGGAAGTAAACGAGGTTCAAGTTGCTGCCGATAGACCCGGATACGAACCAGTCTCATCCACCCTGTGGCGACAGAGGGAAGAATATTGCGCCAGACTTATACAAAATGCGTGGCGACGCCATAAAAATGTTGGCGTGGGTGGTGCGCCGGACAGTGCGACGAAGACCTCTGAACAGACTGACGTCGTTGTGGAGGCAGGAGCCCCAGAGGATGAACCAGATGAGGTTCTCGTCATCACGACGGGATCAGGATCACCCACAAGTCCGAAAGAACCAGTAAACGTTTAAGAGAATAGTTTCTTCATCTTGACTTAATCTCGCTTTTTCAAGACATTTCTAGAGATTTATTCATTCCTGAGAAAAACAGAACTAAAAAGAGACACATTCAAGTACTACTTGCTACTATATTTGTAGAGCATGATATTATTGAGCAATACTGAAATACTTACCCATATTATTATTATTATTGTTATTAATTAACCATAGTTTAACAGAGACAATCGCGCATAAATACTATAAATATGTATGATTGTTGGGTTGAGTTTTGTATCATATATTTAAATAACCTAATATACAATTAATAATAATTTGTTACTTAAATATTTAGCTACTTAATACTGAGCTATAGGTTGGTCGATAATAATTCGCAGTTTTAAATCAGACTTTCTTTTATATTCAATCCTTCACACGTCTGCTCTATTGGACTTGCCTAAGGAAGTATCCTAACTAATATGCATCTACCCGTTCTGAATGATATTTAATTACAAATATGTAACCGGTGTGTATGTAAATGTATTTAAAAGTGCGCTGGATGCATAATAATATACAAACATATGTACATGTGTAGCAATCTTATGAGTAATTAACGACATAAACTGCAATGCAACAACGACTTGTTTGAAATACATTAGACGAAATCCACTACTTCATAATAATAGTTTGTGCAATCAATCCAGTTAATCAGCTTGTGCAACGAAATTTTACATGATCTAATAATTAGCATGAGTTTTACGACCGGCTGAAATTGTACAATTCAATCAAAATAAATGAGCACTTTTGAAATGAAATTTCTTCAATTCTGCATTTATTAATTTACATATTATTATGCATATATAATAAAGTCAATAATAGTGAACTACATTTGCAATTTGCATTCTTCGTTCGAAATAGAATCCAAGAATAGCTATAAGCCAAATAATTCCCATTAAACCAAATAATGGAAACAAATTTATCAGTCCAATCATTTGCTCCGTCTCGTTATTAACTTTCGCCATGCCCCCATTGCCACCACGATTAGAAGCTTTCTGTTCCTCAAACTTTAATCGGAGGGCATCATATCTCTCCCAAAAATTAAGACAACCCGATTCAATTAATCCTTGATACGTCCTCATTAACTCGCCTTTCATAAACATCTCAAAATGATAACCTCGAAAAACTGGGCGTAAAGGTTGCGTAACTTGAAAACATTTAACCCTTGGGTTCTCATCCTCCAGTCTGGCTCTGGAAATCGTCCACGCCGTGATCAGAGATGACCATCCAGTATCCAGATAGAAGGCAATTTTGTGTCGCCTCTTATTGAACAGGATTTCCGACAGTTCTGGAGCTGTCAACGACACCTTGTCCCAAATCGGGTGCAGTGAGCTGTTCCACTTGTCTGAAGAAATTCGAGCAAATACAAACTCTTCCTCCAACGTTTCTAACGTGTCGCTCCAAGCCTTCTGTGATGGTGCTAAAGCTGCTATTTTGTATCCTGATCTTATCACGGCAGAAAAATTTAATAAAACTTCCAGTTTTGAAGGAACAATGATGCTGCTGGTAACAAAGTTTTCGTACATTGTGAGAATAACGGACATGCACAATGCAAATACGCCAAGCAGCATGTTGGTCATGTTAAATTTCTGAAGAGACGCACTACATTGGCGGAAGAGGGTCACGTAGATGAGAAACATGCAATTTGAGAATGATACGTGTTTCTTCCGTCGGGTAATTTTTTTAATCAGCATTGTTGTTGCAGCCATGAGGATACATGATGCGAAATACAAACCAGACGTCCCTTTGATATGGGAGAATCCAAGCCTTAAAATTTCTGCCTGAAATTGCATCCACATTTTTATGATTATCGCAATAAACAAGTAGATGGTCGTCTGTTTGCATTTGTTTGATAGAAAGCCGAATTCTTGGGGAGGTCATGTGTTCAATTATCATGTAGGTATCGATGTATCCGTGTGTGTTTGAGGAAAAATTAACTTCATGCACAATGCTAAGATTGTTATAAGCTGTTAGCAGTTCGGTAACTCTGATGGACTAAAAAGTATATAAAAAATAATAGCAGCCGAATTACTAAATATTATTAAAAGTATCTGAAAAATGGGAGTATAAATATGTCAACACTTACCTTGGATGCGCAGAATAGGGTTTTCTCGGTATCAATAAGAATTGATTTTTTCAACCATGGAGCTGCCAGACATATTTTTTTGCTTGGGATATTTTTAAATGATCGTTTTGAAATGGCAATGCCTCACTGTCTCCAAACGTCTTTGTCATGCAGAGTATTATCGCTTACGCGAATGAAAGTTGGCCCATGGTTGGAGCTGAAACGTGATAATAGAAACCAGACTGATTTTTGGGTTTTGTGAGTGAAAATAACGTGGAGAAAGTAGATATTTCCAGGGATGAGTCTTAAACTTGGCGATAATTTGAGCAACGTCGGGTTAGATGTCGAAATTATAAGAAACTTTGAATGTGCTTCGCTGATATGTATAAGTTTCCCATTTTCAACGTGAGTCCATATAGGTACACTAAATTCATGAAAGTTTGACACCATGAAACCTTGACGTGAGCATGGCTCAGTTTTAATAAGGCTACTATTTGTGGGTTCGTGGATTTTATTTTCATTTGATAAATTTGTAATTGAGATCCTCAGACTGGTAAATATATTGACTTCATCTTTAAGCCAATCTGACAACAAGGATGACAGAAGTAAAGGATTGTGTGGTGTTGCACTTTGATAAATAATTAAATTTAGTCCACAATTAGCAGAATTTTGGAATGGATTAATGAAATTAATAGCTGTTGTGAAACAATCCATCTTTGAGATACTTAATATAACTAGTAGAACCTGGGTGACAATAGCCGGTGCCATTTTGCATATTATTAGGATCAAGACGTGATTTAAACTGTAAGTGTACGCGTACGGCGTACTAGTTTTGATACACAATGTGACTTTATTCTTTATTATAACGAAGCGTGATAAAGACCTTATCATAAGATCCTTTATAATTCGAAGGTTGAATAGGACAAACTACTAACCAGCCACAAAAGCCCAGAAATCGTTCGTGCAAATTGCTGGACTGAATAACCCTAAATCCGTAATATTGCTCGTCTTAAATAAATTGGCAATTATTTTTGTCACCACAATCTATTATAATTAACGAACATATGCATATCATTCATATATAAGTAAATATGTCGTTATGCAGCACGACATTAACTACTATTACATAGGTTATAAGTTGTAAAATTAAGCAGCTTGGACAATAGTAACACATGTATGATTGGTAAAATATATGCAACTTTTATTTTGTAAACTTGCAGTTCGAATAATTGTATTTTTGAATTATTTGACACAAAAAAATAAAGCAATAATCATAAACCATTTGTCATTGACATCAAACTTTTCCACAATGTTGATGTTAACCCATCAAAGCATGTACATACGCACTATGAATTATGAAACTTGACAATTCATCATACAACACCTGCAATTCTGTTTTTGTCGATTTTTCTTATTTTTACAATTTCCAAGTCCCAATATCACGTGGATTAAAATTGCCAGGTACAATTCCCCCACCCACACGTACATACAGTAGATTTCAATCTTTAGAGTTTTCGTGGCTTCACACTTAATTTCATCCTGAAAACAATTACATAAAGACAAAATATATATATAAGATGGTAAAATCCTAGTGTATCTATGTAAAAAATATTGACATCCGTCTTGGTACCTGAGGTTCAGTTGGTTTCAGCCCAAATTTTATATCCCATTCGGTCAAATTTGTCCCACAGACACCAGCAACGTATAGTCCGAACGTTGTGGACATTTTGGGAGCAAACCTCCCGTTGCATTTAACTTCTTTTGGACAATCTCTCCGGTTCTGCGTTTGTTCCAAGGCTCCCATTACGAGCAGAATGGTGCTTGCCCAACATGTTATCATTATCAGATCCACCTAATAATAAGCGACGACCCAAATAATCCATTCATTTAATAAATCTCTAATTTGTTCATATGCGATTTTTTCACCAAAGCCAAATGTTTCCATCGTATGGGAACTTGGCATCTGTCAAGAACAAGAACTGTCCCTGTCAGAAAGATGACAATTGCACAAGTCGTCAACAGAATAATGAACGTCCAAGAATTTCCAGCCTCATAGAGATCCAATGGGGGTTGAATTTGTAACCACAGAAAACTGTAGACCGTGAGGAATGTTGTCGCGGACACCTATTTATAAAAAAATGCATATAGTATCGACAAATAAATAGTATCAAGTATTAATTCCTTAGTTAGTTTACCAGTAAAATTCCATATGCTATTCTTGTCACGCGTAGTCGTTTTTCATTTAGCTGGTACGGGATGCAAGTGGTGGTTTGTTGAGGTGGAGTATTCTGATCTGCAGTCGAAATGCAGGACAACTTTCCTGGAGTGACCATTGTCATTATGAATTTTCTTCGGATTTAATTTAACTAATCGATTTGAGAGTGTGTCATTTGCTATCTGCACATTCGGTGCAAATAAAATCTAAGATTGCTAACAACTTTCATCCGTATACATGTATTTATTTATGCGGAGCGTGTGTATGTACGTGTAAGGACCCACTCATTGTATTGATTTATGGGAAAAAAGGTAATATTGCATGTGTAAAATAATGAAAATAAAACGTGACGCTTTCTCCCACTCTAAATATGTAAGTATAATACTCGTTTATTAATAGTTGTTGGTCACATATTGTGGCAATGTATGTATTTCTTCAAACTACTTATTGCGAAACAAAGAAGAGTTCATATTACAGTTTCGATCAATGAAATATTGATTAATTTATTTGATCGATCCAAGTTCTGTTTCGGTTATAACTATTGATCTAAACCTATGTTTATTTAAGACTTGTCCTTCGAATTGTAGATTGTAGTAATGCTTAATATAAATATAATATTTATATTTAATCCTCAAACTGCTAAATTAATTGTAAGCTCAAATGTGTTCTGAGATTTGCAAGGTACTGACTCAACTCTATTTAAAAAGGAATATGACAAAGAAAACAATAAATTAATACAAAGTCATGAGCAAATATTGCTTATCTGCAGTTCATAAAATTCTACAAACATATAATCAAGGTTAGAGGTCAACGTCATAAACCAAGAAATTTAGTAAAGTATACACGAATTTATGCATGTGTATCCTTGTGCATATGTACGTACTTTTTCAACAAGCCGATTTCATTCGTCGTCGTCAGAATCACTACCACTGTCTAATGTCACAACTTCTGGCGGGGGACGAAATGGTGTCCCCAAACACACAATGTCAGGAGGTTCAGGAGGTTCAGCCTTTTTCATATTCATCTGAGCATGAAACTTATTTAGTTCCTGTTTGCATAAGGCCAATACATCGTCGACTTTGGGAATCTTTGCAAGCACGACTCTTTTCATTTTCTTCAAGGCTGGAGTATTTCTAGGGTAAAAGTCGGTCAGTCCCAAATTCACGCTGGAACCATCAACAATTTTGTATTTTTGGACAGTCAATCGGCTTAGGAATGATTCCAGGGAACTGAGAAAGTCCTGATCAAGGTAGCGACGGAGGCGATTTCTTATTGCTAAAAGTTCGATGGTGCACCATTTAATGTTGCACTGAAAAGTTGTATGACGAATTAAATAATGAAGGTCATGAATCTATCTAAGCTAATTTTACCCTTTGAATATCCATATTTCCTATGAGACAGTCCAGATTTTCTGCGTCGGTGAATGACAAATTAGGTGGGCTATCCGTATTTTCCAAGATTAGACAAAGTGCCCATAAGCATGCCTTCCGACCAGTGTTGGTTAGAGCGACCTGTTTCAGTAATTATTTGAAAGTCAAGCATAAATGAGCGCACGCTAATATTCAACTTGCTTTTTAGGCGCAAATAACTTGTATACCTCGTCTTGCAATAATACTTGAAGATATTCCGAGTCCTTGTGACCGAGGCCAATGCGGCGACTTTTTATGAAAACGCTTACAAGTTGATGAATCGTCTTCACGTATTTCGAGCATTTTTCTGATTTTTTTGAAGAATCTTGTTGTAGGAGTTCATTTCTACTTTCAACAAATTGTTGAATTAATTTGAGTTGTTCCTCATCAAAATTGTGCGCAGGTTTAGATATTTTTCTGGTTGAAGGGTTAGCACAAATTGGAGCAGATTTTGTCTTTTTAATTTGGTCAAGTAGAGTTTGATCTGATTCCCAAAGTGACATTTCCTCATCGTTAACTGGTTGATATACTGGTTCCCAAACTGGTATCGGACTATCTGCAAGTGTAAAATTTATTTAAACTTGAATTTCCGAATAAGTAGAGTATATTCTATGTATACATATGTAAATAATTTTGTCACTGTTTTAAAATACCAATTGTTGAGTCATCTGGAGTTTTCTCGTATTTCTCAGGTTCGTCTTGCAATAAAACGGAATTATCCGGAGTCCTTATAATTTCCCGACTTGTACGTTTCTGTTTTTGTAAATCTTCCAACCCCTTGTCCGCATCCCCAAATGGTCTAATGTTCAATCCGATTTCGGAGCATTCTATCTTGACGGATTGTAGAATTTTTAAGTGGGTCGCCGCAACGGAGCACAATTTCTGACTTTTTACCTTTGTTATAAATATTAGAGTAAGTTATTTACGACATATGTATCAATGACATGTTTAAGAGTGGTAAAAGCTTATAATCAATGAACCTGCTCTAAAGTTTTGTTAAACACGTCTGTAAAATATTTTATAATTCTGTCAATTTCTCCCTTGCTTTTGACTGAGATGGTATCAGATTTTAATTTTTGTACGAGTTTCAGTCCTCGAACAAGGCGGACAAAAACCATTATCAGCTTGACACGTTTGGAAGGTTCTCCCTATAAAGTAACAAGTATAATTACGAGTCTGGGCGAAATCTGTAATCTAAATAGAGATTAAATTACAAATGTATTTAATTTACCTCTGGATAAAATTCTTGTTGTCTTAATAATCTGATTAGAAACTGAAAGTTGTTCACGGTGTCTTTATAGTCGCACATAATTTTCAGAATTTCAAACACCTGCTTGTTTAAGATGTCATTCTGCGACAAGGTATGCACAGATTGGGAAGTAAGTTTAGTAGCCTTAAGGAATGCTGAATATGCTTTGTCTTCTGCACTTTTAGGTAACCTTTGGATAGTCGAAAGGTCGTTGGGAGGTTGGAAAGGTGTGGAATGTATGTCCCATGGTGTGCACTACAAAAGTTTGTATCATTAATTTTTATAACAACCATTTAATATGTTCTGTGCAAGAGGGTGCATTTAAATGAAAGAGAAATATCAAGTAGAACCTGCATTAGTGGGGTTAAAGGTCGCGGATGAGTCCAACCAGAGTTTTGGAATGGGAAACGTCGAGGTGCTTGCCAAAAATTTGGTGGGTGGTTTGAATAAAAACGAAAATCTGGATAAGGTGCAGGATAGCAAGGTCCATCCATTCTCCAGTTTGGTGAGCTTGCATTCTTGAATAATGGTCGGCCTAGGCGGGGTGGTCTCCACGGTCTGAAAGGATACCTTGGACCTTGGAAATACTGATTTGGGTGCTCCATAATAGTGCTAATATTTATTTTAATAATTTAATAAACGCATCTTCAGTGATACACAAATTTTCTGCAAGTATGTAGCAATTGGTGAATTAAATTAATTATTAATTTATGAGATAGCGTCACTTCCTGCATACCAGGTTGCCTCTGTAGCAATGTAGTCCATCACAAAAATGACACTTTAATTATTTTAGCACAAACTTTATATGAACACATTACTACATTTAGTTTCCACTTACAAATCTTGGATTTATACATACAAACATAGTTGCAAGAAAGAGTCATGTATAGAGTTACAGTCAGTCCAGGTTTTGCATTTTAGAGATTAAAATAATTGATGCAGATATTTATACAAATATTTAGGTAATCTGAACTATGTCCATACATTTTAGCAACCGAAGGGTACTTGCCAGTAATTTTCACTCATTCGTGCAGGAGGCATTTGCATATGTACATATATACATATGTACATACATATCCTAAGTAATACATGTGTACTGCAGTTAGACATGTATGTATGTATGTATGTATTGCTACTGTTTCTTGAACGTGGCGATCTTTATCTCCTGCAAATTCCAATGTTGATTTGTGTCGATTATTATCTCACGAGAGAGTTTAATTTTCTCGGCCTGGTTTGTCAGAAAGATTTTGACTTGAAGATGAATCATCATGTACGTTTGGTACGACACGGTTTATGGATAATTTCTTCCAAGAAATGCTTAAATACTTTCTATGTACAATTGGACAATACGACTAACGGTTGCATGCATTCCGTTCTATGTAGAAACTTTAACTTTGAGGAGGTATCATTTTAAATCTTTTCCTTTTACTGTTAAACTTGGTACATATTGATATGTATAGTTTCTCATGAGTGATACTTTCTACTTCTGCTCATTTGCATTAACCAAAGGTTTCAAGAGACAAAAATCCAAAGCCTTTTATACAAGTGGTGAGACTTAAAGGGTCAACACGGTTTTTCAGCGTGATGCACAAAGTCCAAGGACTAAGGACGGCTGGATCGAGGGTCTCATTGAAAAAATGCTACTTTCTATGCTACATGCATACATATCTGTACATATATGAAGAAACATTTAATTTAAACGGTTTCAATTGACATGGTTTAAATGATCTCATGATCATCAGAAGCTAGTTTGGCAAAACTCGAACATGTTGGTTGTAAATATAATGCATGGCTGAATGGATTGTGGGGTTGTCATTTATGCAGTAGCACATGTACGATTTGGATGACAATAAATTATAAATATAAAAAATTAGTAAGCTGATAAACATTTTAATGGGATTGTGGGAGCGGCTAAATAGATTGTTCTAAAACAGAATGCTTATAAGTTTTTCGCTCCATCTCGTCAATAAATATGTCAGCTTATTAAAAGACTTGATAAAAAAATTCTTATTAAAAGGTTTGATTACAATTTACTTATCGACCTCATTGATCGTAAATAAGTAAGTATACAGTGTACAGTATTCTGTACGTTAAGTAACCTTGTAATTAAGTAAATTAGGTCCGTACATAAATAGTCTATATGAAGTACGTCGTTGTCTTTCTACAACTAAAGATAAGCACGTAAGACACAACGTAAACTATTGAATATGCTTTCACTCGAAAATTACATGCACTTACCTATATACATATTTATAGGTACACCGTGATGGTTCAGTAATAGTGAGTCGTCTTACGATTTATGATGTAAGCTGACAAAATTATAATGATTTTGACGTAACATGTTGAAACAAGGATTCTTTGCGTTGTTATTTTATACCACTTCATTGGCTCAATCTAAAATTTTCAAATTAGATGAGCCACCAATCCACACTTCGTGTTTAATCAATTTGATAACTCTCAGCACCTCAGCGTCATCCATGAGACCGTTTGCCTCAATTGTGCACGACAACACGAATAGTATCCCCAGGGATGGACATTTACTATGGACAATTACCACCAACACTTCCCGTCATCACAACAACCCACCTATCCATCCCATTGAAGCTTGCGTTATAATGATAATTGTGGAGGGCGACATCGCCGACTCAAACAAACTCTTTGATACATTTACAAATATTAACCAAACTTTTCGAGTTGGGTCAACATTTTCCGTCATAATTGTTCGACTTGACACTCATCCTGACCGAATATGGAATTTTCCAGGATTGGCATTTTCCATTCCAAAAGTGTTTCTCCATTTCCTATCAATAGAAAAAGTTTATGATGGAAGTTTGAAGAATTTAAAGAAATTTCCACACCTTTTCCGATGCATTATTTGTCGCAGGTATAATTACTGGTTGTTTACCGACTTAAAAATCGAAGCAAATATTCACACCATTGATTTAAAAGTGTTACGACATACTTGGGATGCTACGAATTTCATCGCTTTAGTCGTAAATCGAGAGTCAATTATTCAATCATACGACTTTTGTCTGCAATCAATCCAAATTCGTCATGCTCACCTAAAACAAGTGAGGTCGGAACATATTTTCTGCACTTTGGAATTTATGTTGTTTGAAGTTTTAGCAAAGGCGTATAACTTTACCCCAAAATATCTCCAAACTTATCAAAAGCTTCACAATTATCCGACTGGTTGGATGATTGAGGCAGTTGGATTTGAGGATTATGCTTATCATCAACTTAATTGTTTATCATTCAAAGGTATATATGCTACAAAGCTGTTGTATTGTGATTTCGAAAAGAGGGGTACAATTTTTGGCAGTTCTGATGATGGACTTCGTGGTTTGATGTGGTTTCGCCCGTTTGGAAAGTGGATCTGGACCGTAATTTGTGTTACATTTTTCTTCGTCACATTTATTTTGTTTTGTGCACTGCTCTTTCATGATGCTCTGCACTGGAGGGAGAGAATCTGGGAGCATTTCTGGGCCGTGTTTTTCTTCTCAGGCGTTTCTGCCCTTCTTGGTCAAGAAACTAAGTGGATCAACAGTCGAGTTCATGTCAGATTCAATCTGTGTCTCATATTGTCCTCGATGATGTACATTATTTCGTTATGCTATCAACATTTCATCACGAGCCATATAATTGCTCCAGATAAAGTGAAACCCTTCCAGAATTTAGGTAAATTAATGAACGCAGGATATAACGTCGCCATTCAGAAGAGGGAATCTGAGATAAATGAGACTTTGCAAAATCCAAAGGATGATCTAATAATGACTTTGATGGAACCATATGTCGCAAAATTTATGGTCAGTGAGAAGAATAAAACATCGCAGTCTTCCTGGGATAAGATGACCGTGGTGAGAAAAGAAGGAGCGAATGAGTCGTCCTTTGTTTATTTGAGGGAAATGTTTGGAAATCCGGGGAGAAAGTTGGCTTGGTTGGATAGGAGTACCGACGGGAGTGGAAATACGGAGGGAGAAAATTTGTACTCGCTTTCACTACTCCGATATTCCGTAAAGGACGTGAAATGTTTTAAAGTTAGGGAAGAAATTATGAAAATTTCATATTTTACGTATTTTGCAGGACCATTGAGAAACTATTGGAAGATGAATTTACGAATTTTTGAAGAGTTTGGATTGCCCAATTTTTGGATTAATAAACACATTTATGATCGTAACCTTAATTTTCACAACAATTACGTTCGCGTAAATGCTAGTGATAGCAATACAAAGTGGAATCTTGTAAAATTAAGGAACATATTGTCGCTTTGGTGGCTTTGTGGATGCATCTTATTTCTAGCGGTGATAGTTTTAACAATGGAGAGAGGCTGGATAACAAAGGCCATAAAAGTGTAATTTTATCGCTTGTTTTTTATTTTTGTATTTGTATGTACATCAGACACGAAAAATTTACGGAAAATAAATCTGTTCATATATTATGATAGAAATTCGTGAGCAGCTTGTCAGTGTTATGCGGTTCAAGTGTCAATCATGTCCTATATACGAGACGAGTCGTGGATTTTACTGGAGAAAGTTCGTGCTGAAAGTGTGTAAACTTTTTGGAGAGAAGAAATATGAGCATGACTGGTAACCTGCTACTCCAGTCCGAAGTTCTCCTTTCACACCCGACTACCGAAATATATAGACCACCACAACAAGTGGTACAACTGGTACAAGATGTGAATCCATCATTTTCAGCTGGTTCCTTATTGCATACTTTGCATTTTTATATAAAAATCTAACATTTTAAAATTTAAAAAGTTACGTAAAATAAATCATACAAGAACTTTGTTTGATATGCATACTGGACAATCACTTTCACTCATCATTTTGTATATTTATTTGCGGTTTTGAGGTTGTTAACAAAGTGCTAGTAAATAGTAAATTTCTGAAATCATGAGTATGAAACTTAGCAATTGGCCGACATCACTCCCATCAACGTTACTCAGGTGGCAAATTGGCATTCCGCTTCATCGACATGAAATGGATGAAAGTCCAAGGTGAGTACATTAATTAATTAATATGCCATAATTAGCGTCTAAACAAATTTGTACATATTTTTATGTCAGGATGACCACCAACATTATCCGACAGCTTTTAAAATCCCGATCGAATTCTAGTCAGACTGGGATCGAGACCGCAATGGTGTACGACCCGGAAGTTCACCGCAGGAAGAGGAGAAAGCTGGATAATTCCGGTTCCACCACCATCACCCCACACAAATGGTCATGCATCTTCTCGCAACATCTTATCGATTATGAATTTCTCAATCAATACATCATCGTGCAAGGTCGAGAGCAGTCGCATTTCTTTACTCCTTCCAAATCAATTCATACTCTGCCCACGCTGCACTTCTCCGTCCCATCCTGGCGCAGTTATGACGTCTGGCATATTAAACCGAATATGCCGCTGATGACAGTGGGAGGAGTTTTGGTCAAAATTCCAAATACTTTAATTCTGCTGGGAGAAAACGGGAGGGAGTTGTTCTTGTATGGGATGGAAATTGGGAAAAAGTTGGATGAGGAATCAATGGAAGAAGAGTATGATGACGTTATTGTACACGAAGGGGAAGATTTGATATACGTGGGGTCATCAGAGAAGCAGTATTTGGTCTTCAAGTACCCCCCACTCCAAGTCATGCACAGGGTCGTCATTCCCAGCAATGTTTGGATCGGGCTGAGAGGATTCGAACGTCTTGGTGGAATTGCGCTAGCGTCGAAAAAGAATAACGTTGAGGTGTTTGATTATGAGGAGCTGATCGCAATTAATCGAGATGAGAGTACAGGTCGGGACATTGTTTTGAAGAAGCAACCTGAACCCTTGGTTTCTTTGAAGACCCGAAATGGTTATCTTGTTTTCCTTGCGGGGTCATTCCCTCCAAAGGTTGTGGTTGAGAGGAGAAGGGGTTTAGAAGCGGTATGTATTTGCATGCTATCGTGCTTAATTTATTTGAATTCTACAAATCCGAAAGTAATGACTCATGTAAAAATATTTGTCAACAGATTTACAGTCTGGAAAATGAAAAAACTCCAATTTTCTATGTTATATCTGATCTGCAGTGGTCAGACGGCGACAAAGGAATGATACAATGTTTTGATGAACAGAGACAAATCATTTTCGTGTTTCGACAACAAGTGGGATTTGAGTAAGTGTATCAAAATTATTTAGTAAAGAAAACGTAGTATTTGGTGTGAAAGCAAAGAATTTATTCTGGCATGATTTCCATTTTTTCACAGCGTTTTAGGTTTTAATGAAGAAGAAGGAATATACAAGAATATTTTTAAGAGTAAGGATTTGCTAAAGAAGTGCGATATGGCAAAATTGAGGAGAATTTGTGGTGGCGTTAACGAAGCAGCGTCGTCCAATGCATCAAGAAGAAATAGGGATGGACTTCGTTCCAGGAAGGATAAACCAGTCAATGACAACTTGGAAGAATCTTTGAAACAGTGGGGAGTTGGTTATGATGAAACCTTTGGTAATTTTGTGATATTTTTTGCCTAGCAGAAATTATGGCAAATTCTAAGCATTTTTTCCTCCTTGCAGATTTGCTAGCGGTCTGTTTATTCTGTGAAAGTTTGCTGTGGACCTTTATCTTGGACAGTGATACTTTAAAAATGGATGTTTTTCGGGCATTAAATCCTGTCCAGATTTCTGTCCCTCGTGTACCTGCGAAACGCTTGGGCTGCTCTTCTATCAATGTTCATTTTTACGAGTGGTTCATTTCTGTAAAGCTTGACTTGTACAATATTGACTCGTTCGTTAAGTATGAGCAAGTTTATACATGCAATCTATTTGGGGAGGAAACGAGTACAACATAGTCAATTCTCATAAACATGTATTTGGAATTTATTTGTGCGTGTATTTTTTATATGTATTTTGTTCATGAACGATTTTAAAAATAAATTGCGTGTCCCGGTATTTAAAAGGTTTCCTGAAAATTGTATTTATATTTAAAATAATTACTTATGTACATTTGTTCTGTTGGTTATTTAATTACTACGAACTACAAAGAAGTACGACATGCTGTTTTACTTTTTTGAGTACGGATTCTTCACTAAATTTTTATTTTGCATGAACCACGTCGCATAGTAGTTGTTTCCGTCGAGTTGTTTAGCTTTTTTGAACTCGGACTCGATATACTCCGCCAGCTTTCCCTGACCACAAGCAGCATGAAGTGCGTTTATGTCGCATTTCAGGACTTGCAGAAGTGCCGTGTAGACGTTGAATAAATCTTCTTCGTCTTCTTCCGTTTTGCAATTTACGAATCCGTAGTCAATCCGAGCTGGAGAAGATTTTTCAAGAAGTTCATTGTTATTCACGGCAGAAACAAGATGATCCAGCGATGTCACTTGAAGTGTTGGTGGTGGTGGTTTGGATGTCATATTTGCCTTCATAAAATTAAATGTTTTACAAAATATGTTAGAAATTATGATTATTACGAGGTAAATAATAACATACCTATCGTTGTTTTTTTACAACTTTTGTGAATTACTATGCACCAGTCTAGACACAACTTTTATTCTTCTGCCAACATCGAAAGTGTTGCGTAGTCTGAACTTCGTTCAGAACTGCAAGCGTAACAGCGGTGAAAATTCATTAGTGGGAAAATTGTAGTGGTGACAGCAAATTTAATTTAGTGCACTCGCGTCAAAATTGCAAACTTTTTCTCTGCGTTTAAAAAAATCCACTAATGGCGATTGGCGATGCCAAGAAAGATAAGTGCAACCAACCAACAACATGCATGCATATGTACGTGGATTATTATTATGAACTCGATAAAAATGATGTCACCTGCCACACACAACGTTGGCATTGACATTTATTTCTTTTGCGGAGCCGACGCTTTTAATGATGGAGCCAATCTTGATTTTACATAAGATTTCAGTTGCCTCTCGTAATTCAACCTGATGTTTCGCACTTTGATATAAATAGGAATGAAAGGTTTAGTTCAAGAAGCCGGTATGTGGGCAGCTGGTACATATTTACATATTTATGCAGTTACATATTTCTGGTTAATGGAGTCTCCACTATTTTTAAAGTGGATGAATGAGGTCTATTTATTATGGATACTCCGAACTTTAATTAGAAAAAAACTGACAAGGTCGAATTTAATTGAACTAAACATTCTGAATGAGATGATAAACATGATACCGTTTTGTTGGTTTGAAACTTGGTGAAAAAATTGGAACGAAACTACTAGTAGACTTTTTCATTGACCCGGTACGTATGTACATATCTGGCAACGGATGACGTAGGATATCGTAGTAATAGTTGAGAAATGAAGCGATAAATAAATACGTGTTACCAATATTCGCAAGAATGATTTCCTGCATTGTAACTCAATATAGTAAGCATAAGCATCCCTTATGCACATAACTGTGAGGTCAACTATTCTTAAATATATGGATATGTGGTACTTTTAGAAATAATGAGTATATTCTTGTGTGGAACAAACTCTCAAATTCACTCCAATTAAGAGGAAATTCATAAATCTCACACTAGATGAAATAAATAACGTTTTAAATAAACCAGCAATTACATGCGACAGTACACAAAGTGTTAATCTTGAACAAACCTTATTCTTTATTAAAAGTTAGTGGCAAATTCTCTAATTGAAATTCTAAAGTTATGTATGCGGAGTAGACTGATTTATTACAACGACAAAACAAAAAAATCCTTTAAACCGGTGGTCGGCATCAAGTGTAAAATATGTATTTCAAATTTTATTGTAAGGTTGGTGCATTTGGCTTGCAGCCCGTGCCATCAGTATTGCAGCTGCCTCCTATACCTTTAAAATAATTAAAGTTGAAATTAAAATAAAAGTTTATTGTAGTAACAATTTAATTTCGCATAAGTCTCGCATACTTGTAACACATGCTCCGAGCACTAGTTGGCCACGACACGGGTTGCATTTGCATCTCCATTGATATCGCCAACGGTACCAGCGTCGTTCGCATTTCCCAACATTGTTTCCGCATGATGCTTGACATTGTGCGTTATCGGGGCAGCCCTTGTCACCTAAAAAAGTACAAGGTTAGAAACACACATTGTACAATGTGTAAGTTATACACCTCAGTTTATTACGGTACCTGATACTGAATCCATTATGAGCACAATGGCCAACAGAACTCCGAGCAGTCTCAACTTTCCCAGCATTTTGTAATATTTTATTTTCAAGCGACTAAATACACCAAGATTATAATGATACGTATTAGATGCTAACAAGCACGGACTGTAGTAATGTGACTAAATAGATAAGGATAAATCGGTTCTATTTTATACTTATTTAGAGCCATATTTCTACCTCACGTCATATATTTCAAATTTTTCCATCCATGTCTTTTCACTCCGTGGAAAGTGATTAATCGATAAGTAATTCAATGAATTACGTTTAATTCTAGGAACTAGCATTATGATTTATCAAAGGGGATAACTATGTATCACCAGACGACGATCAGATGAAAAGAATTCATTATTTAAGTGAATTTGTCCAACCACGTCAACGACGATTATTGGTTGTGCAGAACCCACCTTAACGTTAAATAAGTTAATGCAATATTTATGGAGTAATATTCGTGGCATGGCATAAATTTTATGGAAATATTTTATTAACAAAAAGGTGTCTGCCTTATGTATTTACTTTGGCTGCTATATTAGAGATTATAGACATATGTAAATAGACGAACCACATACACCATGTCACATGAGTAATTCTAATCACTTCTCAATAATTGAATACGTCTATTATAGCGTGAATCTGGAGTAGTAAGATAGTTCATATTTATTACACCTTCCAAATTATGACTTGATTATAACCTGTAAATCTCATCGACGTGTATGCATAAAACCATTATTTAATGGATTATGTAACAACATACATATTTAGTTTACTTATTAATTTTTGTAATCCATAAAAATATCTATTTATTATCAGTTGCATTAATCAATTAAAGTATATCTAGCAGAAATATGTACAAAAAATCAATATTAACTTTGCTTGAACATGTTTTTCAAATTTTTCATTTTACAAACATTCCACGCAGAGTTTGATAACCTAAGCAGAATCCACTCAAAGTTAACTTTTCACCTCGGTGAGGTTCACAATTCTCTTGAAGCTGACCGTAAATGGCTGCTGGGATGATGAGGAATATGAAAAGTAGGAACATCAGTAGAATCGGATGATACTTGATTTTTAGCTGCAAAAGAAGCAATTAAAAATGTAGACTAAAATTCAATCAAGGTTTTTAATGTTTGCATACCTTTTCTTCAACTGTGGAAAATCTTTGAGGTTTTTCCTTCCGGAATTTTGTATTTTTAAACTTTTGACTTAATCCCATTCTCCTTCTGTGATAATCGACTGGATTACATTTTAGAAATTTGCTTGCTGCCATAATATTTATTGGAATAAATTCCGAAATAAATTGATCCGTATGGTAAACAAATTCCAAATATTTGTTTACAAGTACAAGACTTAATTTCCATTGGTCGAAGAAATGTCAAGAAGTTGAGTAACCGAAGATATACATATGTATTGACACAAGCACAAAAAACAGCTACATAAATTTATAAACATGTCTCAACAGTAAAATGCATTATCTGACCAATGTTTGTAAACATGTTATAATTAAATATATATCTATACAATATCACAGCGCATCCATGATCCAGTGTATGGAAAGTATGTACATATGCACAAGCGTGCATACTTACACAAGTGTCCTTAATCGAGTTCTGTAACTTTCTCATAAAAGAAGATAAATTGAGCTGGACATGGAAAATGAGCACAATTAACTATGCACATTTATTGAATTGAAGAGAAATATCCACCATATACATACATATTTATGTATGTAATAGTATGCATATGCTTAGGATTTGGTATTAATTTAGGATAATATCGGGATGTAAATGCTTCTACTTACTTACATGCTGATTTTACAAAATGTTAGAATTTAATACATAGGAAAATCAAATAATGTTAATAAATAATATGCTAAACATGACACTGTCACTGTTGAAGTAACTAGAACGATTTGTGTCGGTTTATTGGGAATCACGATTTAATACTTATTTGACATTTTTACATTGGATATTAATGAAGTATATCGACAACGAAGATGTTCGTCTAATTAAATAATTAGAACATGAAATCCCTATTACAGAAGTCCAAAATAAGAACTAGGTATTGGTTCACTTAGCATTTTCGGACTTGTACTTAATGAACGATATACAATGCTTTCTAAATTATTGCGATGTACATATAAATATATTTTCCTGACATCAGGCTCAAAGACTGATACAATTGTTAACCAAAGTTGAAAGTGATCCATTCTCATCCGAATCATACTGCCAAGAGATGACATGAGAAACGTGACATGAAGCATTTAGTGTGAGTTTTTATTCTCAAATGAAAGCTGGGTTTACAATAGTTAATTTGTGATATAAATATCACGAGAAACTGTGTAACGTGTTCTATTAATGCATACATAAATGGCTGACGGTGACCTATATCATACCTTCTTATATGGCCGCAAAGTACATAAAAACATAGTGACATTATTGTGTAGGTGACCAATGTCTGTCATCATGGTTGATACATATTTACTTCCTCTATTAGTATTCTTAGGCCGAGGAATCATTCCTCCAAAGAAAACTAGCTTTATGAAATTGAAAGGCATAATTAAAACCAAATGAATGCCATGCAAACAGGGAAAATTATTTCTACTCGTGTGTGTTCATGAGTCAGCAAATATCTGTAATGTCCTCCTAAGAAAACTCGCACCTCTTACGGTGACAAATCTCGGGCATTAAAAAAATTTGTTGGTAGTTGTAATTAGCAACGTATTGAATTCGGTCTCTATTAATACAAATAGTTAATACTTTGACCACGACCATGTGTATGCAAGTATCTATGTATGTATGTGCAAGACAGGATAATTTACCTCGATGGTGAATCGAGCATAATTCAGGTTTTCAAATGCTTTAAATCATGTTTAAATACTTTACTAAAAAGATAGGTAAAATATAAGTAAAGTCAGTTTTAAAAAATCTTACTTCAAAAATAATTTAAATTTATTTTTAGAAATTTTTGCCTACACAACAAATCAAAACAGTATTGATAATAAATAGCGTCTCATTATGGTCATATGTGTCGAATTCGTCAAGTAAAATTGCCTTGTAACTGCAACGTCCATGTATGTAGTCCACGTCCATGTAAGCCCCGACAGCCATGCAGTAATTTGAGAATTACGTCGTGACTTGAGCAGTCTGTGTGTCACATCTTGTCGTCAGTAATTCGTGAGTCGAGTATGATCCCTGTCAATTGTCAAGTCAGTAAGTCAGTCAGTTGTGTGATAATGTCAAAGTCAGCGTCGGTCCGTCGCTCGTCATTGTAATTAGTCCAGAAAAGTCAATGTCTTTCTCAATGATGTACATGCTTCTATGAAGCTACATTAAATCGCCATACAACTTGGCTAATGGAGTGCATGGTAGTTTTGAACATGCTTTACTGTCCAGTGTGCTATTCTTGATTTTGTCACGATCTCCTCCCACACCGGATTGTTTAATTCCTTCCTTAATACTACTCTTGTAATGACCAACGCTATCAGGAATTTGGTCTACAAGTCTGGAAAATTAATGCAAATAAGTTATTTTTCGCCTTATCATCGCATAACACTATGTTTATGTGTTGCTCACTTTTCGACCCACTTGTCCGCCTTGTGACGTTTTCCTATGAGTGAAATTTCACACGACATTCGCTTAACACATTCCTCACTTTGCAAAATATCATATGTCAACTTTGGGATAAGTCGGACTTTTTGAATGTCCCAGTGGTCCGTGTAATCTGCGAGTGTAGCATTTTTGAAATCTCGACCTCGTCCCGTGGTTATGACTGGAATTGGGATGAATAAAAGTAAAAGAAGCTTTAACAAAGGTCCGAGCAAAAGGGGGAGTAAAATTGGCAGCAGGAGTGGCAGTAACAGTGGCAAAAGGATTGGCAGCAGTGGCAGCAGAAGTTTCAGCCCCTTCAATCCTATAAAATAAATAGCATTACAAAAATTAAATTGGAATTTTACGCCATTAATTTATTGTACCTTTTAAGCCCTTGAGTCCCAGTAATCCAATGTACGGCAGCAATCCCTCAATTCCTAAATCTCCCTTTTCTTCCTCCTCCTCTCCTCCTCCCCAACCTCCACCACCGCCTCCCATCATCCCCCATCCCCCACCCCCTCCGGCATCCTACAAGATGAGAACAATTATTACATATTTACCCGAAAATGAATTTTGAGATCAAAGAATGTGTGCTGCTAACCATGGAAGGGTAAACTTGATACATAAATGTGGCCGACCCTCCACCTCCGCCCGTTCCGCCGCCATACCCCCCTGAACTGCCCCCTCCCCCTGCATATCCACCCACACCTCCAGAATCATGCCCGACAGATCCGGATGGTGCCCCATAGGAAGAAATCGGAGCAGCTAATGCACCACCTGCAGAATTCATGAACAATAATAATTAGTTAAACATGTTTTTAACCTATTTCCGGTTTAAAATATTTTTATTTCTCACCACCTCCCAAATCTCCTCCTCCTTTTCCGCCGCCCCCGTCCCGTCTCGTTCTTGCTTTGCATGTGACCTTTCCCCTCGAATAAGTGCACATTTGCCCATTGTAGTAGTACGGGTATGATTCAAAACCCTTATTATTTGCTCGTGGCGATATTTCTTCCGAGAATGTCGAATTTACCCCGACGCCACTGATTTTCTCATCATTGTTGAAACTGTGACTCCACTTTTTAAGCTTATGATTACTATTTCCAGTCGGGCTTTCCACTTTCCCCAATCCCCCCGGAACAGAATTCAATGCCAGGATCACGATTAAGGCTATGAAACCTGCAAGATTTCGACTCCATCCAAACATGGTTGTAATTTGAACTTCAATTCTCAACTGAGTCTAAATTTGGCACGGTTTTCTATTTATATTAAAACTTTTGTGCGTATTAATATGACAGATGGTCGTCTGTGTAGAGTGGACATTTTCATGGGCACGAATTGTCATTTAAAAGAAGATGAGATGTTTGTATACAAGACTAAAATCAAAATCAGGATTAAAAACTCTGTATATACATTCAATAAAATTGAGCACATATCATATGTGTGAATGACCATTGAGTCGTTGTCTCGAAACTGCAAGCTCATTCAGCCAGGCCATGGTAAGGCCTCTTCTTATTCAAAAAGTCTAATTAAATTGCTCCATTCTTGTGAAAAAGGGGAACACCAGGATAAAAATGTTAGTCTAATTGGTTATTGGCCTGAACAAAGATCAAAACCATGTTTACAAGTAATTTAATATATTGGTGAAAAGTCAGTAATTTGGGCCAAGTTTTGCCTCATAGAATTATATAAATAAGCATTTTTTCTTCATGCGCCATTTTCCTGGTTTAGATATTTATTTAGAAGATGGGCAAATTTGTCACTTTATTTCAAGTTCATTGTCAATACACATCCGACCTGCTACAAACGGTGTGACGGAAAGTGATGATGAGAGAGGAAAAGCATTGGCGACATGAAAAAGCGAGTTATTATTACTTTCTGGCTCACTGTGCATGCAAATAAATAGGTGCAAGTCATTCCTTAATCAAATCAAATCAAAATTACTAATTGTGACGGTTGTGTGTGACAGACAAAAGACAAATTCGGAGTAAAAAAATAAATTCGAAATGTGAGTGCTGCACGTCACATTTCAGTGATGGGACTGCCATTGTTCTACAAAAGTGATTAACAAAAAATTGTCTGTCATATACATTATTTTTGACAAAATCTGCAAGTTTATTTAAACATAAGAAATACGTACATTTATACATACATCTCGGCTAGAATACAGTTCTCGTGCTAGAGAAAATGTAGTTACAAAGTATCTCTTGTGTTAGAGAAAATAATAAATAATGCATTTACAAAGTTTCTATTATTTGTTCACAAACATGATAATCATATTTACCCGATTTTACCAATTGTTTGATCAATGCAGCTTCTGCATCAATTACTTTGTTCGTTGCTTACAACAAGTAAAATCGAAAACTTTGTTATTTTTTATTTCTGAAGAAGTTTTATCATTGGATGTGGTATCAATTGGTGTCTTTATAAATACGCGAGAAGAAGGTCAAGCCGTCTCGGAGAGAGACACTTGGTGCTAAGATTTTCTGAAGGTGCTTATGGAATTTTCAAATCGACTGATAAGGAAGATAAACAACGGAATTTTTGAAGAAAGTTGGAGCAGAACAATAATCATTACTTTAAGGCAAATAGAGATAACTTTATTCTACACTTTCAGCAATTAATCAAGGAATATGTATCCTTAACAAATCCATTAACGTATCATCCAAATAAGCAACGAATCGGAATCTGTAGCATTTCCATCATTACTGTTTCGTTAAATTTCCAGTCCTGTTAAATATAGTAGTAAAGTATAGAGAAATCTTTATTTTTACTTGAGGCATAATTTTTGTTACTCACCAAAAGTTTCATATTAATCTCGTTAATTGTACGTTGACGGATTCTGTCATGTAATCTGGGCTCCAATTTGTTAAATATTGCTAACCCGAAAGAGTTCAAGATTTTATTGATGCCCCTGCTAATAATTTTCCAAGCTCCTCGAAATCCATTAAACTTTACAAAAATATCAGTCACATTGACATGAAAGTCAAAATGTGAAATTTCCAGTTGTCCTTCTTTACTATATCTGAGTTTCGTGAAGACAGCAACTTGTAATTGTTTTGGCTGAAGGAAAAATGTACCGTTTCCAGAAATGGGGAAAATTCTTGCAATTTTTCCACGCATATCATAATCACCTAAAAAATTGAGAGTCATACATTACTTGCTGGGTTGTATTTATACATAGTGCATTGCTTGTGTAATCGAGTTATATGCATGCACATTCTGAGAACGCTGACCAAAAAGTCTTAATGTGTCGATTAACAAAGACACGTTTGCTTCCATCTCCATCATGTCACTTTTAATATCCGTAACTTTGAACGTGGACATTCCTTCTGCGACCACATTCCTATAAATGAAAAATGTGTATGTACTTTCTTGATTAGTGAGTAAATACTGAATTATCTAGTTCATACCTAAGTTCTCCCTTAATCCCATATTTGTGGTTTTTATTGATTTTTATATCAAATTCCAGTCTGGAAATATTTAATGGGTCAAGTGGAGGGATTCTTTTTACTGCATCGCCATTTTTCATGTTGTCCTGTATATCAAGTATGACTCGTAAAAGTACTGAGGTCATCATATCATGATCGCAGATTCCGTTCCTTGTCCAGCGCTTGGCCGCTTTAACCTTTATCGATGTTACTGTCTTATTTCAAAAAATATAATAGTGGTTAAACACATATTGTGTACTACGTTCTGGGACAAATTTTACCCCATGTAGACCAGTCGTCACTTTGTACGTCGCCATCCACGGTTTTTTCCAAACACGATAACCAAGTAATCGAGTAGCACAACATAATTAATTTGAATGTTATGTATGATGTCATTTTACGAACTGTTATGTATTTAGTATGGAAACTTGTAGTAGCTGATATTCAAGCTTTCTGGATATTTTTGCGAAATTGTGCTCTTCTTTTGATAGCCAAAAAAGAAACTGGGTACTATATGTATTTAGTATGTATTTATGCATCACACTGCCATTTACTGATGCAATGGAAATGATGTTATTTTGTTTGTTAGTTCTCAACGGAAGTGAGAAGCTGATAAAGGCGAATGATTAGTGAATGATGTAATTTGCCAAACATTTCTAAGACAATTGTTCTTGACCTGCGTACAATAGGTACACATGGTTTGCGAATATTTTATTTGTATTTTACATACATATATGTATGCAGCATGCAATTCCATTTAAACCATATTTATGTATAGAGTAACATATTTTTCTATGTCAAAGTTGGAATAAAACATAAAATAAAACATCATCGACTGTGAACTTCACCTTTAATATTGTCACATGTTTTAATGCTTCTCAGCAGGTGTGGACATTGAAATGAACATGTTTTGTGGCTAATTGTGGTAGTCTGCCAGGTGATAATTTGCAAATTCAGTGAAATTTATACGAAAACTTTAAATTCGGTGTACCATAAATAAAAGTAATTCTTTTTTTTGCCAGACTTTTTGTAAAGGAAAATAATCGTAATACATTAACAATATGGCATGTGATGCAATGACTCATGGTATACACCAAGTTTTAGATATTCGATATGCAATTAATCATAATGATTTAGTAACTAAAACATACATGCATCTAAGCGCATAATCACAATATATACATAGGTACGTTGTTGGTGATCATTAAAACTTGCGTCCGGGTCTTTGAGAACGTTTAGTATAAAGTCTTGGGTTCCTGATGCCTCAAATAATTTATAAACTGCAGGACATAAGTACATAAAGCGATTCAGATAATTCATGTTTCGTCCAACAGAAATGGAAAATATTTTTGGTGTTATTTCAGTAGTGGCGATTGGGCTTTTCGTCCTCATCAATAACCAAGTTGACGGAGGTATGTGCATGCACACGGAGGTTTAAAGGAGACTTAGAGCAATCTAAATTAAAATTTTGACACCCAAATTTCAGAAATCATTCCATACAGCTACGCTCGTGGTCGAGATGTGGCCGCGGTGGAACGACGCTACCAAAATTTTCAGAATGCAAAAGCTCGCGGAGCATCGACCGATGAGCTCAATGAAATTTGCGGTCCAGTTGCCCAACATCAAACCCAGTGCGCTTTAGCTGGACGACCTTCCGACGCTGCGACAATGTTTTGTGACTCAATGTGTTGTCTCGCAGGAAGCAAAGTTGGAAACTGTGGCAAAGTGAAGCTGCAAATTAAACCGGATTGGCTTGCATTAATTACCAGTCTGACGTCCAATAACACTTTGAGTAGCCTGAAGAACTTGAATCCTAAGTTGGCGAAGGAGTGTAGTTGTTCGGATGACCCAGCCGATGTGAAATGTGGTCCAGATGGATCGTTTCTTGGAATACGATGTCCATTTGATAACAGTGCTTGTTGGCGAAAATGTTGCCGACAAGGGAAAAGTGATGGAAAATGTAGGTGGTTTTCATGCAAGTGTAAGTAACCTGATGGATGTGTTTAACTTGAAATAAAAAATGTTCAAATAAGTAAAATTGAAGACACTTTATTTGAACTGAACATGAACTGTGTCGTTACGCCGAGTAATAGTAAGCAGTACATATTGTGCCTAAAACTTAAGTTAAAGTCGAATGAGACCAATTTTTCTCAGTTGACAAACTGGGAAAAACTCATTTTGACGTAGATAATTTGGAACTTTTGAATTTTTGTAAAAGAAAAATTCGCATACACTTTTTAAGAATGGATAACACTTTCAGAAACCAATATGTGGATAGATAGATGTTAGCTTTAAATACATAGTAGTTCGAAAATCTGCGCAGTACCAGTTATTATTTAGATGGACATGCTTATTTGCGTCATAATTAACGCATAATAAATATGTACGATGAGCAATAAACATGAATCTGCTCTGATATTCTGCGAAACCGGAGAATCACAATTCTGATTGGGATGAATGAAACACATTGCTTAAATAAGTTGAACCAAGTAAATATTTTTCATATGCTAAATTTCATATTCCATTTTTCTAAGAAAAGTCTTTTTTCGTACAATCTGTTTCCCGAGAGTCATCAATTTCTAAGAAATGACAGCTTAATAGATTAAGGAGAAATGAACCCAAATGGTGCATGTTTGTGGTCTGAAGGTCTGGTGTCATGCATTTTTTCGTTTGGTATTTAAAGGATGCGTTTGCAAACCTACCAACTACATTCACATACAACTTTCGCACTTGTTATACAATTAGAAATTTACAGTTCAGCAAAACTATGGCTGTACACAAGCAACTCTGTTTAGCGTTCGCTCTGATAACTCTGCTGTTGGCGGGTCAATCAACCGGTGAAGAGGTAACCATAACCAATCGCTGTTCGGGAAGGCTTTTGGTGCGAACCACGGGTGCCAATCGAGGTCCATTCTTCCTCAACGCTGGCGGCTCAACTACACTTGGCATTCAGAGAAATGTGGTCCCAACCCCAAGAATTGAAGCTGTTTTGAACTGTGACGGCTCTGGGCACAATTGCGATGCGGATGGCAATTACAAAAGTTTAGCCGAGTTTCACTGGGATCCATCTGGAAAGACTTGGTAAAACGGAAATGCATATTTACGCAAAAAGGCCAATTTTTCACGCTGTTTTTGATGATTAAGGTATGACGTGAGCATGGTGGACGGTTATAATCTTCCGGTTGCGATTTCTCCGTATAATCCTGGCGTGGGTCCAGTCGAATGTGCAACGACGTCGTGCAACTTTAATCTGAATAATTGTCCAGATGAGTCGAAAGTTTGGGGGTCTGGAAATCGCTTGGTAGCCTGTCGAAATCGAAACAGGGATGATGGAAATACAGCATATGCGAGAACCATGAATAGATTTTGTCCTGATGCCTACTCGTGGTCAAAAGATGATCAAAGACGACCAAGTCCAATGAGGTTTAGTTGTAATCCGGGAAATAATGGATTGCGAGTGACTTTTTGCTGAATGTTGGAAACAAAAATATCTGATATTTGCATATTTATATAACAATAAAACTTATTTATGACAAAAGTTTTCACACTAGGATCATAAAATGTACCCCATAATCAATATTAAACAAAAATGTAATATTTAATATTTATCTATGATTCTTGAAATTCTTGCACACCGTTCTGAATTGTCAGGATCAATGACATTTTATTTTATGCATTGGCCACGGTAAATCCTAATTTTTCATTTTGCATCTTAGCCAATAACAATTCGGAACTTCAAATAATTTGCTCATAATATCAATCTTCCATGATGCACTCATCCATCCATCGGTTAAAAACTCGTGCGGACTGCCTCTCCAGCTTAGGACATCTTGATAAGAAGTGTCAAAACGCCACAACAGGAACAAAAGCTCGGTCCGAGTGTGCACTGGCGGAGTGCACGATGATTCTTTCATCTAACTGACTGGCAAGTTTAACTACAACACAGCATCAGGTAAGATAAGGTCAGTGAATAGTGCGAGTGCAAATATGCATATTCATAAAATTATCCTCAGTACGTTTGCACTTTTGCAGGTAGATAATTAGATATGTATGCTTAACTGGCATTATCCTGTTTTGCTTGGAGAGTGAGCAAGGAAAAAACCGACATCGTATATAAAAGGGTGTAATTGATTGCTCTTGAATGTTTGATCACTAGTGCATCAATGATAACAAATAAACATTATCCCATGATAGGAATTGTCCAATTTTACTACGTGCAATAGTAGACTAAATAAGTGCGTATCATTTGTTGCAAATATGTTTCCGGACGAGTTAAATTGGGAACCTGTGCTATGGATTTTTGCCGGATTTTTCCTACTTGGTTGCATAAAATATTTGGTGAGTATCATACATAAATTTCTATTTCACTAAATAATGAAAATTTCAAATATGTATTTCGAACTGATAATCTTTTAGTCCATGTTCTGTGCAAGTCGAAACAGTAATTTGACACCTATTGGTTAGTGATCAAAATGACAATCTGCATATAATAATTTACTTGAAATCATCTTAAGTATTATTGCCAATTTATGCAGATATTCACAAGGATTCCCTCCCAACATTTGCTGAAGCATTGAAATCTCCAAGACCAATTTTTATCATAGAAGTTGAGGACTTCGAAGAACCACCTCCGACGTATCAAGTAGCCGTTGACCCAAGACGACTGGCAGAGATGGTGAATAATCAAAGTTTCAAGGAAACCACTTGATACTTCCTGTCGTATGAACCCAGAAGGAAATACTCCAAGCTTAAAGTAAATACAAAAGTAAATATAAGCACACACGAATAGATCTGTTGAAAATGGGGATGCAAAAAAGTATTAAGCAGAGATACAGCTCAAAGTGGAAAATTGTGACCGATTACAAGTACGATTTGATAAGTATAATTTAGCACATTTTGTACAATCATATTTACGTTTATGCATGAAAGTTATGGATTTATTTATCTAGCTAGTGTAACTGTTGCATTTAATCCCTAGTGTAATCTATTATTTTGTACGTAACTATTTGATATTTTCGTTTCGTTTTCGGTTTAAGTCGTGCAATTAGTAGCGAAAAATGAAGTGCAACTTTTCCCTAAAAATGTACCAAATTAGCATTATCTAGTTCTTCTCAATTAATTACAATACAAACAAATTAACTTTGTAATTCGTCCTTGCCCATGGACCTCGAATGCATAAATGATCATCACCTTTTCCCGATAAATTGCTCGCAATATACTTACGTATGTATGTACATATGTACGTCAATAAAATATGATAATACCTCCCATGACCATTATCAGCATTGAAGCTTATCGATAAATCCATCTCATACATGTAATATGCCAAACGCCCATACGGGGATGAATAAGCATATCTCGTCATATTATTTACTAATTTTACGTTGTGGTAGCCATTTTGACAATTTGTCCACTGGCATAAGCTTCCCATCAATTGTGTATGTACACAATGTAACATTGTACTAAAAATCAGAGCCTTTTGGAGCGTTTTCTTCCTGAGATTTCGAGCAACTACGAAATAAAGATTTATAAAATGTCCTCCTTTATCTGGACAGCGTTTATGATAGTGGTGTTAATAGCGCTAGTAGTTTTTCTAATAAAGTTCTTGGTAAGTTTCTTATACAACGGTTTAAGAATATAGTGCAATACTAACAAAGAGCAATAACTCAAATTAACTATTTTAGTTATGCAATTGTATGCTGTCACGTGGAGAAGATTCCATTCCAATTATTCCTGGACAGAGAGAAGCATTTTGGATAGGTTTGTTCTATACAAGAGGAAATTGGCATTCTACATGTTTAAAAAATATGGGATTTTTGTACAGAATATGACCGATTAAGAACGCAGGCCATGATGGCACGACAGCCTCCACCGGATTTTGATGAAGCGCTGCGATCTTCCAGACCTGTTTCGTACGTTGAGGTTGTCGAGGAGCCACCTCCAACTTACGACGATTTTTTAAAAAGCCAGACCCCTTCACCAACAAATTCGTCGCCAGTGTCACAAGGCACAAATTTCTCCACGTCCTCCGGACAAAGTAATGCAATCGTGGTGAACCCTTTCGAGGACGATTTTGTCTTTGATCTATCTGCTCAAGAATCGGATATAGATTTGGGAGAAGTAGTTTTCGGCAGGAGAACCCATATTTCTCAAGGCACAAGAAATCCCAATACAGAGTCGTCGGATGCATAAGAAAAAATAGCAGGGTTGAAAATAACGACTCAAGACTGAGAATTAAATACTTGTAGTATTATAAATTGGTGATTATGTAGAAGGCCTCCTGCAGGCAGGAAGTTTGTCATACAATTTTTTAATTAAAAAGTGTAACGTTGCTGTAAATGGAAGGTGTGGAAATGAGTTCCCTATGTATTTAAATAATAATTTGACGTATGAATGTATGTATATTACTCTGTAACTAATGATAGAATTTTTACATAAAAACATAAAATCCAGTATGTGCAAGTATATTACTAACTTTTGTATTTTTTGGCGAATGTTTTGGACATATTTGAAATCCGCAAAGTTAGTCATTTTGAACGTCTACTATACATAGACTGGAAAGTCAAGGACATGCTCTATGAAAACGAAGTCAGCATGATTTGGTCCAGATCAAATGTCAAACCAATGCTAATAATAAAAAAAAACAGAACTTCAAGTACAGAACTCAATCCAGAGTACAAAATGTTGATTACAATAATCAACCCCTACGCATTCTCCAGTTAGGGTGCTACGTGAAGAAATTTCATTATTAAACATTACCATTCCATCTACAAGTCCGCATTACCTTTGTTCAATAATCTTTTATCCTGCTGAAATAATTCATAAGTCTGGATCGTACGTATACAGTTAAATACAAGAAATGAAGAAGGTGTGGACCCATTGTTAAGCAATATCTACATGCATGCATTTATGTCCTTATGTACATGCGAGAGAAAAGTCTGTTCCTCATCCTCATACGTAACAACGATAGTCCAAATTATAGCAAATTTTGCTCATTCGCCTACTGCTACCATTTAACCAAACAAAAAAAGTTTGGCACTGCAGAATCACAATCATCATCGCTACAACTACAACTCCCAACACCAGAACCTTGTTGACGTCGTTGACGATGCCATGCTATGCTATGCTAGAAAATCATGAACGAGAGTGCATCAATTTTTGCCTCATCTTTTTGTGGATGGATGAGAACCAGCAGAACACCACCAACAAATTATTGGGTGAGGATCTCATATATTTTGTATATGTATGTACCTATGGACATCGACTAACTATGCATGTAACTAGTTAGTACACAAATACAGACCAAACCTATTTAGACTGACGCCTACATTAGAAGTATATGTACCTCCAAGTGCTACTACCTACATCATATCACTGGCACCTCTAGTAATGTGTTGCATTCCTTTATTGCACTACGAGTCACGCTCTGGACAAAACAAAGAATGTAACGCAACAATTTAGCCTAACGTAAAATACACATTTTCCAATGAGTAATATTTAGTGGCGAGGAGGCTTTGTTTTCTTTCTTACGTTGTTGGGGTCGTTCAGTCCCGAACAAAACAACCACTCAGCTAAAACGCACATGAGAAATGCTTAAATATGTATTTAATACTGGATAGAATCGAGCTGAATAATTAAGTGAAAAGGATAAACAACTTTTTTGTGCAATTTTTCTAAATAAGCGTGATGGGTAGGGACATGTACATCCAATGCTCGGCGAATAAATATGATGTGAAATTACGGTATAGCTTTAATGCTGGCTTGTACATATATATGCTCACTCCTTATGGAACATCTTGCTAAAGAAAGACAACAAACGAAGACACAGAAGTGCCTCTACATACATACATATTTCATTTCATAACGTTGCGTTATCTGCATCTCGTGTTGTTTGGTCTTGCGAGAGTTAGTTGGTTTTCTTTGCTGGAGATGAATTGACTGGTGGAATTTTGTCGCATTTTATACATTTCTGTGGATAGGATGCGTTATGTAAATTTTCATAATAGTCGTCGTCAGTGAATAGTGAATAGGTTGTAGATATTGTGATTGAGAGTATAACAGCAGGTTTTATAGTAGTTTACTCGGTGCAGGTTTTGGTGAACATCACTCCACATTTCCCAGTAGGCTTATGAATTGCTGGAAATAAGTTTGCGATCGGTGGTTGTAGTCAAGTGTTAAACGTGACGTTTAGCATATTAATCTCGTGGATTGGATTTGAGAAAAAAACACGCAACACAGCTACACGACGGAACACCAATCAATACTTATTGTGGAGCAGTCCTCCTCTTCCGTGGGGACGATGGGGGTTGAAACGGCCAATATTGTGCTGGTGGTTATCATTGTAATTATTTTTTTCATGGTAAGTACAATAATTGGTTTTTTACATGAATATTTTGTGCATGAGTTTTCAGTTTCTTTTTTTAAAATCCACCACAGCTCCTCAGTGCTTGCTGTCGCCAACTAAGAAATGCATACGAGGACGAGCTGACAATTGAAGAGATGAACAGAAGGAGACAAACTTTCATGTTTGGTAAAAGTTGTTCGTATTCGTCTCGTAATTTTGAAATTTGCACAAATAAATTAGGAATTAGACGGAAATGTAAACTCTTCTTCAGGTGATGATGCTTCCCATCTTGGAGATGAAGAATCATCACATTCTGTCAGAGTTACGGCAATATCGGCTGGCGGAGGTGACCGAGTTTTTGGCGTGTACGAAATTCGGATGCCTCGCAGGGGATTTTTTTCCCGAGCGGTCGCACCACCACCCCCATTTGCACAAGCACTTCAAAACTCGTCCCCAATTTTTTACATCGACCCAGAAGAGCCACCCCCGTCGTATGATGAATACTTGAAAAACGTTGACGAGACTGAGTCGACAGCGCAAAATGCTAACAGTGTCTACGCCATCAATAAGTTTTAAGACGGAATACGCCAAACTGCAAGTGCAACTGTGGTGCTGACATGAATTACTTTTAGATCTCATTATCTTAAGCAGAAATGTGTTAAAGTTTTATCGGATGTTTTTATCAACATTTTCAATAGTCGTGTGTACGTGAGATGCCATTTTGACATTACGAAGTGTTGGACCTGGTCAGTTATACAATATACAGGATGGAATGTGAATCTTACGTAAATATTTTCTGTAGTTAATACATGACGGAGAAGCCTGACCATTTTTTACTTGCTTGCAAGCTGGTTTCTTATTTAACCGGTTAATATATGTAGTACAATGAATATGAATGTCTGTATGCAATACTTTGACAAACAATGTGTAGCACATTGTACGAAAAAGACAAATCTCTGGAAAAATAATCTGATGATCTGTTTTCATGACTTCTATTTTATAAATTTATGACATTCTGGTGAACAGGAATTACATAGATATGTAATTATACAGATAAGGTTAATCCCGAGTACTTTAATATTTTTATACCAGTGAAATACTTATATAATATACCTCTCAAATATTTTTAACTTTTGCTATACTTAATTTTAACAAAAGAGAATAAGAGAATCGATATAAATCCATAAATAATGTCAAAGCCACACACAGAACAATGTTGTTGCGAAATCACTTATTAAATATTTCCACATGATGATGATAAAATTAATCACATATCAGTTTGTTCGGTAAACGCACAAAATTGCGTATGAATTATTTTAGGTGGTTGCTCCAGTGTGGGTTTTTATTTTATCGAATGTCGAGTCGCATTTTATTATTATTGTCAACGTCAACAAACCACTTGGACAAGTGGTTGACATTTCATTGGATATTTTATTATAAATCAAATCATTAAATATTATGCTGCTTTTGGCAAACGTACGAGTGTTTAACAAAGGATAACACTAGTACTGAAAGGTGACGAGGAATACATAGGATCGAACTCTCTGGACATGCATAGTTAGTTAGTTATACGCTTCTTTACGTAAGAGCTGCTACGTGCAAAAGATAAGGACTAATCTTCCCTCTCGCTGATCCTTATTAAGCTCGTTGCGATATCACACTTGGCCATTGTATGCTTAACCTTCGCCGAGAGCACACGTCTAAAACTGTTATATTTGGTAGAATTACACACTACATATAAGGTGTCAAACTGCAATTTGTTAGCCAAAATTAGCAACTGTCCAGTCCCATTACCACTGCCATATTGGCTCGTTATATGAGACAACTTCTTCTAATTATAACCAACACAAATCTAAACAAAACACGTATAGCGTTCATCAACTGAATGTAATGCTAAAAATGGTCGAAACACTCATTCTTGTAATAGCTGCAGTTATTTGCGCTGTAATTGTAAGCAAAGCAATAATACTTTCAGAATAAAATAAATAAATGGGTGAAATGCACTTGAAGGGGAATTGTAATGTTATTTTTTAATTTGAGATATATGTATCCTTGTTATTTTTAAATATGAAATAAGGCATGGAATGTTATACATATGTCGTATGGATGAATTAAATAGCACTTGTTATCTATCTGTGAATACTTTACATTTTCTGCTGACTAGTGCATTTCCCTAAATAAAGATAACGAAATAAATGAATATTTAGCAAGTAATTACTTTGACGAGTCAACTTATCGATTTTTCAGGTTGTTCTCATCTGGTATCTTCGCTTCCGAACGAACAAATCTGTTGCGGAGAGGGTTCGTCGATCGCCACAAGAATACTTGGGTCGCGTCGCTGCCGGCGTGTATTCCGTCCATTTGCCAAATAGTAATCAAATCTATGTCGGATATGCAACTCCACCGCCCACTTTTAGTCGCGCAGTCAAATTCCCGATGCCCCCACCAAGATCGGCGTCACCATCACCTTCCATCGTCGTCCTGGACATCATCCCCCCACCACCAACTTATGCCCAAGCCATCATTTTTGCACAGGAGAGGGGACCAAAGAGCGGTTCCGGAAGTAAATTTAGGCCAACAACGATGGAAAAGGGAGATTGTTTGAGTGGAGGAAATTACATTTAGACTTGAAATTGGAGGTCAATATATCTGTGTATTTTTGTTACGTAAGAAAGAGTTGCATAAGTAACGGGAAAAGATCTGAGCATGGAAAGAAATTATGGAACTCTGGTGTAAATCTCACTCTGTTTTAAGTCAAATTTCATATTCCTCTGTGATAGATTACTAAACTTTGTATTATTTTTCGCCAATAAAATGTTGAACTTAATTATAAATTCGTACGTATCTGAGGTTGAAGTGGTGTTTGCATCATCAGTTAATTTTACTATAATTTTTATAATCGAGCAAGATATTTGATGGACACTATGTAGTGACCAGTGGCATTTTCCACGGGAAATCATAAGTGGACCATAGTTATGTATGTACATATGTAGTTACCATCTGCATTCAGTATTTATCTAAATTTTCAAGTGCGATGTTGACAAACAGCGATATGATATATGATGGATCACCAACCACTGACCACTTGTACATATGCAATTGGAATTTGTGCAGAAAAAAGTTTCTGGATTTTGGTGGATAATTTTGCACTCAATTTACTTCATTAAGCAGCTCAAGTATTCACGAAATGATAATGATCATCATACGTATGACGATTGAATTATAATTAAAAGTCAACAGCACTCATCGGCAATTGCCAATCTATGTAAATGGTGTTGTATTCTTCTGCCACTTAATTATAGTTTGGATTACATGTCAAACATCACTTGTTGAAAATGGCGAGATTTTGGGAAAGTTTCATCTTTATTGCGACTTTTACTTTTGCATTCCACAATGGAGTCACCAACGCAGTCACGCATACCGTCGCCACAACTTCACAATTCCAAGCAGCCCTCAGAGCCGTGTTACCGGGCGATGTAATAATTTTGCAGGACAATACCGAGTTTAATGGCTTCTTCCGGGCAGAGGTTAGTGGTACAGCGCAGGACAGAATCGTGATTCAGGGAACTTCCACTTCCGTTTTGACCGGATGGTCAAGTGCGTTTAATTTAGAAGCTTCGTATTATACGTTGAGAGGTATCTGCATTTCAGCAAGATTTGTACCAATTTTTTTGTATCACGTGCATTTAAAGAAACATGATTTTTCAACCTTTAGGATTTACCATTGCCAATGCAAAGAAAGGTATTTTAATCGATGGTGGAAACTTCAACGTGCTCGAAGATTTGACTATTCACACGATTGACGAAGAGGGAGTGCATTTCAGATTTTTCAGCAGTGACAACATTGTACAAAATTGTGAAATTTATGATACTGGTGGGTGAGAATGCACATTATGACATTATATTAAAAAACTTATGCACGGGATTTGTGTAGGAATCACACGACCAGGTTATGGCGAAGGAGTATACATTGGTCAAGACTACAGCAAGTGGGCCAGCCCCAACGAACCGGACAAGTGTGATAGGAACATCGTCAGAAACAACAGGATTGGTCCTTGTGGAGGTGAAAATATTGACATCAAGGAAGGCTCCTGTTGTGGACTGATTGAAGGGAATACTTTCGATGGGAGGGGAATGTCATTCGTCAACTCGGACGATAGCTGGATTGACGTCAAGGGCAGTGATTACTTGATTCAGAACAATACAGGAGTTTACTCGATCAAGGTTAAATCTAGGTTTTCAAAATTTTGCTCATTTTATTTATGAGCATGTCGTTTTTTAGGATGGGATTCAGGTCAGGACACATATGCCACCGGGTGGGGTGAGCGGATGTAGGAATATATTTAGGAATAACCTCTTCAACCTTATCGGGAATACTGGAGGGGTGGGGATTTATTTGAACAGTCAAGTACAATGTGATAATTCGTCGCAAATTTATGCTGATAATCGTGTCACGACTGGCGAACCCTTAACAAATGGATGGGTAATCCCTGTTTGAAAATAATTAGAAAACTTAACTCCAAACTTATACGTGTACAACTACTATGAATAAATTGTCTGAAATGTGAAAGACAAAGTTTACATGCGATTTAAGGACTAATTCAATTTGATATGATCAATACGATCGTTTGTTATTTGTGATATGGTTTTTTACACCAAGAATTCGTTCTATTTTTCCTTGTAGAACAAGTGCATCTCTATTATATCTTGTGATACACGTCATTAATGACTGCAGCAAACTTCATCTGAAGTAGAGCACGTTCCAGCCCCACTGTTCAAAACCGAGCGTGGTTCCACACATTCGAGCACGTTGCAACAAAGGCCTAAAAAATAAAGCTAATATAATGCTACATAGTTTATTTGGCTATTTGTTGCAACAAACCTGACACCGAGCCGAACCAGCTAAAAGAGTAGCATTTTTGGGCCTCTGAGTCTGGAAAACCTATGTAGAACCCCGATGAAAAGTAGAAAATTAGTCCTAGCTTGAGAAAAATTCGAAACTGCACTGAATTTAGCGTGACAATTTGCATACCCATCAAAAAAACCAGAATGACAGCAACAGCTACGAAGTTCCCCATTCTGTAGGACTCTGGGTTTTCGATCTTGTTTACGGTATTGACAAATTTTCTTCACGTCTGAAATCTTGATTATATATTTAGTTCATCATTTATAAATGAGGAAGGCAAATTAGATTTTTGCATCATGTTGTGATTCCATCAATTACTTGTTTGGAAAACAACCTACTCCAATAATGGTCACGTTATTACAATGTGCCGTGACCAAACATTGTTCTTCAGACATCAATCAACTATAAAATAGACCCCTGCGTACACAAGTCGATATGCATTGGAAACAATTGATATATTTAATTCTTCATCATATCGAGTTTCCTCAAAATTGTCATTTAAATGATCATTTGTGTCCTGATAATGTACATATGCACTTAACCAAATGCCACGCCACGTGTCAAAGTACATAAAAAGCCAATTGCTAAATAAATGAACGCATGCAATAATCATAATCATCAATGATGAATCAAGTGTCGATAACAAGTTAATCTTTCTGGAATTATGAAAAAGTTTCCTCCTTCTTATGTCGAACAAGTTGTAACGGTGAGGTGACAATTAAGGTTGACTTTTGTTATAAAAATGGTGTCAATCTGAAACGATATTTATGTCATCCATCTTAAATAACTTAAGTTCAATATATTATTTTGTAAAATGCAAAAAGCGGTCATCGTAAGTATATCAATAACATCGGTTGGAGTAATTCTTGTCCTTCTGGGATCTATACTGGGTTGGGTATTTCTCCCAAATTTTATCGAGAGTACGATTAAAAAGGTAACAGTGATAAATCAAATCCAAAATGTGCAAATGCATAAAATTTAATATTCCATTGATTCAGCAAGCACAATTGAAAAATGGGACAGAGATGTTTGAGAAATGGGTTGATATCCCGATTCCAATTTACATCAAGTTTTACTTTTTTAACGTCACGAATGCGGACAAATTTTTGGCAGGAGTGGGTGGAGATTGGAGTACGAAGCCAGAGGTAGAAGAGCTGGGACCTTACATCTATCGGTATACATATTTTTATAAATTTACATAGTCTTCAATTTCTACATATTTACATATTGTGAAAAGTTGCATGCTTTATTCTTGTGTAGACAAACACGAGTAAAATACGAGATAGAGAGTCACCCAGAAAGAGATACTATCTCATATCGGCAAAATATTACGTACCATTTCGAACCCGAAATGTCTACAGGATCAGAGACCGATTTTGTCTATGTTATCAACAGTCCTCTACTGGCAAGCACAGAAAAGAGATAAACAAATAAATGTATTTTAACTTAAAATTAAGCGTCAATACAAGTTTTCTACGATATTCTAGGCTGTCGCCACTATATTAGCCACGGTAGACGAATCAATTCTCCCACGGGCGCTCAGTAGAGAAATCCTGTCTTTTATGATGAGTCCCTTGTCCAGGGAACGCTTCCTTATGCCCGCAATTGTGAAAGACATCTTATTTGGAAAGAGACTTAATTTCATTTACGATACTTTCATTTCGATAGCAAAAGACGTTTTGGGTATCGAATTACCACCGGAACTTGCGGATGGAAAATTTGGTGCATATCTGAACGTGCGTAGTACACATGCAGATTGTCAATAGCATTCAATGCTAATAAATAAAATTCGTATAAATCCTTGTGCAGAAAAATGGGACAAATGCGGATGGTCTGTGGGAGATTTATTCGGGAGGTCAGGACTACAAGAAAATCGGACAATTGAAAAGCATCAATGGAAAAAGTGACGTGGAAGGTGCGTGGAAAGGGGACTGCAACAATATTAAAGGATCCGATGGAAGCTTCTTCCCCCCTTTGTTGAAGAAAGACACACCACTGTCCGCATTTTCACCGGACGTTTGTCGATCAGTGGAGTATACGAGAAAAGTTTTTTTTCTAAATGAATACATTACACAATTGACATATAATTTTAACACCTTTAATTCAGTGTAACTTTCGATTCGGAGGTGAAGTTTAAAGGAATTCCAGCATTTCGATTTGTCGCCCTAAAGACAATGTTTGCCAGCGGAAAAACGCATCCACCTAATGATTGCTACTGCATGCCAATACCTTCACCGTTAAATGGAACTTGTGATTTCGATGGCGTGACGCGAATGTTTTCGTGTAAATTTGGCAAGTTACAGGAAAATTACAGCATCATAATTGATCAGTATTAATTAATAATTAAATTATCCAGGTGCACCTGCCGTCATTTCTAAACCGCATTTCCTAGACGCAGACGATTTCATTTTGGAGAGTGTTGTGGGTCTCAAGCCGGATAGAGCATTGCACGAGACATTCATGGACGTAGAACCGGTAAAGGAAATATAAAGAGGATTTTTTATACTGTATGGAGGATACAAATTATAAATGGATGATTCAAATCAATTGTTTAAAATATTCAGACACTTGGGATGCCAATTCAAGCTTATAAACGTCTACAGATGTCCGTTGAGGTACAGCCACTCCCATTTGGAGCTCCATGGGATACGATTCCGCATATGTTTTTCCCTTTCATGTGGGCAGCTGAGGTGAGAGAGTAAAAGGCAAAAAGTGAACATGCAAATTTTCTAATCCGATTAGCCTAATCGGTAGTAATATTCGTCCTTTATCTGTGCAGGAAGGCGTGTTAGATGACGACAACGCTAACGACATCAAATCTAGATTTATTATTCCCATGCGCATTGCAAATATTGCAAAGTGGGTGATTGTTGTGGTGGGTGGGGTTGGAACGTTGGTTGGAGCAGGAAGTATTTTGTATTTTGCTTTCTTGCGATAAGCGATAATATGTATGTATAGTTTCTATGATTAAGTCGATTTTTTAAATAAATTGTTTCCGTATGAGAGAGATTATAATTATAAGAATTTAATGCAAAAATGGGTGACACTGAATGTAATGAACAGCAACCAGGGTCAGCATTTAATTTTATTGGTGATGAACATTTAATGATAAACTGTTATCTTATTTTCGCTATCAGGAAAGTCGAAATGTTGATTTGGCTGGGTAAAGCAAGATGCATGCAATTGCTTATATACGTACATACATACATGCACATAGGTTCACAAATTACTAATTGTTTCACTTCGATTGACAAAAGCCCATGTCTGGAGCATGTGTGTGCATGCATGTTAGACAGCAGAATATGGAGTACGCAGAATTTTATAATTTTCAATAGACAACAATTTAGAGTGCACATTAAATACTGTTCTCCAGCCAGGGTATTTGTATCGTAAATTTGGAGGCATATTTTCATGGAACCAGGTATCATAATTTTGATCTGCGTCCTGGCCGTCGTCTCGTTCGTAGTAATTCTGCTTCTTGGTATTGTCATTGCAAGGAAAAAGGGACGCTGCAGACGGACCCACTACTCTCATGATATCACGACAGAAAGTGAGATTACCAAATAATTATCTAATAACAGGATTTTTGTTCCACAATGAATTGTCTGTCCATTATTTCCAGGTCAAGCTGGAGAAATTCTTGCAGTCGTTTCCACAACCAACAGGGCTCAAGCAGTGGAGAAAAATACACAATCAAAACCAACTACAAATGCAACTTTCTCGTCGCCAACACAATTATTCCTACAGCAGCAGCAGCGTTCTTTCATGTCATCATTACAACAGTCAGATCAGCAAACGCGACTCCCTTTCCCAATAACTTCGGTGAGTGGTCAAGTCGAGTTTGACAGACGTAATGGATTGCTTACTGGGAGTGAGAGGGTGTTCAGTTTGAGACCACCTTACACGGGATTTGGTGGACCTCCGTCATACACAGAATCTTTGGCACTTCAACGACTTAGGAGCTCAATTCGCTAGATTAACGAAAGCTAAGGAAGGAAGTAACAAAAGGTCATGCAAAGTGTGTCCTGATAACGAATTAAATTGTGAATCTCGTGCATAACTCGTAACTTTGAAGGTGTAAGAAATAATTTTGCAATTTACATGGAAAATCGTGAAAGGAATTGGAAACAGAGACTCATCTCGACCCGGATATGAGTCGTGCTTTACTTTTCCCTGTACATATTGTTGAGAGATGTGACTAAATAAAATATAGTCCAAAATTACACAAATTAATGAATCCTCTTGACTTACTCATTACCAGGAGGTACAAAAATATGTGTTTGCACAGTTACCTGATTAATTACTAATATACCTACGAACATGAGGATGCAACTACTGATGATACGGTCATAATAATCTTTACGTACTTTTATGACTATTATGACTCACATAAAGGAAACGGAGTGAATGCATGAAAGTCTATTCAAAAATGATGCATACGTAAGTAAACTGAACCTCATCATTATCTCTTCTTCGTCATCATTTCAATGGCCACATGCCACATTCTCTTTTCATACGGATTTTACCCAGTCTCAAAGTGTGATTGAGAGCATAGCGAACTATTGCGACAGATGAACAGATGTGCTTTGCTGAATATGACCAGTTGTTTGTTGTTCGTCATCAGTTAATAACGTATAGTCAATTGTTTAACAACGTATTGCAATTTTGTCTGAAATTTCGTAGTTTTCACGGGGAATTTCGGTATTTCGTGTGTTAAAATTAAGTATGATGGAGTATATCTGGATCTTTTTACCGGTTCCACTGACAATTCTGATTGTAAGCTCAATTTAATAACATACATACATCAATTTATATGTATCTGATTCATGACTAGGTCAAGAAATTCGCCGAATATTGATTCTTATTAATTGTTTCTTTATACAGTTTGGATGGATGATGTTTCTCAAAAAGTCTTTGAACTCGCCGAGCAAAAGAAGAATATTGCCGACCAGCATAAGTGAGTTGTAGAAAATTATCTATCAAGCGCAAGATTGTGTATCAAGTGGATTTAAGTATTTTTTTAATCAAATAGTTTCAGACTTTGATGATGGAGCTTATTCCTCATCCGCACAATTTCCCCGTGGTCGAAGGAAGGGACGGAGACCGTGTGCCTTAAAACATTTGTAAAATTGTAAACAAGAGACTGTGAATCTATATGTATTTATGTATGTACATAGTATGTATTAATTATCTGTAAAATATGATCTCGGATAAAACGTGTCAAATTTGCAAGTGCGTCATTCCAATTCCATGTGGGTGGATGACGAAACACTCGTGCAGCGTCAGTATTATAATAATTTATGCACGCATTTGTTTTGTATAATTTATGCCTAATAAGAGCTTTTGGCACTTATTTATTTATTATTTGCATATATTGAATGAATATGTGGAATATAATATTTTGAAGTTTATATATCAAATTATTTTTGACCATAAACAATTATTTATTTATGAGCAGAGCACCCAAAGTTTTTTGTACTTATGTACATATGTACACATGCCACTGTGATTTGTAATGTACAAGTAAGTGGATTTCTATGAATGAGAAGCTTTAAAATTACAAAGCTCTTCAAATCAACTCATCTCTTCAAATCTCTGTAAATCTTTCAGGATGCCATATAGAATCTTGTACTGGATCTAGAATTATTGTACAAGAATTTTCAAAATCCCAAGGTCCTGAATTTCACTTAGTTACGTGTGTATATAAGGTTAACTCACTTGATGGTAAATTTTGTGACCGAGAGCTTGGGACGAGTTTGGGATTATTTTTGGAAAAAAATTCGTTGTTACGTGAAGTTAAGGCCATTTTAATGTAAATTTATAAAATAATGATGGAGATCAAGGCCGGTGGTGGATAAAATTAACGATCTTGGAGCAAATTTAATGTCATTTTTAGCATAATGGGGAGAAACTGTGCAATTTCGAACTGTCCAGACAGAAAAGGAAAGCCCTCTCACAAAGTTCACTCATTTCCAAATGCAAAACATGCACTTCTTCGGAGTATTTGGATTTCTCAAGCTATTGGGACGACGTCATCACTTAAACTTAACAACTTTGGCGTTTGCAGCCGTCATTTCTCCTCAAATAATTATGTAGCAGGTTATTATGTGGCGAAGACGATGATCAAACAAATGGCGACGAAGAGTTCGAGATTCCTCCCGATCCAGCCGAAGCTGATTTGGAACTGATTAATTCCATCCTAAATTCATATGAACAGTTTAATCGTTGTGATATTTATTTTTTTTCCCACAAAATGGAAAATTATTTATTAACATAAACATTGATAAAGTATGAAATACACTTAGTTGGCTTGGGGAGTAGAGGAAAAACCCGATGTTGGTGGGTTGGGAAAACCTTTACTTGATCCGGATAGGCGTCCGAGATCACCATTCGGCCCCTTACAGGATTTTTGTAAATAAAACGACCTATCATTTAAAATATAAAATAATTCTTCTAATCCTCGTTGACTGGGGACAGCTCCCATGATTGATGCCGCATTCCCGCGTTGAACTGCCAAACTGATCCGTTGAATGAGAAATGTTGTTGACATTGGTCCAGTGACATCCTTCATCCTCCTCCCAACATCTTGGATGAACTTCAACCCTTCCATCCCCCATACTCCTGATGTCTCGACAGCCACCGGAACAAAGATATATTGTTTTTCAAGTTCAGAGTAAAGTTTGTGTTTTTTGGTCTCGGCTAGTTTTGCTGCTGTGCCAGCATGTCTAAGTGTGTGAGAGAGATAAGAGGGGGCAAAAGTGTCTGTACATGTAAAGTCCCATATTAGTGAGCGTCCCTGTTTGTAAGGTATTAGTGTTAGACCATCCGGTCTTTTTCCATCTGTCCTACAACACCCTAATGGTTCCCTAATGCTTGGTATGTCTGCAGAAATTAAGGCTCTCTTTATTATGTCGTTACATTGTGTATGTCGAGAGTGCCTGCCAGCACTTTTTTTACATGAAAGGCCATGTAATCCTAGTTCATCTATTTGTGTACCACAAACACATTTATGGGGGAAACACAATTTTAAACCTAACCTAAAACCAATTGCAATCCTAAAGGAATTATCGTTTAAAAGTGTGCCTAAATTCCTGGATGGTAAAGCTTGCAACCATGCACCTGACTCTTTTGACCGAGATGCCAAAATCCTAGCGGTATTAATTGGGGTGGTGGATGAATCCAGGATACGTGAACATACTTGATTAAAAATTGGGATTTCCCATGATGATTGAATAGAGGAAATTGTACTGCGAGGTAGTTCATCACAACTAATCGACTTCCACAAGTCTTGCGCCTCGGTCACAAGTGAATCGGGCAAAGCAGTGACATATGAGGGCAAAATTAAAGAAACCAAATCTGTAGTGGCAAATGAAGATGCAAGGAAGCATGGAGTTGCTAAAGTTTTCGATTGTTTAATTCCCAAACCTCCTAATTTAACCGGCAAAGCTATTTTTTCTAGAGATAGAAGATTAATTTGGCAGTTTGTAATCTGTTCTAAAGTATCATGGAGCAAAGAATCGAACTCTTCTAGCAAGTGAGGAGATTTAAAAATTGGGGCTGCCCTCAGTAGGTATACTAATCGTGGAATCGCTAAAGAATGTTTCAAGAGATAATACGCAATATGGTTGGGAATGGAGTTTAATCGACCTGCCATATTAGAAAAAGCGTTAATCTTTTTGCGAAAAACGTGCTCAATTGATTCATACGTTAAAGGTGCACCTAAAAGTTCAGCATTTTCCTGAGTCATACATGAAATACCTGGTGCAACTGATTGGAAAGATTCTAGTATACATTGCGTGTTGGTTTGTAGACCTAAAACTGAAACCTCACATTTATCAAAGTTTAATTCTAAACCTACTTCATTTGCACACGAGATAATATGTTTGAAATCATCTAAAACTGTAGTAGGATCGCCACCTAATGTACCATCATCCAAGTACCACATATTAAATTCTGACCCTAAATTTGAAACGACTGGATGTAGAATCAAACAAAAAAGTGGTGGACCTAACGGATCTCCTTGTTGAACACCTCTACATGATTCAATTAAAGAAGAATTCCAGACAAGGCTGGATGAGAATCTATAGCACTGATTAATATAAGGATACAAGGTTGGTACAAGTTCGTGAACGGATGAAAGCAATTTCCCTCTATCCACCATATTAAAAGCATTTTTGAAATCTATTTTAAGAAAGGCTGTGGGTGACTTATGTGGAAAGGAAAAGAATCTACGGGCAGCATGTGCTCCTGCTTCAGCACCATTTTTTACATTGAAACCTACTTGGACTGGACTAAAATAATCCTGAAAGACATGATTCATGACCTTGACACAAATTTTTGAAACTATTCTACGATAAGTGCAACCTACTGCAATAGGTCTAATACCACCTGATTTCTTTTTAAGGGCCGTCAGACTTGCGCCATAAATGAAAGGACAAATATCTAAAGGAACTTTTCCTGCTAACATAAAATTGCAAAATTTTGTCATAGATTCTAACAATTGAGTTCCTACGTCACCAGTATGTTATGAAACTAAATCTTTCAGAATTTGTGGTCGTAATGCATCTAAACCCCCTGCTGAACCACTAGGAAATGAGAATATTGCTGAGATAACCTGTTCTACTGTTGTTGTAAAAGGTGGAATGTTAGGCTCATCTAAAACAGTAAAATTATCTAAAGGTTGTGGTGGGTGCTTTTCTACAAGTGTTTCCAGAGTTTCTGAAGAATTTGGGGCGATAATATCATCTGAAGTTAAAAGCCGAATTGCACCACGAATATTTCCTTGGGATACTTTAGATATGACTTTTGGCCCAATGTCCTTGATGGTGCTACCTGGTTTATCATGGGCTGAATTTTTGGAAGAGAGAGTAATGAGATAATCCTGATATGTATTTTTGTCCAAAGATTCAAATATGGATAAGTTGTTTCGGATTTTGCTATTAAGGCTTTGACCATTTTTAATATTTGCCTTTGATTCACATTGCAATGTAATATATGGAAAGGTCAAAAGGAGATGCCATGCCTCTGGAGTATTTTCACTTATACATTTATCTACGGCGGATTTAAGAACTTGGGCTACAGGGATCCTACAGGCCTTTGGACATTGTTTAAGAGTAGGACAATTTTGCCTAAGAGATGAAATGATAGTTTGGAAATCAAAAACTGAGTCAGCACTGTGTTCTGATTTAAACTAAATCCCTACGTAATGATACTTCGAAGTGCCATGAAGTTCTGTCCTAATTCGTTTGGTCCTAATGTTTGAAAATGAATTTTTTATCAATTTACCCATTTCTGCATCGTTAATGGGTTTAAAAATGCCTAAGGAGTCTCGTCTATAAGCGTCATGTAATATAGCTTTCTCAATTACCCCCCCGGGTACTATGTGGTTATTTAGCCATTCTAATGTAAGGGATGTACATGTTTCCTTGCTAGATATAAAATTTGAAAGTGGTGTACTTAATGTAGAAATTGGTTGTGATGCACGTGGATTTGTAAAGGGGATTGACTGTGTGAGTTGAATATGTGTGCCTAGATAAGATTGATTTGCTGGCGACGATGTGTTTGAGTTTATTTGGGGGCCTATTTGTGTATCTATTTGGGGACAGTTTGCGCAGAACCAGTCACCTTCAGGAATGGCCTGCAAGAAAAGGCAAGAGGTGTGATACCAAATTAAACATGCATTACATAGAATCCACTCATCTGTTCCAATTGATGATGGTCCTGGGCAGCCCGAAACCGGGCAGAAAAGGTCCTCGAAAACGGGACTCAAACCCTCGGTGGTATGGGGGAGTGGTTGGGAGGATGTGGGAGGAGGAAGTTTTCTTGGTTTGGTCCTCTTCTTCTGCTTATTCCTCTTCTTTCTTGGTCCTGGATGTGGTCGTGGTGATGATGATGACGGCGGCGGCGGGGATGACGACGATGACAGCGGCAGCGGGGATGACGACGATGACAGCGGCAGCGGGGTTGACGACGATGAAGATGACAGCGGCAGCAGCGGGGACGATGACGATGACGGCGGCGGCGGGGACGATGACGATGACGGCGGCGGCGGGGACGATGAAGATGACAGCGGCAGCAGCGGGGACGATGACGATGACGGCGGCGGCGGGGACGATGAAGATGACAGCGGCAGCGGGGTTGACGACGATGAAGATGACAGCGGCAGCAGCGGGGACGATGATGGCAGCAGCGGGGACGATGACGATGACGGCGGCAGCGGGGACGACGATGGCTGTGCAATGATTTTTCCGGTTTCAATTCGGTAAAATACTCCGTTGAATGGTGAGCTTCTATCGAGATCGGACGACTCAACTTTCGCAATTTGACTCCCACCGACAAAATTTGACCTGTGGGCATCTAACTGGGTGGATCGGGATGTTTCATTATGAGTCGAAACAGGTGAATCTAAAACTTGAATTGTAGCGTTATTTGCAGACAGTAGAGGGTTGGGGCATAGCTGACGACATTGCGGTGGTCTATTGAACAGTGGCATTTTGGCAATGATGCATCCAATCAATTGTGCAATTTTATAAGTTTTGAGATAGAACGAGCGAATACGATATTTTGTCTCTAAGAATTATTTGTGTTATGGATGTTTCTTGAGTTCATGAAAATATCTTCAAGGGAGATACATCAGTAAGACAAGGCTTTGCTTTGGACGCTTGACATAGTTTGTTTGATGAAAGTGACATGAAAGTTTTTTAAAATTGTTGATATTTATGTGATATTAATGTGATATTTATGTTTGTCATTTGTTAATTATGATGTACGGTGTAATTGTTATGCATCTGTATAAAGTCGTGTTGTCAAAATTTTGACCACCACCGGCCTTGATCTCCATCATTATTTTATAAATTTACATTAAAATGGCCTTAACTTCACGTAACAACGAATTTTTTTCCAAAAATAATCCCAAACTCGTCCCAAGCTCTCGGTCACAAAATTTACCATCAAGTGAGTTAACCTTATATACACACGTAACTAACAATGCGATGGTGTGAAGTGTAACCCTCCGATTTGGCTGAAATTTTAAAATTAGGTGGTCCAAGCCAATACAACTAACGTTTCTTCAGGTAGTTTGTGCGATGGTGAGAGTTACTCGAAATATTTGAGGTCAAAGTTCAAAAAACGGCCGACTTTTTTCAGGCGGAGTGAGAAAACTCCACTTCCATTCTCTTCCCCTCGCTTTGATTTTCACTCCGAAAAATAATTCATTTCAACAATTTTAAATTTAATTTTTTATAGAAAAATATTAATTATTCATTCCACATGTGACTATATGATTATCTTCATAAAAGTCCACAAAACAATACGATAAACTGCACCAGCTGAATTTGATGAATGTGGGATTGCCACAATTCAGGTCGCAACTAATATTTTTTTCTCTAAAACAAACTTCGCTTACATTTTTAAACTCGGGCTTTTCGTCATCACCCCATGATCCGCTTGAGTACCAACAATATCGAATCACAGGAGCATTTAAAATATTAATATATAATTGGATATTAGAATAACCAACGCTTTCGAAATGGAAAGCAAGTTAAGTTTTTCCATGTTTATTTGCCGTTGGCGAATTTATAAATTAACTTTTATGTAAATTTGTACTAGAAATAAGTAAAAATCTCACTTATTTAATTATAAATTAAATTAAGTATGTATAATGCGTATTAATTGCTCTTTAAGCTATAATTAATAATGTTTATTTTTTATTATTTTGCATCAAAGCTTGTGCTTGAGCATGAAGGCGTATGCATGAGCGAGACGCCTGAATAAAATCAAAGCGAGGGGAAGAGAATGGAAGTGGAGTTTTCTCACTCCGCCTGAAAAAAGTCGGCCGTTTTTTGAACTTTGACCTCAAATATTTTGAGTAACTCTCACCATCGCACAAACTGCCTGAAGAAACGTTAGTTGTATTGGCTTGGACCACCTAATTTTAAAATTTCAGCCAAATCGGAGGGTTACACTTCACACCATCGCATTGTAAGTGAAATTCAGGACCTTGCAAAATCCTAAAAAAATTGATCTTTAACTTGATCTTGAGCGTTTTGATGGTGATTTTCGTGTTTTAGCCCCATTGAGTGGGTATGGGGGAGCAAATGCGGCCATGGCATCAAACTTGCTGTTTACATAATTCAAAAGTATTTAAAATGGTATTATACAACAGTGGTGTTATGCAAAAAAAAACAATTATGCAATTTCACCGGGAACGAATCGTGTATTATTTGGATATTATTTCGGCCAATTTTGTACCATTGTATTTTTGAACACATTAGATTAGCAAAACTGTACTTTGATAGTAAAAATCCACATGAAACATAATACATATTAATTGTATCATCTTTATAACGCTTGATATTTAATAAAGACAAATGAATTTATTTACGTACTTGTTTTACAATGTTAAATAAATATGTGCCAATTATTTTGTTACTAAAGCTTCAAAATGTTATGCGCCATATCAGAATACGATTCGGCCTAAATTGTTGTGGAACATAAATATTGTGCATTTAATTATATTATTGATAATCATCTTCTACTTTGAGTTTAATTGTCACAATTTATTATATTATGCAACACATTCAGTTTAGACACGACCCTGTTGTTTTCTAGTTAGTACGGTGTCCGTTTTAAATGGCTGTTGGTTGGTGGCCCCAGGTCGCATTCTTGGCCGCGTTCTTAGTGGTACTCGTATTTAGTATCTGTTATAAATTATTCAGTTTCTGCTAAAAAAAGCCCGAATAAATTTTATTTATTGAATAAATAAATTGTGCAGATCTGTTTCATCATATTCATTTTGATTGAGTGTTGCTGCGTTCGATCGACATTGGGACCTTTTCAAGTTCTTGGTGGTGGTCAACTTGTAACAATGCAGAGATTGAGGGCAATGGAAAACCTTGCAATTCCTCAAGAGTGGATCGACCATTTTCAGTATCAATATCAACCACCTCCACCTTATGAACCTCCTCCAAATTATGGGGACATTTCAATACTTCCCATCAGTACATGTATAGCGACAATACAAATAGTTTAAAAGTAATTTTTGCGTACTTAAATAGAACAATTAAGGTTATGTAAAGGACTTCAAATGTTGCGACCAAACTACATTATTTTTTAAATTGAATCCATAAATAAAAGGTCACAAATATTAATCTCATTTTTGTGTATGCAACTCACTGCGCTCAGGATGTAGCAAAATGGCAGAGTTGTCGGTATACGTAACTATAAAATGTGGAGATAAATGGGGTAATATTTTGCAATATTTATTTATTTCCCAAATGCTAATTCCAGACGACTCGACTATGTAGGTTGATATTGCCAAATCCTGATAACATTTTGTGCAGTCTTGCACTGCATAGCATATTGTGTGCAGCCAATGATTGAAACAATAAATACGAATGCGTGCAAAAAGTAAAACTGGGATAATTTACATGCGAAGTTCTTTGTAGTCATAAAGCAGTTTGTGAAATGTGGGATATTTAACAACATTTATTCATCATACACAAACTAACCACAAATACACATCGAGAGAGCAATAATCAAAAAGACTGGTACAAAGTTTCATTTTTTCGTGAGGCTTGTGTTATAATTGTCGCAATAATGAGTAATCCGTACGAAGGGTACAAATTGTACAGATTAACAGCCACTACAGAAGAACAAAGACAAACCTTATTTAATTTGGCAGAAGAGAAAAATCCTGGGGTATTGCTACTAATAAATACCTTTATAAATACAAGTTGATATAACTGTCACGTAGAATTTATAGTGTTCATATTTCTTTTGTGCAGGTCATATTTCTTACGAGACTGGATGAAATCACAGTAGGAGAACCGGTCAGTAAATATGCATACAAATCTAAACCCTGACTAAAATCAATTAATAAATGGTATGTTCCAGACTGACATAATGGTACTGCCCGAACTGCAAGGGAAGTTTGTAGAGGAATTGACCAAACGGGGTCTAGCGACACTAATTCTGGGGGAAGTGAAGTGATGCATGTTACACAAAGGGCTTCCTGAACTGTGACCTGCCTTGGACAACAATTCAATGATATCAAACTGCACAACAAATCGCACTTTCTTCTGCGGTGCCGAATTATTTTACGAAAAATGTTCATATCATGCTTGTTAAATTAAATTTAGAAACTAATTCAAACTTTTTTGACAAGAATCAAATTACAAACTATGCGTTTACTCATGTCCTCCATCATTTAATGACTTTTTTTACAATTTACTTTTAGTTACATTTTTGTGTTATTTAGCGTAGCAAATTATCCTGTTCCCAATTTGTGAGTCAATTGTCATTAAAATAAATATGACTTAACAAATAAGTGAATATAATTTACACGACTTCCTCTTTAAGCCCAACATTTTATTTGCACAATGGAAGTAATGCAATGTAAAATGAGAAGATTTTACGTATTTCTCTCTCAACTTTTCTGCTCAATTAGTACTGCATTGTGTTTTGTTGCGTTATACGGTTGACGGTTGGATAGATCTTTCATAATAAGTAATAGCACGAATAATATCATATCACCAAACCAACTGAACTAACGTAGATGTACATACAGACGAATGCACATACATACCTCACCTGTAATCAACTCCGCCTTTGCACAGGTGAGAGGTTGCTTCAAATAATGGAATTAACAATGTGAGTTTATTACACTCCGTCCACCAAAGAGTTTATTAAAGTAGGGAAATAAAAATCCGTCCAGTAATTTTAGAAACCGAATCTCACATAAAAATCTCAGAGTTTAGAAAAGTGAACCCTTTAAGATTAACTTTAAGATCATGCGAGTAGTCAAAGTTTGTGAAATATAATGCATATGCACATAATGTAAATTCGTTATAAACGTAAGAATACCACAGTGAGATTATTAAATAGTTAGGGTCAACTGCATGTATATAAAAGAAGGATGAGGATTTTTATGAAGGGGGTAAGAAATGATTTTAAAAAGTCAAAATGAGTGATCGAAAACAAAACGAATCCGTGAGCCATGCACTTCTTGCTCTGGGAATTGTTGCACTTCTCGTAAGAAATTTATTTACACGGTTTAAAAATAATGTAAAGTCGGTGATCTAACGCCGATTGAAATTGATACAGATAGCATCCATTATAATCGCATGGGTTATAGTATGCTGCGAGAGGTGTCGGAGGAAGAGAAAGTACCGACCCGGTCAGCAAAATCGTACGGGATTTTATCAATTAGCGTTCATTTGTACATTGAGAAAATAAGAAACTGACTAAATTTAGGACGAAGTGACCCTGGTGGTGGTGGATCCATAACTCGAAGTGGTCCATCCCCTTCGATAAGCAGGCATCTCCTCGTTCCAAAAGCATCCGAACATTTGGTGATAGCAAACAAAGCATTTCTCTCAAAGTCTACGCCGCACCTTGTCGGGGTGGATGGAGATGAGGAGGACAACTGGAGGATGGAGGGCATTTCTACCCCCACGCCGTCAGAACCACTCATTCCGTCCCCAAGTAAAAGAACAAGCAGCAGGTCGAACAAACCGGTGGTGGTTGCGGGAACTTCGTCACGTCATGCAAACATTGGCATGACCCCAGTTCCAAGGTCAAGGAGTGAACCAGTATTGCAAGATCAGGGGGTGCGAAAAAGTGGGTGGGAGGAACAGGGTTCATTTCAGGTGAGTTAGACAAAGATAATTTGGCCCTAAATGTGTAGTTACAAATGTATGTAAGTACATCATACATATTACTGGAATATGTACATATTTATTCTTGTCATGGTTTTAGGAGTTGTCTATCCACGATCAAATCGCAGCAATACTTGGAACATTTCCAAATCTTAGTTTTGAGTTTTTTAAGCCAACAAAAAACTCCACACCTTTGAAAAATGAGACGGATTCGGATGTCGAGCAAGGTCCAGAATCATCTGTTGACGGGGATGTTCTCGTTCCCTTGGACGTGACGACCCCACTCACCACGGGGGATAAAAGGCAACTTAATAATAATAAAATTAACAAAAATATAGTGAGACCAACGACGCTCACGTTTGTGGAAGAGAAGAGATATGATTTTATCGATGTGGAAGTTGAGATTGACACAAAAGTTGGTGAGATTCATGAGAATGAGGATGATCTTCCACCACTTTTAGAAACAGTACTATGAGTCTTAAAAATCTACTTAAATAGATATGATCTGATTTCTTTTTTTTGTGCTTTTACTGATGTGTCCTTTAGCAAGATGATATTAATTCTGTGTTAGAGTTGTGAGTTCGTTCCAGTCCAAGTTCAATAAGTGCCTTAAGTGTTCACTGTAGGTGTTCATGTCTTGCTTTTTTACGAGTACTAGTGACTATATTATCCAAAAAATCTACTTTAACATTTTATTTACTAATGCTTTTTTATTACGAGTAATGACAAACCAAAATGCAACGTCTCATTCCTTATTTATGTCAGTATTGCTTTACGTGTATAAGTATTTATGTCAGTTAATGAATCTCAAGAACAGAATTTTATGATGCGATTGTTAAAATATTGTGAAATAAATCGAACACATTTTTGTAAAATGTTTCCAATTTTATTTCATAAACAAAAAAATATTTGTTCTTATCCAACCCAGTGGTAGTAGCGATATCTTGGGCGATACCCGCCATAACCTGAAGGAACATTGGGAGAATAATTTCATAAGAATAATTAAATTTCGTGGAGTAGTTATCCCCAATTTTTAATTACCTCCGTATTCCCGATAGCCTAGAATAAGATAAGTAGAATAAGTTAGTAATATGAAAAACAAAGTCCAGGTAATTATTATTCTCTGATGTCTTACCATATCCATGATGGCGATGATGATGGTGATGATGATGATGATGTCTGCGTCCCCCAAACCCAAACAAGAATCCTAAACACCATAAAGATTCGTATGCAGAATAAACATGATTTTTAATTTCAGAAAATTATCAATTACGTTTATCTCTGACTGCTTCGGATCCTGTATCACCAACAATTGGCAAGTCTCTCTCATCGCTCTGGTTTTCTAAATCAGCCAGAGATGCGACCCCAATTTCACCACCGAATTTTGGAGCTTCTCCCTCCGTAGTACCAAGACTGCTTGGAGATTGCTTTGATTCTATCAAGGCAGACTCGGAAATCAAAACCATTGCGGATACTATTACGACAAGGCCAAAAACCATTTTGAGAGTGGCCATGTTTCCTTCTCAGAAAAGATAAATTAAATTGTCTTTTAAATTTCTGAAAATCTATATTGTACAACGAGGTTTGTTGTATGTCAAAAGTTGTCTTTTAATGCAGCTATTGTTATCTCGGCACATTTATATAGGAAGATCCCACCTCCGGTTCAACAGGCAATGGACGTCAACGTCTGTTGACAGTGTCAAGTCAATACCACCCCAAACCAGAAAAAATTTCCATTCCTCTTTCCATTGTTATTAAATATCTCCCGAATTTAGTAATGTTTTTTATTTCAGAGAAAACATAGTTGATGAGACCGGCTTGAGATCGACCACCTGATGAGCACGTAAGCCTTCGAGGGGTTGAATTGTCGTCAGAATTGCAAATCATAATCATAAATATTGAAATGAGAGGAGATATACGCTATTGTTGGCACGTTGCGAATTAAATGTATGTAAATCTTCCAGAGTATTTACTTCCCATGAAATGTTTCGAATCAATCCTTCCTTCTTATGAGCTTTTCATCACGTTTTAAAGAATGGACAATCTGGAGTGGGCTGGACGTCACTTGCAAATATTTTTGCTCAGTCATCCCTTCACGTAGCCAATTTTGTGATGAACACTAACTAAGGAAAGTATACAATGTACGTGCCATTTTTTGCGAGTTGTGTACCCAAGCACAATACATGGCTGTGAGGAATGATTAATGAGCTGGACACTGATAAATTGAATAAGAAATTGTAATAATGCTATCTCTTCGTGGGATCATTTGGTACACATTGGTAATGTAGGCGTAAGATGATGATGTGACGAGAGTTTACCAGGTAGAGAAGAAGATGTTGAAATTCTTGGTATTTACTTAAACAATTATAAATTAATAAAACCAAGTTCAAGTTTTATAATAAGAAATTATGAGTTATTTACATATTAACTTTTTATGCTCTTGTTAATAAAAATAAGTTGATGAATCAAAGTTTCACATCCACCGGGGCTGATTCAATAAAATTCCAATTTTGTCCCCCAATTCCACAAGTCACCCAGAACAAATTACCGACCCCAGAACTAGATAAATACATGTTTGCATCGTAGCATTTTTATCATGTAATTATAAATCTGTCTGATTTGTTGATAAATATGACTAATTACCCGTATGTGGTGAGACAAAGTCCGTTTCTGATGTTCATGACCATAAAAGAGTTTCCATCTCCGGACGGGCTGAGTAAGAGGTCTCTGTACACGGGATAGCAGGTTGATTGAAAATCATCAAATGTGATATCGTTCACAATGAACCCTTCCACTTGCACATTAGAATTGATTGAAACACCGCCAGCTAAACATGAAGCCATCCATCTTAGTACATAGGCAAATACCGAAATATAAAGTAGGTAAGTAATTTAGATGACTTGCTAAAATTATTCGGAGCGGAAACAATCCATTGATAATCTGGTGGATATGGGACATTTAAATCGTACGTGGGTTGAACCCGACTTAATCCTTGGCACACTTTGCCATTCCCAATTGGTTTTACTATCTTTAAAACAATATATCTGAGACAAACTTGTACAAAAAATGTACCCAATGTGCTCTAAAATTTAATTAATTACTCCTCCATCCATTGTGCTTCTGATCACGTAAACCTTGTCAGGGAACGGTAGTTGAAGATGAGTCGTTGTTGTAGTCATCAGTACGGTAATCAGCAGCGTCGTCAATATTTTTGAATGTCCCATTGTGAGAGATTAAAGGATATTTATATAGCTATGAAAAAATACGTAAAGATGCGTAAAGATATGCGAATGTGTGAATCAATGGATAATTTTGGACTGGATTAAATTGCCAAAGTTTGATGATGCTTTTAATAATTTTAATTTGTAATAATATCTGATAAGTTGTTAACATGAAACATAATCACGATACTGCATTTATCAGTAAATACTTAGCTTGGAATTTTTGTGACGATTGAATTTAAATTAGTTTATTCAAGTTATATTGAATGTGATATGTACATACCAGCATTCACTATGCACTTATGTATAGTTTGCTAATTTTGTACTATTGCGTTTCAATGAAAGCCCATTCTTGTTGCGCCAGATCTGCTCCACATTGATACCACAAGAGTGACCCAAGTTCCGACCTAGTTTTACATGAATTGGAGCAATATTGACCTGATGTGCCTTTATTTTTCTGTACAAGCACTCACCCATACGACGTAAGACAACGTCCCGTCTGCACACTTTGAATCATATACGAACCAGCGTTTTCAGTCGATATCAGGTTCAAATTTCTGTAAATTAGGTAGCAGTATGGGGGGAAGTCCTCAAACGAGAGGTTATTAATTGAATAGCCTGATTCTTGACGTTTCGAGAAAATGTTGATTCCCACCGCTAATAAGATTAGAGTACACAAATATATTAATCCTACTTTTCATATCTATGTAGTTGGTTAGGAATTTTACAGTAATTGTTTGGGGCCGATACAGTCCATTTGTATTGGTCTTCATAAGGTGGAATAAGTCGATAACCGCAAGTCAGAGCGCTAAGCTGTGTACACATTTCACCTGACCCACGAGGTTTGACAAACTAAATTAGTACGTACTTGTGTAAATTGAATTAATTTATGATTTGAAATTTTATGATTTTATGATAATCACACACCCCATTGTCGATTGTGTTTCGAATGGTGTACACCTTATCCGGAGAAGGAAATCCTTCTACAGCATAGCAATAAGCTACCAAGAGAAAGCCGAAAATTTTTACCAGCAGCTCCATTTAAACGAATTGAATGATGAATTTTTGTGATTTTGAACTCATGCATGCATGCGTAATTATTTAATAGTTATCCATATCATTTATGTTGATTTGAGAGGTGTGATATCGCGCTTATCATCATAGCATAACACAAACTCATCCTCATTCATAGAGGAAAATGAATATACATACATAACAGTGTATACAATATGCATACATGCGAATTTTGGTGAGTTGAATAAAATTGAGAACTAGATGCAATTTAATTTCACCCTAAAAGTCTAAAATGTCTAAAATGATGTCTAAAAGTACATTTATTAAACCCAGTATAAAAACCCTATATATAATGTAGTTTATGTGATTTATCATAGTATTTATATTTCGTAATGTGTATTGCAGTCTTATTACGGTGGATTTACATAGAGTTATTAACACGAGAGTAGTAAATCCATCGTGTAAAGAGATTTCAGCACCTGTTTTCCTCTTTTGCATCTCGGTTAGTTTTGATAATTTGAGCCCTTTTGAAATTTGCTTTACTTTATTTAATTAGTGTAATCTAATCACACGACGATGGAGGGAGAATGGTCTTCATTTTCCTTAACTCATGTAGAATATCCGAAAGGTATGCACATATTTAATCATATTCAGAGTGTTTATTTCAAATTTCTTACAAAAATATTTTTTGTTTGTCTACATATTTATCTAGGTTAATTCACCTAAAGTATAATTAATTTTCTATTATTTTTCTTCCAGGAGACATTTACGGCCTTGTTTTAGCAATACTTAGCCTTCTCCCCTTAGCCATTATTGTCGGTTTTATAACTTTGATATTCTTTAGAAGAGATTTACACACGGTATTAAAAAAATATAAACACCGATACAACTGGCACTTAAAAATTGCTAATGAATTTGTGAAATACAGATAACTTTCTTCGTCGGGCAACTAGGAAACGAAGTGTTGAACATGGTGCTCAAAAAGGTTAGGACAATGACGACAAATAAGAATGCAGTTTTTTCATGAAACAATGAACATGCATATATTTGCTATCAAATTGATTTAGGTTATCCGTGAACCTAGGCCGATGCGAAGGGAAGTAAATTATAACGAGTGGGGGTAATTATCTTTAAAACGAAATCACTACCGATTACCCAGTACTGCAATGGTTAAGATCAGGTTAATTTTTATTTTTGACTAATTCATAAAATCGGATTTATTCCAGGATGCCGTCCTCTCATTCTCAATTCGTCACTTTTTTCGCCCTCTATTCAGCTCTCTTCATTCTGTTCAGGTGTGCACATGAATAATACCCCATATTAATTGTTATATGAAAATGTTGGTGTTGATATACTTAATGTCGTTGCAGACTGCCAGCCACTAAATTAGGACATAAATTAGGGCTTATCACATTTCTAACGGGGATTGCTAGTGGCGTTATATACTCTCGGATTTATCTTATGTACCACACATTGAGTCAGGTGGGATGGGGGGCAGCCATCGGCGGTGCGGTTGCCCTCGTCTGGTTTCTCACGACCGTTTTCGTCTATGTTCCATTGTTTCCTTACATTTCTAATTTGTAAGTTATCATTTAGATGATACACATTATAATGATTATAAAATTGGTCTGAATAGTGTCTAATGAAATTATTTTATTTTTGTGTATTAGACGAATCTGTGAAATGCTGTTGATTAAGGATACCAGCTTAATTCCAAATATTTTGTGGTTTGAATATAAAAATGCAAGACTGGAAGCTCGTTCCAGAGTGAGAAAGGGGGCCAGCTCAAAACTACAGTGATCTTTAGAAAAGTACATATTAAAAAGAATTTTGACAATGTTGTTATAAGTTTTTAATTGACTATTTTCTCTGTAACAATCAGTATATATATTGGATATTTACTAAATGTAGGAATTTGCATATTTCATAGTTTGGATTTTATGAACTGTTACTTTGTTGGATTATGGGAGTTAAATAAAGTTACCAAATATTAAAATCGCGTATTTCGTGACATAGGTCGAGAACTGAACTAGTAGAAATTAATTGAGGTTATTTTTCCATCCAAATCTCTATTCAGCAAACATGCATTGTCAATTTTGTCCAATACAGTTCGTAATACATAGTGTAGTATTTATTTGTGATAAGCGCACTGCGCTATACCCGACTTTGAGTCATACATATATGCTTCTTATATGACATGCGTAATTTACTGATACTCGATACTAACTCGGACGATAATAGCAAACACGACAATCCAAATTAGATAAGAATTTCAGACCATCAGAACACAAATTTCCAACATCCACAAGAAATAAATACAATATTTTTAATTCTAAATAAAATAAAAACTGATTTCCAGAATGGTAAAGACTTGTTGCTTCGGTCAATGTACTGCCAAAACGGGAACTGGAATCATAGCCCTGCTGAACATTGTAATAATTCGGATTTTTTAGTTATTAATTCCAGACTGTATATTTCTTAAGATTAATTGAGATTTGAAAATATCTGGGTATTTGATCACTTTAGGTCGCAAGCATTCTAGAAATTGTCATATTTTCGGTTCTAGCAAATCATATGATTACCAACCCTGAAAATATTTCTGACGAACAATACCTAGGGTTTCAGAAATATGGTAACTCTTATATATGTTTAAGTATATATTTTAATATTTATTAGCTAAACATAATCCAATGATTTATATATTTACACGGCGAACTTATTTCTACAGGGGACTTGTACATTGCGTCTCAATTTGTTGGGATATTGCTTGCTTTGATTTATGGAATCCTGTCTGGAATACTTTTTGAAGGGTACAGAACGGTACGAAATCCAGCCAATCCAGAATATCGAGTTTATGATAATTACACATGGACTTGTATAATTAATATCGTGTATATGCTCACATATCAGGAAGACGCAAGCCTGTGCACCCCATGGCTGTACTGGAATTTTGTCTTCTTAACTCTGGCATCAATTGTCACAATTTGTGGCCTTGTCGCCGAATTTGTTATACTTGGCTACATGAAAATACTAATCCTAAATTTATCTGTGGCATTTATTATCCCAGTAAGTTTAGGAATTCAGACATATTGTACTCTCGTTGTACAACGATTCGTGAATGAGATAAGGGGCGGAAGATATTCTGTCTTGAGATCACAACCAGAACCAGAACGAGATATTATTGAGACGGACAATGATGTTGATGATGTGCAGACATCAACTGAACAAGAAGTATAATAATTACTTTATTAATAAAAACATTTATATCGTTATAAGTTCAAATCGTGGAAGTCCGTAAATGTCTATTGTAGAATTTGAACATATAATTTGTATCTGCATTATAGTAACTGTAAATTAAATACAAACATGTAAATTATTGTAAATATGTACATGTGTGTAGATTGAACAAATAGAAGAGAAAGTATCTCGTGAAATATCAGTCACTCTCACCCTTAAAAATGGGAAGAGATTAAAAATGGAAAGATTTTGACAACAAATTGTAATAATGTAAATGCAATGTATGTAATTAATTGTACGAATTATAATCTTAGGGAAATATGGGATAATGCTAGCATTAACTAGATACCACCGACATAACGAAAGAGAAAGAAGGTCCAGAACTGGTGTATACGTACGTATATAGTAATTAATTTTTACATAACGTTAAGAAGCGGAGTTTTTATTGAGCAAAAAACTAAATCAAACACTAGTTTCTTTAACTTATCTGAAATACATAATGAGGAAGTATAAATCATACAGGTCTCTTTGTTACTCTCGGAGCTTTTCCCAGAAATAAGTATCATCCGTAAAATTAGATTGCCCACAATTCAAAAAATGTAATTAGTTTGCACAAGCTTCCGGTAATGAGTACTTCAGTTTTGATCACTTCAGTTTTGATCATGATTCTCTTGGTCGGACTATTTAGAAACTGTAGCATTTACTAGTAGTCGAAGAGACAACAGGAGGGATGAGGTCCTCCGAACAAGCAGAACAACTTTTGCACCTAATAAGTAAACAACAAGTTCATCTATGGTAAAGATATCAACAGAAATTCTCGCTGTTCTAATTGCGCCGTAGTAAGATTCTACTAAAGATGAGTTAGTTATGGTGCTACCGTAAACTGAATTATTGAATGAACTACATATTTCAATTAGGACATTATTTATGTTTTGGTTTTCTAAATTTTTATATTTATTGTATAAAAAATATTTATTAATGCAATTAGCAATCAACATGTAAAATATTCTCTCAAACAGCAAGATTACATTTGGTTCAGATCACACATCCGTAAGATAAAAACACATTTCTTAATTGAGATTGACGATTCACAAACTTCAAAAACATACATCATTCGAATTATTTAAGCTGCAGGTGCTGGTGCTAATAACATAAGATTATCACAATCTTCCATTTTGTTGGGTTTATTCTTTGGGAGAGAAGAAATAATAAAAAGTCCACCCCTCAACTTTTTATAAGATGCGACTCGTTCATCCACAAAAGCTCTAATCTCACTTGCACACGATTCGTTGCTGAATTCTGGTTTCAGGACGACAAATGCTCGAGGGATCCTGTCATCGTTTCCATCATGAGGATTAGTTACACCCACGACGACAGCATCCTCCACTGCTGGATGTTTAAGAACGATCTCTTCAATTTCGGCGAGAGAAATTTGCCATAAGAGAGAGTTGGTGTCACAGAGTTTGAAGGCCTTTGAGAGGTAATCATCCACAGCTTTGATGGAGCAGGTCAAAGATTTTTCATTCTTAGTCTGAAAAGAATATTCAAAAAGTTAGTGGAACCGAGTAATTGAGCAAGATTGCAAATTCCGTGTTGTGATTATTAATACCTTTAATTCGAAATCCACATTGATTTTCTCCGACAATTCGATAGGATGAATCAGATCCGACTCGACAAAGAAATCAGCTTCTGGAATTTGGCACACCATTATTATTCTTTTGAGAATCTAGTTAGATTTCGAAATATTTTTCTTTAGTTATGGAAGTCACTCTTGTGAGGCAATACCCAAACTGACAAGTTGTAATTGGCAGGTCCAGATATTTATATGCAATGGTATAATAAATATGTACAGCAAAATGTTTGCATATCAAGTTATACGGTTCACAAAAGTTTCACTGGAAAATCCTTACATTCTGTGGGATATCCCATTCGTCACAAAACTAATCAGTGCTTAAACTTTGATTGACACTTGACTATTTTATTTCATCATTTGAAAGCCCGAATTGTACTTTGAGTACCAAAGTCACAATCAATTACTTGACACTTATTATTATAGCAATTTGAAGTGATCTCATTTGATTGTATGAATATATGTACATACGCATCGATGCATGTGATGTATTTAATTGAAGGTTTTCCCATTTTAGTTGCATGTAAATTTTAAATTAAACTGGCCAAATACAAAAAAAGATAATAATTTCAACTCTGATTACGGCATATGTAATTAATGATAGCACTACGTGCATAGCTAGCTGGGATCGAGTTCCAGTATAAATATGAATCATTTCAACAATTGAAAATCACTGCGAGTGCATGTGATACAATAATGTTTTACTTTAATTGAGATGTACATATATATTGTGTATAAAAGAAACTGATGACAGACAGGCACATGCAGCCCGACAAGAAATGCTACATAGATGCATTTTCAAATATTCATTCACAAATTTTCATGTTTTTTTTTACTAATCGATGCACACCAATATCGGTCCAAAACATGTATAAATACGTTGATTCTGCATTGCATAAGAAGACGAGTAGACAGACATACAGATTTGTTATGCTTTCATAAAAACAGAAAGTAATTTGCACAAGAAACACGGAAATCTTTATTGTTTGTAACAAATTATAAATGAAAAAAGACAAATCATCATATGAGGTCGTAGATACCTGGCATGAACACTTAAATTAAGTAAGCATTTGTTTAAGCCATGTACAAATCTATCGTAACCAAGTCTATCGTAATCGCTAAACCCAAGCACCCAAGCCAATAATTGTTTTAAAAAACTGTTGTAATCCGTAAACTGTGCAACTTTTTGTTTGAAATCCCAACATGAACACGGGATTTGTAACCAAAGCACAAGTCTTTATCTTCTTGAGCTGAAGGGATCTTAACAAGTCTCTTCTCTGTCACATTGTGTTTTTCTTTGCCAATTTATTGTACTCATTCAACAAAATTATCCATTATTTTGATGTTGCTCTGAATTTTATAGATAATACAATTACGCGTTTATATGTATGTTGCTTATGTGCATGATCAAGTCCTTTGCTTAGATTTCTACGAATACTAATGTAGTTGAAAAATGGATGAATCGGGCTCCAAATGTGTGTCATGTCCAATTTTTCTCTTACATATCCGGTAAATCAGTGAGACAAAATGGTATAAATAATTTACACATGTCACCCATAATATCATTCGACTTTAAAGCTTTCTTGTGCATGTAGACTGGCTTAATTGCTCCGTAATAATAATGAGGTCTATAATTTACAAAGTGGTGAGTAATCAAACACAACTTTTTTCTATATGAGTCGAAGGTGGAGGGGGGTGTGTATTTAGCAATTTTGCGATTTAAAATGTAAGACATTTGTTTATTTAGTTGAACTGGTTGGTTCTCGCGACCATGTTAATTTCTCTGGCGTCTGCATCCTCCCCGACGTCAACGCCATCAGCAGCATCGACAACAGCTTTGGATAACTTACTCCGAGTTAAGAGAGGAGGTGGTGGATATCCGGGCGCAGGAGGAGGGGCTGCAGGTCCAGTCTATATTTGTGGTTACATTGGAGGCAAAGAAGGTACGAAACCTGAAGAGATGCAATCTCATTATACACATTTAGACACTCGAAAAGTCTGTTCTTAATATGAATTTGTTTTGAAACTGTGTAGGTGGTGGGGGCCATGGTGGTGGATACGGGAAATGAGAAGATAACCTACTGCAATATTCGATCTTATCTGCACCTGTCACAAAAGAAACTAACAAAAGGGAATTCAAATTGTCTTCTGTAAACCTAAACACAGGTTTCATGAATAATTTAATTTGGTACACACATTTGGAAATATTGAAGTTATTTAACAGATTTTCCAAAATTATGAAAAAACAAAATTGAACGAAATTGAACGAAGAATCAGATTAGATGTTATTTAAAAAGTCAAGAAAAAAATGTATACAAATTTTTGCACAAGTCAAGTCAAAATGTAAATTAATAATAAAAATGCAATGTCAAACCGAAAATTTGCTCTGAATCTACATATTCGCAAGTATTTGCTATTAATGGACAAATGCATGACAGTTTTTAAGTGGGTATATACTTATGTACATATTTAGTACGAAAGTATTTAGTACGATAGTATGATGCATATGAATAATGAATGTACGATCTCTATCCCAAATTGCATGAAGCAAAATCACATCTTGTTCCGGTTTTTGTAGCTCCAACCGACTGGATTGAGCCGGCCGTGTGCAAATGTGCATACAAGTTTAAGTGTTACATTTATTTAGTTAATTGTGGTTGACCTTCACAATATTTGGACAACTCTTGATGAAAACTTGATTTGATTTCATGTGATATTACCACAATTGACAATTTTAATATGGCTGGAACAAAGATTGGTAATTTAATTAAAATTCTTTAAAAGTTTATCCATGTGTCATTTGACAGTTTATTTTTTGTGAAATATCGTAAATTAGGATGGATTGGGTGTGGTGTAATGGGAAGGTGGATGCTCCAACACTGTATGGATGCAGGTTATCCTGCTTTCGTTTATAGGTAAGACTTTTGTTGTTAAATAATTTGTAATCAACAATTTGAGTTATTTAATTTGACTAATTTAATTTAAATAATTTCAGTCGAACGGCTAGCAAATGCCAACCTTTGGTGGACAGAGGTATGTTCCATGGAACTACAATAAAAAAATCATTTTAATACATATGTTGTTTTATTCCAGGTGCAATTTTATGCAAATCCCCAGCAGAAGTTGCGAAAAATGCGGACGCAATTTTTACCATTGTCGGTTACCCAAAGGATGTGGAAGAAGTTATTTTAGGACATGATGGAGTAATTTCAGGTACAGTTTTACATATTCAATAATATTCATGTGCATTATTTGTTAGTATTTGCAATATGTGATCTCTGTTTTATCAGGTCTCAAGTCAAGGACTTCTTCGAAAGGATCTGTCGTTGTGGATATGACCACAAGCCGACCTGATTTGGCACAAAGGATTGCAGAAGAGTTGGAGGCAGTGGGATGTCATGGGCTAGATGCTCCTGTTTCTGGTGGTGACGTTGGTGCCAAGGAGGGCCGTTTAGCCATAATGGTTGGAGGGGGACAATCAGGCTTTGATAAAGTCAAGGACATTCTAAAATGCATGGGAAATCCGGAGAAGGGTGGCAAAGTAGAGCTTCTGGGCCCACCAGGTTCTGGACAACATACAAAAATGACGAACCAAATCCTCATCGCGACAAATATGATTGGCGTTGTAGAAGGTTGGCATTAATAATGAAATTACTAAAATGTTTTAGTCATGGACCAATATTTGATCGCATATTCTGATTTGACTCGAATAGCTCTCTTATACGCCCAAAAAGCTGGACTTGATGTAGAGAAAACGATCCAAGTCGTTGCATCGGGTGCTGCCGGAAGTTGGAGTTTATCAAATTATGGACCTCGAATGATTAAAAGAAATTTTGACCCAGGATTTTATGTCGAGCATTTTGTCAAGGTGGGTAACTGTTATTTTTGGTATTTGATTTTTTGTGAAATGCTATATCATTTAATATTTGTTTTTAGGACATGGAAATTGCTTTGGATGAAGCTAGAAGAATGAACCTTTCTCTGCCTGGATTGGCATTGGCGCATCAGCTTTACGTGGCTTTGAAAGCGCAAGGGGACTCGAAAAAAGGGACGCATGCTCTTTTGTTAGCGTTAGAGAGACTTAATGGAGTTGCTAATTAGAAGTCGGCTAGGACTATAATTAAACTTTTAGTCACAAAGAACAATAAACAGGACATTATATTTTTAATTACGAAATTACAAGTATCCTAATAAATTTCTTTCAAAATCGTTCTATGTAACCATGACGGTCAGCCTATGGACACCTGCAAACTGTTTCTTGTCTGACCACCCGATCCGATTCGGCTTATAAAATTTTCGATTTTGTCAGCATAACCATTACACAATTCTAAATTTATTGTAGAATTCAATATCTCTACCCAAATGCCATATAAGGAGCTTAACAATAATGTCAAAATTAGCAAAGCCCAAACCCACTATCCTATTCATTCTAAAGGAGGAGGTACATTGAAAAAGTCGAGACCAAGAACACCGCTTTACTGTACCGCAGAACCAGGGACGAAGGAATGGAGAGAGTATCAAGCTGGAAGACTGGAATCCATCAAAAATCTAAAAGCTCGGAAGCACTTTATGAAAGAAAATGCAAGCTTAATCAACCAAGTGAGTGAAAGTATTTAGTTGGATAGATACATATAATATTTATTTAAAACCTAACAGACTTTTCCACTTAAAATATATGTAGATTCGTCTCCTCGCCCGAAATAGTAAAAGCGATACAGATGCAGCAAAGCAAGAAGAAATTTTTTCAGAGGTCGATGCAAATGGGAACCAATATGATGTCAATGATGATAATTTCAAGCGAGAGCGTACCCTTCCAAGTCGTGGAAGATCGACGGTAAAAAAAGGAATACTGAAGAAATCCCTTTCATCGTCATCAATATCTATCAATTCGATCCGTCAAAGGGATCAGTCCAGCCAATTACGATGGAAGGAGCCCGTCATTCAGACTCCACCTATAAACCTACACATAAATTTTACAGGGAAGCGAAGTGGGTCTGTTAAAAAATCGTTTGAACGATTTCCTAAACTTATGTCAGCTACATCAGTATCTTCAAAAGGAAGAATTACTACTTCCGGAAAATTTAGCAAATCGAAAGAAACTCGAAATGGGGGTGGGGTTTCCAAAACTAATAAACAAGCAGGCATTGCAAGAGACAACAAAGGCTCAAAGTCTAAGCTGAAACCCAGCAAAGCTTCATCTTTCACCATTGTAAACCCCACCGGAAGTAAGACCGTAAATGCTGTGAGACGAGAAAGTCAAGTCAAGACGACATATGTGCGTGGTTTTGGCCATAAAAGAATGTAAGCGATCGACTCCGAGTTGAAAATTTTTTTTTTGTGTGAATCCTAGTTCCATGTTTATAATTTCAGTGTGAGTCCGTCCCCCGTCGGAAACAAAGTAAAGGTTCGCCCAAGTACTAGCCAAGTTTTATCTAAATGGTCCGCACAAAATCAGGCGGCTAAAACTGCCTCAGATGCGAAACCTCCACAAAGCACTCGCACTATTAGCAATGCTAGAAGGTAACAATGAGTAAAATGTATTGAATCACTATTACGAGTAAGTTTTGAAAAATTACGATCTGCAGGAATTTAAATGTCCTCGATCATTCAAGTTCTAACGGAAACGCCATTATTGGAAATCATGACCAAGCTGCCAGTTCATTAAGTGATTTTATCACCAGAGCAAAACTTTGTGGGAATCTACCTGCATTTCCAGATCTGAAAATTTGTAACGTGCTACCAGGAACAGCGGATTGGGACAACTACTGGGATAACTTCAATGGTCAGGTTGCACAGTACAACAAGTCCATGGATAAGTATACAAGAGGAATGTCAGAATTTTCCCAAGAATTGGAAGCATTCTCTCGAAAATTGAAACGTAGTACGTTAGATGACTTGGTATTTCAGGCTCAGTATGAATCTACATGCATGAACTTCCTATACTTTTATATTTCAAATTGCAACCATAATAATTTCTGGCGTGTTGATTCATTAGACTTGGAATGCTCCCTGGTGAAAAGAAACCTCCAATGCTTCGTCAATTACTCACCCTACCTCTCACACTTGTGGGACCATACGTGATCAAACGGGATATCAAAAGTAAAGGGGTTTCTTCACCGACCGTTGTCCACTTGACTTCTTTTGATCATCAAAGTTTCCGAATGGAAATTAGTCTCGTTGCACTTCAAGGCAAGGATGACGAAGGTCCGAATAGTTCCACGTCGTTAGGAGGACTCGTTGAGTATAAGCCCCTAGTTCCAAATGAAACGTACTTTGTGAATGCAGATTCCAAATATAACATGCTGCTCGTGAGAATTGAACTTTCTCCGAAAACCACTCCAGAGGGTTCAGTGGTGACGTATAAAGAAGAAATACAGATTGCTGTTCCTCCAGAGAAAAATGTCTTTGCTGACTTGCAGGTATCTTCATCTCTTCAAAATAGTGGAAAGATTATAATCAATGGAAAATAGTAGAACATTCTTTAAAAAAATCAAAATTCTTAGTGATTTCAAATAACTTCAAAAGCGATGAAACATGAATTTGTACAAGCACAGATATAATATAATCAGACTATTTCTTAAACAATTCAATCCATGCTTTACATATCATTTACGAAATCATGTTGGCCAAATCGACGGTAGCGGTTAACATGCACTGAAATTAAAATATTTGACCTTCGAGTTATAATTAAAATTAGAATTTCAAAGCATGACAGAATTTCCCAAACGAAAGTCGTTTATCATCCCAGTTCATTAATTTCATTGTTCATTTGTTTTACTGATTGAGTATATCGTCCAATCGTTTGTTTCGTGGTCAAGAGTACATGGTTAAATTTAATTAATCTCCGACCTTTCATTTAGTCAACTATAAATATATTTCATATACTGAACGACTTGACCATTTCCGCTAGGGCAGTGTGTGCATTTGTAAATAGGACTAGAAAGATCTGGATGAAAAAATTCCAATTTAAATACCCTGAATAATATATTTTGATACATAATCTTAAGATCAAATTAAACAAATGAGCAAAAACTGTAACTTTACTCGATACTTCAACCTAAGTAGTTATACATAAGGGATCTATGCAGCTATTTTAGATAGCTTCTCACGTGAGTAGGTTTTTTGATGCTTAAATAGATTAAAATGTTAAATAAATAATGACTGTGTGTCTACCTTTATCGCCCAAACTGAAATTAAACTTGACAATAAAAGATTATCGACGAAACAAAATTGTATATCGAACAAATTAAATTTTACAGAGTGAGCTCAGAAATAGTGCTTCAACAAAACTTGAAGGAATGCATCTAACAAATAAGCTATCCAAAATGTATGTAACTCAAATTGTCAGTAATTTAAAACAAAAAATTGTAGTTACCTCGCCCAAGAGCATCCTGAGTCCTGTCACTTTTACGAATATTATTGTGTCCTTACGATGGGGAACATTCTGGGGAGGAATACCGTATGAGTACCACCAGACGAGGAAACGCTTAACAATCACCAAAAGAGCTGTTCGTATTTGGACAATTTTTACCATTGCTCAAGTTATAAATTTTTTATACTTTGCTGGGGTCGTTATTTATCTTATTTATTCAAAAATTTGGGATGTCAATCAAGCCGAGGAAAAGAAAACTACATCTTTCGATATTGCCTTCTCATTCATTGTAAGTCTATATATTTTTATTTTATCTATAAAAATCTTATGTAACTTATACCTACAGCTTTTACTCCACAGTTAGCAATGATTTTGTGGTTTATGTAATAAAATATTAAGAATATTTAAAGGTGACAATGATGACGATGGCACTTCTCGTCGCTGCCTTGAATATTGGAGCATTCCAGAGGAACGAGTACCGCATATTTGTCAACTACTGTTTACAGTACTGTATATATCTGAAAGGTGAGTTTGAGAAGTGATAACAATTGTATGTATTATACAATTTGAAATTTTCTGGTTTAGAGACTTACACTAATAAATTGGGAGCCAAGTGGCGGAACGGATGCGAGGAGTTTATGACAATGTGGCAAATTTTAATGACGGTTTTCCCGTATTCTATAATCCTGCATATTGTGCAACATCCAGAACACCCGATTTATATGATATCCCTTGTACCTAGCGACTCTATACTTTATTGCGTGTCGTACATTTGCTACTGCACAGGTAGACTATTACTACAACTTTCAGGATCGGCTACAGTGATTGCAATATTTTACCCCATCATTGGATTTGTATTCGCTTATCTGAATCTTCTCCATGAAATTAAGTGAGTAGCACAATTTCCACATGCTCAATAGCCCAGTAGAGTTATTTAATGTATTATTTTTCAGACCGAGTCGAAGAGTGTACCGTACGAAACCCTCGTTCCGTACACCTAGTGTCATTTGCATAACTGTTAGAACAATGCAGCTCTTGGCGAATCAAGTAAATAGGATTGAGACGCAAATTATTATGGGGGAACAGACCTTGCTCACGTGGACAGGGACGATATGTGCTATTTCCGCTATCCATTTTTGGGACAGACTGACGTTTACTGGAAGATGGATTTTGGTCCTGACCGGGATGAGCACGGTCGGGATTTGGTTAGTTCTTATTTTTTGCAATACCGATAATTAGATATTTATGCGTTAGGGTAACCTACATATTTGTGGGTTTGCAGGACGACAATCTTGACTGTTGCAGCATACGTTTACACGAGCTCGGAAAAAGCATTCAACAGTTGGAGGAATTTTAGCTGGACACGTTTTGAAAAGAAGCAAATGAGAATATATAGGAAATCGGTTCGACCAATTCAATTAGAGTTTGGCGGATTTTATTACATAAGACCCAAGAAAGTGCTTAGTTTTTGGAACACTTTTGTTTGGCTAACGGTACGAGGGTTACTCACATTTCCGGATGGTAAACACAACAATCTGGCACAGTTTTAATTATAGTAGTGCATGTATTTTAAGGGATATATAAATATTATCTATGTAATCACAACCAGCGATTTTTATTTTGAAATTAAACTGGTGAAGGGTACTTATATTGGCCATATTTACATTCATGGCAAAAATTTCATGGAATACAAGCGAAGGTAACCTCATTAAATTTTAAATATGGTAAAATTATAATAGCTTGCATTATAACTTAAATGTCTCAGAGAACAATTCCAAGAAAAGATATGCACCATGTTACCCAATATATCACAAATTTGAACGAGATTCAACCAAAAAACATCGGGATATTATAAATACATTAATGCTGGAATCGCTGATGAATGCTTAGGATTAGTGAGATTAATCTCTCCAGTGTTGCGTCACAGTTTTTATTTGTGTGTAGAACTCCATGCCCTGAACAGATTCAATATCAATGAAATTGCACAAAAATTGTATATTATTATTGTATTAATATTTGTTTGCGTCAACTTACGGCTTTTCCCGTGAAATTTAAGTCACCTAGAAAACTGCCCCTTGATCCGGTAAACGAAAACATTGGTAAAGGAATTGGAACAGGGACATTTACGCCAATTTGTCCTACATCAACTTCATGTGTAAATTTTCTAGCAGCCGACCCACTCTTTGTGAATATTACTGTCCCATTTCCATAAGGATTGGAGTTTATAACTTTAATGGCTTCATCCAACGTGTCAACGGTCATTACTTCAATAACTGGGCCAAATAACTCCTTCTTATAGCAGGTCATATTTGGCTGAAAGAGCATAAAACAGGTTATGAGCATTAAGACGCCTTCTGATATGGCACGATGTTTACATACCTTGACACCAGTGAGAATGGTGGGTCCGATGAAATTACCCTTTTCATAGCCTGGAACAACTGGATTTCTTCCATCCAGAACAATTTTAGCACCTTCGTCGATTCCTGATTGCACCAATTTGCAAATTCTTTCCTTCGATTCGGGTGATACGACAGGCCCGAGTTGAGCATCGGTTTCATGACCTACATACATTATGAACAAATTCAAAATATTTTAGTAATTATAACTCGATATACATACACAAATATTAACTCAGTTAACTCACCAGCATTAACCTTAATTTTCTTGGAAAGTTCCACTAATTCAGGAATCCTGTTTTTAGCTTCGCCAACAAAAATAGCGACACAGAGTGTCATGCATTTCTGCCCTGCCATTCCAAATCCAGCACCTACGAGTTGACCTATGGATTTCTCATCTGCATCCGGCATTATGACTCCGTGACATTTTGCTCCCATATTGCTTTGAACGCGTTTTCCATTTTTGCAGCCACGTTCGTATACATATTTTCCCTAAATTCAGTTAAAACATGCTGATCAGAGAATGGCATAATGGGAAAACTGATAATGCAAAAAAATACCCCTGCATCTGATCCAACAAAACTAAGTGCCTTCACATCTGGATGGTCACAAAGGAACGTAACTGGTTCAAATGTACCATGAATCACATTAACTACTCCGTTTGGAAGGCCAGCTTCCTGCAACATTTCCATGAGCATCATCACTGCTCCAGGGTCGCGCTCTGAGGGTTTTAAAATAAACGTATTTCCACACACAATTGACATCGGAATCATCTAATGACAAGATAAAACCCCAAAAAGCATGAGAACCTTATCATGAAATGTATACATCAAATAATTTTATACCCAAAGCGGGATCATAGTAGGAAAATTGAAGGCTGATATTCCAGCGCAAACCCCCAACGGGGCTCGGAACGAAAATGCATCCATATCCTTTGCAATGCCAGCCAAGGACTCTCCCATACCAAGTGTCGTGATGCTGCAGGCATGTTCAACAATTTCTGAAACATTGTACATATTTTTTGTAAAGTCAAAGGATGGTCTTTATTTCCCGATTTAAATAAATTACTCACGTAATGCTCGAAAAACTTCTTTATCCGCATTTCCCCAAGTTTTACCCTCTTCTTCAGTAATTTTTGCAGCCAGTGGTTTCTGCATGAAAAATATACATCTGTATGTTACGTACGTTTTTTTCTAACTAGAAATACTTTCATGTTATCTCTAAGCTAAATATATTTATGTATACCATAAATCGAAGTCTTACCAAATTCTTCTTCATAATCTCTCTAAAGTTGAAAATGACTTGCTGTCTGGCCATTATGGACGTATGTGACCAGGTTTTAAATGCATCCTTTGCAGATTGTACTGCTTCTTGCATTTCAGATCTGCGATAGTAATGTTACCATTAATTTAGTACTTGTACAAAATCAGAAGTTCACAGACGGATTCTACTGTCACCTTGTAGATTTTGGAACTTTCGAAATTACTTCATTTGTCGCAGGGTTTCGGAGTTCCACCCAATCGGAAGTTTTCGACTCTACAAATTTCCCATTGATAAATAGCTTGGTGGTCGGGACGGAGGAAGTGGAGGCATAGCGGGTGAGAATTTGTCGAAACTTTAAATCCACCAGCTTGCTATTCTGCACATAAAGAAATGCATATTGTGATCAACTACTGTTTATTCAAAATTAATATGCAGTAAAAATTCTGAAAGGTTATTTGGCGCATGATCGGTTTCCATTGATTGGTTTTATTTATATTTTCCAAATTTCACATGATTTTCATGAAAGTAGAAAAAATGTGCATAATTAAATCGTTGTCAGTGTCAACCAGCAACTTCGGCCATTTCACCGTTTAAAAAATTTTGAGGACTTTATATACTGCATATTAATTTTGAACGAACAGTAATAAGTAAGTATTTTACAAAAATGATTCCTCTTTTAATTTGTCCTTACCATAATTTTAGTGAGTTGTGAATTCATTATGAATTTTGCGTATTTCAGTTATTGTTTTATTGTTCCGGTAGCACTGACAGTTTGTGAATAAAGTTATTACACGTCAAACGCAATGGTTTTTATAAGGTTTCTTAAATTTTAAACGGTTTGCTGTTTTGTTAGCATATGTAAATATGAAATGAACAACAATTCGTTATCTGACAAATGCTTTTTCTGCATGGATTTAGCCAGTTATTTTGTTGCTACTTGTTGACGTATAACATAAAAAATGACATCAGTGTGTCCTGGTTATGCAGTAGCATGTGAGAGAATGTTCTTTAAGCATGATTTTGTAGCATGGACTGTACTTACGTAAAATGCATTTGCATCTGTATCTGTACATATATGTAATATGAGCTTTGTGTGTACATGTGAGCTTGGGCACGTATCCAATTCTAGAAAATGGTTCAATAACAACTTTACGTGTTGAGGTGTAAGTATAGCGTCAACTACTCCCTTTAATCGTTTTGTCTGTCTGTCTTCCTTCCATTAGCAAGATAGCTCCCGAACCCCCCCGCATATTCAAATACGGTCTTCAACGTCGTGTTTCTAATTTTATGACCACAATCGAGTTCGAAAATGGGGACATTGAGGTCACGGTCACGTTTGACCTTATGGCGTGAGGTCAAACGAGCCTTATTTTCACGTAATGTCATTTTAACGGCAATCGCTTTGACACTACTTCTTTGTGTTCGTTGACAACGGTTTATTTCAACGCATGTATTACTATGTATGCACATGTAAATGCATTCCCCCGCACATTAAACCTCCATAAAAATTGTTATAAAACAAGTGGAAAGCTGGAAGAAAGTGATAGAAAATCTATTATTAGAGAGTGTACAAGTTTGGTATGTACTGTTAAAGTGCTGAAATTTCAAGTCGATTCAAGAATGTTAATTATTGTTTATTATTTAAAATTCATGAACACTTATTTATACACAAATTTTCTCTCCACCACCGAAACTGAAAAATTCTCGTTCAACTGCATATCGTATAATTCTCAAAACAAATCGTATATTTTGTGGTTGACCATTATTCAAAATCGTAGTTTCGGTGGCGTTTGCAAATTCAGCAACTTTTGTATAAATATCCAAATGACGACCGAGCGTTGTGCGATCATCGTAATCAAAATGCCATCTACAAATACAAAATGTGACTAAAGTTTCATTAATTCTTTACACGGATTTCAGTCCATATTACCGGAATTTGAGTTCAGGATTTGGTTTTCGTAATCCTTCACTGCCAAAACTAACGTTGCCATGTCGGCTCTCAATCCTTAGCTTTCCTTCAAATAAAGCACCATCGGTGGCAAAACGGTTGGGCTGAGCGAAATCCAGCGTTACCGTGAGCGTTTGGGGGGACACATTGAGGACAACGTGGCTATTAAAGACATTAAATTATCTCAAAATGATATTTCCACAATCAAGAAAATCCATAGAACATTCAAAGAAGGACTATTAACAAAAAATATAATGACTTCATCTCGCGGAATGAACATCAACCCAATATTATGGGGTTCCACCTTATTGTTGTAAATTTGACCCAGTTAGCAAGTTATGAGAAATAATGTTCCATTATTGAGATAAAGCAATTTATATTTGTACATTTAGCAAGAATTTGATTGACTTAAAGAAACCAAGAAGATCCGAAAGCTATCAATTAATTGTGTTTTTTAATGTCTTCCCAAACCTTGCAAAATGGGATATCAAGGAAATTCATAGATTAAATTATGCATTTTTCAAAACGGGTAAATACATATTATTTTGCGTTACCATGTAACATTTTCGCCCCGATTCAAAACTAAGTTGGTTTTGAAAATCACGTTGTCATAGAATTTTCGAACGGTGTCGTAATAGTTATGGAATTGTGCAAACTTCCAGCGAAATTCGAGACTTGTTTGATGCGTAGTAAGCTGTATGTGATATAGAAATTTATATTTTTTCATGATTATCAAGATGTATATGTATACATTCATACATACCTCTGTGTTTTCGCAGTAGCTCTTATCCGGGAGTGGTAGATGTTGAGCGTCGGTCCTGGTTGTCATAACAACAAGTAGGACGCTTATTAAAATTAATTGCGTCATGGTGGCGACAGTTTATGAATAGGAATGAGAATTGACTTATGGATTTCGATTTTTTTATTGCAAGGCAAACTACACGCATCTGTTTCGCACAGATTATTTTTGCAGCAGACTTTGCACGACTAATGATATGTTAGTGTAAATCTGGCTCGAACTGATTAATGAAATTTGATCATTTTATTTTAATCAGTCGTTAAATGCTGGTCGATTTCTCCAGAGATGTTGTAAGAACATACGACTAAGTTTGTATATGACTACGATTTTGTAATTATGCTGCTATGCTGTAACTGGGAATCTCAAAGATTCCACAAAATATAAAGTTTTTTTTTTAATTTTCGATGCTTCAATATGATTAATGGTGTTTCATTAAATAGATTTATTCTGAGTATTAACAAGTAAATTAACAATGGATACATTTATAAATAATCACTAAACATAGTTCATCTGTCCAATAAATTGGCAATCCTATAATAAGATGAAACAATTTTTACTCAAAATTTATTAAATTAAATATGCATTGCTAATTATTTAAGAATCAGAAAAACTTTTCACCTTTTTAGTACATCCCATGGCTTGCACTGTTCTTAATTTCTTGCAAATCGAAAAGGATGCAGCCCACACGGAAGAAGTTTGAAAGTGAGATAAGGCCTTTTCCACGTGGACCCCAGCCCCATCCTCCTCCTCCGCCCAAGTCGTACTTCACCTTGATCTTGATCCGCTCATCGCCATCGTCATTCGCAAATCCACGCCGCTTCTCAATTATGGAATCCGAGTTTCCGAAAAGTTTTGGGAGATCTTCGGGAAATGTGATGGTATGATTCCCAACTTTTATGACACCAGTTATAACGCTAAGGAAATCCTTTAGACTTAATTGGTCCAAGTTGAAGGAAGAAAGGAACGAGTCTGCAGAATTGTCTTGGTCATAATTCTGACCAGAACAGGAGGTGATTGCAAGATGGCTCAATAATATGAAAAATAAGTGCAGGCGTAGATTGTAAGTTGGGCACATTTTGTTCTAGATTTATTATATTTTATGAATTACTATGATTTATAACTCCACCACTTTTTCACAAACTGAACGAGTAAGAAATTATTTAAACACACCGAAATCATAAACCAGCTTAATCGGCCTTCCGCACTGCACCAACTGTTTCGACCATGACTTTGATAAACTGAATGAAAAGTTGCAGTCAGGTTTTTGTAAATACATATACGGCAAAATAATTAAGCAATTAGTTCTGGTTCAGAAGGATGAAATTGGAAGTTGTAAGTTTATGAAACTGCACTCCGACCTCATGCCCTATAGATACGAAGCATATTTGAATACACGTAGTTATGGATTTATGCATTGCTCTCCATTGCCATGAACCATATCAAGACCACTTGTCTGAAATTTCAAATTACATACTCTTCGTTAAGTTGAAGATGCTACACTAAATTTCATTTTTTGGGAAATCTATGTAGATCAAATGCCAACAATATTGTAGGTGTGTAGGCCTCACATAAAATTTTATAACCGCAGATTACATTTATCATCAATCTATGTATAGTCGTTGCATTTCTAGTGAGTTTGGTAAAACAATACATAATTGTTGGCACACATCGGTCAAAAAACGGGACGGATTTCTTACAAACTGACAAAATATACAATATATTTTAATGAGGACATGTACATAATAGAATTTTAACAAACTTTTTCTCTATAATGATAATTGAAATTGTAATAGGAGTCCCATAATTTCAACGATGACTAGTATTTGTTTAATATGTATCAATTTATTTTTTACTTGTAAAAAGTGTAGATACATTCACATTCTGCATTTCTGATAACTAATTTCAATAGAGGTTAGAGATCAGATTAAATCATGCACTCGCACTAGAAACGCATCACGCACATTAAATACTTGCTGTTACAAAGAGATTCTTTTTTTCTTGAGAGTTGTGCTTTATTACTTCTTAAGAACCGCATATTCTGGGCAGTGTGCTGTAACCAAAATTCTGTACGAAAATTCAAAGTAAAATACCTACACATATGTACATTATCATTTATTTGGGTGTAAAATGAAAGGAAAACATCAATAGCTCATCAAACTTTGATATGTTTTTCAATCAAGATTGGCCTCAATTCAAAAGCTAAGCTTTATAATAATATACAAAATTATTTACTGAAAATGAAGATTGGCGTGAATTTCTAGAATGAAATGAAACTGGTTTTAATTAAATAAGTGCATTTAATTAATTTTGGATGCATCCTCTAATTGCCAATTAGTCAAGTTTACATATTTTTGGTATACTCCTTTCACCACCTTCGTGCAATGAATGTATCCAATAATTAAAATTAAAATTTTCTTTCGGTATAACACTTGTTAAATCTGTGAGAGTGTGCTGAATTTAGAAAAAGTCGTCATTTAACCAGAACCAAGGCAACATCATCTTTACTGTGCGTTTTCTACTTTATAATTTTCTAATTTAGTCTCTGTAATTAGCTAAATAATTTCCGAACAAAGTAAAATCATGTCTAATTCGACTCGTGACTTGATATCTTTCTGTTATTTTAATGCACTAATAAAAATAAAAATGTGAGAAATGACCTGGCTGATTTCATACGGAAGATGCACCTATGGGTGTACATAAATATGAATTTGCTAAATGTACATATTTATACACGTCGCGATACATTTCCCACTGCCACAATTTATTACCTAAATTATTCATGAATGGTTGATTAATTCATTACTGTTCACATTTAATATAATGAACGATGCATTAAGAAGCATGCACAAAGATTTTCATTTCCTGTCAGCAGGGCTTTATTATTCAAAATTGTACTATAGTTTGCATACGCATGTATATACGTATACACCTACATAAATATGTACCTATCTGTATCGGAACACTCTGCGTGCTATGAATTTCCTGTGTATGTCTAGTGAACACACGTTGAAATGCTGAAAATTATTTAATTGGGCGTTGTGTCTGCAGTTACGCCATGATTCGGTCTTATTGAGGAAAACGCTGAAAAATAATTCTAAAACATTTCGCTGTTATATATTAAAGTAATTCGTATCTCGTGATGGGTATTCTTCTGGTAGAAAAATATATAAGTACGTCATTGAGATTTTCGCATGATTGGCACATCATACGATATGCATCGCAGTGATTCATACACATTTGCACCTCTTTCCTCTGGAAGCTTGAAAAATGGAAATTATTCACATAAAGGTTCCTTTTAAAAAACGAATAGCAATAGAAAGAACTGCAAGCTCTATATTTTCATCAATCACCTCACTAGAATTCCTGTCCAATATGTATTTTCACATTTTGAAATATAATAACTGACATGCCGTCTTTATTTAATAACTTACATGCCGTCTGTCTACACAAATCTAAAGTATCATCAGCAGTCCCCCGTAACAATTGCATCATTAAATTATCACATGCTACATATTCGATTGATGACAGTATCACCAAAAAAATCAATCCAGTTCCGTCAAAAGTTTTATATATGAGAATTATCTCATGAGAATTAGAAAGTCTCAGATAAACATTACATATTCGATCTCTATCAACTTCTAAAAAGTTGACATTTGATAAATTGTCCCACGAATAGCAAGCATGACATGGTCATCATACCAGCATCTTTTTTTGTATTTTCTGTTGTAATTGTATGCACTTTTTCATGTCTACAGACAAAGGACTTGCACCTTCACATTGATTTGCAAAATGAGTGTACATAACACTAAATAAATGCAACCAAATCTTATTACTGATTGATTTCTCATGCATCGAGACAAAGCACTTGTTGTTTCAATATTACGAGTTATTATAATATTTATTTAACTAACTAACTGGTCTGGCCAGGCTGTACATGTGCAGCGTACCCTGTGGTGTCGCCCAGGCCCAACGAATACCAAACCAAGCCGACGACTTGACCCCACAAAATGAATCCTATATTCATTTTATTCGTCGTCCATCCCATCCACGCATCACCATCATCAACAACTTACTAGTATTTCGCAATAGTTGTTGTGTTCTGGTTAGTTTATCCTAATTCAGTGTATAGCAGTGAATATCAGAGCCAACATACGCAAAAATGTTGTCCAACCACTTCTTCTTTCTTCTCTAACAATACAGTAATATCCCACACATATCGCTTTGAAGTGTTCATTTTACTTTTTATTTTTATTTTGTGCAGGATATACACACAATTTCAATTGTGTTGTACCCACAGTTGTACTGTAGTGATAGATAATAGATAGATATGTGCGCACAACTTACAGATATATATTTATGTACTTGTGGTAAAATAAGTAAAGTAAGTGAAGGCCTTCTTAAATTTTCTTGGCATTATTGTTTTATATTGTATGTACATTTACATTATTTCGATTCCATTCACTCACTCTCATTTACTGTATTACTTTCTTATTATTACTGAAAATATACTAGACAGCATTATGTGCATATAACTCTAATATTCTCAATTCATTGTATTGTGTTTATTCACTTCATTAGTTTCATTTTGTACTCGAGTAGAGAGGCTGTTATTCAGGTCCCTTGTACTTCTAGAATTTGTCTTTATTGAATTAACATTATATTCATGTCAGAAAAGTGGAAACTTTTCCCAAGCGTGATATCGGATCGGAATCTCATATTTAATTGGGTACATCATAAATACTACATAAAGAGACCGGTCTTTGAATAGTTGAAAATTTTACAAAAAAAATACTACAACTCAAGTTGAAACCAATTGCAATTCCGTTGTGTGTTTTAGATCGATTTGACCTGTGCATGAAGAAAGGGGGAGACATTTCTTGAGGATTTTTTTTTCTTCAAAATATTTTTTGCCACAAGCAATAAGATCAAGATGAGTATTGGAATCAATTTATTTCCCAAAGCCGTATTTCTCGTCGTTCTTCTCTCCTATTTGAAAGCCACGGAAGAGTTTAAGGCGACACACCCCCACAATGAGGAGTCCGGCAGTGATCATCAGCAGCACAGCTCCAGCTTTAAGGCCAGATTTAGGGAGAGTAAGTTGCAAAGTTTTAAAGAGTTATGCATACATATGAATTTCTTTAACGCTTCTGGGCAATTTAAACAATTTTCACGCATTTATCAGGGTTCCGAAGGCAGTCGGGCTCCCAAGCAGCGGTGTGAAGTGTAATATCCGGGGGGTGGCATACGTGAAAATAAATAGATAAGACTGAGGGTGTAAAATTATAGTCGAATTATGATTTCAAGGTGAGAATTACAAGAATACTTATCATGTTTGTGTGTGACTGCGTATATGACTCGTTTGTTTTGGTTGACCTTCCTTCTTGGTGAAATCGATTATCGTTTGCCCATTTATATATGGCAGTTTAATGCTGCATTGTTGACAGGCCTGCTTGAGTTTGTCAGAGTTAAGAATTATTTCAATTACCAATTATTATTACGCAATATCACTGCATCAATAGATACCGGTATTATAAAATATATCACAAATATATGTATCACCGTTTCTAAAAGTTCACACATTTCATTGTAATTCAATCAGAATATTTACGTGAGAATAGTCTTGCCAATGAGCTGAAATGCATAAATGCCCCCGACTGGCAAGTTATTTATTGTAATTGAAGGGTAAATGCATCATTTAGTAACTAGCTTTTTGAACGATTCTCAAATTATTATTTTTTTCTATTAGACACTTTATTTGAGTATGAGGAGTACATAATTCATTTTGAGACGTTTTGTCATTGAGAAATATTCACACTCAATTTGTGAACGAAACTAATCTACCAATTAGCTTTCATTGAGTCCTTGAACTTCAATTAGTTGAACTATTTTTGAACATGACATTGCAAATCCTAATGAAAGTTTATGAAACGAGTCCGTGAATATGTGACGTGACATGGAACATTCATCACATTTTGTTAAAAACTGTAGATGAATTTGGATCTAGGGTATGTATAAATATGTACATATATGTACCATGGACGATGATGCTACATAGACGCTGCACAATTACCAACTAACTCTAGTATGATTCATATAAACAATACAATTTATAAAAACGTAAACATGTTTACCATGAACTTCATGAAGACTGACATCTCTACTGATTTAGTTTTTTTCGTACTTTTCCTACCTACCAAACCTTACACGACGCAGTTCACACGCAAATTCATAAATTTTGCATGCAAATTTTAAAATGTATGGTTTTATTGTTTCAGAAAAAATAACAACGAACTAATAATCAACCAACCATCTGGATATATTTAAGTTATACAACGTATAGAAATAAGATTTGTTACAAAATTATGCCTACTTTTCCATATAAAATGTATGTTCCTATTGAAATGTCTAAAATAGACTAAAATTGTGCAAATGCAAGAGAAAATGATTGTTATATTAAATTTTTTAAGCAAAAAATCATAAAATTGGATTTATTTCTTGAAAATGGCAACACTTCATATTTTTTACACGCACGAACCGAGGGAGGAGAGGAGAGGATGTAGTGCGAGGTCATTCACCTCGCGCCTTCGTTACCAGGCGACAAATTTTCCAGCCCAGTGCGAATAATCTACCCGTCAGAAGCAAAGTAGTAGTAAACAAAAAATATTTAAAATTTTATAATTCTGTTAATTAATTCCAAATTAGCTGTAGTTTTTCTCCATTTTTCCAAAATTTTCAGGTTTCAAACCCCAAAGGGCAGTAAAGTCGTGTTTTTTTAAGAAAATGGAGTTTGGGTCACATTTTGAGAGGTCCATCCCTTCACAAGTAGTTGCACAGGATCATCATGGTGTTAATATCTATGGTGCGTTTGGAGACTATCAGAGATCTGGCCAATTGCGACAATATGCAATTGCTGAACGTGAAGATAACATTGCTAGTAAGTTGATTATTTAGATACTTTTTGTACTGCATGGATTAATAAGTTTAATTTAATTTATCAGATGCTAAGAAGAAACTTGAGAATCAGGCGGATGTGATACCTAAATTGAAGCAAAATTGTGAAAAATTGGTGCTCGAAATAAAAGTGGAAGAGGCATTAACTGCGACAGAAATTGGATTGAAATTAAAGTAAGGAGTGCATATTATATTGTGCAAGCATAAATGGGCAAGTTTTGGATGACAAAAATGTATTTGTTTAGGCAAGAACGTCAGGCAAATCAAATTGAGGCTAACTACGAGGAATATCTGGACGAGTTGGAACAAGTGAAAGCGAATCACTGCAGATTTGTACAATATGAGAACTCGAGGAAATCTAAGCTTCAGAATGTGGAACGGGATTATATTGTGAGAGGATTATACTTTACAGTAGATGCTAATTTAGTATGAAATTAAGATTATTTAATTAAATTTGACATATGTATTTACTAGGAACGATGTAAGAAAATCCCAGAGGTGTGTAGCCTGATTAATGCAACAAATGAGCTGAATAACTTGAATAATCGTTTGCAAACCGTGTGGAAAAATTTGAATGGATTGCGACAAGAGGTACAACAAATGAAAACCGAATCTCACACGAACTGGAAAACTTTTCAGCAAGTATGCATTGAAGTGGCAAGGAACGAGAAGGCTAAAAGTTTGCATAGACTTAACACTGAACAACTTGAAGCTAAGAAGAAGCAGTTGAAGACTCGGAAAGAACAACAAGATGCAGAGAAACGTCTTATGGATCGTAAAATACAGGAGGCTGGTGGTTACCCGTATTCTCCAATGCGATACGACCCATATGCCCGCTATGGATATCAAGTTGTGAACCGGTCGCCATATATGGTGGGAGGGATGAAGCATTCGCCAAATGCAACACAGTGGAAGCAGTATGTAAATAAAATTAGCCTTCAACAGCAAAATCGAGGAGGATCTTTGGGGCGCTCAGATCCGCTGACAACAAGGAGGTTCCCTGAAACAGTCTCCCCGATGGCTCAACTACGAAATTTGATGTCACCAGGTTCAGATTCACAGCATTCACGTTTTGGTCCATCGAGTCGTGTGGTATATCCAGCAACACCAAATCCTACTGCACGTCAGTTTTCACAAGTTTCACTTCCTCCGACAACTCCAGCGTCGCTTGCACCGACAACTCCAGGGTCACTTGCACCGACAACTCCAGGGTCGCTTGCACTGTCAACTTTAGGGTCACTTCCTCCGGTGACCCCAGTATCACTTCCTCCGGTGACCCCAGTATCACTTCCTCCGGTGACCCCAGTATCACTTCCTCCGGTGACCCCAGTATCACTTCCTCCGGTGACCCCAGTATCACTTCCTCCGATAACCCCAGTATCCCTTCCGCCCGAAACCCCAGAGTCATTTTCATCGACCCAATTTTCACTATCACTGGCAACTCAAAGACCACTTTCATCAACCCCATTTTCATTACCACCGGCAAATCCAGCTTCACTTCCGACGACTCGAGTGCCACTTCCTCCGAAAACCCCTGAGCCAATTACTCCGGCAGCCCCAGTCTCACTTCCACCGGCAGCCCCAGTCTCACTTCCTCCGGCAGCCCCAGTCTCACTTCATCCAACAGCCCCAGTCTCGCTTCCTCCGGCAGCCCCAGTCTCACTTCCTCCGAAAACCCCTGAGCCAATTACTCCGGCAGCCCCAGTCTCACTTCCACCGGCAGCCCCAGTCTCACTTCCTCCAACAGCTCCAGTCTCACTTCCTCCAATATCCCCAGGCTCACTTCCTCCGGCAGCCCCAGTCTCACTTCCTCCGGCGACCCCGTTGTTTAAGAGTCCGTTTGTTCTACCTACTCAATCCGAACCTTGTAATATACCAGACTCGCCATTCTCGATTGCATCGCAGCCCCTCGGATTATCGGCACCCTCACCCATGAATTTCTCAATGTTTGGTGATCCACAGCAAACAGTCCCTTCCACCGAAGGATTCGGGGGTGGATTCATGGGTTTTTTCGGAGGAGCTGGAGGTGGCGAAACAGGAAATGCTGAAAGTTCTTCGTTCTTCTTTGACATGGGAAATAGTACTCAAGGATCTGACGTTTCTTCGTTTTTTTAATTTCATACGATATATAATTTTCCATAAGAAAAGTAGCCGCTTTCATTCTCTTTTTCATTATTACCTTTTATAACTTTTTGTACATACGATTTTCATTTCACTTGCTACATTTACTTTATATTCAGTATAAGAAGTAAGTTACTTCTAATTTGAAATCTTCCTTTTTTTAAGATTGAAAAGAATATTTACATGAACTATATAAAAACCTTGTAATTTCTAGTTATAGTAAAATGTAGAAGCAAAAATATAGTAATTTGGTACTATTTAGATAACGGAAAGTGATGTGCATTTTTTCATAAACAAAATATTTAATTTAACTTCAGGGCCTAAACAACATTGCATTGAAGTTTGAAGGCCACATTGACATTAACCATCAAAATTATTAGTATTAATTATCATCAGAATCTAAATTTGTTGTAAATATAAAACACATCAATCATCAATGGAAGATCATCATCCCCAAAAATGGTTTGGGTACACACCTCTCGTAATCACGGGGACACTAAATGATATTTAATGAATGAAAACGAATTAACAATTATATGTTTACTCTAATCAATTGGAGCTGCAGATATTTATTCACGTATGCAGTATGAGGAGGACTGGTCAATAAGTGAAGGTCGAAGGTTAATGTGCCACCAACCAAAAACCTTGTGAAATACATATTCAGTAAGTAAATGATTTTCTACCTTAGTTAAGTATATATGTACATAAATTCATAGTTAGTAAATTGTACATGTTCAACGAGCTGGATAAACACATAAGCAGAGTAAATCTTTACACTTTCTTGTTATCTCTTATAAAAAGTGTCAGTGTCTGTTTGAGGCATGACAAATTTCGTATGTGTAAATGTATTTGGAAAATCGAGATTGATCTAGTTTTTTGAAAATAAATACAAATTTTGAAAATGTGGAGCGTTGCCAATTCAACGGTGGCCTTCTTGTTCAGTTCGTTTGGTTTTTTCTCCCAATCGCCAGATCTCATTGCTCAAACGTCCTTTGGACAGCTGGAAGGCGTCGCCTCGCAGTCGAGGACAGGACGCGCAGTCTTCGAGTTTCTGGGCGTGCCTTACGCCCACCCGCCCGTCGGTTCTCTCCGCTTTAAGGTACAACAAAATCCAGTAATATGACAAAATTACGAAAATTCGGACAAAATTTGTAAAAAAAGGTGCCAAATTTAGCCTCCTGTTCTTTGGAATGAATCCTGGGAAGGCGTTCGAGATGCTACGAGTGATACGCCCAGGTGTGTCCAGTATCACTTGATTGCGAGACATTTCAGTGGCAGTGAGGACTGTTTGTTTCTTTTTCTTTATACACACAAGGTGAGTTTTATGAAAAATACTTCATAAATTAACCCACAATATCGTAAAAATGCGTTTTTTCAAAAGTTTCAAAAAGTTGGTGAAGACCCGATTCCTGCGACGGAGTTGAAACCTGTCGTAGTTTACATTCATGGTAAAAATTGAGGTTGTTAAATAATTTTTAAATTTTGAAGCTGAAATTTGAACTTTATTTTATAGGAGGTCTCTTCATGCAAGGGTCGGGTTTATTTTATAAAGGGAAATATTTCCTGGACGAGGATGTAGTTTTCGTTAGTATGCAATACAGAGTTGGAGCATTGGGTAAATTTTCACAACTTTTAAAGACACGAATGCATGATGACAATGCTAATTTATAAACTTGTAGGATTTTTGAACTTGGAAACTGACGACGTTCCTGGAAATGTTGGTCTTATGGACCAAGTTGCAGCTCTTAAATGGGTAAACCAACTTTATAATCCCTAAGTTCGTACCAGTTTAATGCATATTGTATTTATGCTGGCTTACTTTTTAATTTTTGTTATCAATTAAGATTCAGGAAAACATACACTATTTTGGAGGCGATCCAAACTTGGTGACAATAATGGGAGAGTCTGCTGGCTCTACGGCAGTTCATTTACACATTTTATCTCCAATGTCCCGAGGTAAATACATATGTATTTATGTGTGTACATAAATATGAATGATACCGTGCAATGAGTTTAAGTGCTTATCAATTAAATTTTGTGAAACTCAGGTTTGTTCCATCGAGCAATTAGTCAGTCTGGGACAGCACTTGTTTCCTGGTAAAGAAAATATCATAAAAACGTAAAAATAAATAAAATAAATACATACATATATTAAAACTATTGATGAATCCTATGAAGGGCTGTGAGAGATCATCCTGTGGAACAAGCCAAATATTTTGCTGACAGACTTGGATGTCCAACTGACACTGCTCAAAACATTTCGAATTGTCTAAGAAATATGGATGCTACTGTGATAGGTCGTGCGCACATGGAAGCTGCTGTAAATTTTATTAATTTAATTATATAGCATAATGCGAAGCCATCATAACTCGTACATATTCTGCTGACAGACAATTTTGCATCACCGTTATTCTCTATTTGGTCCAACTATTGAATCTCGGTCAGAGTCAGCAATACCTAAATTCTTGCCTGACAGACCAGACAAAATAATCAAGGCTGGACATATCGCAAAGGTTCCTTGGTAAGTTTCCAAATCTTTAACAAGTTCCAAAGAGTTTTGGCATTAAAATGATTCCCTGGATCGAATCTTAGGATATGCGGAGCAAATTCAGAGGAGGGTCTTTTATACGCAGCACGTATGTGGAGACGTTAATTTTTATTATTACGTTCCTTAAATAGCGGTGAAAGACGTATCACGTAATCCTATTTTTTGTTATGAAGCAATGGTCCTAAATAAAACTGCAAGACGAGAAATAAATGAGAACTGGTCGCATTGGATGCCAATTACATTCCGATTCGTAGATGAACCGAACAAGGAAGAAATTTCTAACAAAATTCGTGAATTTTACTTTGGAAATGTATCAACGGAAATCAATAAGACAAATTTAAGAAAATTAATAACCTTTGTGACGGATCGATCTTTCATGGAGGGATTGCATCACACGCTAAACCTTCACAAGGGACAGCATCCTGTGTATCCGTACCTTTACTCGTATCGAGGTCAATTTAGTTTTGGCCGGATAATGCTGGGCATGACGTTCAATGTTCCAATAATGGTGGACTTCCTTTACAGTCAAAGCAAGAGGTGGGTGAAAACAAAAGTATTTCGGAGAGAAGAAGAGCATTTTGGAACAACTCATGGTATGGTTAGATTTGTCGAAAATTTAAAAAATATATTTCAAAATACATAAAAATATATTTTACAGGTGACGAATTACCCCTGTTCTTCAACCTACCCTTACAAGATATCGCGAAAAAGGAACATCCAGACTATATATTGTCCACAACTCTAGTCAAATCTTGGGCAGAATTTGCGAGAGACGGGTAAGTTAATATGTACATACATACATGTGCATTTAAATGTACTTCATATCATAGCATAGCTCAGATGCTTTTGTACTTTGTAGAGTTCCGCCCTTAATGAATGGAGAAGTTTGGCAAGATCTAAGTGCAGAGAACACTATTGACGGATCTGCGAAAAGTCCAGCTCTACAATTCTTGAAAATAGATAAAGAATTTGAAACTATTGACGAACCCTTTCAAGCAAGGGCAGAGTTTTGGGAGTCGTTAAAGATTTATCCTGAGAGGGAATACTATCAATAGATCATTGGTACAAATTATAAGCAAAATTTCAAATTAAATTACAAAACCAAAGTTTAAATTGGAATTTGGCTATTATCGAAACATACAAAACTTTATTTATGCTTCGATAACTGCATATACACTCAGCGCATATGAATAACACTGTGAATTACAATATTGCAGCCAAGAATGTAAATAAAATGATCATAAAATTTGTTGGCGTAATTTGAGCACCTTTACAAATCCACCATTTTTTGCACTGATCATTAAACTTTGGTAGATAATACGAGGACTTGCACTGGCATACGTATGTACCATCGAAGATTGTACTGGCCTTCGACCTACCACCGCAAGTGTATCCTGGCATCCACGCCATCGTAGGTCGAAGAAAGCAAATCTGACTTTTGTTCCCGTATTGAAAGTGAATCTCGGTCATGTTGCCGTCATTTCCACAAATGCACTTTTTGATGATAGGGTCACATTTCATGTTCGTTGGTTTCCAACATGATGTTCTAGAGGTGGTGCGATTTTGATAATTAACTGCGATTTTGGACACGGTCATGCACCTTTTATCAGCCGGCTCGTCGCTGAAAGCTATACAGCAAGAAATTAATGATGCTTTTATAAGAATTCATTTTGTTATAAATAATTGCGACTAACGTTCACAATCTTCATGATGAAGTCTTTTCCCATCTTCACTATTTTTGAGGGTGGGAAGAACTTGACTGTTGTAATATTCTCTTCCTGCTTCGTTCAGACAGCCATTTCCAGCGTCAAAGTGAACATCGCCGTCCCAAACAATATTCGGCGATTTTTGTTCGCATTTTCTAGTTGTGCTATGACACGAGAGATCAGTGGCAGTGTAACAGAGTTCTTCTGGGTTGATGGGACTGATTACAAAGTTTTTACACATGGGAGTTTTGCTTGCTAAACATATAATAATTTCATACATTCAAAAATCGTAGATATATATGTATTTATATATTAGATAAATACTTAATCTGTGATTTGCATGTTAAAATTTACGGGTTGGATCACACAAATTTCCTTCGTCTTCCGTGCCTATGAAAGCATTGAGCAAATTCTGGTCAGAGCCGTGCTCCAAACACCATCTTCCATTCCAGAAAACTCTTTGTCTTAAAAACTTTTCGTCAGCACGGGAATAATGAAAACGCTGCTTTGCTGACCCCTTCCTTTCACCTACATAAGTAAATCTTCTGATTGGATAGCAACGAGTCGAAATAATGCAATAATTACTGGGGAACGTTCGACGAGTGAACATACATTGTTTAGTATTTAAAAAAATTACTAACAAAAATTACCATGTTCGCAGTTTGGATTTCTCTTTGTACAACGCCTGCACATATCGTGTTCCTTTATCATCCTTTCTGCCATCTTTCCTGGTTCATCTGGTGCTTCATCCAATAAAATAAATCCATCGTCGTCATCAGAATAATTTAATTCTCCATCGACTTGATTTTCTATAATTTTGACAGGTCTATGAATTCTTTCCAGACTCTCGGAATCGTCCTCATTATAATCATCAGTGTCTGCAAGATGAGGGTGTGAATGATTTGATCATAAAGATCGGAAGGGTATGTATGACTTTATGTATGTACCTCCTTGGGCAAGAACGGACCCAAGCAGAAATATTGATACCAGTGCAACAAACAGTACCAAGCTGGATTTGGGGTTCATGCTATATGAATTACGTAAATTAGTGACAGTGCATACGAATAGCAATTATTCAAATTATTATTTTTTCTTGAAATAAAGTTTTGTGAAGAGATTGTTGGTCCTGTAGTAACATAAATATGATTTTCGTAAAATGTGCATTAATAATGAATGACTTCATTGAATACCAATTACATCAATCAATCACTTCCAGAAGTGCAATAAATTATGTAAAAGTTTTAAAATCTATATGAAAATTTACAACTAGCTTTTGAGGGTAAGATGAACGGATGTGACATATGTATTGCACACTTATATTTGCATGCCGTAATTTCCGCACTTGACAATGTCGGTACGCTTAGATTGGGTGACACCATGCTTATCATTGGACTTGGACCTGGATGTTCATGTCACTGATGATTGAAACATGTATATAATCTGTCAATTGTAGTGGTGACTGGTGATGTTAGGAAAGTGCTATGTACACACACCTATTTATACATAAGTTTCACTGAAAAACATGATAAAATAATGTACCGATGTGTAAGAGGCTGATAATTTCTAATTTCATAATTAATTGAAATCATCCAACGATAAATATGCAGGTATATAAATAGGTTTCTGTCGCATGTAAAATTTGAGTAGTATTGTTTGTAGCATTCGAACTCTTAAATCATTCGACAAAATCGATAATATATTTAATAGTCCTTATGGGTATCACTTGGTATGTCATTGGGGTCACGCTTCTGGTGGGGACAGTAGCATCAAAAGCAATTTCGGGTAACTAATATATTTCCATATTTGCATAACATTAAATTATTTACAATCTACAGTAAATGAATCCAATTTCATCATTGTAGATCCCGCACCCCGTTTGATCAACAGTACCAGATTCAGTTTAGGAGATCATGAATATTACGTGGAATTTATTGATGTACGTATACATGAAAATGATATTGAAGACAAATTATGTTTTTACATACATATTTTTTCAAATGAAAACAGAGTAGTTGGCAAGCAGCCCTCACTGCATGCACCAGCCTAGGATTTGAAGGTCTTGTTAATTTCGAATCACTAGAGGAATGGGAAGCTGTTCGTGGATTATTAGAAGGGCCTGGTCAACACTTTTGGATTGACGGAATTAATACAGGATCAAACAACTGGATATGGACCAGTGGTGCATTGAGAGGTCAACAACTCCCAGATTGGGCACCTTGGAAGCCTGGTCATCCAGTAAACGCTCTCACACACAGGGTAGCTGTTGAATATTTTAACGAATTTGTGGCAAATTGGACTACCATCCCGGATTCTGAGAGGCACAACTTTGTGTGCAAAAGGGTAATCTGTATTCTTTGCAAATTACTTGAGAAGCAAGAGTTTATACAAATAACTAACGAGTTTCATACATTCTCATTTTGCAGACGCTACCCGACGATGTCCCAATCCCCTGTTATCAGACGAACGACTTGGTTATTGTCCTCGACTCCTCTGCGAGCATCACGGCCCCAAATTATGAAATTGCAAAGGACTTTGTGGCAAAACTGGCTCTTGCTTATCGAGAACATGAAGATAACAGATTGGGTTTCGTTATATACTCGTATTCAGCGAGTCAAATTTTCGACCTATTGAATGGAATGAGTCCAGGAGAAATGAACACGACTATTAGAGCAGCTCCGTATGAAAGTGGAAACACCAACACCGCAGACGGAATTAATGTTGGGGGCAACATATTGCTCAGAAATGCTAGGGACGTGCCAATGGTGAGTATTTAAAAAATGGTACAACTTTGATAAAAATGATGTGATCATAATTCCCAGGATTTTAATATCTAGAATATGGTTATTCTAACGGATGGGCAATCAATGAGTCCCAGCGACACCAAACTTGCTGCAGAGTGGGCAGTTTCCAATGGAATTAGAACCTTTGCTGTTGGAATTACGAGTAGTATAAATGAACAGGAATTGGAAGACATTGCGGGCGGAAATTTGGATTCTGTTTTTCTTGCTCCTGATTTTGACAAGCTTCTCAATTTGTTGAGACCTGTGAGTCTTCGCGTTTGCAAATAAACAATTATAAACTATTAGATTTTTGTAATTTGGGAGCATTTAATTGTGTTGTGAATATTTACTTGTTGAAATAAATATATGCTCTGGAAATTGATAGTATGTATACCAAACACTTTGCCTGTTCTCGTTTACTCATCTAATGAATAAATATAGTGTAAAAGAATAATATGACTCGAAAGGTGTAACATGAATTGAGAAACATATCACGTTCGTAAGTATACATATGTACATAGTCCAATGTAAAGCGATCCGATCCCTGGGTGAAGGATATGCATAATATTTATAGATAATAAAGTATTCCTGAGAAAAAGTTGAATGAAAAATGTCCTTGGCCTTTGACCCCGGTGCATGATTAGTTAGTTGTGCATTCTTCGGCTTGCATTACTTCTTCATATTACACGTCGCATTACATTTTCTTCCGTCACAAATCCAACACCGACTGGCCATCTGGAACTTATTTTATTCCTTCAAAATTATCATGGGCAAATTTTCTCCTTGTTTCTTGCTTTTTGTTATATTCACCACTTCAAATATAGTTTACGGTCTAGATGAAAATTCTGTAAAAGAAAAGAAATGTTTCGAACCGGACCTTTCTTCTGTGGACCTTGATTACGGTTGGGTATGGCGTGACACAAATATATTCGTACACATATTTATATCTTGCATGCTACACGTGTTATTTGTTCAAATTTTGTTGATAAACATGCACGGCAATAAAAGAACTATAGTTTAAAACATTACTAGGTAATTAATTTTTTATTCACTAATTAGTCATCTATTTGCAGGTGTTCTCCTTCAACCGATGGTATTTTACCCACATGAGCAAACTCGACCTTTACAGGTCGGCGTGGGACACTTTACAAAAAAAGACGACAGATATCAAAGAAAATGAAGTGGAAACGCCATGCCTTTACGCGGATTGGGAAGGGTTCACCCCATCAATGACTGGGTTCGGGGAGAAGACGTTAGAATATGACATCACCCCAAATTTGGACAACACCTTCAATTTTGCTACATCTTGGAGAAATGGTACGTGCACAACAGAATTAGAAAAAAATTTCAATATTTAATGCCAAGTTTGTAAACCGAATAAAATGCGTGCAGGGGTCGGAGGGAAAATGTCATTGGTGAAAACAAACAACAAAAACTATCTGCTCTTTGTCAAGTGTTGGGATCATGATGACCAAATGTCCTGGAATGTAATGGCAACCACTACCACTCTCGGAGAACAGGAGAAGAAAGAAATTTACGACAAAATTGAGTCACTTGGATTTTCAAAAGAATTTATTTTCGAACAAAAGTTTGACACTTGCAAAATTAAAGAGAAAAAGAGCGAGTTGTGAAATGAAAATGTGATCCAAGAATAAAATATAATTGTGTCGTCAAATCATGCAAGATGTTTATTAATTTCATACAACAAGCGTGGAAAATTGTGTACAAAAATGTGATAACAGAAACTATTTAGCTGCAAAAAATAAAATGTGTGAATACATATTTTTTAGGAACACAACATTCTGTAGTTAACTTTCAAATTAATCTGGATCCAGATTTGTATTCAGGTCAGGACTTCCAACACTCTAAAATAATAATTGTCCGGTTGACACGTGCAAATTTTTCCAGTGTAGAGATCCGTTGTGAACTTTTCTCTCTCATTTTCCTCCATATATGTTTCAAAGGCTATTTTGACAACAAAATTTTATTATTAAGTATTTCAAACTAATTGTTTCTACAAACTTCTCTACGAATTGAAACTTACTTTCCATCGTGCACGGTTTTCCTGACCCCTTAACTTTACAGCTTGTCCCGTCCGTGCAACCAAAGTCATAACGAACATTTTGATCAAAACTGCTGGTAACGTTATTTGGGACACAATACGTGCCATGAGCCCAGCGGCAAATTTTGTGATTTTTCTTCCTTAAGGAACCACCTCTCTCGGAAACGATCATTCTCGGGGCGTAGCGTTCCCCATAAATTGAGGTTAGTGAGTAATCCCCACAGTCACATTTTGCCGTGGTAGCGTTGCATACCAGCAGTTCGTATGGATTACAAAGCTCGACCCTCTTTTCTGTGAATCCCGACTCTATGAAAGGCGTCGCGACAGAGTTTCTAAGGTTGACTTGATTCTTGAGGAAAATGTTGTCCATTGTCAAGGGCAGATTAGATCGGAGTGTTTCTGCCTCTCGGTTGCAAGTATCGCCATAGCTGAGAACTAAATATGCAAAATAATATTATAATACGCATCAGGAATGAATATTTACATAAATTACATATGTATGAATTGTACCAGCTAAATCTTCAAATGTGTTGTATTGTTTCGGCTTGAAAATGAAATAGCAGCAAATTAACGCAATTACGACGACGATGACAACTGTAGCAATGATTGACCTTTTGCTATTATTGTTCTTTCTTGGACTAGACCTTGACTCCATTGTTGACGTTAAATAGAAATATTTTCCTAGTTAAATAAGGCTGGATTCTGAAAGTGAACGAGACCAGGCGGATGAGACGTGTTGGTGTAAAGAGTGAAGAGATTTGAAGATACAAACTACTCGTGCTCTTATTACTTAAAGAATGACCATTCATTATTGTGAGTCCTCGTGATTATATTATTCTACTTGCTTCGTCTCGACCACATTTCACTCTATAGGCAATTGAAATTGAGTAATATAGAAGCCCGAGGCCGGATTAGTTGTCTCGTTCAGTTTCTACTACTGTTGTTACCAGCAGAAAAAATCTCATGGCATCAAATCGCTCACACCATCGTGATTCATGATTGTTGTTATGTCGGAGGAAAATGTCAAGTATAAGAAAATAATTGTGGGCGTGCATATAAATACAGACATATGCAAGGAGCAAAACAGGCACATCAACAAACAAGATTTAATTATGCCCAATTAACGGAACGCGAGTTGAATGGAGATTGTCCTATAACTTCTGAATGATGTACATACAAGCAGGTCCAGTGCATACGTATGTTGATGGATATGCCAAATTAAATGGAATGGCTAATTTTTATTTGTATAATTCATAAAAGTGCATTAAATATGCAAATATGTAATAATAATTAATCAAAATATGTATGTATGCATTTGTTGCTTCACAGTATTGCATATATAATTTCAATTTAAATTTACCTTTATTCAAGTGTTAGTCACATTCAGTCGATCAGAAATATTTATATATACATTTGGGCATGAAGGACTGGTTTTGCTTCACTTTAAAATTACCTGTACCAGAGTTATGGCTTTTATCAATCTAATTAACTTCTTCCTTTCCGAAAAATCCAACCAGTTTATCTGATTGGAGCAGTGAATTAAACTACATTTTTAATTTTAAGTAAAAATTACCATTAAGAGCTAGAGCTATAAATATAAGCAGTAACATTTACATTTATATGAAAGATAGATTTTATTACGATTAATTATATAGTAAGGATGGTCCTGGTGTGTCCTCGTCATCGTATTTATTATTTTTCATGAGCCATATGATCCTTAAGAAATTCATAATTTTTTAAATTTCTTGCTTAACTTTAGCTGGGTATATGTATATGTAGTACATATGTGCATACCTGTCATACACCAACTCCTTGGCATTATTGGCAATGACAAAATCTACGCGGAGAAAGCGATAGATAATTATACAAAAAATCTGAAAAATCTTATCACATAAATATTATAGTTACCCAAATGGCCGAAATGTTCCAATGTGACTCGATTATTTTCCCTGAGTGAGTTCGAATTCCATTCTGTTGCCATTTTTTTGACATCTTCGGGAACAATGACGCTGTCCCCGTATCCCCAGAAGAAGACCGTTGGCGTCGTGACATTGCCCAAGTCATATTGCGGCGGTTTTTCGTCTCCATACTTTTTCTTGTTCTCTTCCTTGGATTCATAATCAAAGCGACGAAATAAATCTCCAGCCGTAAACAATTGAGAGCAGTGGCGTAAAACTTTTGTGGATGTCGTACTAGGATAGCGTCTAGCAAAGAATTTCCGCAAAGACTGTACACACAAAAGTATAAAGTAATTTGGTTATCACTGACAAAATGGAGAACTATTTGTTATTTTTATACCGCATCGCTTTGTGAGATGGGTCCGAATAATAAGAAAATCAAGTATTCACAAGATCCGTCACAATTGTACGTGCCATTTGGACAAGATACATGGAAAGTCTCTTTTATCGTTCCTCCCTTTGGATCTATTTTCGGACCCAATGCTTTGTACTGATCTGGCTGAATGATTAAGCGATCCAGTGCAATCAAGTTAGTAAATTAAACTATATCATTAAAATCGATCGATAACAATACAACGAACAATACCTGTCCAAGCAGCAATGTTTTTAGAGTAGGATTTTGTACATGCGACATGAATGCTGCTGGTGCGAGAAGAAATCCGGTCCTTATCTTTGCAGTGTGAGGACGCATTGTAACCATAACCGAGTACATCCTGGAGCCAAGAGAGTGTCCGATAAAGTACAAGTCTCGAGCAGTGGTCAACAGCAATATTTTGTCCACCGTGTTTGGAAGATCGTAAAATCCCATTTCATGAAAGCTACATATATATTTACATTATATGCAAATTCAAATCAATGTGTATGCATGTACGCATATAATATTTTTACACACCTAAAATCCCAATATTTCTCGCTATTGTCATTAACATCTTCATGCTCCATACTGAAGTGATTTCCACGGCTATTTCCAAGATACACGTCGTATCCTTCGTCAGCCAAAAGAAATGCTGCCAGGACAGAATATTTCCCAATTACTTAATTCTGTCAGAACTGTTTTTGTTAGTTCGTTTACCAAGGCTTTCATTCCCAAGAAGTAACCAATTCCACGAGTTACCCATCACTCCATGCCAGAGGAGGACGGGGACTTTTCCTGGGGCTGGGGGTGACAAAGGACTGCCAGATATTCGGTGAATTGTGAGAATATAACCGTCCTCCGTCGTTACTTTAAATTCCTCTGCTGGATATCCGGCATACCGAATGTATTCAAGCTGGAATCGATTTGATAGTCAAAACCGAAGTCAGTAAAGGAAAGTAAAGAAAAAAGTACTAAAAATGATTTGGTATTTTTACAATTTCCATCTTATCGTAAGGAAGCTTTTTGTTATTTTTGGCATCTTCTGCACAATTGGGCTCTTCCTCCACACTGATGTTTGCGAACCCGTTCGTCGGGCTGAGGGAATAATCGCCAGAAACGGCGTCATGACTTGGACCATCATCCAAAGCTGTGTTGTTGAGATAAACGGTGGGCGTAACTGTCGTAGAATTTATTTTATGTATGCACAAGGAGATCACAATATAAATTATGCACTGTAATGTTGTGAGACGAAATTTGAATGCGTAACGCATAGCTTGGTCAATTATAAATATGTCCGTAGTTGTATGAGAACTCTGGCTGGGTGCTTATTTAATTGTTATGTATCTATGCATGGATATGTGAAGTCTGTGAATGGTATTTGTAGGACCTAAATGTATTTATATGTCGGTGCCTAATGAAATGACGTAATAAAAAAATTTAAGTTGCACATTCTACACTTATGACGTCTTATTTGTAAACGAAAAATAAATTAGGCTATGAAATCGAATAGACAAAATTGGTTTAAAAAATTAAAATCCAACGTTTCTTTTGTTCAGAAGTATGCAACGCGAACTTTTTACGGAATATTAAGTTTCATGCTTTGAATTATATGCGATAGGACAATGGATGATGAATAATAATGATCGAATTAGATGTGACGTGCAATGTCTCCAGAATATATTGTTATTCGATTCATGTAATAAAAAGAATGCAATGTCAAAATGGAAATGAAGTTAACAATGGAGTAAGTACATAAGCGCATACATCTTACGAATGTGCATGTGTGTGCAGTTACATAACGTACCACTGTTTAGTAAGGCAGTGTAACATGTGTATTGAAAAATGCATTTACTATTTTATGTTGTCCATTGATAAGATTAAAAATTTCGTGAATGAACTATCATCAAATTTAAACCGAAGAAATTAGCCTAGTTAAAATTGATTTTACTGTACTTCATTCAATATAGACTGAAAGACGCAGCCCTTGCGTGCATTGATTCCATTTTGATTTACAAATATTATTTTTTTATTGTGGGAAGTTTATTATTGGGTTTGAATATAATATACATAATGATATAATCCAAATGAAAATTAAACAGTGCTTAGCAGTATATTGTAGTCATAATAGATCATGACCCGAGAGATTGCTGTGATCGATCAGTGATTATAAATAGCACCGGAGATGTAAATAACCTTGCAAATTTTAACTAAATTAAAAAATAAATAGCCACAATAAATAAATAGTTAATAGGAAAGGGTTAATTAATAAAAAAAGCCGAGCAAAATAATTGGCGTTGCTTTTGTTTATATTTAAAATTTTGATAAAGAGATTTTTAATATTTCCAGACACGATAATTACAGAGTATTTAATGCGTGCATCTAAATATGTCGCTACTACTAAAGGACCCGCTATCTATTTAATACTTTAATTGCATACTGCAAATTTTACAGTAAAGTTCACGTTACACGTAAACTGATTATCGAATTATTGTCCCTCATTTGGTGGGGCGGTACAGTACACCACTTCGACAACAGGAAATGGTTTCGCCACCCAGAAAGTGTCACCAGACTTGACCACGGTTCCCCTAGACGAAACAAAATAATAATTGAATAACTCAAATTTTCAATTGCATACTTAATCCAAGCACACTTTCCAACAAATAACTTACAAGAGTTGATAACTGCCCACCGTTTCAGGAGCAACCCAGATAACGGAATATTCCATCTTTTCCCTTGGATGCGAATGGGTCACAGTTGATGCCTGGTTCCCATTGCAATTTAATGGTTTACAATCTTTCGAAGTATTCAGGGGCTTGAAAGATCCTGCCGGAATTGGAGATAATAAATTCCCACTTCTCTTCATCCTCCCTTGGATAAGAAATCCCTTAAAGGCTTCCCCACCAGCTCCACGAATGGTAAGGACGACCTCTTCTCCAGGTTTGACCTTAACTTGGTCCACCGTGAGGGAGTAAGGAATGGGGGTCGTTTGACCAGGCACGCCATGGTTCGGAGTCATGGTTTGACACACCTTGGGAACCTGTGGGGCTCCATAACCACACCCCGCGATGAACCGTGGCTTTTGAAGGAGCAGGATGACGAGGAAAATTATAGTATGAAATACAGTAGCAGTCATTCTACTGGTTTATTGATGGGAGCTGTGACAGGAGTTGTCGAATTAAATATGTCGAGTGATAAAATCCAGGAGAATGTTTTACACTTTTAACATTTTAACTCCAACATGACAGGAAATGATTTAATTATATAGAAGAGTAAAATCATCAAGCTCATGTTTAATTAATACTATTGCTTCATAATGAAGCTGAATAAAAACTTGTGTTTATACAAGGTTATTAAATTGTTGGGAAATTCATGAATCTCATGTTGCCTCAGCGTCCCCTGGTAAGAATCAGTCTCATCTTGCCTCATTTCTGGTACTGGTTGTGCCACCTTCCATCTCAACGTTTTATCTGCTCATCCACATCGTCTCGTGCCGGCAGTTTGGTTTTGGGTTTCGTTCAGCAAACAAGCCACAAATCGTCCTAAGTTCTTTTGTTCGATTGAAATAATTACTTTAATTGTTGTCAACTTTAAATAAAGTAGCTACCATATACTATCGTCCATCTAGTTGAGTCAGGTAATTAACTTATGTTACGGTGTTGTGTTTTCTGTTTGTAATTTAATTGTCTTGCTTGTGCTAATTATGAATGATATATATTTCATATTTAAAAGATGATAAATAATGATGAGATGATAAGATGATGATTTGATAAATTAGTTTTAACTTTACTTTGATTTAATTTATTTTCTTTTCTGATTGAGCATCTAGTGATACGATGGCTCACGCTCAACTTCAAGGCCAGGCGCACAGCCAAGGTTATCGAGATCCTCGGGTGTCTTTCTTGCTCGTACCGGGTGACGTCTTGGTACAGTGTCCGTACGACAAGGTTCATTGGGTTTTGTACGTTGATGACATAACATTTAAGTCTTATCAGTGTGTTTCTTAAGAAGAACTGTTAATTGAGTTACTTTGTATTATTGACAGGGAACCAAAGTTTACTGCACATCTCAGCAAGTGCCGTCGCAACTTTATGAACGCTGTGCAATGTGGGAAAGCAGTCATGACGCCGGATAAAGATTTTGTTGTTTGTCCGTTCCACTTCCATCATCATGTGCCCAGGGCTGAGCTCGAAGAGCACAAGACTTCCTGTCCAAATAATCCAGAAACCGATAAAATTTTGGAGAAAATTGGTACGTAAGCCGGCGTACAATCAATTCCTATAGAATAAGAATCCAAGCTAATAAAATAATTATTTATGTGTATGATTGATTTGGTCCACAGCCCAAGGTGAGAAAGAAAAGTTTGACAATCACTTTTCTTCCTGTGAAGGCAAAAATGAGGTGAAGCCCGATTATCGCGGCACCCTTCCGGGAGGTTTTGGCGATGCTGGCGCTGGTCCATATGGAGATTCGAAGAATTCGGCTGCTGGCTTCTGGGGAAAGCAAGACATAGACAGGCAAGCTAAAGAGTACGACGACGATGACGACATTGGATTTTTAAAGAAAGAGCAGAAAAAGCGCACTCGCTACGTGAATGGAAGAAAGGTGGAAATTCCAACCTCGGAGCCAATGAATCAGCGCTTATTGACCGTGGCGCAGATGAACGATCCACACCACAATTGGGAGATCCCACAGAAAAAGACCCCCAGCGTCACAGCAGTAAAGGAAGAAGAGGGTGATGATGACAAAAACCACCGATTCTTGACGTATGATCCTGTGGCAAACATAGATAAGAAGAAGGGTTGTATGATCACGTAAGAGTTGCGATATTTCTTAGGTTTCTTTCCATTATGATTCATTCGGGTTAATATCATGTTTTCTGTATGTAGAAACCCACAAGGATTGACCAAGTCGGAGCGAAAAGCTTATCGAGACGATGTGGTCAAGAACATTTCACAGCAGATGACGTCTGAGTATGTTATTCGTTGCGAGAAAAGAGGAGTTTCGACGGGTCGATTTATTAGATCCCCGTCCGGTGAACTTCGTGAAGTAAAAGAAGAAGCCGAAGAAGAAGAGAGTGAAGAGGAAGAAGAGGAAAGGCCAGTGACACCCATAACTCGTCGAATTGGTTGGCGATATAATCCCAGGAGAACTGCCGCACCTGGATATGAATTGCGCTTGGATATGCAGTCCTTGCCGGATGAAGACGACGTTAAGTAAAGTTGGATCAAAAAAACCAAAATCGTTGACTAATCTCTGCTTTAAATGGATTATCCCAAATCGACCATAAAATTCTTTGAGTCTTTTTTACTACTGCTAAATACTACTATAATATTCTAAACTATAATTCAGTAAAAGATGTAAAATTATTTCCAGCTCATGTCAAGTCATGAATCTACACACATACATATATTTCTTCCTTTGCTATTATTATTTCTCTCTGTTCTTAAACTGCACTATGATTACAGTTTTTGTCACTCGTACATTACGGTGAAAATAAAAATGTATAAATAAATGGGTTGGGTTTCTGCGATTTTCCATAATATTAATCACCTTACGATTTAATTCATTTCATTGGGTTGGTTGGATTATAAAGACAGAAATAGCAAGTTTAAACAATAAGAATTTCATGCATAGTAAACAATTATAATAAGTGGTATGGATGGTGAGTGTTTATGTAGGTGGCGATGATGGAACAAAGTACAACCTCCTCTGTCGTCTAATTATTATTTGTTTGTTTAGTATGTGATGAGTGAGTAGATCATGGCATATAAGTAGTAGAAGAAGGAGAGCAAATAGAACGCCAACTTGATCCAACCTTCTCTCTGACATTTGTTCAAAACATCCGTGTTCATGATAGACGTGGGATCATAAATTCCAGGTTGAGACATCACCGGACGGTTCATGTATCTAAATAATAATAAAGCAATGCATATAATCAGGATGAGAAATCCATTTATAAATAATTTCACACGACGAACGATGTGAACAAATATGTTAAAGTAAGCTATATATGTACCTGTGAACATGATACGCAATCAGGGGTGCATTCAACAGCAGACTGAACCATTCACCGGAAACGAGAAAGAGAAGATTGAACAACAAATGCAATCCATATTCTGGAAGGACCAGCTATAACAAGACAAAAGAGAAAAGTGATGAAATTCAATTAGATTCCTGTAATATCTCATGAGTCATTAATCACGAGATCTATGAGATATGTAAGTACTCACCGGATTCAAGGAATTACACTGTTCAATTGGATTTTTGTAGTCAGTCTTCAACTCATCAAATGCAATGATCTAAATAAATATAAACCATTACAATTACAATAATTTCTAGTGAATTTCACTCTCCACTGTTCACACTTACATTAAAGATAGCGAAAAAGATAAGAAATGCATCGATGATGAGGGAGATGATGTAGCTAAAGGCTGCAAATGTGAATGCCATTGTGAGCGATGTTCTTTCAATCACACCTTGTTTCAGGGCAAAACTTGTGTTCAAATCTAATTAAGTTTGAAGCCACAGCCACAATTAACTAACAACAACTAACTGTGCACTTTAAATTCAATCCAAGCCCGTAATGTTCCTCGTATCGGTTTTATATGCGTAAAGTATCTCTGACACCGAGAAATTGAAATCCACCGAGAAGGGTTTATCGAAATGACGAGATTACTGCTAGTTCAATTAATTGATGACTAAATTTTACTATTAATTAATTATACGACGAATAATAAAGAACATGACGATTGTGGATTCTTCTGGTGAATGAATAATCTCCCGGCCAGCATAATTCTTCGGCTGGAAAAAGAAACGCTGGGGCAGAGAGTGAAATCTCTCCGAGCGGTAGTTTTTATGATAAACAGAAAAGAATGCAATAATTTTATTGTGCAGGGAATTGCCAATAAATGTGTTTTAATTTAATTGTTCGGCTTCAGTCACTACTCAACTGGAGTTTCCAGTTTGGAAATGGAGGAGCGGCCAAGAAGCAGTGAGATTTGGAGATCCTGGTTTTAAATTAATTTTGAGGTGGTATGTTGATTTATTTTGAAGTAATTTATAAATTGCAAACTGTCATTCCAAATTGAATTGGTGGTGAAGTAATGTTTGAACGACTTCTTAGGTTATAATAATTTGCCACATTGCAGAGACCATCATGGAACAACCAAATATCGGAATAGGACCCAACACCACGTTGACCATTGTTCGAAATCCTATCATCAAGCAAGGATTTGCCAAAAGGAGCAGCTCTGTTGGGGGACCTGTCCGATTTCCAACTCCAATGTTTTTGTCATCCTCTCCCGGAGGAGTAGGAGGAGGGAGAATTGGACCACCCACAGTAATTCGAGTCGCCACTATGAATGCCAACACTATTCCCGATTTAGCCTCGATCTATCTTGTGACAATATCCAAGCCGGAAAACATGTTGCGAGTCACTCTTACTCCGGGAAAAGAGAATGGTTATTATACCAATACTGATTTTTGAAATGCAATGTGGCTATTTTATTTGAGCTTTTATTTTACTATGTTTCAGAACATACACCAGCGGCAACGAAAGCAATCATGAGTATTTTAGAGCAGAGGGGTCTCTATGTTCCCAAGATGAAGGCATGCATCATCAAGACTGGATCGAAAGAAGCTTACGATAGGCTGGTTATAGGTGGGTCGCCTTTCTCATGGATACATCCAACTAGCAAGAAAAGGACGACGTTTTTAGTAAAGTATGTCGAAGGTATTCCAAAGGTACAGGTAGCGAAGAACTTGGAGCAGAATAGGCAGCCAATTTCTTCAACGCCATCGTCAACAAGCTCACCCAAAATGGTAGCAGTGCCTACTAATAATTCTGCTCTTGTGCCTCCTCCTCGTACTCCAACCCCACAGTTTACTACCAAACATATCCCTTCAACTCAAGGACAACAACAACCGAGACCAAGGGGAAGACCACCAACAAAGAAACAACAAATCGTGACAGCAGGAAATGCGGAAGTGTCATCTAAAACTGTGGTTGCACCCCCACGTGGAGGTAGAGGTCAAACCAAATCAAAACAGGTCGAGGTTATCCAATTGACCTCGGACGAAGATGATGATGACGATTTTGAAGATGATTATGACGATGATGACGACGACGATGACAGCGATGAGGATTATAGAGAATCGCTCTTTATTCCAAAGTCAACAGGAAATAAGTCTCCTCCTACCACGGCTCAAGCTAAACTAGCTGATGTTTCCGGTCCTTCAAATTCTATGGCATTAATTGCTGAAGGACACGTTAGAAGGTAAACAAGACAAAGAACCATTTTTAGCATTTTTTTTACCGGAATAAATATTTGGTATTTGAATAAAAATTGCAGCAATAACAACATCTCCATTTCTAAATCTGCAAATGCACGAAGAAAAAGTGTGTCCCAAGTTTTGTCTGCTACCACTGCGGCTGCTGCTGCTGTCAATTCTACAAAAGTAGTTGAAAATACGTTCACCACTGTTGTTCGTGGAAAAGTTTGCAGCCTGCCTACGAAATCGATTGTTCCTGCAGGGAAATCGCTTTCATGTCACTATAAAATCCAGGACCTGAAAACGTTTAAAAAAACATACTCCAAAGCTGGACTAACATATCAAGTCCATCCGTTTTTGGGGGATAAATTTTTGATTGTCAGTTGCCAAAAAACTATTCCAAAAAATATCCCTAGTCAAAACAAGATGAAAACCAAGCAGCCTGAAATACCTGTACAAAGGAATAAGCGTAAGTCATGATACATTCTTATTAATGCTTTGTGTCTGTTGTGAAATTTATAAACATATTGTGTTGTGCATATATGTATATAGGTAAACTGAGTCAAGAAAGTATGATAAGGGAGCCACTGAAAAAACTTCGAAGTGATGTCAGAAAATCATCCACTCCGGAAGTAAAATCTGCAAGTAATAGGCGAACAAGTTCTACTCCTGCTGCTGTAACAAAAACCACGACCACAACTAAATCTACTGCGCGTCCAATTACTAGAGAAATATCAATCAGTTCTTCGGACTCCTCTAATTCTTCGAGTTCTGGCAGTAGTAGTAGCAGCAGCAGTGATAGTGAATTCGCCATTTCCGAAGATGATGAGAAAAATAAAGTTGCACAAGATACGGGACGAAGAAGCACTCGCCGAGCGGCAGCTATTAGCATCAATAAAAATCAAAAACCAACTTCGAGTAAAGACAAGGAAAAGGACAAGCATGTTGTTTTTAAACCGCCACCAAGATGTACTAAACTTTAATACTAAACAATGTTCAATAGTTATAACGTTTATTTATTTTCTTAATTAATGTTTCACAGGTTTTATTGAAGCCAAGCCATGCAGACCACTACGCAAGTCATCTGAAGGACGCATTTATTTCAGTTTGAAAGCTAAAGTGGGGCCTAGCGAGCACTACAAGAATGAGGATTTATTTGTTAACTGGGAGAAATTTGTTCGTACCGAGTCTTGTCTTGGAACTTACTATAAAACACGACTAATGAAAAAAGTTTACACAACCTTAGTTATTTATCATTTGGAAAGTGAACATGACAAGTTGCAGGTGGATCGTAGTGTTGAGGTTTGTGTTAAGATGTTTTTCTTCAAAGTTTCATGTTTTCTTTCTTCAATTATTTATTTCTAATGCTAAATTCATGAATTCCAAATTGCAGTTGGCGAGCGACGGAACCATAAAAGTTACACTTATGAGTGAAGATGTCACATCTGAATTTATGAAATACGTCAACATTGACACAAACACTCACTTGAGCTCTCTTTTAACTAATCTCATCAACTCCAACCTGTGTCCTGGATGTCCCAACTATAGTCTAATTACGGTCTATCCAGAAGCAATATCTCGTGATAATATTTGGTACTCTAAGAAATGCTCTCGTGTTGTTTTTCATGAAGTAGAAAAGTTTACTACTCAACCAAGTGCAAACCATAACTACTTTACGTCCGACCTACGCTGTGCAGCTTGTAAAGAGTTGAGAAATCGTCTGGATGTGGAAAAGACAGAAATATTTAATTTAAACAACAAATTTAAAAAGATGGATGCAATGAAACTCGGATCCAAAAGAAGTCGTGCCAAACAACAAATAGTTTATGGGAAATATAAACCACCTTCTGTAGAAAAAATACAAGTGCGAAAAGCTCTAAGTGATCTATTCCTCGACTTTTGGAAGGATTTAGGCTTCAAAGAAGAAGCATTTCCTAACCAAACGTCTAATCTTAACGTCGACGTCGTAACTGAAAAAGACTTTCCAGAAATTAAAGAAATTGAAGAACCAGTCCCAGGATTACCACCAGCCCTACCAGAATCAATACCAATTCTTGAAAACATTGATTTCGATGAAAATGGTCAAACAATGCTCACTTTTTCTGAAATTCCGCTAAATCCATATGAAACGGGAATTCAAAATGTTCATTTTATGAACTCGTCAATGACTTTGCCTCAGATTTCTACAGATATGCTAGACTCCATTATGAATACGTCAGATCCGGACGTGCTTGTTCAAACGTTGGTGGACATTCAAACCCCAGGTCAAACTTTTAGTGGAGGTTCCCAACAATCTTCTGATTCTCAAGGGAATAATAATTCTACTATTTCTACTACGAATAAAAGTAGCATAAATTATCAACACAATTCCAACCCTCTCACAGATTCTTCGATTCCTTCTCATCAATTCCCTTGGTCCAGTACAAATTTAAATCAAGGTCCACAATCAGTGACACATGATCATGCCCTTAATTATCAAAATAGCCAACTTCAATTCCCTTACGACGGCCAGCAAGAGCACCACCATCACGATTCGCATCTCCTCGAAGACATGCAAATTCCCGATTTCCATGCGGACACATCATACTCGGCAACCGGAATGGAACCCCATAACATGATTAACTTTGATGATCCAAATTTAGATTTTAATTTAAACGATGGTGTAGAGAGTAGTTTAATGTTTCCAACTTTTAGTTTGACAGAGTTATGAAAAAAGTGATATTTGATGTATGATTTGATACTTACATTTATACCTATTTAAGTACATTTGCGTAATGTAGATATACGAATGTTTATATTTGATGGAAACCGACACGCTATTTGGACTACTACTTAATTAGTTATAACTACTTTTTTTATACGGCTTGAAAGCTAATAAATACAAGGAGCTAGCCTGCAGCGATTTACGAAATCATTATTTTTGCATTTTGCATGACCATCCGAATGACGTGTTTATTTAAGCGTTCTCAATGCTATCCTACATTTCAGGCAAAATATTAAATTTAGTGGTAAAGACAAAATAAAACACAAAATTAATTGTTATAAATACTCTGTCTGTGTATGATCATATGATGATCGTTTGTCTCGAAGTGCCCACTAGGGCGACGCGATGCCTTTCACCATATGAACTACAGCTGTCCTCCATTCACGTCTTCCCTTTCGATTATACAAGACAGTTAAATCTGAATTAATTATTTATTTAAGTGTCCGTGCATAGTAAAGTTGTTAAGTTGTTGTATTGATTGGGAAGTGCATAAAACTAAAGCAGCTGGCGATAACAAATCGGTGAGGATTTATTATTTGTATGCATACTTCGTATTTTTTAATTTTTAAGGTCAGCTTACAGTATTTGCTAAATAATGGTTAAAAATTATGTTATTACAGTTTCAGAAACATGGATATCGGAACATGGTATCAGTGCAAAATTTGCATGGTAGTTTGCAATGAATCTGCAATGGCACTACATGAAAATAAACATAGCGCAAGTCCGCAAATGCGTCAATTCAGGATTAAAGATAAAGACTTATCAACAAGGTAATAATTTGGTGACATTTGTCATATAAAATACCTATGCATTATGAGATTGATTTAATATATATATGCGGAAAACTGTGCCTTGTTCATTAGAATTTCCTCCATGTGGTCTGTTGTGAAAGTAGAAACGGAAATAGAAGGAGAAGAACACTCAGAAGAACAAAGTGAATGTGAGGAAGCAGAGGATGTATTATTGGAGCTTGATTATAATGATCCACAAGAGGATTTTGTAAGATTTTAAAAGATTTCTAAGAAAATTTTAAAACTTATAGTTTGTACTTCTACTCACACTCACCATGCACTCGTCATGTACTTGTATACAGGCAACTCAAGAAACAGCTTTTTCGACTGACGATGATGATAATGACACAACTGATGATTTTGATTTGATGGACCATATTATTTCGCCAGATCCAGCATCACCACCACCTCGCAACAGAAGAAAGCAAGGTTTTAAACCTATCCCTTTCAGTAACATCAGCGAACTCCTTCCGGTTAATAAATCCTCGGCACCTCCTAAATTACAAATATTAAAGAAATTAAGTCGCACCACTCGTGCCAGATCAAAAATGCCATTGTTATCTCCTATGAATATTGATGTTGCAAATTCTGAGATGACCGATTTTACCATTACTGATGGCTGCCGAATAGTTGTGGATCACAGCAATCAAAGGGAATCTCGTCAATCAGTTACAGGTGTAGTCTGTTCAAAATGTGGTTTCATTGGACGCACAACCACTGATCTAATCGATCATCAGAGAGTACATACGAAAGCGAAGCCCTTCAAGTGCCCTGTATGTCCGAGCGTTTTTTCTCGGACACAAAATATGAGGCATCACATACGGTATGACTTATTAAATGGCTCAACATTCTCACTCGGGGGGAATAGTAATTATTTTGTAATTTCCAGATTTAACTGTGAAGAATCAAAACGTCAAGGACTTGCTGACAAATTCCAGCAACGTGCCGTCGTTCAAAAGGCGAAGCTAGTTCCAACTAAAGTATCCGACTTAAAATTTAAATGCTTAAAATGTGTTGAGAAATTTACCACGCGTACGAAACTGCAACATCATCTCCGAGTGCATAGCGTTGGAATGGATGGGAACGTGTTTAAGTGTTCCTTTTGCAAAGGTTTGTTTTACAGTTTACGATCTGCCACTGATCATGAGGCCAGAATGCACAACAAGTTTTTGAAGAAGGGACATCAATGTCCGCACTGTGAAAAGAATTTGGCTACAAATAGTAGTTTGAAGAGGCATTTATATTTATCCCATTTGACTGAATATGGAGAGAACGGAATTGACTCTGACGCGTCTTCAAGTAAGCAATTGACCCCTGCAACGCCCAATACCAGCACCTCATCTAAAGGCAAAACTAAAAAGAAACAACAAAAACGGATATCAAATAAGTCAATTGACAATCAAGTTGATGACGGAGAGGGCCACGAATGGCCACAAATTGTGGAAGTGAAACATGTTCCTGCAAAACAAGGTGTAAAATCTACCGAATCTTGGACATGGCCCACAGTGACGGCGCAGGAGTCGTTAGCAGATGACAATTGTGATTTTGGTGATAGTGGTGATGTGAATTCCATGGTCAAGGTCGATATTAAACACTCCACCATGGAATTTGAACCCGAAGAGTCTGAAATCATTGAGATGAATGGGAGTGGTTTCTTTCTCGAGAAAGATCCTCTAGCATTTTAAAATTTTGATTCATGCATTGATAAATTTGTGTTATATTATCGAATAAGTCTGCATATTAGTGCTGTCGGCGTTACAAAATGATGCTGTTTTTACCTGAACTATATTAGTGTGAGTATGGATGACATTCTAACTTGTTATTCAAAATAATACTTATAATAAATCTCATAACGTTGTAATAGAACTCAAATTCAAAATATTTAAATTTTTAAGCAAGGATTATTGTAGCCTAACTATGTAATCCACAACGGATGTATGCTAATCATGAGCAATATTCAATGTTCTGACTTGTAAGTATTTGCGTGCAAACGTGTCTTATTTGTACATATTTACTTATTGTATAAAACATTATGAAGGTCAATAACTAACGCCTTCTATTAACTAAACGATCCGAACAAGTCGTGCCCGTTATACTTTGAAGTTGGTGACAAATCTATGATATCGATCGAGATAATATCCATGTACACATTTTTATAATGAAATAAACAATTTATATAACATAATGTGTAAACCACTTTGTCAGTGTCTTCTTCCTAGTCGAACGTTAAGATTTTTTACATTTTACATTAAGATTAAGTAAATTATTTCTCAACGTAAAATGGACGTCGAATTGAGCTCATATGTATTTTTGTATTGCAACAATTTGGTGAAATCAATGTACATATTATGCTATAATCTTTACCCGGGTACACTAACAACTACTGAAATAAAAGTAGCATCGATACCGATGTTCTTATGCAAAAATCCTGGATGACCAAAGGTGTAAGCGTGTCAACGAAATTTCCTCCCATACGTATCTTTAGTGAAGGTAAACTATTCAACGTTTTCCGAAGTCGGGATTTTCTTGTGATTACCAGCGAATTTTGTTTCCACTCAATTAGCTGATCTTCAGACCATTTGAAGACTCTTGATGCGGCAGTGAAGATGACAATGGTCAAAAAAACTGCGTCTACATATAACATTGGAAACATTCCAAAGGCAGGCCAGCTGATATTTTCATGCAGTTTTAGACAAACATAAAATGACGAAAACTGTATGGCAGGAAATCCAGTGACGCATGTAGGGAACAGACGCTTACTGCAGGCTAGGCTATTAATAATTTCTATTATGCGGAATTCTCGATACATTTTCAATGAAGAATCCATCTGTTCCACAGTGTTGGTTTGTCTGTTTATAAAAGTAAAAATTTCTTGAAAACTTTGCCAGTACAAGTATGTAAACAATATGATCTATGTTAATGTGATTGATTTTCACCGATCGGCAAGCAATCGAAGATAGTCCCATAGACAAATGATGCCAGAGAAGAGAACATGGTTCACGTAGAAAGCTGCAGATATGCATGCTTGAGCAAACATGACAAATTCAAAGATTAAAACGGTGATGCGAATCAATATTGGCAAATCCATCCCAGATTTACAATATGACAACATCGACCCCACGAAGGGTGGAGCACAGGGGAATTTTGCTAGGACAAGGACACAACAAACTGGTAGGCATATAGCCGTTGCTCCAACGAGATATAGGACAAGGGACATCATTTTATCCGGAATTGTTTTGTTGTACGTAGTACCTAAAATAAATACCGTTGTTTAAAATTTGATATAATTTACTTGTTACTTAATTGTCTTACCCTTCAACAATTTGCATTCATAATCGATCATCGAGTTGATTAGATTCATTGGAACAGGATCCAAATCCCAGCTAAATCGTAACCCAAGTCCTGTAGCGTAAACGCATGTAAAAACTAACCCAATGATTTTTGTGGTGCTCGAGTATGGCGAAAGTAGAATCATGACGCATTGAAGTACGACATACAGGAAATGGGATGCCATTTGCATTTTGTTGATAAAACGGACGTAATCCGACGTGACATAGGTGACACGTTGTGTTTTTGGATCCCATATGAATGGGAGAATTGCGAAACGCTTAAAATGTTGAAGATGTAGTTTCAAATGAGCGAGAAAAGTTATGGTGAACATTGTGAGTCTTTTTGAGATCTGAGAAAATTCACTATACGAATGTCGTCTTTAACTGATAGATAATAAACATTGGTATATGAGCTTCCCCGATTTCGGGGAACTAATGAAAAGCTCTGTATGTACGTAACGAAATACAGATAACTGTTCCAAGTATTTTCTGTATTTGCTCAATTTAATATGTATGTATTTGCACACATTGTACTTGTACGCTTTAGGAAGCCAAATAGCAACTTTGAATTTATCGGACAAGACAAAGTTGATAAATATTTTTGAATAATATTCATGAATTCTAGGAATTGATATCACACTCCGCCTGATAAAACTTGGCACGACAAAATTACAATGCTTACTTATGTACTTATTACTTATTTAGAACTTACATATGCAGGAATTTTCATAAACTTATTTTGTTAGATAAGTGTGCAGATGATGACAATCGAAAATTATTATTAGAAATCTTAGAATACTAAGTAATGTTAAGATTTGTATGGGATATGTATGTACCTACTAAATTCTATGATGATACATGTACTTATTAGTTACGCGAGCATTCACCTTCAAATATAATTGCTTACATAAAATGGGACAGATAATTAACTTCCACTTTGTGTCTAGGTAATTCGAATTTCAATGTATTATGCAGGAACCGCTTGTATCGAAATTGCCATGCCTGATAATTTGTAATTGTTTATATCATGCTTGATAAATAATCGTTGAGGTGACAAGTTTAATCGCGGTTGCTTGTTTTCTGCAGCTTGTCTTTTAATAGGTATCATGATAAATCGAAACCAATTTTCAGTTACAAATTTCTAGTATTAGGGGGAGTCCATAAATAACGCGAGAGGGGGGACGGGGGAGGTTAAGGCTCAAATATGTTACACATGTTAATGTTAAGGGGGGGGGGGTTAAAAATCGCGATTTTGCATTACATAATTTATGGACGGACCTCAACCAAGTTTTCAATTAATCATTTACCCATTTCTGAATACAGGAATATAACTCTGTAATTTTCATATGAACAGTTTGACGAGTTTATTGATTGCACGTGTTAGGTTTGTAAACCTCGTACTTTATTAACTAAATAAACAGTCGAAATTGTAAAGGTGGATGGATACGTAGTAGATTTGTAAGCGTGTAAATTTTCTCCCAGTGATCTAATACATTCATTTAGTAGCATTAATATTCTTATTGGGATCAAAATTTTATAATTTCAAGAAAGAATTGTCGTAAATCTTTTATTCTCGTGTGTATACTTCTCATCTCTAAATAAATTAAGATATGTATGTATGCATATTTATATACATACGTACCATGTATATATTTAAATACAGTGGTAAACATGTGTACATGGTCATATTAAAACGATGCATAGTCCAGCCAATCCAAAAAAGCAGTGACTCGCGTGTCTGTATAACAATTAATTTCATTATTTCTATTATTGTAAATCGCATTACTAGAACATCGGACTTCTAGTAAGCAAAGACTTACAAACATCCGGCCAGTATGGAAACAGGGCACACCCACCGATCCCAAAGCTAACCAAACCGATCAACGTATTCCGTCCTTCGTCTCCTTTAATTGTTAGTCCACCACCTGAATCGCCCTGCATGAAAAGTTGGTATTTAACATCGAAACTGTTCAGACCAATAAAAAATTATATTCTTACGAAACAAGTCCCAGAACAGTTCGGAGCCACGGCACAAATCATGGTGTCATACAAATATTCGATCTTCAGTTTCTTCTTGCACTCGGCATTCTCAATTATCCGGTTGCTAGATTTTTGTAAATATGTCGCCAATTTCCCGTGGGGATAAGTTGTGGCACCCCAGCCAGAAATGACTGCACTTTGACCTGTGTAAGAGTTACCTCGTTCCGGGAGACACACTGGTTGAACGCCAGCTCTAAATGTGATGGGGTGTTTAAGCTTAATTAAGCAAATGTCATTTTCCAAGTAGTATGGGTCAAAGTGTGAGTGGAAGACGACTGAGGACACCGACACTCGCTCATCAATTGCTTCCGTTGTAGAGTTAAAGTTAAGGTCCCCAACGATAACTTTTAGGGTTTGAATTGGAACTGGTGCAATACTGAAAATATGTAATCCCAAAAACAATAAAACGAAGCCGTAATCTTTGCAACATCATGATTGCTATTTATAATTTTGCGGACCTCATGTAGCAGTGTGCAGCAGTGAGGATCGAAACTGGCGAAATTATGGCTCCACCGCACACGTGACCTTTGTCATCTTGGATGCTAACTTGCCACGGAAATTCGTTAAGAAATGCTTCATCCCCACGAATTATGCGACCAAGCTCTTCCTCCTCAAAGACAGCACCACTCGTCGCATGTCGAAGTTTTTCTGGTCCAACGGTGGTGGTTTCCTCCTTCTTATTTTTGCAAAGGGTGCTATTTCCTCCATTATTAGACGAATTCGTTATTGCCTCGTAGGCTTGCTTCAAGTATGCAATGTAAAAAGCATTGTCTACATTTTGCCTCGAGTCAACTTTAGAATTGGCGTAGTATATTTGTTCAGTGTCGTCGAAAACGACGTTTTCAATGTCGAGATCTACACTTGGAACGGAAGTCGTTGTTTCTTCGCCCGATGATTGCTTTTTGGGCGTATCGGGATCCACCATAAATGTTTTTCCACACGAGGGATAGTCTTACAGAAAGTTGTACAATAAGTATGAATTACAAGCAAACTTTTTTAAACGAACATCGCAATCTTAAAACTTTAAATAGGCATTATGTACCTTTGACTCGTGGCGGTGCTCCACATTTGATCTGACTCACACGAATGTTATCTGAAATTTATAAAAAAAATCTTCAAGCGTCCTTAGTGTATGTACTATAATTTCCAGCAATAATAGAAATCAGATGTATAAAATCTATCTATATATGTAATAAATAAAAATCCGACCCATGCAGTATGAGCTAGTTGGTGTATACCAATTTTATGTAGTATATTTATATGTGTATGTCGCAAAGACTTACATTTGAACATTTCTTGGGAACTTTGAATTATTGAGAGAAGTGTGAGAGGAAGCTTGTGTCGGGCATCGGTTGGAACAATGGCTAAATAACACAATTCCAGTTACAATTTAGTTGACGTAAATATTTAAGTATGCATAAGTATGGATAAGTAAAACTATTTGGCGTACTAGAATAGCCAGTTAATTCTCCGCATCTTGGAAATGTTGCACCCTCCTCAGAATTCATGACGAGTAGCTGATCGACATTACACAATCCACGGTCCAACGGAATTGTAGTGTTGAACTCGATAAATTCTAATCTGTGAGTTATTTATATTACTTAACTACCGAGGGTAACGCATTATTAAGCATAAGTCAAGCTTTCTAACTTTACGGCACAAATCCCAGACTTGATAAGCACGTCATATTGGCAAATAAGATTTCCAACCATTGGTCCTGGATATCCAGGAGATTTAAAGAATGAGACCACTTCACTGGTTACATGATTGCATGAATTTGCAACTACAGAAATAAATGCATACATGTAAAATGTTTCAAATCTGACTATGTACGAATTATCTGCATTAAGACTAATCTGAAAAATCCAGTAAATACTCACACTGGCAGCACACCGAGTTGGCACCACCACGAGGACATATTTGCGACGAAGTACCACCTAAAGATGCACATTGCGAGGCATGAAGGCAAACTCCAGTGCAGCGCGTTTGTCTTGTGTCGTCATTATTCCGAGGTCGAGGCCCATCTTCAAATATATTGGGACCATAGTTATCAAACGCATCCCCATTATAATGCCTTCCACTGGGACTTGCACCTGCACGATTTCTGTAAGACCCAGAATAGTCGACTTCTCCTGAAATATGTATAAGATGATCATGATCATGAAAAACTGAAGTAAAAAAAATGTATTCATTGACTTATAAATACCTGGAAATATAATATTGGGTTCTGGTTGAGGGGGAGGTTGTGGTATTATTAACTGTGGTGATCCAGGTGTGTCATAACTCTGCCCGTAGTTAGACCAAACATTTTGTCGCATGCCATTGCAAAACCTGAGCGATCTTTTAAAACAGTGTGAATTTGACCAAACGTGAGGTTTATGGTTAGCAAAATTTAATTAAAACTTACCCAGAAATTATTATTAGGAGAAAAGTGAATCCGTACAAATCCTTCATTACCTCCTAAATTCTCAAGAGAGCCTATTAAATAAATATGCCATGCAGAAGGGAAATTATGTATATGTATTAATTAGCAGTAAGAATTGTAAATCGCTGTTTTGAAGTGAAAAGATCCATTACCGATAGTTCACAGGTTTTGTGTAAAACTGCACTTGAACTTTACGACATTTATTAGGAAGTTCATTCTCATCTCATCTCATCGTTGCTGAAATTGCAGTAAATATGTGCAAGTAACTGTTTACTTTGTTTGGCTATACTGCCAAACAAAAATAAAGAACGGGGGTCACTTATGCAAATAATTAATATCAACTCCCTGCTTTGCAACTGGTTTGATGGTAATTTTATTCTGGTTGTTGGAGTAAGCAAGATGAATTTATAAAAATGTTCAATTGAGTAATGGCAGAAAGAAGCGTTTACACAGAGGTGAACCATTATTACTGCATTTCAATTTTGCAATGCATAAAGTCCGACTCAACTTTCCACTATAATTTTCTTGTATGGCTTGTAAGATATTGTTGTATCCAGGTACATTTTTCGATATTAATCGACCTAGAAGCTATATACATCTACATATGTACTGTCACAATTGTTGTGTAATAAAACATGAAAACATGTCTTTGTTAAGAAGTGCATTCCATCACAATTAGTTTGTCCATGACGTGGGCGGTGGGTTATTGATTTCTTCTTTGGAAATAGACGGAGGACAAATTGGACACCTTGACTGAAATATTTATGAAGAGGAAGCCAGGTCGGCACGCAACTTTGTAAGGATGACAGACAGCAGCGTTTGATTGGTAAATTTGATTAGATATGTGTGTTATTATGCTTTCAAAATATTCTATTTCTCAAAAATTGTGGGTTTGAACTATATAATTTCTTTATGAAATAAACCTTTGCATTTGAATCTATTTTTATTATTCTTATGGTTCCATCACTTGAAAAATCCACCCTTTTTCTCCCCCACAAGCACCGTCCGATAACAAATTGGTAGAATTATTTTTGACGTCAGATTTTTTGGAGAATTTTATCCGCTGGCCTAACGTTGCCTTTGTCCCTTGAAAAAACTCCAAGGTTTTTGGCTTTATGATGTACCCACTCCATTCTGATGGCATTTCTTGTTTATGAAATTGTTTCGGATTTTGGTTATACATGTCAAGTAAAGGTTGGAGGCGTTCCGACAAATTTTGTTTCTTATCATTTTTCTGGGACTGAAGGATAAGCCGTATTTTTGAGGTGGGCGTTTCCAACTTGAATAATTCTTTTGTTTCGTTCACAGGGATTTTTTCAGTAATTCCGTGAACGGTGATCTGTTAATAAAACAATATTATTTTATATACAGTATTATATTTTGTAAGTTGAAAAAAATGTGTTCAAATAATTTACATAACGCATCCCAAATGTTTCTTCAGATTTTTTAAAGGTCCAAACAACCGTGAATGAAATATTATTTTGGGCCTGGAAACATACATAATGCTTTCAAGTTGACGGGTTAAAATTATAATAAGTAATCAATAGGATTGTTATCATAACTTATTAATTGGTATTCATGCTCTACACTTGTGTACTTACGAGATTTTTGGTGACTGGTGTTGTAACATAAAATTTGAATCCGGTATCGCTAATATCTCGCAGCATTACAATTTGTGTGGAAGGTCCATCTCTGCAAATTAGGAATAATAATGAATTCGTTGAATATGTGACATAAAAATATATACGTATTTTCATAAAACATTCTTCTTCATGCTTACTCTCCCAATGTTGCGATCGTCACGACATCAGGTCTGGGGTTCAAAGTTGACAAGGTGTTTGCTTCGTCTCTCCACATTTTGAATAGCTTGAGAGGGTCTTTGGTCTGTGTTAAATTTATAGCTTCAATTCCCAGCGATAATTTGTAGTGTCTCATCTGCTTAGGGATACCATAAATTTAGCTAATTTTGAATTATTCACAAAAAAGTGAAACTTACAATAAAGGAATTTGTCCATTTCGGGGCTTGGATAACAATTATGGAACCAACAAGTAAAGTCATAAGTTTGTAGAAATTAAATCGGTCCATCTTCTAAAATTTGGAGTAAGTAAACTTTACAGAGACATGTAAGTGTTGATTGGAGATTGCGAATGTGAAAATGTGATAAGTTTTGCATACAATTTTCCATTATGCCCAAAACTTCGTGTCCATCAATGGAACGCTAAGTATTTCTTTTTCCTTATAAAATACAATTGATTACTTGTCATGTGTATTATTCCATTAATTAACCAATACTCCAGAAGTCCGGCACATACATATTTAGATTAAGTTTACATTACACTGCCTTGAAAACATGGAAAAAGTTTTGTCTAGAGTTCGCGTGGACCAATCCATGCACAACAGAAAAACAAACTAAACTAATAACTATCTATTTACCTAATAATATCAAGAACAGTTTAACCATTTTATTGTCTAAAATATGGATTATAATTAATACAAGAAACATCACTTCCTACATGATTTTGATTGCTACATATGAAAAGCAAATGCATACATTTTTATTTTATGTAACTTACACAAGTTGAATGCCAGGTGACAAATGAACTGAGACAATAATTTTAAATGCTACATATGTATTAAAATTTATTTCACGGATGGCTATACCTCGCAATGGCACAATTGACCATATATATTTATTTGTCAATGTCTTAGGATTAGAACAAGAGGAAATCTTTACTCAAGCACACCACATTCTGTCCCCAGAAAGGCACCACCCGTTGCCTCGATATCCATGGGCTTTGCAGCATTCCCGAATCACTTCTTCAAAACCAGGAGGTGAGATGTTTGCAGGTTTTCTGCATATTTCATCGCAAGGCGGTACCAATGCGGCTAAATACATTAAACGGAGTTTAGTTGATCGTGAAATTACTATAATAAATCGATTGTTAAATAAGTTAAGTTATCACCAAAAGTCAGGGTAAACATCACTGTGAGGAAAATAAAAACTCCAAAAGCCCCCTTCATAACGTTCAACTGTTCAACACAAGATCCGAACTCAAAATTTGATTGCTTGTATCAGCAAATACTTCTAGAGCGTGGTATTCGTCAACTGTCCACGTCAAGCGTGTGTATGTATAGTGACCAGAGGATGCCAAGTATTGTCAAGCCAAATATAATTTGCATAACTTCTTCTTCCAAGGAATTAGCTGTGATAGGAAGCCAGCAAGAGTGTGATAATATGTAGATTCCATTACTTGGATCATGTACCATACTCCACCAAAAAATGATCGCATATGCAATGCAAATTGAATAATTTACAAACAAGTAACAATTTCGAATAATAATTTCAATTTATTTCAAATTTTTAAATTAATCAACTTAAGAATTTCATTATTATTGGCGGGTATAAAGAGATGTTTAGCGGACACACCACGACCTGTCACCAGCCCTGCACCACCCATTGCTTGGGTACCCGTGAGCTCTGCAGCATTCTCGAATTGCTTCATTATGGTTGTTGCCCGGTCTTCGGCAAACTTCATCGCACGGCCCAATGTGGTTGGCTAGACAGAAATTCATACAATTTTAATGAAGATTATGCCTAAAACTAAAAATATAATCCACCCCTTGTGTTTCTTACCGTAGGCCACGGCGAACATCGCCACGAGGAAAAGAGCAATTACGAAAGTTCCCTTCATTTTGTTTCTGGATTAAAAACTCAGAGTTTGCAAGTCTTATTGTTCTTCTTATGTAGGAGATGTGATACTTGATATTTGAATATTGTCAACCCTTGCTTTTTATACATGCTCAGATTTGCGTAAAATTCTTGGAAATGCAGCTAATTGCGTCTTTTTCCAAGAAATTGAATAAGGTTAAATACTTTGTTAGAATGGCATAAAAATTTCATATTGATTTGATGGGATATGCATGTGTTTGCATGCATCTGCCTATTTATACAGGTAAATAGAATCTGTACGTGATCTTCGGCACAGTTCTTGCAATAATATTATGTCAAGGGGAGTGACGTAAACAAAGTAATTTAATTACAGAATTGTGGTAGGTAAAGAAGACCTGTTTGTTATTAAAATCATCCATTTCAGGCTACAGTGATACATATGTAAATGCAAACGTGTGCATGTATACTTATGCATGTATGTACATATGTGTATGCAGTTTGAGATGCGACAATGTACCTAAACATATGCATTGTTATGTTCATAGAACTTGCTATTTAGTATACAGTGCATTTGCATTTTCCTAGAAAATACGTTAGTAAAAATGTATCTGGAAATTGAGGAGTTCTGAGAATGTCGCAAAATTGCCTAAAAATAATAGTCCGTCCGTATTGAGAATGCATCAACTTGGGGCTGCATGAGGATACATAAATATTTCACTATTTTAACCTCCATAAAATCAATACTTGAGGGTGCTCGAAGTCGGTGTAGAATGCAGTTCGGAGAGTTAATTATACTGCTATGCGAAATGAGAGTTAATTTTATATGGACTTGTAACTTATTAAAGCGCACCAGGGCCTAGCTGAATTTTGCTTTCTTCTCATGCCATATATGAAGAAGAATATTATACTACTTATAGCGTTAATATTCCGAAATCGGGTATGCTCGCCTGACCCGGGTGAGTTTTACTACCACTTTTACCACCAGCTTCATTTCTTTGTCCTTGGCATTATTCGGTCTAACTGAGGGCTAGGAATTTGAGCACCGTATATCGACCATCACATTCCGATTTCTATATTTGTTCATGAAACTGCATGCGCCGAAATAATTTATTTTTTCCGTTTCTCATTTAGCAGAATTATTATTTTTACAAGAGTCTTTTAACCACTTTCAACATACTTTCGTATGTAATTATTATTTTCATCAGGACAATAACATTTTTTTAGCTAGATAAATGACCGAAGTGCAATTCGAACACAACGGAAGCTTCAACGATTGGCGTTTTCGGTACATTGTACTTCCCAATAAAGTAAAAGCCCTTCTGGTGAGTGGAGTTTCGAATAGCTTCCCCAGAGTTGGGATCACGGTGGTAAATGCCGGTATAAATATACATTTATGCACCAATTACGGTTTAAATTAAGCTTAAGGAAATTATAGATTAATATATTATGCATATGAATTCAGGTACTTTGAGCCAAGCTACAGGGTCATTCCCTCAGCTGTCACGCCTTGTCGCGCTCGCCTTGGACCATGAGGACATCGCCTTCCCTGAGAAATCTCAACTTCGCCAAGCCTTCGAGAAAAGGGATGGATGTTCGGAAACTAAAACACAGCCTGATTTTTCTTCTTTCCATTCCGTCGTCCGCGACACGGACACCAATCTTCGCGTAGCTTTATCATGGATGTCGAGCATGTTAAACGAACCATCATTTCCAGTTGAAAAGTTGACTGAAACTTGGAAAGAAATAAATGAATCGTTAGTCTCCGAGTTGGCTTATGATGAAGGGAAAAGGGTCGACTTTCTCCAAGAGTATACGACAAATCCGAATAACTTCCCTAAATATGGGGCAGATGGTAGGTTCAGGTAGAATAGAAATTTCATAATTTTCTTTCTTCATTATTGAAAATTCCAGGGAAAGAATGCAGCCCGCCTTTTAGTGAAGCTCAATTACGAGATGAGGTTGTGTCCTATTTCGAAACGCATTACATTCCATCATCCATGTATGCAATCGTACAGGGCTCACAGTCTTTAGAAGAACTACAGAAAATGGTGGAAGAAACTTTAGGTGAAATACAGAACAAAAATGCTGAACCTGATATTTCTCTCAGTTCGAAGCATCTCTACGGCCCATTGCAATGTGGAACGATGATGGTACAAAGAATGGTCCCCATCGATGATGATGAGGATAACACCTTTATTTTGAAATTTCACGTCCCCACATCGGAAATGGAGACAACTGTTGCGTACGCTGTAAATGAATTTTGAAATTTGTCCATCATAAATATTTCAATATAATAAATTCTATGTAAAATACTTGTGTATTAAATCAGGTTGGAACCTATATAAATCGAATGCTGGAAAGAGATAGATCGCTGGTGAAAATACTAAAAGAAAATAATGAATGGGTTCGCTCCACCAAGAAAAAATATTCCACCGATGTCACTTTTCCGTCAAGTGGATGCCTTTGTCTGGAGTTCAAAATGAAGTTGACGGAAACAGGAATGCAAAATGTGGATGGGATTGTAGGACACATTATAGCAGTAATATTTTATTTAATCAAGATATGCATGCGCAACGATGTATGATTGAAGACCAGTCGTCTATGTATCTGTAATGACTTCAAATTTGTTGTCGCATTATTTCAGTACATTCGTTTCTTGGAAGCGAAAGGATTTCAAGACTGGTTTTGGGAGGAAACAAAAATACAAAAGATTTTTTACAGGCGGATGTTTAACAATTATATCATTGATCACGATTGGGCTGAAACTGCGTTGAAATTGTTGGCTACGACAAATTCTTCAGAATACGCGATAAAATCAATTTACGGGACACATCTCATTGACAAATTTGATGAAAACGAATTACTTGGAGTGTTAGGAGGATTAGCTGCTAAAAATGCGAGGTAATATGCATATAAGCACTATAAGTCTTTAGCTAAAACTACAAATGTGGATCGTAAATTGATTTTGCTGGTCTTTCTCTAGAATAATTCTACTTTCCAAATCATTTGACGAGGTTGTAACCCATAATGTTCAAGGCATAGAATATCATGAGGAAGAAATAAGTGGCGAAGTTATCGAGGTAAATTACCAGCATGATTTATCACAACATTTATATTCAAACAATTTTGGAAATTGCAACCCTTTATACACAATCAGAATTTATCACAAATTATGCTTCTGATACATTTTAGCAAATACCACACCAACTTATTCATCAAGTTGATCCATTTTCTTGCAGATATGGAATTCTATTCAAGACGGATCACTTGATCTTGGACTAGAGTTCGAGATGCCTTCCCCATCAATGCTGATACCATCGCCGCAGGAAATCCGCCAGCAACCAATCGATGAGAATCAGGTAACTTTGAACTACTTTAATTGTTTTATCACGGACCAATTGATCAAATACATAACGAATTATTAACTTATAGAACAACGAAGGGGCAAAACAAATCCAAACTAATATGGAGTTTAGTCGCATCTGGTTCCTGCAGAATAACAACTTGGATTTACCTCAAGTCTATTTTCGAGTAGAGCTTTCCAGGTACATACCAAAGGGAGGGCGGCCTGGTGGATACGAATTTGACCTTGAATAACCCCGGAACGGTTTGTCGTAGCGGGTCAAAATTTTGAACAGACGAGCATGTTATCCTCAGATAGTTGTGTGCAAAATTTCAGCCTTCTACTTTGAAAAATGCCTGCCCCACAGCCCCCAGAAGCTGAGACAGTCATTTCAAATAGTTCCAGAAAAAATCTCGCCCGTGTTTGCAAAAAATTTTATTTGAATATTCTGTTGAGGAATAGAAGTGAGCTATTGGTGACAATTGACGAAGAACTATTTTCCCTACAAGTTACTAATTGGGTTCGAAGAGCTTACTACACGACAAATGCCGAAAAAAAATTCAAGAAATTTGGTGCTTTTCAGTGAGGAGAACTTTTTTAAACAGTTGATGGTCGTGGGTGCAATGTCCTGTCGTGGTGTCCTCCCACTTATCAAAGTCCCCCAAAAAGTGAAGGAATCTTCGAAGTATTATGTGGACCTTGTACTGAAACCACTTTTAGAATACAATTTTCCTAATTTGCATGGTAAAATAATAATTAAGGTGATTTTTCATCATGACGGAGCGTCCTCCCAGACGACAAAGTTGACCCAAGATTATGCAAATGACCTTGAACCTAGATTGGGGATAAAAATCATTTGGAATAGTGAAATACCTATACAATCCCCTGATATAAGTCAAATCGACTTGTTTGAGTTCGGATAGATGAAAAGAAAATCTTTCTGTGGGGACCGAATTTTTTAGACGGAGTTTGGAAAAAGTTGAAACGAGTGTCTCAACTTCTGGGGGCTGTGGGGGAGGCATTTTTGAAAGTAGAGAGTTGAATTTTTGCACACAACTATCTGAGGATAACATGCTCTTCTGTTCAAAATTTTGACCCGCTACGACAAACCGTTCCGGGGTTATTCAAGGCCAAATTCGTATCCACCAGGCTGCCCTCCCTTTAGTACATATCTCAGTGCTCAAAATTTACAAAACACACACCCATTTTTTGCACAGAAGCCACATTTTATAAAATCTTTTTCACCCAGTCCCACAGTTACCAGAGATCCTAAATCAATCCTGCTCAACAATATGTACTGGTTTCTGTTGGATGATCACTGTGTTAGAAGTTACGGTCGGGAGTCTGGGTTGTATCCCCAATTAGAAGAAACATCTTCCGGACAAGCGGTCTATGTCGACTGGTTTACGGCCACAATTGGTCAAGCAATTACTGACTTGATAAAACTGATTGATTCCTTCGTACCGGACGAGAAAAGTTTCAAATCCATCCGTTTCTCTAGAATAGCACATCAGAAAAATATTCTGCAAAGTGATGGGGCTAGTTATTTTGGAAGATCGGGTGAAATATTGCTTACGCCGTTGATTACACCGAGGGATAACCTTGCCATACTTAAAGGTATGTAGATATGTATGTACATACCAACATTATCATTAGAAATTAATTAAGGGCTTTGGGCATTAATTTAACTGAATATCACAGAAATAACTTACGCCGATATGGTCAACTTTGTCAAGCAATTTCACGAAACAATTATTTTAAATTGGTTGGTATATGGAAAGATTGCATCGGAGGTATTGAACGTTTGAACATTGGAACTGAAATATTACATATCTACTTAAGGTCTTATGAAGTGGTGATAATTTGTAGGAAGTCATAAAAATTGTGGAAGGATGCGAAAAAATATTTACAAGCAAGAGAACCAAAGTAGCAGATGGAGAAGAAATTACCAGGAAGCGACAAATCCAAATTCCTCAAGGTGTGTGCACATGTTATTATTATTTTAAAACGAATTTTGAACCTAAACATGCATATTTTGCATATTTAGGCACTAAATGGGCCCACACATACGAAACAGATACTGATGCTGCTGTGTGCACGACGATTTACTTTCAAAATGTTCAGTTTGATCCAAAGTCTAATGTATTGGTCCAATTTCTTTCTCATTTGTTGAATATGGAGGCGATTGAAATCCTACAAAGTTTGACGGGCATGGATAGCGTGGAGGCAAGCACGGGTACAGTGCATTGGCATTGAATTTTTAAAATAAGCAAATCATTGTTCATTGCTAAATTTCATAATTTTAGAACAACTTTACTCGCCTGATGCCAGGAAAAACTTGTACATCTACGTGGACAGTGCCGACGAAAGTCCAGATGTTGAGTCAAGGATTGACAAAATGTTGCTTCAATTTCATGTATGCCTGTTATGTACGACTAGTTAAATTTATGTGTATGAAGATGGGAAAAATTTCCAAAATTTGTATTTTTTGTTCAGAAAATTCTTGAATCAATGGACGAACTAGAATTTATAGGAAAGAGAAATGCATTTCTTGGACGGTTGTGGAATCCTCTTCATCATGATAAATTGGTGAATCAGTGGTTCGAAGAAATTAAAACGGGGTCGTTGTGCAACTTTTCTCGGTGTGAAGAATATGCTAAAGCTTTAGAAACTGTGGAACTCGCAGAATTTGTAACGTTTGTTGAGGTAAATATATAGCGAATCAAAAATTAGAATTTTTTAAATTCGTTTTAATTTAATAAATGATCGAAATATCCCTGAAGGAATTTGTTGGAATTACTCCTGGAAAAATGAGGCGATTTACGTTGATGGTTGGGAAAGGTCCGGATACCTCCAAGTTGGAAGAAAGTCGACGCGTTGAAATTGGTTCAGAAAATGTGGTGAGCACTGAGCATGCTGAAACAGTCTTTATTGTTTCCTAAATTCCGTTTTAATTCCAGGAAGCTATAATTGACCTTAATGAATGGATTAATGGATCGAATTTAGTGCCAGTAGAATCCAATGAGTAAAAAAAGACAAACAATGAAACAGAATCTGACTAATTTTTCAAGCAAATATTCATACTGTAGTGTCTCAAGAAAGAGCAATTTTTAATTCCATTTAAAAAAATCTTATACAATTTGATTTCAGTAATATTCAGTGTCATGAACGCTTCCGCAAAGCGCTTACCTTGTTTCTTTTACCTTTGGCGTAGATTAATATTGATGATAATAATATATACATTACGGAAAATGTGTAATGATTGTCATTCCCACCCAGCTTAATTATTTCATGCAATAAATGTGATTAAAGATGTCTAAAATTATTACCCAATTTTGCAATTATTTAAGTTTTAGCTTGGATTGACCTTCAAATCGTCAACAACTTTACTCTGACTTGGTTTTCAGACTTGCACTCACTTCATCTTATTTATTTATTTATTTAGATTAATCTAATCTATGTACATATTAACTGATTCATCAGTTAACGATTCATGAATCGTGATCGTGTATTGAATGAATGAGACCATAGTTAATCTTCAGCTGGCTGTCAGTCAACTCCTGCTTGATTTATTGATTTCAATTGGTTTTCAGTCTCGAACGAAGTTTTCTGATATAAAACAAATAGCTACTTTATTCTCTGAGTGATTTGTTGGAAAATATTTAGCAAATTCTTTCAGCATAAAAGTCATGGATTCCTACTACTTGGGTGTGGATGTTGGAACTGGTAGCGTTCGTGTCGGTGTTTTCAATGCAAATGGAAAACTTTTATATTCCAATTCAAAGGATATAAAAATTAACAATCCTTCCCCTGGATATTACGAACAGTCGAGTGAAGACATTTGGAGTGGAGTAGTCCAACTTATTAAGGTTTGCGTAATTTTAAATAAAAAATATGTATAAGTTCAATATGCTTGTTAAAACTGAAAAACTTTTGTAATTTTCAAGGAAGTGGTAACGTCTAGGATTGTCGAGAAGGAACGAATTCGTGGTATCGCATTTTGTGCGACCTGTTCTCTCGTCGCTGTTGGGCCGTCAAACGGGGTCGAAAAAATCTCAATCAGTGAGAATGGAGACGAGGAGTGGAATATTATCATGTGGCTTGACCACAGGGCCGGAGACGAAGCCAATTTTATCAATGAAAAAGGTCATCGTGTCCTGGATTTTGTAGGTGGGAAAATCTCGCTAGAAATGCAAACCCCAAAAATACTCTGGCTAAAGAGACATCTGCCTCAATCGTATGAAAGGACGGATCAATTTTTTGACCTTCCGGACTATTTGAGATGGAGAGCGACCGGAAGTTTAAAGGTTGCTGTTTACATTCTGCATATGTACGGATTTGAAATTACTACGCACTTTCCATATTTTTATGCAGAGATCAATTTGCTCGGTTGTCTGTAAATGGACTGCAGTGAACACACCAAAAGACGGGTGTGCTTGGGATTCTACGTTCTTTAAGTCTGTCGGACTTGAAGACGCCCTTCTGAAGATTGGATCGAATTTTTCGTATCCGGGGGATTGTGACCCGTTGGGAGCAGAAGCAGCAAAGGAAATGGGTTTAGAAGGGATCGATGTCAACGTTGGTTATTCGCAGATTGATGCGCACTCTGGGGTTTTGGGGATGATGGGTTGCACAGTGGTTGGAGAAGAGGTATGAACATAGGTTAGAATTGTGAGAATGGTTGGGCAACTATTTTGCAATTGAAAAATATTATAATTAGAACTTAATTACTTAGAGAAACGAATTGGATGTCACGAAACGACTAGCACTAATTTGTGGCACCTCAAATTGTCACATGGCGTTGAGTCGGGAGGCATGCTTAGTCCCAGGAGTTTGGGGGCCCTACTATGGCGTCATTCTGCCCGATTTTAATTTAAACGAGGGAGGTCAGAGTGCTGCTGGAAAGTTGTTGGATCATATCGTTTCCTGCCATCCGGCATATTCAAGAATGATGAAGGAATACAAGAACCACGGGTATTGTATATATGTATACGTATGCCTGGTTAATTCGCCGTTTATTTATTATGTGCTGTACTTTTTCTTAGAAAGGTGCTGGTTGGTCTGGAATCATTTCTAACGTTGGGAGAATCTAAAGCAACAACTGAGCTGACAAAAGAGCTTCATATATATCCAGATTTTCATGGAAATAGGTTAGTTAGAACTAGGGACCGTCCTTTACGACAGGTCCCCATTCAATGAAACTCCGATGAGATATGCTGACACAGGTCTCCACTTGCTGACCCCACTTTAAAGGGAATGATGTCTGGGCTGACACTTTCTGACTCGGAGGAAGACCTTGCAATCCTTTATCTTGCAACGATACAAGCACTGGCTGTGAGAAATATTTATGCAAAAATGCAGATTGCTGATAATAATTGCATATACTTTTGGGTTTTTGCCATTTATCTGTACATCAATCTTGCAGTATGGCAGTCTCCACATTATGCGTGAACTAGAGAAAAACGGGCACACATTTGACTCTGTTGTAATTTGCGGAGGTCTGACAAAGTCACGACTGTTTCTCCAAAGCCATGCAGACATTCTTCAACTCCCTGTTTTGGTGCCACATTGCGCTGAACCCGTACTTCTGGGAGCTGCAATCTCAGCAGCGGCCGCAACACCATCCAAGACTTTGGATCTTACCAGAGTTGTCAGCATGTCGGGAGGTGCAGAGTTAATTTCTCCAAATCGGAATGTGTTTGCGTGAGATTTTAAATCTATGATCTAAACTATTAAATACTCATATGTACGGATTTATATTTTGCTTGTGACAAATGTGGCAAATATTGCAGATATCACGAGAAGAAATTTGCCGTTTTTCTGGAGATGTACAAGGATCAAACCAAATACCGAGAGTTAATGAAGATTTAGCACAAATCCTTGGTTGCATTGATTATTCCACGTTCAATAATTTTATTGCTTTGTAAGTAAATCATGCAATAAATTGAAATACACAGACATAAAACATACAGGATTACATACAAAACCTTTAAATTAAAACGAGCAAACTAAAAAATATTACGGTAGAAGCACTAATTACAATATCACGTATTTTGATAAAAATCATATAATGATAGTCGCTTTGTTTCGCTTTTAACGGACGAACGTGGTGGTGAATTGCTGGATTCTATGGGTATTGGTGTCTTATTAACAAATTTAAAGGTAGGAGTTTCTTTTGTAGAGCCAACTTCTCGTCTAGTGTTGAGTGGTTCAACTTCATGGCCATTAGTCGTGGTCTGGTTATCTTCATCATCTGGCGCATGATATATTGGTGATGTGGATGTGGAATATATATTTGGCTGTTGTGATTGCTGCGAATTGTCGTCGGACTGAAGATATTCAATTATTTCAGTCTCTGATAAGATTTTATTTTTGGGTAACTTTGAGATTTCTTCCCTTCTTGCAGATTTGGAAAATATAGGTCTCCTTGATTGGAGCGTGGAATCTTCACTATCCATCTCTAAGGGTGTCACATACTCCTCAGTCTCGTCGTTGTAAAATGGATTTCTTGATGTTGATGCTGAAGAATCCCTCGTATAGAAATGAGTAATAGGAACTTCTTTCAGTTTACCAATTTTATTAGCTTTCAAGCTACCACCAGGTTTATAATCCTCAGGGATTTGTACGGAATCGTTATTTGCAAATCGAACAAAGTATTCACACAAATCCCACTTTTGCTTGGACGTGGCACAGAACAGGCTGTTGTACTGACACAGAAGTTTCCAAACTTGTTCTGTATTAACAAGGAAAACTGTTTTGAAAACTGGAAATTTTTATAACAAAAACACGAAAAGCTATTGTTCTTACGGATATTGCAGTTCCTAATAGTTTCATACATTTCTTCGATTTCTTTTTGAATTTTAAGATCTCCAAACGTAAAAAATACGACGTCTCTGCCGGCATGAGATGCAGCCAAAAGTTGAAGAATAGCTTTCAACTGAGGATTGCCCCGGAATGCTCCGCAGCCCCACTTACCTGTAGCTACAGGGACCGAGGTAACAGAAGTAGGAGATGAAAATCCAATATATGCCTAAAATTTTTATACAGATAATAAAATATAACTTATTCACATTCTCTATAAAACGTGACAAATTTATTCCCACCTTATTCAGTTCTCGAGATAAATACTTAGGCTGAAATTGTGTCGCTGGTCTCGTTATGTATAAAGCATCAATTGCCACAAATTGGGCGCATCTACGACCCTTCGCATCTATGGGAGTACTGTCGGTGAAATCGCCCTCGAATTGAAAACTTGAAGAATATCCCGAATACTTTGAGAATCTCTCACAACCTGTAACCAAATATTATTCAATTAGATATGTAGATACTCACATAGAATGAGTAGCATTAATTTATAGCGCTAACCTGTTACTAATAAAGCTTCAGAGGATGTCAACGTTTCTGTGAACAGCCGAGAAATGATTAGTTCTGGATAGATAGAGAACAATATTTCTTCTTGTACGGCTCCTCGACCCATAAATCCACCTCCTAGGAATCTAGATCATACAAACGTCAAAAATGTCATACAGATTGCACAATAAATAATATATCTATACATAATTTTAAACCAACTTGTTGGCAAAGTCCACTTGAAGCATCCCTGCACCATCGTCTTCAATCGTACCATCCAAAAGAGGAACAATCTTGGTCAAAGGCTTTTGAAGTGTATCCCACTTGGGTGCAACAGAATGTCGAAGTGATCTACGAGTGAACGTTACCACACCCATCGGCACTAATAAGAAATACGCGTTGTACAAATAGTTCAAAGATTTTTAAAAATTTAATACTCACTCTTATCTGAAATTTTTTCAAAATAGTGCAATACACAAAGGAGCTTGTTTGTTTTCATAGCTAATGTTGAGTTATCGTCATCATCTTCTTGACATTGAAAAAGTCTGAAATCAATTAATCAATCAATTTTATGATATACGTAGTAATTTGTCTATTTTTTTATTATTAAAAAAATTACTCGAGGAAATTAATACTCGGATAGTGTGCCTCGTCGTCACCAAACCGCTTTGGAAAAGTGCAAAAGAATGCGTTTGCTAGCAAGCAGGCGATTTGTTTTTGACTCAGCGATATACTTTGATTCTTGTGTTGCTTTAATAAAGGCAAGGGACAGGTAACTATGTTTTCCAAATCCAGGCACAATGTCTGAATACAGGGAAGCACTTCGGCGAAAAATTTGTCTCGTTGATTTCTAGTCATCACCTAAACAATATTTGAACCTAAATAAACAAACTTATATTGATATCAAACAATATCAACAATCACTTACAGTTTCCACGCAGTGTTTCAAAGTTTTCAATTCCGACCTAAAAGTAATGTATTGTCTGAGAGTATTTTCAAAATCAGAGCAGCTCAAAATCGGGAAGTTAATCGCTTTCTCAATCCTACTCCAAACCAAAACACGCTCCTCTCTAAAACGAGATCGGTCCTGATTCCATAAATAATCAGTTAAATTAGCTACTTAGCTATTTGTACTACAATTATTGCATTGCTCACATCATCGCCACCCGTATTCGTCTGACTGGCATCAACTTGTCTCCGGACTTTAACTATTCTCGTATTCTGCTTAGCACATGGCATGGGAACAAATTCATTCTCCCATTTTGACTGAAAAGTAGGCGGGTTGGGTAGTAGGTCGTCTCCAAGTTTGTAGTCGGTCTGTTAAATTAGGTCAACCGAATCAGTTGCATTAATAACCCAACGATTATAACCACATGTACATGAGATTATTTTGATGATTTACCGGTAAGAAAAATGCCAGAGTGTGGAAACTATTGGACTTGACGTCTGGAAAAATGCGTTCGCTTGGATCTAGTCGTTTCATATTTCTCACATCCTGTAGTCGTTCATCGTCTGTACGTTGCATTTGTGCTCTTTGAGCATTAAGGTTGAAGTCAGCATCAGAAGTTTTAGAAGGAATTGTCCAACCCAACCGATCGTTAGTCTCCATACTGCGGGAGGGTCCAGGTTCAGACACTAACATTGCTTCCTGTTCTAACCTTTCTACGTCATGAAGGAAACTGATGTCATCGTCATCGTCCTCCATTTCAACGTCGATAATAAAATCAGTTGACTGGCGTAAACAAGCATCCTTGGGGTCATCGTCATAATCTTCAATTAGAACTTCATCATTAGTAGCAGTCCCTTCTTTATCATCAGGCTTTGTCCATCCTTTTTGAGAACATGAATCTTCAATAATGTAACATTCTTCATCGTCATCCGATTTCGCTAGTTTCGAAAGGAGGTCAGATTGCGACTCTGTTTGTATCTGAGACATAGGGGGAGATTCTGGAACTATGTTGATTTGTGAGTCGACCTGATCGACATTGAAATTCATGTTGTTATTTGAAATTTCTGTAAGTTCAAAGTTTACGTAAGCATTATTAAGTATAACAATAAATCGTTCATTCTTTTGCATTGAAAATTACATTTGACTGAAATTATGCTAACTTACCATACGAAATAAACGGCAACAAATAGTTCAGCTTGCTGGAATTATTAAGTTCTTTTCAAGTTGGTTAATTAAATAAAATTAAACTTTTAAAGCTGTCTTTTCACTTTTGCTTTGTTTATTTGCGAGAAAGTTGCATAACATGAGCCCGGCGGACTATTTAGAAGCAGCCGGCGAAAAGGTTTGGGGCAGAAAAAAATCGACTTGATTGATGAAAAAATGCTTCTGCTTTTCAATTTTCATGAAAATGCAATGTAAAGAGAATTTCCTGCTCAAATCAAAAAATGAATTTTTATTGGTGATGGACCAGTACAAATTTCTAAACCCTTCCATTTTCGTTAACATTATAAGTTTGTAAATATATATATATGCAATATGCATGATATGACATATTTTCTGCTTTTTAATTTAGGATATGTCCAGAGTCCGGTCAAGTCCAGTGTACTGTGCTGCATTAATTAATTATCTACACTTTTATTAAACTACTGTAAATATGCATGACATGAACTCGTTTTCGGAAGTTACACAGTTCAAGTATGGCTGAAATGGGAATATGAAAAGATCTAAAAAAAGAAGCACAATTGCGCGCATAATTTTTGAGACCATTAGATACATACGACAAAAATGTTAATTATGCTGAATTGGTAGTAGGTGCTGCATGGATTGAATACAATGTACTATATAATACTAAATATACTGCTCCGTGCATAATAATTTATTTCGATTATGTCATGTGGAATAAATTAAATTTACAATATTGCTCTGTATAAATGTATAATATTTTAATATTTAACCATTAATATGTATTTGGCCTGATTTATCTCAAAAGTTGGAAATTTGGACAAGGTGATCGATGAACATACGATAAACGAGATGTACACTCAATCAAAGTCTCGATGATCCAACTACGGATGGATAAGATCTGGGTTTGCTCCTAATCCATACACCTTAACAATGTTATCTTTCATAATCGGATAATGAATCGGTTTTGATATTTCGTCAGCAAACAATAATTTTTGTACAAAATCGGGAATTTTATTACTCACAAATTTAGTAGGACAGAATCCTCCTTGTGTAACGGATTGATAAAAAATGAAGCATTTCGCAGGTTTAATTTTGTTGACGGCTATCGTTGGCTGGTAAGTAAGGCTATATTTTCACTAGAATTATAACATTTTAGTATAATTGACTTCTTGGCATAGTTCTGGAGAAGCTTATTATCGTCGCATCCTCCAAAACCCTGACGATGACTTTTCTTGCACCATTCTTTCGGAAGAAACTCTCCGAAAATATAAAGGTTTGATCCCATCTTGATCACATCACAAATTAGTGAATAACAAATTTCTGAAGAACCAATGTAAATTAGTAGACAAATTTTTGATGCAAAGGTTTTCGAACATCGGACTTTCAAGAAATTGTGACGGTCTTAAAGCCTGGGATCCACGCCCCAGCCGAGGCCATGCTCGAAATCCCAGATACCACGAAAGTTATTGAGATTTGGGGAAAGAAAGAATCGACAGTTGAAGCTCATGTCGACTCGCTCTGCAAATCTAGAAAGCATGTTGATTCTCCAACCCCTAGCTTGTTCCAAAATGAACCAGAAATCGTTAAAATTGTTGACGGTGGGGATCAGGCTAATCGAATTGACGTAGTTTTCATGGGTGACGGTTATCAAGCCACGGAGCGTCAAGCATTTTTTGATGACATTGCGCGTTTGACTGAAGACATGTTTAACGGGGCAACTTTCCGCTCGTATCTTCCCGTCTTCAACATATGGGCGATTTACGTACAAAGGTACAAAAATTTAATGGGTTGCATATGTACCGATGTGAAAATAATGTTAATGAATTTTAGCGTGGACTCTGGAATTGGTTACAATGGAGCAAAAAATACACCATTTCGATTGTATCGCGAAGCCGGACAACTTCGTGGTTAGTGTGAAATCATTATCATCAACGTATTATTTGTGTATTTTATTCAACCTATTTGAACATTTTATTTAAACAGGAATTTTCACTGGAAATGCCGCATACGCGAGAACCGTAAATATACGACAGTCATTATTTCCATACAGATAATTTGTGCTCATAATATTTAGTATGTAACTTCTTGACAGGTCTGCCGTCTTACTGGGACGAGTGGGTGTGACTACCCTTCCTTAATTGGTAACGACGATTACTATGGCGGTCTTGGAGGTGAATTTGTCATCTCTACAAAGTCCAATAGAACTGGTACTGTCGTCCTGAGGTATGAATTAAATGATAACTCCGATAATATCTGGTAAGGTTTTACCGAGAATAAACATTTATTCTAAATAGACACGAAATGGGGCACAATTTTGTCAATGTGGGTGAGGAGTATGATAATGGACAAGTCTACTCTGGGGTTAACGCTGCTCGAACGCTCGCTGCAGTAGGATGGCGGCATTGGTTATCAGAAGGTACAAAATGGACTTTAATTTACTCTTATTAATGCAAGAAAATAATAAAATTATTGTTATTGTTGTATGGCTTAGCCAATCTCTTTATTAAAAATAATATAATCAAGATTGTATGTTTGACAAGGTACGGCTGCCGTTGAGGAGCGTGCCATTTACCGTCTTCTCCAGTACCCATGGGCAGATTTAAGCACAGGGATTCGAAGTTTCACCTTCACTTCGGATGGGGCTTACTCTCGCTGGTATTTGCTCGTATCCGTCTCTGCCGCAGGGGAAGAGGATTCATTAGAGTTTCTTTTGGATGGTGAAGTCCTCCCGTGGGCGACAAGAGGATTTGATGATCGTGAATTTTACGACTGGCGAGGCACCAACGGCTTCACACCAGGGCAGCACACCTTTAGCGTTCGCTCAAAGACGGCCTCCACTAATCCTGACATTCCCAGAATGATTTGTTCCATAACACTGCACGAGTTTGGATCAGAAGCGCAATTCCATTTGGATAACAACTGGGTTTCAGCTTATCCTACTTGGGATGTATCCAGGTAAAGTACGGGGGATTATCAGAATGATTATTTATACATGATTATCTGTGACTATGAAATATTTATGATGATGGATTGTCGCTAATTTTGATTGTACTTTCAATTCAGACAAAAAACATTCCGACCAACAAATGCAGGCTGGTACGACAAGTGTTTAATCATGTTGCTCAGTATTTGAAATATGTATGTGAATATGATGTGAGTAATTAACCCCTCAATTTTTTTCATCTAGCTTGATGCGCAATATGACTTCGAATTCGGTTCGACAAACTTTTATAATTACAGCTTATTTACACACTCATTATGCAACAAATGAATACATATTCTCTTATCTTTACACAGTTTTGTCCAATTTGTAAAGAGGGAATGTGGTATCAATTTTTGACAAGGTGTGTATTTTTAACAATGTACAATTTACCTAATTTATTTCAATGTGCCAATTTGTAACAAGGATTTCCATCATCGATTCCGTTGCTGTGGGTGTCGTACCAAATCCTGACGGATCGAGGCCCGTGATCCTCAACACTCTCAAACTGGGTCAGTTGAGAGAGCCTGGAAATGAGGTGGAGGATGAGCGATTGGAGGTGAGGTGGTTCCGTGCCGGGGTGGAGCAGACCGACCTTCGGGATTTGTTTGAGGTTGATGCACAAGCGGGGTCATGGACGGTTCAGGTAGACTTCAAGACGCCAGATATCAGGAATGATCCACAAGGATTGACCAGCGAGACGGAGGCTTTCAACGTCGCCCCCTGAATTCATTGTCCGAATGCAAATAAATCATACCATTGAACATACATCAAAAATATACAAAGTAGATAATTATAATTTGTGACCGATTAAATCAATTTGAAAATCATGCAGCTCGATTGGTGATTTATATCCACGTATGAGAAACATGAAATAATTCGTGCCTTATTCAATCTAAATTCCACAAACCGAGTATGCTACACATTTACAAACGTACAAACGTATAATCATCCATACATGATAAATAAGTATGTACATTTATCTGTATGTATATTACGTATCAAAGTAGAAAAATCCATAACGTCACTACTTAAAATACATCTGCACCTCTTGACCAGCCACACTTACCGATAGATAAGTAAGCAATCGATTACATTTCTGACGTAATGATCAATCAAAAATAATTGATATACATCAGTCACCTCATTGTAGCACTTGTCATTTGAAGAGCATCAACCAAGAGAGCGTCGACAACCTCAAAAATGGGGGTGTCAAACCTGTCGTGTTTCTTTATTTTATCCACCCTACTTTCAGCTTCTGCTCTATCACAGCCTAAATTTGTTGGCTGTGGTGGGAGCATTCAAGCTAACTCCGGATCGCTGACGTACCCTGAAGCAGGGTCGACTGCTACTCCAGGGGAAATATGCACTTGGATAATTCACCTTCAAACACTGCAAGATTTTAGGTTGACCTTTGACAATTTTAACATCACCTCAGAAAATAACGCAAACTGTTCCACATCAGGAATTAGACTATATTCACTGACCAATTTGGTATTTGGCCCAGAGCCAGAATCTTACACGTATGCAATAAATAAATACCATCCTATGTATAAATTAAGTATTTTTATATGTGGCCTTTGTATAACAATACACATGCATTACAGATTTTGTGACCAATCACCACCAACTAATACCGTTTTCTTGGGACGGTCTGCCATCGCCGTGATATTTTATGCGGGCCCTGATCAATCTGCGAACTCTTCCTCTTCACACTTTCCTGGGAAGGGTCCGCGTTTGACACATCGAGACCCAAACATGTCTCCAACTTTATTCAAAGTTCCTCAGGAACCATTAAATACCCGGTGAATGGCAACTACGAGAATAACTTGATTTCAACCTGGCTCGTGAAAGGGGAGGAGGTTGACGGCTCGGTCGACATTGCATTAAACCGGTTGGAACTTCAGGCTTGCTCAATCGGGGAAGATTCTTGCTTTTGTGACGCTCTTTTTCTTTATGAGATTACACTTTCTCAAAATGGGCCCATTTTATCCTTGACTAGGATTTGTTCAACAATGACTAGCCCAGTTTTACTTCAAGGGGTTAGGTCACAATTTGTCGTAGCTTTGTTTACTGATGGCGATGGAAACAGTACGTCCGGGGGGAGGATAGAGCTGGACTATTATCCAAAATTTGATGACACTACTACTTCAACTACGGCTCCTTCAACTACGGATGATCCATTTCCAGAATGTAATACATAATCAATAAACGAATGAATTCCCATCGTTCGTAAATTTACATTTTAAATCTTATTGTGTCCACAGCTTCGGTTTGTGGAGAAATTCTAGAAGGCCTCAGCGGGCGAATATCCTACAAATTAAATGAAACGTACAGCAGTTGGGAACGATGTTTGTGGATAGTTCGAGTTCGAGAGGCATCTTCAATCACCTTCCGCCTTGTCGAATCTGGTCTTTCTACTGATACAAATGATTATGTCCATATCAGTGGGTTCAGTCATGTTCTTACCGAGTTGGATAACGACCCTAGAATAATGGATAAAATTCAACTGTAACAATTTTACCAATTCATTCCAAATTTTTTCGAAGTGTTAATTTTTATTAAACTCTGAAACAGAAAACATGATGGGACTCCGGTCAGAGTGAATGGATCCGTGGCCATTATTCATTTTGCTACCGACAGTCAATACCACGGAACCGGATTTGTTCTAGAGTTTGAAGGAAATTACGACGATAATCAACCCAGTTCTATCGGAACTAGTGCCATCCTGCAAGGGTCTAATGGGTCATTAACACATCCATATGTTAACAATGAACTGAGCATTTTTCTGTTTGAGCCACCAAATGCAGTCTTTGATCCTGCAATTGCTTACCAATTTTCTATCAATTCCGCCGGTGCGGGCGACGCCATCGAACCTCGATGTAAAGACTCCATCCGATTGTTTTTCTTTGATCTTTATACGACAGGATTTGTATTCGAAGAAATGTATGAAAGTGTTTTTAGAATAATTTTTGCATGATTTGCTTAAATCTAATTGACTTGTGTGTATTGTATTTGTTTTTTAGGGTTTGCAATGAGCAATTAAATCCGGATTATGTTCATGCACGCTCATCAAAGGTAGTAATAATGGTGTTCATATCTGATGGCTCTGTGACGGCGAACGGAATCAACATTGATTGGACATGGTCATAATTAACTCAAATAGGCTTACAAACGTTATATATTTATACATACACATTTACACGGAAAATATGTAAATATCCTGAACCCATTCATCACTAACTATTGAAAAATTCATGTTTATTATGCACTTATCTGCGGTGAGGTCTTTGTTCAAAATGTCGTTATTCTTAAATAATTACATAATTAATAACTCCCTGTATAAATAAAAACTTAAAATTATCCAATTAATGGAGAGTTAAATTTCATCATCGTTATTATAACATATTTACGTATGAACACAACACGTTGTACTTGTTATCAGCAACACCGATGTGATAAGCGTATCAATACCGGAGAATGTATGTATAAGCTCCCTTGAATACAATAAGCTTTTTTTAATTCATCAAACCAAATCAAGGTCTCATTCTTTCAGTCGCATAATCATGGCGAGCAGTTTGTGGAAACAAATTTTCGACAGTTTCATTGCAGGCTGGGTGTGGTTGTTGGGATGGATTTTGGGAACACCCTCCACATATGCCCCCAGCACTATCAAATACGTGCAAAGTGCTTCCAGTGCTCTGACTGGGGAGGAGTTGGAGGCTGTGAAAGATTCTTGGGCGCTAGTAAAAAAGGACGTTAAGACACATTCCATCAATCTCTTCCTTCAGTAAGGTCTATTTGCATGCATATTTTTATTAATAAAAAATATATGCATATTTCTATCTGACTAATGTCTTGTTAATTTATTATAGCTTCTTTTCGCTGTACCCGCAATATCAAAGCAAATTCCCTGCTTTCAGGGACGTCAAGAAAGCTGAACTGACTACGAATAGGGCCTTCAAGGCACACGCTTTCACTGTGGCTACAGCGTTATCCGGATTTGTAGATCATCTTGAGGATTCCGAAGTTTTAGGCGAACTTTTATTCAAAACTGGAGTAAACCACAAGGGAAGAGGATTGGGCTTGAATGATTTTAAAGTAAAGATATAAACTTGTGACAATGATTAATTGTATTCATGTTCATGTTTCGTATTTTAACGATTATGCTTTGCTTATTTATTAGAACCTCAACAATGCCATACTGGATTATTTTTCAATCGCTTTAGGAAAATTATTTACCCCGGTTGTTATGCGTGGCTGGACTAAAACACTAAACGTGGTACTTGGGAAAGTTGGAGAAGGCCTGAACAGTGTAGAAGACTAGTTTAGTTTAGTTAAATTATGAAGAAAGCATATCTTTTCAGTTTTTATTCAACATGTACGTACATTTGTATGCATATCTACACTAGCATTTTTCAAGAGAGACTCGGCGAACAATTGTTTACTTTAAAGAAATATCATTATGTGTATTCATGTCTGACCTAAAAATTAGTGGGTATATAATCTCTTGCTTTTCAATCTATATTATAAGCTGGAAATGTTTGTCTGCAACGGAAGTGAAAGTAATTTTCCGAAACGGAAGTCGAAACAGTCATTTCCAGCTAATTACATATGTAAATACCATAAAAAATTAATTATGTGGAATTATGAACAATCCCACCCAAATTCCATGATAATAAAAATTAAGCCCGGCGGGAGACGGGCTTAAACGCTAGTGTACAATATTACTGTAATAAGATCGAAATCTGAATCGTGTAAAAAGTCAATCGGGATAACATTTTATAATTATTAATGAAGTGTACATATGACGAGGTTGATCATGTATTTCTCGATACCATGGACTACGATCAAGCATGTAATGAACTCGCTGTAATCAATTTGGAATGTTGTGTTGAATGCTTTTAATTATTATTTAACTAAATTCCACGAGTTGGAGGTAATTGGCAATGTCATCCTTTGGTTCTGTCTCGATTCTCGGTGGTAGTGGTTGTAGTGGTTGGCGTAGTTGATGTGGTTGTAGTTGGCGTAGTTGATGTGGTTGTAGTGGTTGGCGTAGTTGATGTGGTTATAGTGGTTGGCGTAGTTGATGTGGTTGTAGTGGTTGGCGTAGTTGATGTGGTTATAGTGGTTGGCGTAGTTGATGTGGTTGTAGTGGTTGGCGTAGTTGATGTGGTTGTAGTTGGTGTAGTCGAAACTGTTGTAGTAGTTGGAGTAGTCGAAGTTGTTGTGGTAGTTGGCGTAGTCGAAACTGTTGTAGTAGTTGGCGTAGTCGAAGTTGTTGTAGTGCTTGGTGTAGTTGAAGTTGTTGTAGTAGTTGGAGTAGTCGAAGTTGTTGTAGTGCTTGGTGTAGTTGAAGTTGTTGTAGTAGTTGGCGTTGTGGTGCAAGGACTAGATGCCATTCCATTTTTTCCTCTTCGCCCATGCCGGTGACGGTGACGACGACGATGCTTTCTTCGTTTCTTTTGTTGCTCATCCCCTTGTCTACAAGAAAATCTTAGATATTAGGCAAATCATTTGGTCATTAGTTGAACTTATTCTTACTCTTTCGAATCTCTCATTTCCATCTGACTGTCGTTTTCTTTATCTTGCTCTTTCATTCTTGGACATAATGGGATGGCTGTGGTTGTAGTTGAAGCTCTTCCACGACCACGTGGTCCGTCACGCATTCTCATCGATCCCTTCTTGTCTGTCTCACCCTTTCTACAATAAAAATTATTATGTACTACAATTTGCGTATCATTTAGTTTTCGCACTCACTCTTCCGAAGAAGACGTTTCGCCAGATTCCTCAGATCCTGACTCATTTGATCTTTTGCGGTCCTTCTTTTGTTTCATGGACTGCGTTCGGAAATTAAATCATGGAAGGATTAACATAACACTAGCGCCCATACCACATGCTATGCATAAGCACTTACCAGTGTCACTGACACTACCGAAAAGATGACCAGAACAACTAGTAAAAATTGAAATCTCATTTTCCCCACGATTAATAGCTTTCGTCAAAGCTAAAAATTATAACGTAACAACCTGCTTCATGCAGCTTAATTCGTTCTGAACCTTTCTTCTGTACTGGAACGGATATAAATACATAAATTTTGGTTCATTTTTTACTTGTTTAAGATTCCTATGAAACATGCAAGGTTGACGAGGTGTACCTGAATTAAATGGCTTAACATATGGATGAATTCTTTTTTGTGCAATTCAATGGAAAACTAATCGTTCACTTTGATTGACCGAATTATGGTTTCTATCTGTGCTATACAGTGAGCGGTATGTGCAAGTCATCTTCTAAGATCCCCACATTGTCTAAACTTGTACGTAACATAAAGATTTATATGGTTTGGACACTGGCCAAATGTGACAGAAAAAGGATTTGAATTACTTTTACATGTCATAACTTTAGTCGTCGTCACAATTGGAGTGTTTCTCCCCACTTGGATCAAACACTCGACTCAACATTGAATAATCAGGCATACTTCTTTGCTATACATACATAAGTATGTCCTCATATTATGCATGTGCCTACTATATGTAGGTGTATATGCTAATCGCCGATATAAGAAACATATAGCAAGATTGTGTCTCAAATGTTTTATTTGCATAAGTCGTCTTTAATTTCGGAACTTGACATTTGGAAATCCAAGAATGCCATGATTTGACATTTATTCAATGGAAATGTTCCTAGAAAGCAATAAAATATCAAAGTCATTTTTCAGAATTAATGCTTACATCAGGATGCTAAATCTGAATCTGAATCTGAATCAGAACGCTAATGCTTAGACAATCTTCTAAATCTAATCTAATAACACGTATAATAATGGCATCCATTGCCCAAAAGAATAAAAGTTTTGCATTCTGGGGATTAATTTGATGTCACTCAAGTTCAATCGAGCTTTTGATATATCTGTAGATATGCAGAAAATCTGGAGTTGGAGACTTCGATAAATTGTCACTTGATTTTTAATGTTTTGTCATGAGTGAAAAAATGTTGTTGGGTAAATAAGAACGTAAGTGAAATTATGCACAGTTTTTGCACAACTAGAAACCTGACCACACTGATTGATTCTAGTGATTCGGGGTTCCATTTTCACGTTTATCATCCTTGAGACTTTATGACTTTTCTAAAATTAGGAACGACTTTAAAACAAACAAAAAATAGTTAATGAATAATTAATTTACTTTGCTCCGTACCCAACCAACCCAACGTAGTGTTTGCCCAACGACGTATTTTCAGCCTTGACAAAAGGTTAAAACGTCAGTGATAATTTGTGAATTCCCGAAGACCGGATTTTCTATATATGTGAAAAAGACGATTAAACTGTTACAAGCTAGGGTGACAAAATTAATGACCCAAGTACAAAAAATCCTTAATTCTTATTACATCCTGTCCATAGGAATCCATTAGAGGTCACACTGGGTTTCATCCAATTATGCGCCGTTCATGACTATTCAACAATTATCTTGTAATTGTAATAAAGATAAAAAGGAATGTGGTGCTTTCTTACTCCCAAATGCGTATGTAATAATATTCATGTATTTCTTAATGAAGGTGTTCATTAAAGGTAAATAATTCTATCTGTATAATCATCGAATACCCGCTACCCTGTCTTCCATGCATGGTCATTTAATTCAATGAAACTGAAGCAGAGCAAGGAAAAATATTCATAACCATGAAAAATTCCATAATTTAATTTATTACGATCAGACATAAAGAAATGATTATCACAAATTCAACAATGTAATCCAAATTTCAGTTTGACTTTGATTACAATTAGCTAAATAATTACCCGTTAATTATTAACTTCACACTTAGCATGAAAACCGTTAGGCTTCGGTCGTCGGTGCTTGATCCGTAGTATCGGTGACCCCGTCCTCAGTAATCGAAGTCACGTCTGTTTGTCCTTCTCCTAAAGGTTGGGCTGTTTCCGTGGGAGTCGAAGATGACGACGTCGTTGTCACAGGCGTCGTAGGAGAAGAAGCAGTCGTCGTAGTTTGGGACGTGACATACTGCGCCAATTGTGGGGGAACAGTGCCCTTCGCCACCACGATGGTCGTGGCAGACCCGATCTGACCCAAAATTAGTGGGGCTTTCGTGTTAAGAGCGGCATTCAATCCTTCCTTCGTTAGAGCAATGAGTCCATCAATGTTTGGCTTCTCTCCAGGGGCTCTGGTTGGGCCGTTCTTATCTCGGATAATTTTGACCCCAAGTTCCTCTTCAAATTGAGAAATTTCTTCCGGCGTGTAGGTATTTTTTCCATATTTGACGAGGGCATCGTCCCACTCTTTTGGATAGTTTTCTTGGAGAAAGAGGATAAATTTACCGGCCAACTTTTTCTGATCTTCGTCACAGTTTTTGCACTGGGTTCGGAGGTAGATGGGAATATTTCGCTTAATGAATTTTCCAATCGTGTCACATGGCCCATTGTAAATTATGCATTTCAACTGGAACTTCATGGCACGTTCATTCTGAAAATTTGAAAAGATTAAAATTTGAAAGAAACTTGAAACATTTTAGAAAGCTAACCCGTAAATACTGCTCAAAATTAATATTTTGGAATTCCCGAGGGATTTGTGGTAGCTGAGGGCGAGACTCGGCACCCAAGATAATTATTGCCATCACGGCAAAAAGTGATAGCTTTAAAGCCATTGTGAAGTTGTTGTGGGTGGTTGTGTTAGCAATGGAAGAAGGAAATTAACTGAATTAGAAGCACGAGTCTCATGACAAGGAAGACTGGAGAGGAAATAATCGTGACCCTGAATTGTGGGAATTTGCAGTTACCATTTAATTTCTGAATTTTCCGAAGCCAGAATTTATGTGCTGATGAGATTATTACTTGTGTTGCTAAGAATGGATACTTTCGTTTATCAGTGCAACGTTCTAAGGTGGTAAAGCTATGCACAACTAATCCTAACTTTATTTACTTAATTCATTTCTATGCATTTCATTAACTCTGGGTACATATTTGCAGATATGATTGGCATGTAATTATATTTCATTCGCATTTGATACATTTCCGGAAAGAAATATTTGCGATAACCTAGGAGTATTGTCAGCAAAACAGCTCGCCTTTTAAGCTTTTAGAAAACATTTTAATGAATTTCACTATAATATATCTGAGGAAGGCCGAGTGTACTGTACAACCCCTTTTCGCCTCGATGTCACCGAATTTCGCATAAAAAATTGGAACCTTATATTTTGGTGAAAGGATCAATATAACGTAGCTATTATTAATTTATATGCAACCACACCCCCTTCAAAAATTGCGGAAGAAAATTGGGAAAAGTGAGAAAATAAATGTACACTCGGTACAAAAAGATTTAGACCCCAAGTTGCATTTGACATTTGACTTCCCCCTTGAATACGAACATTTTGATGCATCAAGAGTTTCAAAATTCGAAAATTGGCGGTTTTTTCACATACACATAAATCGTTAAAAAAATCATGGTAGCGGCCATTTTTAGTCTGACAACCTGATGCCAGATTTTTCTTCATGAGAAGAGCTACATTTTCAGCCTTGGTTGTCCGACTAAAAATGGCCGCTACCATGAGTTTTTTGGGGTCAAAGTTTCTGGGGGAGGCGCTTCATAAGGCAAGAGCCGTAGCAAGGCAGCTTATGCAATAATGACATGTATATAATAAATAGCCAAAAAATTTAAAACTTAAGCTTTTCTGAATATATAATGATAATGTGCACTCAAATTTTTACGCTACAGTGCTTATCAGTGCACTTATCAATTTCTAAGATAAGCAAATTTAGTCTGTCCAAACCGCCCCAAATTTAAAACTTAAGCGTTTCTGAATTTATAATGATACTATGCACTCGAGAATTAACGCTACAGTGCTTATCAGTGTACTTATCAATTTTTAAGATAAGCAAATTTAGTCTGTCCAAACCGCCCCAAATTTAAAACTTACGCGTTTCGGAATTTATAATGATACTATGCGCTCGAAAATTAACGCTACAGTGCTTATCAGTGTACTTATCAATTTTTAAGATAAGCAAATTTAGTCTGTCCAAACCGCCCCAAATTTAAAACTTACGCGTTTCGGAATTTATAATGATACTATGCGCTCGAAAATTAACGCTACAGTGCTTATCAGTGTACTTATCAATTTTTCAGATAAGCACATTAAGCACATTAAGCACATGAATGCATTACATATTACATTAAATGAGATGCTCGTTGGTAAGAAAATGTTCACCATAAAATGTTTGTCAGAGAGAGACAAAGACTGGTGAGTTTCATACGCCCCTTCTGCGAGCGGGTAGTGACACCTGCGAGAATCAGCCTGAATCTCTGTCTCTCTCTGAAAAATGGAATCAGGGAAAGTTGTACACATCCAGTGGAATGCCTCATCTTATAAGGTAATTACGAGTAATAATAAATTTAATTATGATTGAAACAATTTCCTTATAGTCACATCATATAATTTCCAATTAAATACTACATTGTGCAGAGTGAGTCATTGTGCATATTTATCATCATAAACACCTAGATGAAACTTCACATTTTTCCCAACCATGAGCAATGCATAAGTACTTCCTACCAATTAATTTCATGAGTGTGGTTGTATTATATGTATCTTGTTAAATTTGAGTCTTGGGTCATCTGCATCAAAATAGTACTAATAAGTTCATACGAATTTTTAATAAATATTTACTAGACACAGTAAGCTGCAAATAATATAGAGAAATAAAACTAACACAATTTAACACACGCCTAAATTCCAAAAAATCTCATCTGTTTCAATCCAATAGCGTCATAACAGTAATGCAACGATTGACGTCATATATGAAATCCAAACGTGCCAATTAACCAGAGCACGCACCAGCAGACTTGCCATTCCATAAGATGATTATACCAACGGAGACCAATTATTATGCCCGTGGTTGGCAAATCATTAATGCAAATCATTCGTTTTGCAGTATGTGGAAAGCAATACAACAATAAACAAATTGAGCAATCCTAGAAAACCAAGAAATGCAAGTGGTTATTCCCTCGCTACGATTATTCAGCAAACTTCACCACCGTGCGAACTTTTTGCTGTCCGGGCAAATCCAACCCATGCACACATAAGGAGCAAACCCGTAGCAAAATACCACATTTTAACCATGAATGTAAATACTATAGTATTTACATTCATGATTTTAACTGAAACAATATGGAAATGCTCCAATTGAAGAGGGGTTTTTAAGATGTTATTGTCGCCTCTTGATGATGAGGCGTGTGTGAGATTATTAGCTTATATAAACTAACACGCAGATGTGACCTGTAGATGATGTCAAGAAGATAGCATATTGTGCCAGCCAATTTATGTACACGTTTTTCGGACAAAAAGGGATGGGATTTTCCTCCCCAAGTTTCAGTTACAGTTAAGCTTGCCTCGTCGAATGACAGGATATGCTTAACATTTAGACACCTCTGGACACTTAAGATCTTATCATTTTTCACTGTTTGCATATTGAAATAATCTTATCAAAACTTATCAAAATGACTCTTGATTATATTTCTGACGAAAATCTGGAAAAGACGCTGAGCAAGTTTGGAGATCAGTCGGACGAATATACGGACGATGAAAACAGAGCAATTCAAGAATACTTTGAACTCTTTGACAGTGAGTAATGAAATAGGAGAGTTAGGAGAGAGCATGAAAGTTGCAACAAAATAATATTTGCATCATTATATAGATGACGAAGAAACACTACCTTTTAGAAAATACGCTACAAAAGGCTTGGTAATTCCCGGACTAAGGAGCTGCAATTTGGACGCAAAATTGGCATTCAAATCGGTGAGTTGCAATATTAAAAATGCGACACCGCTTTCTGACAGTCTAGTGAGTGATATACATATTTGTCGGCATGTACAATATATTTATTTACAAATATGTGTAGATGAAAGCACTTCATTACCATGCGACTAAAACCTATCCGGAACTCTTTGCTCAATTGGACCCCTTAAAACTCAAGCCTATTATAGAGAAAAAGTTGTTCCAAGTTGTCAAACGCCCCGTCGACAAGGGCCCCGCAATCGTTGTTTTTAGAATTAGTGAGCATTTTTTAAAAATATGAGTGAAAGTAACTAACGCGTTCGAAATACTTACAAAAATCATCTCATTGCAGGAAATTGGAAACCTTCAGAAGCCAACATTGAGCACCTCGCGTTGACAGGTGCCCTTTATATCTACGCCGTTGCTAAAATGTCGGCCGAAATACAACGTCAAGGTATAATTGTGGTTTCGGACGTTTCTGGATTTAAACTTGCGCATGCGAGACAAGCGTCGGTGGACCTGATCATGATGTCTTTAAGATTGTACACCACCATGCCGCCCATGATTAAGGGCATGGTCGCGATCAATTCTCTACGTTTATTTGAAGCATCGTTCAACATGTTTAAATGGATTCTTCCAGAAGACATCAGAAAAATTGTGAGACTTTGATGGACACTAATTCTAAATTTATATTCAGATTTGAAGCTAATACTAACTTTCATACTTATTACTATAAATAGATGCACATTACAAGAAATGATATGTCACACATGACCAAACTAATGGCTCCGGACAGGCTTCCGGTTGAATTTGGAGGAACGATACCGGATGAAGAGGCGTACATGGACCAAATTGAGGATGAAATTCTGAAAGATCCCGAACTTTTCATTCTAATCAAACATGTACAAGACGAGTTCATGGCGACGAATGGGATTAAGAGAAAGCACTCAAATAAATTTAATAAAATTTAATTACGTGAAATGTTCCACGAAATTCGATGAAATGTTGAGGATTGTAGATATCATATATTATTTATATATTGAGAGAATAAAAGATTATGTCCATTGAGCAACAACTCGTTAAGAATAGATACTTGCGTGTCAATAGTGAGTAAAAGAACACAAAGCTTAAGTTGTTGACCTGCCCACTACGCTAAATGGGCGAGGGTTGATATATGTCCAGTCATTTACAGAAGTCCATTAAGGTCCCGTAATACGATTTGGTGTGGATTGATGGAGTAAGTGTATGAAAGTCCGTTCTACGTTGAGCACAGCCTTTCTTTCTTCATGTGCTTTTTTATTGGAGTCTGTCATGCTTCAGTGGCCTGAACATCTCTGTAATTCTCGACGTGATCGGGCATTTAGAATTCCTCTGGAGAATTCTTTCCACCGCTAGAATACGGATTTGCCCTTATCTCTAACATGTAGAAGATGTTGCCGAAAGGCGGATAGAGTGAAAGCAGAATACATATAAAAAAGCAGAGGAAAGAAAAGTTACGTGCGGAAGACAAATGTCGGGATTAAGTTTCCAGATTGGTGCCGATCAATGCTGAGAAATAGCCTGCTTAACGTGGATCAGAGAAAAATACTTTGTTCTTAAACTGTTGAACATGGTGAGTTTTATTGCTTCGATAGTATATCACAGGTCGATTCTAAAATTAAATATCTGTATTTTAGTTATTTGTGATGTTTATGAAAACAGGATAAACTTCATGAAAATATTATGACAATATTACTAAGCATAAAACCGAGAATACATAACTTTTGATGACATTCCAACCCCGTTGTTTATTTTCATAGGATTTGATGTGCTTTCATACAAACTGCGCAACTTTTGTAATAGAAATATTGCAGCCAAAATGAGCCTGCATTACGTGAGGATGAAATCGAGGAATGAACAACCAATATGGTTTCATTTCCCCTTGCGGAAACTAGTTAAATCACCATCACGAGTCGATACAGGCCTGGAGCAAATGAAATCCTGATGATGAGAGTGTGCTGAAGTGTATCGACCCAACAAGAAGCCTGGATGGTGGATGAATTTACGAGGAGAAAGTTCAGTCGTGGTTTGCGTAGCGTATCCTCTATACGCACCCAGCCAACCTGCAAATCCTTGCAAAACCAACCAACCAACCAACCCACCGCCGAGTCAGAGAAAGTATGATCCCCACTTGCTTTCTCCTGTTGAATGTGTATTGCCCGACTCCGGGAGTCACGTAGGATGGGACTCGAGCGAATTGACGAGGAGTAGTACGCACCCAATAACGAATGACGAACCAACAAGCAGAGCTCCACTGCGACTTTCTTCTACCTGCTTTCACCTTGGGAGGCTAATTCCCACTTTTCTTATTTTTTCGCCCATTTTCCTCTTGAGTTGGTCAAAACGGCAGACTTTAATAGACTCGCTTTTTTCGTGCTTTTTTGCACACCCACGCTCATCATGAGTGCCGCTGTGGGGGAGGGTATCACTGTAGAAAAACGGGATGCGCCGCCTGAGAGGAACATGAAGCTGGAAAGGTAAACATGGCAGATTTGCATCTTATCTCGAATCAGTTTTTGGTAATTAGAAAGTTTGTTTTGATAAGGTGGCTACTCAATTCTCAACCCGAATCGTTCCACCCGACATTGTTTCACTTCCCGGAGGAAGAAGAGCAACAGGATGTTTGCATAAGTGATCAGGGTCCATCGAAAGCTCGCGAAAAGAGAGGAATTCCACCGCCACCGAGGGATGTTTCGGTTAATGTTACCGCAATTCTCAATTCTTTGGCGAAAGGGTATGACAAGAGGATTCGACCAAATTACGGGGGTGAGTACATAGGCGAGAATTTTATTGCATTACACTGGATATGTATTAATTAGTGGTGCTTATGTACATATGCGATTTTCTCTTTGAACAGGTGAACCCGTAGTTGTGGGGTAATTAATTACATTATCATAAATTTTGCATAAAAATTTGCATATGTTAATATGTCTACTTATCAATAGAGTTACGCTGTACGTGCTCAGCATCTCCAGCATATCCGAAGTACACATGGACTTTACGGTCGATTTTTACTTTCGACAAATGTGGAAAGATCCACGCCTTCAATTTCAAGCAACAGATCAAATCTCAACTCTCTCTGTAAAACAAACTTTTAAAGCTACTGAAAATACTTAATATTTATAGTGGTTAAAACTTTAATGGTTATTAACTATTGTTTAGGTGAGTACGGACTTTTTGCGAAAAATTTGGGTTCCGGACACATTCTTTGTAAATGAGAAATCGTCTCACTTCCATCTCGCTACCACATCTAATGAATTCCTTCGAATATCGAAGGACGGTGACATCCTACGCTCTATTCGTCTTACCGGTTTGTCTTTATTTATGAGCTGATAAATATAGCTGCAAATATGTACAATGAGTGCATGTCTCAATTTTCTCTCAGTGACTGCCGCATGTGCAATGGATTTTAGACGCTTTCCTATGGACTCTCAACTTTGCACGATAGAAATCGAGTCATGTATGAATCGCCACTTACATACATACATCTAAACATTTATAATCACTTTAACTTATGCTTTAACTACATGATTAGACGGGTATTCAATGTCGGACATCGGGTATAAATGGGCAAGGGGACCAACATCTGTGGGAGTCAGCAGCGACGTCCAGCTACCTCAGTTCAAGGTGGTTGGATACCGACAACGAACTTTTGAAATTTCGCTCCTCACCGGAAATTATTCTCGCCTGGCGTGTGAGATTTTATTTGTGAGGTCAATGGGATATTACCTTATCCAGATTTACATACCTTCCTCGCTCATCGTCATAATCTCTTGGGTGAGCTTTTGGATTAACAGGAACGCGTCTTCTGCCAGGGTGCCTCTAGGAATCACAACGGTATATGAAACATTGAAACTTGCACTTTTCGATAAAGATGAACAAAACACGATAATTTTTCATACTTGTGTCCACCGTTAGGTCCTAACGATGACAACTCTAATGTCTAACACAAATAAGGAGCTCCCTAAAATAAGTTATGTCAAAAGTATCGACATTTTCTTGGGAACGTGCTTCTTTTTTGTATTTGCGGCATTATTGGGTGAGTAAAAAATTGCCAAAATTTCCATATTTTTTGTGATAATATATATAATTATTTCCTGATATTTTACATCTTGATGTGCAGAGTACGCGGCCGTCGGATACGTTGCTAAACGCATCGACATGCGTAAACGTCATTTGGCAGCGATGAAGTATTTGGCCACCCATCGCGATAAGGCGGGTGCTTCCTTACCGAGACCACCACCTCCGCAGACTTGCATTTGGATGCAACCTCCCGAGTCTAGATTAACAACAATGTGTCGAAGTCAACAGCCTGGAGGAACCCATTCCAGTGATAAGGATGCGATCCAGTTAGCAAAAACGCTAACTGAATTGCGAGCACAGATGGGAGATGCGCACGTTTGTGCAGTAACGCCGAGCACAATTGATAAGTTCGTTAAATTTAATACGAGTTTTAAATATTGAAAATGTGTCAATTTAAGCATACACACTGATGCATATTTCTTGTTGCAGATATAGCAGAATCGTGTTTCCAATCTCATTTATCTCATTTCACGCCTTTTACTGGATTGCATACATGCAGCTTTCTACCCTCAACGTGGAGGGACTGACAGCGTTTGAAAACTCGGAATAAGAAGAAAATACACACATAATTACCAATTAAAAGGGTTTATAATGTGCCAATAGCAGAGCACAGCACTGTAAACAATATATGATAATCACGTCAGAGTACAAAAGAACCTATTTGAAGAACCAATTGGCCCTCAGAGCTTCTCACAATGTTAGATAAACAAAAAATCAATCAATCAATATGGAAAAATTATATCAGAATCAACAGAATCCTGACCAAAATTTACCATTTGTATTTGAATGGAAACCAAATTCGGGTACAAGATTTTTATAGGAACGAGACACACTTACATGTAGACAGAGGAAAATAAGTGCGACGAATAATTTGACCACAAACACACATACATCGTTTACGGGTATTGAATTTTTTTGAATTTTCACGAAATGCACGTATTGCATGCCACTTAGAGATTAGAGTGGTGGGCGGAGATCGTTGAATAAATTTTAATTTTTACTGGTGACGAATATATTTGTAAGTGTGCTGATTTATTTATCATACCAAATTCCATGATACACATATTTACGTTTATATGTATGAACTTGCACGATTATATATTTGTCCACCGTACGTTTCAAAAATAAATACATATCATATTTAAAATTGTTTTTATTTAACAAAAATAAAAAAACTGTGTATAGACCCAGGGTATCATTGTACATATGTAGATATACGAAATCGGCAATTTAATTATCTATACAATTTACTTTGATATGCACCAACACCGTCCATTGAAGTAGCAGTATCGCGTAGGTGGAACCCAGCAGCAATACGCAGAACACTGCAATGAAAATATAATTACAATTAAATACTCTCAAACTTCACTAAATATGTATTTATGATTAAAATTGGTTACTGGAGAAGAGCATCGAACACAAGTGGCCTCAATTCCAAGAAAAGAATCGATTAAGGTTGCATTTCCGATGGAGTTGTCGTCGTTCAATCCTAAATCTCCATACCGTGCGATCTTTGTCGCAAGCGTGTTATCATCGGCAACGGTGGTAACAGCAATGGCGACGATGAGAAGAGCAGTTCTACGTAAAAAATTCCAAATATAATTTAAAATGGGTGTTAAAATATGTATTCGTATTCATGTATAGTCGTGTATTTAACCTTTTCATGGTATTTTTCTACTGAGGAAGTATTTGTTATCAAACCTGGTAATTGGTATATTCTGTTCTTCTGGCGTGTAAAATCTGAATAAGACGACAATGAATGTGTTTGCTTATAAATATGAACATTATTTACTATTAGGATTCGAGCCATAATAGATATAAGGATTAGATGCTGCGTAAACATAGATTTTGACTAATTATTTCATCCTCCTGAAAAAGGAAATGATGTGTGTATGCATCGTCATTAGGTGTCAACATATTTTTATTTATGTACTTCGGAGTTATCACGGTTGGTTATGTGTGAATTGTTTTCGATATGAATAAATTAATACGAGTCAAATTTATATAATTGAAACAAATTAAATTATGCGGATTATTCGTGTGTTTACTTGTGAGCATTTCATTGACGTATATTATTTACAGCTAAAATACAAGATTAGATTATTATACAATTTTATGAGATGAATAAAGCACACACTTGACTGGGCACATACATAAGTATATAATACGCATACATATTAATAGCTTACATAATCGTAAGCATTTTATGAAAGCATCATTCATATTTTAGTAAACAACGCTTTCCAGGATGCTTTCAGTTTATGGTAATCGCAATTACGCATAAATATTACTACTAAAATTGCTAGAATAGGCTCGGTGAAGACAGACATGTCCAGCAATTTGTAACCGTTTGTCATGCATCTGACTTGCATGTATTGTAATCATGTATTGTAATAATTATACCCATGTACATATGTAATAATTACACAAGTATCCAAACTCACAAGGCAATGTCAATTAATAATTCATGCAGCACATAAAATTTGGCTAACTACCAATGCCATCACCCCCAAACCCAAAAATCGATTTTACAAGCAAAACTCATAATCAGTAATGTTCTTAAGAATATAGAGTTATATCAACCCAATCATCAATGGTGAAAACAGCAGATTTTTTCCCATCCGGAACTCTCTCTTTAAAAACCTCAATCATGCATTTTAGTTTGATTGCACACAAGAGAAAATCATCAAATTGAAGACACCCATCTTTATTCCCATATCTTAGAACGAGTCCTTGAACTACTCGCGAGTTGACGCTGAACCCCGAAGACGTCAGCGCATTTCTCAACTCCGATGAGCTCAAACTCCCCGAATTATCCGTATCAAATTTCTTATACACCATTTCCCAATATTCAATATCTTTCCAGAGTTGTTGAAACTCGTCAAACCCTAATTTTCCTGAACGATCGGCATCCATCATTGCAATAGCAGAGCGACAAATATCTTTACTCCAGCCTTGAAATCCAGTTTTACAGAAGGTAGAATTTAAAAGTTCTTGCAACTCTTCCCAGTTTACTTCCAAATCTTCACCAGCCACTCGTCTAAAAAATGCTTCAGCCGCTTCTTTTTCCGAATTTGCGAGGATTTTGTTATCACTATTTTTAAGATTTTCTAACAATTCGTCTCGTTTGTCCGGATCACATTCTACGTCCAGCTCGGCGTCATTGTTCTTGGTGGAGGTTGCCGTTTCGGTAAACATTCGTAGAATAAAGTCACCATCTTCAAAGGGATGAAAGGTTGACGGGATGATGACGTAAGTTCCTGGGGACAGGTTGAATCGGTAACTGATTTCTCGACTGCGCGTATATTTTAGGGTAGACTCCACTCTTGCGTGATATTTAAAGAAATCTTCTCCAAGCGGAATTTCTAGGGCTGGTTGACTTTTATCTGGAGTTTCCAACAGGTAAAGGATGAATCCAATCGGGAGAAAATCTTTGCCAAGTTTTCGTCGAAATTTCTGCATCAGAGAGACAACAAGAGTGCATTTCTGGGTGGGATCCTCATCATCTGGTTCGGTTAAATTGATAATGTACTGTGGATTGAGGGAGAAAGTGTCTGGGTAATTTCGACACCCTCCGGCACTAACGCCTTTGACCCACGAACCTTACAAGTATACGTAAGTATTTTAAATTATTTGCATTTTTTTAAAGCACACATCTTCCAAAAAATATTTATGGATACCTTCAAACACATGTTCCACCCACTTCTTGTTCTTTCTCCGTTCCATAGTTTGGCTCACAACAGCGCTTCCATTTTGCATTATTTTATTACTACCATTCTCAATTCCCTTCTTTGCTTGATCCAATTCATCTAATACATCCGGCCCCAAATTGCAGATATCCAGAGTTTGAAAGTGGGTCACAAAGTCGTTACACGACATCCAGAATTCCCCGTCATTATCGAAGCTGTGCTCTTTTTTGTTAGTTGATGTAAGCATGTCCCATTCCGGGGATCCATCACTCCACGCGCCTTTCCATTCCGCAGAATTTCCCCAAGGGTTCCTAATTCTGAGAAGTTGTACGGTGGAGGTAGCGGTGGCAGTTTTTTGGCGAATGGAGACGCTTTTGACATCGGTGATGGAATAGGCATGACCCCGGATGAGTCCGAGCGGTCCTTCTGCTTCAATTTCGCCATCTGGATCCGAATCCAGGCTACAACCCATGAAAGAAGAACGGTCAAATGCCTTCGACATTAGTTGAAACAAGTTTCCTCCTCCTGCTTTCTCAGCCAAGGCACAGTTTTCGGTAACACCGCCTGTAAAATCTTGCAATGCTTCGGATACATTCCCACCCACGAGTGCTTCATACGATCCGTGCTGTTTGGCATAAGCTATATTTTGGATACATAATTTTTATTTATTAACAGTTAATTTGTGTGCATATAAATGGTTTAATTCATATCGTATAAACCTTTTTCTAGCAGTGCACTCCAGAACTCTGCCTTATCATCCGAGTGCATGAAAACAAGACGGTTGTTCCGTGTGGGTAGGAGATCATCGATAACCACGTCAACCCATTTTCCAAATTTCCAGAAACGAAAGTGAAACACGCCATTGTAATCGGGAGAGTCAAAGTCTGCATTGTCCTCAGGGACAACTTATGTACGTATGCATATGAATATATGATTGTGAATATTAGGCAAAAATTTAAAAATGCATGAAAAAGTGGAATAATTCACAAGTACCCAGATGAAACAATTGTCGATTTAATGTTAAGTTGGCTACAGCAGCAAGAAACCAGCAATTTCCAAGCTCGCCTTGTTTGACATCAAATCTTGAAGCTCCCCCAATGAAGAATTTTGGTTGTTGGACAATTTCATGCGGTCGCTTCCATTCCACGGGTTGGTCCAATGATTGACTGCAAAAGGGCAAACATTCCAATGGGAGGTAATACAAATATATGCATGTACATTTCAACAATGAGCATTAACTGGTTCTTAGTTAATAAAGCTTAAATCAGCACCTAAAGAAAATCGAGGTGTCTTCCGGAGGAAAATTTGGGTCTTTAAACAATTTTTTATTTTTATCACAGCGCCCACTTTCTTTTAGTTTATAAAAGTCAAGGATTTTTCCTGTCTTTGTTTTAAATCCACTTCCTCTCTCACCAAAACGATACACCAAAATCCCAGAGGGTAAAGAGTATGGCATTTTCAACAAAGAACAATGTCAGCAGAGAAATTACTAAGATAAAATTAGGGAAGTTTGGTCTTATCTTTTCAAAAGTCAAAACTATACTAAGAACGCTCATTGGATATTTGGATAAATATTACTTTTTTCGTTAATTTTGTCATTAACGGTGACCCAACGCCATTCACTAATCATGAAGCATTAAATTGTTCTGGTGCCCGACAATGTAATTCTTTGATTTTCAAGGTCGCGTTTTCCAAAGGAATCCGGTGTGTATCACATTTCTATTCGGTGCACATTTACAATCAATCTGGTAAATCGTGCTTGTGCCAAATCTGGAATGATGTGTGCTTGTACATACATACTTACATACGCATATACATTAACTTTTATATTTTAAGTTGCTTACCTAAAGGTTTGTTGAGAGTAAAAATAAAACTTAATTGGGAGCAATTAATTACCAAAATTTGTAATGGCATGATGTAGACGACATTGTAACAGAATGCATAGCATAACAATAACGTCGTTTGGCTGGTGCCATTCTCTGTCGTAAAGATTCCAACTTCTAAAGCGTATCATGGTTTGCTGATCCATGACTGGAACAGAGTTTGGCAAGGGAAGTGTCTGTTGTCTCAAATCAGTACAGCTATACCAGTGTTCTGACTAAAATCAGAAGATTCTTTCTTGTGTGCATAAAATAATATAAATCTGGTCATCCTAATCGGTTGAAAATACACATGAAAAGACCCAAACAAATCGAATAAGTATTAACTTTTATCGGTAAAATTATTCACTCCTCTCCTTCAACTCTTCGGAATTTCACATCCCCATTTTAGCATGCATGCAATAATCAGTAAGTTTGCATTTTATTCAAGTCTCTATGATATTCGATCAATTTGACAGTAAAATTTGTAGCATGAATAAACAAGTTTAATTTTTCGAATATATACATCTGGGGTTAATTAAAGATGTTCAATTGTGGTGTATGTGTGTATGTTTCATTTCATTTCATTTCATTTCAACTTTTATTCACGTGTAAATGGATATCAGTTAACAATAAATGTTGCCTGATATTGTGTGCTATCAAGGATTGGTCACATTGTTTATTATAGGCACAGGTGCCATGGTTGGTGGTGCAATTGTGGTGGAAGTGGTGGAAACAACTGGAATTATAAACATCATACATATTACAATAGATATATAATTTATTTTTTGTAAATATGTATCTGCATATGCATGACACTTACGACAGGAACACGTCCTAGTGAATATTTGCCACAGATTGCACCAACAACTAATCGTTGGCTAAAGATTTTAGAATGATTTGTTCAAATTTCGATAGGGGAACTTATCAGTAGACATATTTATATAATCAAATAAGTACCCCTTGTCCTTGTGCCTTTGCAAACACAACCATCAGGACCAACGAAAGAAAAATCCACTTCGACATCATCGCAAGATTGTAACGCGAAAGAATCCGAAAAATTAATATATGATACTTTATCAGGAATTTTGGTATACTGAATTCGAAAAAAAATACTGGGAGAGCGTTAAGCCCCTTTTTATCAAGAACTCCAGTGAAACACTGCCCACCGAAAATATTTCCAATGTCAAGGCTTTCCAAAAAGTCGTGATTTGAAACGTAGAAATACAAAACACCATTGCAAATCTTGAATTCCAAGGTTGTTATGAACATGACTGCAATTGTGTACATTTTCAGAGTTCACGATAAATGTGATGTAAATACATGTGCGAATTATGTATATTAATTATTTTGAAGTGTATATTAAATTTGTACTTCAACGAGTCTTACAATTTCATTATATATAAAAGTCTTTGGATGTATCTAAATATTTTGAATTATATGATTAGTTTCATGTGAACGGCTAATTGTAAGTCACAAATTTGGACTTTGGTTTTGTTGGGCTACATTTAACGCATCATTGTCCTGACTATCAAGAGGCATATGAAATTTCATTATGAAACTCTTTTGATGTATATATTTTGAATTATATTATTAGTTTCCTGTGAACGACTGATAGTAAGACACAAAATTTGGACTCCGGGTTTACATTTAAATTTAACACACCATTGTCCTGACTAGCGTAGGCGTATGAAATTCAACTAACAATTTAAAGTTTGTGTTCATGATAGATATGCAATACACAATAGCTAAAAAAAGTTTGTGCAGGAGAAGAGGCATTTATGTACATGAAAGGGTATAGAAATTATCATTTAGATTTTGGTAAATGGTAGCACGTTAGGTTGCAATTAATTCAAAAAATTAAATAAAAAAACCTAATATTTCCCAGGATTCAGTAATACGGTTCATAGGAATATTCAACTTATTTATTGAAACATTTATTTGATAACAAGTTAAATTGTATTGGTCTTAAGTATTATATATTTATTGTCCTTCCAGTTTCAAGTCTTACACATTAAGAATGTCGGTTGATGGTTTACCCCAACTTGCCAATTTTCTATTAAGCAAATTTTTGACCATCCAGTGAATTCCGTACTCGTGTTGTGCTAAAGAAGTGGGCACACTAATTACATCCTTTTCATAACTAACTGCTCCACTTCCTGCGAATACTGTCACGTTTCCTTTGGCCTCCGCCCTCTCGTAAACCTTTCCTTTAGAATAAGTGCAAACGTCAATGGTCACTGCATTATCGTCTTCATAAGTCGAGCTCTGGAAAAAATCGACACTCATTAGATTTACTTGTTACTAAGTTTTTGAAATTGTACGAAATTGTGTAATAATAACCTCGTTCGATTCGCTTGATTCCTCCTTCGTGGCAGTCTTCGTGAAAACGTGAGATCCAACCTTAAACATTTTGACTGAACAAATTTGATCCCCTTCGGCTGTTACGTATCCCTTGATCCACGATTTTGTCAAAGATTTTCCATTCTTGGAAAATACTACTCGAGATGTAACTTCGCCTCTGACTTGTCCAGAAAATTTCTTATCTGCAGAGAAATTCAACTCCCAGTCGGATTCAAACAGAGTGAGATAAACTCTGAAGGGGGCTGTGAATGTTTCTGCCTTCGAGCTCACGGTAATTCCTATTGGAATGGTTTTGTTTTGGACTTGGACGTTGGTTTTTATGGTGGCATTTGAGGAAGAAATGAACCTGTTTTGAAATTATGGATGAAATTTACTAGAGATTCGAAGAGCTTTCTAGATAATAATTTTTAAAGCTAAAGCTTAAAGTTTTAAAGTTAAGGAATTCAAGCGAAATGATTACGTGTTTATGTACCTTTGTTCCTTCTTTCCAACTTTAGTGTCGACCTCGGTGGTCTTGAGACTTGTTTCGACTCCGATTTTGGTCTTATATTCTTTGCCCTCGAAGTACACGGTGTTATTGACGGAACCCGAGACCTTGCCGGATGATGTTACCGTCAGCTTGGTGTCGATGGAACCTTGAACATCTGAGGAAATCTGTCCTCCTTGCTTCGAAGTTTCATGCACCTTCCAAAACGATTTGGTTTTGTTGGAGGAAATTGAGAAAATTCGAGAATACACACAGCCCCATTTTCCCACGGTGGAGGTCACAACAGTATTTTGTTGTATTGGGTAGGGCGTATATTTCACATTTTTCTCAGAGCCCCATGAATTCAAATCGACATCCTCAAAGCCATTAAAATCATCGTTGTCTGTATGAAATAAAAATTATAAGAATGTTAATTTTAGAATAGTTTCAAACCCTTGAAAACTATATAAATACCTATGCCTAAAATTTGTGGCAGTTTTAAATACACTTATTTACCCTCAAATTCAAACAGAGACCGGTCAACGTCTTCATCCTCATCGCCGATTTCAGCTATCAATTTATCCACTAAATTATTAACGGAATCGTCCGTTATTTTCAAATTCAGCCCAGAAACTTCTGGTTGCGAAATGTCAGAGTATTTCTTTAAAATGTTGGAGTATCGGTTCTCTTTTTGATAAAGGTATGAAAACACTCCTTGTGTTTGAAGCACAACGAGAGTAATTGCGAGGAAAAGTGTGAGCTTCATTTTCGCGAGAGAATTCAGTAATTGTAAGTCTGAGCTGTGGTCAATCTCCAAGTAACTCCAGTACTAAATTGTGGAGGAGCTTGGTGCTTGCTAAAATAGTAAAAACGACAAAAAAAAGTACCCCAATTTGGACAGATTATTTTCTCTGATAAAAACGAAACGTCAGATTATTTAATTTGCTGTTTTTCTCATAACGAAGTCATGCATTTGTGTATGTATGCTCGTATGTATTTATAACGGCCCATGTATATATACATACATATGTACATATGCATGATCTTATTACTCATCCGACTACTGACCAACTTGGATCACGGGAAATTCATAATAGTATCTCTTAAACCAATCTACAGAGTTTACTCTCAAGTTTTAGTGTATGCTTAACCCAAAATCATTTGTAGAAACGACTCTCCTCACATTTTAAAAGTTTTACCAGGACGAAATCACATCGCAACATATGCGTTACTCATGTTCCAGTAGACTCGGACATTAAACTTACTTCAAGGAGAGACGTGTTTAAGGACGGGATAAAATTATGATACGTATAAATATATAGGAATGTGTATTTATAAGCAAATATTATTACACACGCAAGCAAATACGCAAACACAAGCAAGAATTATCTGTATGTTTGAGTTGACTTCAGAGAAACGAACTACATGTTATGTATATGTCCTCTGTTTGACATTTCGCATTTATTCAAGAGACAAAATCATTTCGTGATGCACAATAAATGCCGCATACAGTTGAGTAAGTTTAAATTCAGACAAATGAAACCTCACATCACATCCTGAATCAATTTTAAGTCATATATTTATTCTAGAACCATAACGTTTGATACGCAACATTTTGTTTGAATTCAATAAAAGCCCGAATACAATGCCTGCATAACATGTATTTTTAGTATTGGTCGCTCACATGACCATTACAATCAGGTTGAAATGACACAGCCTGACGTGAGCAATTACATAAGAATCACATGAGTCATGGGACATGACATCTATTTGAATTCGACACATTGTTGCAAGTATTTAAGTGAATGTTATTTGTGAATTTTAGACTCCACCAAGAAAATTTACCTATTAAACGCATAATTTTTTGTAAACAAGTGAATAACATTTGGAAGATGTTTTTCATGCCACATTTCTACGAACGAGTAATGCATAAAGATTGCAATCTTCTTTTCATATACATAACATGCCATATGCTATTCTGTTGACATTGCCGGTTAGGGTTATCAGAGCAAATTCATTTGTATAGCAAAGTTGCGAAGTTGTAGCTGGCCAAGTAAATTAATGACCAGTTAAGTTCAAATTTTGTTTTCGGCCATACTAATCAGTATCAATTCCGGGAATAAAATTTCATTCAATTAAGCGAAGTTTAATACTGTAAACATGCCAATCAAGATTAAGAAATATACATATATATTTATACAAATACGTATTCGTGTATAACAGCAAAGTATGCATGACAAGTAGCAAAATACAAGACATTTCTTAACTATGTAGTCTCGACTTTGCAAATATTAGAGCGCATGTTAATATAAATACATATAAATACATATGTAAGTGGAACTGAATGCAAGTGAGAATACAGAATCTGTAAGTGAATTACTCCATATTTTCCTCGTAACAAAAAACGGGATGCAATCTATAATAGATTATCTCTTCGGTCTGTGAAAACCGTGTTTTCTAATGTTTTTTTTTCTGGCACTTACACACATTACATACATATTATGCAACTTATTAGCATATGATTATGTTTCCACATGTAGTTTTAGCTGTTGTAATGTTTCTCTTGTATTAAAATTGACACATAATAGAAACGAATCTTCATCACCTGAATAATTCCCCGTACACATTTTTATCAGTTATATGTATATTATATTAAAAATTGCAATTTTGTTCATGCACACATTATTAAGGGGTGAAAGCCCTTTATAAGATCGTTATGTCCGTCTGTCCGTCCGTCCGTCCGTCCGTCCGTCCGTCCGTCCGTCCGTCCGTCCGTAGCTCCGATAACTTTTGAACGAAAAGACATAGACACTTGAAATTTTGAACGTAAACTCCTAACGTCAATGGACAGGACGAGTTCGAAGATGGACACTGTGACATCGTCACCTGTGACGATGACGTCGTCACAGTGACGAAAAGTGACGAAAAAGTGTCACTTGTCAGTTTTGGCATGTGACACATCATTTTTAACTAATTTTCAACGAGGAATTCGAAAATTCAGGTCATTTTGTGTTTGGACGTCACCTGTGACGATGCCATCGTCACAGTGACGAAAAGTGACGAAAAAGTGTCACTTGTCAGTTTTGACATGTGACACATCATTTTTAACTATTTTTCAATGTCAAATTCAATGGTGACCTCCATTTTGACCTCAGAGGTCATGTAAAGGTCATAGGACATATCTATTTCAATTTCAACTGAAATTTAACCCCGAATTCAATGGTGACCTCCATTTTGACCTCAGAGGTCATATAAAGGTCACATAAGGGTTATCAACTGTTAAATTTGACACAAATAAGACACAAAAGTCGAAAACACGTCAGAAGTGTCAATCTTAACAAATTTTCGAACAATTTGATATTCACATTGACGTATGACACTCCTTTCACCCCTTGGTTACATGCGTTGTAACGGTTTATTAAGTCCCAGTTTGCAACAATTAAAGTTCAAAAAAATTGGGTACGTTTATAGTGATTGTTATTTACCGCGAGATAAGATAAAAACTTTATAACATTGTATTTCAAAAGTATTAAATTAAATTCCATGTTTTACATGAATCATAAATGCTAGATTACGAGTGTAGACAGGGCAATAATAATATTTTAATCGACATACATTATATCATTATCATTACACTCAAGCTTTCAATTTCAACGTTTTACAAATAAAAGCCTCGAAATGGGAATCATGTCATATTTAAGGCAAGAGTGGAAACGTCTGTTTTCGGAATTCTTGGGAACATTTCTCCTCGTTTTCCTGTGCGTATCTGTTGGACTTCCATGGGATAAAGACTTTGTGGGAAGAGATATCAATTTGGACATTAGTTTAACTAATGGATTCACAGTTGCCACTCTGATCACTGTTGGTCAATATATCTATTAATACGAATTACGATACATAACTGCAAAGCAATATTGATGGAAACTTGTGTGTATGTATATTTTCTAGATCTTTGGACACACCAGTGGCTGTCAAATAAATCCAGCGGTTACGTTGTCAATGCTATTTTTTAAGCATATTGAACCAAAACTTGCCGTTCTTTATATATTATTTCAATGTTTGGGTTCAATAGCAGCAGCGTCAATACTTTTGGTAAATGTGTTTACAATATTTATACAATGAAACTTAAAATTATAGCCTAAATGTTCCTGTGATTGCTAAAAACTCAAGTATTTGACACCTCCCGAAGCGGTTGGTGGACTTGGAGTGGTTCAACCAGGCCTAAATGTTGCAGTTCGTGAAGCATTCGGTACAGAATTTGTCATCACATTTATCCTCCTCTTTGTTATATTTGCCGTATCGGACAAAGGTCGAAAAACAGAAATAACTGGATCAATCCCATTGGCTGTAGGATTAACAGTTGCAGTTTGTTCTTTTGTTGGGGTAGAAAAGAATTACAAAATGCACAGGAAATAATCGCATTTTTAATTTATTTTAATGAAAAATTTCAGAATAATTTTTCTGGAGCTTGTATGAACCCTGCCAGAAGCATAGGTACATATCTGACTTACATACATAGACATAACTCCAAAATTTTTAATTGTTGTTAATAAAATAAACCTTCCTGATTCTAGGACCCGCGGTGGTCACACGTTTTTGGGATCATCACTGGGTAAGTATTAATGGTTTACATATATGGACAAAACTAATTGTAAGTGCATCATATATGAAACTATTAAATTTTGCATAGATCTACTGGGTAGCTCCAATTACAGGCGGATTATCAGGTGCAAGCGTATATCATAAAGCGTTTCGAGTTTTCAAGGCAGAAATTACAACCGGTACTGCTGATAAAAATATGCACAATAAGTTGCTTGAATAAAAATATTTTAATCAGAATAAATCACAGACTTGAATAATACAAGTGTCTCGTAGTAAAATGAATAGAAAACCGAAAACTGATGAAAACAATCAGATATGTATGATTATAACAGACTTTGCATATTTACACTTCACATCTTTACTAGTTACTTACTTGACCCTATCATTATTTGTATTTTTAAATGCATACAAACTGAATTAATTAGAAAATACTGCATATAAGATCATATGAATTTGTATTAATGTAAAAACAACTAAAAACGGAAAATTAGTAAAACACATCATGCACACCAACAAAGTCCCCCAACCTTTGTAGCTCTTGCTCAAAAGCGGTCGCCAGAAATTGAACATCTCCTTCGTGTGGATAATACACTTCGTCACCAATGAAAGACACGCGCACCCGATTATTATAACTGATTGACCCCACTCCTAGTCCTATCCTGTACTTTATAGGCACCCAAAAGCCCATGTCGACTATTTTATCTCCCCCGTTGATGAACACCTCTTCTTTGGGTCCGGGTAGATTGCTCAGGGTGAGTCGCACGTGGAGAGGGAGTCCAAGTGGACGATGCAATGGGAGGGGTAGCAGTCCAGTCAATTTGGGGTAGAACGAATTTGCTGCAGCGAGCACGATGGAGTCCGACCGTCCCGAAACGGTCAGCAATTGGTGATTATCTTTGAGTGACGAGATGGGTGTATCGCTGGGAGATGGGATTTTAGATGGAGATAAAATTGCACTGGCACGATTGCATAGCGCTCTATGAAAACAATTAAAGTTTTAATTTATTTTTAGTTAATTTAGAATTTTAGGCAGAAGGACAAGCACCTGTTCTTCGGATATGGCAGCATGACAATCACAACAAGAGCGTGGAATTTTGCAGGCACTGTAGTCTCCCCATTTCTCCTGTGCAAAGATTTGAACCCAGCTCCCAGTGAGGACAACAAGATGGAAACCATTGAAGTTTTTGTAATAGTTTTGATCTGTTTCAGAGCATCCAATTTAATTGGTCTTGTCCAAGCCAGAGTTTTAGGCCCGGTGAGTTCAGGCGCTGGACCAGGTTTGAAATATTGATCTTTCAAATAACTCGACCTCATCATGGTCCTCGGAAGGGACAAGATGCCCAACGCGTAGGTAAGCCAGGTTTTTAGAAAATGTGGTCGTGCCATTGTGCACGGGTCCATGCTTAGAGCAAAGGGTTTGTCCGCAAGGACTGAATAGAGCATATTTAGACCGCTGATTCCGTCCATGATGGCGTGATGCACCTCGACAACAATGGCGTAATGCGGCGTGGAGGTATCACTATTAGTGGTATTGTGAAATTGGATTCTGGGAATAACGAATATCTGCCAAGGCGCCTTATTGCTCCCTTTTGCAATAGGAACTTCTTTGGATGATAAAAAGGCAAACAATTCATCTTGCGTGGTTGGAAATCCACGTTCCTATTTAATAAATCAAAGTCTCAGTTTCCCACCCTCTAATAATTTTATATAATAAATACAAATGTGCATATGGCTAACCTCGTCATCCAACACGACTCGGCAGTAATCCATCATATTCATTTCATCCTGCTGCAGCTGCTTCCAACAAGGCACACCCAGGATGGAGGTGATGCTACGACTAAGCCTGCCCCCAATGTATTCACTCCGAACGACCTTGTCAATGGTGGCTCTGAACTTGGTGGGATTAAAGGTACCTTTGATGATGTACAAACCTTGGGGGGTAGATGTGGACGATTTTGTCTCAAATGCCCAATTACCGTCCATCACAGACATGACACTAACTTGGCCATTTTCATACTTCACTCGGATGTATAGAGACACAACTAGTCGGTGCAAGAGTGAGACAACAACAATGGGAAATAGGGCCAATATGTAAACTGGGGACAGAACGATAAGGCTGACCACGGTTTCCAAGATATCCCTCCCAATTCTGAGCAGGAATTTAAAGTAAGACATTGTTCTCGGCTATGAAATGTATAATAATTGAACTGTTTAGAATTAGCTATGGGCAGAAAATAGTGTAAATATGCTTTGTAGATTATCCTTGATTTTTTTATTTATATGAAGTATGTGTGTACATATATAAATAAATACGGCGTGAGTTTTACTGGCCCTGGCTCCATTTGTACATACCTAGGTGCAATTATTGTTAATAATATCGTGAGAAATATTTAACTGAACTTCGTTTTGTTTCTTTTGGGTGATGTGTGCCTAGCATACTTTTAAGCTAGATAATTCGTTTTTGCATTGATGACATTATTTTATGGATTGGAATCCCAAAGTGAAGAAACTATTTAACTATGCCCAACAGGGTACTGGACGTATTTCTCTGACGACATATTGATTAGTATGACTACTTCTGTATTTATGTACATAAATACGTACTTATACTTATACGCATGTAACGTAGATATACTTAAATGTATAGGTTTGCATACTTACATATTTCACTAATGACCGTAACGGAACCCTTTCTGTGGATTTCTTCTTCCTTGGGAACTTAACAGACATTGATGGATAGTCATAAAAACTAAATATCTAGAGCATTGAAAAACGAAAAATTATCATACAAAACCAGTTTTACACGTATTTATGTACAAAGCAGGGGATACTGGTTTTAGGCTTCGGATCTGAAAGTAATAATCGATCGATGGAAGGATGAAATTTGATTAAAAAATGCAAACAAATATTCTGTTATTCTGTGTATGCAAAATTAGAAAACCAGTTTACAAAAGGGCTGTATCACTCAGTTTAATTAATTCATAATATTTACTACAATAAGTATAGCAATTTCGATTGTCTCAGTCTGGATTCTGAAAATTCGTAATGAATTTTTGAAATCAAAAGATCTATACTAATTTACTTATTTGATCTCTTCTAATTGTCATGCTAAAGCATAATTTTAGTTGAGCAAATATAAACTATCAATGAATTAACACTACGCTACTACGCTAACATTGTTATTAGAAATAGTTTGGTACATTTTTGCTAAGTACAAAAGGAAACAATGAAAATGCAAACAAAATTAAATTGTAGTTCTACAATAAACATGTGAGAAATATCTAATAAATAAGTGAATAAATACATCATAATAATATTCTCTTATATATAATCTAATAACTCCTTAACCCTTTTATACTTAATAAGTAGAAAAGCTGCTCATGTTTCTGCTCATAGTGTTATACATATAGGATAAAAGTAGTATTACGTATTACCTGCCACCGGGATTATGCATTTTTGCTTAATTATAAATATGTAATTTCTACACACAGTTATTGTAATACTAATCGACTACAAAAGTGTTCAAAATACATATGCATTTACATATGTATTTCAGTATTTCAAAAAAAATGTGCTAGCAGAGCAACACATAATAGAGCAGATCACATAGTTTTCACGCCTTTACACTATTAGCTACGCATACATTCTATTAATATCGGATTGATAATGATCTTGAATATTTTTTCTCTTAAGTTTAAAGGCTGCCGTTACAAGTCCCATATCTGGAGTCCACAAATCGTGGCATAATGTGAGGGCTCCAGGTATTTCAAACTTGATTAGCTTACAGGAAGCACCATGAGTTTGGAGAACTTTTAGTACTGCGTTTGTAATCTCAGGATCGGCACACATTTGTTGAAAGCTGAGATTTGCTTTTCCCAATTTTGTTGCGATAGCCGTTAACTATTATTAATGCGAAAATTTATTAAATCAACATGGTTTAAATATGTATGAGTATAACCGGAATATGTTAAAACTTACTGGCTTTTGAGTTGGCACAACCAATGCAACACAAAAATTCTTTGTTGAATCTCCATAAACACAAATATTTTCAACAATAGCACAAGTTTTCAACTCGGACTCAACTTTTCCCAAAGAAACGTATTCGCCTGCTTGCAGTTTAACAAGATCTTTCTTTCGATCTATAAGGTAAAAATTATTGAAACATTCAAGTAATCTACCAATAACAAATTGAAATTAATCCGTAATGATTCAACTTACCAATAATTTTGACAACCCCATCATACTGAATTTCACCAATATCCCCACTTCTGAACCATCTTCTGCCATCAGACTCGAAGAAATCCTTTTCTGTAGCTTCCGGCAAATTGTAATATCCAAGAGCAACATTGTGTCCACCCATGCAGATTTCACCCCTTGGAAATGGCTTGTCGGTAACGCGATAGTTTCCTTCATCCCAGTTCACGAGTCGAATGTCACAGCATCCGAAAGGTACTCCAGCTCGTCCTGTACTCATATCCGACTCTGCAAATTTAATAATTCGGTAATCTTTAAAAGAGTCTTTTTTTAGATATTTTTACTTGTGAATTGAATTACTTACGCATTGAAATTGTTGAACAAGCAGCGGTCTCCGTTAATCCATAACCTTGTACCAGCGGAGCGCACAAAGTATTTCTTATGAATTCATGAGTCTCCGCACAAAGTGGTGCACCTTTAAAAAAATAAGTTGACATTAAAAAAACTGTATGTAATTGTATACGACAAAACCAGCATGTCCATTTCTGTAACTCACCACCGCAAGCAATAATCCGAACACGACCTCCAACCAAATGTCGCAACTTTTTGAATGCAATTTTATCCACAATGTGGGTTTTGTACCCTCTGTAATACCATTTGAGTCGGTAGTCGTAGAAAAATTTAAATACTGCTTTTCCAATTTCCCCACTTTCCGACACTTTCTCTTGGATCCCTGTTTTTTAATCAATTTAATCATTCATTGTCCACTATTATTATAATACTGTTAATTATTTTGGGGGGCAAAGCGCAGAGCTGAGGATTACCCCCTTGATGATGTTCATGGCAGGTCAAAACATACCTTTGTAAATTCTGTCGACAATTAAAGGCACCATGGTCATTATCGTTGGCCGTAAAACTCCAGTGTCTCCTTTGCAGCCTCGTTTAATTTTACTCGAGGTGTCCGTCATTGTTAGTGGAGAACTGTAGCCAATAGGTATTCCTGAGAGAAAACTTGTTGCTTCGCACATTAATTCCAACACGTGTGCCAATGGAAGATACCCAATATACACGTCTGTTTATAGAGAAATGCAAGAATGATTTATAAATCATACTACTGTGTAGTAATTATTTAATAACTACATTAATATTACTATAACGTACCGTCATCCTTAACCGTTCCCAGCGCATCACAAAATGCCATCTGAGCTAAAATAATATTTGAATGGGAGAGTAAGACACCCTTTGGATTTCCTGTGGATCCGCTCGTGTACATGATAATTGCCACATCTTCAGGTTCAGGTGGAGACGGAGCTGTCAAAAAGTTAACCAAAAACATTATAGTTTTTTTAACCAAAAGACAATTTATTAAACTTACCAAAATGTGCCTTAGTTCCCCTTGACACAACCTCACAATAAGGATGGATATCTACTCCTTCTCGATACCCTGTAGTTTCCGTAGTCTTCAATGGATCTTCCATGAAAATGATGTGCTTAACCGTTGGCGTTTTGCCCAGCACGTAGTAAAATTTTGGCATCAAATCATGAGATGTGAGGACGAACTCACATTCGGTCTCATTAAGTCCGTGGGCAACAGCATCCTCCCCAAGAGTCGAGTACAGGGTGACCACTTATAAAATTAAACAGGTCACTTAAATCTACACACAATATAAATATTAAATCTGAAACCTATGTTATTTACTTACATGTCAAATTCTGTTTGAAGCATCCTATTGCCGCAATCAACCATTCTGCTCTCGTTTCTGCAAAGATTCCAATTTTGTCCTTTGGTTTCAGTCCCAGCGACCGCAACCCTTTTCCGAAATTTTCAGCCAGTGTGTCCACATCATTGTAGCTTCTCCACACATAATCTCCCATTGCAAACTTTTTGAATACTTTTCCATTCTTTTGCATTTCCTCTTCTTCCGCAAACAACTCCCTCGTGCCTAAACAACGCTTGGTCCCATTACGTCGTACAGCGTAGGAGAACATTTTTGTCAGCGTGTCAATTCCACCGTTCTCCATTTCAATGTGTATCTTGGATATGGGAGTCGTGGCACGAAATGTTACTCCCTCTTTGCTACTGATTAGTTGTGCCTAAATGAAAATATTAATATAAATCCTAATCGGGTATCATCTGCTTCGTTATGTTGCACAAAATTTACCTTTGATTCTTTGTGATCTCGCAATCTACGCCAAGGTTTTTGAGAAATCAGATAGATTGGAAAAGTGAGAACGTCGTAGAGCAAAGTCATCGCTCGTAAAATTACGACCACAACAAGGGCTGCCCAACCCATGATCCCCAACTTCCTTTCTGGCCAAGGGATAAGGAGATGCTTAGATAATAGGATTTGGAAACCCTAAGACCAAAATCAAAAAGGTGTCATTATTATCATTGTTATTACAAAGTCTAAAAATAGGATATATATCATCAATTATGAATAATTTCATCTCTAGATCATTCACCCACCATCGTCTTATCTCACGCTTATCTTATGTATAAATGTATGAAAAATTAACCTGTTTCGCACTCTGGCACACAGAATTATACGTCACTATCATTTTATCGTGTTTAGAAGAGAAGATAAAACTCGTCAACTTTGGAGAGTTGAATGAAATCGCAATCAAAACAGTGAGTAGTTAAAAATTAACTAACTTGACTCAAGTGCAACCACTTGCAATAATAATTAGCAAATAATCCTCATACATTCAACTTCTGGAAAATACTTAATGAATGACTTACCCAAACTTATCTCGTGTCCTGTGTCACGTTAAAACAGACCTAATTTTATCGAATTTGTGGGTCAGCACAACTTGGCATATAAGAGTAACTTTAATATAAAATTAATGATTGATAACTCGCCTGATACAGACGTTGGTTTGTTATTTAATTATTACGCTGTTGTACAATTGCCATTCGAATACCCCCAAAAACTTGGCCAGTCAGCAGTAGAGTAGATCGTCATTCCCTCCCACCACCACCACCACCACATAGCATGCATCATCTCATCTTTGCAAAAATACACGTCATGATTACGGCAGACCTTCTCGAATTCGCCATTTGTGTTTTGGCAAATGGAGAGTGGATATGATGAGCTGTATTTTCTGCTAAAATGTTGATCACGACAAGGTTAGTTAGTAGCAAAATGTTGCCGACGGTGAACCACTTTTTTCTGGAGGTGTTCATGGAAAAAGGCGTAATTTCGTATGAAACAATCAGCCCAATCAACAATACATAATAGATATGTACAGGCAACAGTGCACGTAATGAGCATTTAGGAGATGATTATAATTTGCAGATTTTCTGATTTCTACATATATTCAATAAAATGCATGCGAAATGCATGTGAAAGTACATACTTTCCAATAAAACCGTGATTACTGCTGGGGTTGGGATTGGAATTCCGTTGTACGCATGTTTTAATTATGCTTTTGGGTCAAATATTTTAGGCAATAATATCGCGCAGTTGTGCAGCGTGGTATCAAGCATGCTGTATCATGTATATGTAAAGTAAAGAATATTAATAATAAGTTAGGCTGTTATGTCTGAATTTTGTGTTATAAAAATAGATGGACTGCGTACTAACGTGGTTGGTATTTTTGCATGAAATGCGCATACAAATTATTGTGACAAGTGTGACATCTGTAGGAGAGAATACGTGGAATTTGGTAGTTGTAAAAGAGAGTGATAGATGTGAAGAAGGGCGGTTAGCCTAGTGGTAAAGGTGTCCGTCCGGGAAACGGGAGACGCGGGGTTCGATTCCTCGCACCACTCTTCAAAACATATTTTTGCTCTCTTTCGCGTATTACAACTACCAAAAATCCCACACATCGCATCGATAATCTATTGCATGGTATGGTGAAAGCTTATTGTTTTGGGAAGTATCATAAGGATGTCATTGGTGTCATGTGATGTAACCCATGAATACGAGCATTTTTTAATCAGATCGCCACGTATTATTCAATAATAGTAATCTTACCAGTATAGAAATAAAAATGATATTGCTTATTCGTTTCCAGACTGACCAATCCAGTTACGTAAAGCTCCACATACCTTTTAAAAAATGTTTGTATGAATTACCAGAAATTTATGCCGATTTTTTGTAGGTGGGTTATTCCTAATTTATTCACGGTAATTAACGCATTGTACTTTGTGGGGTGCATGGTCAGTTATATTCTGGTTATCAGCTCGCCATGTTTTCATCTGGCAAAAACGTATGGAAGATTAGAAGAATTAAAAGCTAAAAGTATACTGAATTGTTTTTAGGAAGTAAATCATTGAACCTCACATTCATTGAATGTCAATGCCGTGTCTGGGACCATCAGATCGATAATTTAATTCCTATTCGCTCCAGGAATCACTGCACAAAAAAACATGGAATTTTGTAGTTTAATTGATAAGTATATGTACGTACTAGTAGTTCTAATTCTACATGGAGATAAGCGTGCGAAAAACTGCGTATATACATATGCAGCAGGGATGAAGAAAGCAAGCAAAAAATTAATTCACTAGCATTTCATGCAATTCCGGCACTTGTAATTTTAGTTCATAATGATTATTATAAACACATGAAATTCAGGTGTATGTATGTAGATACATAATACTCAAATGCATATTATGGTAACGTCAACCGTCATGTTATTTTATTTTATTAATTAATGACCAAAGTTTACAGATATTATTGACGTCATGAAAGTACTCAAAAACGAAAATATTTCCCAAAGAACTTGATAATTTTATTTCACCGTCAACCGTACTCCGCTATTATATGCTCATCCTTCCTGGTTTACATTCTCATTAGGACCGATAACTCAGGAGAAACAGCAACCAAAAACGTCATGTGCATACGCAACAACAAAATTATATAAATTCATTAAAAAGTATGACTTCCATCCTCGTGAATTATATGGTCAAGTAAACATTCTGGGATTTCTTCCGTTGATGTTTTGTTATTGAGCAATTTTTTCAATAAACTGGTTTTGAACATATCACCGTCACTTATCTCTTGGACAATTAGATTATGCCTGTTATGCTGAATTTTGTCCATGTCCTTTTCAAGGTCTGATTTTACTTTCCATAGGTTGACAGTTTATTATTATTGAATACAGCATATACGTATTATAATTGCAATTGTTTATACATAGACACCGGACGATGATGTAAAATATACATATGTATGTAAATATCTATTTATATCAGTTTCAGCTCTCATCACAGTTCACGAATCAGTGTTCGCAATTCACATGTATGTATGTACATATTTAGTAATAGTTCATAATAATCAAAGAACTTTCTCAATTTTTCCACCCACTCGCTTTCTAAAAAGGCTGGATTCTTTACGAGTCTGAATTTGGATTTGGATTTTACTGCTGGAAACTTTTCTCCATACAATTTTACCAAGTTTATAACTTGTGAATAGAAGCGTAAAGACAAAAACAAAAATATCGATGCAAAAGTATTGAAAAAAATTGAGGTGTCGCGAATGCATTTTCAGATGGTTCGCCCCCTTCTGACGAACCAGGTATTCTACAAGCTGCAATGCTCTTTCTTGTGGAGTCAACTTGTCTGGCGTGTCCTTCATCAATTTCGATAACCTTTTCGCATTATGCTTAAAACTGGGGTTATTCAAGGCACGTCTCAAGGTTTGATAGATAACTTCCGCTGTTGCAGTTTGTCTGTCGAGTGGGATGGCTACACCATGCTTTACCAATTTAACGAGATAGTCTCCCTGGTCTAAAAAAATTGGAAGTCCTACCATCGGGACAGCATGGTACAGAGCTTCAGTCACACCTTGAAGTCCGCAATGATTAACAAATAATCTGGTAGCGTTATGTGCTAGAACGTCCTGTTGTGGAATCCATGACATGATTTTCACATTTGACGGAACATTTTCCAAATGTCCTTCCAATTTCATTAAGAACTTTTGCGGAAGTCGTTTCGCAGCTTGGAAAAACGCTTGAATAAATCGTTTCGATAAAACCTTTGGGTTAATTGTATATCCGACACCGAAAAGCACGACGCCGTCATCGCCAGCAGATTGCATCCAGTAGTCTAATTCCTGAAAAGTAGTTTTTACATATTTACATATTCGAACCGGACTCTCCCCACAGTAAAGAAACGAATAAAATTATGTAGTATCGCTGTCACACCTTCGGTAACGGTTTCGCCTTTTTAATATGAATCCCACCAATTCTGATAAACGTGGGAGGCAGGAGTTGTGGCGTGTCCATAATGTGGTCGCTATTGATGAGCATGCCGTTCAATTCTTTAATCAGACTGCAAGGTTCTGGACTTCCAGGGAGATGCTTTTTCACCACACCGCTCAGAATCCAGCATTGTCCCCGCACGACGGCTTGCGAGACGACATATGCGAAAGTGTTCACCATCCTTTGAGGAAACGTCATCTCAGAACCAAATTTAGTGAGGAGGTTGGGTGCATGTGAGGGTGGAATAAATGCCTGAATTTTTAAAAAAGTTTGCAATTAATGTATTTTTAATTTAAACTTAAATACTTTTAGACTTATGTATTTACCGTTGTGAGCGTTGTTTCCCCAGATGCGAACTGCATCCCCCAAAATCCCACGGTGGGCAGGCCAAGGTGGTGGGTGAGTGGGAGGGTGCATTCATTTCCGACCAGGTCAACGATAGCCAAGTGGAAATCCATCCTTCTCAATTGTCGTATCAATTCCTTATTTCCGAGCAGATCGTCACAAATGGAGTAGAACATGGAGTATGTTTTCATACTCTCGTAGTATATTCGAGTGTAGGACATTCCCTCCTGGAGAAGAAGGTCGAAAGGGATCTGTGGAAAAAATGCATATGTGAATACTGGATAAAATCTCGTCCAAAGTTTGATGTCTTACGTCGAATCCTGCTTCCTTTTCTTTCGTCAAGTAGGAAAATCTGCCGTCTTTATTATTCACAGTGAGCACAGTTTCCGTCATATTTTCATGAGGGAGGGGAGAATGGTGATGGCTGTCCTTCCATCTCAAATAGTGGACGTGATGACCATTCTGGGCAAAATATTCCCCTGCTGTCCTCCAAGTTAGGAGAGGAGACCCTGAATACAAAGCATGAATCACGAGAATTCTTGCTGCCAGAGTATTTTGAAGGAAAATCGTCGTCCACACTAATGGCAGGAGAATTGATGGAAATAAGTATCTCATTATTTCTGTTCGTTTTTAAGGTTATTTGTCGTGTGCGTTAGAGAGTAAAAATGCATGCAACCATTTCATGGAGAATTCAAATACTGAATAAGCAAAGACGTTCATGGGCAAATCTATAATCCGTATTTTTTATTTAAGACGCGATTGAAGCATAGGAAGCAGATAAATAAGTAGTTGGGGAAGACATGCAATTAGTGATTGTCTAATATGATATCATTGTTGGCCAGGTACCATATTCGTGTTCATGTCCACCATATACCTAATGGTACTTAAGCTATTGTACATATGTACCTACATACATGCATAAATATACTTGAGTTTGCATACATATATTAATACACAGTGTAGGGCATCCAAAATCGGAAGATTTAAAAAACGATTTTTGACTATTCCCTGTTTCCACATTTTTATAAGACCGGTTTTAAATTATTCGGATGTTGAAAAATTTTAGAAAACGGTTTCCGATTCTGTACAAAACCGGCTTAGTCAAATTAAAAAAAAAAGTTTAGTAAGCTAGAATTTAAAACAAAATTAAAATTAAATATAAGCTTGGCTATAAGGCGTTTCAAAACAATTAATTCTGATCTCAACAATAAGAAATATTAAATACTAGCGTGTAAGCCCGTCTCCCGCAGCGCTTAGTTGATTTTCATGAAAATTAAGTACGATTGTTCATAATTAATTCCACCGAATTATTTTTTATTGTATCTATATTATTAGCTGGAAATGTGTGTTAGCAAGGGAAATGAAACTTTCTCCACTTTCACTTCCGTTGCCAACAGACATTTCCAGCTTATAATATAGATTAGCTATAAAACAGTCTGAGCCACTAATAATCGAAAACAGGTTTTTTTACAAAAACGCTTTGTTTAATGTATAACCGATTTTCGGTTAAATCGAAAAACCTTTTTAATCGGATTTATGAAATCGAAAAACTCGATTTTGGATGTCCTAAATTACACTCATTTACAATTTAAGCTGCTATATGTGTAGGTACGTCAAAAAATGGATGGATTTCTGGAAAAAAGTTCCTACAGAGCAATATCATTGAAGCGTGGGAACCAACATATCGAACATATGTATGTAGATTGTATTATGAAAGTTTGATGACTAAATAAAATACCCCAGATGTATTTTCTTTATTATTTGGTTAATTATCTGTAAGATCAATTGAAAAATTTTGACATCGTAATCTGACTGGATTCATGGACCATGGTATTTTCTATAAATCGCGTTTGAACATTGGACTTGTTGTTAGAAATAAGTACGAGTAACAAAGTAATTTAATAAATATGCAAATCGCATGCAATTCTGCAATTTTTTTGACCTGCATAATGCGCAGGGGATCGATCGCTCTGTCGTCAACTTAGGCATCAACGGCTTTTCTCAATTTATGAAATTGTTGGAGTAAGTAATGATACACTTACAATCATTTAGAGTCGCAAATAAATATACATTTTCCTTCCTCATAATCCATTTTGCTACGCAAGACGAATACAAATATATCATATTACTGCATACATTTATATTAAATATTAATGAAAGTAATGGTCGTAATTTATTTCTTATGCACGTGCAACACGTTTCTTTCACTCGAGTCATTCACAAGATTATTATTTAAGCCATCATCAACTAAAAATAATTATTATCCTGCAGTACGACTACCCAACTCGCTTTTGTATTATTTTTCTGTGACTGGTATAATTAGTGATGTGTAGTTCTGGATTCCAGTCTTTATTGTATTTCCAAATTCCCAAAGGTTATGTTAGGTTCATTTCACCCGAGATTCTGTTGTTTATTGTTTTAAAACCAAAGCTAATTTCATATTGCATGTGACTTTAGTGTAGTTCTGGTTTTTACAAACCTATACAAACCACGAATATAAAAAGCTCATTTATATTTTAATAATGACGGTAATCTCCTTTTTTGCGTAATTCCATTCAGAGAAGGTAATTTCCGATGCAATATGGCGAGATGGGAACGGGAAAATACATGAATTGCTGGGAAGGTCAAGTTCATAAAGAGACTCGAAATATACAAAAACACATTTATAAAACAATTAATCGAAGCACTGCTTGTGCAATGATATTTCTAATTGGGATATTTCAATTGGGATAATTAGATAAAAATATTGTGGTTGAATTTGTTTTTGAACCCTGTTTATGTGTATGATTAGGATAAAACTATAATATTTATACGTATACCATACCACTTGATAATGTGTGCAGGTGGTAAAATTCAAGAAATTGACTGATACCAAAGCATTTGGAAAAATATTTGGAAGAATGCTTATTTATGAACATCGTATGAGAGATATATTCAGACATTTTGTTAATTTGTAGTTTATGCCAATACATAAGAAAAATCGTCAAATCACAATGTTACAAAACTATGAATATCATGTCACTCACGTTTGCCATGTATTGATTCATATGATAACCTATGGTCCAATGATCTATCCGTTTTCCACATTAGACATTTTCTATAAGTACATATGTAGATAGCTTGGGCATAAATATCTTGAGAAGTTTGTGTGCACGTGTAAAGTACTTAGATAAATAAGTAAATTTGTCATGTTAGAGACCCCACATCATTGAACTTGACTGCGGGCAACTGCTATTCACTATTATTGTACATTTGCAAAAATAACATGTTTTGAACTATCCTAAATCGCAACATAGAACCAGTTTTTGCGAGGAAATTGTCTCATTTGATTTCAGAAGAGGGTGAAGTATAAGGCAAGTTCCACAAAAACCAGAATACACAAGTACATATAGTACGACGCACAAATACCTACGTAAATACGTAAATACCAATAATTATACCGACCGTACGCAATTATATTGCAAAGCGCCAGTAATATTTGAAATGGATACCAATGAAGAACAACGTCTCCTGCTTTTGAAGGAAAGTATTCAAAGTGAGTCCACATAATTGATAATTTTGTATAAATCAATGAATTATACAAAATTCTAATCATTTTACAGATGAAGCAATCTACTTTGAACACTTCAAGCCCCTGCTCACTGATAAATTTCTGCTGCATTTTATCCGAGGACGAAAACAACGAGTGGACGTTGCATTTGAAACGGTACACATTTTAACCATCATATGAAAATGATTAGCAATATTTGAACTCAGTTTTTGCATTATTTTTAATACAGCTCAAAAAGTATGTGCACATCCGAGGAGACAAATACGCTGATCTATTCCAGGACCTTCTCCCGTCCGCGGTGAAGATAAAGCATGACGCAGTACGAATGTTGCGATATCCTGGTCCAAACGGACAAGCGATACTGGTCACCCGGGTATCGTGGTGGCCTTCGGTGTATTTACCTCAATATGATGACCTCGGATGGGACGAAATCATTCCTAAGCTCATTCACGCAGTGGATGGGGTTCTTGGTTGGAAGGACGCGGAGACAATGGGATTTGAATTGATCATAGATTTGGATGGATTCAATCTCAAGTATTTACGAAGGCTGCTCGGAATACAGCCATTGATCAAATTGATTAATATTTTCTTTGTAGGTTACAAATTTGGTAAAATTGCAAAGCATTTACTATATTCTATTGGTTAGAATCTCAAATTATTTACTTCTGGTAGAAAGCGGTACCTCTTCGGTTTGGAAAAGTGCATATGCTAAATGTGCCTATATGTTTCAATATCTGGCTGGCTATGGCGAAACAGGTAGATTTCGCTGGAATATTGCGACGGGTAAGTTAAATTGCAAACAAAATAAATTTCAGAAGTCTGTGCATAATAAATATATGCTAAATTTTTCTTGATTAATGCAGTTCTTTATGCATGATGGCAAAATGGGATCACTCCACTCGCACCTACCTCAAAATATACTGCCTACGTTGTTTAATGGACATCTTTCACTGGAAGATGCACTTGATGACGAATTTGCTCAACATGTCCTCAACAATGAGGATTTTTATTACACATTACAACAATGTATTAAGCAAAAAATGTGAAATTGGATTGCGGACAATCCAATATAAAATTATATAGATATGTATTTATGATATTCTAAATAGAAAAAAATAGAATACATTGTTGTGTACCCAGTAATTTTTAAATATGTACAATTATTTATTTACTTTATTTATTGAATATTATTCCCCAAGCCAAACAAATAAACATAAATACATTGAAATTCGTGCAAACTATTTCAACTGTTTAATTTGATGTTCAGGGGAAAATATACGATTAATGACTCGTCATGACAAGATACATATGTGTGCATACATACTTATGAATTTAAAGGAAATGTGCATTTTAAATTAATTGATGGGAATGTGGTAAGTGATTATGTAGTATTTAGCTTAATCCAATGTCATCATGGCAAAAAGTAATTGACGTTTTGTGCGATAATAAATGTTCTGGTATGGTTGAGACGTAAAAACTCATCTCAATACCCATAAATTGATAAATGCGAATCGTAAGTATTTGTATAAATACAAATTCCATAATCACACTCACATGAACTATGTAACCTTTAAAAGTTTATGTGTTTGATGAGCAAATAATTCCTCCAAATCTATTTCTGCTTATGACTAATTCACTCTTGTAAATAAATAAGGATTGAGCTTGATGTTAAATTTAAATGTTCTCTTTCCTTTAAAATTTCAAGATTACAAATGATTACAGGATACAATTTTATTTATTATTCAATCCAATAAATCTCGTCACTGCTGCCAACTCACTTTCAACGATATCATGAAATTTAAGAGGTGTTCAAATAAAGACGGCATGCAAGTAATAATTTTAGATATCTGCATAAATTTGTATCCGTTTCACTTGGTCTTTAGTGGAATTCACTTTTTCCAAAGAAAATGTCTTATAAAACGGCTGGAAACATGATAACTTAACCACTTCTTATGAAACTTGTAATTAACAATTAATTAACATTATGACCTTGCATATTGCACGAGCATTGCAAATAATACGAATTTGGATGGAACCTGTAAAATATAAAAACCTCACAGAAACGGAAGCGTATTTATAATGAATGAATGGAAAGTATGTAAAGCATATACATTCAAGCGCAGATTTTATCAACTCTTTTGAATTATTTACATAAATCTAAATCTGATTTAATCTGAAAATAAGTTTATTTAACGAGCTTCTAAATGTCACGTAACAAATTCACAATAATTGTATTAATTGTAAGGAAATTCCTTCCCATTCAGCGTTGCATGCACAAATATACAAAAGCGTGTACAGTGTCGGACAGATGTCTACGTCCACATAGTCGCGTCAATTTCATTTTCAAATTGTCACTGAACTACTGAACCAATTTTCATCATTGATATATCAAATTCTCACAAATTTAACGTAATTTCATAAAACATATGAGTTATTTCTGAAAATTCTGGGAAAACTGAGAATCATAGTGCAGAGCGAGAGAGTCCTACCTCATCTATTTCTATTTTCACTTCAAAATCTTACCCCTTTATTGGTGCGTGGAGGAAGGTATGTAACTTACGTATTGTGTTTGTTATGGTTGTAATGTGTATTTATACTTTTTGTCTGTGCCTGATTGGGTTTCCATTTCCTTGTCGGATGTTATTTATGGGGAAAGTGAGGACGATTAGTGTGAGGACGATTAGTGCGGACAAAAGTCTACGTCCACTTCACTTTAATTGTCAACAACAAAAATCTCTCCAATTTATAAAATCAGGTAACTTAATAAATCTATCAATAACATATGCCGCATTAATTTTTAAATAATTTTCTTCCAGAAAAATATGATGGCGTCGACACGCAAGGAAATTCCTATCGCTATTCGAGATCTTGTCATTCAGGACTGGAAGGGTGGACAAAAAGGGGGCTGTCGCAGAGACAAATATGGACCAAGTATAAATTAGCAAGGACAACCATCCAGACAATCATTAAGAACTTTAAAGCTAATGGTTCAGTCCAAAACAAGGTCAGAAGTGGTCGAAAACCCATTTTGGCTCACCGAGAAGTACGCCACGTGCTCAACAAAGTCAACGTTACACCCTCACTTAGTGCTCCAAAGCTATCTACCGAGATCAAGGAGATGTTCGGCAAACAGGTTAGTCCTATGACCATCCAAAGAACACTGAATAAGGGAAATTTGAAATCCCACAGAGCAGTCCGGAAGCCTCTTATTGTACCGAGGAATGCAACCAAACGAGTGAAGTTTGCCAGAGACCACATTTCCAAGCCACAAACATTCTGGGACATATTTTATGGACTTACGAGTCAAAGTTCAATGTCTTTGGGTCAGATGGGCGTCGTAGAGTGTGGAGATATCCAAAAGAAGCTTTGAATCCAAAAAATCTCAACCCCACAGTTAAGCACGGCGGCGGGTCGGTAATGGTGTGGGGATGCATGGCTTCAAGTGGGGCAGGAAAAATGGAATTTATTGACGGAATTATGGACCAATACAAGTACCAGGGAATACTTGACCGTAATATCCAGGAATCTGTTCGAAAACTTGGACTTGGACGACGATTTGCCTTCCAACAAGACAACGATCCGAAACACTCTGCCAAGTCCACCATGGAATACTTCAAGAAAAAAAAATTCCGAAGCTAGAATGGCCTCCCCAATCTCCAGACTTGAATCCCATTGAGCATCTGTGCGACCACATTGAAAGAGAAATAAGAAAACAATCTTTTTCAGGAATTCCGGGCCTTAAATCCAGAATTCGTGAAGTTTGGGAAACCATTTCTGAAGATGTGACCAAGAACTTGGTAAACTCAATGACTCGACGCCTTGAAGCCGTCCTTAAAGCGAACGGAGGCCCAACCAAATATTAAAAATTAATTGTTATAACATTCCTTATAAATTACAGTTTTTTTTGTATGTTTTCTCTGACTGGACGTTGACTTTTGTCCATCCAATTGTTTTCATTTTGAATTAAAATACATCTCTGGCCTAAAATAAATTTTTTAGCGGAAAACTAATAATGTGCTATGAAATTACGTTAAATTTGTGAGAATTTGATATATCAATGATGAAAATTGGTTCAGTAGTTCAGTGACAATTTGAAAATGAAATTGACGCGACTATGTGGACGTAGACATCTGTCCGACACTGTATATACGTAGAAGTTTGATCTCTGTCATCGTGGGCGACTGGGCTTCAAAACCCTATTGTGACACGGGCACGATTCGCGTGTATTGTGGCTCTTGAATTTTGCTATAAAACCAAATCTCAGATGAACAGCAGGGCATAGTTATCCTAACCGAATACTAATAAAACACAAAATGAAACTCGCAGTGATTGTCCTTTTCGCCTTGGTGGCTGTAGTCGCGCTGGCGGCGGTAAGTCTGCTAATTATTTCATATTTAATATTTCATATTAAACATTTCCCAGAAACTGAGGGTTAGTTTCGTTCGGCAAAATTTCAGGGTGCGCCAACCGAGTTGGAGAGCGAAGAGTCAGTGATGGTTGGAGGGGCAGAGTCATCGGAAGAAGGTGTCGCTGAAGGTATGTAAATATAGACACAATGGCTGAAATTTTAATTAAATGTGGCCAGATACTACTAATTCCCATTGCATCACCATTTCAGTCAACTGCGACAAGAAGAAGGGTGGTGGTGGTGACACTGGTGACAGTGACTCAACCGAGGCTACTGCATCCGGAGTAAAGAAATCCAAGGCTGGACGTAAAGGAAAGAAGGATGCAAAGAAATCCCAATAATTTATGTCGACTGAGCTTCAAAATTCTTAATTCTTACGGATTCATCAGGACAAAATTGCGAAAAATTGAATTTGGCAATAAATTAATTTCTACATACATCATCCATTCAGCTTCCGTATTTACTACATTACATTGCATTGCATAACGACATACCGATCGATCGGTACTGATTTGTCCACAAAGCATATGTTACATAGATCGTATCAAATATGACTCCGTATATATACTTAGGAACCAGGTATTCATTCAGCTATCAATTAGTTTCTTAGTGCAACTTATAATCATGTTCTTAGCATACAGATAAGTGCGCATTTGATATTCCTTAATACGTAATTAATTATGGCTTGGTGTAGTCGTTTTCCCACTCTTTGACCCCCAATTCATCCGTAAACGCATCCAGCAAGAGTTTAGCGTCATCACGAGAAAATACTGAATCGTCCGTAGATGAGTAGAAACGAATGCTGTCTCCGTACCGCACACCGGTAATTAAAAGTCCTGTCAAATTGCGAGTTATTATTGCGAGTGGGTTCACATTTCATTACCGTTACATAATAAATAAATAAATGTTGTTATAATCATCAGTGATTGCAACATACCCACTGGTTTCTTGGGGTGCGGCCAGACCATGACTTCCTCAATCACCGAACCATCAATACTTCCCAAATTTCTGAGGAATGGCAAATTGTTGAACATGGTAGAAATGAATGCACCTCCTTGAAATTTGTGAAACAGGTTGAACACGGGTCTGGGAAATCGATCCATCCATCTCAGCAGGAAATAAGCTGATAATAAATCTCTGGCTCCTGGAATTTGTACCAGCTCATCCTCGTCCTCTGCGTCCAATGGCAGGTGAACCTTGACGAAACTAATCCGATTTCTCGGGCTAATATCCGGATAAACGGGAACCTACACATAAACAAAGTAATGAAGACTTTACATCACTGAACTTTGTTGCGGACAACCGCTATTCACTAAACGTTATTCACTAACAGCAAGTGGCACTGATAAGTTCATTGTTGCATTGTAAACCCCCTTCTGCTTGGCTACCAGTGCTAAAGCTGATCTCGCTGCGCTGGCGATAATGCTTGTGACCGATGCAGTTTTATCATACTTGTTTTTCAGTTGTCTTAGATTCTCTACTGGCACAACTGAAGAGACTTTCATGGTGATTTTTCGCTCACTATTTACCGCTAGGAAAAATTAAACATAAATTTGTAAGCTTTCCAGGCTACTGTAAACCACGCTGGTTGTTTGTAAAATCGTAAATAAGTAGAAAATACCTAGGAAAGGATCCTTCTGAAGATGGTTTCGGTTATTTTGAGAGTGTAGAAATGTTTCGAGGAGGAAGTAAGGCACCTAGGATGATATTCAAAATAGTATCAAATACATATTTATGTAGGCATGCAGTATTAGTTCCACTTACACGAAGTAAAGCATAAACTTTGGACACCAAGAGCATAAAAGTTTGCCAGGGGGGTAACTGTTTCGTGAGGTCGAATACAAATGGTGGGCTTGGCTGGTCCATGAGTCCTCGAGAAAGCAGCATTGCCGTCGTAACTCCGTCCATATAAGCGTGGTGGAAGCGGAACTGGAAATAATTAATAACTAATAACTAAACATAATAGAATATTTACTCAAAAATGATTGCTTCGGGTCATCTCAATGCATAAATGCCCATTTTCGACGATACGGACTTTCCATATTAGGTAAACTCTGTTCCTCGGTAATACCGATAGACAGAATTCTGTACGTAAAAATATGCAAATGATGTGACATGCCGAAATAATTATAGAGCATGCAACATTCATCCCTCTAACGAACGTTAAGCTTATTGCTAAGTAAGCTAATTTTAGCAAGTATTCATGTGAAGCAAAAATTAAAAAGAATCTGGAGTACTTATGTATAAAATGCTTACTATCCGCATTGTGCGTAGTCCTTCCGGCATCAAAACGCGTTGAACTATTAGCCATTCCCACTCTGGTTGAGAGTCATCGCAGTCCATATACTGCCATAATCTAGTAACTACGATTATTTTTTAAAATATTAAGTGTTTATGTAAGGCTATGCAAATAATTTGAAATGATTTGCTTGAAAGTTAATATTGTTCATCATACAAATGGAATCCAGTAGTTCTTCTTGTGTAAAGTAGTCTCTTCCTTGACCAGGTTTGGACAAATCGTATAATTTTACATGGTTTCGTATGTCGAAATTTTCCCCGTTGTGCTTCCAGCATCCGTAACCTTGTTGGCAGCTTAATGTTTCCGTGAGTCTTTTGAACGTCTTCCCTCCAGTCTTTGTTTGTTGGCTGGACAGGAATATATGTAAATTGGAAAAACATATTATTCAAATTACACATTTTTACCACGGAGAATATGTGGTTTAGAAAACGCCCTACTTGATTAGTTAATAATACTCATCAATTTATAAAACTGGATAAATATTAAGCCACCTCAAAATGATAGAACTAGTTTTTTTGACACTATAGACAAGCTTGTTATTGTGGCTTGGGTAGTTGACACTAATTTTTAAATGCAATGTTGATGAAGGTCACTTCACATCATAAATATGAAACATTTACATTAGTCCAATTCCGAACATATATTTTATGTAGAATGCCATAAAAGTGCAAATAAATTTTGAAACAAGTATTGTCATGCGTCAGATGCAGGTATGTAATGACGCACGAAAAATAATTGTGATGATCACTCACAACTTGTAGGCGTCTACGTACATGTCTTGACCATAAAACATGAACCGCAAATAATAAGAAAATGAGTTTTTTTATGTTTTCCGAACCTTAACACTCTCTGAAATCGGGATCGTTCCTTTTCGATATCAACTTCGTCCTGAGACACCAAAACGCACAAATTTAGCCCCCCATGAAAAGGGCCGGCTAGATAAAACATGTTGCTTAATCCAAATCCGAAAAGCCTGTACTTTGTCCATAATAACGACAAACTAACGAATATTCGGCAAATTTCGTTAAAAAGTGCTACTATCGTCAAACTGGGAAAAATCAGGGTATACGCTATCACAAATTTTAACATTGTCGCGATAACTTGCACCACAAAACTTAACATTTTAGGAATCATTTTTCTGATTTTTTATGTAAATTATTATTAATTATTAATTATAATTATGGTGGGAATTATTCCAGTCAAAATGTGAGTTGTCCTCCATGCAGCACTGGAGTTGTTGGCTAATACCACGTCTTTTGGAACGGTGTGTCCAACCAGAAAATTTTGCGAGATCCTGTGAAACGATCATTATAGTTCAAAGTGCAAATGTACATTAATTGTTGCAGAGTTGACTGCAAAATTGATGCGAAAAGTTGTAACATAGGAATGGATAATTTTTTTGCTGATCAGTAACCGGATTATAATAAGAGAGAAGAATTCCTCATTAGATTGACCATTGAGATTGACCAAGGTCTATGTAGCATGTACGTATGCATATCTACATATGTACGTCTTTTTATTTCTTGACCAAGCATGCAGAGCATCTTGCATTGCATTGTTAGCAATTGTGCGGATTGGAGTGATGATATAATAGTAATGATGATAACTTGGTTGGCTGCCTGAGCAAGGAACCTCGTTCCACTTGTACAAGTATACGCAAGTCCACTCCCATACTGACTTTATTGGACAACAAGAACAACTTTTGGGTCTCAAAATTTTTTGTTGATCAAATCAAACAATAATGCACAAGCATTAACCACTCATCATATTTACATTTAAATACATGTCTTAGATTACATATTTCTTGGTGTTATAATATTATATATCACCCAGGTATTCGTTTATGGCCGGATTGCGGGTCTTTGGAATATGAATATAGGTGCATAAATATAGTTGATCGTATACATGAGCACTATTTAACAGCGTACACATACATGCAAAAATAGCAATTGTATAACAGTATTACCATTGGTATGCTAATAAACATTTCCGTATGCAACCGCACTGCTAAAGAGCAGATAGTATTCGGATAATTTGAAATTGTCGGGTTTAAAGTGTATTATGCAAAAATCCGACTAGGGTAAGATTAATTACTTTAGCAAGAAATTAAATAGACTTGATGCTTGTGACTTGCGTAGAAATTATGTAGAACTTGTGCTCTTGGACAACCGGTTGTGACACAGTTTCATAGAGAAGGTTGGACGGCTTGACATGCGTTAGATGGTCATAATGTGAGATCTTGAGACGAAGAAGGATTCATTGTCATCAAGAAATTCGCTACTTTATCCCACTCAAATTTATGCATAATATTTAGGTGTGAGAAAATTGGGATATGCCAAATATCGATGACGAGGCTTCCAACCTCATTTTAGCCCCAAATTAAGGGTCAAGGGAAAGAAATTGTGCGTGGATGACTATCGATTACTATAACATTACCGGCAATAGGTTCATCTTTAGTACAAAGTTAAATTCAGCCACTGAATATTATTAGTGCATCTCGAAAAGTGTATAGTTTTTCGTATTATACAAAACGTGACGTCTTTTTGAATTGATTACAGACTGAACCAGTCAGAAGTTTTTAATGACAAGAAAATTGATTATATAATGACGTTGGATGTAAATTGTACTCGTCCTATGCACTCATTGGGTTTAAACTCTGTAACTTCACGACTACTTTCTTTGTTCTGTAGGCCGAGAAGGTGGTTCAGTAATAAATTATAATGTGTATGTTCTAGTGTAAGACAATAAAAATTGGGTCTAGTTTTTCTTAATTCAAATTTAGCATATTATGAAGAAATTTTTTGGTAGGAAAATTGGAATATACTCCCGAAAATATTTACATAATTGTCGTTCTGCCTTCTTTGTTAATTTGTGAAACTTGTTCTGGAAATAATGCGTACAAAAGTTTGGTGTGTTCAAGAATCTTCCATCAATAGATATGGGATAATTTTTCTGTGATTACATCTACGAGTATAAATAAATATTTATTTATGTACCTACGTATATGAGCAATGTGGCATCAGGTTTTCTTACCGAGATGCTATAAGGCGATTGATATTATTAATACTCCAGCCTGGAGTCTCCAGGTCGATCTTCAATAAATATGACTGATGCACCCAGTGACCAGTGTTTATGTAATCATACTAACCATTATTTACTCCAAATACTATATAACTACTTAATACAGGTAGTACAACATTATTGAGTTTGATATACATATTTGACATATATCAAACTTGCACATAAATCCACATCTTGTAATTATTACCGAATTTTATGGGCTCGTAAAATTTTAGTCATCCCAGGAAGGAGGTAAATAGTAAATAAAATTAAAACAATAATTGGCGAGCAGGTATTACGTATACGTCTCACAGTCACATCTGGCGTTGCTTCGTTGCACAATTCCTTACGCAAAGTTTATAAGTCCTGGAATTTTGGGGAGTTGAAATTGCGTGTGCTGAATGCATTTTAATTTCTCTTTAGGAGGAAAATTGTTCAGAATAAGATTTACTCTTAAAAAATTCATGTCAATTTTCGTGTTAATTTTGCTCACTAGAACCATCTGTGTTTAAGTGTAGTCGTTGAGTATTAAACACGCAATTTTCATTTTGGCTGTGTTACGATTGGGAATGTCGATGAAAATATCTGAATACTTGGAGGATTTTTATGTCAATGCATTATGTACATACGTATAAGACGGTACGTACATACTGGATAGGTATACCCTTCGCTAAAGTGACCCCCCGGGGGTCAGTAACCGATTTCGATGTCCTTCGGGCATGTGGTAGTCTCCAATCAGTGTACTGAAACCCGAAGTGTTTTGACTCTAAGCTCCGATTTTATCCATTTCAAAAATTAATTTCATTATACATAGCTAAAATGTATAATTTTTGGAAAATTCAGTTAAAAAGCTGTGTATCTCTTTATGCTCAATATATTTGGTGCGCTACATAATTAAATGATGTCTGACCAAACAAAACTCCGCTATTTTATAAAATTATCTAAAATCAATTTGCGTCATGATTTGTTTTTGTTTTTCATTTATTTTTACGCGTCACCAACAAAGAAGTTTCCAAATAAAGCACTCTCTCGTACAGTCAACAGTATATGTATGTACATATCTACATACATATGTGTATAGGTACATGTTAATCTTTAATTGGCGTTTGTTGCACTTGCACGCATCAGATACAACGAGATACGAGATGATCTGCATCGCTTCCTTCCTTCCCTTCTAAACATCAGCAACATTGTTGTAACCTTCATTTGATGATCTGTATGTAGGTTCCTCATTTTGGCATAATTTGTATGCGTTGGTATCAGATTAATTGCAGTTTACTTACTAAATTGTTATTTTGCTATATGAAAACAAAGATGGAAACAAAGCGAGTGTGATATGGCAATACAGACATGTGAATCTCTTACTTAGGGTTAGTACAGGCTAAATCTGATGAAAAATAAACCTATGTACAAGGAAGTGAATTAAATGTCTACTTACTTAGCTTAATATATGCGGGTATTGCGGATTATGTTAATTAAACGCATTTCGAATTTACATATTAGTTGATGCTGCTTCGTGTAAGTAAAACACTGCATATTCTGCCTGATTATATTTTGCATACCGTCTTCAATCCAGCCAAAAGTTAAAGCATTTAAAAAAACGACATACCGATTGCAATACCTTTCTCATATAAATATGTGCGCACAATTGGCTGGGAATAATTTGTAGATATTTGATTATGCATATTCGGTAATTCCACATTTTTGTATTCGGATACGAAACCAACAAACTCTTAACTTGTTCTATTTTAACTGAATAGAAAAAAAATTAGTAAGAAAGAATATCTATGAACCTTTTTCATACGGTTCATATTTTCTCATCAGATGTATATTTATTACGACATCATTAATCTAAATCATGAGAACTTTTTCTAATTCGGAATTCCCCTAAACAACTTAGCACCATACTCCCCAAAATCATAATTAAGGAAACTATTTGCATACTTTTATTCAGTAATAATTATTGCGTGTGAAATTTAGTAGAAATTTTACAATTTGCACATTCCGTGATCCATTTAAAGTGCACACCATAAAGATTTATCTATTTGATAGAATGCATATTCCAAACGTCAACGATAATAAAATAAACTAAACGGAGATGTGCCATAAACGAAACCAATTTCTTTTATGCGGGTCCAGTCCTTCGAAGAAAGCCATGAATTGAAGAAGCATAGTTTTCGAAGATTTGAAATTTAATACCACGAATTAACTATTTCGTACCTCAAATATAGTTGTAGGCGAAAATGAGTAGTATGCAATCACTTGAAAATACAATTCTTCGATTGGGAGATCAGTCCGGTATTTATTCTGACGAAGAAGAACAAGCCATCTCGGCGATTTATGACAAAATTGACAGTAATTGTGTTTCATTCTTTCACCATTTGTACCGGGTTTACTATACTCAGCCAGGTTTATTTGATTTTAGCCGATCCAGATTTACAAAGCTGGAGAAAATATATGCCCAAGAGCATTGTGATTGTGGTACTTCGCATATACAAAATGGATGTTGATGTGCTGTACGAAACCGTAAGCAAAAAATATACATTTTACTTTATTGAATCTGGAAAAATAAAAGTATGGATGATCTCGCAGGTTAAATCCCTTTCTACGGTGGCATTAAAAACCTATCCTGACCTTCTTGCACGCATTAATCCAACCAGATTGCAATCCATCTCGAATAGTAAAGTTTTTCAAATTTTGAAAAGACCTGTCGACGAAGGACCAGCTGTCATAATTTTCAGAATTAGTAATACCTAAGTTCAGCCTTCAACGATCAGTAAATGTAGAAATATAAACCTGTTATTTATTTCATAGATCGTTGGATACCTTGTGAAGCGAATTTGGAGGAACTGGTCTCAGTATCCACTCTATATTTCCTCACGGCAGCCAAATCGTCGCCAAAATTACAAAGACAAGGATTCATCCTGATTTGCGATGTGGCAGGGTTCCGGTTACGTCATGCGCGACATTTGACAACGATTGACTTACTGTCAAAAATTGCAACTGTCCTGAGTGCAATTTCCACAAAAATGGTCAAGGGTGTCGTCGTGATCAATAGCTTTGCATTTTTCTATCACACATTTAACATGTTCAAATGGGTGTTGCCTTCCAGGATGAAGAACATTGTGAGTCATGAGTTATTTCTGTAGCGAGTATTACATGCATGAATATTACATGGATTGCTTTAGAAAATGGAGATTTACTTGCATATAATTTTTTTTCAAGATCCAAATTACGAAATCCGACATGTCCCACATCACCAAGTTGATCCCTCCAGAAAGGCTTCCTGTAGAATTGGGAGGAGTCGTCGAAAGCATGGCGTATGACGAAACCATTTCAAAAGAACTATTCTCTGACGTAAACCTGATTCCTACTTTAAGTTACTTGTTAAATGAAGTTCTTATAACTAGCGGATACAGAAGAAGGAGACGAAGTAGTGTTAAATAAATTGTCTTAAAATGTTGTAGATAATTGCAATATGTATAAATACTCAAGATACTTGCATGCAGTATATTTCAAGTTATTAAAATGACAAACTATATAGTTCTATGAATATGGTAATTAATGCATGGTATTCTTATTACTCATATATGTATGTACTGTACATAATGTACAAACAGAAATTCGGCTAAGAACTATGAAATTGCTTTTGGTAATGCAAATATAACGTGCTATTGAATGGTTTGGTTAACAAATTCTGCACTTTGTGTAATTCCTTCTGCTTTACTTTTGGCATTTTTGAACTTGGGAACGACGGATATACCTAGTTCAATAATCATGTATCCAGACATGCATATTTGAGTACAGAATTAAAATTACTGTATTTGTAATATCTTTTAAGCATCATAGTTAAGGGTGTATCACAAATCCGGGTAACGTAAATAAATAAATTCTTTGAACTTTAAATGGCGTTTTATCCGTAGTAGTGTCCATGATGACGATGATGGTGTCGGTGTCCATTGTAACCCCCATTTCCGTAGTATCCGTTATACCCACCCCCATTTCCGTAGAAGCCACCTCCACCACCATAGTAGGGCGCTCCTCCTATTCCAGCTCCAAAGTATAGTTGTGGATCAGCTGACCGCTTTCCTCTGTGACCATGTCCACCTCCATAATGACCGTGTCCACCGCCGTAGTGACCATGCCCCCCTCCGTAGTGACCGCCTCCGTAATGACCGTGTCCTCCTCCGTAGTGACCGTGCCCCCCTCCGTAATGTCCACCGCCGTAATGACCGCCACCGCCACCGTAGTGACCACCTCCGTGATGTCCTCTCTGTGGGTCTGGTCCAGGATCAGCAGATCGTTTGTTTCTTCCTTCAATGGCACCAGTTGTAGTAATTCCAACTAAAGTAATAAACAGAATTAGTATTTGTAGTGAGTTGCAAAAGATAAGTTGATTTCTAAATATGCAACTTACCATCAGCGACGTCTTCGTTACTTTCATCGGACTCGCTGGATTGATTGGGATTTCCACTCTGTGGGAAACTCTGCACCGTTACTACCACCCCAACGATTAAGAACAATACTGCCTTGTTCATTTTACTAGTACTTGTAAAGTATGTGTCGTTGCGCTTTATTTACAGATATTTTGTTCTCCAAGTTGTTCCTCACTCAATGAACTGATATCAGACTCACCGAAGTGCAACCCATTTTATACCAATTTGCAAGCTACGTCATTGTTTGTTTTGATTTGTTTGCGACACGTACACCCCACAACTTGTCGTGTACCGTTTACTTGCACATGTGTATGCTGGGCATTTTGTTTATTAATCGAAGTAACAAATATTGTTGTTGTTGTTTATTGTTGTTGATTTTATTTAAGGATTGAGATCTGAAGAATGACGCTTCTTCCGCTTATGATGGTGGACCATGTAACCTTCGTTCATGTCATGGCGTTGCGCGTCACATCAAAGCATCCACCCAATGTATTTGCCAGTTATAGATAATTTGGTGATGATGACTAAACCACTCACCGAATAACAACCTGTTTTCTTGCATGAAATGTACACCTTCGCCTTATGCATTCTTCTGCTGATGAGATGAGAATGAACAAAGGGACGCAATATAAACCAAAATCAAGCCATCATCATCACCTCCACCGACGTCATCATAGAAAAATTAAAATATATCGTAATACTTTTTCAGTTTGCAAAACGTATATTTTGATTTTAACATCCAATTTTAGAGTCCGCTGTTAAAGTGCAGATAAAATTGGCCAAGTCTAAACTTTTATTATTTGTTATACACCAGCGGTCTCACTCCGATTTTGATGAAACAACAATAATTATGTAGCCTTACATAAATAATTAAACATATGTTTCAGGATTTTTCGTAATAGGTATTCATGTTAAACGACATTGTGATGGGGTCCGTATACGAGAATTTGCATTTTTCTCGTGAAATTATCTTTCGTGAGGGAGAAAAATGCAAATTCTCGTATACGGACCCCATCACAATGTCGTTTAAAGTGAGCATTATTATGAAACTTTCCTGTAAAATTCAATAATTGATGTTTTCAATACATTTTTGGAAATTGTTTACTCTTATCCGGTTGGCAGCTACCGAGTTTATCATGCAAAAGATGCATCATGGAATTGACATATTTAGGTACTTCTCAGCGACACGATGTGGGGTGAAGTGAGCGTGCCCCGTCTGAGAACGCGGTATGGATTGTTACCACGCTGATTCCACTCCATACTTCCAGTCAACCAACGAACAATACGTGCATAGACCAGCAGCGTCGTCCCCAAATATTTCCTAAAAGTGGGTTTTTATCTTTCTTTTTTCGTTTGTCTCCCCATTCTAATCAAACTGACCTTCCCTTCCACAAACCCTCCCCCTGTTGGACATAAAACATTTAAACTTAACAGACTTTAAAGTCTTGCAGGGAGTTTAAATTGTGCAGTGTTGTTCAAGTGCTTGTATACATAATAAGACTTTTCCTATCCCACACTCTCGTGGTGAAAGTCACTTTACACTTTGGTTAAGTAATTCTAAATGGTGGTAAAGCCAGAAGACCCCCCAACTCTGAATGTAATGGAGAAAAAGAAGAGAAAATCGCTTGGCGGAGGAAGTGGTGAGGAAAGTACGAAGAAAGTGCGGAGCCAAATGGTGGAGGGTAGGAAGGAGGGGAGCATAACTCGTGGGGACGTTGGAGCCATGCAAAGTGGAACCAAATCGCTGCTGGAGGGGATGAGCAATGCGGAGGTAACAATGATCCGAAGATTGGCTGGGAATGATGCCAGTGTGAGAAAGAAGACGATGAGGAAACTGAGAAAGTGGTTGACCACGATGGTGCTCAGCTTTCCTGATAGTGCAGGTACTTATTTGGGAAGTTGTGGGGGTTTAGGATCTATTAAATATAAATTTAATTTGCAATTTTTGTCCACAGATTCAACTGCAGAAGTGGAACCTAATATTATACGGGTTTGGAAGGCCTTGTTTTACTGCATGTGGATGGCTGATAAGCCTCTACCTCAGGTAATTAATATGTTTATTAATTTAAATACTATTATGGTAGTACCATAACTAATCTCTGTTTTGTACAGGAACAACTAGCCGAACAAATAAGCAATCTAGTACCTATTGTCGGATTTAAGCCAAATGTCTTGGTCACATTTGTTGAATGGTTCTTCAGAACCATGTCAAGAGAATGGAATTGGATTGACAGATATCGTTTAGACAAATTTATGATGGTACATAATCACTAATTGCACTTGAGCCAAATCATATATGAGTTATGTTTTATATGCACTTTATTATAGCTATTTCGACGCTTTCTTCGGAAAACTTTGTTGACCATAGCGTCTAAAAAGTGGAATAAGGATTTGGTGGATGGATTTTTAAAAACCATCAGAGTTTATATTTTTAATCATCATACTGTGACGTCGACAAAGTTTAAGAAAGGAACATCTTCCTCCTCGGACGAACCCATAGGAAAGTGCCCAATGGGAATGCAACTCCATTTCATTGACATTTTTCTAGAAGAATTTGCAAAAACTGGCGGTGATGGGCTACAGCCTCCAGAAGTTTTGAAATTTTTGTCTCCATTTATCGAAGAAATGGCAACTAATTGTGATGATCGAGTCCTCAATGCATTGACGGAAAGAATTTTTCACCATCTTATGAAACAAAGTGATGTCGGTATTGATTATCAAGAGGGCTTGTTGGGAATTGGTGATAGTGAAGAGGACGATGATGATATGGTAAATGTTTATCAAGTTTATTTAGTAAGGGTGCATGTATGTTATTTATAAAAAAAATTATAATCACCCTGTTTTTCTCTTCATTACAGGACGAAGACGATGACGACGACCAGAATGGACAAGCTGAATCAGACGAAGATAATGAGGAAGATGGCGATGATGCCACTGGGGAGGATGAAGTGTTCAAAGTTGATAATGGACCTCTGGATCCTAGAGCAGGTGCTGTTGACGTTGTTCTTCCCCAACTTCCACTGGACTATAGCGTTCTAGCTGAAAAATTACTAGAAGCAGGTGGATCTAAACTTATCAAGAAACGTAATCGCAACAAACTTTACGCTTTGGCGTCAAGGTATATAAGTTATAAATGTACAAGTCTACATTTCAAATTATGAATTTTTTGCTAATTTCGTATCTAATTTTTAGCTTCAATGAACTTGTCCAAGGAATCTATCCACTCGCATTACCAGAAGATGAGGGCTACAAGCCAGCTATATCCAAAAGGGAAATGGAAGAGGCTGCGCAACGTCTCCTTCAATTTGAGGAAGCCGACTTAGGTGAAACTGTACGCAAGACGAAAAAGCAGAGGCGTCGTGATGCCCGGAAGCTTCAGCAACTTGAGCAGCAAGATGATACTATTGGGAGCGAGGATGGCTCAGTCTTTCTAAATGACAGTGACTTTTTAGGTAGAATTGATGACAATTACTCGAGCTATGTGTCCGAACAAATGCATAAATCTGCTGCAGGTGTTAGTGATACTGTTGATTTTGCAGAATCAACGTCGCAAACGAAAAAGAAGTTGAAGAAGAGAAAGCAAATAAAGCAGAAAGAGCAGGACGAGGACGAAGAAGATGACGAGAGCCGGAATTTTGGATTTCATGTTACCTCTCAATCTACAGACCAAGAACCTACCAAAAAGAAAAAGAAGTACAAGACAGTTGTTGAATTCGAAGCTGACGAATTACATGAGGAATTGTCAGTAACAATTGATTCACCAAATAAAAAATTGAAATCTAAGAAACAGGAAACTCTTAATGAAGACACTGTTATAAATATACTGCCTAAGAAGAAAAGAAAGTCCTTAATTTTGGGGTCTGGAAAAGTTTTAATATCTGGAGTTCGTGGTAGTAACGATGATCAACACGATAACGATTCAGATGATTATGTCAAGATCGCCAAACGGAAATGCAAGAGCCTCAGTCCATCAAAAAGTACAAGTCTTGGGTTGGCATTAGCTGGAAAATCTGTTGATCATTCCATGCTTACTCCAATAAGAAACAACGACATTCTTCGTAAGAAACTGAAACTACGCGGAACACCAGAGTCTGAAGGGAGTAAGAAGCGAATTAATTTTGTCTTGAACAGAAATTTGGAGCACGGTAAGTACGTATTGTGTGTCCCTGACCTGAAACTTCATTTCACTAATTTATATAACTCTTGTTTATTTTTTTTTCAGAGGCGACCGATTACATGCCCTCCATTTCTAAAAGCCCAGCAATTCCCTTTGATGCTACTAAAACTCCAACTTCAGGGATTTTAAAGTCGAAATTAAGCTCGACACCTTTCAGGAAGTCGCTTAGTGTAAAAACATGTCCGAGGAAAAGAGCGCTCGACTTTTTTCAATAATAATTTAACTACCCCTTGCAAAAAAGAAAGCATTCAGCAATAACCTTTGCTCATTTACTATTTTGTGTTTCAAATGTGCGTAATATAAATATACAAATTGGCTACTAGTAATTGTTGGACGAACACGAGAATTATAAACATATGATGATACTTAATTATACACTAGTAGCTGCATTATATAGGATACACTCGCAGAATAATGGTGACCAGTACCATTTTGAAATATGTATGACATTAAAATTAAACTTGGTTTTTGTCCTTTGTTTTGTTTCTACTAGATTTTTTTTTGTGAAATTGGGCCTACGTTTGGAGTAAAAAAATCAATTTGTTTTATCAATTAAATACAAAATATTATGCACATAGATCATTGTGTGAATTAATTTTCTATGCACCTTCTATCTTGGCCTGTTGTATATCCTGAATAACCATAAATTTGTCAGTCGCATGTCACATCCTTCTTTTAAAGACTCTTGACCCCCATTGGTGGTTTTCGAAAATGGTCGTAGAACGCTGAAATTTGGCATGAAGTGGTGCACCAGATTTACAAATAAATATTAATCAAATGTCCGGTGAATTTGACCTTATTGACCACATACATGCATGAAGTATACATATTTATGTGTACCCGATGCCCATGATATTTACATAAGCCTGTCACTTCATCATATCATGAGATGAGAGCAATCTATCATATCTTAAGATTAGACATGCATGTATGTATGTATATATTTATACACTATGCATACTATCGAAAATCTGTCCTTGATTTCTCAAATGTGACAGACACAAGACTTGCATTCTTACAATTTCGTCTGTGCTTCGTATTGAACTCTGACATAATCACAAAATTTGACTGTTCCAGACGTTTAAATTTTATATACGTATCTAAAAACTTCTGTTCATTACAAAATGAATAATTATGTTTCTACAAAACGGCCAGGAAATCTTCAATCTGCATTCAATTCGGACTGCAAACACTTGCTGACCGATAAGTTCACAAAATTAAAGAAACAAATAGTCTCCCAACTTGGTCGTGACACTTTGAATTCTGCTTGGAATCGTTTACTGAAGCAGTTTGAGATTGAAGCTTCCATAATAAAAAAGTTGGGGTCAAATTCCGTACCACAAATAGGGTTTGACGAACTATGCAAAAACGAGGGAAAGTTTAGCCCTGATTTTGAAAAAGAAATCAGAAAACGGGGATGTCTCATTATAAAGAATGTTTTGGGTGTGGACGAAGCACTAAAGTACAAGGAAGACGTTAAAAAGTATATTTCCAATCATGTCGGAGAAATTGCTGGATTTCCAGGTTACACGCTTTCCCGATATAAATTCATGAATAATCAAAAATTAAATATTTATACTTAATCAAAAAATGTAATCAAAAATTAAAAACTTCATTGATCAATGATTAATCCCTGAAATCGATCAAGTAATGATCGTACTAATTTGAGATCGTTAACGGATTTAATTGATTAACAAAATAAATCTATGTTGAACGAAACTTAATTATTTTTTGTTTAGATAATAATCCTCAAGTTTGGGAGCTGTATTGGTCAAAGGTTTGACAAGATAAGTAGCTTTAGTAATGCTTCATCCTTAATTTGCTATTTAATTAATCGCAGGCTCAAGTCGCTGCACGGTCGCATCAGAATTTTCTCCTTGCAACAAAAGCAGTGAATAACCTGTGGCACGCCGAACCAACTGCAGCCATTGACTTCTCCTACAATGTTGCGTATTGTGATCGGCTCCGTATTCGTCAAAAGGGCGACACATCTTTCACCCTGAACGAGCACATTGACGGGGGCTCTGTAGAAAGTATGGCAAGTTTTTAAGCCTCAAACCTCAAATAATATGCACAATATTTTATGGTTCCTTCTGTCAGGATGGGAGGATCCCGAATATAGAAAATGTTTCGACAAAATACTTTCTGGCGAGTGGGAAGATCACGACCCATTCGATGCGAGCCATCGAATTAGTGCAAATATGGATTTATACAATTGCAGTGGTACGTAAGTATTTCAGGTTTATCACATAAATTTGACAAGTTGAAATAAATTATCATGTTTTTCAGGGGGTTGTTCCATGTTTCGAACTTTTCAAGGATTTCTTTCTCTTTCCACTGTTAAACCTGGAGAAGGGACCCTTCGTGTTTGCCCCCTTATAAAATTATCAACTGCATACTTTATCATGCGACCACTTCTTGATGACCTTATTGATTCAAAGTATGTAGATAGATCTATGTATCGTCGAATTTTAAAATTTTACATATTATTGTCCAGACGTGATTTAGAAAATGCATGACTCATTGACTATAATAGGGAAATGGCAGGGGCCATCCCTGGGGCACAACAACACATATTACCTTCACTGCATCCACACATTGTCAACAATGTTGTATCCATACCGGAAGTGGGACCTGGCGATTGCGTGTTTTGGCATTGTGATATGGTCCACGCCGTAGAAGGGGTTTGCAATAGTCCCGACGACAGTAGCGCTCTGTACATCCCGGCAACCCCACTTTGTCCGAAGAATGTCGACTACGTAGTCAGACAGCGACATGCTTTCATTGCTGGAGAGTAAGACCTGTGCACATTCGTTTAATTGATGATGATAAACATGCACTCGTATAATAATCGCTAAATATATGTTTACATAGGACCCCACATGACTTTCCATTAAACAATTGCGAAGTAACTTTCCCAGATCGAGCAACCCCTGAAGATTTGACAGAATTAGGAAAACTTGTAATGGGATGGAGTAAATATGACGAACTTGTGGAGGATGAAGGTCAGATTGGTGTCACGCTGGCAAGAAAATATGCTAACGAAATATTAGGACTTTAGGAAAGTACATACCTTAATATTCCTTTAATCTGTTGGATTGTTTGCTAGGTTGTCAGTTAATAAATATGATGACCGTGATATAAAATTTTAAACTGAACATCGCTTTATTTATAATTGATGTGTATCAAATTATTTACGTCCGTTTAAAATACGAGGAACTTCTCATATTTTTCTCACATAAAGAATTTATTTTTCTCATTCATTTCATAGTTTCATAGAATTATTATTCAACTGATGCATACAGATAGCAGTTATGATCAGCTAAATGGATTATTTTGTTTAGCGATGTAGACAGTTTGGTACCAAGGAATGGGACTTGTCAATAATTTTATCATTTGGCAAGTTTGTTATTGTGTGTATAAATGTAAGTACTTAAATTCACTTAATTTGGCGAATGGTCCAGCTTCCTGGAAGAAATACGCTGCAGATCTAAATTTATTCATCAATCTAAACTCGGGTCAAGTATTTTGTACTTAAGTTTAACTGAGGATGAGATAACAAATAACTTGCAGATGTATGTATGGCATGCTTAAGTCATGGACATGATGATTATGTGTTTGACTATGCTGGTTAAATATTGTGAATCAAATCTTTAACTCTGTTGCCAATTAAGTAGATAAATTCTAGGACTTGTTTATCTCGGATGGCTGAAAAATAATGTTAAGGTTTATTCTCTCAAAGCTACAATTTTTGGTATAAATACTAGGCACTTGCAGTCTGGAAAGCATTAAGAGATTTTATTAAGTATTTTTCAATTTAAAATAGAAATTTGATACATTTGAGATTGTAGTATGAAACTAGTTTGGGCCTTGATTTTGCTAAGCTGTTGCATCGCTACGGGGTTTGCCCGTGGCAGAGTTTCTCACAGAGATGAATTTGGTAACTTTCATAATTACCTTCGTACCAATTTTGTGAATATTTAATTTTGAAACCTTAATTTTCGTATTAATTTCAAGATTCTGACGGGAACGAGATTCAGCAGGGTAGGCCTCGAGGGGGTTGGGCGCGTGCTGGGAGGAACTGGAGACATGGAGGCAATGGGTGGGTAGCCAAAAGTGACGACGAAACTGAACCAATTCCTAGAAGATTTGGCGCATTTGGAGGACCGGGACCCCGCCGACACCATCGCCATCACCACCACCGTCATCATAGCGTTTGCGAAGGTAGCGAGTCAGGGAATTGGACCATGGAAGCTGGTGTCATGTTTGATCAAGATGACGAAACGCCTTCCTTCCTCACATATCAAACTCCCGAACAATCCAACCGATCCGTGTCTCAATATTCTGTCGAGTTTCGAACAACGGAAGAGAATGGAGTGATTTTTATGGCAGCCTGCCCATGGAAGAAGGACTTTTTTGCACTCTTTCTAAAAGATGGCGAACTTAGCTTTGCCTTCAATTGTGGTTCCGGAACGGCATATCTCAGTACTGGAAAGTTGACCTTAAACGATGGAATCTGGCATTCTGTAAATGTTGTGAGGTACGTTTTTCATACGTTGTAGCAATTAGATATATGGAAATATTTAAAACTTCCTTAATCTCACCCTCCGGATTTTTTTAACAATAATTATACAATAACATTCTTAGAGTGGAGCAGGACGCTGTAATGATGGTCGACGACGTGGAAGTGACAGAGGGTTCTTCCCCAGGAAATGCGACGGAGTTAAATCCAAGTTCTAAAATCTACTTGGGCACCGTTCCTCACAAAATGTGGAAACGAAAAGGAGCTATGAAGGATCTCAGGAACTTGGCAGTTCCCTTTAAAGGCTGTCTCAAGAATTTCCTGATTTCCGAACAACTTCCAACACAAGTTGTGAAAGAATGCGGATTGTCCCCTTGTGTGGATGAGTCCAATGAAATTGAAGGGGCTTAATTACATACTTATTATTCATTTCCATTGTCAACTGATTTTGAATTTAAATAAACTTAATTTTATGCATACCTTATTCATTTAATAATTTTATTTCAAACGTGGACAAAATTATTTCAAATGTGTAATTCTTACTTCCTGTTAGATCTAACTTGATTGGCCGATATTTATTGTTTTTGCCAAAAAACTTGCATCTCCAGTTTACAGTATTTAAATATTTTCCGTTTATTTGCAAACTCTCAATTCAAATTCATTTAAAATGGAGCATAATCAGAAAAAATGAACGGGAAAATAATGATCCATGGGTCAGAAATTTTATTTTTTTTCTTTTACAACATTGTAATCACTTTTAATCACCAAAAATGTCACGAGTCTTGTTTAATCAACATCATCGATGCTAAATTATAACTGCAAACTGCATAGATGATCAAGCGTACAAGGTATAATAGAAGAATTGACAAATACATTTAAAACTGTCTTTTGTATTTGTTTGGCTTAAAGGTTCAATTGGCGACAGCAATTTGTGCAAGTATGGGCATAATTATTACTTAACTATTTCATTGGATTTAAAAATGTTTTTATTCATATAATTATCCCGAACAACCTCCTGTTTTGTAGCAATTACAGCTTCTATCGTAGTAATAAGGTTGTCGCGTCGGTGTGGTCCACACCACCGGCGGTGGTGTCGTTGGTGGGGCTTGCGACCCAGTTTTGTAACAATTGCAGCTTCTATCATAATAATAAGGCTGCTGTGATGTCCATATTATTGGTTGAGGCGTGGTAGGTGGTGGTTGGTACCAATCCCATCCGGTGCTTTGAGTGGGAGGTACCAGGGTCGGCGACCCATTGACACAGTACGATTTCGGCATTCCAGTAGATTGCAACTTACGACCCAAACTCAGTGGGTGGTCGGGATTTTCCAGAAAAATATCATTGTGAATTATGTGAATCTGGAATTAAACAATATGTTGTTATATGCATGGTACAAATTCAAGGTTAATGTTCAATTTCCTCACCGTTGTCCGATGCATATTGCTCAATCCTTCAGTATAATCAGCCATGTACTTTACATATTCTCTTTGCTTACTCCGAGGCAAGTTTTTCTTATTAGGAAGTAAATAAGGAAGCCTCTCAAACGGATAACCCATTGGCAAATCTACATCTGGGTAGGGTCGGTTCAACCCAGTTATACCGCAAATCTATTTCGCAAGTTTTAAGTATAAAACAATTACAAAGGGAGAGTGAAATATGCATGTGCACATAAATATATTTGCTAACTATGTCTTACAAGAGGAGCCATTTGACAGCTAATTAGGAGAGAGTTGATAATAAAATTACTACATTACTCATATGATATTATGCATTATTGTTTTGTCAAGTCTCACCCTTTAAGGTTTTCTTCTTCTTGTTTATTGTATAAAAACCGATACCGGTTTCCATCCGTGATCATGACGATCAGGTCAAATTCCATCCCTGCTCCTTCGTGACCTTTGGGAAGGAGCAGATGGTGCGGCCACCCACAACCACACTTATTATCGTCGCATTTCTTGATCACTTTCGACCCACTGAGATAACCTCCAGAACTTCTTGCCGTCGTGAGAGTGGAATCGAGGGATTGACGGGTGTACGTGTGATTTCCAGGTAAAACTAATGAAACATTAAGAAATTATTTATTTAAAGAAACTCCATATAGAAATGTGTAAGTCAAGTATTATTTTATTACTTTCATTTATGTTGAAAGTGTCTAACGCGTGGATATACTTTCGCTGTTCCAAGATAGTTAGCATTTGTCCATCTTCTCGCCTTCGAGGGGCGAGAAAGATGCGAATTGTGCCGTTAACTGCAGAGCCTGGATTTACCTGGACATAAGTTATAATGCAAATTGGGATTATCTGAATAAAGTAAGACTGCCAACGAATCCAGATTATAGTAAAATGAGTAATAACGTACAATTTGGATGCTATACTCGAAATCTTTATGGTCCAAATTTTTAAAACAAAGCTTGGATTTTTTACATGAATTGTCATATTTGGGAACTCCGATTTGAAAAACTTGTTGAGACCAGAATGTATTTAACCGGTTTTTCTGGAAAGTATGTTCTATTTGGCGGACGAATACATCTGTAATTTCAACTTTATCCCATAAAAGAGGATAGTCGCCCTCCACGACCTACACGATTGATATTATTAGATTATTATAGTAGCAGATTTTAAAATGCTGTCCATATTGCAAATCTCATACCGAAACTATTTCGTGTGGAGGCAGGTTGCGTTGATGTGTGTCAAGTAAATTGTCAATAAACAAGTGCCACCGATAAAATATAGGATCACGAAGGGCTGTTGCTGTATCGCCTGTTTAGTAATGAGTGACAATTTATTAATAACTAAATGTACATACGTATTTAAAATGCTAATTTAAATGTTAGCATTTAATTGAACCTCACCCATTACTCCAACGGATGAGTTTATTGCCTACAGTATTGGAATATACATATTTACATACACATGCAAATGAAGAATACACAAGCATTTAGAGCTTCAATGAATAATAACTAGACCTGCTTTGGAGTAATCGCCTTCGAAATTAAATCATGGCCACTGTTATGAACAGATCCGTACAGCGTCTCGTTTGGATTTTTACCCGAAGCTTCCAACATATTTCCCAAGACGTCAATTGTGAGCGGACGTTTTTCTCCATTATTCTAACAAATTCATTATAGGATTTTATCCTATTTTTTATTCACGAATTTTTCCACCAAATTACCGAAACATATTCCCCTGTTCGAATTGCAATCTCAATATTGAGAATATTTTCTAGCAGTTGTCGAACACTGGTAAAAGAACGAATACAGGTTTTGTTGTCGCTCGAAGTATTTTGTTCCATAACTTCGTCCTATGATTAAATTAAATATAAACGTATTTAAGTACACATTTATAAACAGTTAATTCATTAATAGAAATTGAGATTGTACCGGAAGTGGAACATTGGGAGGTCTCTTCTCCCATTGCATATTATTTTCTGGCCTAATCCCCAAATGAGGGATGTAGCCACTGTCAATCACACCACCAATCTGAAGGTGAAAAGGCAACAAAGGTGGGAGACAGTGGGAAAGTCGCTCCGTGTGATACCTGCATATTTCGTAATTAGATAAACTATGTACGTATACTTATGGCTTAATTTTTACTTTGCCAGCATGACGCGGTGCATATAGTAAAACAATTCTCCTCGTCGGTCTTCGTGACAAGGAGTATCTTCATTTGGAAAAGATCCATCAGTAGGACAATCTTTATTGTCCGGTTTCCGATTGTGACCGTGAATCGCGTGCCAGTACCCGTGATGCGAATTTATTCCAATATCCTCTCGAAAGTAGAAGAGTAGATTTTCTTCCGCATTTGCAATACCTTCCGATTCATCCACGAGTGTGCAAGTCTAGCAAAATGTGTTAATATGCATATTTTATCCTGAATCAGTTCAACTAGAGTACAAATTCACACCAATTGAGTGAGTACTTTTACATACCTCCTCATCTCGAGCATTCTTAAGAGTGTCCAAAGTTTTAGCAGACAAATAATAGTGAGGCATGGCTTGGACTGATTGGTGAAATTGAAATCCTTTAAAATCGTCTGGTCGTCGTTCGATAGCGCTCAACATTGCGCGAAGCCAGAGTCTATAGTTCATTTTTGGATGTTCTTTCAACCGGTTGGCCAAGTACATCATGTCGTTCGCTGTCTTTTCCTCTGAAATTCGAGCATTGTATCAAATTAACTACTTGCATGGGAATGGGAAATTATGTAAGGCTGCATGTTCCACCTTACTCATTAGAGTGTCCGTAATTTTGGCGACAATGCTCATAAATTCAGTGCTCATGTCATATGCCGCCGTGTGTCTTATATCTTGAAGACAACCCACTATTCCTGAAACAATCCTATCGATGCGTTCTTCTTCTGCGGTGCACAGATTTTGAGGCGTTTCGCTCTGACAAAATTGAGTAGTTGAAATAGTCGTTGGAGAACCACATTGTGGGAGGAGCAATTCATCAAGTTCCTCGTGAACCGGTGGAGGTGCAGGACACTCGGAATTTATAGCGTCTAATAAGGCAATTAATGTCAGATTTACTCATTATTGCTGAGGTTTCTACGTGTTGTAGTAAATAGAGTTACCTTGACCAAAGCATTGATGGAAATTTAGAAAAACAACAACTTGCACGACAGTTATCCTTCTCATCTTCAGTATTTCTATGTCGGAGCTTGAGAAAATGTAAACTGCACCAAAACCCAGACAAACTCTTGGCTTAATGTATGAACTGATAAAGTTCGTGCAAAATCTAATAGTTCATGACCTATGAGTTGAGTTACAACTAAGTTGAATATGTAGATTACGGAGAAATATACTCAAAGATCTTAATTCTTAGAATGTTTATTATCGGGTTGGGTCACAAGTTTTTTATAAATGTCAAGCGTAAGTATTACATAATCATATTGATGGGAATGGCATAACGTATGTATGAATTAAGTAGCCGGCTTTTCATAAATAATTTCACAAATGTTGGATACCTAACTAAATGTCAAACTATATGTACGTGTTAATTGTTTCAAGTAATTATTTGTAAAAATATCGTAGTTTTACAAAGATGCATGCTGTATATGTGTAACGTACAAATCTATTTATTATATAACATGCCATTAATTTCAAGTACGAGATAATTAATGCATTGTGTAGAGATAATATGCCAGCAGATTATACTAGATAAGTGAGTGCACAAAATGGCACGCCAATTTTCCTTTATGTATTTTTAGTGTAATAACTGCATTGTACGGTTCCCATATTTCTGGTTCATTCTCTCGTGACATTTACTACTAGTGGAAAATGGCACATAAAATTGAGGACCAGGTACGTTAGGTACTTAACAAAATGAAAACCAATTCATTACTAATAAATCCCATAATTTGTCGCTTAGGATGATTTCGAGAAGAAACTTAACGAAGCTGGAGCTAAGCTGGTGATCGTTTGCATTTCTGCTACTGAATGCGACAAATGTGCAGGAATTGAGGAAAAGCTGCAGGGATTGAGTTCCAGATTTGGTGATTGTGATTTTCTCGAGGTTGACGCAGATATGACTGATGTCGCAGACAACCTTGGAGTTTACGAGTATCCCACCTTCCACTTTTACCGTAATTCAAAACAGGTATGCATATTCGGCATCAGACTACATAAGTAGCTTGATTAATGAGTATAGACATCATTGTGGTCGTCTTATATGTATAGATTCCCGAGTATAAAGTGAGAGGAGCCGATCTGGAGGAGTTAAATCAAATTGGAGAAATTATTGAGAAACTTAATTAAAAGTTGTTGGAAAATGGGACCAAATAAAATCAGCCTGAATCTGACCCATTTTGCTGCAAATTGTTTATTAAATGGTCATATTTAAATAATTATGCCCAAGCTGCTTGCGTATTTGAAGAAACCCAATTTTTATTCCTGAAACGAAATGCAACTAAACTTCACCAAAATACTTATGTCTAATAAAGGTAATTATATTTAGCATGCTTATCAATATTCATATCTCAATTAACGACGATAATACTTTTGACGAATTCAATAAATAAGTGATGGATAACGATTTAGTAGATGCATGTAAACAGAAATTAACAAAATTGGGAAATTGGACCAATAACCGTTGAAATACACCTCGTGACAGCTCGTAAATTGCGATGAAGCTCATGACGAAGTATTAAGTAATCAATTTTAGATGAAGATGATTGCCGAATTTGCAATTTACCAATTTGAGGAAACAATTCTCAATATATGAAAATGTCGTGGCTATGCATAATCAAATTGATCGCTGACACAAAACTTTCGAACCTCGCTGTGTATTATTCCTTAATTTTGGGCCTCTCGTCAAAGCTTTAATGAATAATGCTGGCAGATTCAAGCAGATATGTACACAAAGCTTTTCACCATCAGAGTGAAAATATTTACTCTGTGTGCACACAGTTTTTGCAATTTTTTTACCCAAAAAGTTAATTCAAAAATGGATTTATTATCCGGAAAGATGTTCACACCCAACGCGGTATCCACACTGCGTCGGTTTATTGGTTGGAGACAAATTACACAATCCATCATTTGCGAGTGGGATGATGGGAACAGTTCACTAAAACTAATTAGGAAACAGACAAAAATCTTGAGGTTCTCTTTCGGTGTATTATTGGGAAGCATCTACTCCATTTATCTCGTCCTCAGACTTGTCACTCTTTTGAGCTCTTCCTCCCACTTTAGCATAGTAGACGTTCTTTGGACCTTTTTATGGGGTTTGTACTACTTGTGGGCGGTGGGGAACTATATCAATACCGTCCTGAAACAGAAAGACGCAGTTTTCTTCTTCATGGGAATGATCCATCTGGACAGACATTTTGAGGGTATGTGCATATATAAATACACAATAAATGCGTAAATGTGTATATCATCAAGAAATTCAACAAATAAATATATTTAGATACTATCTTATCAACCAAAATTTCGGTGAAATCAAAACCGAAATGGAGGAACATAACAATTTTGGAAGTGCTCATGCTTGTGGAAGACTTTATGGTGGTATCGTTCGCTGCCTGTGGTTCCATTATGGGTTTAGCTCTTTCACACAAGCCAGCATTCATCTCGTCACTTTTGGACCCACAATATCACTCCTTTCCATTTCTGGTGGGCTTTGCACTTTTCGAATTTTACACCATTGCTACGACATCTGGATCAATTACATTCTTTTGCAATTATCTCGCAACCTACATGGCTGTCACGTTCCACTGGGTGAACATGTTGAGGAGAGCGTTTCTTCTGGGTGGGATGCGAGATGTGAGTTTATGCGTAAATTATTTAGACTTTCATGCAAAAATTTATGCATCATTTTTTCAAATTGTTCTTCAGACAAGGGCGCTAAGAAATTATTGGAAACTGCAGCTTCTAAATGCATATTTTAACCATGCCCATACCACTTTTGTGTACCCAATGACCATGTTCCTCTACTTTTCGACGTCGATTTTAACATTTTTTGGGTCCGTTCGACTCAAGGAGACTACTCCAATCGTCGAGTATATTTTGTTCCCGATGGCATGCTCGTTCCTTCTCATTGTATTTACAGCTTTGTTATATGGTTCGGGATCCGTGTACTCCAGCTCGTGTGAATTCCTCCACCGTTTTGCTAACTGTCCAGCCGTAGTCATGAATAATGGGAAAAGTAAACTCGGAAACAGATTGATGAATAAACAAATTAAGGCTTTGAAACCGTTTGGAGTACAGATCGGGACATTTCCCTACATTACGAAACCGTCAGTTTTAATGGTGTATGCGGTCTGGTCAAACTATGCGATTTCCTTATTGATTGCTGTCTCGAATACGTAATGCTTTACATGCGTAATGAGGAAGTCTATACATTTATATAACAGACCCAACTTGTGTCTGTCCATTCAAGTGGGAATTTGATAATAATACCTAATTATACATGTTTTTTACTGTTATTATGCAATAGCCTGGATGAAAACGGAAGTTGAATTCTCACTGATTCAGAGAGTCGTAACATGTGTATTTACTTATATACTTAAAATAGAATAAAGTTGCACGAGGATTGACTGTATTAACAATTGTATTCAATTCCGTATTGAGTCATCACTCCACCATACCGCACAAACACGGCAAACTGTAATGTAATGTACATGGATACGTGGTAATCCTACACGCCTAACTTAAATGAACTATTGTTAAGCCAAGTGTTGTTGATCCATGAATTTATTTACATTACAATTGAGACAGGTGAGAATGCTTTCACATGTCGCTGCATAATACTTAATGTGTTGAACTTCACCTGCATACATACCAGACCAGACCTTTTAAACCACAGCCACATTCATTCCACGTTTGTGTGATGATGAATCAGCGTTTCGCTCTGATGAGAGATGGTTATCAATCATGCTCATAGTTTCCCGAGTGTGTAGCTCTGGCTCCGTCGATACCGCTCTTCCTGTTTCAATCGGGCTGTGTGTAGCAATGCATAACACCCTTTGTACTACAATAAAAATACGCATATGTATGATCGACAATGACATTTCGACCTACCTACACCACCACCACTCAAAACATCGCATCATGAAAAGTGAAAGGACTTTTTAGCAATATGCAAATTGGGAACATTCAAACACTGGAGGTTACTTAAGCCTCTCTAAATTCTGAGTCCAGATAAGGAATCCGTCAATGTCACGTCACCGTGCTGACGACTAATAAAGCACTATAACTATAGATCGTTAAGCGAGATATTTGCATATTACCGATATTCATGATTATTAGCCCATCGCATTTATAAATCCCCAATTTTTCTCAAGAAAAGGAAAAAGTAAATCCATTTTGATCCTTTTCCGAATAAACGTCTTCTTGATGCTTTACTTTTGCCTTCCTCGCTCTCGTCTCGTCTTTGGCTTTTCGACATAATAACGCTTGCCCACAAAGGAATGGGAAATGAAATAGTTCTTGGGCGAGTTTGTAATAGGATTTGTGACTTGGTCGTATATAGATTTCTCTCTCTCTCATACGATTCCGTATATGTGCCAGCCAGCATTTTCCTCATGGTTTTAGTTGGTTGGTGTGGGTTCTTGTGCTCTCTCTCTTCTTCTCTATCCGAAACCGAAACTCGGGGAATTGGTTTGGTTTCCCTTCGCCTTTCAACAAACTTTATGGTGAAACTAGACTCAATTCAAGAACACGAGACGACGATGGTTTTACAGAAACTTGTGCACATTTCCATTTTCATTGCCTTTTCTCGCACCTGATCCCACACTGGCAGTGTTTGGGTGAAAATCTCTCTCCGTGAAAGGAGGAAAAGTCGACTGCATACATACATATACGGGAATAAAAAGTGAGTCGAGTTCAGTGCAAGTTTTGCCATCATCATTGTCGCAACGACGCCGGGAAGAATACCTTAGGAATTGAATAACAAAGACAGACAATACCCACGTACATGTGAATAAATACATAAAATAATAGAGCGGGATGAAACCTCTTTTTTACCCAGTTTACATACATGCCTTGAACCCGGAGGCATTTATCCTGGCACTGGTGTGATCACGGAGGTAAGGGGACGAAAGCAGAGGGTTTACTGTACATATCTCAGAATATGAGGAACTAGTCAGGTAGGCAGGCAGGTAGGCAAGTACATAGGTGCATACCACCCCAAAAAACCTTATTGCATTATACCCAGCCACTGGTACCAGCATAACGATGAGGTAAAAAGTTGTTATAAATGTAAAATGTGACTGAGGAGTGAAGGTGTATCAACCCTTTCGAAGTATATGCATATAAGTAGGCACTGGCGACGGTAAAACATGCACCATGTCATACAAAGTGTACTCGCATTCTTAAATTTTACGATTTACATGTGCACCATGAAGGTTTGACAAGGACTGTAAAATGCAATCTCATCCTAGATGCAAACCCCTACCAAAATTATCTTTAATCACGGAACCATCATCATCCCTATCCACGTTAGAGCTTGATTCAGTCGGAGGTAGCTAGACCGACGAATAACATAGCAGAAATAGCAGTGGGTTCTTCAGATCAACATTATTGTTGGAGATTAAGAAGACCAAGACGAGATTAAACATTGAAGTTTTTTTAGCCAATACTTGAAATCAACACTACACGTTCCCACGTTCTGCGAGTACCAAATAAATAAATAAATAGCAATGAGTCAGTCATAACCTCGTCGTAGAAATCGTCCATGCAAAACTTGGAACAGTTCTAGGAAGCGAAAATAATGTGACGACAACATAACGCGATTGACCAAAATGATCGCATAATTTTGGAAATCGATACATAATCCGGAAAGAAAAAAAGCCCAATAACTTATTTGAATTGAACTGGTCCCAAAAATAAAAAAAAGTCCCAGCCAGCCAGCCAACCAACAAACAACCGAGTATGTCGGATATTAGGATGTGGATACTCTACACACACTTATCTGAACATTTAGTTTAGGAGGCTGCTGTGTCGTTGTGAGTGACCCTGTTGGCTGGGTGCCACAGCACCATGCCATGGATGGAACACAAGAAGAAGAAGTCTATGTCTGTTCCAGATCGAAAATGACGAATCGCTATGAATTCGATCCGATTAAAAAGTGTCAAGTTCGTCATTGACGTCACCATCAGTGGAGAGAGAGGAAGGAAAAAAGCGATTCGATAATATTGCCAATTCGCAATATAATCTCGATTGGATTCATTATTCGATTGGATTGGGCAACTTAAAGAAGATGTCTGCGAGAAAAGTGTCGAGGTGTTTTACGTAAAAGAGAAAAAGTCAGGATTCAAAATTTTGTGTAAAAATTCAAGCCATAACTTTGCGTGACTGTTACATGGCACAGAAAAATTTTAACCTTAATTCACAATTCATTCAGACTGCACAGTTTTCATCAATGCACAAGAGAAACAAGTAGGATAAAATAGTGCACATTGTAGTGCAGTCTCTCTCTATTGTGATGATGATGTGACTCAACAAAACGCACACGAACTTGACATGCAACCTGGCAAAATTTAGTTGCAAATTTGCAAAAACTATTATATCATCAAGTGTTTTGCAAATGCCTGAGGAATAATTACTACATTCATTCAACAGAAGGAGAGCAAAGGTGATTCGTCGTCGTCGCCACTCAACCAACATATTTAGTCGAATTGATTGAAATAAAATATTGTGAGAATTGGAAATGTGTGTGACTAACCGACAACATCAGTCGGACCACAGCAAACCGCACTACTCAATAATCTGATACTGTAGAAGAGTGAGTGACACTGTCGACTCGAGCCTATATTCCTAAATAAAAGTGGTACATATGTATGTATTTTGTTGGTCACAGTTAGTAAAGTGGTCACCCAATACTAACAAAAGAATGAGTCATTCTTTGATGGCAACTAGTTGACATCAAATCTATCCGCAAAGCAGTAATCGATCCGCAAACTCGGGCTAGTGTTGACACGCTCCGTCTTGAAATGTGACAATATTTTGTCTCGGAACGTGATAAATTAGTCATTTTGGAGATATAGTGAGCATTGCCAATCAATAATCAATCAATACAATACAACAAAGGAGTCAAGATGCCATCACGAAATAGCGGAGGTCGGGGGCACCAGTACAATCTGGTGCAAAGTGACGATCTGGACACGAGAGTGCCTCTAGTGCCTGATGAAGCCTTCCAACAAGGGATCCAGTTTAATTGCAAGGTATGTAGTGTGCCGTCAAATACATAATTTTAAGAAAACACACGCATGACTTATGACTAGTTAATGTCTTCATTAAAAATGAAGCAGAGTTTGACACGATGAAAAAATTAAGTTGATCTTTCGGGTAATGATTCCAAGTTATGTTTATGATTACATGCACTTATAATTTATGATTTTTGTCTGGCTCGTAAAAACGGCGTCATAAAACAGAGCTAATTTTATGGTTCAGAGCGTTCAATATTAAGAAAGGTTTGTAGTAAATCCGTCACTTTGTTGGAAAATGAATGAACCACGCGGGTCTCTGGGTTCATTCCTTGAAAATTCCATCACTTCTCATCCGATCGAGATGTCTGAATCTGTAGGTGGAGAGAAGGAGAGAAAGTGAAGTGTGGATCCGATTTTGCGGAATTTCACCCAATTGTGTTGGAAACACTGGAGGAGGAAAGATATGTAGGAATCCGTATCTGTGGGGAAAAGATGAGATTTTGCTAGTTCCAGGGACGATCCTTGTTTGTAAAGACAAGTGAGAGTTATTGGTTGCTTGGTTGGTGGTAGTAGTACGGCCGGGTTGTTCTTCATCGCATCTCTCTCTTTGGTGAGATAATTGACCGCAGGTGGGTTTTCAGGTTTCTAAATACTTCTTCCGTACTTGGTTGGGTTGTTTGTTGGTTAAGCTAGTTTACTTACCTCGTGTCTTGGAGGCGCAATAATGTTAAGCCTCCTTCTTATTCTCGCTCAACTTGTTCTGTCGTTCATCCGTCTATAATGTATATCCGTCCGTAATCCCACAGGGGCTTACCTGCGTATGTTCTGTCCTGTTTTTGCGAAAATGCCAAAGTTTGTATGGAGAGAATTCCTTACTGAGATACATAAGTATAGCTCTACGTATGTATTTACTTTATACGTACAAATACTGAAGCTATATATGTAGAGCTAGGTACCTGTTGGTTCACTTCGTTACTGTGAGAAGATGATGTGAGGATGGTAATTGTAGGTGTGGAAGAAACGAGGATAGAGAAATGCCAAGATTCTCCTGTTCCTCTCCTCCTCTACTATTTAGATTGGAAGTTGATTAAAGGATTCGCAAGTTTTTTTGTACAAAGTCCAACGCAGAATTTGCAGATGGGTCGATGCATAATAATAATGAACATCAGGTGGCTTATTCGTGCAGCCATCATTAAGATTCTATTAAGAGGGAACGAAGAAGAAAATTTTGCAGGGTTTTCGAACTACGGAGTTGCATAAAAAGCACGTAAAGAGTGCTGCAAAATGATATTTAGTAGCATACTGGCTCCCTGAAATTGGTCCCCATGTGTTGCATAAAAATGCAAATTAAATATCCCGTGCAAAAGTTTTATAAAGACGAAGGGTTCTAAAATTTGTAAAACTCATCCACCGTTACGATCGTATATTTATCTCTGTCCAACTACTGGAACCAACAGCCCATCACCGTTAAGGAGGAAGAAATACGTGCACAACCAACACTGCTGTTAAATTGCGGCAGCTGCATTCTCACACTTTTCTTCTTTAATCCTGATGTAATTAACCCGAAAAGAAAACGCAAGCCAATTTCACGGAAGTTCCGGAAATTAAGAAGTTTTTTTCAACTTCTCGCATTTCACTTCCATCCGGACAATTTCCTGCAAATTCATGCGTAATTATGGTGGTGCAGGAGTTTCTTTGTGCTGTAACCCATTCTGTACATCATGCTGCGTTACTTACATAGTTTCTAGTGCAATGGAGTGAATATCCCCCCAAATTGCATTAGTATTTAGTATCTAATCCCTCCAGTTACCTCGTTTCTCATGGCTTCCAGACATTATTCACATCACATCGAACCTGTTAAACACGCCACAACAACTGACTGAGCACCGCTTTGGCGTATTACACAACAAAGCTTTGCAAGTTCAAATTCAATTTTGTTCTGGTTTGATGAATAGCCCCACCAAGCACGTCTATCGTGGTTCAGAATTACAACCAGCCCTTCTAGTCAAGTTTCGGCAGAGAGTTTCGGAGAATACAGATATTTGCTTGGGTTTGCTTTGCGGTTTGCGTGTCACGTAGGACGAAGAACATGGAAGACTACGATGCAACCTATAACAATTTTATGCTAGGTCTTCTCACTTTTATTACCACGAGGCATTCAAGACTGTGCTGGAAACTGCCATGCATCTTTTTTGTCATGTGGATGTCAATTTGCCTCCCTGCCTATTATATGTACTACCTGCCTACCTATGTACATATGTATGTATGCATATACTTTCCTATCACGATAATGGCAGCCTTATTTATATTTATTGGGGTAAAAACCCTTTGTCGTTGGTGGCGTATCCTGTCAAAGTCAAGTTAAGCATGAGCTAGATGAAACGAAACCGTGGATAATTCATGGTCTCATTTGTTGTGGTAAAATTAGCTGGCTCGCTAGAAGCGGCCATGTTCTCTTAGTTTCTGTAAAGGGGCAAAAAGTTTGGGCAAATTGGAAGATCGATTACGAAATTGTTTGAATCAAGGTAGTTGTACTGCTTGGCGTCTTTTATTTACGGTGATCAAAGTACCTTTCGAATTTCTTGGATTTTAGCGAGGGTGGTCACGTACACAGATAAATGTGTAGCTCACTGAAAAGAGCAAATGATGATGGTTGTATTGTAATATTTATTTTGTAAAAATGCAATTCTCACTATCAATCTCCAGACAGTAGACAGACGTTAATATCCGCTCCGTCATTTGTTCAAGTGGTCTCCACCCGAAACGAAAATTGCATATTCTCGTCATTCCCTCCGTCACTCTGACGGCAAGAGCGAGCTAACAATGATATTTAATTTTCGCATGGAAATTGCAAAGTTGCAGATTGAATTAAGGCATCGAATTATACTGTCATACGATGGAGGAGAACCGTCACTTGCTTGGATAGTGTATTGTATTCTGTAATGCAAATTCATGTTAATGCAGTTTTAATGTCAGACGGACAACATGCTGGTAGATAAATACATATTTATATATGTATAAAGTACAGTGTTTGCTCAATGCAAGTGAAATTTGACTCGTTTATTAATGCAAACTATGAGGACAAGCACTAATTGCGAGGGGTGGACGTGACATTGTCTCAATCAGAATTTGAGATAATTACGGGGAAGATATAAATCAAAATTACGACAACTTTTCAATCAATAATGGCACCTTGTACAGCTGAATGGTGTCATATGTCAAACATTCGTAGGAGGTGTCCATCCTGTAGGAGAGGGCGGAAGGAGAGTAATATCCGTACATGAATATGTGCGTTGCTTGGGCCCACCCAAATTTCTAAATTTTAAAATGGGAAACCCGAACGGAATGAGTACTTTTCCTTGTAAATTGGATAATTAGTCATTTCCACACCGGACTTGAGTTCCTACTTTACGGTGTGAATATTAGGTACGCTTTCAATGTAGGTGAGGAGTAATGATGAGAGCATGTAAATATTTGCACAATTTTTAGCATCCACCTTGCACTTTGCATGCATATAGCAAAGTACCCGAAATGTAAATAGCAACAGTAGCAGGATATATGTACGTATAGTATAAAAATACGTTTATACATATTATGCCAATAAATGTAAAATAATATAGGTAGGTAACTGTGACCTTTTATGCAAACTTTACTGGTAAAATAGGGTGTCACTCTATGAATATAAATACCATCGAATTCGCCTGAAATCTGCTAATTGTGTTTTCTTTATTTACAGAAGTTATGTGTGTTTATGAAGAAAATATAGCATCATATTTCTCTCTGGCATTTCCTGGCTAGTCAAAATACGTACTTACAACTTATGGCTTATCTGACCCAAATATCTCCGATAAATAACAAGTCCATTAAATTCAGATTTAAATAAAACGCAATAATATGATCATACGCGTCAGTTCACTTCCAGAACAATCCGTCAGATAATAAATATTCTTATCTTGCTTTTAAAAAAAGTGTCTCATATTACTTACCGTCATCTTATCTCTTTGTGTATTTAAGAGAAAGAATCGTCAATATTGTAGCTCGTATTATCGCAGTAAATAAATGTGCATTACATGATATCACATTAATCTTGTTACAATAACATCATTATCTATTTGAAGCCATTGACTTTTATCCAACCCTTTCCTGCATTAGTGACTGCATCAAGAAAGAATATGTTTAAACGGATGAGAAACAGCTGGGGGCAGGTGCAAAGTTAAAATACACAGATGCAAACGAAACCAACTGCAAATATTTTAACAACAAGACAACAAACCTTGTTCCTGGGTGGTAGGTTTTACAAAACCGAGTTTCAGATTCTCAGGGAAAAACAGACCAATCCATTTTAAAAGAACAAATGTACATATGCAATGCGTGTACGTACATAGCACACAATATTTAATTTTATTATACCTTCCTCCTCGCACATATGCAACACGTGCGTCGCACATTTTTTGTGGATCCAGGTTTAAGAATAGAAATATGTACACATTTATCAAACAATGGTACAATATGACTAATGAGATTTTTAGTAGAAGTAACTTATTCCACTGAACAGACGTGAATAATTTACATAATGGTTGTGAATGTCATTTTTACTATGTTTTTATTGAAGCTAAAATGGAGTATGAGTAATTGATACGCCTGTATTTTTTCGTGCCGACGATACGGTTAGATTTTGTGGACAATAAATGTTTGCATAGCCGTGGTCTGTGTGTTTTATGCAGCAGCTCAGGTGCAATACTAGTGTCAATTAGCATGAATCGTAAATAATTCATGCGAATGGATACCATGCGGTTGTATGTGACTTGCATGCATATTGTTACGCGTAATTCCCACCAGGCCAAACAAGAGTACAATATACATATAGTAATTTGCTCCCATATTTATTTGTTCTAAATATGTACACAAGATAGAATACGCTATAATTCATTCATAAATTGAGCTCCTGCTGGAGAGCTTTAAATTGACGTTGAAGTACGGGTCGAGTTACATCATCATTTTTACAGCGTGATTTTTACTGTTTGTTTATACCTTAAATCAATAAATAGGATTTTTTATTATGAGGCATCGGGTATATGCGTATGACTTGCATACATTCTTGTTAGTAGAAATAAGGGGAAGATAATAAATGTGTTTCTATGATGAAGGAATGCTCGGAAAAATTCTTGGAACAAATGATATGATGACAAATTGCTTCCTCTTAAGAAATTCATTGAATTGATACAATTTTTCCTTTGAGAAGGATACTCGTATTAAACACTATTAAGTAAAAGCTCAAACAAAACGGCGAATGATTCCCAAAATTCTAGAGAATTGTGATCAATGAATGCAAATTCAGCATCTGTTTCCGATTTCAAAGCTGTAATAATCACGATGATTTCCTATTAATGGCGTTAGCACGGTTCTCCGTATTTTGTCGGGTTTATTTTTTTCCTACCATACGTAATACATACGTATACCTTGTATCATCAGACGCACAAAAAACGAGATCATAATTCAACCGAAATTTCCTGGTTTATTGCCAATGTCGACATAATGATGCTATTAGTTTTTATTAATAGCGCAGTAAATTATTAAACCACCAAAAAGAAGGGTTTTAAAATTGGCCATTTTTAATAATAAAATCATAATGTTTGTGCAATTTCAGTTTATTGGTTCAATGGACATTCCTCGTCCGGCAAGGTAAGGCATAAACGTATATAAACGGTATGCACATATATAACAATTAATCTTTTTTTTCTCGGTTAGCCGTGTTGAAATTGTGGCCGCTATGCGCCGTGTTCGGGTAAGTTACGTATTATTATTAGTTAAAAAATAATTTTCACTCTAATAAAGAATAATATTTCACTACGTTATCTGCAGTTTGAGTTCAAACAAAAGGGGATAAAAAAGAAAAAGGTGACGGTGACAGTGAGTGTAAACGGGATCAAAACCACATTGCGGAAAAGAAAGACGAAAAAGGTGGGTGATGATGACGATAAGAGATTAGAGAGGATTTATCCGCAAAGTTTTGTAATGTTTTTCTCGAATTTATTTCTCATGTGACTTTTCTCTTTTTCCTTCCTCAGAGACGCATCGGGCGGAACAAGGACGTATACGTCGACGTCGACAACAGCATCTTAATCGAAAGCCATCCAATTTATCGCATCTTTTATGTGTCTCATGATTCCCAAGATGTCAAAATATTGTACGTGCAAAAAACCCAGTTGATTCTCTATATTTACTTTCATACTAGTTTCTAGTTTCATATTTTCCTTGCATTTTGCAAGTCATCGTGCATATAAATAATTAAATTCCTACAATTTATTTTGAATTTTCAGTGCGTACATTGCCAGAGAAACTTCGACAAATGTGTTCCACTGTTGCGTCTTCAAAGCTACGAAAAAGGTAACTTTCACCCCACATTATGTATGCATGCATGGCTCTTTTCGTCATATGTAAAAAAATCGGTGCATAAAAAATGTTGTTGTCAATCATAAATTTCCTTGCATCACACATCTCTACTTACGATGCCGTGTAGTGTGCCAGTCTACATTTTTTTACTATTTTGCCTGATCACATTCCAGCCTCTAAATTCCTGAAGAAATGTCAAATGTCATGGCATATGTGCCAGGCCGGTGACGAAGTGTAACTATGTCACAAACCCACAACTCAATTAACGACAGGCCATATACTAGGCGACACAAAGTCACACAACCCAATAACAATATTTAGCTAAAACCGTTTTGGAACCAGGATGTGCATGCATATCTAAATTCAAAATAAATTAGAAAATCGGGAAAAACAGAAGATTTAAAACTCATGTTTTTACTATCACACAATGACGCAGTTTGCAACAGTTTAGAGAAAAATTCCGTGTGTGTATGAGTACGTCTATATTTAAGAATAAAAAATATATATATTGAATACCCACTAAAAATAGCGAGGAAACCTTGGGGGTGCATAAATTCTTTCGGATCGTGTTACCTATTCCACTGTAGTAAAAAGCGGGTAGAAAAGGAGGAGAAAATCAGCCCGATCAAACTCCCATTACTTTCACACCGACAGAACAGAAACCAATATTAGAAAATGAGCAGACAGAGTCAAACTAAACATTTCCACTTGTGTTACACAAGACAAAAATCACTTCCAAAATAATTCAAGGTTTATGTATTTTTACTTCAAGTCCACGACATGTCAGTCGTCTGAAAAGTGTGGCTTTATATGACGGACGACTCCTCTGTTCATTTATAAATATATTTTCTGAAATGGGAAAAAATCGAGCAATTTTTATTATGCATCTCATCTCTGGATTGGATTTTGGGATTTGCTCGATGATTTGATAAACTGATGAGTGTTTTTTTTCTATATAGCTCGTCACTTTTTTTGCATCCTTTTTTTCCCTGGAATGACGTAGATTCTCACCTAGAAAGAAAATCCCGGGTTACTTACTTACTTAATACACGGCTATTATGCCATGGTTGGGATTTGGGTTGCCAATATTTATTTATTTATTTTTCTTATCGCTCACATCTCATCTCATGGTAAGGGAAATATGCTTCCGGGTCGGATTGGATGGATTTTGAGTGAGTGCTTATTATATTTAATGTTTGCAATAATATGGATGGATGGTGAGAAATTGTAATTGGAAATTACTGGATGAAATGTGGGGTCAGTGATTTTAGCAGTGATCTTGTACATATGTAGAGGGAAAGTATTGAGAAGCTGAAATATTTGCTTGGGATTAGTTATGAGACTCTAAAGTCATCGGATGAATGCATCGCTATCATCATCATCATCATCAGTTTAATTGTTGTATATACATAATTTTGTCTGTCATGTGATCCTATGGTGGTATAGTCATGTCATTGATTATTAAGAAATGGGTAATGGTGTGTTGTCTACTATGCCCTGGTGGTAATGTGTGAACCCTTGAGGAGAAGAAATTGGCAAGGAGTTAAAAATAGTGGGGTTGTCCCAAAATAGCAGAGTGGTTTTTGCCAACCCATACTACTTACTACATTTCGTCGTCTCGTACCACCAAGCAGGGAGTGAATACATGTACGTATACATACTATAAAGCTATACAACTAACTGGAGCTTAATTACGTACTCTTGTACTTACCATTTATTTGCAAACTTCTCAAAATCTCATACTCTCATCCTGCTCATTACACTTTTACTTTACTTTACTTACTTTATTATACGATACCACTACTCAAATTGTTTCGATCCTCGTCCGACTGTCTCGCCAACTTCGCAAATCTTTCTTTCACAGTTTTCGGTTTTACAGGAACTACTAAAAACTCTGTGGTCCCAGTCCAGAGTAAAAGTTATGTGTGATCGTTGTCGATCTTGGTGTAGTTAAAGTTTGTCTAGGTTTTCGTTTATTTTATTTTTTGCATTTTCTACTTTTTTTCTACTTTCTTGTTTCATTCACATGAAAATGAGTGTGGTGGCTGGTGGGACCTCTACCCCGCCGGGGGGTGGAGTTATTCTACGGAGTGGCAGTGACAAGTGTAGACCCCCGAAAAAACTAAGTTTCCGAGAACCTGAAGTGATTTCTTGTTCCGATACGAATCTATCTATTGTTGGGGTGGTGAAAGATGACTTTTCCAGGTTGAGCTTGATTTCTACAAGTAAAAGTAGTAGCAGCAGCAGCAGTGCCACAACTACTTCGAGTTCTGCTGGTTCAAACAAGGGGAAATTGGGGGGTGGTGGCTCCGGTGGAAAGGTCAATGGACACAGCACCCTTGCAAATTGCACAGGGAGCAGTCAATCTGCCCCTGCTGCTCCAAGCACAGGGAAAGGGAGACACTTTAATTTTGGACCTTTCACCTTTGGAGTTGGTGAAGGTGGCGTAAACTCCAAAGTGTTTAAAAACTTTAATGCAAAAGAAATGGACAATTTGGTAGAGATGGAGGAAGATGCACATAATGAGCTGGAGGTAAATCGGGGTATAATTTTCCTTGAAAAAAAGCACATTCTTACGTAATGTTCACATTATTTATGAAAAGAATTCGTTGTTAAAAATATCTTGAAAATAGAATAGAAGGTTATCGTGGTAATGCACTGACAAACTTAGAACAGCATTTTATTTGTTTACTGCTGTACCCGATAACACATAAAAATAAGGAACAATACGTAGCGAACATTAACCATGCAGCGCATCCACATTATTAGTTTCATCTCCTTGAACCATCCATCCGAATAATAATAATGTCATCATTTTGCTTCATACTAGAAATAAATGCAGTTTGTTCTTCTGCTGTTGTTCTTATCCTTGAATTTAAATCTTGAAGAGATGAGATGAATGGTTTTATTGTTGCCAGGAAAGCCCACCAACCAACTACCTTGAAGGTCTCGATCTGATCTTCTATTATGTACTGGCTGACTCTACCCACAGATATGTATGCACATACATACGATATGCAAATATGTATGTACCCTCCTTTGCCATGACATTTGGCAAAGGTCCATTCTTCATTCTTCTATACCATTGCTTTTAATTAATGACCATCATTTATTCAAATTCTTGATCTATCCTTAATTACGATTAAATTCAATGAACAAAACATAAAGAAAAAACGGTACGGAAAAAATTCTCCTCGGAGAAAAAAAACCTTGAAATCACATTTTTGTTGTATTTTTTCTATTCTTCTTTATATGTTTATTCTGGTTTAAATCCCAGCCATAATATAAACCTATGCATACGCAGAGAAAGAGCCGAACTTGATTTAATCCCTATGTTTTAATTATAGCTTTTATTGTCAACGTCACATTATGAACTTATAAATACTTGCGATACCGGGAAATCCATAATAGTACACGTTACATTAGGTCATCTAAAAAGAAATCTACACAAGTTGTACATGCAGAAAAGAGGTTTTTGTTTGAGCAGGGAAAGCCAAGTCTGCCATTTTTATGTATGTACAACTTCATTAATTGTATCCCGTTGCCAATAAGAATGGGACTAATTGCCAAACCGAGTTGTTTGCGGTTTCACACAAAGTATTTTAATTTATGGCGACATTAAGATTGATGTGTTTTTTTTAGTTTGAAAATGTCTTAATTCTATTGTTCTTTTTTACATGTATTTCCGCAGGCACAAGCAATGCGCATTGTGCGAACGGTTGGTCAAGCTTTTGAAGTTTGTCATAAACTTGTCGGAGCTCCAGACGAGGATAACAACGTGGAAGATGTTTACCCAGAGAAAAAGGAGGAATTAGATTCTGTTCCATCCTCCCCGATAAAAAGGGGTGGCTCGGTCGAAGACAAAACAACATCGTCGTCATCTCGTGCACATAAATTGTTTTCCAAACTCGGTGGTCGACGCACGACGCCGAGTGAATTATCAACAGACAAGGAAAATGAGACACAACAACAACAGCAACAGCAGCTACAAAAGATGAAAATAATACAAGAAGTAGTTCCAGCCAAACCAAATAATACGAATAACAACAACAATCATCACAACCAATCGAACGAAGAGAAAGTTGATGAAATAAGCAATAATTTAATGAAGGAGACTGATCCCTCAAAGAAAAGACCGGGTGACCTTAACCTCACTCAGAGCAATAGGGAACAGGAAGACTTGGTCAACTTGTCCACCCCTGTGACACCCACGCTGAAGAATCTTCCCAGTCCGACGAGACGTCCGGGTGGTGGTGTCTTCCAGTTTGGGTCACAAAATGAAGTTTGGCTTTCACAGCAAAATAGCAATAATTCTTCTATGGCGGCCGTTCATGAAGCCCATTTACTCAGAGAAAAATTGGAACAACAGCAGCAGCAAACACAAGCAGCCTTGGCGCAAATCAATTTGCTAAGGGATCAGTTAGCGGCGGAGAGTTCGGCTCGAATAGAGGCGCAGGTTGGTGCGCTTCATTTTTTTTCGTATGGTTTTTGGACAATAAATTCACGACGCAAATGGAGATTTTTTTATGCATACTGATTTACTGGGCTCCTTCCCAAACTTTTAGGCGAGAACGCATCAACTCCTCCTTCACAATAAGGAGCTACTTGATCATTTGCAAAGCCTCGTTCGTCATATTCAGGAGTTGGAGGGGAGAATCCATCAAAATACGAGTGGATCGTCGTTAAATAACTCTCCAGCACCGGCACTTCCTCAGGTTAGACGAGCAAAAACTTTATCGCCTTTCTTTCTCTTTTACCCGTTTAACGTTTTTATAGAATCTTAAATAAGTAGCTTCGTCAATAAGATTGATTTGATGTCTGCTGCCTGACTTGAATGACGCTTGACTGACAATTTATTGCTAGCATTTTTGTGCAAAGACTGAAGTGTTTGATCGATTAGATTGATATATAAATTCAAGCCATAATTCGCGAAAGTACTTAAAATGCATGAATTGCTGTGATGATCTGTGATATTAAAAGTGTGAGATTTTATTAGTAATTAAAAGAAAAGCATGATTTTCATCCAAGTTGTAAACTTGGTGTTTGTTGTTTGTTACTTTTGTGTGTTATTTTAATGTATGTATCAGGATTGTATAACAAGTTTAATCGGGTTAGTGCCTTACAAAACGTGTGCCGCATGCGGACAATCCCCTAATTGATGACCCGGATTTGTTGTTGTTGCCTCGTGTTGGATTAAATGGTTCAATCAACTCAACCGAATCAATCCGTATAGGTATCACCCCCTGGAAGTCATCACAATCCGCACCACCACCACCAACAGCACAGCTTCTTCTCCCCAAGTTACCCACCGCCACACCCAACATCGTCGCCCTCTCCTCCCATATCATTCCAAGAAATTGAAACCCTTCGTCGACAGAATTCTGCCCTATTGGAAACCATTCTTTATGAGCAGAATGCCCGAAACTTTTTCAACTATGCTGCTGCAGCATCCGTACCAAATTCTGCAGCTGCGACTCCATCAGCACTACGTCTCGCCTCAGCCACTTCACCGTTCCACCACCACTTTGCCCACAGCTACTTTCCCCCACCACCCACGGGGCTGGTAGTTGGAAATCCGGGACTTGGCCTTGGCCATCAGATGCCACCGGATCATTTCGCCACCATATTCACTTCCCGAGGAGATCCGGTCGACTCGGAGGGACGACTAATTATCCAACCGCTCCAAGAAGACGTTTTCCCTGGTGGGAGTAATGCTATGAATAAATCATTCTTGTCCCTTCCTACTCCGAAATCGCCACCGAAACTGGGAGCCATTGGGCGGAATGCGAGTGCAGATGAGGCACGGGATCAGGAAGACGAAGATACATCGACCCAGCTTCGAAGGCAACATCAGGGAGCTTTGGGACGCTCTGTCAGTGAAAAGATTGGACATCGAAGTGAACTCATGAGCCAAGTTCAGAGAACAGCTTGGGCCAGACATACCACGAAATGAGGGGTAGATGGGACTATTTGTGGAATTGCATACATATTACGAAGAAGTTAAGCTAGGCGTTTTTTGTACCGGGATGTATAATTCGATAAAAGAAGACGCATATATATGTATTTATTATCAAATTGTCGTTTTTATGTACGTACATACTATTTATTTACAATAGACGAATACTGTGCTAGTCCAAACCATAGAAAGACCTTATTACTGTTTTACCTGGTATTACACCGTTGTTACCTGTGTTGTTACGAAGTGAAAATCACTTATCTGGTGCTTCCTTCCACGAGTCCGTGACTTTGTTAATACAAATATGCAAACGTAAAAATAGCATATTTAACTATTTTTGAGGAAAACGGATGATTTACTATTTCAGTCCTGCACTGATTGCAGTATTCAATCATATACATTTTTATTAACTAAAAAATATTAAGTACATAATTGTTCTGTCTAATGTGGAAATCTGTAGAAAACTAGTCCATGAAATTGTGGTACATATCTAGTCTCTAAATATACATAAACCGTTTATAATCCAGTCACCAGTATGCATACATATATTTAATAAGTCATAAGAAAATACTTTATAATATACGATACTTCTCGTAAAGGACGTTGAACGTTTTTACATAAAATGAATAAAATTATCTTTTATAATTTGAAATATGTCGTTAAAAATGTGATCAAACGAAGAATATTACGATCAAAAGACTTTTTCTGTGTAATATCTACATACACATTTATAGTCAGTAGTATTTATTAAGTGCGTACCTACACAACAATTTAATAATTCAATAAAATGACATTTCAGACATTTTTATAAAACGATACTGTATTGAAACAAATGAATTTTACTTTGAGACAAACATTTTTTATACATTTGCAATATTATGTTTTATCCACTAACACAATTTTTTTTATTTCCTCATACCACATTATGCAACAGCTCACACCACGTGTGAAAATTGAGAGATGGTTCCAGTACGCGGCATTGATGTCGGAGGTAACCAATTAAAAAATGTCTTACTTATATTAGTATGTAGATAGGATCGACCTTGCCATAATTTGCACTGTCAACTGCTTCACATCATCCGCGAACATTAACGGCCTTTCTCCATGCAGAAGCAGCATTAATTTTTAATAGTTTGATGATTTAAAACTGCTATCGCATAGAATAATTTGTCACTATCAATTCGCCGTTTTAAAGTTGAAGTCCTTATTTTTCATAATAAATCAAACTTTAAAAAAACCAAGACGGCGGAATTACTGGTTTTCATCAAGCTTGCTGAATTAGGGAAGGAGGATTATTCAGAGAAATGTGCATGCTCAATCTTCTATAACAATTTACGGGCAGTAAAACTGTAGTGCATACAAGTGGTTTGAAATTGAATGGTATTTTTAGGAAGAGGCGGCGAAGCAGACTGTCGTTGCGGGAGGCACGCCTTCGGAAGACGATTTGGAAGAGGACCTCCACTACCTGGAAGAAGACAATGAAGAAAATCATCACCCCCACCAATTCCTCGGACAGAGGGGAAAGGTCAAAGTTCGCGAAAGTAAACGCACCCTCGTTTCTAAAGGGGAAAGCGGGTTTGTGTCGGATAATACGCTAAACAGTGCATCAAATAATTTGCACAAGAGGGGAAAGTACTTTAATTTCAGGTGAGATATGAACTGCAAAAATTTGCATACCAATGTAATTAAGAAGATAATCCTCATTTTTCATCATTTATAATTTTTGCGCAGCTCATCTTCAATCTTTCGAAGAGTTTTGAGATTGGGTCCAAGAAACGAGGGTGTCGTGGTCGTCCGTGGTGATGGAGGCAGTGGACGAGTAGCTTCTTCAAAGCAGAATAAGAACAATAGCAACAAGAAGCGTCGTTTTGGTCGGGGGAGACGAGCTAGAAGAGCGGATTTGGAGGCTGCCATTATGCGTTCGGGACAAGGGATTGGGAACAAATCTTTTATCGGGTCGAACTCAACGGTGCATCAGAATCAAGGATTGAAAAGAACGGGCCCACTCAATAGTTCTGGAAAAAGTCGGGTCTCTTCCCTTTAAAGTAAAAAAAATACAAAGCGTGGAGTCTGGAATTATTGCTAATTTGCTCGTTAGCGTGTTGTTATCACGTTTTACGAGATTTTGTGTAGACAGCTACATATACAAAATATGTATAATAAATATGCATGAAAAGTGGTGAAAATGAAATGATGAGAGGTGAAAATGATGTATGAGTACGAACAGCTTTAAATGTTTTTTAAAACGATCTGTTTGAATGGCTTTACAATTATCTAGTTATTTTTTGAGTAAATGATTAATTACATATGTATGCATGTTTCACATCAATGCTGCAATAATAGTTTCAGTACTTTTTATAGTAATGTAACCGTATCTGGCTGGGGAATTTGAGAATATTTGCATTATTTTTATCAATTGGTAGTATAAATTGAACTTGTTAATGTGCTCCTCTTTTTTACTACTTACACAGTTGCTGGTAGTATTGCATTATTGTGTATTTTTATTACTTGTTAGTTGGAGATGCTCATCTCAAATTGTTTCATAGCCCTACAAAAATTGAACAATGTACAAAATTATTATGCACCACTACAACAGCACCCATGACCAGTAAGGATATGCCGAAATCCTAGCAGTAGTACGAAATTTTAAAACTGCTGAGCTTTTTTACGTGTTCAACCCTTATACTCTGTCATTATTCATAAATATTTTAGTTTTGAGATAGTTGTTTTTCACCCATGTAAAAATTGTTTCAGTGAAATTGGAAGAGAAATGCTTCCGTTATGCGATACATATATTGTCATTATTGATACGTGAATAATTATGTTCTCAAGTTGTTAATGGAATTTTTAAGAAATTTAATAAACTAATTGAAAATGTAAACCTTTTATATAAGACGCGGTATAAATATGAACTTGACATTTCAGGCACAACAGGTAGCCCAAGTAATTTTGGAACACTGTCAAAGTTAGCGTCATGTTGATTTGGATCCATGCTGAGTTGACGTGAGTGTGCTAAACCCATCAGAAATCAAGACGTGCGTAGGACATATTTTGTTGCAATTTTATGTAAGTCTGGAATTGAACGTGTTTCTGGATAAAGAATACGGATTCTGGATTTAGGGTTTCCCAATTAAATCGGAGACAGTTCGAGGTTAAAATTAAACTAGTTTTGTAATGCCTTGGCTATGTCTTTCTTTATTGTTTTTATCAATGATGCACCAACCTATGAAATACTGTTAATGAAGGTTTTACTTTGATTTAACTGCAGATTGTAATTCAATTTATAATTGCATGGAAATGAGTACTATATAAATTGCGGCCTTCAAGATGATCCAGTACAACATTTAAACATCATAAACGATCATGCATAAGTTGTAAATTTAAAAAAATAATAACACCTTCTAAGAAAGCCAAAAAAGAAGACGCCAAGGGCACCCGGGATTCCCAAGCGGTCACCCATCCAAGTACTAACCGGGCCCGACGTTGCTTAACTTCAGTGATCGGACGAGAACTGGTGCATTCAACGTGGTATGGCCCTTGACGAAGTAGTCTGCCACAAATCGACCTCTTATCGTGGGTTATGCATTACTCGTCTCAACTTGTATGCACTCAACTGGATAAAATGAAAGGTAGACAATAAAATCCACCCATTTAATTTCATAACAAGATGTGTAATGCTTTATTATTACACATAGGATTTAAACGACTACAAACTCAATACATACCAAGTCCAAAAAAGCATTATAAAAATAATCTCACTAGTTGATTGATTCATGAGTACCAACAACGTCAATGTACTGGCATGAAGTTGGTATAAAATTGCAAAATAAAGCTAAAATAATCTTCTTCTATCGTTTTTGATATGTCATTCCCCACACGAGGAGAACAATTACTACTGACTGACTGGGAGATTCTCAACATTACTAATACTGCGACCACGGCATTCTACAATTAAAACTAAAATAGTATCAAATCTTAAAATTACACTTGGTCAATGTTACATTTACGGAGTTGTTGTTTACACATCGTTTAGCTAAGCATGCCTCCAACTTGTGATACTGACCAGACAAAATTATAATTTCGCCAGCATTGATGGAAGTAAGAGTATTGCCCTCACCACCCAATTTCACGGGTCCTCCTGTACAGTGAGTTACGATGTTATTTTTCGGCTCAGGGGAATTTTCAGCTTGGATGACAATGGCGAATTTGTCTGGAATTGTTGATTTCCCTTTGACATTCGTCATGACCGCGTTATGTCCCACACATGTAATGTAGGAGACAATGTTCCCACTGCTTCCTAAAATCTGTATGGCAGTTTCTTCTTCGTTAATCCTTGTCTCGGAGAATTGATAGTCGACGGACATAATTGAATTATCGTTGCTCTCTTCAAGCGTCATGCCATACTGGACGTTAATAAATTTCGCATTTCTTATTATCGTTCCACAACTGCCTTGCAGAATGCTAATGCCAAAGTTGAGATTTTTTAAGGTTACATTTGATAAGAAGTTATCGAGGCTTCCCTTCCCTTCTCCACTAATTTCTGCTTCACTTACAACAATTCCGGTGTACCCAGTGTCACAAGTAATGTTTTCCATCTTGTTATAATTACCAGACACTCGAAGTGTACAGTTTTGAAAGGCAATGTTTGTTATCCTGTTCCTGCTTCCGCAGCATTCAAGTCCGATCCAACTCTTTCCAGTCTCGCCGTATGATGGAGATTTAGAAACGAAGCAGAGGTCTGAAACATGCATGTCGTTTGACCCCCAGATGCACAAAATATTGTCGTTGCCCAGTTCAATAGGAGACGTGAGCACGGTCGACTCTCCAAATCCTTTAATTGTGATTTTTTGTTTACAATGAATGGTTTCGAAGGGTCCCATGTATTCATTTGGAAGAAGTTGGATGAAATCCCCCGGTTGTGCGTTTTGTAGCATTAAAGAAAACTGAGCCTCATTCCTTGCAATTTTTGTCATTCTCGAATGGGTGATGAAGGCAAGATTGCACTTTCTGTTACAATAGACATGTGTTATATTTTTAAATATATTTTATGTCAATGGGAATTTTTTTCTGGTTGACCAGCTAATTCATACAACTCATTAACTAACATGTTATCGGCTCCTCCTGCAATGTATAATTTGATGTTCTTCAATTCATACCGAGTCAGAGCTTTCGAAGGTTCTACGACTTCGGTAATAAATTGCAAACTCATGATAGGAAATCGGACTAGTGATAGCAGATTCTTGAACCCTGGCCTTCTCGATGAATCTTTATCTTTCCACCTATTACATACATAAAACAAACTTTTAATTAATAAACATCAAGGTCCAACAGACCAAATAAACGAGAATGTAGCGAGCATACCGCAATAAATGCGTAAATATAATTTCCTCCGATAGATTTTCAATTTTTGGGCCTTGCAGCATCAAAATTTCATGCCACGTGCTAAAACTTATTCTTTCGCCCGATCCCTCCAACATTTTTTCAATAAGCTTCGGGTTTCTATTGAAATATTAAAAACAACATTAATTAACCACGTCACTACAAGCAAAGAATTCCACTAACCTAATTAAAACTTCGAAAGCCCTATCTGCCAGCCTTTGGCATTTGAGCATTGGTAGAATGAATTCATAAATTTCACGACAATTCTCCTCTGTGATTATTTTGGAAATTGAATCAATGCAATCATTCAATAAGCGCTGGTCAAGATACTTGTCGCAAAGGGTCACAACTTCTAACAAGGTGTCCAGGCTCAATCGGGATGCATCTACCTCTTGGAAATATATGGCCTGAGATAACCATACGTAACTTGAAAAACATTTCATAATTACTCAGTCATGGTAAATTTATTTAGTTTACCATACCTTGATAAAGGCCCTCATGGCCGACATGCTAATATCCGTAGGTGACAGTACAATCGCGAACCCAGACGAGCTGGTCCCACCCATTTGCTGATCCAACCTGGTTTTAAATTCTGCAGAGGCCGCAGCAACAACGTGCCTATTTTTACCATTTTTATATTATTTACAATTTAACATGAACTTTTAGAAACTGAAGAACTCTAAAAAATTCTGACCTATGGGCAGGAAACTTGCTTTTGCCGACAAAAAAGGTCAAATCCATATCAGCTCCACACTCCAGTTGAGCGTATAATTCTTCGCCGAGGGGAAATCGCTTCCTTTTTGGGGGTGGTGATACAGGTGATGTCGATGACATGGTCGATCTTTGAAGTTCAAATGTTTAATAGTTTGAAACATCTTTTGTGTTTAAGTAGTAATTTAATTTCAAACGAGGCTTACATTTAATTTGTCCTATTCAAACGGCGAATAAAAGGAGAGTATAGATTTCCAAATGAATTGAACAGCTCAGCTGACTTATATTGCTTAATTGTTGACTGTTGTTAACATAGTTTAGTCCATCAAGCCTGTTCGCTATCAGGTTGTCCTATTATTTATTATTCAAATTGAGGGGATTTACTTTTGACAGAAATTTTCCCTGCATATTATACAAATGATTTGGTGTACGCAAATATCAAGATAAGTCGGCCCATCTGTTGACTACTGGTGACTGGTGGTGACTGAAATACATTGGACATTTACTGGATAGTTATTTAATTATTTGGGGTATGCTAGAACTGCAACATGATAAAAAGGTGTTCTACTCGTCTCAAGTCATGTTTCTCAAGCTAAAAGTCTCAAGCTAACAACTAAATGCATACTTTATTTCAGAAATTAAGATTCTAATGGAAATATCAAGTTTTACATGTTGCATATTGCGTGTTTTATTTACCCCATAAGTTAACAGCTCTTTAAAATTTCTACTTTTAATGCTAGTGAATAAATATGAAGTAGTACTTTCCCACGGAGCGGATGCAGATATACAAATAAAACTAAACTAGCATGCTTAAAAACGTCCAGATAGTTTTTTTATGTAGCAAGACAACTTGTGAATATATACTTATTATTTTCAAGTTAGTTAAGTATTTAGCATGATGTGGGATTCTTCAACGTCCATTTTTCTCCGAATTTTTGGAAACCACGACGGGAATATTTCCATACAAAACTGGTCTAGGTGGGAAATTTCGGAGGAGGGGGACGATGAAGGCTGGCCATGGGAAAGGTTGGACCCAGATGGGTGGTACAAATTTCAGGAAACCAACTGGTGGCTCCCATTCCTCATTGTGTTCGTTTACATGTTATCCATCCCTGTTTTGAAGAAGTGGATGAGAACAAGAGCCCCTGTGACCCATCCATACTTGGTCAGAACCATGTCATTTCATAACTTATTAATTTCAATGTACTCGGTCCTACTTTTGTGGAGATGCAGTCCACGCCTGATAAAAGCACTTTCGTATCAGCAAAATTGGTTTCATCATCTTGCTTGTGAAAGGTGGTGTAAATTACGTAGTTTTTTGGACTTATTGTCATGCTAAACAAATTTACATGAATTTGTCTGTTTCATGCAGGGGCCAATTGACAAGGAAAGATATCTTCTGGCTGATTACATTCTGCTGGAGTAAAGTGGTGCATTTACTGGACACTTATTTTCTAGTGTTGAAGAAGAAGCATGTACCTTTCTTCCATTTGTAAATTGATAATAATTACAAAATATTTAAACAATCAAGTGGTATCTGAATTGAATTTACTGTATGCAGGTTTCATCACGCGATAGTCGTCTTTATTCCAATGAGCATCGTTTCGTATGGAGAGCCGATTATTTATTTGTTTGGGTTATTAAACATGGCCCAACATGCAATTACTTATCCAGTTTTGCTTGCCAAGGTTTGTTCGATATGATAAAGTGCACTATCTGTAATACTTTGCGTAGTTTTATATGGAGATGATATTATTTTTTTATATTGTTCCATTAGACGCTAAAGGTGTCATTATGCTCTGCCACTTCGACGTTATTGCTAATTTTGGAATTAATTCAAATGATTGTTGGACTATTTTTGGGAGGTTACACACTTTATGTCATAAGTAATACAAATAATTAATGCGCTAGTTTACGATGCAATAATATCATGAATCCTGAGAATTTACATATGTTTTTAATTCTAGAAATTGGAGGAAACTGCATTCGACATCCAGTGAGCATTGCGTTTCTAAACTTCATTTTTGTGTCATTGGGAGTTGTTGCTGCGAAACTTTTGCTTCAAAAGTTTGTGTCTGGAAGAAGAAAACTTAAAGATAATTAAGCTATCAAGTACTATCGTAATGAATGAGGATACGCGTATAAAGTGCCACAGGAATATGGATAACCTCGAGTTAATACAAGATGCATTCGGACAAGTGGTTAATAAAAAGTGCTCACTAAATTCATAAAATTTATCTTAATGTTTCATGAAACGTACAGCACTGAGGAACATGAAAGTAGTATTGGTATAAAAGGTCTATTCCTGGGCTGACTGGAAAATTCTTAAACCGAGTACAAATTCACATCTTATGAAAATTTCATAAAAAGTATCTGACACGGATAGCATGTCATGCATATGGGAAAAAATGGACGACGGTGGATAATTAAAACTGCTTAGCTGCGATATAAGTTATAAAGATTTTACTTCATTTCCTCGTAAAATGAAGTTTTTAACCACTTAACACTTTCATTTGAGGATAGTTATTATTTGATCTGTTGTGCATTTGTGTGAATGAGTATGACTCATCCACAGTTTATCACTCAATTCAATCGCACAATTGCGTCATCATCACATATCCGTTAACATTATGTTACAGTTGCCTAAAAATGAACGGTATTGGACAAAACAGTGCATTTACCTTGTTATGCGCACACTGATCAACCCATGAAATACCAATATCTAACGTACAATACAAGCGTAGCTCTTTCAGTCATCAATGTGATCAACCCGTATTTTAGTCATCAATTGAAAACGTTTGCCATTTGTTCATGTCTTAAATAAATTCAATAAATAAACGACACCTTCATTAATTTACTATAGTAGATGCATACAAAAAGGTGAGAATGGGGGGCACTAACCGTGGTTTAGAGGAAGACATCAAAAAATTGTCACTTCTTAATCTCACCGATCGTGCTAAAGAATCAGTCATTGGGTTAATTGACATTGATTGCTTCGAGTGTCAGTGGTTCGAGCATGAAAATTCATCTCTCAAAGGATTGCCGTGTGCAGCAGTTTCTACCAATGAAAACGGGGATTTCCGGTGAGATTAAAGTTATCGTAGTCGCTGTATTAATATTTGTAAAATGTTGTGTAATTGTTACTAAATAAGATTTAATTACTCGTAAATTTCTGTGTACATTGCAGAAGATTCAACTCTGTTAATTACGAAGCTCGTTCTTTTGGCGTATCAAGACTGCACACATACGAAGAAGCGTTGGAACTATGTCCCACACTGAAGTTAGTGTCCCTTCCTCGTAAGGAAGGGACAGAAATTGGAGATCTGCTAAAAAACGCTGCTGCCGAAGTTCACTCATCTCTGGAAATATTTGCGCAAAATAACTTTTCACAAACCTCCTGCGTGATACAGTTTAGTCCCACGGACGAGTTTTATGTCGACCTCACGAAACAAGTTGAGTATAAACTTAATATTGAAACAAAGTTAGAGATGGCTCGATGCATTTTACGTCGCATGTTGAAGCATATTTTCAAGGAGACAGGATTCGCTTGTTCTGCTGGAGTTTCAACATCCCGTTTACGGGCAAAACTAGCAGTGGAACAAGATCGGCCTCGTGGGGTTAGCGTTCTTCATCCAGATGACTGGGATGCTTTTCTGGACGCCAGAGAAATCAAAACTGTTCCAGGACTGAAAAAGACACTAGGAAAGCAATTGACGGATAAATTTGGAATACGCTTAATGAAAGACTTGAGAGTAATTTCAGACAAAGATTTGGTAGAGATTGGAAGAATAAAAGGAAAACAATTGGAAACATTGGGGAAAATATTTTCTGGAGATTTCGTTACATAACGTTAATCTTATTTTAATCAAACATATTGATAGTATATTATCTGTAAAACTAAGAAATGTGGATATGTTACAATTTTTAGTACCAGAAGCTGCGTAAAGATCCCAAAAGGGATGCATGATCATGAAAGAAAGAATAAATAACTAAATAAACACTAAAAACTTTTATAATTATATTACTGACTACAAATTCATTAATTGTTTATACATATAAAGTATTCAAGTCAGCATACAGAACTATTTATTTGCAAATGCAGATTCTGTCCATCCACATTTGAGCTTGAGTTTTATTCAATTATTGAACCATTGCATTTTAACCAGACACGTGGATTTGAAAACAACTTACACAACCCTTGTTTTGTTATAGATTGAATGGTCAATGCTAATATTCTATTAACAAGGACTAAGGACAACAGGTACAAACTGTCCAAAGGCCAAGTTATTGTCCGTCGATACGCAATATTTATTTCATTTGATTCATCTGCATTTCGACTTTTTTGCCCTTTTAGCCAGGGCTTATTTAGATACCCATCGTGTCCGTCTGTACCCCCGTCTGGCTTGGGGAAATGCTCTTAAAACTTATCCGATCGACTTGGAACTTGGTATAGTGTGCGGAAAATAAGGAGTCCAATTCAAAGAAGGGCAAGATCGGTCAAGGGGTTTATATGTGGAGGTCATACTGTTGATTGGGTACTGCAGAATACATATTCTAAATTATATACATGATCATGCTGTTACGCTTGGGAAATATTTATCAAGTTTAACAGTGATTATCATATCATCCTGACTCGGGACATATTACGCTGTACTGTAGTTTTTTTATTATAAATTATAACCTCAAATCAAAAGTTGAATAAGTACAATGCCACGCGCATTTATGTCCGTGCAACAAGATGAAAAAATGTCATATGTATTTGGTCTTTGAATTCGTTCAACTTATATAACTTTTTGAATACTGCATGGAAGGTGGCATTGTGTACAAATATGAATAAAACTATTGCACGATAGCATTTTGAGTAGCAGATTGTCAAGATAACCTGATAAATATTTCGTCACGGCATGGTGGGTATAAATTCCGACTTGACTCCCACAAAATCATCATTACCTTATCTATCATTTTCCACAATTTGACTAATAACCCAACTACTTTTCACTAAAAATGAAGGCCGCCGTGATCCTTATTGCCGTTCTGGCTTGCGTCGCCATTTCTCAGGTGGGACTCTTGTAACTTTAATTTGGCGTATCAATATTTTACAGAAATTTAAAATTTACAGGCATTCCCTGAGGAGCAGGTAGCTGCGGAGGGTAAGTTGGATTTTTAACTTTTAATTAAATTATATATGTAAATACATTGGTACTAAATATTATTTGTATGCAATTAGCAGCTGATGCAGTGGAAACTATGGCCGCTGATAATGAAAATGATGAGGACCAAGGGGAAGGAGGCAAGGGGAAGGGTAAAGGAAAGGGAAAAGGAGAGGGGAAGGGCAAAGGCAAAGGCAAAGGAGCTGAAAAGAAGGCTGAAAAGATGGCTGCAAAGGACGCCAAGAAAGCTGAAAAGGCAGCAAAAAAGGCAAATTAAAGTAGTTAAACTTTGTCGCATATTTAATTGATTGAATAAAACGTTATTGCATAATTCTTGCTCTTATTTGACGAATTTAAATTTGAGGTCATCTAAATAGCACGACATTAAGTCACCAAAACATATAGAATACGCATAGTTATGAAATTGCAGTCGGTTGAATGCTATATTCTTATATTTAAATATGTACTTGGGCAAAGCGATCAATTGTTGCCACGTGTAGGACAAAGACTTTCGGTCATGACGAGTAGTGACAAGGAAATCAATAAATATATCAGAACAGATCTAAATTACAGGCATGTCAATTTTCTACCATTTGAATTATTCGTGCAGTGAAGTTACCATATTTCATTTAAAGAATGGATAAAATTAAAACATATTTGGTTACCTAGTTGGGATCAATATTTTCCAGACCTGTATTTTACACATCCCAATGAGACTAAACTTTCAAGATAGTTTAAAAATAGTTGCTGGCAATTGGCATGATATTTTTATGTTAGTAATATATGAACTATAATGTATGTGCATATACATGCAACTATAAACTATGAAATTCCAGTACAACAACGGCGACAAATCATAACCTTATAAATTGCCACAAGACGTAATACATATACATAGCAGTAATCTGAACTAAAAATTTGCTCATATTACACATTAATTTGCATGTTTTATTTGTACTGGAAAATATTTCTTGATAATTTGTTAGGATCCTCTTCTGCCTAATAAGTACTCTCCTTAATCCATCATTGAACCATAATACGTATGTTAATCTAAGGTAGCGTAATTTGTCCGATTGAATGATCCACACGAAGGAAAAGTGGACTGAAACAGTACAATTTCAAACGTGAAAACAAAGCTGAGAAGACTGAGCATAAACGGCGTCCTAATTACGAAACAACCAAGTCCATCCAATCCGAACGCTTTGGTACCCAAATACTCGCGAGTTTTACGAGCCTGTACAAAAATGAGTGCATAATGATTATTTATGCAAATTGCTTAACAAATATAATGCATTAACAAACATTTGAGCTATCCATGTAGTCGGGAGCCTCGTACAAAATGTCTGCAAACTGATGCACCTGATAGTTTACTTTAGCTGCCGTACTCGTTGTTACAAATAATTTGACAAATAGATGCAGAAATGCCCAAAATGCGTACGAAGAGCCCCAAAACTCCTTAGTGGCTTTCCCGGTCACTCCGAGGTGTATCTAAATAAATGGACTATTTGTGTTTAAGCGATACAAAGAGCTTGATTTCTCAATATAGATATGCATGTATTTTGGTAATTGCGATACGAAGCTTTACCTGCAGACATATGAAGAATAAATTCCCTGTGTAAAGCAAGAAAAGTAGTGGGGATAAGAAAAGAGCAACATCCTTTAGCAACTCTCGGAGAAGTTGATGGTCGAGTAACATCATTTCCAGCTTGGTAATTGGCTCTGCAAATTGCGAATACTTGGTGCAAGCATACAATAAATAATAGTACAGGATGTAATAACACGCTCACTGCAATGCGGCTTGTTTGCGACATTACCTCGAGAATAATTCGTGGAGCGTTTTCCGATAGAAATCTCCTTCCTCGCCACCTCATTAAAAGCTTTAAACTTTCCTGACAATGCTCTTGCCATTGAAATCACAAAAATGTCAGTCAAGTTCCAACCCCACATGCATAATTTGTTGCTGAAGAATATGAACAGAGGTATAATGGGCGAGTAATCTACAAGGTTGAGCCATTGGGTGCGAGAATTTTCGAAGAAATTTCGAAGTATGGACGAACCATCTGTGGACAAATAAAATATGTAGGTACATATTTCTACAAATTAATTGACATGCATATGAACGTGCATGCTCGTTATTTGTTTTTGTTTATATACCATTTGGTGGCTCATGTTGCGTAAATCCGTTATAAGTCCACACCGAATTTTCTAAAATTCCGGACACCAACAGAGCCCCCGATAATATTACATCCCGTCCAAGAGTTTTGTCGTAGAGGTTGCAGTTGAGGGGAAGTGAGGACCATTTTTGAAATATGCGAACAAGTTCGGGACCTCTCCTTAGGAAATGAATGTAGCTAAAAAAAATTGTCAATTTTATCCACTCAGAGTTACATACATATTGTTGACAAAATGCTATAAATTAAGTTATAAAGGATCCCAACCACAAAAGTCCAATAAGATAAAAGGCTGCTGAATCAGACGCCCAAGCCCATTCTGTTGCGTTCGTGCCCCTCAATTTAACAACTCCCAAGAGACCGATTCCCAACGATACAAAAATACAAGCAATGCAAACCAATGACCAAATTCCTGCTGATGAACATATTCTGTTAACAATATTTAAGAATTGTCATTTTTGTTATATTTCTTGACAAATTATTGCTTTAGGTACATACTTGTGTTTTAGTTGATAAAGGTCAGATTGGAAAACTCCGGTGAAAGGAAAAAGTCCAGTGAATCTTCCAAAGCGAAGCATGTGTCGCATGCACCAAACCAAGTCGTCTTTCCCAGATTTGAAAATTGAATTATTTTCGGTTTCTAGTTTTTGAGGAAAATTACTAACAAAAAATAATCCTGATCCTGAGAAAACATTTTTGCTTGGTCCAGAGGACCCCATGCTTGTCTCAAGACGAGTCAATTACAAGTATATGTACATATACATGTGCAAATGGCACATAATTTGCGCATACATACATTATACATACCTACGTATGTGCATATATACATTTGTATAGTAAATACCGTAACGGTAAATGTTGGCATTCCATTATTAAGCTTAATTGGAAATTTTCTGAGTTTGGACATTGTATTATTTACTAATATGAACGACGATTTGATTATGCAAACAGATTGGGCAAAAAAAATCGAATGTTGCCGTATTCTATAAATTCCGAAACAGTACAATAGTAAAATCGTTACCATTGCTAACCAGATTTTTCTTGTGACAGTGCTAACAACCCTGCGAATATTATTAACGATCTTTTCAATTGAATTCTCACATGCCAGCAGACGTCAAACTATAATTAAAGTAAATTGCATTCTGCAGAAGTAAATAAATGTTCAGCGTTGCAAGTAATGGTCCCGAAGCTCAACAGTTTTATAGCAACAAAGAAAAGCAATATATGAGACATGGAATGGAAATCGATTTATAGAATTACTCAATTTATAGAATTATTATTACTCAATTTATAGAATTACTAATAATTTTGTATGCCAGGGATGAAACTAATAAAACTGGCACGAAATTAAATCATAATGCATAATGTGTTATTTGAGTAAACGGAAGAAAATTATTCAGGTGAGGTAAAAGTCAATTATAATTAGTTGAGTATTTTGAGGTTACGTTTATTTGAGCCAAGTTGTGCTCAAAATAAAAATAAATAGAAGATATCACAGTCTATATTTTCATAAGATTCTCGAATTTGAAACTTGTTCAATGGTTACTAAAATTAAAATCATTACATTAAAAGATAAATACTTATTTAATTAAGCTGCATCAACTTCATTCTCTTTTGTATCTTTGTTGGCTAGCGAAGGCTTCACAACAGTCTTGGCTAAATTCTTGTTGGCTGGCTTCTTCTGGTTAAAATTTCCGTTGTTTGTAAGATCCCCGTCAAAGTCGAAATCTTCGGGTTCATCAGAGTCTTCGATAAGGTCTTGAATATTTGCTTTACCGTAGTAATCGGTACTGGAATAAAAAAAACAAGGTTTTAAATTTGACGCAATACAACAAATCGAAACAACACCACAAAATTATTGTGGATAGAAATCAAATTGACAAGAAAATGAAACTGAACTCACCATCCTTTAACTGCCTCAGGTTTGTCGCAAAATCCAGTCTCTCCGTTAAACACCCTCCCCTTGGGACATCCTCCAACCCTCGGCTTCCCACTTTTCAAACAAATTAAGAACTTTCGGCAATCGTCTGGATGTGAATGTCTGTCGTGATCCCCGAACCGGAGTTTTGCAAATCTGTTCAGTGAATTGGGACAAGTGAAATGGAGAACTTCCTTTGCAGCACATTCTGGTCTTTTTGACATGTCAGGATGGATACAGCTTCCTTTGGATGGGTCAAAGATGACGCCTTCTGGACAAGTTTTCTCGTAGGCTTGACCCTCCAGACAGTGGTAGAAGGACTGACATGACGTCGCAGCAGGAAATGCATAAAATCCGTTTGACCTGGGACAGTTGGGATGTGTCGACTTGGTGGGTTCTGTAAGGACGAATGGAACATAATTAATTGTTGATTTATTAATGAATATATTTACTACGGAATTTAATGGTATTACTCACGTAGTAGTGGTCGCTCACTGCAGTTTACATTGTGCGGGTAGTCGCATGCTGAAATTTCCAAGGAGTAGACAAACCCATCGTCGCAGAGGCGGTCCGCTAACTGACCTGCCTTTGTGCAGGAGTAATATTTGTCACACTGGTCAGAGTCGCCGATGGAGTAAGACTTGTTGGAAGGGACGCATGGCTGAAGATTGGTACTGGACGCTGCAGAGTATAAATTTACAGGATAATTAATACGATAAAATATTAATCATGGAATCGAAATGGGTATTTTGGTGGCTTACCTGGTTGTAGAATTCCTATTAGACTCACGATGAGGGGTATAATCCCGACAACCAACAGCTTCATTTTTGAGGATGAGCGATAATATGCGGGGAACTAATTAATATCGTGTTTTTAATGGAAAAAATAGATGCGTCCTTCTGTGTAGATTTGTAAGATTGGGCGTGGAAGGAATTATGTGAAGGCCTTTTATAACCTCGGTTGTGTTGTATGTAGCTTTAGTCGAGTTCATGGGATGTTTGGGCTTTGGTGGGATAGATTTGTAGGTTTTAGTTAGAATTTACAATTTACATATTGAAACAGTGGACTTGAGTTAGATTTAGTAGTTTTAGAGATCATATGTATAAGTAGTTTGGTGCATGATAAAGTGAGTTTTAGTTTGGAAGAACGGACTGGCATCATGAGAAAAAATTTACATGACATAAAATTGTAATATTTTAAAGGAATATGTACCAGGACGAAATGGTCATGTTGTGAATATTGTTACTCAATGCTAAATGCTCACCAAATCTTACCAAAAACTATACTAATTCTGTTCAATACAAAGATGGTTGACAAGACTGCGTACATGTGTACGCAAAGAATGTGACAAATACGCCACCGTAAACTGCATACATTTGGAACATGTTTATTTAATATTTATGTATAACGGTGAAATAAAGGAAAATTTTTGATTATGAAGATTTCCATATGAGTGTCGTATTTCATGTTTCACGATTTGCCGCAGCATCAGTATTCTTTGAACTTTTGAATTGAATGATGATGATGATGTAAGTCAGCATGAAACTGAGCACCTACATATTTATAAGATTGTACGTTAATACGTAGATATGCATATGCAAATTAGAGCCAAAATTATTCATAGGAAACAGTCAACATATTTACCCTAGCAATGCATTCGTATGAAATTGTGAATAGGCCAAAACCCGAGATTCCAACGGAATCGGAATGGCGTGCTTGATGTAGGAACGATGTTAATTCTCCACAATCAATCCCCCACTCGGTGCGACGTTCCAGCACCGTTTTTTCCACAGTTTGAACAACCTACATGCATAAAAATCATGGTATTAATAATTATGACTGTTGTATCATCACATTTTTTACAAGAACCTTCCGATAATTATACGCTGCTACGCCATAAAACAATGAGTAGATGAGAAAGTCACAGAAAAAGCAGATCTTGGCCCGAAAAGGACCCCCACTGCCATAAAAAAGGTCTGTCGACCAAACCATATACATGGGAAGAAGATGGGCAGTTAAAGCTCCCACGACTCGATTTACCAATCGGTTCAACTTATTAACGTCATGCTGTAGAATGGCAAAGTTTGAACGGAAGTCAGATAAAGATCCTAAATACACAAGGACAAGTTAATCGTATGTTCAAAATTTCATAACCATCGTCCAGAAATAAATTTCTTAATATGCACATATTTGTTTACCGTACTGCTCCACATGGATACAAAAATTATGCACAGCCGAGTCATACACTGTGATCGCAGAAAAGATCAGTAGCGATCCAAATAGTCTCACAATTTTGGACGAAAAAAATGAAACATTACATAAAATGTCGAGATAAGGGAATCGCAACTTAGCCCTCAACTCAGGATCAAGGAAAAAGAACATGTGGGATTCGAATCGATTTCGGTGTCTTGTAAGCAGTGAGAACTGGTATAACCATGGGTCAAGCAATTCAGCTAATCTACTCGCAGTGTACAGGATTGAAGTGAAGCACCAAATTCGGTACGGAGTGAGGAAGTGAAATCCCCAATAATTTGGTCTATTGGGAATTTTTACGCTTCTTTCAGAGTGGAGCATAGCTTGTGGAAGTTTAAGACTGCCCGTCCAAGCAGTGTAAAATATGGTAAGCAGTAAAAAGAGGAATGTATGCAGCTCGAGACACATAAAGAGTCCCGAAGGTAATTGTCCCAATGCTGCCACAGTCATGGACAAGACTGTGCTTATCATTAGGAAACAGGTCAACATGCAATTAAGACTGGAGACAATCTGAAAACGGTTACATAAAGTTGAATCGTCTTATTTTTGTGATCCATTAATGTATGATATGCAGTGATGTCTTACAAATTGTATTCCGTACCACGACCAATATTTCGATCTTTTGTTCTTATTAAATTTTGGGGGCACGACAAGCAGCCAGTTACCGATTTTCCACAAGATTTTTATTATGTTAGAAATGTGGGGAGCTTTCTTTTCTGGAGGGTAATTAGATTTGTCGTTCGTAATTATTATAGTAGGCTTGGTGCAAGGCATCATAAACACTGGAGATAACTTGGTGATTTCGTGGTTAATTTTAGCGTGTTTCATATTTTGTATGAATTTGGTTAGACGAAATTGGTGGCAAAGATGCAAATGCAACTAACGGGAAAAATGCAAAGAGACAACTATTTAGTTCCTCCGTTGACGTTACATGTCTAAATATAAATTCAAATACAATTCACCATGATTGAATATTGAAATAGAAAAGTATCACGTAATAGATTAACAAACTGATGAGCAAATAATATCTAGTACCCAAAAACATCCATTAATGAGATTGAGACTGTGCAACTTGTGCAACAATATTTATATTTACTTTGTCGATTAGGTGGGGATCCCACCGTTGACCGTGGGGTGGGTCTCAACAGTGAGATGCGACTCTAATAAAATTAAATTAAGTGGCTTTACAAAAAAACAAAGCTATAAATAAATACCTTAAAAATTTCAAAGTTAAATATTTACATAATAAACTAGAAGGAAAAGTAAAAACCGCAATAAAATGTATTGATCCCGAATTTGAAAGTATTTATTAATTCATGTAACAAAGTTCAACCGAGCATAATGAGTAATTTCACAATTTTATCGAATGTTTAATTACAAAATATCATATACTTATTCGTATCATTCACTCATTGCAAAGTTCATTCTGTTGCCCTTTCGTCTCCAACACTTTTCTGCTCCCTTCATTTGTGTATTGTGTAGGAATATGTACGTATAAATACACAAATATATTTATGTACATGAGAACCAATAAGTTTAATTTGCACCAGATTCTGTCCTAAACGATAAATTTCTCTATATATCTAGTCATTAGTCGAAACCCACATTCTCTGCATGGTCCCAAAAATTAAAATTGATTGTGTTTGCAAACCGTGAGCGTAATTCAATTCGTAATTATACATACAATTATATGTATTAGCTATATGTATATGTATGTATGAGTAGGTTTTTATATGCTTATTGTTAATAATACTGAATTTTAAAAGAACGGTTGAATTGATAAATTGGCAATATATGTACAATAGTAATTAAAGTAGTGATTTTGAACTGTAGATAAAAGAATTCATTAGAATGTGAAAAATATGCATACGAAACTCTTTGAAATAGTTCTTGATCCTGAAATGATTGTTCTATCTGTCATCTGCAGTTTGAATTTGACGTAGAATTGTATTATTCAGTCTTCTTCTGTATAAATTGTAAATCATTCATTTGTTCTTGAATCATACTGAGTTTTAAAGTGAATGGAACGTATAAAACGAAAAATAAAACAAGAAATATTATGGTTGTGGTGGAGTTCAATTAATTGTCGTCATCATTGTGTTGTTTCATAAATCCAGCCAGCATGTCAATCGGTAGAGCTGAATAAGGAGACAAAAATAAATAATAATGATATTTCCTTAAAATGAGTTATGCTAAGGAAAAACTCACGGAATATGATCGTAGAGTTCTTCTCAGCACTGATGCTTGTCAATGTCTGCAAATATCGAAGTTGAAGAGCGCAAGGAGACTCGGATAGAATATCTGTGAAATTCAGGAGTCATTATCATATGCCAATCTATAAAAAAAATGACAAAACAAATCATATTCTCACTAACCTGCAGCTTCCTTTAATCCTCGAGATGCCTTCATTTCTCCTTCAGCTGCAATCACCTTTGCCCTAGCTTCACGACTTGCTTCGGCCTAAGACACATTTTCATTTTTAAATTCATTGTGACATTATTGATGTAAATTTACCCAGAATAATTATTATTATGCATATCGTACCTCAGCAGCCATCGCCCTTTGGAGACTTTTTGGGAGACTGACATCCTTGACTTCGACCCTCTCAACTCGCACGCCCCATGGATCTGTTGCACTGTTAAAAACATGGTCAAATATGTCAAACAAAACGTGAGAATTTTCCAGCATTATTATAGGTGCTTACAGATCCAATGATGTTTGCATAGCCCTTGAAATTTCTTCCCTTTGGCTCAGAATCTCTGCGAGATTTTTGGTACCAAGGACATTTCGAAGAGTGGTAGATGCGAGAAGACGTGTCGACTTGGCGAAATCCGCAACGTTAGAAATTGCAATTGTAGGATTCTGCACTTTGTAGTAGATAACCGCTGTATAATAAATTATATAAAGCTTACGTCAATGCCACCAGTTTGACTTTTATTTTAAGTTAACAAATCTAATTACCGTCAACAGTCACTGTCACGCTGTCCTTCGTAAGGATTTCTTGGGGTGGGACATCGAACGTTATCGTACGTAAATCAACGCGACGAAATGTGTCGAGACATGGCCTAAAATTTTTAAAGGTTGTTAAAGCTTGCGTATGATGTTTTACATGTAAGCTATTATTTATTTGAAGGAAACAATTTACATGATGAAGAAGATTCCTGGTCCTAAAAAAATAATTTAGAATTCACAAGACATTAGAAATCTTCCTTGCTAGTACATATTTGTGTACATATATGTAAATATTGAAAGTTGTACCTCTAGCGCCACCCGCACGGAGGCGACCCATACTGTAATAAAATTAATGATCATTTCTAAAATTTATTAACTTATGCAACCAATTAACAACCCTCAATTTCGATTAGGAAAGTTATCATGAATTACAATTCACAGCTACAGTTAAATTACAGTTAAAATAACAACTTACCGGAATATAACAGCTCGTTCATACTCTTCAATAGTAAACATAAAAATCATTTTATTTCGAACTCGAAATTAAAAATATGCTAAAAATACCTTGAACAATCGCGAAACAGAAGAAGATTGTTATTGGGAAGGTTATCGTGATAAAAATTATGCACAAGATGGTGGCCGCAGACTCAATGAACTGATGGGAGTGCTCATCGCTATCCGGGTCAGAATGTAGGACGCCTGAAATGAGAAGTCCCCCAGTTTTATTTTCACTCGAGTTTTTCATGCGCCTTACATAATCGCATTAATTTACTTATTAAAGGAATACCTTCCAATCCAGATCGGCTGGACCGATGGGGGATGTTTTTCTCAACATCGTCCATTTGCTGGGCCTGTGCCATGATTTAAGTAAGTAAAAAGGGGTGGTAGAAAGGTTGACTTATTTCCCAGGAAGAATCATCTACATAAAAGACGAAATGTGCCTTACAGATTACAAAATCCATACATGTGTAAATACACATTCCAAGCCAGTATCTACTACTTTCACCAACTCAAAATGTACGATATTACTTAATATTATGAACTTACGGAACAGAAGTCTGTTTTGATAAGTTGCACTTTTCCTTCTTTGCTAAATTCGATTTGTCCAAACAAAACTTGTTCTTCTTTCCCCCTTCTAAAATGAGTATAAAATATAATATCTCACGTTTTCACTTTCTTTTTGAGCAAAATCAACACTGCGTCATGTTCATTTGTAATTTGAAACCATTAAATTCCAGTCCCAACCCTTTTCACGGGTTTAAAGCACCAGGTTTCATTTCATTATACACGGAATATGTTATGGTTGGGTTGGAACAAAATGAGGTGCAGTGTTGTGTTATGTTGTTCGATCAGGAGAAGAAGCTATTGCATTATTTACGAAGCAACAGGGCTATTAGATGAAGAAGGATGATATATGTATATCAAATACACACATACGCGTTATTCTGTTTGTTCATATACCCCTCTGTCGTGCTCCAGCACCAAAACGATAAAGTAAATGAGGTTGAGCTGTTATGTACGAATGTATGTACGTAGTTTTAGTCATGGAATGGAGTCCTCTATTTCAATAACACGCAGAGAAATCCATTCGTTTAAATAAGTGAACCCCGATGGGCACGAGTCTATATGCATGACGAGCAGGATGAAAATGATGCGCGTCGTTTATTGGGCCATCTTTCTTTACGGGAATTGGATCATCCGTCGTGGTTTGGAAATTTTCCGGGGGAGCACGAATTCCGGAGAGTTTCCTGTGCGCAGAAGAAGATAGCATTAAGAGAGTGACGGGGAGAATCAATGCACTATTTATTTTATTACGACGATTTCATTATGCATATCTTGGCTGGAAGGAAGGATATTGATGTTTCAATAATATGAATCGGACATGGTTGGTGGCGATTGGTGATATATGCATAAGGTCTGGCTGGCAGGGTTGCTTTCTTCCTACGTGACATTTCAAAGGGCAAGCGTCATCAAGACGGCAAGAAGAAGATTAAGTGGGACGTTTTGTTTATTAAGTACGTTTAATTATTCAAGGGTATATTTCCATTGGCGAGAAAAGATGATTCTTAATATGAATGTACAATGACAGTGTGAGAAGGACTTCATTAACGACGGGGTTTGATTTGAAAACAAGGCATGCATATTTATTAGAATCTATTCATCCATCCATGATAAACCATGTATTCAAAGAGTGAGAAATAATTTTACACTCTCAACTCTGTTAATTAATGCAAAGACTGATAAATATGCTAACAGAGAGTTCATGCGATTTGGATTTTTGTGTAGTTTTCATGCTGGGGCTCGTCAAATTTCTAGCACATACGGTGCAAATGACCGACTATTTATTTGCTTGGACGACGTAGAAGAACTGCTCGTACTGTATGCCAATAGTTGCTTTGCTCTTATAATAATCGGGACAAATGCATTGGAATGTTGTGGCAATGTCGTACTTATTGGAATTGTTTGTCGTCTGTTGTGCTTCTGGAACCCTAGGCTACGAAATTTTGACATATTATCGGCTTGCCTTGAATTTGGCATTAAGTATTCATTCCTCTCGTTGATTTCAACTCAGGTCTTCCCTCCTACCGACGAAAGTGCATAATTGCGATGCGCAAAAACACGACAGTTCTTTGGTATTCGTTTCAAATAATTCATTTTGCGATGAATGAGTGCATTTAGTGGTGGAATTGAAATGAATGGAGAAAATATTTATGATTGCTGATAGATCATACAAAGCAACAAGTTTCTTAAAATTGCTATCAGTATCGATATCAACTCTAAAAGTAGGCAATATGCATACATATTTGTTTCGCCTCGTTCACTAGACGAAGAGTGTGTCGTGTCTAGAGATGATAATTATTATCAAAAATGCTTTACATATATTTGCATGAAATGGAAAAAATATGCCTTCTCGAGTTCAAGTAGACTTTATTACTTGTGAACCTTGTTATACATGACTTTGCTAATCCATGCAGATGCTGCGATGCGAGATGATGCAAAAATATGGGACTATTTGTCTTGTGCATGAACACATTAAAATTAGTCTGGTAGAAAATCGTTCCGGACAAGCAGACCTGTTGAAAACTTTATGTTGTCTTTTAATTCATCTGCATCCGTAGCCAAATATATAGCTCTGCTAAAAATAGCATATTGTTATGCAGTATGTCCATACATACTGGCTTACATTATTACTCACTACCATAGGGCGGATATGTATGTACTTAAATTCCTCAAAATATGTATGTAATATGTACTTAAAAAACGCGAAAATATGCACGTAAAACATATTTTTCAACCGAAATTTTCTACTATATTTGCATTTAATTTTCTAAAAGTTTCAAATTTGTAACACTCTTATTAATGAATTATTATGTATTGTATTTTAATATTCATGTAATGACCCGTAAAACGACATTAGCCATATTTAGAGATTTTCAGGGGCAATTTTATGACTTGAAAAATGGGGCAAAATGGATTTTCTAGTCGTTTACACGAATTAAACTCCGTTATCATGAAAGTATAATTTTTATCCAACTTTAACGTCTGAATGAAGAAAAATATTTTTTCCTCAGGAAATCCTGAAATATGCATTAAAATGTTTATTTTTAGAAAATGCTCGAAATATGTAGGAAAATATGTGTATTTACGAAAAAACCTCAAAATATGTATGAAAATATGTATATGTACGAAAACCCTAAAATATGTAAAATATGGAAAACCATGTTTGAATTTTTGAAATCATGCTTCGATAGGATGTGTGTATACGAAGTTATAGTAAGATCTGATTGGGAATGAAAAAGTTAGAAATACATACATATCCGCCCTCTGCTCACTACGCATGTAAAATACGGACCAAAATGGGAAACAAATCTCTCTGGTAAATGCGGATGATGGGATTTGATGCAATCTCCGGTATTTATTTAGCAGATACGGTCATTATTAGCACATTCACTGTTTATAAAGGCGTTAAAATAGACCTGGTTGTAACATCATGGAAGTACTTTGTGTTGATGTACATATTGAGGGAGGATCTGTTCTTGCATATTTTAATCGGGCTTCGTTGCATACATTATACATAGATGACATTGTTCAGCATCTGCTCATAAAAGTTGGTATTCACGCATCGATGACTGAGTGAATCCTTTCCATGAACAGAAATCGTCAAACTAAACCGGACGCGCATAGGAACGATATGATTCACACCTCAAATATTAATACTTGCGATGAAACATATTATCCATACTCGACATTCTCTCCATAATAAAACAGTTTGCTATCAGGTAGAGTGAAGCTCACTAGATATCCATATATTCTATCCCAGTAAACAACTTTTCATTTTATTGGATTACCCTGGTCGTAGGTAGGTAAACGGGAAAACAACAAATATTAGATAAGATTAGGCTGACACTCGCAGAGATGGATAAGAGTCGGTGCCAGTGGTTTGAGATCCAGTCACAGAAGAGCGTCATTTAGAGAAAATAATATTTGGGCGTTTTCACCCAGTACATCTCGCTATTTTCATCTGAGCAAATACATAATACAACGATTCCAGAAAAACTGTCGAGTGTTTAGAATTTCTGATACAAAATGGGGGAAACATGTTGCTGTGGGTGTTGCACAGTGGCGACAGGAACTGCAATCATTGCAATCCTGGACATTGTAAGATTTTAAATTAGAACACACTTGAAATAGTTAAATTGTGAATGGAACAACTTTTTTCTTGAAAACTATTCCAGATCGGTGGTGTTCTACAAATGATACAAGGGTCGATTGTTGCAAGTCTGATGATCTCTCACCCAGATCGGATTCCCGAAGAGCATTACCCTAATTTTAAGGATCATAGTATGTCGCACATATTCAATTATTCTGGTATTTAGAAATATAAAAAAATTAACAAATTTTATGGTTTCTTTAAACTCCTTATTACAGCGGCAGTCTATATTACGTTTCAATTCATTGGCATATTCATGGCACTGGTTTACACCATTGTATCCGGTCTGCTATTCCAGGGATACAGGACGGTAAGCATTTTTCATGATACGAAGAAAACATAAACTATAACTAGAAAATGTATGCATTCATTCTTATTTTCTTATTGTAGAGGAATGTTCGACTCTGCTTGCCTTGGTTGTACTGGAATTACATTTCTCTGGGACTGGCCGCCATTGGAGTCGTCATAATTTTCTTTGCTCTGGCGTTGAACGGCCAGTTCGTTGTTGGACTAATTTTGGTGCTAATTGCCATCGTTGTTTTGGGGATTGCGGTGTACTTTGTTTTAGTGGTGCAACGATTCGTTAATGAATTGAGAGGAGGTGGTTATTCAGCTGCTAATGCAAATATCAATTGAATTGAGTCCAAGTGTCAAACTGGAAAATATTTATTTATATACCTAAGTTTTCTTAACGTGGCATTGTATCACGTGTTTTTTGTTTGAATTGTTGTGTCTCAACTTTCCCTTCCTCCATGTATTCAAATGGCGATTTTGAAAAATGTTCACCGCCTTTCGTTTTTAACAATATGAAGATATTAATGCACCTAAAAATCGGTAATTTTTAGGCTTACATAGTTAGGAGATAAAAATTTTGATTTTTTTCTTCGATGAGGAAATATTTAAATTTTATTGATTATTTTTCATCTATTTTATATTTATCTTCTTGTTGAAGAAAAAAATCAAAATTTTTATCTCCTAACTATGTAAGCCTAAAAATTACCGATTTTTAGGTGCATTAATATCTTCATATTGTTAAAAACGAAAGGCGGTGAACATTTTTCAAAATCGCCATTTGAATACATGGAGGAAGGGAAAGTTGAGACACAACAATTCAAACAAAAAACCCCGCATCAGCCAGCATGCTATTCCGCCTTAAGCGGTGACGCATTAATTAATTGTAAGCAAACTTTCGTCAATTTTCGTTTACAAAATTTATTGTATTGCGTAATGATAGAACATTATATATTTAAGTTCCAATATATTTAACCAAAACATATTTGATAGTTCAAAGCATAATCAAGTTAAAGTTTAGTGTCAAATATTTTTAGATTTGAAGATTCTTTCTCACAATATGGGCTGCCGTTGTTGCATACATACATTTATGTACTTGTTCTTTCATATGATTTTCAGGCACAATCATATTTTCCTTCGTCAAAGTTTGAGTTCTTGGGACTCGTTAATCTTTACATCTAGATATGCACAATTTATTATTACAAGATTAATCAACACAAATCATTCGTTGTTATTAAATTCTCAACCAATAAATGACAGTAGTATTTCGGAATTTTTCTTGACCGTTCCCTAAATCCATTGTTATACGCATATCCAAAATTCTCATCAAAATACCCAAAGTGCAAGTACACATGTACATATACGAGAATATTCATAAAATTATTGTCAAAGTAACAAATTTCGGATCGCTGCTAACAAAACTCATACCTTAAGGGCCCGGGGGAAGATTTACTTGATTTTATGTTAGCAACAATAATTGCCAGGGCCCCAAGATTATTATCGCTCTGTTAGGTTACGACCACAATTAATTGACACCGTTTCTATGGGACACTCACGTTCAAAAGCTTTGGTTTTGTCACTGCTTTTGAAAAAGTTTCCCTCAAGTCCCTCAAGTTTTTGAAAAAAGTTGTTTCTTTTGTTCCATGGATACTCAAAATGCAATTCCTGCCATTAATTTGGCAATTCTAAGCCAATTTGTCCTCACTTTACGACCAAATATCTCCACTGCACAAGAGGGCAGATCGTCAAAAAAAACTCAAGTAAAATCTAAAGATATGATTAACGCATTAAACATAATTTAAAAAATCTGCCCTCTTGTGCATTGCTGACTTTTATCGTCAAAGTTGACGTGATTTCTAAGCAACTTCCCCCAGGCCCTTAACCTTATAAAAACTAATTAATTTTGACCTGGATACCATTTAAAAACGGAATTAAAAATGGTTTCTATTGCATTTGGGGGCGGATTTACTGGGGGGCAGAATACCATTGAGACCGACTTGTGGGGCGGTGATAAAATCAGTTGGGGACTGAATTAATGCAAACCGATTTTGAATATTCTACTGATGCAGTTATGATTTATTAGAGACCTGGAACTGATTCGACAACAAAAATTAGAACATAATACATTTTTAACATGAAATTGCAACTGAACCAAATGAACACACGATATTAATTTTGATAAAAAGATCGGATTTGATTTTGATAGTACTACAAAAATAAACTAAACGAATAAATCGTCATCATTCATGTCATCAATTTGATGACACTGATTTTGGGATGCATTTTATATTTTAAACAAGTTATTAGCTATAATTTTGTCCTTCAGTGTTCTGTGACTTGTTCCGATCGGTGGTGACACTATTGCGAATATATTAGCTAAAGAGAACGTTGTGATAATTTAAAAAAAATATGAACTGTATCATATTTACAACATGATACAGGTCAGAGGTCAACGCCGACCAATTTATTAGCGGCGCCAATGTTGGATAATTTTTCGGGGGCGCGGCGTGACCTCTGATGCACTTCCTCCGAGTTCCTCCCCCCACTACAACTACAACTCTAAACTCTAAAAAAATTAGTTCAGGCTTGAAGAAAAACCAACGACAAATAAGGAGGAAAGAATGGAACTGAGAAAATTTTCTCGGTCATTTTATTTTTATTTTTTCCTACACCTTATTGATGTAGCCCGGTCTCAACGGAATTCTGTAACCATACACCTTATTGGTATAGTCCGTCGCTAAGGCGAAAAATTTGGCCTACACCTTATTGGTGTAGTCCGTCGCCAAGAGATCGAAATCGCCCTCCACCTTATTGGTGGAATCCGTTTTTAAAAGGTTAATATTTATTTAACGGATAGAATACGTAAGTCACATAATATGTGCATATTTAAACTGCGTCAACTTCTCAGAACCAAGCATGCAGATGTTTGTTATGTACTATATTACGTAGTTATTACTGATATGCATACGCACATCCGCCTGGAGAATATACAAAAAATGGGGACAAATCTCTTTGGCAAATTCGGATAATTCAGAAGACTGGATGTGCCGTGATCTAGCAGCTAAGGTCATTGCATCTCACTATTAGCATTCAATGTCTACGTATAAATGCATTAAAATAATGAAGGTTGCAACATACAACATACTCCAAGTAACGTGTGCCTAATAATATGTAAAGTGAGCTTTGTACCTTATACGTATTTGGATACAATTTTGCAACGCCTGACGAATAATTAAAAATTAAATGTATTAGTGAAAACTAATACAAGCTAAAAGTTGGTATTCATTCAAATGAGGACGATAGATCTATCATTTCCATGAACAAAATCACTAAACCGGACGTAGTATGGCACATGCTTGCATAATGTCTTTAATATTTAAGCATCTGATGTGAAGAATAATATGTAAATATGTTTCTCATGCCTTAAATACTAAATAGTCGCGACATTATCGACTCGCTCCATCAAGCTCATTTTGTAATGCAGACAGGTAAAGTCCAGCTCACTCGATATCCAGGCATTCTATTCCAGTGCACAACTTTGCATTGCACAGGATTATCATGACCGTATGCAAAATGAGGAAAGATAACGAAATATTAGTAAATGTTAGGCTAACTTTTGAAATAAGAGTCGGTGGAAATGCATCTGAGATCCAGTCTTAGAAGGGCATCGTTGGAAGAAACTAGTATTTGGCCGTCTTAACCAAAGCAAATACATACCTAATACAACAATTCCAGGAAAACTGTTGTGCTCATAATTTCTGATACAAAATGGAGAAAACATGCTGCTGTAGGTCTTGCACAGTGGCGACAGGAACTGCCATCATTGCAGTTTTGGAAATTGTAAGATTTCAATGAGTACACATTTGCAATGGTTAAATTGTTAATGGAACAATTTTTTTTCTCCAAAATTATTCCAGATCGGAGGTATTTTTCAAATGATACAAGGGTCGATAGTTGCAAATGAGATGATCTCTCACCCAGATCGGATTCCCGACAAGCACTACCCTTATTTTAAGGATCATAGTATGTCGCACATATTCAATTATTCTGGTATTTAGAAATATGAAAAAATATAAAATTTTATGGTTTCTTTTAACTCCTTGTTGCAGCGGCAGTCTATATTACGTTTCAATTCATTGGCATATTCATGGCACTGGCTTATACCATTGTATCCGGCTTGCTCTTCCAGGGATACAGGACGGTAAGAATTTTTCATGATACGAAGAAAACATAAACTATCACTAGATAATGTGCATTATTCATTTTTATTGTAGAGGAATGTTCGACTCTGCTTGCCTTGGTTGTACTGGAATTACATTTCTCTGGGACTGACCGCCATTGGAGTCGTCATACTTTTCTTTGCTCTGGCGTTGAACGGCTACTTCGTTGTTGGACTAATTATGGTGCTAATCTCAATTGTTGTTTTGGGGATTGCTGTGTACTTCGTTTTGGTGGTACAACGATTTGTTGACGACAATTGAGGAGCTGTCGGGAAGTGCAGCTGGGAGCAGCAAAAAAGGCATTATTTTTCCTTCTAATTTTTTGTGAGTTATTGGCCACTCCCAATCGTCGGGTTTGTGGCATTGTCATACTCTTGGACTCCGTTAGTCAGTGGTAGATGATTTTTAACACCTGGACCTCGGCTGACCTTTAAGTGCGGCATTGTGATTTTAACGTCAGCTGGCCTTCCCTGAGTTGCAGAATAGACTCTTCCTAGTTCTTGTTCCTGCTTACTTCAGTCAGCTCTTATTTCATCAGAAAAGAATCTCGGGGAGCACACACACGCTACAAAGTTTTTTTATGGTTCCCGTCTCCTCCCACATCGTTCTCTCGCCTATTTCCGCATCCGGTTGGGCAGAATTTTTCAACATATACGCTGCGGGCAAAGCGGTTTAATTTGCCCTTGAACAAGAGCGCTCTGACCGACGGCGCTATATAAATCTCGATCCTATGCAGGTCTATTGTTCCAGTTTTTAAATCTCTTTGGTCAATTATTAATTGGTGAAATTTATTCAGTAATTTCAACAACCATGGCGGAATGGAATGGAATTATGAACAACATCAACATCAACGAATAGGAAGATGGATGGACAAATTTGTGGAACATGTCATCGGGCTATCGGAAAACGCCAACTCACACTATCCTGCGCCTTGTGTGAGCAAAAGCATCATCTTATATGTCATCAGAATGTAAAGAGACCAGAAAGGGGGTACACATATAATAATGTTGTACCAAATTGGGTTTGCGCTAATTGTTCTCTACAAATTAATGAGGGATCGTGGAACGGATTTTCTAAACTCATCAGCGCTACTGCAGGAGGACTACGTACCCCTTCAACTTCATACGTCGCAAGCCAACGTTACGAATCATTCTTCTCAAGATTATGCATCAAGTGGTAACAACTTATTTTATGGTCTATTGGATAAGAAAATAAGGGAATGCAAAGGTATTTTATTTGCACATGTTAATATCAATAGTATTAGAAATAAGTTTGAGGAAGTGTGCAATTTCCTACAAAAGCACACTATTGCTGTATTTGCGATTACTGAATCGAACCTAGACGCTGAAAGAGACTTAACGTGTATGTATCAAATTCCTGAGTATTATATGACAAGATTTGATAGGGATGTGAAGAAAGGTAAAAAGTCAGGCGGAGGTTTAATTATGTACATACATAATACGTTTAAATTTGATATTTTAGACATTGACTTTCTAATACCTGGTAGAACTCAACTAGCTATTTTGAAAGTTTATCGTGATTATATGAAGCCCTTACTTTTTACCGCGTTATATAATCCACCTGACACGGATAAAACGCAATTTCTGAAATGTTTTACTGATCTTAATGTATATTTATCGAGTTTTAAGTATGAAAGGATTATAGTGGGTGATTTTAATCTGAATTTGATTAGAAAAGGAGTATTTGATATAAATACGCATAAATTATTGTTATTAGCCAAAGAGTTTAATATGTACCAGTTAATTAAAGGACCTACACATAATAGTGGATCGCTCCTTGATCATATGTATGTGTCAAATAAGTCAGATTTCACACAATCCTTTCACTTACCATTCGCTGGATCTGACCATGATATCTGTGTTACTGCGAGAAAGAAACTTAAAATTAAAGTATCTCCGAGAATTGTAACTTGTAGAAAATTTAGTGATATTGATTGGGACTTATTCAATAAGGATTTACAAAGTTATATGGAGAATGTGAACTGTGAAAATATTGATGTCAAACACCCTGTCAAAACTGATGTAGAATTCAATAATTTTTCTTTATATGTAATGAATACGCTTGATAAGCATGCTCCAAGTAAAAATAAGATAGTGAAGAGCAAGAATGTTCCATGGTTCAACTCCGAGATATGGAAATTGGTTAAACATAGGAATAGTCTCCTAAATGTAGCGAGAAAGTCGAATGATGATAAAAAATGGAAAATGTATCGTAAAGCCAGGAATAATGTGAGATATAATATGAATAAGGCAAAGAGAATGTATTTTCTAAACAAATTTGAGAATGTTACTGGTACTAAGAGTATGTGGAAATGTGTTGATGAATTAACTAGCTATACAAAGAAGGATTTGCAACCAATTAACTCTTTAGTTATAAATGACGTATGTACCTATGACAAAGTGGTGATGAATGATCATCTTGCTGAATGTTTTGAAGTGAATGATAATTTTATTACCAGTAATGATGATGAAATGAATGAGATGATTGAAAACTATTGTCAAAACTATGATTATTCAAAAAGTAGTAATTCTGATATTTTGCCGTTGGAAATTAAGGATGATGAGATTGAAACATGTATTTCGAAAATGAAAAATAAGCAACCTAGAGATGTTAAAATGCCACCCATCTCTGTTATTAAAAAATGTAGGGAAACATTTAGTGTCTATTTATCAATGTTTTTTATGTTGTTTATTAACAAATGTATATTGCCGCAGTCCTTTAAAGCTGCAAAAGTTACGCCTTTATATAAAGGAAAAGGAAGTCGATCGAGCGGTAAAAATTATAGACCTATATCTATTCTCCACACTTATTGTAAGATCTTTGAGAGGTTTCTATTCAATAGAATAAGTATCAGAGTTAAAAATTTGTTATGTAAAGAGCAGCATGGGTATAAGCAGAATAAGTCATGCATTACAGCCTTGAAAGAATTTACGAATTATGTTTATAGTGAGATTGACAAGCCTAAAACGAAGGTTGTTGCTGTAATGATTGATTTTTCACAAGCTTTTAATTCACTTGACAAGAATGTATTAATTAAAAAACTAATGAATGAATTTAAAATAGAACCATGGTACATTTGTGTAATTAGAGAAATATTCCGAAATCGTGTATTCCGTTTTTATAATGATGACAAGTATTATCATATGCCTAGAGGTTGCTGTCAGGGTAGTTCGCTCGGGGGACTTATATATAGTTTATTCTCTAATGACTTATCGAAGAGTATCGTGTGTAATGTTAAGTTATGCGGATGATGTAATTTTATATGCAAGTGGCAATAATTCGGATGTTGTAATGGATGAAGTGTTTGCTCAATTCAAAAATGTATGTGACTGGTGTTTAAAAAATGGTATTACAGTTAACTATAGTAAGACAAAATATATGGTATTTTTTAAGGAGCATGATACAACTGAAAAATCTGAGAGAATGTTTTGTCAGGTAAATGGTGAGAATATTGAGCGTGTGTTTGAATTTAAATATTTAGGTATCTGGATTGATCCACACCTTAATTTTAAGAAACACTATGATGTTGTATGTAAGAAGGTTATAGCGAAATTGAAATATCTGAGAGGTGTTAAGCGGTATTTGAATGTTCATGTTTTAAAGATTATGATAAATGCATATGTACACTCAGTTATAAATTATGGTATTGAGATATGGGCTGTACAAACTGATACTCTCCTCATCGAACTCCAAAACAGAATAGACAGATTTATTTATGAATTTTTTGTGCATAAGTACGCTAAGAGGAAGTACAGACATAAGACTGACACACAATTTATAGATAAATTACGGAAAGATTGTAACTTTATGACAATATTGGTGAGAAGACATTATGTCCTACTAAAATGTGCATATAAAGATATGATTGCAGGTAGTTGTAACTTCTCATTAAGAAATAATGTACGTACTTTTCCACTAATGAATGTGGATACTTTCTCCTCTCAAATATATAAAAAATCTGTCAAATTTCGTACTACGAAGTTATGGAACGCGTTACCAAGAGATTTAGACGTAAGAAATATGTCATATGGGAAATTTAAAGAATTTTTATGTGAAGATATGATGAAATAATTGTTTAAAAATAACGAAATGAAGATATATTAGTTAGTAGATATAGTTAGTTAGTAACATATTTGTATATTGTATGTGTCACTCGTGGAAGAGCATGGTTTGTTACTGTGAACTTGGTAGACACTTGAATAAAGCATAATCAATCAATCAATCAATCAATCGAGTTGAGAGGACCCAGCTGCTGATATCAATTGACTAAAAACTTCAGCGTCACACAATAGCAAATGTTAGTTGAGCAGGATTACTGAAGCGATGAAATATTAATTGTTAAATAACCAACCCATGACTCTTGGCTTATTTTTTGTATTGGGAAATAATGATGGGAAATATTGTAGTTCTTAATTTAGTTTGATAATTTAAACCGTGTCTTTTAGTATCAGTTTTTTTGACTAGCTTGTTTTTGACCGAGTTTGTTTTTGCTGTGTTTGTTGCAATTTTTATGAGTACAATGATTTTTTAAAGCTACAGCTTATTTTATTAATGATTAATCAACTTAAATCATCAATTGTTATCAAATTCTCAACCAATAAATGACAGTAATACTTTGAAATTTTGCTTATCCATTCCGGAAATCCATTATTGTATATATGCATACAAATAGCCTAAACAGCCTGAAGTGCAAACACATACAAATGTCCATACCATTGTAGAAGTACCATATTTTCATATCGCTACTAAGAAAACTAATAACTTGACATTTATTTCCCATCAGATTTAATGCATCACACAAAATATAAACTGCGTCAACTTATCAGATGCAAAAACTCATCACATTACTGAGAAATTAGGAGCGATGAAACAGTTTGTCTCGTACAAGTATCCTGGATAACTAGCGGAGTACTATTATCCACAAAGTTGTCGCCAAATCGCACCTTCATAGGACTACACGCTCTGAATGATCGTCTCAGCTCTGAATTTTGAGTCATTTTCCATTCCGTCCTCCACCTCGCTAAAAGTTTCCTTGAAGTTATGAACACGTAGGAGGACGCCGTGAATACAGAAGTTGTCAGAATAATAGCATCGCCATAAATTAGGAAGTAGAAAGCCAGAGCAGGCAAACTCATGGTGTCGTGCAATTTAATGCACACGTAACAGCTAAAAAATTGGATTGCTGGAAATCCCAAAGAGCACGAGGGAAGCATGCATTTTCGGACACAGTTGTTGTTCAGCATCTCCAAAATTTTGAGATGCTTGTATGTCTGGAGAAGTTGGGCCTTGTTTAACGTATTTTCTACTGTCCTGTAATATCGTAGGGCTTTACATATGTACTAATTATTCCCAGATGGATAAGTAAGAAATTAATGATTTATCAATTCGTTACCATTTCTTAATTATCTGCATGTAATCCCAAAAACAGAGGCTTGAAGCAATCAGAATTTGCGTTATGTAAAATGAGCCAGACACCACAGCGTTGAAAAGCATAAACACGTCAAAAATGACTAAGCCAATTCGCAAACAGATGGAGAATTTTGCCTGACCATGTCGACAGCAGGGTAGCATCGACCCAGCAAATGGGGGAAGACATGGCCTGTAGAAGAGGACCACACCAGTAAAGATCCCAACAGAGAAACATGAGAAAATTGTCAACGGGAGAACCAGTGACATTAATTTGTCCGGAATAGTCTTCTTGTAAACGTGCCCTAAACATATTCAGAAAATAAATTGAACTACGTATAAATAAGATTCTAAATACACGCGATTTTGATTGGTACGGTCTGATACCTTTGAGAAATGACTCCTCAAATTTTATGAATGCATTTAAAAGGTTCATCGCCGTTTTGTCTAATTTCCAATTCCATCGGAGAAGTAATCCAGTCAGGTTAATGCTTGTGAAAACCATGGCTTGAAACTTTGTCCCTGTCGAGTACGGAGAGAAGGTGGTCATCACCACTTGCAGGATTGAGTATACGGTTTGAAGCATCAATTGTGAGGTGACGATAAACTGCATTATTTTTGATGGAAGAAGAGACAATTTTCCAGAACTGTCATCCCATTGGAATGGAAGGGATGAGATTAATTTGGCAACTCGAAGATGTTGCTTTAAATGGGGTAAAAATGTTATTGTTAACATTTTTTGGGGGTGATATTTGCATGGAAAAGTTTATATCTGAACTGTGGAAATTCCACTGTGGAATGCATAGTCAATAGTGGATGATAAATTGGTTTGGTGGATTTTATGCAATGGGACATCATACGCAACCTTGTGATGATAGGATAATTATTGATATCGTTAGCAAATAATGTGACAAAATCCTACACCGCCAGTGTATAGGTGCAAACAAGCTAAACTCTCCAGGTCAAATGGAATAAATCAATTTTCGGTATGCAAATAATTAAATAGTTCGTACATGGCAAAGACAGACCTGACAAAAAATATGTACACTGCGTCTTTTGCTAGATATGTATATATTTAACTCCACTTTCCTGAGCTAATGCATATTACAGCGATTATTAACACATAACCTAATCCTAATCGATTGACAGTAAATAAATAATATTACATGATAGAATTTGAGAATTGATATGTAATTTTACTTGTTACTATTTTGGGCTTGAAAGTTGTAATAAAATGTGTTATGTCAAAGTACATAGGTGAAATGACTGACTAGTAAATTTTTGGACTACGTAATATATAGTGCTTATAAACACTGAATTGTTTGCTATCTGAATTTTACAATGCTGAGAACATTGCTTAATAAATATGTATTTGTGCTGAAACTTGTTGGGTGAAGGTCAAATTCTGTCAATTTTATGATTAAATAAATAAACGGATAACCGAAATTTTTCTAAGCTGAATAAGTCAGAATATTTAGTAAAATTTGTAAATGGAAAATTGGAAGACAATTAGTACACAATTAATTTGAGTAATTAACTTAGCAAACGGATGCCTCAATTGATATGGATATTATAATAATTACTGGCCACATGACACTAGGGTACCTCAATACTTTATTGATTGATGTCGAATATTCAAGTTTGGGTACGGGAATTACAGTTCCATTGAAGTCAAATCTTAGCGACAAAGGTTATATTTCCAATATCAAATAGCTTATCTACTTTCTCCCTTATATCCTTAATAACAAGGTCAAAAGACGTATATTTTTGGAAGATACCCGAATTCAGTGGTTCCATAATTCTTAATTTTATGAATGAGCATGCAAATGAACATTTTTAATAGAGGTCAATTTCTTGATATTCTTTTTATTAATATAAGAATAATATCGTATATCCATCAGGAAAGCAATAAAAAAACAGAGTATGTATTAAAAGTCGTATGTATTACCCATATTGTTACAAATAGGCAAAATTTGTAATAAATAAGTAATCAAATTAACAAATAGATCTCATGATAAGCTAAAAATTGTTTATGAGTTAAATTTCGTACATTTGAAGAAACTGATTGATTAAGCATGTATGTACCGTAAATCTTCAAAGTCTTAAACCGTACGAATGAGCAATATTTATCAACTGAGTGTGACTAGATCTTTGGCTAATTATTAGACATTAATTATGTCATGATAGGAATAAATGAACTATTAAGCAGTCTTTACATTAAAAGTGGCAAAGCTAATAAAAATTTGTAAGATCTTCTTCATCAGTCAAGAAAAATGTAACCTTGCAGAACCCTCAAGTCTACTTACATATGTACATTAATAGCTCGTCAATAAAATACTCTACACTTTTCTCTCGGATTATATCGAGATCCAACCTCGCAGTTGAAGGCGTTCGAAAATTCATCATTATTCGCCATTTGACCCAAGACTCTGATCGAATTCGGGCTATGCGACTCCTGTTCGAAGAACTCCTTCAGGACGCGTTCTCTCGCCTGTTCTCCAGAAAACGATCGACACTCCACTTGCGCAGCAGCAACGAAAAAGACTTGTTTAAAATCGACAAATTCCATGCCGGGAAGTGGACGATAATTTTTTGCATATTTTTCTTGAAATATCGATAATGCAACATCGAGTCCTAGAACATCCGCTAAATTTTCGTCCCACGTGCTCGTCCCATTCACAGCTACGGAGGAGTTCACAATAGGAAAGTGGTCATACTGCTTTTGCAAACATTTGCTTATTTTATCGAAAGTTGCAAAGGCAGAGGGGGAGACTCCGCTCGGTTTTATTCCATGATTTCCCCACGCACCTGTGTAAATAGTAAATATTAAATAGTTTTTTGCAATAGGTGGCCGGTACTGAGAGGAAGGATTTAAAATTTTGTACAATTAAGGAAAAGTAGCGTACTTACCTCGAATATATTCATCAAATGCATGCGTATACTCATGTCCCAGAGTAATGGCAAATTTTGCATAAATGATAATATCCGGGTATTCAAAGGAAATGAAGGGCTCCATTGTAATTCCGGCAGGAATGTATAGCACGTCTTTCCAATACTGATAGACAGCATTTGCTTCCGCGACAAACTCTATTTCGCTGTTATCTTCATTAAGATAGTTGAGAATATTGTGAATTTCCAGCGCGTCGACGTTAGCCGAGTAGGAGAAAGCATCCGGAGAAACGACGACATGTCCATAATTTTCAATCTCTTGTTTTGTATCCATGATAGACATTGGATAACCAAGTTGGTATGATGTATTGGCTAGTTTCGTCATCAAATATGCTTTCGTTGCATTGTCCATCCAGCTCAGTTGAGCCACTTTTCGCTGATAAATGTCTGAAACCTCGTCCAGCATAAGTCTTACTTTCTCCATTTTCTCGACACCGTACGTCTTTGTGGCGAAGAGTCGGGCTGTCACATCTTGAAAGAAGGATTGAGTGAGAGTCACACAGGTCAGGGAAATGGACTCGTTCTTGTCTAAGTCATGGTTTAAACAATACATTAATTTTTATCGAGAAATCATGTGAAACCCCATATTTCATATAAAAAAATACCTTTCATGCCAAGAAATGGTTTAACACGGGAGCGAAGGTTGGTGAAAGTTTTTTCGAGTCGTGTTAATTCCAACCAATCTTCGTCACCACTCCAAAAGTCATCATCACTGCCATGGGTCGTGTCTTCCTTCACTGAAATCCAGTCTAGTGACTGCTTTTCATCCAAATCCATCTGCTTTTTCTTGAGACATGAAACATAAAAGTGTTTTGCTTTCTCTCCAGCTCCGTCAAGCGGTTCGTGAGATTCTGCAAAGGAGTGGATATGGAATGGAATATACAAATTATGATTCAAAAAGTCAAAAATATTCCAAGTTGCATACCTAAAATTTCTCGAATCAACATTGTATTGTGTTTTGTAACTTCAGTCAGCACAGATGTTGTGTTATCCGCGTCATCAATTGTTGCAGGATGTAGTTTAATCCATCCACCACAAGCGTGCTGTAATTAGTTGTATAATCATATTAAATTTGAATGTATGTATTTTAAAGTGTCATGTTAAATAGTTCTTGCATATTCGTATTCATCGACTTTAAAAATGACGACAAAGTTCATTACACCCCCAGTTGCATCGATAAAATCTGACTATCGGATGCTTGATTGATATCGATGTTGATAATGCAGACCTTTATTTTGACATAATTGGAGGAGGTTCTCCATTATCAAATTGTTTGTCTTCGTAGTTAAATCAGGTTTATTGTGATTCAGCGACCAACGACGTACATTGCATCATAATAATAGCTATGACATGACGTTAATTACACATGCAGACACACACACGCAGATATTCATACACATTCTCAATTGAAACGTGTTCTGACTTGTTATAAATATTGAACTTTATCATCACAGTTCATTCCGACGACTAAAACGTGAAACAATATATGTAAATATAAGTATACTTAACGTTTATCATTTGTTTGTTTGTGAAACAATGCAACGACAAAAGCAAGCAAAATGACGTAATATTCTGGAAAGAGAATATATCCGCACCAAGTATGCATACGTAAATGTACGTAGATATGTATTAGTTGAGGATATGAGTTGATTCGCAAATTTTCTGTGTAAAAAGGGCGTATCCCTTAATGAGCCCATATATAAACCAAATTTAAAAGTCGCCATCTGCTTTATACCTTGCTTATAATTTTAATAGTTTCAGTACCTGATAGAAATCATCACATGGGGCAACACTGTGATCCATGAATGAGAGCAACTCCGCTGCAATTTTGTGGCAGGCTGGTGTCTCGCACGTTTCCGGTACAGCGACATCCTGACCAGACAGGCCGTTAAACATTCCGAGTATGAGGATCATTCCCAGAATGGTCGTAATGACTCCAAGAAATCCCAAGATACAGGCACACCATTTTTCCACGCCGTTGTTATTGGCACTCCCAACTGCAATCTGTCTTGATGTTGCGACCTTTGTTAGGTCATCCACTTGAATTATGGTGGCCTCATTTTCGACAAGATTCGCTCGATCACTCCCATCGTCTCCCGATGGCATTGTTGCCAATCGGAAGAAGGAAAGCACCGCAAATCTTTTCTGGGACAGGTTTTGCCCCCATGATGACTCCTCTTTTTTCGCCATTTTGCTTTCAAACTCCCAAAAAAATAGCTTGTAAAATATGTTTGCGAAAATATTTAGTTGATTTTAATCAAATTCAGAGATTTAATGTTGATCGTCCTCTTCTCACTCTTCTGAACGAAGGAATGACACAATTGCACGATAAATGGCATAGATGATTCCATTACCATGATGTGCCAAACGTTTTTATAGGCAGTATGGTTTCTCATGTGGGTGACTCAGCTATTAAATTACAGCGAGCTTATCATTGCAATCATGAACTGTTGCTTATCGTCATGAGGAGTTGATGTGCGTTCCACTGAAACCCGTCGGTATGTGCACTCATTATGCACAAATGGTGGTACAGGTACATGTACAAGCAATAAATGTCCTCAAATTCCGTTGGTGTTGGGAAATTAACTCGGCGGAAATTTGGCTACATATAGTCGCCAAAGGTCTGTTGTGTGCATTTTGCATTATGAACTTAAACCAGAATTTGCTGGTGATTTGACGTGGGCTCATGATTCCTGGGCAGATTACTTACATGTGATAAACGATTTTGTAAACGACCAGTGTGCAAAACAATTATATGTACACATGTACATATAATTTCATGTTAAAATGCACAACGGAACAACAACGACTTATAAAAAGTATAATAATTTATTTTAATGTTTTTAGAAAAATCAGTGAAAATCGCACTTGGATTTTGGATTGTAGCGAGATCCCATCGGACAATTGAAGGCACTTGCAAACTCTTTAAAATTGCTGAGTTTGCCCAACACTCTGGCCGGAGCTGGGCTGTGTTCATCCGTTTCTACTAAATCTTTTAGATAATTTACTGCAGCATTGTCATCTGCAAATGACTGGCACCAATTCTACATCAGAGACATGATAGTTTACATAACGTGATAGAAGTAAATCATATTTATTTTGATGAATTAATTTCTACTGACCTGTGCACTTGCTATGAAAAATAGCTGTTCATTAGTATACCCAGAAAGTAAGCTCGGAGTAGAATCATCGCTTTGAAACGCTTTGAATGCAATTTGTAATCCGATGAGATCTGCCACATTTTCGTCAAGAGTGAAAGTCCCATTAATCATTATTTTTGTTACATTATTAAACTGTGAAGGCAGTGGTACTTGGAACCCGTCATATTGCTCCTTGACGCACTGACATCTTTCTTTGTATCCGTCCAGCGTTGCTCTATTGGTTACAATTTGGCTGGGATACTTGATTCCGGTTTCTGCGTAATTTGTTAACCCGTCTCAAAATTATTTGTTACTGGAGTGTATCCAATTTGACGTAATATACATGTGGAGGCGTATTTGCTTTAAACTACAACTAACCATCCGTAAATCCATCCATGTATCTAATCAAAGCATGACCAAACTCATGTCCCACCATCATTCCCAGTCTGGCAAAGTTTATCACGTTTGGAAATCCTGGATGAAAAAGTGGCCTTTGTACAATTCCTACAGGTATAATGACAGCATTCAGATCGGGTCGGTATTGCATTTCCATTGTGGTTGTAGTTGCCATCAATTGTTCCACCATCTCATCAGCATGATTACTATGATCAGTCGTCTCATCTTCAAAATCATCTGCGTGGAATTTTAGTACTTCTAAGAGAGATTGCATATTGGATAAGAACTTGTCTCCGTGCTCGGAAACTGTAACATTTTCATAGATATCATCCTCCATCCGTATCATACTCGTGTTCATAGTTATGTTCGAGTATCCAACCAGAATAGTTAAATTCGAGAAAATATTTTCCGTAATATTTCTCTTTGATTCTTCGTCAATCCAGTGCATTTGCTTTATTGTGGATTCAAATTGAAGCTGCAATACACTCAACAACTTGTTCACACTGGGTTCTTGATGGAGATAATATTGCTGGACAAACAGTCTTCCAACCGTTTGAGGGAATAACTTGAGGGTGCATTCCATACAGGCGAGTGGGGTAGAATCTTCGTCTGCAAGTCAAGACTTTCTCTCATTATTTAAGAAAATCCTTAACATTGAGTTTAAACGACCGACCTATACTGAGAAAGTCTGCTAGCCCCCATTCATCCTCATCATCATCTTCCCCAGACTCTTGCATGTCGTCACTGTTTTGAGTGGTATAATGCTCATCAAGCTCATTCTCGTACTCCGACTCCGTGTCGACCAACGACGATTCGGATGAATCTGTTGTTGCATTATCAGCCCCCATCAACAAATATTGTAAACTCTCTAAATTATCTGACAGTGTTCCGTTCTTATTGAGACACGACAGGTAGAGCAGTTTTGCTTTTATCTCGACGCTATTCCCCGATGAGTTATGATGATCAATCCCATCTGTAAATATATAAATAGTGATAGTCAGTCATGACGTTGACATGCGATATTTACCATGTCATCACCTACCAATTAAGTCATTCAGCAGCAATTTGTTGGCCTCACCAATCTCATCAATCGTATCAGTAGCGTTTTCACCTTGTTCTTCCAATTTACTGGCATAATCTAATATCCATCCTTGACATGCAAACTGTTAAAAACAGCAAGAAAATAGCATCTAGTCAAATTTTTTCAAGTTTATTAATTTAGAGATGACAGATAAAATGAATGCACACCTGATAAAAATCGTCACAAGGATCTATATGTTCGTGTATGGAAGATTTTATTTGTCGCATCACATTGACACATTCGATACTTTGGCATAAATTCACATTGACCTGTAAAATTTTTCAAGTGGACGCATATATAGTAAGATTTTCTGGAATGCCCCGTGTATTTTGCTAGCTGCATAAATGTACTTACTAAGGAATTAGACGTGATGTAGATTATTCGAATCCCAAGTATCATCACGATGAGGATAATGAGAAAAGCAACAATCCATAGGTGAACATTTTTCTTGTATTGTTTGGGAAGGCTTGTACGATTTGCATTGACATGGTTAGAACTTGGATCACATTTTGCAGTGCAAATATTATTAATAACTCTAGGACTTGATGACTCATGCTGAACTGAACGGGTTAGATGAAAAGTTTCATGAGCTTGTTCCATAACAATAATTATTATTCTGACTCTTTAACTTATGTAAACTGAACTTTTAGCTTTTATTTTTCACGACCCAAACTTTGATCTGTGTCTGAGCTACTCAAATAACTGTTTAGATTATGATGCACAAATAAAGACTAGTTGAACATGATTGGATATGTACATGAATAAGATTGCGTTTTGTAATTTTAAACTATTTTTCCTGTAAATTCACCCAGAAAATGTTTTTTTGCATTTACAAAAACGAATGAAATTGTTATCTAAAGTTCTTGTTGTGTACTTAGTAGTTGTGCATGTGACTCATCTATTTATTTATGTACATGTATCTCTGTTCCTCATAAGAAGGATAGAAATAGAAATGTTATGCTCGCGAGATACTTAGAGCTTGATATGCTGTGAAGATCATGATTCATGATTCGGCAAGTTGTTGATTTTATAAGGAAAAACGTGCAAATTTTTAAGATGCCGTAACTGGATAGGCAGCTATATACAGATTTTAGCCGACTCTGAATTGTTGTGTGTTAAATATTTGGACGCCAAAAAAGTGACAATCAGGTCGCATGTGGCGAGTAACTTGAAAAATGAGACGTGATAAAAACTGATCTTTCAGGGAACGTGGACTTAATTCTGTAGGAAGTGTAGGCTGGACAAGACTATCTCATTGCCCAACAGAGTAAGCAAATTGAACAAGGAATAAGTGACTCTCGTTTCTTTTAATTGAGTCGGGTGAAAGCGGAAACTTTCTCCCGAAACTCTTGCAAGTCGGAGGTTGCACATATTTACAAGTGGGTCAAGGTCACGTATTTTAGTGAGTATTAAGATGCAGCCCTGATACAAATTATACAATGACCCGACACATTATTCTCTCAAACATATGACTTTATAGCATTTTTAACATAATGTGTAAAATAATTTTTGACAAACGAAAACAAGTTGTAAATTCATAAAAGTCAAGACGATTAATCTATTTGATTATTTATTTACAAAGATACATGTAAATAATTTGAAAAGGAGGTATATTGACAGTGTATATACTGCAACAAAGTTACTTTATTTAACAATATTTTTATAAGAAATGTTCAATTTCAATTTCCAATGCAGCACATGGAAGGTTGCATTCAAAATTTTCTACAACTTTTGGATGCAACACGCCCAATTTGCCGATACTTTTGCCTTTATAAATAACTTCGGCACACCGTCCAGGGAAATAGGTCGAATCTGTAGGATCACCACACAATTTTAACAATAAATATGAATTCAGTAGTCTTATACGCTACATGAGCTCAACTTGATCGATAAAGTTTTTTTTACCTTCTGCAGCCCTTAAACAATAATCATCTTGAAACTTTGCTTCCAACAACTGCATAAAGCGATCCAAAAGTCCATGAATAATTTCGAATCCAGGCGATTTGTTGTAGTTCAGAGCACAAAGGTGACGACAATTTCTTGTTCCAGTGTCAACATTTTCATCGAGATAAACCACATCCGAAATTTCAAATAATTTAAGTGGCAGGGGCATATTTTTGTTGGCTTGAACCGTCTTCAAAAGTCCTGGAAGAAGCGAATAACGAGCCACTTGGAAATCTTGTGTTTTAGGATTTGCGATTCGCACCAGTTTTGATTCCATATCTACTCTTGATTTTAGTACTTTTTCACATTCATCATCAACAGAGCACTGTGTAGTAAAACAATAATATTTCATTAAAATTTAGCATAAAATCATTATGAAATTCATTTTACAATTATCCTCGCTAGAATACATATATGCGTGCACACATACCAATGAAAAGGTCAACGCTTCCGTGAACCCAGCTTGAGCCATGCACTCGGAGAGTTGGAAGTTGAGTTTATTAAGGGGAAATTGTGCTGCAACTGTGGACGTTGGAGGTAAACTAGGAACGATGTTCCCATATCCAAAAGAAATCGCCACATCTTCCATTATGTCACATTGATTTAGAATATCGTGACGAGTTGGGGGAATCTCGACCGAAATTTTCCCCGATTGTGGTCCCACCGTGGATCGTAACCCCATTCGACTCAAGCTTTTGGCCATGTCATCGGCAGTCATTCTAAATTGATTATCAAGCCATTAATAACCATCAATGAAAAACGTAAAACTAACCCTAAGCTAATATTGCAATTAAAGTAAATAAATTGAAACTAATCAAATATTTAAATTAAATTACTCGATTCCAACAACTTTATTAGTCGCTGGGACATCCACCGTTTCCAATTTGTACTCCAACAAAGGATAAATCTTGGTCTCGTTATTCGCCTTATACAACACTTGAGTAGCTTCAGCTTCAAAAGGTTTCTCCAAATGTTCACTCAACATTGTGACCATTGTGTCCAACACGACTTGTGCCTTAGTCAAATCCGTGGCAGTACATTCGATAAAGATGTTTTTCGTTGACGTCGTAACTTTAGAATGATCTCCGTTGATTATAGGTGGCAATGAAAGAACGACCCCTTTACTGTCTCTGATTACAGGATAGCGGGGTTCATCCTTAATGATGGGGACGTATGGTTTGAGATGGCTGTCCTTCAGATAAAACTCCATCAACTCGTCCGCCACAAACTCTTTGGTTTGATTCAAAGGTTTAAACTTGATCTGTTTGGGTGGATCACAGGAGTAGGTGAATGGTGGACTTAATGTGTCCAAATCATGCACGCCAATTGCTACGAGGGTTCGTTTTCGACAAATATTATGATGCAATTTCTCCTGTAAGTCGATCAGTGAGTCGTATGCTTCCGGAGTAATCTTCACATTGCGTAGGCAAGCTGTCACAACAAATGGGCGAAGTGGTGAGGTTGACTCTTCAACTGTGGTGGTTATAGGTTTGGCTGGTAACGTTTTTGTGAATCTTGGAGCATTTTTCCTGTGAAATTAATAATATATTACAACAGGAAAAATTACTTTAATCAAACGTATGCCGTAATAGATCGTCAAGCACGTACTTGTTGATAAACACTGCCAGGGCTGTTGAAATCCCTTCGACGCACAAAAGGTCATACCGATTTGCAGGGATGTCAATCTTGTACTCTACATTTTTCGGGTCGATATCCACCTGATGGTAACAGATTCTTTTAAAATGCTACTCATGGATTAAGCTCAAACGCTAGGGTTTGTAATTTTACCACATCATCCAACTCGACCCCAAATTCGAAGCAAAGCTTATCAAACTCGTCATCCGCTATAGAACAAAGTTTAAACTTAATTTAAATTTATACAACGAAGAAAAACAAAACAGATTTGAAATGAGCCACTTGATGATGACAGATCTTAAACAAACTTACTGTATGACTGACCAATCTTCTTAAACAGCAAATCCCTCTTGACGGAAACGGTCGGCATCTTGATAAGAATTCGAAACCCGAATAGATTTCACTTTTATTCAAGACCTAAATATTTAGGTGATTGATAGATATGACGGAATGTTGAACCAGATTGCAGAGTTCCAACCCGGTGGACAGATTTGCCTTTCGCGGAGGTGATGTCCAACTTGATCCGGATGCTGCGTATAATTCTTTGACGATTAATCATAAGACTAATGAGATTTCATGATTTTGAAAAACTGATTAAACGATGTGTCATAATTTAATTCATAATTTGTATAATTTCAATTTCCACTCACTTCCATCAGCTTGTTGATTGTGAAAGAGAATAATATGATATATGACAATTCATACAATTTTTAATGGATTGCATGATATTAGAGGAAACTAAGGATGAAGTGCATGCAATATTTGCATGGCAGCTGGTATGTATTTGCGCAAGTATACATATGTATAGGAATGTATGTAAGTAGATGAGGAAGGTTATGAGACAGTGAAATCAAATTTTACAACAATACATGAGTTTTCCGCTTGTAGGTTGTCTTTAAATTTAAATATGCACATACATATTTATAATATTGGATAAATAACGAGGGAAAAGAGGATGGGATTTTTGAGATATTTTTTATGACGAAATAAAAACACATTTTTTCCTGGACATTTGAAACAACCATTTTAACAATAACATGTTAAACGTCAGGTACTAATCAACAAGTTGTATTAATTAAGTATCAAAGCACACGCTGAGTGACATGTCACGGAGATAAAAACAAGAGTCTTGTTCGTTAAATACTCGGTATTCGGCATGAATGAAGTTTTTCTTAATGAAGTTATGAAATTATTTATGAATGAAATATATAATTCGCAAAGCAAAGCTCTATGAAAAGATGTGCTCAATGAAGTAAAATAAAATATATATTTTAACATTTCCTCATTTATCGCCAGTTTGCTCGAGTCTTCTCATCTGTAAACCAGCCAAGATTTTCGGTATTCCGAATTTTTAACCATGAGCGATTCCTTCATGACGACAGTTTTCTTTGTGCTTGTCCTAATTTTGTCGCTTGTGGTCCACTATTATTATATAACCAATTTTACTCGGGTAGCAAGATTATGCAACAAATTTCCGGGGGATAAGCGACTTTATCCATTTTTAGGGAACGCAGTCTCTATAATGGGGCCAATAACGGGTAAAGATATTATACGTAAAGTATAATTTCCTACATTTACTACCTTCAATCTTATGTTTCCATTTTAGAAATTCAATCAAAGATGACCGCATACTGTGAAAAATATGGAAGAGTCTGTCTTTCATGGTGGTTTTATGAACCAAAGATTTGCATAGCTGATGCAACAACTGTTGAGGTATTGACTTGTGTTAATAGTTAAAATTTATACACAGTATCTCAAAATGCCTCAATTTCTCAAATTTTCTCAAGAAAATCTTGTCCTCATCATTCCACATTGAGAAGGGACCAGAGTACGAACCCTTAAAGGCTAATTTGCATGATGGGCTGTTAACATCCTCTGGGGAAAAATGGCGAAGGGACAGAAAGCTTCTTAACCCTGGCTTTGCACGGCAGCAAATGGATAGATTTGTTCATATTTGTAATAAAAAGAGCAAAATTTTGATTGAGCGATTGGCAGCACAATTTAAGCAATGTAAAAATACTGGAGCAACAAATTTTCTACCACACTTTACGAATGTAGCATTAGAAATTGTTTTTGGTATGGTTTCATTTAGTATTTTTCCGACACAGAATTCTAACATTTTGTATTGAACCATTTCTAATAATTCTAATTACAGAGAGCGGTTTAGGTACAGAACTTTGTGTGCAAAGCGATGGACAACATTCTAAATTTGCTACGAGCATAGAAACGTACGTACTCATACATAAATATGCACATACTAAGAAAATTGAAGTAGTTTTTCTTGAAATTAAGTATATTTTTTTTGTAAATACTTTCGACACGTTAGAATCGCTAGACTTTTACAGGTTCGCCTATTTAATCCTTGGTTGGTAAAAATACCACTTTTATTCAAGATTTTCGGGTACGAGAAGGTAGAAAAAGATGCAGTGGAATACTGTACGCAGTTTGTTAAGAGGGTTAGTACTTTTCCTGCACATTTGTATGCACTTTGACACTATGCACTTATGCATGTAAATGCTTTAATCACAGGCTTGGCGATGCAAAAAGAATGAAATTGAAATAGCTAACGAGACATGTGCAAGTGAAAAAGGAGATGAAGGTCAGTTAATTTGAAGTGAATACAAAGTAAAATTTCTAATTTTATCTTGTTAATCAGAGTGCAATATCAAAACTAAGAACAAACATTTTATCGACCTTCTACTTGAGGCGAACTTGGGATCCGAAAAATACTGCATCGATCACTTGACGACTTTAGTAATTGCAGTACGTAATTGTAAATCTATTAGTATTTTCCAATACATACAGATAAATAATATGTAGTTTTGTACATTTTACGTATCAAATTCAGGGTGCAGACACGACGGCAAATTCAATAAACAACACTCTGCTTTATCTTGCGTTGAATCCCGAGTGCCAAAAATTATGTCATGAAACTATTGATTCAGTGTTTAGTCAATACAATGGAGACTTAACAATTGGAGCCCTGTCAGAGCTCAAGTATTTAGAAATGTGTTGGAAAGAATCGTTAAGATTATGGCCAGTAATTAATGGTATAACTCGGAGAATAATGCGCGACATTGAATTGGGTATTGTTAACACAAACATGAACGTAAAACTCTTATTTGCCTATATATCGTAAAAAATATATAAATTTTGAATTTTGCAGATAATGGTCTAATAATTCCAAAAGGCTGTGATGTCATTATTTCTCTATATGATTTGCATCGTGATGCCAAAATATTTCCAAATCCCAGCGTTTTCAATCCAGATCGCTTTACTGAGGAAGCTTCAGCTTCAAGATCATCCTTTGCTTGGATACCTTTTGGAGCCGGAATTAGAAATTGCATAGGTACACATATGCATACATACACAATGGTCATACTTATTATGCATAACGATGATTAAACTGTATTCAACTCCTTAGTTAAGCTTACATATAATTCTTGATGCGCCATTAGGTTTCAAGCATTCCACTTTGGAGAGCAAAATAATACTGGCTCATTTCTTGCGAAAATATCAAGTGTCCACGCCGCTGGTGGAACGACAAGTAAAATTTGTGGCAGGAATCGTTTCCTCTGCGCACCCAACAATCAAACTTTCTTTGATGGAAAGATGCATTTAATGAACTTGACTTATTCATATGAACTTAATTCATATGACCAAAAACAGCAGAAATAAAAATACCTTTATACATACAGACATGTCGTGTATATATAATAATAAAATAAAAAATTTCCTGATTTTTGAATTACTCTTTTAGCTTTATTTTTTGAAGTATACAATTAAAGTTTACAAAGGAAGGTCAAGAATATCACATTCAGTCTCAACACAGATTTCCAAGAGCCTGTTATCCGTATGGTAAATTATGGCACGTAGCTTAACTGTCTGTCCGGAAAGGATATCATTTGGGACGATTGAGAACTTGACGGTGTACTAAAACAATGAAGATAAGTACTTGTCACACAATTAATTTCTACAAGATATTCATTTTTTAAGGATTTCTACATACCATCAGCCCTGGTTGTACGGAGGAGTTGGCAATCTCTGCTTCAAAAAGGCGAAGAGGAGTTCCATTGAATACTAGGTCACACGCGAGGCTGAGAGACGTGGATGCAGAGCCTTAATTTTTAGGAAATTTAAATTACTACCGACATTTCTTAATGGGCAATTTATTCTGATCCTCACTACTCACTGGGGATCATGTCGTATTCAATGTTGTATACTCTTCCTGGCGTAAATGAGCATCTTCCCTCACATTCAGTAATTCTGAGTTGGATTGGCGTTCCATATCCACCTTTTGATTTCAAAGACAACAAAGTTTCAAGACATGCTTCTCTGCTGATATTGATTTGTAGATATTACCACATCGAGTAATATTGGTGACGACGCCTTTGCTCTCCTGGCTGAAAATCCTGGGGGCACTCAGACCAATCGAGGTGGCAGTGGCTGACGCAGCGATGACCAAAACAATAAAGAGCTTGGTAGAAAATTCCATTATTATTTTTATTTGTTACTCAATTTTATTATATGAAATTTAAAATTGTATGACACTTATTGTTCCCTCCGCGATGCATAAAGAACATTTAAGTGACCGGAACATTGTTTTATATGCCTCTGCGATTGGGTAATTGACGTAGTTAAGTCCACACAATTAAGGTGGCACAATAACATTTGTAAAACCCTGCTCATAAAACTTTTGGGGATAACTTGCTTATCCAGATAAGGAAATATTCACTTGGATGATTTCATGGACGTCACATTTTCGTATGATGATATTGTTGTGTTATTTATTACAATCCGACATGAATGGAGACCGACAAGAGGGTTGAATTTTTAAACAGGAGCGCATGATAAAAGCGTCGGCTCATCAGGAGCAGGAGCATCATTACGACATTATAATTGCGTGGAAGGCCAGATTATTTTATTTGTTTTTTCAAGTTGTAAATCAATAAAAATTCTGTTAATCTGTTTCAGAATGGGACTTGCTATTGGACACGCATGAACCAACCACGTGAAGTGGTGTGTGTACGGCATGGATGTGCAGACAATTAAATGGGTGTTGTGATATCATCAAGGGCATGTTACACATTTTTGCTTACGAAAATCTGAAAAATTTTGCATTTGAAATCTTGATGTCTAGATTAATTATCGCATTTTCCTCGTCATATTTAAGCCATCACATCGCCCACACTCATCATTTATGATCTCATCGAAATCTGTTTTATTTTAGAACATTGCAATTTTGTGCAAATACAATTTCAGGGTCAGACGGCACAAGTCTGCAGTTTGGTCACGAATATGCGATATTTACCTGATAATGACCCATGTGATAATGTACAAAGTAAAACAAAGAAGATTATTTACTACGTGACTGAGAATATAAGTATACACATTTTCGCGATTTGAGCCTGATGAGCAATAAATTACCCGTAATCATCCCTGATCAACCTTATACCTATCAAAAACCAGCCACAATCAAAAATCGCATAATAGCCCCACTAAAAAAATAAACCAAAAACACCCTCATCAAATTTTGTCATTTGGATTCAGTTTTAGTAAAATCAAAGCAAGCTAGCTATGCATAAAGTTAAATTTGTAAATACGACATGACATACCGAAAAGACTATTTCTTAAATATTTATCTGTGTAAGTATCTGCACAGCTTCATCACGATTTTTTACATGCCAATTATTTTCAAATCATCATTTTAAATTGAATTTATATAGATTGAGATTTTGGTAAAAATCTTCCATTGTTTTTACTTGATAATTACACCAGTTTCCAAGAAAAGACTAAATTATTTATCTGCTTGCGAAAGTAGATCGCCCATCTTCCTCCTCTTCTGCACTAATAAATAAAAATGTTTATGCACGAAATTAATTTTCTCCCAATATTTTGTTTGTGACGCAATAAGCAATAACGATTGAAAACGTAATACATCAATTTATTATTTGGAGCATACAAGGAATGGAAGGTCATTAAGAATTAATAAATCGATGTATGATCAACTTCTTAATTGCAAACTTTTATAAAATGGGGCCATTGATTATTCAAGTTGGGGTAAATAAGGTACCATTTACATTCATGCATCTTACAACTCTTACAAGTTGGTAATAGTAAATTCAGTAAATTGCTCTCGTCTTTTCATAATTTCCAAACTTGAATTCGCAGTTAAATTTAATCGACACTCCTTCTGCATTCATTGTGAGCAGTGGACACCCTATAATTTGGCGTCAGGACTGAAGAAAGATTTATTACGTATACAGAAAAAAAGCTTGTGGCAATTGTTACGGGGTATAAAACAAAAGAGGAGAACATAACATAATGTAAGAGTGACACGTGGATAATAGGGTTTCGTTCCCTGTCCATATTTATGTACGTATATCGTTTTAGTATTTTTAACCCGTGACCTATTGCCTTACCTTGTACTTCATAAGTAAGTGTGAAAACTGACTTACCACACGTTAAGTATCAGACGCCCGTGGGAAGGATGCTAAACATTTCGCAAAATGTGATTGACGGCTGGTCGCAGATTCATTTTACACGCCTGTGATCAGGCCTTATTAAGCAAACTTTTATTAAAAATCCATTAAGTAGGGAAAGAGGATACTAAAATTGTGTATATGAAATGTGGCTACTTGAAAAGTAAGCATGATGTCATGTGTCAAGGAGCAACTACGTACATAGAAGCGTTATTATTTTGATTTTTTGCATAAAGTTCACCTATGTACGTAGGACATCCTTAGCTAATTTGTGTTAGATTCTGTAGACTGATAGGGCCATGAAATTCTTTTGAGTTGTGTTGATGGAAACCCACAAAGAAAAAAATCTGATTGACTCAATTAGACAAATATGTATTTAGTTCCGTGAAGATGGTCATGGACAACAATCAGGTCATGCAGAGATATATACTTGAGTCATCTACTAAAAGATTTTGATGTGGATGAGATTTAAACTATAATTAGTTAAACTCAGATAATTTAATGGTGGTAGGAGTTTCAGGTCTTTCCTCAACCGGACCCCAAAATGTTTGGACCAACGTGGTTTTACTGGGCAAAAAATAGCTTTATGAAGACGACGTCGAATGAATAACAGGTCCTATGTAATTACATATGTCTGGAAATTAAAATTTTCCAATGCAACAATAGAATATTAATAATTAAATCTCAAAATCCCCAAAACCTACCATTTTCTGACAATAAATTCTTAAAATTAGAAAATGGAAGCATTTGTCAAAGTACTTAATACCAAACATCTTTTACTATTGTTTATAAGAACAAATATATTAAATTTTAATTATCGTAAATATGTAGCTCCATGAATCAAAGGCAGCGTCGTCGAAGTTAAACATTTAAAGAAATGTTTGAAATGTATTTCACCCGATTACGTAAATATTCTATTCCTAATTTAAGGTTTTCCTACATATTGAAAGCGAAAACATTCTAATTAGAAGACAACAATCGGGAACCCCCATAATAGATACGTACATACATGTATCAATCAAGTCGTGCTTGTGATTATTATTAATACACATTATGTAACATAATTATTCGCAAGGTTTACATACCAAGTAAAACTTTAAGTAATCCTGTCCTCTGCTTATTGTTAGTTAAACTACACATCAATTCTGCATTATTTAACTAACAGATACAGAACAATACATATCGGCAATCGGCACTAATGAAATCAATGTAGGGCATCTTCCAACATCATAATCTAGCTATTCCCACATTACATATGCATGTAGTGATTCCCTTGCAAAAATAAGATGATCTACTGACCACAAGAATGCCAAATTCTTCACAAACTCCATCATTGCATCCCAACATACATACATACTTTGACCACATTTACTCTACCAATAAAGCCCCCAAACCATTGTTATTACATATTTCATACCCTCCATGAATGAAAATCTCATTATCACCCTTTATCCTTCGAGTCGTCTTCTTTTCATGCATTTGGAAAATTTATGAATGCCTTAATTCCTAGTAATCTTCACAATTTTGATGCATATGATGATGATATAAAAGATCCGACTCAAGAATCATTTGTCAGTCTATCGTCAAATTTCAAAGTGATAACTTCATTCATCGACGATCCCAAAGCTGAAAAATATATCACGCATGATGCAACGACTTTTGGTAATGCAGAATATTCAAATAATAAAATAACAAGCATACAGTGTCCGAAATATCCGTGTCAATTTTATTTTGAACTAATTATCCAGTTTTTGACCGTTGCCTCTGTCTGTCTTGCGGGATTCGTGTCTTGCAAGCCCCAAAGTGGTTACAATAGCCGGCAAGATGAGCGTTACGCACACATTTTGCGGTACGACAATATCAATCATGGGGATGGCACGTATTCCTACAATTACGAAACTAGCAATGGAATCAAGGCAGAGGAGAATGGGTACTTGAAGGGACGCGGAACAAACAATGAGATTCAGACTGTGCAAGGCTCCTACCAATATTATTCTCCAGAGGGTGAACTTATCCGAGGTAACTGCATGAAAATATGCAGATATAAATATTTAGACCATGATGACCATTTGATTTAATTGTTCGCTATATTTTTAACAGTCGTGTATACAGCTGATGAAAATGGGTTCAACCCCAGTGGAGATCATCTTCCTACTCCCCCACCAATTCCTCCAGTAATTTAAAAAATAATTTTTGGCCCGAGCCAGGGTTTACGTCTGTCCGCCTGCCTGTGACACAATGGCGGACGATCTGTTGAGCTGATTTCAGGCATTTTATTTCAAAATGCGTATGTTGACCAGCAGTTGGACAAGTTGAATAGACATGATTGGTCTAGTATTAATAGTTGAGCAGTGAGGTCGAAACCTGAAATTTAGCATGACGGTGAAAGTGCAAATCAGACCAAAGAATGCAAGTGCCAGAGTACGAAAGCGACGAAAGACTGGCTCGGGCTACATCAAATTTGCACTGCAGATTTTTATAATTTAATCAACACCATGATTTTATGCAATGATTTTTATTTATTTTCGTATATTATCAGGCAATCCAAAAATCTCTGGACATCATTTACGCCAACGTAGCTAAACAGCAGCAACAAGGGCACTACAACAGGCCAAACAATAACCAAAGACCATATTAAAACATTACTCTCTGACCAAATCAATATTTCTTGTATTAATAAAACTGTTTTTATGAGTACCGTGCAAATAAATTATTTCGATAAGCGCACTAGATTTGACTAGATTGTGGAACGAAGTTGCATGCATTATTAGGCAAAACATGTCATCAATGGTTTTAACTAGCCCTAAAGAAATCTTAGCTAACCAAGTTAATTAACTGAAAATCATGAATCTACAGTATGCCTTGCTTTTCTATTCGAAACTATCTTCTGCTACCAACAAATCAGCATTGCTGGTTATTATTACTCTTATGAGTAATTTACTCTTATGATAATGTACAGATATAATGAACTAGTTTATGATTATGCTATATTTATGGACCGTCATGCGCAGATCGAATGCATAAAAACTTAAATGTTGCAAAGTGTGCCATCGCTTATATTGTTGTAGCTGTTGCATTAAATTAAAGGACTTTTGTTTTTCATCATCGACTTTGTTGCATGTGGAATTGCATGGAATTGCTATTGATCGGTCGATTCGATTAAAACTTGAGAAACAAGTAGAGCCTTGTGCATCTGTTTTTTCAGGAAGGGCCCGTAGCTCAGATGGTAGAGCGCTCGCTTAGCATGTGAGAGGTACAGAGATCGATACTCTGCCGGTCCATAGTCATTTTTTGGAGTTTTTTAAATTCATTTTTTATGCATTTTTGAACCACATTGGGAATTATTAAGTTTATTACGGCGTTTTAATAATACAATGAGAAATTTTGTCAAACTCATCTTCAGAAGAGTGTGAAACAATAAAATAATATCCACAAAATTACACATTTATTTCCAAAAAGTTTTCAAAATCATGAGTAATTTATGAATATTATTGTTCCTCTATTATTTTAAATATATGTCTTTAAATATTTCGGCCATTTATACACAAAATTACAGATTTATGAGTAAAATGCGTATGTTTGCATTATTATGTCGTTTCACACTCATATGAATTATATTCCTATGAATTACTCCTCTATGATTTATGTACTCCTATGAATTATCCTCCATGTGCAGACATCACAATGCATCAAAATGCCTCGAAAAAACCTCCTGTGCAACCGAATATAGCCCGAATTAGTGTGGTTAGATATTGGTTCGCTAAATTATAATGACAGATAACAAATATTTTTATTCAGTTAAACATTTAATTCATGGCTAGCGATCCCCATATCAAATTTCAGCTCGGCGTGGGTCACCCAACAGGGTTGATCTTCGAAATTCGACAGTGCCTTCTACGGCGATTTCGAATATTCTGCACCAAAACCTTGGCCCACGTTATTAGTTTATTAGTATTAGTATGAGATGACTACAAAATCTTTTTGACCGAACCCATCTCCGAACTTGGCCATACTTTTTACACTTTTCAGATGTGTGCAAAATTTTAAGTCAGTCAGTACCATGAACAGAGTCAATGTCGTATCTTGACGGACAAAGGATTCGGACTTGTAAAAATGTAGTTCAAAAATGCATAAAAAATGAATTTAAAAAACTCCAAAAAATGACTATGGACCGGCAGAGTATCGATCTCTGTACCTCTCACATGCTAAGCGAGCGCTCTACCATCTGAGCTACGGGCCCTTCCTGAAAAAATAGATGCACAAGGCTCTACTTGTTTCTCAAGTTTTGAAAAAGTTAATTTAATCTGCAACAATATGCAATGGTTGCAGTTGCAAGCAACAACAATTGAATTTATGAAATGCATGTGAGGTTATTGTTATATGATACACTTTCTTACGATATTTAATCGCCAAGTCAGTCGATAAATAAAGCCAAATATGAGAAACTGGTTCATTGGGCACCGTATTTACACCTACTTGAAGTGGTCATGCTTTAATATATGTGTACATATAATTATAACGCGTCCACAAAGCGAAAAAAAACTAGTAATGTACAAGTAACAAGAATGCATGTCGATAACAATAGATACTTCGCTAATAAATGGACAGGGAGTCAAATTGAGCACTTATTTCGGTCACTTTTCCCCCACGATCATAGTGTGATTTTTTGTATGTACTTACATTCATTACAAATGCTTTTTTGAGTAACTGAAAATTATTAAACATCGACTCCAAATCAAGGATCAGATTATTAGCGAACATAAATGTTTAATTTAATCTAAGTTGAAACGTGTACGCAGGAGTAAGATTACATATGACACCCCCAAATACATATTTTAGCAATCGACTCGTTAATCGTTGGCAGTGTCACTTGTGCATGCACTAATCGTCTTCAAACGGTTTCCTGCAACACTGTTTTCCAAATTATAAGTCATTACATTAGTCATCAAAATTACTTGATTCTATAATAAGAAGTGTACCACAGCATAATTGTTCCATCGGAGAGGAACAGGAACCAAGAAAGAACAACGTGCCACTACTACTGTATATGTACTTATTGCACAACGCTTCCGACACAGCTTTGTTCAGGTTTTACGATTAGTCTAAATCTAAAAGCTTAGCAATTCTCATCTTATCATTGAGTGGAACAAAAACGACAAAAGCATGCAATACACAAATACGGAAGAAGATCAAATTGAGACATACAAGAATGCCATGAGAAGTGCATGCATACATACATAGTTGAGCTAAAAGTAAATGGGATCATGCCACCAAAGCAGTAGTATCATTGTTGTACTGAAAAATGCATACAAAGACTGAAATGGCAATTGGTTTGTTCAATTAAATCAAAGCCTGTATTGAGTTTCATTTTAACATTTATTTCATATGTGAATCAACAAGTTAACTCTTCTACTCTTCATCTAAGTTTTTGGCATGCAAAACTCTAATTAAATAAGTGATGCTAAACTGTTACACCTTTTCCATCAAATCTGCCCAAGTAACGATTTAATCGAAATCGATTGCCTCAGGAAAAGTTACAAGATTTAGACAAACTCTGCAACTATTTCCTTTCCGGCATCCGTTGCAGTGGGAGTCAAAGCTATATTAGTCTTAAAAAAATGGCTTCTACTCTTAAATTATCATTATTACTTTTGACAGCCATCGCCGCAACAACGAATTGTTTCCACTTACCTGAGCTAGAGACAAGTGCATCAGACAAGGAATACGGTGCTGCTCCCCACGTCAAAACCTTGTTCGGGCTTGGCCTAGGTTATCAAAAGGTCGTTTGGTACAAACCCGTTCTTGTCCTTCAAAAACCTAAGCATAACTTTCACGAGCAAAAGAAGGGGCGACGTGTCGTGATTAATGGATATGGTCCACGTCCGAATTATTATTACGACAACCCGTCAACCTCACATCATCCCAATGTTAATTACGGATCTGTTTCTGCTGGAGATGGAAAAGATCACGATCAGCACCAACAGTACGGAATTTCAGCTCCTAATCATTATGACCATCAACAAGATTATACTGACGATGCGAACGCTGGTACTTACGAGCAGGAGGATGAGACACATTCCGAACACGAGATTTCAGATTCAACCTGGAAAAATGACGGAATTCAGCAAAATGAGTACACCGTTGAACCGGATGCGAAACATATTCCAATGGAACATCGACAAATTGTCAAAAAATATCCGCATGGAAGGAGACAACAACAAGTGAGCTATGTGAATCAAGGAGACCCTCGTCGACGTCTGTTGCAAAGGCCACGGCCACGACCACGACCAGCAAATCCGTCCGTGAATGGTGGTCGCACTGTTACTTTTGTCGGTAAGGTCAAGAAGCTAAGACGCCCAGTTAAGGATAATAATAAGCTGACATCCATTGCTGAGCATGGAGACCAGGGAAAAATGTTGGAAGACTACAATCGCCTGGTGCAAAGTCATAATGACGAGAATACTGACGACGACGACGAGGATGAAGGTGGGCACCATGAGGACGAAGCTGACCACCAAAGGGATGATGAAGAAGAAGCTGATTCGAATTCTAATCCCGAGGAAGTTTACGTGCAGAAGCAAAAGTGGGATCAAACCCCATGGAAAGGTGTTCGAGTTGAGGACAATGTGCTGAAAAGCCATCATCCATCGTCCATATCCGATATTCTTAATGTTAAGGGAACAGTTAAACCTAAGGCTTAAAGATAAGTTGTATTACATGTTTCTTGTTAATGTTTTTGAAAAAATGATAATAAAATAGCTAAAATATATGAAGATTGTTCTTTTATGCATGTATTCACCAACTATTTAATTAATTGGAGTAGCTTAATTGGAGTAATCTTTTTTGACATTATTTTAGAAATTTTGATGCAGTTTTTGTACTGATTCGTTGGTGAGGCAGTACGAGACAGCAGCAACAGAGGATTATGCATATCTTTGCATCTCATAATGCACTCCACGTTTCCGCGTTTTTGCTGGAGCTTATTTTGCAGCTGGATTGAATATGTTTATTTGTTGAAAATTAAAAATTTGAAATAAAAAAGCTGTGCACTGGATAAAACTAAAAATCCCTGCGAAGCTGACCTACTGACTTCGTCTTTGTTCAGACTAAAAGGCCTGAATTGAAGTTTCGACTGAACAAAATGACGGTTTAATTTATGCGACGGTAAGTTCGAAGTTTTAATAATAAATTATCTGACAGACAATACAATAATAGACGTATGAAACATGAAATATTGGAGTATGAAATAATGTAGAAGCACTAACGGAATTATATTTGTAAGTGGAAAAGTAGACAGTAAGTGAAATTGCAAGTCGCATGTTGGCTTCTCTGTCATTTTATTTGTGTTAGTTTGGCTACACGGTGAAACTTACAATTACGCATTGTTAGTGCATGTCAAATTAAAACTCGTAATTCTTTTAAATGCAGATCAAATTCTAAAACTAGCCAAGATGTCGCAAAATACTGAAGGAAAATGGGTTATGAAAAATCGTCTGGACAATTTAGAACAAAAACTGGCCCATGTCCACGGATTTTTGTTGAAACTATTTGGTAATAATAAGTTTTATTGTAAATTATGGTTTGAAATGCAATGTGCAATGACCGTATATTATAGAAAAGTAGTATACCATCGCTTATTTTTGTGCTGATCTTTCAGGAAACAATTTCGAAGAATATCTCAGTAGATCTCAGTGTCCAATAAGTGCAAGGGAGGCACCATTATTGACAAAACCGAACTCCTCACAACATCAAAATCTTAATAAACCTCCCCGCAAAAATCGACGCCAAATTCCGTTTAGTAGTGAACCGGTTCCAGAAGGAGGTTTTACCATAAATGGAGAGACCACTGTAATCCCATTGTCTGATGATATTAGTCTGAATAATGAAGGAATTCATCATAGTTTAGACCCATTATTTAACCCATTCCTGGAATCTGAATCTGGTGACAAACAAGAAAATGATCCTATTGCAATTGCCAGTGTCGATGATTCCATCAACAACACAACACAAGATATACAAATATCAGTAGATGAATTACCAAGTCAAGAAAATGATAATGATACACTTGCGAACCGTTTACGTTCTGAAGAATCAGTCGAAACATCCAACGAGGTAAAACAGGAAGAAGACTTTGGTGTAGGAGAATATGATCCTGATCGTCTGTACTTTTTTGACGATGGAGTTGACCAAGGACAATTTTCTAGGTATTTTGATGAAGGTATTATAAATTTCAATAAAACATACTTAGTTATCAGGCAGACGATAAATAATTTAAGAAATTGATAATATATAATATATTCTTATCATGTCCTGGCTCGGGGTCTACAAGGCTATGCATATATGTATATGCATGTTTCTAATTTGTTATTATTACTGTAATTTTTAGCAGAGGAAGCTGAGCCATTTCAATTGTCCAGCCCTAGTGTAACATGTACACCGGTAGCAGCTTCTGGTGAACTAGCATCAGTATCCTTTTCCACTACACCCACTGGTGACATTAGTCAAATAAAAATAGAGGACGATAATTCTAATGATAATGGTCGTCGTCCTAAAAGAGCAGCCGCTTCTTACCCATCGACGCCCAAAACAAGAAGTCAACGAATACGTAAGACGGGAAATGACAATAATGACGAAGACTCAGATTTTAAGCTGGAAAGTGGGGAAGATGAAGGTTCATCGTCTTCGTCGAGCAGTGACAGTGATCCAGATTGGCAAAAGAAATCAACAACAAGTGCAAAACACCAAGCAACTAATGCGATGGATAAAATGAAGCTGGTACGTCGTGGGCGACCCAGTAAATTTTCTCCTTATAATCGTCCTGCGTCCACTGGCACAACCCCTACGACGTCAGGGAATAAGTTTCCTATACTTATTCCACTACCACCCCACGTTAATAGCGGTCAGATTTCGAGAACCAGAAATATTAGTGGGATTATTTTGCCAACGAAAGTTCCCATTTATAATTCGATTGAAATGTTACCCAAAGTGATTAACGGTGTATACTTTCGCCTCGTCTCGTTGGCCACTGATAAATCGAATAAAAATATCATGCAAGTAAAGGCAAAGTGTGGGATTTGTGCTACAACTCAAGAGAAGCCCGTCATTGTTATTGGATATGGAAAGTCAAGCCGTAATTTTATTGACCACTTGGAGGTAAAAAAACTAATATGTATTTCAGTATATAAACTTCAATGTTGAACATTTTATTAAAATATTGGCTTTTGTCTTTTTTTGATAGACGTTTCATAGAGCCCACTATGAACACTATAAAACTAACTCACAAAATATTGATATGTACACGTCGAAATTGCGAAAAGTGATTTCTAAGAATTCTGCACAAAAAGGACCGAACGGGGAGGCCATACTTATCAGCAAATGCATTCGGAAACTCACTAGCCTAAATCCAAGCTAAGTAAATCTTAGGCCATGTTTTTGTAATGAAAGGGTGAAAGGAAATCATCAAACGTACCAACATCGGGGTTTTCCTCTACTCCCCCCAAGCCAAGCTAACTAACAATAAATGTATTTCATATTTTATAAATGTTTATGTTAATAAAAACAAATATCTCAAGTGAAAACTGAAGAGGAATCATCATATATGCATAACTTACATATTTACAACTTTTACATAATTTTATGTAATATTTTTTTAATTACACGTAAGCAATTCTTCAGTATAAAACTTATGTAAGATTTAAATATTATCAAGCGTTATTTAAACTGATAACATAAAATAATAAGAAATGTTTAGCATATATACATCACTTATCTATTTGTATGTATAAATGTATTAAATTTACGCTTTTCAACTGGTACACGTGCATAAGTAGTCTGCCAATATTATTTGACACTTTATCATTCTATACATGTTGCGACAAATGAATTGTTTCCAACACAAATTTTCATTTTTGAAGAAATTAAATTTTAGTTATTATGTACTGACAAAATGGTGTGAGTGGACCGTTGCTAAGTTGGAGGATTGAGATGACCCCCTAGGTCAAATCCGGACCAAGTGATCTCACACCCTCCAGTGAGGTGTCAATCGATCGGTCTAGATAATACGATCAGTTTGGTATATTATAAAATTTTGTGAGATAAGAATTGGCTTCGAAATTCCTGAAAAACTTATATTTTGGAGATATTCTTCAAAATAAACATTTTAATTTTCGAAATAGTACACTCGAGATTTTTAGCTTAAAAAATCAAGCTAAAAATTAGGATGACTTCATCCTCAGGAATTAAGTCTCTTTGTCTGCCTATTCAAAAGTTATTCAAGGTTAAAGTCGTTGGGGCAAACCAAAGGACTTTTGCCCCAACGATTTAAAAAATGAAAATTTTCTAAAAAATAATCCATTTGTCGCAACCGTATGGGGCACCACCCCATAGAAACGATGTCAGTTAATCGTGGTAGTCTGCTCAGCGTGTATTCAAATATACAAGGTAAAATTTAAATAAAATTGAAAGTTTTGTTACCATGAAATACACTCCATGAGTTAATGACGATTTAAACTAAGGTCAGTGTCACCTATGTTCGTGTTAGCTGTTATGAAATAGGGTAGCGATGACATGTTATTAATCGTCTGTATGATATTGCTTTAATAGTGTATATACGGTATTTTTATGCCATATTGTCACTATAAGCTATTTAAAACTGGGTGTAATCTATGCAGAGTACAAAATAAAGAAAGAAATATATAAAAAAAACTTCTTCCTTCAGCGATTCAGCAATTGAGCCATTTATCATCAAGTTGTGTGTTTCACTCATTGATTCATATTTATTAAGCGAATAACAATAACGTGACAAGATAATTACTGGGATGTGAGGTCATTCTCACAATTACTTGAGCTGTGCAGACACTATATATGCATTTCATTGTTTTGAGCATGATGCGAACTCTTTCTCGTCGCACATCTATAATATTATTATGACGTATTATTTTAACTACGACTTTATTTACAGGAAGGAAGTCCGGAAGTATGTACGTGTGACGAGCTATAGATATGTACAGCATGCATTATGGATACCTATGTCTCATTCCTGGAACAGGAAATATAAGCATTTTTAGCATGCATTTGACCTAAATCTTAATTTACACCCGAGTTATTGTTTAATACGAGTGAATAATGTACGTGATGACCTTCAGGTCAGACAGAGAGAGAGGTCATCTCGTATAAATACTGGTGCTGGCTATGAACAAGGTTTTAGTCGTCCAGTTCACAAAACTTGTGTTTAACGAAAATGGGGAAGCTTGATAATTTGGTCATTTTGACCACTTTGTGGGGTCTATTTGCATCCGGATTGGGTGATAAGACTGGTAAATATGTACATAATAATACTGATTGCACTTTTTTGTCAAAGTAATTCAAATATATTATAAATTTGCAGAGACAGAACTGATTGCTTCTATGCGAGAGTTGCAACTACCTTCTCTGGATGCCCAAGATTTTTACGCGTCGCATTCTCCAGTCCACGTTTCGAGATTTCGGGGACCACGGGCAGTAAAATTTGAAGATGATTCGTCCCCACACGGGAAAAAGAGTGAGGCTGTGAGTGCATCCTTTTCTGTGGGGACGAACGGTCTTTCCGGCTCTGTCAGTGCTGCTCAAGCCGACGGAGAAAAAACGAAAGGATATTTTGGCCACTATCCTGCCGTGGCTGGGGGATATTATCCTCCTCCAGTCCCACCCCCAGTTTATGGAGGTTACTATCCTGGTGGTTATGGAGGTATGTAAAATTTGTCACTAATTATGACAACATTGAAGCATATATAAGATGCGACTATATGCAGATGATTCTGGTTTCGAAGGAATTGGAGGCCTTGGTCATCACCAGTCGTCCTCGTCATCTGCTGCTGCGGCATCTTCCTCTTCCGGTGGACATCCATCCTTCCCGATTTTAGGCGGACCTGTGAGTCACAGTGGAAGTGGAGCTTCTGCAGGAGGATGGGGAGGCTCAGGTTTAGGATATTATCCAGGGGGTGGCGGTTACTACCCAGGAAGTGGGGTGGGTTACTATCCAGGACAAGGATACTATCCAGGAGGGGGAGTGTATGGCTATCCTGGTGCTGGTGGATATGGAGGCCCCAGTTATTTAGCTCCGGTTGGAGTGGGTGGCTTGTATGGGGGTGGACCTGCTGGAGGTTACTATCCGGGAGTGGGTGGACCTGGATATTTACCTCCATATGGATATGGGGGGTTCAGAAAGGGTGATGGTGATGCAGATGAGAAACATAATAAGGCTGGCTCTCCTGCTGAAAATAATAATAATGAGGATTACTTGAACAAGAATTATAATGGTGCAAAAGTTGAAAGCAGTAATAATAAGCCATCCACCAGTGGTGTGATTTTTAAGGACAACTAATACTCCGAGTAAACATAACTTTTCTTTGTTTTTCGTAATTTATTTTTATTTAATCAGGTTGTAAGTTCGATAATAAGGCATGGAATACTTGTAATTTTTTAAAGGCAAACTCTGACCACCCTTTACAAATGAAATCTGATAATAAAGCAATGAAAATTATTTTGTGGTTCAACAATAAAACTTAATACATCTATTTTCAAAACTAAAATTTTTAAATAGAATGTCTTCTCAAAATTCACTTTGAAAACGACACTCAGAAAAGCGAAAACAATTCTTGCGTAAACCTGGTCCTAAAACTAACGTATTTGCTTCACAGAGATCAAAAGTGTGTTCAGCTCCAAAGACATTGAGACAATTGGCCGACTTCACATCCACCAATCTGTTTCGTAAACCCCGAACTGTGACCTGGCCAGGTCCACAGCTTGTGATGCTGCAACTAGAAGTACATAAGGTCATGTCGACACTCCAGCGTGTGTTGCGATCCTCCAATCCTTGGCATTTAACCTTTTTAAATTAAAAAAATAAAGAAATTAATTCGTCCAAGATAAATTTGAAAAGAAAATTAGTATTAAGAACTAACATCCTCAATCTTATGACCACAACCCATCATGTTCACGGCACAAATCGCACCCTCCACCTCATTATCTGGAATCAATGGGTAGACGAATTTGATACCTCTCAGTTGGCTTTCATGCCCTTGTAGATTAATTCCAGTTTTGACGTTGTTGATGGTAACGGACTCCAAACGGTTCCTGTACTGAAGTACGCAAATTCCTACTTCACAATCCGTAATTTCGGCATTGGTAAATTGATTGTCGCAGCCGTTAAGGTAGATGCCCTTCGAGTGTCCACTAACGGAAATATTGGAAATGATATTCCTGTTTCCTTCAATTAAACATCCGTAATAGCAATGATTTTCAGCGTCATAGCTGCTGGTACCGCTGCTGTCGCCAACTTCATCTGATCTTGGTGCCATTGGAATGAAATATTCATCGTCAGAATCGATTGATATCACGGATACGGAATCAATACTCTCAAAAGTATCGTCACCAGAAATCGCAGAATGTTCTATTTCAATTGGATGAACACCAATTTCCACATTTTTTAAGGAATTTGACGATCCCTGCATCACGATGGTTGTTCTCCCATTTTTTATTTTTGATGTGAGGATTGACAAATTCTCTACATTGCAGTTAGTGCCAAAAATGCAAAGAATTGGTTTTGGATGGGATGTTTTGGGACTGCGTAGTGTGGTTTTTCCAATTCCAGCTCCTAGGATTGTAACATCGTTCGATTCCATATTAAAAATCCCTTCATATGTCATCTCCTTCAAAATAATGATATCCTCCGGGGATGCAGATGATAGATATTTCATCAATTTTCTGGATGAACTAGCAATTTTCCTTCGTCTGGGAGTACTATTGAATCGTTCTAGTCGCGTCATCACATCTTTAGAACTATAATATATGTATATAAGATATACGTTATAGTACCTACTTAATAGTCCTTCTTATGTATGCATGAATATGTATGAATGTGTGATTTTACAACAACAAATAGTAGTATTACCAATTGGCAGATTCCCTGGAACTAAACATCACAAAAATGTCAATTACATCTTCTGGATCAAGAGCCTTCGAAGGAGTCACGTATTGCGAAAACTCGCTCTGCGTCATTAACGGATAACGAATGAATTTGGCCAACTCCTTAAAATCTTCGAATCGCGATTCTGGATCCTGATCCTTCCACCTGCACGCAGAAAATATACATATGAGCATTTTCGACTTTATAATGTAGTAGTAAATAACTTACACCAACAATGCTCTAAACAAACTAATCTCGGTCACAAATATGAGATAGTCTTCTTGTAATAACGCCCTCCAAGTATCTGCCGTCCAGTCAAATTTCTTCCTCCTGGGACCCAGGATGTCATTGACTAGAATGAAAATGTTCCTAAAAAAATATAATAACATGTACATTATGCAATACTCATATTTCTACTTCTACTATAGTAAATTAAAGCTTGAGTTGAGTTATTAACCTCTTGAAAAACTTGTAAGCTCGATGTGCAATACTTGTAACTGCGCTGTAACGTTTAGCGTGCTCATATATGAGGACACAGTTATCTTGTCCAAGTCGGATAGACAGTTTCTGATCACACAGCTCTAGGAGTCCTTTCACAAGGTATAAATCTGCTAAGGCCATGACCTCCAAAATGAGATGTTCTTGTTCGGAAGGTGACAAATGACGTGTGTTGACAAAAGAGGGCTCGAATTCTTCAGTGTATAGATACTACAAACACAAGCATGAAATAAACTAAAAATTATTTTTAGCCCCCAACTCAATCAAACAAACAAACAAACAATGAATCATCCGCCTAATTAAAATATAATGGTTAGTTATCCTTCGTTTACCTTGATAAATGCTCGGGAACTATCCTCCCCAACATCTTCTGGAAATCGGATGACCATCTTTTCATCCTGTCTACTAATTCCCTCATTCCAACACTGTTTGTCCAGCTGGGTCGCAAAAACTTCCGACATGACAATGAAGACAGATTTGTGCCCAGGAACAGGAACACTATTTGGACCAACGAGAATGGTAAGGTCGGTGGTAGAGTCGGTATTTTGCGCATATTGGTAGAGCAGGTTGCCCAAGGATTTCGGACGCTTAATTTCCTTTGGGTATGCGTAATCACTGTCATCATCGTCCGACGAGGAGGCCGTCGATGGAGTTGAAAAGTGGCGACGACGAGCAGCCATTTTATATTCCAATCTTTTTAGTTAATTATTAATCAATCTTCGTCAATCAGGAGTCTTGATTCAAGACGAGTTGGCGGAAGACTTGTTTTTAGAAGACAAAGGACGACAAAGGGCAAGAAAAGAAGGAAGCGAACGAAAATGTTTTGTCTATTTTGGGCGGCTTGGCATTTGGGAAGCTCATTCGCTGATTTGTTTGTGTGCTGGGAAACAAGATTCGTCCTGAGTGAAATGCGTCTCAAATAACGAACGAACCGAGGCAGGCAGAGAGATTTCCGCTCATTCGCCATTCTCCTTTCCTAGCGAGACGTTGTGTTGTTTTCCTTCAGAAAAACAATCCGTTTTTTGACAAGTTTTCTAAGTTTTTCAATCTAAGCAGGATTTTCATCTTTTTTCTTAAGTCAGGTAAATATCGGTCTTGACGAAATCTTTAAACAAAATAGTATCGAAAGTATCGATTCCTTCGTGGTTATTTTGTTATTGTTGTTTTGTCAGTTTTTCTGACTTTCCAGCTAATTAAGCAAATAAATAATTAATTTGTTATATATATTCAAGAGCGATTCATCACAAGATGCCCAAAAGAAATTCAAATATGCCCAAGGGTCGATGCACGGCGTACTCGTATTTCGTCAAGTCGTGTCGCCAGGAAGTTACGATGCAGAATCCAAATGCGAAAGTGGTATTCGCCGACTTCTCAAAAGAGTGTGCCGAGCGGTGGAAGGTGATTAAATTTATTTTATTTCATTATTTTAAGTAGGCTCAAATTGAACTAATTTAATTTTTGAAAACCATTACAATCATGTTGGATTTTTTTAAAATTGCAGTCACTTGATGCTGAAGAGAGAAAAGTATTTGTAGCGATGTCGGACGAGGACAAGATTCGTTACGATATGGAGATGGACCAGTTCTACCGAAAGGGAGGAGTAGATCCAGCAGCTAAAAAACGAAAAGCTAAAGTAGACAAAAAGGTGAAGCCAGCTGCGTCAGCATATTCGTTCTTCTCTAAAGATATTCGACCCCGGATGAAAGCAGACAACCCGAGCTTGTCAACTGCCGATGTGACCAAGGAAGTGAAAAGGATGTGGGATAATCTGGATGGCAGGAATAAGCGACAATTTGAATCCATGGCCAAGGAGGATGCTGAACGTTACAGACAAGTATGTGTCGTGCATTATATTCAAATTAGTAAAAACTAAATTCTACATATAATATTTAGTATGCTTATATCAATAACCGATTTGTATATATGCAGGAGGTCCAATGGCAGAAGGATCGAGAGGAAGCGATTCGTCAAGCGGCTACAAGCACTTCTAACTATGCAAATACTGTGTATGAATACTGTGAATCTGGCTCAGATGCTGACGAAAGCGCTGCAGAAAACGACGATGAGTATTAGAAATTGTGTTTTTTTACACTTGTACTTGTACATTTATATTATTTTGTACCCTTTAAACCTGTTCTATACCCGATTTTTGACTCTTGTCATATGTTTGTATTTTTTGGTACGAATGTCTCTGTTCCGACGTATGTGTACTTTTTTAACAAGTTTTTTCTAAGATTTATTTTACTCGGAATGCAATTTAATGCACATAATGAATTGTTTGGCGTTATCGATATCCTTGTTCTTTAATAAAAATGCAAGTTGATAATACTAATGAAAAAGCTATTGTGTTGCTGATTGCTAATCGAGGTCAATCTGGCATATACGTACGTGTGTGATGCATATCATGACTCATCAAGTGAATTGGTCATTAATCGTATATTGGATGCATTAGGTAGCATGACGCATCTATTAAATGGTGATAAAAACATTGATTTTATTATCATCAACCATTATATTGTATTTCTCCTTATCAATACCCCCCATCGCCCTGTTGCTGCTGTGGATCTTGATAACCTCCACCCCCATTTTGCTCTGGATAGCCTCCATTACCTTGATAACCACCTCCTCCGCCTTGCTGATCTTGATAACCTCCTCCACCCCCTTGTTGATCTTGATAACCCCCTTATCCCCCTTGTTGATCTTGATAGCCCCCTCCTCCCCCTTGTTGATCTTGATAGCCCCCTCCTCCCCCTTGTTGATTTTGATAACCCCCTCCTCCCCCTTGTTGATCTTGATAACCCCCTCCTCCCCCTTGTTGATCTTGATAACCCCCTCCTCCCCCTTGTTGATCTTGATAACCCCCTCCTCCTCCCCCTTGTTGATCTTGATAACCTCCTCCTCCGCCCTGTTGATCTTGATAACCTCCTCCTCCGCCCTGTTGATCTTGATAACCGCCTCCTCCTCCTCCCCCTTGTTGATCTTGATAACCTCCTCCTCCCCCTTGTTGATCTGGATAACCTCCTCCGCCTTGATGATCTTGATAACCTCCCCCTCCTCCTCCTCCCCCTTGTTGATCTTGATAACCTCCCCCTCCTCCTCCTCCCCTTGTTGATCTTGATAACCTCCCCCTCCTCCTCCTCCCCCTTGTTGATCTGGATAACCTCCTCCACCTTGTTGATCTTGATAACCTCCTCCGCCTTGTTGATCTTGATAACCTCCTCCGCCTTGTTGGTCTTGATAACCTCCTCCGCCTTGTTGATCTTGATAACCTCCTCCGCCTTGTTGATCTTGATAACCCCCTCCTCCTCCTCCTCCCCCTTGTTGATCTTGATAACCTCCTCCTACTCCACCTTGTTGATCTTGATAACCTCCCCCACCGCCCTGCTGCTGCCCGTCAGAACCTCCTCCCCCATCCCCATAGTCTTCTCTCGAGCCCAAATCACTGTTCAAAAATCATCATCACTCATCAATGCACTCGATCCTCAAGATAAATACATATTTGATCACTTTTTTTGCGCATTCTTACTCTTCAGTGGATAACAGGCTGTTGGGGTCGATATCATGTGTGTCATCATACTCTACCCCATTACCACCCATAGAACGACCATCGCCGTGATGACGATGGTGGTGACCGTGATGACGATGACCTTTAGCTAAACTCTGCATGGAAGAATAAATAAATGCATTTAAAAGAGTTGTTGGTTCGCAATAGTGGTGTAGTTAAAAACCCAGAATTTAAAATTATGCACATGAAAACAATACATTTTTTGACTAAAAAAGGAACGCAAGAAAACTGTCGAACTTACCTCACTGATAAAAATAACTGTAAGGAGGGCAACGAGTAATACGTTGCCAAACTTCATCCTGGAGAATCGACAAAGTTTCGAAATGATGACCCTAATAAAAAATAAATGAAGAAATTGTCAAGAGATGAATGACTGCAGACCTAAATGTTATGGACCATGATAAGGAGGTCAATTTGATAACAATCAATTCATTTCCTAGGCAGACTTCGTACATATTTACAAACGACAAGCATTAAACGTTGAGAGACAATTGTCATTCATTAAATATGAAATCAATGAAAGTAATTAATAAGTGGGTTGATGGATTTGAACCAGATTTGACAGAGAGGTGATGATGATAATTGATATATGTACATTGTTGCATTGAAAAGCATTTACCATTCATTTGATTATTATTAATTATTACACCTCAGCTACATTTATTTGTCAACAAATATATTGAAGTAATTGAAAAGTAGAATTAAAGAAAACGCGAGTACATAATAAATAAGTAACAAAACAATTTGATTATATTTTTAGGATTTCAATAAACAACACAAAAAATCTAGTACTGCTGTCTTTGTTGGTTGGGGACAGTAACATAGTTTTTAGGGTATTGTTGTTGCTGGAGAGGAGAGGTCACCGTGGGGTAGACTGGGGGTTGGTAGTACGAGGGGGCAGCTGGGCCTGTCGTGTAATATGAGGCAGGATGAGATTGATAGTAGGATGGAAGTTGCTGTCGATGGGGTTGAGGGTAGGCGTATTGACCTGGCTGCAACTTGAGTAATTAAATTGAAATTTATTTATTTTACGATCTAAAGTAAAAACTTATGGTAATGAAAATCCTACAAGTACCTGTTGTTGTTGAGCATATTGAAATTGATTGGCTAAATTGTTGAGACGATGGAGTTCCATTTCGTCATTAGAATCACCCGAGGCTCTGCCTTGAAAGTGTCCCTCACCGTGATGACCTCCTCCTTCATCACCGCTAGACCTACCCAAGATTCCTCCCAATGGCTTCAGTAATCCGCCTAATAGTCCTCCATGCAGCAGCCCACCCCCTTGTTTCCCAGCTTGGGTTGACGCCGAAGCCGATGCAGACGCACTAGCACTCGCAGATGCGTCCACATTAGCCCCACCCCCTGCGAGGCCAGTGGTAAGACCCCCAAGAATATCGGAAGAACCAACCCCGCCGCTGAGAACGTTGGTTACTTGAGCGTTGGAACTTAAAACCTGAAATATGGATTACACAATTATGGATTTTATTATTTTTATTAATTGTGCGGACAATTTTATTTCGCATATTTTACCTGTAAATTTGACAATGCTTTTTCCAATAAGTGGTTTAAAAGCTTGAGATTGTCAATATCAACAAGAGATCCTTGCACTCTATTCACTGATCCTGCCTGGGCGTTGGCTTGTGCGATAGCGGCAGCTTCTGCGGCAGCTGTGACCTCGAATCCGGCATTAGTTCCACCATTGGCGAATCCACCGTTGCTAAAAGAACTTCCCGCATTGGCGAAAGAACTTCCCCCATTGCCGAAAGAACCTCCCCCGTTGCCGAAAGAATCTCCACGGTTGCCGAAAGAACTTCCGGCATTGGCGAAAGCACTTCCCCCGTTACCAAAAGAACTTCCCCCATTGCCGAAAGAACTTCCCCCATTGCCGAAAGAACCACCACCGCTGCCGAAAGAACCTCCCCCGCTGCCGAAAGAACCACCACCGCTGCCGAAAGAACTTCCCCCGTTACTAAAAGAACTTTCACCGTTGCCGAAAGAGCCTCCCCCGTTGCCGAAAGAACCCCCTCCATTTCCCAAGCCTTCCGCATTGGCAATTGCTTGGGCTATTGCGGTTGCCTCAGCTCCTACTGAGGTCGCCCCTAAATTATTTGAAGTACTGATAGCAGCCCCATTTGACAATGCCTGTACATTGGTAAGTGCCCCTTTGCCTCTATAATGCACATAATATAAATGGCTAAGAATTTTGTATGAATCATATCATCACACAAATGAAGCAACATAACTCACAAGTCGTCCAAAATCTCAGAATTCGATACTGTCACGAGTGGTCCTGAGCCCAACAATGATTCAAGGAGCCCCACTAAGAGTCCGCTATGTGTCTTAACTTGACCAGCATTCGCCGAGGCCGTTGCCTGAGCGTTGGCTTGTGCGATAGAGTTGGCGACAGCTCCAGCGCCGAATGCAGTTTTAGTTCCACTATTGGCGAAACCAGCGTTAGCAAGGGCTTGCGATAGAGCCGCAAAATCAGCCCCAGAAGTGCCACCAGCTAGATTTCCATTATTATTAATAACCCCACCAGAACTCAAAAGTTGTACATTGTTGAGAGCTCCTTCGCCCCTATTTTAAGAAAACATAGTATTTCATTAAATTAAAATTCGTGTAATGTTGGTCTTTTCATCGATGAATAAAAATTCTCACAAGTTGTTGAGGATTTGACTATTGGCCACGTTCACAAGACCTCCACCTCCTATTCCCTTAACCCCACCACCACCAGAGAGCTGGAGGACGCTTGTCGCAAAAGCAGTACTCTGTCCTTCATTGAGACCTCTTTCTTGGGCAAGGGCAAGAGCAAGGGCGAAAATGGCTTCTGCCCTCGTTTCCGCAGATGCACTAGCTACGCCAAACCCGTTGTTATTGATCACACCATTTGCACTTGCGAGTTGAATGTTATTGGCAGCATTTTTAAGGCTAGAAACAAATCACAATTGTTTAAATATACCGTATATTCCAAAAATTTAAAGAAACAACAATTAGTTAATGTATTACATATTGTTCGCAATTGAACTTCGAGCAATATCCAGCAACAATGCGTCCCCAGCACGACCGCTCCCACCAAATCCGCTCTCCGACACTGTAGATGCATGCAAATAAGAAGCTACTCCAGATATCATTCCTCATAATACAACTGGGTAACCTCTATATGAAAACATTCACTCACCATCATTAGAAGAACGTCCGCCAATACCATTAATTTGTGCACCAGAAGAAAGCACCTGTATTGTGTATAATTATTAATTATTTATATATTATATGTATATGTTTTTATGTATATTTACCTGTAGATTATCAAGTGAACCAGCTAATCTGAGGAAATAATTAAAAGTTAATCCGTATTACTATCTGGTTAGTTAGCTACTTCTTGTTTTAATCAACTTACACTTTATTCGCAATGTCTGAATCCGTAATACTTATTAAATCCAATCCCCCTCTGCCAGCGTAATCCCCACCACTGCCACTACTGCTACTGCTGGACGTGTAGGAATCTGATCCAGATGAAGTACTTGAGTAGGGATCACGTCGAACTACTTCAATAGTGTGGTCAGGCAAAAGGGTCACTAAAGTCCCGTCAGAGTTTAACCTCTGCTTTGATCCATCTGATGACTGTTGAACCACGGTCCCATCCTTAGTCACCAGCAAGATTTCTCCATCTATTGTACACAGAATTATACAAATTTTAAATTCGTCTACAAATTTTAGTTTCATACATTCTGAAAATGGTTTTCCTACTCTTAAAAAAATATTCTGTAGTCCCATCCGCCGTAATTTTTACAGCACTTCCATCAGCTCGCACCAAATTCAGTTGACCGTTGGGCTCGAGTTGCATCACTAATCCGCTGACTTGCTCCACCGATATTTCCCCAGTTTGTGAAATTGAGGTGGTGGGTCCATCAGGAACGGAGACGTACGATTCACCAGTGTGAGCCAAGTCGATAGATACCTGAAATTTAATAAGAGAGTGATATATTCTTCATGAAAATAAACAATAGATAAGATACAAATTTGTACAAAATATGCATATACCTCATCTGGAGTCTTGATAAGAACATGTCCTTCGTCGGTTGAAGTGAGACTATTCCCATTCGGCAGAGTCACAGCAGCAGGTTTGACGCCTCCGACGGATCCATATGATTCGTCCCCATCCGATGAACCATAGTTGGGCTTGTGGTGTGGGTAGCCTCCTGAATAAGGTCGGCGATGATACGGTTTTGAATGTCCCGACCCGAATCGAAATTGGGGATATTGTCTCACTGGTCGGATTATTCCTTCTGTTGCGACTTGGTGGTCTTCTTGTTGGAGTACGAGTGGGACCTGTTGTGGAACAAAATAAATTGCCACAATTATTCAATAATTTGCATAATATTGTATCAATTTACGAGATATTTCTAACTGCTCACCAGAGGGTCTTGTTGTTGGGGTGTGTCCGAAGCTTCAGGAGTCGCACTGCTCTGAAAGAATGACATAAAAGGAAAAGCTATAAAATTATGCATAAATTTAGCTTACATGATGGTATGTCATATACCGATTTAATTTCCGTCAAAAAATAAACCACTACGTAAAACATACCACCAATACGTCTGGGTCAGCATCAGCTTCAGCCACCGGAAGGGAGATGACTTGTGGAGTCAGTAGCACAAAGATCACAGCAATAATTCCTAATAATCCACCACATCGAGTGGACGCCGCCGCCATCGTAATGTATTTTCACTAATCAAACTCTGCAAAAGCTGTTGAAACGCTCCGTAAAAATACTCGACGGACAAGACAGTTTTCAGGATTTTGTTTTTTAATGATTCTGTCTTGTAGAAATATAAAAAGCTTTTGAACGAATTGAATTAAATAGTCGCAGATTTGACAAAGATGGTCAATGAAAGGAAAGAGAGAAAATGTACCCATATTTATAAGCATCAATGGAATTTGCTCTACGACGACATTGTACATGATTACATATGCATATCAATGGATAAAGGCATGAAAAAGGATAAGTACGGCATAAATTGTATCACATTCAGTCCGTGGATGACCATTAACAAAGGAATTGGCTCATGATGAAGATTACAAAAAAATGCAATTCAGCCATTATTGGGAAGAAACCTAACCTAAATTTGCAATATGCAAAATTATGTTTACACTTCCACTCATCCTGTTTAAGCATAACAAACCCAAGGAATGACAATTCCAAACCTTTATTATTCATACATGACGCTGATGGTCTCCATAAAATATTTATTCGGGTACCCAATAAATTATTTTGGAACTTTTTACTTTCGATTATTTAAATTTTAAAGTGAGAGGAATTTCTCTATTGACAATTCTTTGAAAAGTGACTATCTCTCTGAGAATAATGCATAATGATTTTGAAAACGCCTTGAATATGCTAGGACATTACACGTTCTACGAATCGACCTTACTCTGGATTTAAGCAACGAAGTTAGGAATAAATCAAATGAACAGGTCAACATCTCGTGGTGAAAAATTCCAATGTCATAAAGTTGTGATACATATTATTTTAGCATAGTTGAAAATAATGATGATATGAATGAATCTAAGATGCCATTATTAAATGATGATCCAGCAGATCCAGCTCAAATGCATCAATTGACAAGTTTAATCACTTCTCATGGTAGTAATAATGTCTGAATGACCCAATTCCTAATATATATTTACATATATCCAAAATATCGCCCAGTCACATCTTACACAAAATTTTAAAACAGAGCTGAACCAGCCCAACCGTTTCACAAACGCAGTTTCCATTATTTAGCGAAAGGCAGAGTGAGACTCGGATTCTGGTGGGTATCCACCACCACCGCTGACTGTCGTTGCCAGTGCCGTATGGTGGTCCGTCTCACTTCTCACTCTCTTCAAATTGTTTACCGGGATTATGAACCAACTCGTGTTGAGATGCTTTTCATCTCTTACACGAGTTGGTTCAGTTGATAAATCGTTGAGCTTAAGTTTTAAATTTGGGGCGAATTGGACAAACTAAATTTGCTTATCTTAAAAACTGATAAGCGCAGTGATAAGCCCGATAGCGTTTATTTTCGAGTGGATACTACCATTATATATTCAGATAAGCTTAAGTTTTAAATTTGGGGAGATTTGGACAAACTAAATTTGCTTATCTTAAAAACTGATAAGCGCAGTGATAAGCCCGATAGCGTTAATTTTCGAATGCATATCATCATTATAAATTCAGAAAAGCTTAAGTTTTAAGTTTGGGGCGATTTGGATAAACTAAATTTGCTTATCTGAAAAATTGATAACTTCGTTGATAAGCCTCATAGCGTTAATTTTCGAATGCATATCATCATTATAAATTCAGAAAAGCTTAAGTTTTAAATTTGGGGCGATTTGAGGCTGTTTTAATAGCTTCTATGTAATTACCTTTATGTATATCATAAATACCTATACATTGTTACGGCTCCTGCCGTATAAGCCCCTCCCTCAGAAACTTTGACCCCAAAAAAGTCATGGTAGCGGTCATTTCGCAGCGGACAACAAAAGCGGAAAATGTGGCACTTCTGACGAAGAAAAATCTGGCATCAGGTTGTCAGCCGCGAAATGACCGCTAAGGTCACTTTTTTAACGATTTATATGTAGGTCGAAAAACCGCCAATTTTCGAATTTTGAAAGTCTTGATGCATCAAAATGTTCATATTCATGAGGGAAGTCAAATGTCAAATGCAAGTTGGTATCTACTTCTTTCTGTACCGAGTGTACATTGACCTTCTCATTTTTCCCAATTTTCTTCCCCAATTTTTGAAGGGGGTGTGGTTGAATATAATTCAAAAACAGCTATGCTATATTAATCCCCCCACCCAAAACTGAATTTGTAATTTTTTATGTGCAATTTGGTGAAATCGATGCGAAAAAGACTTGCACTTTTGGCTCATTTTGTATCAACAAATAGGTTACACATGAAATGTACTTACAATTAGACAAAACTTAATATTGTCGTCATCGGTCACATACCCAACAATAACTTAAATTTGACATATTTCCAAATATGAACAGGAAAAATTACATGACTTATGTACTTGCATGAAATATTTATGCTTATCTATATACTTATGTATAAATAGGCAACTTTACTTTGGACAAATTGTTTGTTGGAACAATGACTTTTATTTTATATTTATGCGTATAAAAATAGCTAGTAAATATACTCGTAATAAACAGACTTACGTTAAATATATGACACTGAAGGTAAGATTCAAGCAAATACCACATTGAGAATACTGGTTGCGTCTTCCCAGAAATGAATTTGAGCCTTGATATCAAAATTAATTTCCGTTTTCCGCTTTCCCTTGACTTTTCCTAAGTTCAATATCTTCTCGAGGCTGTAACCTCGTCTCGCAAACAGAAAATCTTGATCACTTAGCTTAATCCCAGGACAAATGTCATTGTGACCATCGCCAACGTAAACAACGACTGAAAATGACGAGCTTTTTATATGCTCCTCAAGCGCAGACCCCTTGCATAAATTCTTTGGACAAATTGGACAATCGGAATTTTCATATGGATCTATATGCAATGCTCCTCGTGTGGTAATGGATGCTTTGTTTGTTATTATGCAGTCTGCCGTAACATTAATAGAGTTAAGGAATGTGTTTATGAAGATATCATTCGCGTCGGATATGATGAAGAGTTTCGAATCAGACAGAGATTTCCTGTGATGAATTTCTTGCAAGAGAGAAACCATTCCTGGATTAATTATATGAAATTATCCACAAAAAAGAGTCAGAATGTGTAAAACTAATAAAGACATATATATGCAAAAATTATATTATTTACCAGGAGTTGGATTCATTTTCGTTATCAATTCCTTCATATCTTCAACAGTGACTCCTTGATCTCGTAAAAATTCAAACACTTTGTTCATAAACTGCGTCCAATTTGTACCATCATAAAAATTTCGAATAGCTTCAGGTAATGGAGAGTCGACAAGTTTTGTGACTTCTGTGTCAGAATTGTCTGAAATAATAGCATTTTAAAATATGTTAATACTATAGTGTGTTAGTGTTTTTTAGCCCGAACCAGGGCTTATGTAATTGTCATGTCCGTCTGTCTGTCTGTCTGTCCGTCTGTCTTTCGATAGCGCTCGAACGAGTTGACCGATTGACTTGAAATTTTTACCATATGCATATTGGACAAAGTTAGGAAACGAGTTCGAAGATGGGCGACATCGGTCAAGTGGTTGACCGGTGGGGGTCATCGGAGTGGGTTGGGTATTATGCACCAAAATTTCAAAATGGTCGTAGGAAGCTGAAATTTGGTACAGAGGTTGCTAGTGGTTCCTAATGAAAGAATATGAAGTGAAATTGGAAAATTTTTAAACCGGAGGCACCCGAGGGGGTGACCCATACCGATTTTTCAAAATCATCGAATCGAGCTGAAATTTGGTATAGAGGCTGCTAATGTCCCGTAATAGAAGAATATGAAATGAAATTGGTAAAATTTTTAAAAGCCGGGAGCCGTTGGGGTGACCCGTACCGATTTTCATAGCTTGTCGCAAGAAGCTGAAATTCGGAACGGTGATACTTAATGGCTTCGCATAAAATAGTATAAAGTCAAATATGAACAAAAAGTAACCAGAGGGGCACTAAGGGGTGACCCATACCGATTTCTAATATATTCAGCTATAATTTAGTTTGGAGTCGAAAAAATAACTTGGGATTAGAGTTTTAGAGGATTGAATTTTGAAATTTTATGATTGAAAATTGTGACAAACATGAGTTTACTAATCAACCCTGGTTCGGGCTAAGCAAAGCTATACTGATAGGTTTTAATGTTGTTTTCAATTTGATTCAAAAAGAGATCATTTATTTTTATTTCATATTGGATCATAACTCTGTCTCATGTATTATTAGAGATATTATACCTTTTAGAATGGTGTGGTCGAAGTCAAAGGCATAAAGCGTCTTCTTCATTTTCAAATTTCTAATCATTGATTGATTTCCTTGATTAATTATCTGAAATGAAACAGCAAATAATCGTCAACTTTTTTCGATAATAAAATTGTGGGTTTAAATTTAAAAGTACAATGTGTGACCAATTAAATTTAGACCTTGTCCCTATTTCATATGAAAGTGTATAAACATAGGAAAAATAAATCTCTGTAAAAATAAACTAGTAAACAAAGTTTGTTGTACTTAAACCAAATAAAATAAATTAAAATATGTGCATGCAGCCGGACTCCGGCTGCCGGAGCCCTTTAAAATCAGGTTAATTATTGTATTCACATTGCGCATTACTCTTACCAATTTTCTTTGTCTGGAAATCAAATCTCTATTTTATCGAAATATTGTGGAATCCACAATGTGGATGCAAACTTGTATTCAGCAGGTGTCTGCAGTTATGTAAATATGTGAGTGAAAGTGAGATGCATCCCGCACAACTATCGGGGAATACCGGAATACGGTAAATATCGGAGAAACCGTTTCGCGTATTGGTTCAACTTTCACTTTTATTAGCAAGAAAATGTCTGAAATAAATTGCATAGTCAGTGTAAATGGATAGCAAAATATTATACTTATATACACATCGGTTATTCTTATCTTGGAAAAATGCATACAAATAAATACATAAACATGTGGCTAACAAGTTTGTCGTAAATTATTGGCGACTTATAATTGGCGTGACTAGAATGCAGATAAGGTAAAATATCTATATGTTGTGAGGTAGAGTAAAATTAATCGAGTTTCTTAATCAATTAATTAATCCCCTTTATGCTCGTCGCCACTTTAACGCGACACTTGTCGAAGGAACTTTTACTTCCGGATGTGTCAAATGGACGTGTTCCTGAACTAACCTTGGAGAACCAAAATTTATCCGTGTTACGCAGAAATGGCACTGATATACACCAAGCTCGGTGTTGTGTACGCTATATTGATGTCTCAACATTTCATCCTTGACACGAAACATGAGGGAACAAAATTCACAACTATATTCAGCATGCTTGTCGCCTAAATGGACTGTCATTTCCCATTGAGTGCGAAAACGAGTTTCGCATCTCGTACATTTTAGTCGTTGGTAGCGGAAGGGGGAGTCTTTAGGTAGTTTTGTGGGCAATGACGATGATGGTGAAGTGCTTGATTTGGGGGATTTGCTTTTCCTAATAAGTTTAGATGGTGTCTTATTATTATTCTTTTTCGATAAGGACGACGTCGAATCAGATGGAAATCGTGTCTTCTTTCCTCGCTTCTTGGTGTTGGGGTCATGTTGAAATGGTTGACATACACCTTGTTGGTCATCGTCGTTAGATTTTGGAAATTTTACTTTGGGTGAGGAAGAAGAAGGGGAAGTTTGCTGCTGTGGGGTGGTGATAGCGATTGGGCCAGTTTCTGCGTGAAAGTAGTATGATTCAAATTGCTGTTGTTGTTCATGTTGATGATTAATAGGCTGTTCGACTTGGGAGGATTCATCCAATACTCCCATTACCACGACTTCTCTACAAACAGGATGAAGTGCTAAGGTGTGAACGGTTTCATCTTGTTCCTCATGATGTTGTAATTGTTGTTGTAATTGTAACGGTACAAAATTAGACTGTGTGTGGCTGGGTAGTATAGTTCCAGGGGGGTGGGCGTAATCATTTATATCTCCCCCGTGAGTTTTCCAAAGTTTCCATGTTTTTTTGACAGGCTTGAAGTTAGAGAAAAAATTAGCTATCGTGGACCAACTAAGATTTTCTTGATTGTTTTGTGTTAAAACAGTATGGACCCCTGGGTTCAAAATGTCTTTTTTTTGCTCCGGTCTTGAAAGTATTAAAAAATGGTACTCAGGGGTCCAGTGTCTTCGCACAAAAAAATCATAAATTTTAGTTGGTCCACGATAGTGAATTATACCGGAGTTTGTTTGTGGGTGCACCTGAAAAATAATTTGCCCTAGTATAGTATAAATTCGATCTACAATATCACGGTTTCACGGTCATTGATTCAATATATAGATTACCTATAGTGATCTTGAACGCTTGCAATAGTTGGAAAATTCTTTTGACATATTTGGCAGGGATACCCGTTAATCTCATCATTGTGAACTTTTGCTTCATGTACAGCCCTAGATCTATCAGGGGTAGATAAATAAGAAAACATTTTGCTTTATACACTCAATTTGACTAAATAAATATAATACCTAGACAAAGCAAATGGTGCTAAACAATAGCGACATTTAAAAATTTGATCCTCCGTTGTTGTAATAGTATTTACAGCACTGGAAGAAGGTGCATTATGATGAATGAGAGGTGTTTGAGAAATGCTTGGACCAAAGGGAGTGACAAATGACTGGTTTATGTGATTATCCTCTCCACCAACACCATGCAGGCCAATATCGGAAATGACATAAGCTGTTTGTGGATGTTGATTAATAGTGATTTCCTCGTGACTGCCTGGTTGAACCTGAATTACGAATTTAATTAATTAAATGATAAAGGGTTTCATAGACATTTAACATAAGTATTCTGCATCTTGTAATGTAAACAATCATTGTGATTCACCTGAAGGTGAACTTTGACCACGTTTCCGTCGGAGACTCTGACCCTTTCCCAGTCCTCTATACATTTTGCATCGCTATCATTCCTAAAAAATACAATGCTATTAATAACTGCGTACATTATGATCAGCCTGTACAATGTCAAATTGACACTGTCAATTTATACTATAAATAATAAACTAATTTTTGAGAGCAAAATATACAGAAATACTCACTCAAACCGGTGAACCTTATGTAAAATAAGGTGGCGAATAATCAAGGTTTTCAATTTAAACGTTGTTCTGCATCGACAACACCGATACCACGGTTCTTCGAATATTTCTTCAGGCATTATTTTGTACTTTTGTAAATCAAATTAACTTTGTGAACGGAAATTGTTGACACAAAATCGGGATGCATCGGGATGCAGCAGCTGGACTTGTGTATGGGTGTCTTTTTGAGGGGTGAGACGAGATGTAGCTCTCTCGAACAACATGAGAATAACATGATCAATTTTTATTATTTGGCTATTTTTACCTGAAACAATTTATTTGCATTGCAATTTTTGTAATAAATTATTAAAAACAATGCCTAAACCGGACAATTACTAAAGCGCATAACGTGATCACGGTATTAAATAATAATTATAATTAATGTGCCAAAAAATGTGACAAAGTATTGGTCCAACTTTTTATTGCTGTCGGTTCTATCGTCTATCATAGACCATAGACGGTCTATGGTCTTTTGTATAAAGCTTATTAAGGTTGGGTGTAGTAATGTAGTATTCAAACGACTAGATTTGCTGACTTTGTCTTATCCAACATATATCTGTCCTAGTCGGGGAGCGACGTTAACAACTAGTTCAAACTCGTATGCGGATTTGAATTCGATTCTGTGATGCTTCTTTGTACATGTACGAACTTGTTGCAGAGTCTTATCATTTAATTCTCTAATCTCTTCAAATTCTTCAATTTTATAGTCCTCTGGATACAAATCGTCACCTACATATTAAAGGGATGTTATGGAATTAGAGCATGGACCACTAGATTGACATTATTTATTGAAGCTACAAACTAACCTGGAAATACAGAGATGATCCCGTCGTTTACTTTAATGTAGCAAGGGCACCAACGTTCAATACCCATGTTAAGTCTCATTCTCATCAGTTGCTGAATCCTTTGGACACTTGTGTTTCTTAGTCTAGTCAATTCGTATATTTGCGGAGGGATAAGTCTTGCCTTGCCATCATTTGCTCCTTGTAACACCTTATCAGCAGATGTCCACTTTAAACACATTAAAATAAATCATCAGTTTCAACGTGACTTCCAATTTCGTCGTAATAATGATTAATAATAAATGTATGTAAATTCACCCTCACTGTTGCTACTTCATACTCATCATTTAAAAAGGGTAATGTTTGTGAGACGGCCACCATGTAGAAAATTGTGTCGAACCTCTTGTACCCAAACGAATTAGGGGTTAGCCAGTTTGACCATTCAACCAATGCGTTCAAATCGGGACGTATCAAAAGTTCTTTACACAGGGTTAAAAATTCCATGGGGTCTTGGCGAACACGGCGCTGCCATTCTTCTAGCTGATCCGGATCTTGAAAAACATGTGATCCTGGTAGTGAAACAAGAAATGAATAATTCAAAGCTACTCTCCAAGCCTTCCAAGATCATAATCATGTTAGCAAATATTATTACTTGCCTGCCAAATATCCTTGACCCAATTCGCCCTTTCTGCCCACAAATTTCCTCGCTTCTTTGGCAATGTTTGGTCTTGCAATCAATATTCCGCATTCTTCGAATGTCTCTCGAATGGCAGCAATTCTTTAGTCAATAATTATGTAAGCATTTTAAAATTCCTCTTATGTGACAAGTGATTAATGAACTTTGTCATTTATAGCTAGATTTATTTTAGTCAATAAAATTGTGGCAAACCTGAGTGCCACAGGAAGTGGTACACGTTCCCTGTACCACTTGACGAGATCTTCAGGGTTTTTGAATTCAGTTATAGGCTTCTTATCATAAAGATTAAGTTGGGGTGCAGTAGGATTAAGAAATTCCACCTCTGATAAATGTGACCCGGTCCCAACCAGAAACCAATTAATCCATTTTCGATCACAATCCGCTGGGCTGATAACGCCACCAGGAAAGCAAAGGGTATTTGGAGCAAAGGTGCTTCCTACACATGAATCGAATTCATTAACCTTTGTCAATTTTATTTATTTATTTACTGAATCTCATTGTATTACCCTTTGACCTCTTCATAACAAGGAAGTCGGTCTTTGTTTCATCTTCGCCATTTGGTGCAACAAGAATAAGCGATGCCGCATCCTTCCACGGTTTGCCATCCAATTTTCGAGTATGTTTTTCGGCCTCTGGCACCATCGGATGGGGACCATTGATTGATGAAGATGAGAATTGCCGAAAGGATGACACTTGTCGAGATTCTAACGTCATCCATGTTGATCTATTATTAGTAATATTATTTGGCAATCGACTGGAAGTTGTAGAACGATTCAACCTTTTAAATCTTAACCAACTCAAGGGAACGGGTAGCGACAATACTGTTGAGCGACGCATTTTGTGTACCTTAGTATTCTAAACCTACTATTAACAATATCCTATTATACATTAATTAGTCAAAAATTGAAAAGAAAGTTGAAAGTTTGTAAAATCAATTAGAATGTCTGCTCTAAATGTGTCAATCATTTTCAACGTACACCAACAATACACCGACTTTGGTCAGAGATCAGAAAAGCCCATATAATATAATTTGGTTTGAAATATTATGAAATCTGCTAAATATCCTCCGAAAAGATAATGTGAATTATGTGGGCAATGACACATGAGAGTGCTCGAGTGGAAAAGTAAGTGGCGGATTTGCATTTTGAGAACTTGGAGAACTATGAGAACACGATGCATAGTTTACTAAATACGTATGAATTTGAAATGAAAAAGTATTTATATCTTGTATAACAATTGATCAAATTGGTATTATTTTTAATACCATGAAGCTTATATTCAAGACACTCAATTACTAGTCCGCAACCTTAACAAAATTGCAAGGGTTCCTTATATTAAAACTTATTTATTATAAAACTATTCACAAAATAATTTACAAACATTACAAAAATTCATATAAATGTAGGAAAATAAATCTTACAATGAATATATGTATTAAGCGTTAATTAATGACATAAAATATGGAATGAGAGTATTTTGGAACCTCGAATATGTCATCATCATCACTGCCTACTCCTAGGCTGGGGTTTTAGTCCACCCAAGTCGTAATTTTCCCTCGGAGGAATTGCCTGACTGCCGTGATGACCTGGTCGACCGAAGCCAAAGTTTGTGTGAGCCTTCGTCCCTGAACCATAGCCGTAGTGCTTCCCACCAGAAAAATGCTGTGGGGAACGAGGAATACGAATGCGGTAGAATTTAGGCTTGTCCCCTTCAGAGATGAGGTCAATATCTATTATAATTTTAGAGGAAAATGTATCTATGCCTTGTTTTATCCTTGCATCTTTTTCCGAGAAATAATTAAATATCCAACTTGACTTACCAACCCTACTCATCCGTTGTTGCTGTGAGTCTACAATTAATGGATCGTCTAGGTCGGTATTATTCGCTTCGCTGTATACAGAGTTCAGGTGGTCATTCGGCAGGTCTATGTTGATCTGACCTAGAAGGGCTTGATAGTCTGGAGGGCTTAATTCCACAGAAGGAAGAACTTCCTTGATAACCATTGGACTAACGCCATGTATAGAAGAAGTTGTAATAATAGTGGAGAAGAGGTAAATTGAGACTAGTCTTTGGATTTTCGACACCATTTTGGTTTATTTTCCAAAAAAAAAACACTTATCGAAAAACTTTTATAAAATATTTTCTTGGTGATAAAGTTCACTGCTTGTTGTATGTGAAATTGATTGTTGCGATTTAGCTTATATATACTTACTAGAAAACGTCTTTGCAGAATTCAGAGGAAAACAAACTTGTTGTTGACCATTTACTACATAATATACTACGAAATACGTCATCATCAGTAGATGAGTAAACAAATTATCTACGGTATGGTCAAGGCACAAGTTTATTCAGGTTATATTGTTCACGTATCCGCATGCACGCACATCCTATTATGATTGCAGAAAACACGTGGAAGTAAAAATTGTTATTCGTTATCGTCGTGAGAATTGCGTGAACAATGACATGCCACTCACTATGCAACATTTAATTAATTAATGTTATGATGGTTAGGTTTTGTGAGTTGCGATGAGGCAAATTGAGATTGCGTTTAAATGGTTCATACGATTTGTCATCTTTGACGTCGTTTGGAAAATTAGTTTCGTAGAGCCTATTTCGTACTTGGAAGTTGAACGTGTAAGCCAATCTTTGCCATTGAATTTTCGTTACACAACAATTATGCTTAAAACCTTGTCAGTTGGATTAAACTAAGAAACAGAAGAATTAGTAAACATCAAATAATTCTTAAAACTGGCATGTGCTTAAAAGTAAATATGTATTTATTTAAATGGTTTTTAGCTTGTAATAAAGAACAGATTAATGCATTTGAACCTAATGCTGGCAATAGGATAAAAAACTAACCTGAAGATGACCTTAAAACTTCTTCTTATTTCCAGACGTCGTACATATCCATTCCTGAGAATTGAATTGGATTATTCGCAATTATGGCACTTATGCAGACGTAGAGAGATATTAATGAAACGATTTATAGTACTGGTAATAAATCATCATCATCAATTAAGTACGTACATATAAAATGTATGTATATGTATGATACATACATGTAAAATCTCCAGTATCATCATTTTCAGGCTCAATCAATCCAATAATAATTTAATTTCCTGACTAAATAAGTTTGTAGGACAGTTAGATACATACAAAATTATCGCAAGCAGAATGGAAGTAATTTTGCGAAGTGCATTGGACAATTCGACCTTGATCAGGGGTGTATTGGGTGGGGTGGGAGCTTCAAGCAGAGAATTTCCCCATCAAGTCGGCCTAACTTATGAAGACCGTTTTTACTGTGGTGGGTCAATAATTTCCACAATTTTTATCCTTACGGCCGCCCACTGTGTGCACAATCTTAGTCCGACAAAATTTAAAGTTACTGCTGGCGACGTTAACAGAATTCTTTCAGAGGGTACCGAACAGACAAGACAGGTTTCTCATGTCTTTGTTCACCCTGACTACAAAAGAGCCACGCTAAATAATGACATCGCACTCATGGTCTTGGCCCAGCCTTTCCAGTTTAATGCTGATGTCAGGAAGATCAAGTTTTTGAAGGATCCGACAATCATTCACTCTGGTGCGTGTAAAACCAATCACAATTTTACAATATACAATGGAGAGGAGGTTTAATGAAGGAATGAATTATTTGACATGTGCAGGAATCGCAACAGTCTCGGGATGGGGGCAATTGGTGCATGGAGGTGGATCACATCACACACTGCAGAAAGCGGATGTCCCCATAATTCCTTCAACCCAATGCAAAACAGCGTTCAAAGACGGCCACTTGAGCATTCCTCTGTCTGACGATGTCCTTTGTGCAGGCGGCAATGGGAAGGACGCTTGCAAAGGTGATATAAATAAATCATAAAAAAACTACAAGATCAGTAAATAAAACTTTAAATGGATAGGTGATTCTGGAGGGGGATTAAGTGCACGACCCGCTTCTGGGGAAGACATCCTGCTTGTGGGCATTGTCTCTTGGGGAGCACCTTGCAATGAGAGGTGCTCTTAGTCGTTAATCATTAAGATATCATTCATTAGGTATGCTAATTTTTGAAAAAAACCTTACCGATTTGTTAAAATCCTCCAGCGAAACGCTCCCCGGAGTTTATACTTCTGTTCCTAAATATTCAAAATGGATTGAAGAAACAATGATAAAATATGGGTGTGTTTTTGCTCTCCTTGTTTTAAAATATTCCCATTGATCATGTGTAATCATTCACATTCCATTCTTTCAGGCGAGAATCTGGCCGATGTCAACCGGAGGAATTTTATTGTACATACGACAACGTTTGCATCTTTTCGAACTGGGTGTGCGACGGGGATGTGGACTGTTCACAAGGAGAGGACGAGTCCCCCGGACTATGCAGTTTGCCGTGCCCTCCATCACAGTTCCAGTGTGAGGGAGGAAAGTGTATAAGTTCGAAATGGATTTGCGATGGGAGGAGCGATTGTCCCAAAGGAGAGGACGAACGCGGTTGCGAATTCTGCAAAGCCGGAGCAATTAAATGTTCGTCCGAGTCGAAATGCTATTCTGACACAGGAAGATGTGACGGTAACCACGACTGTGTAAATGGAGAGGATGAAAGACACTGCAATTCATGTCATGGGCGAGGATTTCATTGCAAAAAGGATAAGAAATGCATCCCGTGGGGGTGGAAATGTGACGGGGAACAGGATTGCGAAAGTAATGAAGATGAAGGGAAATGTGTCTGCTTTTTAGGGGTTTGTTTTAACAAGCCATTTTAGAGTGACCGTATTATAAATATATATTTGAGCGCATTTAATGGAATTACTTATGTGATAATTAAACAATTAAAAAACGTAGTGTAAATGTAAATCAATTCTTAATGAATAATTTTTATTAAAAGATTTTGAGTATATAACGAATTGTCGTATTGGACTATGTACGTATATATATATAAGTTCGGCTATAAATAAGATTATTGCTGTTGTACATATTTATGAATGTACGTATGCATGTGTACTCGTGTGGAGTAGAATATGTAAGACACAAGTGGTGAACGCAAGAAATAAATACATATCCAATAATAGCAACAAACAATTAACAAAGTGATCATTTTGTTACAGAGTCTATTTCAATTGGAATTTGTCGTCTGCTACCAGGAACTTCTTTCGGTTTACCAAGCAACTCTAAATTTCCATCGTATCTGACTTGATACTCGTTAAAAAAAGTTGCAAATTCTATAAAGTGTCTGACATGTGGAACTCCAGAATTCATTATATTATTATTGCTTTCAGTAACATTTCCGTCACTACGATTATTATTATTACACATTGTCCCTGGTGTAGTTGTATATTTCTTATTCTGCACCTCCAAAAATCTAAGCACCATAATGTTATCTTTCAAATCTGGATTCACTACCATTTCATACGGCTTACTGCGAACTATTGACGACTCTTTATCGAAACATGTTTCTGGCATCTTCAAGTTTTTTAAAGGAAATGACCCCTTCATACCCAAATAGTTGTGAAATTGGGAAAGGCATCCAGTATTATCCAAGGGAGAGTCGGGCTCTCGAAATAAAACTCCCATCAGTCCCGTCACGAAAAATTTGTCTTGCTCCAGGGGAACACACTGGATTTGTAGTTGCTTGCAAATACTGGATCTTATTTGTGGTAATTGGTTAAGCTCGGCTTTATTTAGTTTGTTCATCATGAGTAGTACGTTTTCTTGACCGACAAGTTCGTATAAGCTTTTCAACAGATGTAGGTTAGAAGAATTAAAGCTGTCCGTAAATACGTATACTATAGTTTTCACATTCTCGCAAAGCTCAATTACTTTTAAAATTGAGCACAGATTAGGTCCTAGGGATTCAGTAGAGAAACCAGGCGTGTCAATTATTGTGTAATTTAATCCCTCCATGGCAAGTGTTGCAACGAGTGGATGAGATTCTTCGTCTTGTTCCCAACCGCATGAGACTGGGAATCGTGTGGAAGATTTGTAATGCTGAAAAATCTGATTGCATACGTGACTTTTACCGACGCGACGATTTCCAATAAAAACTACTGCATTTTGAAAGGATTTTGACTTTTGATCTGAGATAGTTGTGGTGGTGAGATCTGCTGTTGAGATGGACATAATTTGAGGAGTCTTGGGAAGAATGAGGTCTGATGAGCTTTCAATGTCATACCGTCCCCTTTTAGTAGGAATAGTCTGAAAATAGAATAAAATAAAAGTGTCACTAACTAGTTGTGCAGTATACGTATATTCATAGTACGTACATATATGTTTAACCTAGACATTTAATCTATTAATTAATATGTTTAACCTAGACATACTTGTATCACTGTTTGTTCTGAAACTGGTTTCATTTCCCCTTGCCGCAAAGCCACCTCGGCTAAGACATCCAGAGAAGCGCCTCCACTGCAGACATGGCTAAAAGAGGCCGAGCAACGGGAAATAGTGGCAGAAGTACTGTTCTTCCGAGCCGTCATCCGTACAACTGACTGTCGTGGTGTTGATGATGGGGAAGTAGTAGTGAGGAAACGTAGCGTTGGGGGCCTTGTAGTCTGCAGAACTTTATTCATGGGAACTTCAGAGATAGAATCTTTGCAAGCCATGTTTTTAAAATTACATGATACAAGTTCATTTCCAGCTACGACATTTGAATTGCCTTTTGTTGCATGTTTTACCCTTCGCATCAGCTTTTCGATTTTCACTATATTGCTCTTATCTTGTACTTCTGGATGACTCAGTTTCTGTTGGAATAAAGGTGTTTCTTTGGACGATCCGGGATTTTTAGCATTTGCATTCATAACTTTGGTAGCAATGTTCCTCCAGAGATGGCAAACACCAGAGATAGATTTCAATTCCGGAATGCTGAGGTTTTTGAAGATTGATGTTAGAATCTAAACATGAACGATAGTACTATTACTTAGTTGTTGTACAGGTGTGCGGTCGAATTGCATAATTTTTTTGGTATAACGACAATTTGGTATAATTTGATTTGGTATAATATTGTTGGTATAATTTAAGGGAACCATTTGGTATAATGAAACTCAGGGATAATTCTATTCGAGATACTTATATTTTAATCTTTAAAGGGACCGAAATTCATTCCATTCCTTCTTTCCTTGCACTCCCCACTCACATTCACAACCATGTCCACTGAAAACTACTACGCTACTTGTACCAAAAAATCAACTGCAAGAATGACACAGAGTACTATATTTGCACGCACTTGTATCAACAATTCAGTGTAGGGTTGGCATTTACGCATAAATACTATGTGGAAAGCCATTGAAATTTTACAAAATGAACCAAGCCATTGGAATTTGGAAATCGAAAAATTGAAATTTGGCAAGTAGAGCCACAGCGTAAAATTCACAGGGACCTGTATAAGCGACTCCTCTTGATTGTAGAATCATGCAACACTAATCTTGACGCTTTCGACTATCTCAAGGGTATTGGAAAATGCCTTCACAACTACATGACTATTTAAAATTTAATTTTGATTTTCGCATAATTATCCCTTTTTAAATTATCCCTTATGTACCATTATACCAATTTGTTTTATGCCAAAAAAATTATACCATATTGCATTATCCCTAATAAATTATGCAATTCGACCTACAACCGTTGTACAAGAGGAATAAAAGTAAACCACTAAATACATACATAATCAAATGCTTACCTTGGTACTAGCCATTGTTGCCTCAAAATCATTTTCCTGCTTGGCACTGAGTAACTCAAATAACATGCATCCCGTACTTTCAGAACTCGCACCAGACTCTACGCTGTTATTATCCTGCTCAATTTTAATCAGCAATGACGGTAATGATTGGGAAACATCCATTCTATTTTCATTTCGTAATATTGAACGTGTAAATTCTGCCTCTTCGGAAATAATTTTTGCCTCATTCTTTGGTAAATTGTGAACTGCGATGAGATGTCGGAGAAAGTTGTCCTTTCTTCGGAAGCCTCTATTATCTTTGAGGCACTCACCTCTCTCACACTTGAAGGGTGTCTCAGTGCCATGGATGATAGCGTGCCTCTTGAGATCTTTGCATGAATAAAATGACTTGCCACAATTTTGCTCATTACATTTGTAAGGTCTAATCCCGTCATGGATTTTCTTGTGTTCTCTCAAGACCCACTCCAAATTAAATGCACGGTCACATCGATCACACTGATGTGGTCTGGTCCCACTGTGTACGAGATTGTGCCTTCGCAAGTCTTGGGTGCTAAGTTTATATCAAAATTATTAAAATTTGCTTCAAGTTTTCATATTTTTCTAACCAAACAAACCTTTTAAATTTTTTCCCACATTCTGGATATTCGCAAGCAAAGTTTCTAACTCCTCTCCCTATATGAACCCAACGGTGATATTTAAGGGGAGATGGTCCCGAAAATTCTTTTCCACAATCTTCACATGTACTTCTCTTCTCGTGGACGCGAGTATGACCGTTGAGTTTCGTCTTGGTGGGAAATATTTTATGACAAGTTCTACAAGTGAACGATATTGAGGGTGCTGCGGCCGTATCACCTTGTTGAAACATATAATACCATTTCATATTTTGGAAATAAGTATACTAATTTAGTGGTATTTACCTGCTGGTAAGTCTATGCCAAGTGTTTGCGAAGGATGGACGATTTCAAAACCTTCAACAACAGCGTTTCCTTCGCCTTTGACTGGGCTAAGCTTCATAATTCTTTTTCCCATCCGGTAGATATGCTTTCTTTGAAATATTGTATACAACTGCAAGGTATTAAAATTATCAGGATATTAGTTTTATTTTTAATAACAAGGATATACCGTTCTTTAAATAAAGAAGAATTTAGAGCTTGTAATAATTATCGATGATAAATCACACTTCGATTTAAACTCGCATGCGATGGAACCTTATAATTTAGTCACCCATAAGTACATAGAATATACACTATATGATGTTATGTGTTGTATTCCTGGTGGCAGCCATTTTAATAAAATGGAACCACATTGTTTAACTTTGTCATTAGAATAGAATATAAAACTCTTACCTTATTAATTATTCGACAGTTGCACAACTACAGAATGACTATTTTTACACGTAAATAACTCTAAATTCAAATTTACAATCGTTCCGATTTTTTTTACTTCCTCCAGCTGCGTTACTCGTTTTTTAGAAGAAGCCGAGTTGGTTGGTGCAGGCTTTTGAGTGATTGCTATTACACTTATTGCACGTATTGGCCTCAACTCAGGAGGAGAGCTTGTCACTGGCAGAATGATAGATTTAGATGCCCTTTGGATATGTTGTAATGCTACGAGTTAGCAAAAGTGAAGAGGAATTTATTCCATGGCCCCATTTACACCACACCCACTCAAAGAGCGAAAACACAAAAAATCCCGTTTTTGCTCATTTTAGCCATCATAAAAATCAAATTTTTTCATCGGATTTCTATCATTTTTACATTTTCATGATCCAGAACAGTTGTTTTATCAATGGTAAAACAACTGTGATGATATGATAAATTATCATATCTAATATCAAACTCAGTTTTTTTGAGATTTTAATTTTTTTGAAAATTGTCAGAAAATTTTCGAAAATACTCACAAAAATTGTAGTTGAAATTGATGTCGAGTACGATAAAAAATCAGAGATCGAGGAAATCGTAAAATTATCAAAATCTGATCAAAATTAGAATTTCGGGGGAGGGTTGAATGAGTAAAACCAGTGTCTTTTGCTAACTTACCATTGGTAAGTTACCAAGTATATCCAAAGGGCATCAAAATCTGTGATTCTGTCGGTGACGGCAAGCTCTCGTAGAGCTGCTCTCCTCAACTCAATACTCCTCGACGGCTCGACCACACTCTTGCAGCATGAATGACACGTAATGCATAAAGTTCACGAAATCATCGAATTAATTCTACCCTATTATTGTTTCTATTTATTTAACTCGAGAAGTAGATAAGGTTTCATTTTAGGGTTCCATCCACACGAGGGTTTGGTGTAGAAAATTACAAATAGTTTAAATATTTCTGAAATGATAAAGTTTGTGTGACTAATTGCATGTTGCATGAATTCCATTCCGGTTGTTTCATTTTCATTCATTGATATGCATAATACATGTGTAGGTGCATATGTACATATACATACGTACACGCCAAGAAATGTATGGAAGGTAATGTTATTAAAGGTGAAAACTTATATTATAGATATATTATAAACATATTTATCATTTCACATATAACTTGATGCTAAAATTACGGATAAGAATCACAAAGATAAGTTTCAGATTTTTTCGTCACATTTCGTCACCTATACCTTTCCCGATCAATTTCGAAACTTTTTCCCATCCACTCTTTGCATGTTCCGTCCATAACTCTTCCCCAAGCGAGGTTGACATTAGTTCAGTAAGAATACGCATAAAGTCCTAAAATAGGTGAAGAATGAAATACTTAATTACTTATTTGAATTTTGAAAGTCTTCAACATGCATAAAATCTGCATAAAAATTACCATAAAATCTGCTTGAACAACTCCATGTCGTTTTATATGATTCTCCCCTATTTTTCGTATCATCTCATCAAACATGTCCTCATCATCCAGCGTAGTTAGTAAAGAGTTCAGGGTGGACACGGCCGTAAAAGTGTGGGCTTGAAAGCGTTTGTTTTGTGGTAGTTCGTCCAGAGGAAGGGAAGAAAATCGCTGAAACTTCATCTGATGATGGGGATATGCCCGAAAGAAGCTATGTAAAAAATGTTGGTACAAAAGTGTTATGCTAAATGGCAAAGATTTTATTAACTCTTTAAAATTAACGTTTTTTTGACAAACCTCATAAAAGCCTTGACAGAATTTCCCTTCAAATCTTTTGCTATTTCTGACCATGTTAATTCAACGGCCGAGGTTTCCTCTGGTGTTAAATTTATCATCTTGTGATGCAAAATGAAATGATTAGATTGTGTTGTGCAGCTGATTTGTTTAAGTGACCAGTTACAGAGAGCTAATAACTTACAATTAGCTTCTTGATGGACAAACTAGTTCTAAAGTGTTGCTGGTGTTGGTATATATGTAAAAGTGTGTGCTTTTTGTGCATGTTATTTATCACGTATACTTCTCGTGCATGGACGTCATTTCATTATATTTACTATTTATTCTTCATATAACACAGTCTGTGAGCTGGTGACAATAAGTTTAATCTTATGATCAAGTTATATGATCTTACGAGTACAGAAATTTCAAAAAAAAGTAAACTTAATCTGTGTCAAGCTCTGCAGAAGGCAAAAGTCTCAAATTCCCATACTTTATACTTTTGCGTATGGGTAACCGTATGTAAACTCACAACTTACACACAACAACCACCTACGCAAATTTTCTCCCACACACTTTCGAGACTTTCCTTTCTTCTCCCGTTTCCGACTTGCTCTCCTACTTTCTCCGAAATTCTCCACAGTTTCCTTCCCTCCCACGTAATTGAAACAGCTGAGATATAATTCTAGTCTGGCCCACCAAAATGAACTTGACATGTCGACACCAATCACAAACAATGGCGATGAGGAGGGCGGACCGCCTCGTCGACAAACCCGCTTCGTCACTTGCATCGTAATCACGCAAGCGGTAAGATATTATAAATTTACTGCGATAAATTTAAATCCATCGACAATTTGTTGAATAATTGAGTAATTGTTGCAGCTAATTCTGATATTTTTCGCTGTTTGTATCGCCTACATGCATCTCAGCGTCGAGACGGCGTACGAAACAGAATATGTTGAAGATGAACCTAGCAGTGGGACAGAAATTTTTGTGCGTGAAATTTATCTTATCTTACATTTTATAATCTTAACGTTTAGCTAAACCTGTACAATTCATATGTAATTCGTTTTTAGGCGCTGGATCATTTCCCAGGCTTTCGGTTTTCTTTCACCGGATTAGTGCTGTGCTTGATACTCACAGAAGTTGTGCTCAAGAAGGGAAATGTATGTTGTTTAATTAAAACGTGTGGTGTGGTATGCTTACATAAAACAGTGGTAAAATTAATTAAACTGAGCTTATGATTTTATTCTATGCAGGGGACTCGGTGCGAAGGGATATTTACTCTGATACTGCTTATAGCTTCTTCTATCCTATTCTTTTACATCCAATTCTACCAACATAAGCATGACCGGTTTTTATCCGAATTTGGAGATAAAACTCTGAAGATCATCTTAATTTGTGTGTATTGCCTCTTCATTCTGTCCATTGTTTCCTATTACCTTGTCAAGACTTCAAGACTGTTGAAATAAATTATTATTACTGTTGATAAATGTGTCATAAAGTATTAACTAGTATTAATGCTTCTATTATATAATTAATTGATTCATTAACCCATTATAAATAGAAACGCATTGCTAATTTTATGACTGGATAAGTTTGCATGTCGCTTTGAAATAGGCGTGCCCCACAGATTAATCCGGGTTTTATGTATCAACGTCACATGTTAAATGGATCAATTAAATGTATTGAAATATAATGGACATTTATGTATTAAAAGATACCTGACCAACACAATAAAGCCAATTTACATAAATCAGTACTTTTTGCAATTGCATGTCAAATGTATTCAATACGAGTCAACTACAAAAATATTTTATGTTGAATTGTGGCATGCTATAAGACACACATAATGGATGCTCAATGGGACCTCAATGGGAACTGAAAATGAAAGAACTCGGAACCATTATAAAGCTGCTAATATCAAAATTATTCTTCCAACGATTGTCACAATTCTAATGCACAATAATTCTTTCAAATCTAATAACTTTTGTCCTTTTTTGATTCCCAGTGAACCTTACATGAGATGCAATTAAGCATTTCACGAAGTTTAAATATGTAGATACAAAATGATAAGGTATATGTATTTGAAAGGAAGTGTGACGATATCAAATCATGCAATTCGCTCACCTAGTTTATTATATAAGGAAATCCATGCAACGACTTTATTACCTTTTCAACGCCTAGATAATTGTGCTGACGGCACACATTTAGGATGTCTCCGAAAATTTGTAAACTGTTTTTCGTATTTCTCATCATAGGAGTTTTTGATTATTCCGAAGCTCAAGGTTTGTACAACAACTAATTTATTAAAGTACAACAATTTCTAATAATAAAATACTTATCAATGATGATATGTACCTGATTGGACTTAATCAGCCAAGAAAAAGGCCGGAAATGGTGGTGAGAAGAAAGCAGTAGGAAATAAGCAAGGAAACAAATACAAAAATGGACCAGGGACGACGATTTTAGATCCACAAAAAAAATGGCCAAAGGGAAACGTTTACTATGAACTGAATCCTAGTTTCGGTGCGTTATCGATTGCATTTACAAATCTCTCATGCTTTTATTGAAAACTACACCAAATATTTGTTAATTGCTAGTATTAAATTACTATGAAATGAATTTTAGAGGATAAGTACCATCCGTTATTGGCCCAAGCTATAAACCACATTGAGGGCCGGACATGCCTGCGTTTCAGGCAGAGTAAAGAAGCTAAAGACCGTATCGTAATAAAGAACGCTGGAGACAAGTCATGCACTTCCCCGATTGGAAGGCAAGGGGGTCAACAAGAAATAGTTCTTGGGAAAAACTGTAACCAAATTAAAAAGGCATTAAATCATAATCATCATCCATCATTTCTTGCATTAAATTGGTTGTAATAAATGTTCTGTTCTTAAAGTTTATGCACGAGTTATTGCACGCTTGTGGATTTGCCCATGAACAAGGAAGGCAGGACAGAGACGAATATGTAAAAGTGTTTTTCCAAAATATTAAAGACGGTATAATCCTGATACTTTGCTTATTTTATTCATTTGGCAACTTAGTCGTTTCTTTCACGATATTTTCACAGAGTCCAAATTTGCTTTCGAAAAAGCAGACGAGAAGCATTTTGGTGGATTTGGTACTCCGTACGTTGATTTATTTATACTTTCATTTATTTACTTATATTTGTTATAAATATTTCGATTATAATAGGTACGACTACAAAAGTATTATGCACTATGGAAGAAAAGGATTTAGCAAAAATGGAAAAGAAACGCTGGTAGGTCATCATGCATAAGAATTCACAACCTAAATACTAAGATAAAATCTACAGGCATATGTTGATAAACATTATGAAATTTTTAAATCATTAATTTAGATCCCAACAAAAAATCCAAAAGCTGATATCGGGGATGTGGACAAAATGAGCAGATACGATATTGAGGATGTCAATAATTTGTATTGTAAAACTGTGCGGAATGCTTGCTTCAAAAGCGCTAGTGGCGGGGTACATATTTTTAACATAAAATTCGTAAAATTATTTTTCTAAGTGAAAATGCGTTACTAAATATTTATTCAGTTTATGAACCTCAATGCAAAACTAGCCGGAGATGGAGTTCAAGTGATAACCAAACCAAAAATGAATGGGGTGACAGCAAAATGGACCTTCGAGGGTTCTGATTTTTTTGGAAAGAAAGGTAGTGAAATCTGGAGTTGGGCTCAGACTGGAGGTGGGGTTAAAGTTTTAACTGAAAACTTGTCCAAGAACGCTGTTATTGTTGCGGTAATGCAATACCAACCAATTTGATAGAAATCCTATTGCTCATTATTTTTTTCGCATTTTAAATATTGTGATTGCAGTCGAGCCAAGGGAGTCAAAATCAATTGTGGTTGGGAATGAACGTTGGTAAAGGGAAAAATGTAAAATATCTCGTGAAAAACTTCAAGTCTGGAAGATGCCTACAATCTACGAAGGGGTTTGCACAGACATAAATCATTAGCATGTTGAAGTAGCATGATTGTAAAAGTTTGCTTTCTTAACACAGAAATGACCAACTTAAAACTGTCAAATGCAACGCCAAGGCACAAAACCAACTATGGACATTCCCGACTGTAGTCCCCTAATTATTTGTTGTTTTCAATACAATAATAAATAATCAGAAATCCAGAAATCTGTGTCAATTTTAATCTTTTACTAAATAAGTACATTTAATAAGCTTAATTTGAAATTATCTGTGACCTACAAAAACAGAACTTATTAAGTTAAATAACCTTAACCTGAGCCTGGAACCGTTCGACGATCAGAACGAAAACGCTGATCACAGATACTACTGCAAGCCCCACGAACAACGTAATTACAGACGGAAATGGTAATGCTCGTAATGGGGGATCTTTTTCACAGTGTGGAGCATAATCACCCTTGTATTTCCAATGTATCTTGTTGTTCCGAAAGTGAATGCCTCTTTCAAACATTGTGATTAGCCTGTTAAAAAAATTATATTTTCACTTCTTTCACACAACTAGGTTTTCATCATCAATTTCCGAAATTACCCAGAATTCAAAAATTCAATATATTGTGAACCTCTCGTTGCAAACCCACTCAAGAGTTCCATTTTAACTGGCATTTCTATTTTTGCCAATATTGCACATTTATCTGCATCGTTCCCAGGAAGCATTTCATACACGTCCCATGGCGAGATGAAAGCGTACTTCCGTTTTGTTCCAAGCACTTGGCTGACATACTCTTTATTATTTGTATTGAATGGTAATATCGGGTCAATGTTGGCATGAATTTTTTGGTACGCAGTCCCAAATTGAAATGTCAACTCCTGAAAATTAGTCAATAAATATTTACACAGATTTAAAATTCGTATTAAAATTTTACCATTTCATTTTAAAATTTTATCTATAACCTTATTCATTCTTTCCAAATTGATGTAAGAACCAAATTTAAAATGCAGCCTGATAAGATCATCAATTGTTTGGATATTTTCGGAATTAAATTGTAAGAAATTTATTAAAACCGAGTTAAAGTTGCAAAAGATTAGGAGGCAGAATGCATATAGTGCAATCTCCCCAATTTTTCTTGACCATGGGACTGGGAATCCTTCATTGTCATCATTGTCGTTAATCGGGAGATTGAAACCTAAATTTTTTTAAAGGTTTTCTGTCTATCCTTGTTGACTATATGTATATGCGAATATGTACCTATATGATTAAATACATATGTAGAATACACATACCCTGCTGACAAATGTTGGACAGAATGAAAAACATTGACCAAGAAATTTCAAAACTGCAGAAGACAAAGAAATATCCGAATAATGTAAGCATTCCAAACACACATATCCAAGCATTTCCGGATAAAGCTCTCGTAAATAACCCAGAGGACTGATATCTTGCATCGGCATGAAAGTAAACTTCCGACCTTCATACATAAACAACAATGCTTTAAATATGGTTCCAATCATTAATACAGATTGAAATTTATTGCTAACTTTGTGTAAGCAAAGACGTGTAGAAAACGAAATTTTGTTGCCATTGATGCATTCAGTAAAGCTAAACCAATTCCAAACTCGGCTTGTCCCGAATACACAATTTCGAAAGGGTCAATGAGATTATAATCCTTTGGCGTTACAGATACTCTACAAAAATGTAGAATTTATGTAGCTCGAGATGTGACAACTAGTTTTTCTTGGTGTCATTATAAAAATGTTAATATTCTTACGTCATATTTAGATAATCAACTAGGTAAGCGAAAACATGGTTGTGAAGAAGCCTTGCAGCAGTATATGTCGGACTTGGTGGAAATCCAGTTACAATTTTGTGCCCATTTTCATAGTAAAATGTAGTGTTATAATTCTATAAAGATTAACCCCTTATGATTAAGAAACTCGCGTATATATGTATGTATATATACACTATATGCATGTAGGTCGTACAGTAAAAATATCTCTCGGTTCAAAGCTGACACGAAAATGGTGTTTTCGAAAATTCTTCCGTCGGATTAATGAATCAAACCTAAAGTTCGGATCATCACCAACGGGGAGGTAAATTATTTCGTCGAGTATGAAGTACATCTCAACGATTGTAGCGATTTTTAATGAAGTCATGTAAATTTGAACCGCTGGCCCAAGATTTTGAATCCTTCGTTTACACTCCGGTTGCAAAGGTGGTAATTCCAAAGGGAGTTCTACTTCAATTTGAAGAATATGAACTGATCCTTTCTATCAATAATAGAGATTTAATAGTTTAATTTTAAACAGGATGATTACATAATTCGGCCTGGTTCTGGTCTTATTAATGTTACATACATTGATTTTTGACAGAGCGTCACAAATGAGGGAAGTATTCGTAACCTGCGATATGAATAAGGTTGGAGTGAGTGTATCATAGTTTTGGTCTGCATTGACCATTGTTACGGAACACTCTCGGTTTAAAATTGCGTCAATACTTAATGGTTGACTAAACTTAAAAATTTCATTTATATCGTGAATATCAAGAGCCGAGATTGAATTTTGAAATGATGATGAGAACATTATCCCAGATTTTGAGGGAAGGTTTTCTCCTATGGCTAGATGAAAAGTCACTACAATGAAAAATATATATGACCTTGCCCGAAACATCACGGTTTTGGGTAATATTATAGCCTGATATTCAGGTAGGTCAATTTGGCGAGAGAGTATATTGAAAACTGGGTCAAACTAGTCCATTTTCATGGGTAAAATTAATACGCATGTGTTTTCTTTCATCGAATTTGTCCAACATTCCAAGGACTTCCAATTTTAAATGTCACCTGCCACTTTTGGAGTGACAATTACAATTATAATTGACAACATGTAAATTAATTGTTACGTCTACACACAAATACCTATGCCTCCAATATGTCAATCCTTTATGAATCAATATTTGTAAAACGCATAATTCAGCACACACATGTGCTTATGTATTTAGCTAGAAATTCTGAGATTAGAATATTAAACTAGAAGCATTTGTATAATCAGCTCATGAATAAATAAATAATCCAAACTGACCATTATCACCAAGATTAGCAATTCACACGCACCTGTTCTTTTCAACAATAATCGCATGTGGAATTATCCAGGACAGAATGCGGATTACCGAAGTATAAGAAAGGCACAAGTCATGCTGGATGCAGCTATAATTTTTCGAAATAATAATTTTTCGAAATGTTTTCCTTGCTATTAAGAGTTACAATTCTAACTGTGGTGATTTCTATTGCAGAAAGTCATCGTCATGTGGCCTACAGTCATGACGAATCCTTGCCAACTTTTCGTGGAAACTGGATGTCCAACTTATCCGACAGCACTTATCTTCATAAACTGTCATTAGCTGGAACTCACGATAGTATGGCATTTTATGGGGGATTCACTACACAAACGCAGTCGATTCCTTTAATGGACCAATTGGTGGGTGGTATCCGGGTATTAGATATTAGATGTCGACATTATGAAGACTCTTTTCCCATACATCATGGATTTATATTTCAAAAAACTTATTTCGGCACTGTTTTAAAGGTAATGCATATCGAAAATAAAATAATATAGGAAAAGAATAATCAGAAACCTGACAAGTGGATTTGTTACAGACGATTGTCGAGTTTCTTGACAAATATCCCTCGGAAATGATTATGATGCGCTTCCGAGACGAGTATGAAGAAGGAAAGAATACAAAAACCTTTTGGGAAATTTATGATGAATATGTTGCTCCGTATAAAGCAAAATATTTGTGGACCCCAACAACTAACCGACCTACGCTGGGCGAAGTCAGAGGAAAAATCGTGCTTCTAGACGACTACACCAGGTATGGTTTTTAGAAGGGTGTACGTATTTACTAATTTATTTATGAGGTGGCGAAATGCTTATTTTACTTGGAGTTTTCATTATTTTAGATACAACGCTTCAACCACAAGCACTTTGGCGTCGCCATACGGCTTATACTACGGCAACAAAAACGACTTTTCTATTCAAGATGAATATGAAATATTAACAAACTTTGAATTGGGGAAAAAGTGGAAATTTGTCAAGGACCAATTAATTCTCGCAAATTCAACTGGAGGGGAAAAGTTTTTCATAAATTATTTATCTGCATCTAGCGTACCCACAGGTGAAGATGATAGCCTTATGAAATTCATGAGATTTAAGTTGATCTTATGATTTATAATTTCTAGCCGTATTTCCCTTTTTTGTCGCAAGTGGGCACATGACCGAGGGTACTAGTTCTGACCGTCTTTACACCGGATTTACTGATCCAGTGGGAAAATCAATGTTTCCAGATTTTCCAAGACTGCATTGTGTTTTTGGAATTTGCATGTACTATTTCGAGGGAACGAATATTCTCACTTGGGAATTTATTCAAAAAGAGAAGCCACGGTTTGTGGGCATTATTTATTCTGATTTTCCTGGGGACGGTCTTATCGAAGCCGTAAACAGTTTGAATTTTCAATAGTAATAAAAACATTTAAAATCATTAATACATGTATGTATGCATCAATATAAATATTTTAGAATTATTTGTCAACTTTTTATAAAATGGCATAATTAAGATTTGTAATGGCATGGTACAGGCACACGATATTCAAATTCTTGCAAAAAGACACGGTCATAAATTACTTAGTTGCTGGGTACGAAGACTTCATAGTCAGCGAGCATAAAGTGATACGCTGGTGCAAATGCAAATCCATTTATCGAATTATCTGCACGGGACGATTTTCCTTTCTTATTAATTGAGGAGGGGGCGACAATAAGATCCAACGCGGTTGGGGAAGAAGACGAGTTTGGGGTAAGCGATCTCGACCTTGAACCCGGCGAACTTTCAGATACTCCTCCAGAAGGACTACTGCCATTAACTCCACCACTTTGTTCATAAGAATGGGGAAGGTTGCTGTATGAATCGGAATTTGTACTACAATTAGAGGAAATGTAGAGATCTGCTCCAGCTCCAAAAATCGGGCCGCTGCTGCAATCACAAGAATAGTTGAACATGTACTTATTTACATTGATACATACGTATATGCATTATTTCTATCTCTATATAAACAATTATATCGCCACTAACTTGGCATCATGACACACTGCGAAATGCTTTTTCGTCACCGGAAACTGAATCGGGACACCGTTTGTGGTTGGATTCATGGCAAACAGAAACGATTTAGAGGAGGTGATGTATTTCGGCGATTTTGTACTATTCCATGGAACATCTGTGTATCCTCCACATATCCACTTGTTCTAAAAAAATATACGAAATCATGTAAAAAAAACTGCCACTGTCTTGTAAAGAATCTAATTTTTTTGTTAAAACCACACATTTTTCAGAAGCGCTAAAACCACGCTTGGTCCATCCAGACCATCAACTCTTGCGTGAAAATCCCCCGCTGCAAACCCATGCTGAGATGCACGATAAACACACTTCCAATTCGTATTATTCACTCTGGATGCCTGGGCTGAATGCCACTCTTGCAACTTTTTCCCCAAACAACTCCTCTCATTGTTAATAATGAGAGAGGAGTGGAAAAGTTTTTGAGCATTTCTCGGGGTCAGTCGCGGGTCGAGTTCTCCATTTCCGGAAAGTGATGCCTCAAATGTGGACAGTGCCGCGGTTCGATACCGTTCCAATGAGAGAGCCATTGGCACACAACCTACCATGATAAGTGAAAGAAAGAAACTGTCATATATTTCTTACTCCTATTGGACATCATGTACCCAACAAATATGCGCTTCGTTTCCTACATACCTGTGGGCTCGACCTCTTCCGCAAACACGCGAGAATGGATGAGCAAGAGTTTGACGTGCGAAATTACAGGGGTTAAATATTGCGAAACGGCGACGCGTTCTTCCTCCGTCCAAAGGGAGACGTGAGCCTCGACGCCAGCCTTGGCTTGTGCCCAGCGGAGGACGCAACGCCATACTTCTTCCTCTTCCAGACAGAGCTAAGCAAAAGCTAAATTATTACTTTCACTTTATCATTGAAATTTGTATACGTATTTATTTATATATTTATCTTTTACATGTTCCGAGTCCAACATAACTTTGATAGTTTCGACCGAAAGCGAGAGAAATACAGTATTTCGCTTTAATCCGGATGGATTGTTCTCGCTGAGGTATGTTATCGTGGTGTCCACAATTTTCTGCACTTTGAAACGCATATCTTCCCCAAGTTGACGGGGTGACGGAGTTGGAGCAATGGCTGGTGAAAGCGTTAACTTTTTTATGGCGGATTTGACACTTACTCCAGAAACTGGAATTCCATTAACCCCATCCGAGATATTTCCGTTTCCGTTCTCTTTCTCGATCAGATTTGGTTTGGAACAAGAGGGCAAAGAAAGCGAGGCCACGGCTTCTTGGAGGAGGACGAGAGCATAATTGTGGTCCATGTTTGAGATCATGACTTCTTCACAGGTCGAGGACAAGTCATCCAAACCAAAGTCGAGGGCTAGTAGGTACACAGGATAGAGCGTGAGAGGGCTGATGTTTTCTATCTTAAACTGGAGATACGTAAAGTTAGTTACAAATTGAAAGTTCAAAATCTGCAGAATTTTGTTTTATACATAAATACACGTGGTAAAACTTACCTTCCCAGTGTAAACGCAGGTGAGAAATGTGTTAAACACATCTTGAGACACGTGAGGGTAAGATGTTTCTCCTTTGAATCTTTTACATCTGAATAAATAAAATTGTGTGTACCATTATGGATGCAAATTGCATGTCGTTTAAAATAAGAAAATACATACCTGGCCTTAATAATTAGCGAATGAGCTTTAACACAATGCCCATCTTTCAAATGAAACTTTAAATCTCCACTTTTTCCTCCTTCCTGTTGAAGGGATTTCAAATCCTTGAGTAAAACTTGGATCCCTTTAATTTCCTGCGTAGATGCAGGACCAACATGAATTTCACGCTTCTCGCCATACGAACTTCCCATCTTATTTGTAATACTTTAATTTTGTATAGTGTGAAGTTAAATAAATGAATAGTTATTACTTAAAAAAATATAGGAAGGCTTTATCTACTCAAATTCCCTGCTAAAAAGTGCACATTTCTGAATATCTATTTCATAATTTGTTACAGTAAATGAGTCCCAATCAACACCTTTCACGCAGGTAACCTAATCTAGCAAAGAAACTTGATGAGCATGAAACGGATGATTTGTTGTATACTTGACTGGAACTAAACACAAAGGGACCCTGCAAAATTTTGTCGTTTTTGAAACCTGTAACTTGTACAAGCTTAGATCATAACGCATTGTTTTAGATTTTGTGACATTTTATAAATACACAGTTAGAAATACATAGGACGCAGTAGACTATTTATGCATAATTAGTATTCAAGTTTCATAAACCGTCGTCATTGTGGTCATCCTCTCTCCGCTGGAATGAAGAAAAGACAAGTTTTTCTTTAAGAAATTCCAATCCAACAATCATCTCCACCTGTAACTCGGTAATAAGCATGTAACCCGGGATGAGTAGGTAGAGGAGAGCATTGACAGCACCTACCTGACTTTTTTCTTGGAACTTTTTCATATACCGATGAATACCATGCCCTCCAGCAATTTTTGTAATAACTTTGATGGGTACCTTTACACAAGAGGTAAATATGTGCATATGTATGTATGCATAGGAAAGGGTGAAAAATTCAGATAAAATCTGATGTCTGTTTTTCATTGTGACTTTCATGTACTTGTAAACTTGCATGTTGATGAACAAAGGAGCATTTTACAATTGTGCAACACTGCAATGATTACACGAAAATTTATCATTTAGTTGTCAACGCCTCAACGGTACTAATGCAAATCAAGGAACTTGAATTGTTTGTACAAAAATTGATACAAGATGCACTTTGTGACTGTCCATTAATACATTTTTTGGGGTGTATGATGCTGCCATGTTGATTTATTTACTTAACTCCACCCTGCATTATACGTACGGCCTCATAAAGAATATATTTCCTTGTCAGTCCAGTCGCCCAATTTCATACAAACAGTTTAATCAATAATCATAAGTGCATATATCATTTAGTTTAAAAATTGTACACAAGTAACCCATAAACTTACTGACCTTGATCGTGACATGATTAAATATATGTGAATGTATATGTATGACCGAAACTAATCTTACACGTTTGGACAAAGGATTACATAACCGAAACTACTTAGGATAGGATAGCAAATCTTTCAGAGCGGTTTAAGCGGGTTGGAACACAAAACTAGATTTAGCAATAAATTACGTGCAGATGAACGTAAATGGGCATGCACGGGAGATGAAGATGATCCATTTTTATGTATATGTATAACATAGTTTGTGAAAATAAACAGTCATGTTGTTGAAATGTTGATACTGATCGGCGTGAAAATATATTTTCACAATAAGATGATTGTGCAGATACATATGTACAAGTATCCAATTTGCGACGACTCTTAAAAAAATTCTTTCAACTGGATCAAAGAATACACACGACTGGATCTCTCACCTCAACGTGACTTTGAGTCTCCATTTTTTGCAACAATTAATTGCAAACCAAAAATTGAGAGCTAGTTTGGCATGGGTTGGGTTGACGCTACCTCGTCCAAAGTGCATGCAAATATGAATATTAAGGAATTGATCTCTCCAACTCTGCCCAGTTTTCCTTAAACCTCTGATTGATCGTCGTGAAGCTTTTACCACAGTTGCTCCCATGATTCGAGAAGTTTGCATTTTCGCCCTCGTGGTTGTTGCCACCTTGGGAGAAGACGACGCCAAAAAGAAAGTTGGACTTCAAGACTTCTTCGAACCATGCAAAGCACCTTTTGTCACCGCTAATTATGATCCAAATTGGGTAGAAACACACAAATCTGCATATTAATTTTGGAACTTGAAACTCAAGGCTGTTTATTTTTTCAGGAGAAAGAACAAGACATCAATGAGAATTCGACCATGTACTTTCCCCTCTTAAGCAAGGGTGAAATGTACCGGTTTTCTCAACAGCTGTACAAAACCCCAGACTTTGAAACGTTCAAAGAGGAACATTTGGGAAATTCTTGTATCCGCTATAATCGTGATGTGACTGGGACTGTCCTGACCGTAAAGGGTTTCGATGACAAGACTTTTGTAAAATATTTAAATCCCATTATTACCGCACCAGGCTCGTTCTACTTTCCTCCAGCATTTAATCCAAGTAATATTTTCTTAAACGAGTGCACTTTTTAAAAAATATGTACATATGACTTTATGCAAGTGTAAATGATGCGGTTTTCAGGTTATGGTGGCAGAGTGTACCGTTCATTGACGGATAATAAATCATTCACGGTGTGGGTAACTTGTCACGATGATGGACTTGGATCATTTGCTGTCACATCGTCACAAAATTCTCTTCCATCCTTCACTCTCGATATTGCACGTGAACATGTCAAAGCGTTGGGGTTCAAAGAAGAGAATTTCCTCCAACAGAACTATAATCTTGACTGCGAATCTCCATTAGAGGATGTTCCCGTCATAAAAAATCTGACCCTTCCCGTCTTCCTGACAAATGTCCTTCTCCTTCCCAAGGGATATCATTCCAACTTCTTGTACACAGTGAAAAAGTAAATCCATGAAGAAATGTAATCATACCGGATAAAAATTGTCATGTAAAATATTTTGATTAAAATCTCAATTCGACCAATAAAATTTGCGTTTATACGTTATGCTCAAATTATTGCTTACTTAATTTAGCAGACGCATTAATCTTTTTGAGGATCGATAATTTCTGCGAATTTTGTGCTTCACAGCATGTGGATTTAAATACGAACATATTATTACGCCAAAGGTACACTAATACAAATAATATGTTAGTATGCACAAATGTAGAAATGTCTACATTTGGAGGGAGGTAGATGGATTTTTTGATGGCTACAGAATCGATATATTTGTGTACATGTGCATATATGCATAAATGCCAAATAATGAAATTTCTTACTTCCTTCCCCCGCTATCAATTTTCCTTAATGGATGGTTCAACCTACATATTTATCAACTTTGTGTCTAATGTTTATATAAATCAATCAGGTAATGAAATTCATTATTGACCATTAAGAAGGACAAGATGTTACTGTTTACCCCACCTTTTGCGTCCTCATCAAGAATTAATAAAAAAATTTGTCGTTTGCGTAATCTCATGTTCATGTCTACTAAAAATGTGAGAATTTGAAATTTAGGCTTTTGACTTTAATTGGGTCGTGACAGCATGCCCTGTATAGTGTAATCCAAAAGACCAGGAAACACATTTACCGATATTACCTTAGTTTTCTCCGCTATCAATTCCTGCAAAGGTATAGCATTCGAAAAAATAATCATCGAGGTTAGACGTGGACAGGCAGATTGTTTTTCCGCACAAAGGGGGTTTCCCCTGAACTAACCGAATTACTTCTTGTTTCTCTTAATGTATCACTATCAGTACATTATTACCCATCGTTATACTGAGGAATAATAATGTTTAAATTGAGATCGTTTCTAGTAGTTTTCTTGTTACACGGATTAACATTTGTGTCCGCTGATGACGACGGAACAAATAGTGCTCAGAAAGCAGTCTTAGATATCTTGTCATCAAGCAATTACTCCAAATTCGCCCGACCTGGGACACCAAGCACCCCGACGCAAATTAAAGTGAACATGCTCGTCAGAAGAGTAGAGAAAATTGACGATATTTTAGTAAGTATAATTTAAATGTAATTCAGATGTACTGAATATTTTAATAACTTAAATTCTCACAAGATGCAACTATCTATGCAATTTACTTTGCGACAAATTTGGTATGATCCCCGATTGCGATACAGCAACCTGGTAAAATCGCCCCCTTCAATCGGATATGTCACGATTGACGACTCTGCCGCAAATTCGGCCTCCTTATGGACGCCTGACATAATGTTTGGAAATGAGGCGTCCTCATCCATTCATCAAGTAATGAAGCCCAACAGCTACAAAAGAATCTTTCCGGATGGGATGGTGCTGTGGAGCACGAGGTTAACTTCGACCATGTCTTGTCAAATGGACCTCCGCTACTTTCCCTTCGATAAACCCATCTGTCCAATTATTTTAGTCCCCTTTTCATCCACAACGAAAGACATGCATCTCATGTGGGACGATGAAGGGGGGCGCAACCCAATCACATTGTCAGTTCCAAGGTACCAGAGAAGATTTTCAAAGTTTGACTTGGTAAAGTCGTCAGCAGGTAAATACATATGTATGTGCAAACGATGCGAAACTATGGTCAACTGCAATTCTAAGGACACCCTTACTTTTACACTTTTTCTTAATTATTTGTCGTGTATGTAGGAACATGCAGCACATCAGGCGTCCCGGGTTTAGCATCCATTGGAAATTTTAGCTGCATCAAAATGGAGCTGTATTTGGAACGTCAGTCTGGAATGTACTTGTCGATGGTGTATTTACCAACCTCGCTTTGCATCATGCTATCATGGATATCCTTCTATTTGTCGAAATCTATCAGTACAAGGATGAGGTGAGTCTACAAGTTGAAGATTTAAGATAGGTATGGAATTGACTATATTTATAGTTTGACGGTGACGTTACTGTTGACCATGGCCACGCAAATTCAAGGGCTTAACGATAATATGCCACAAGTTAGTTACGCGAAAAGCATTGACTGGTGGACTGGTTTTTGCATGGCATATGGCGCCCTAGCAATCTTGGAGACAGCAATCGTAGCCTATTTAATACAAGGACAAGAAACGCAAGTAGACATTCTAATGCATGGTTTGACAAAAAATAGTTATTCCTCATTGATTAAACATATCGGGGGTGAAAGTATAAGTATGTGTTCTACTGTTCTTCCAGAAAAACGCTTCGTTAAAACAATGATGCTGGACAAGGTTTCAAGGGTACTGTTTCCTGCAGGATTCCTAATGTTCATAATTTTATATACACTCATATTTGTCGTCGGAAACGAATTTATCGAGGCAACTTGACAGATTGATAATTTTGATGTGCTGCGCACCATATGAAACATTTTGAATTTATGATATTGGATTTTAATTTACCAATGATTTATTTGATTCGACATATTTAACTCATTAACATATATGCATAATTGCCATATGTTTAGCAAATTAAACATGTAAGGAGCACCAATTATTACAAATATTCACCAGTCTTCAAATAAGCTAGCAAATTTAGACAAGAAGCAGTACATCCGCTCCAAGATTTGAAATCATTGGAAGGATTCCGTTTGTCTGAACAAACTTCATATCGCAGCAGTATGTGTACCCCTTCTGGATTGTTTTTGTTGGCCAAGTCACCCACGGCAGTTGAGGACAAATGTCGGGACATTTTATCAAACTTTGAGGAACGTCAACTAAATGCGGGTTGTTCACCATGAAGATAGCTGCCGCTGATTTACTTACTGGGTTGTGAATTACTTTCCATGAAATCCTAATAATAAATTAACATCATAACAAATCCTAACAAGAATAAATGCAGTGTCGACAGAATTTTCGCGAAGTTGCTTCAGTCTTCAAGAAGCAAGCTTCCAGACTCAAGCAACCTATCTTATCAGGCTCCTACAGAGGATAAGCCTGAGAATGATGGATAAAGTAGTTAGTTATAAAAATAGTCATAAAAATCGAAAAGGTAGAAAGGCTATTTTTCAATTAGCTGATTTACGTTAAGTGGCGACTGCATGTGCAACACTTAATTGATAAGTATTATATGCAATAAATGGATCAGCTATTGGTGCATAATTTTGACTAATTGTTTCCCTAACATCAATTGACTCGTTTTCGAAACGATAAAATGCACGATTTTTTTTGTGGTACAAAGACTTTCTGTCGACACTGTGATATCAATATTTATCAACTGCTAACATACATATGTACGTATATGAAGTTCTATAATAGAACCACTAAATACTATGCCGATAATAATACTTACATTGGAACAGGAAGACGCCGATTTTTCAGAGCATCCTTTGCCAAGTAAATTTCGACATCAGTCCCATTCTCGTTCTGCATGGTCAGCGTTCCTAACCCACCCGTCCATACTTTTAAATCAATTTGTCTTTCCGTAGCCAAATCCCGAATTGCCATTTCCATCGCCTTTATGAATTAATTTTATGGATTGCCGAATTCTCATAATTTCTGATTATTCTTTTGAGATGAATATGTAATCACCTTCCAATTTCCATTGTTAATAATTTGCCACTGTGGAACGACATTGACAAAATAGTAGGTCGCATTCTGTTCATAAATATGAACGAAATCTCCATCAGGGGCTAAATGACCTCGAGCAAAATAGAATGACCGTGCTGCATCGATATAAGCAGGACCTCGGGAAGGTCCTGTCAGCTCAGTGACCACGGCCAACTGAGACTTTTGACTGTAGGCATCGTCTGCCGTAAAGGTGGGGTAATATCCACCCTCCTTGAAACTTGGGCGACGATTGGACACTTCATACGGGTTAAGGGCTGCACCATGGATCGTGTGCTGAGCAAATATCGTTTCGTCTTTTGCAGTATTGTGGCAAACATTAATAAGTGGAAAGCTGTGTAGAGAAATAATTAATTAAAATGGTACATAATTAATGTGGCGTATTGTTGTTGAGAAAAGTGTGTACTCTATAACCTACTAGTTAGGATTTTAGCTGAGTATCATAAGTTTGCAAAATCAGGAATAATGTGGTTATTTAAAGTGCAAATAATATTCCAGAATTTAATAATTGGAATTTGCATTACAATGTACGCACCTGTTTGTCGCAGACAGAAATGTGATGTCAATGTTATCATAGCCATTGTAACAAGTGGAAGCAGGCAGATGCACGACCTTCTCTTTAACTTGGTTTAGGCATCCCATCGAAGTGAAGTTGGGGGACACCAGTCCTGCCTGTTAACACGCCATTAAAAATAACCAATATTTTTGTCATGCTTTTATGAATTCACAACCTTCAAATTCCCGTATCCATCACAAGTGAGTAGGGTTTCAGGGAGGAGGAAATTCTGGAGGAGATTTGTGGCTTCCCCGCAACCAAATTGCAACGACGTTTTTGGAGTCATTTCAATCAGCCATTCGGTTCCATTATATTTCGGGTAGACAATTGAAGTGTCGTTCCAAATTAGTGGAAACCAAGCAGGCAATAAGTTTGTCCCCCAATTTAGTTGACATGAGTTGGCACTATCTCCACTTTGGAAGCAGAGAAATATTGCTGCAAATTAATTCAAGTAATAGGGAATAAATCATGGAGTATAATTCTGTAATTAAATCCCAGTCTTACCCGTCAAAGTCGAAAATAATTTGAACGTCATTTTACTGGTTTCTACAACACGCCACAGGTTAACGCCGTGACGCAAATGTTCAAATTCTCAGTATTTGAGGAGGCTTAAATAATTTGTGAAAAAATCTAAAAACATTGTATTACAAAGCGTTACAATAATTAAAATTCTTATGTAACAACATTTAAATGTTAATATACAACATTTAAACCACATGTTAGTGGACATATGTGAGTATTTAAAAAAATCAAATATGTAAACTGCAAAAATATTATTGTACATGAAAATGTCAAAACCATCTGTGAGAAAACGCATATTTTATTTTTGCATGATTTAATGAGCATTGCACCTGCACTATTGTCAGTAAAATTGTATTAATTTCTTAAATTAATATTAATGTAATCAAAGCTTAATGCGATATTGTGCATACAAATTTTTAACGCATATGTAATTTCTGTTTTGAATTTCTGAATTGAGGTTCAGTCGTCTATTCTATTACTACGAGTACATGACTTCAGCGAGCAAATCGGAACACCTAAGATAAATATGTCACGACATTTTCGGTTATGTCCCATTTTGGAGAGTCCCAAAAAATTATATAAGTTGTATGGGTTTAGTGCTTAAATTCTTACTTTCTCATTAAAAATAGCACTCTTTTTTTATGCAATGAACCACAAATTCTTTACCCCGACATGTTGAAACCATAAAATACATGTGCCCGTAGTCTGCTCCTGAAAGTATTCCAATTTTATTACCAACCAAATTCCTAGTTAAGCTCTTCCCGTAGTGAAACTAATGGTTTTCTTTTCAGCTCCTTTCATCCTCGTTCCAAAATCTAACCAAAATCTAAAATCGACACTTGGTTCTTAGTAAATATAGATCTGTGCCAAACTTTTGCGGATCCATGTACATATTGCTTACAGGTAGTGGAAAAGGTGAATGGAATATATGATCACGTAAATCCTTCAATTTCCTAAACATCTCACCCATAATGTGTCGTTGGCGTTTTACGGGACAGAAAAATTTAGTTGACACGCATATCCACCCAACACCTATGTAAATATACAATTGCGTATATTCCTTCAGTTCCAGACAGCATTTTTCCCCGATTTTTCGGTTCACTGTGCATTAAAAGCTCTCCCAAGCTAAATTTAGTACGGCTTCCGTTTATTTTTTTATTATCCTGTCCGAATCACGTACGCTTGTGTTTATTGAGGCAAAATGTTTACTTTTCTTCCCATTCCGATTCCGAGTTGTGTATCGCGAACATCAAGATTATCTTATCTCGACGGAGTGAGAATCCTTTTGTCAACTTCAATTATTTACATACGTATCTTGTGTACAATAATTTGACTCAAATTAGATTTGCATAGAATAAAATACTTATTATCAATAAAATTCGATTACAAAATTTTTACAAAAGACTGTCAAATAATATTGTGCAGAAATATTTGGGACGATACATAATAAAAACACACATACATACGTATAAGTACATACATATGCATATTTGCATACACACATAACACATACTTGCATAGTGGTTTTTGATGGCTGTGCGATTGACAAGTGGCTGACAAGTTGACAACCTGACGATATGAATAGCACGCTAACTGCCAATAATCATCTCGAGTCACAACCAACACCCAGCTCGGATGAGGGTGAAAAATCTGAAAAATGTCCCGTCTGTCAAGAAAATGCAGACAAAATATGCTCAGGTTCTTTCTTTCAAATATGCTTTCAAATATGCTTTCAATTATGTTCTTTCAAATATGTTATGTTCAGGTTGCTCATCCGTCTTTTACTGCTCCACCATTCATCAGAAAGAGCATTGGAAAAATCATAAAGAATCCTGTCGTCCCTATGTAATAAAGAAAAATGAAGTTTATGGCAGGTATTTAGTCGCTGCGAGGGATTTACCCCAAGGAACAATTGTACTGACTGAAAGTCCCCTCGTCGTTGGACCAAAAAGGACTACATATCCGGTCTGCCTGGGTTAGTACGTACATACATATGTATAAATAGCTGTTAGAAATTGCTAATGTTTAAGCACACATACATACATTTTCCGTCTAGGATGCCACCAGCGAGTGGACTGTAGTTACCACTGTTCCAAATGTGGGTTTCCAGTTTGCAATGAGAGTTGTGAAAATGTGGGTAGAAAAAGTAAACCATAAAATCATAAAGGAAGTTATTGTTTATACATAAAGTCGCAATTTGGTTTCTAATTTTATCTAGAATCCAAATCATTCTGAAAACGAGTGCCCCATTTTCCAGAAGGGCCATTCCATCGGATCTCGCATTACAGACCCTACCTCATGCCATCCCGCCTATGAGGCGGTGACCCCACTTCGATGCATTCTCCTGAGAAGTCGAGACCCTGCAAAATGGGCTAGGTTAAATACGATGGAACATCACAATGAATACCGTAGCACCTTAACCACTCTGTGGAACAGGAATGAGGTCAACACGCTTAAACTTATCCGAGAGTGGTACAAAATGAAGGACGAGTACGACGCCGAAACTATTCACACTTGTATTGGATTTGTAGATGTGAACTGTTTTGAGATCAAGTATCAAAATATTGAGTACGTTGTTTTGTTGAGATACATATGCATGAATATTTCCAATTTATGTAAGTCTTCCAATCTGTTAAAACGATCTCATTTGTTTTTGTCCGTGCAGAATTTGCGGTCTGTATCCAGAAACCTCTCTCATGGGACATGACTGTGTCCCAAACACGGTACACGCCACTACCACGGGCCCCAGCTTTCGTATGATTGTTCGGACTTCTCTTCCAATTCGAAAAGGGGAAATTATCTCTACATCGTACGTAGACGCATTAAAAACGACCACCAGGCGAAGAAAATTTCTAAAGAATACCAAGTATTTTGACTGTTTCTGCCCAAGGTGTAAAGATCCCACAGAATTTGGCACTTTTTTATCTGCCATGAAATGCGGACAATGTTCAAGTGGATATTTATTACCAAAAAATCCTGTCGAAATTTCGGGATCTTCGCCAGATCTGGACCAGGTTCTGTGGTACTGCACTTCCTCATCTTGCAGTAATTCGGTCAAATATGGAAAACTTGCATCAATTTTAAACAAAGTTGAGAAAGAGATTGAGTCGGCGGATAGCTGTGGCGTGGGTTCAAGAATTTCTAGGTTGGAGCGGATGCTTAAAAAATTCAGTGGTAAAGTTCTACATCCAAATCATGCCTTGATGTTGGGCTTAATGAAAACGTTGACCAGAGCATATTTAAATGAGTGGAATGGAAACGAGCTGGAAATCAAGATGGAAATGATGGAAATGCTACAGAGGAAGAAAGAGCTTTGTTTACAGGTTTGACAAGATTGATGGATAATTTTTACAGGTTTTCTTATAAATAGGAGCTTTGTTTGCAGTTGTTGCATGTCCTGGATTTGGTTGACCCTGGATTGAGCAGGCCCAGAGGAGTCACGCTCTATCAATTATTTACTGCAGAGTTGCCCATCGCAAGGATTCAATTGTCTCAAGGTGAAATTACGGGGGATGATTTTATCGCTAAAGTAGACGAAATTCTGGAATACCTCACAACCACAAAAACAATTTTGGACTTGGACAGATTAATCGTGGACTACCCCACGCTCGCTTTGTCCGTCGATAAAGCGATCGATACAATGTATGAGGAAAAGTCTAGAGTGCAGGAATTGCTGAAATGATAACATATTAATTCATTTGTTTCTCTTAATGCTTATATATTTTCTACCAATCGGTTTGTCTCATGCAATAAACTTCCTTATGTACGCTCATTCACTCAGAACAATTATTATTTTTATTGCAGATAATTATTAATTTTAGCTATAAGTGACAATCGGGGGAATGTTCATTGCTGGGTTTTCCATGAAATAGTTTGCAGGTTTGAGCCAAAATCCAAAACTCCTGAAAATAACAAATTTTTTGTCAACTCATAAAAAATCTCGCAAAAACTTTAAAATACGAAATAATACTCTGCCGGCATCAGAGGAAACTCTTCTGTGCGTGGGATATGCGTTGTCCTAAAGGTGTGCCAAACAACGACATCTGCGACGTATACAATAAAGTTGTTAATAAAAAATAATTGGTCATGTAAAAGTTTAATGAAAACCTTCTCTTTCTATCGACTCATCTGGAGCGTTCCCAACCCACTCTGGTAATCCAGAATTGTTTAAATAGAACCCCCCAGGGTACATTTGCTCATCATTGTATTTTGTGACCCACACGTCATAGTCAGAGAACGCACAAAGTGGGTGGAGTGGGGAATCTTTCCTTAACAATGTACTCATCGTGTTATCGGGATGTAGTTTATATCCCATTCTGGTCCCAGAGATTGGATGCAGCTTATCTGGCACAGCGATAAGCCAAGTTCGACCCTGTTCCGGAGAAGTATTAGATCTTCCGACAGATGCTGTTTGAAGCTCTGTCGTCTTTGTGGTCCATCCATTGCCGAACGGATTATCGAAAGAACCAGTTGGTGCTACATATTAATTTTAGGGCTTCATTTGAGAATAAACTTTCACCTGCTCATCAATGACTAACCATCATCCTGAAGAATATCCACCGTATGCACAGTATTCTTAACTCCGCCAACATCAGCATCAATCCTGTACGTGAATATGTGTTGATGATAGATCGTGTTGAGGTTGGGAGCAATGACTGTCCCGTGTCTGAGGTCGGATAATTTGGGCACCCCCACAGCCACTTTGGGATTCACCACTCCATTTAATTTTACCTCCAACCGAATTGAAGCATCCTGGTGAAAGTACCAGGTAAACATGTAATCGTAATTTCCAGACGTGATGATCGACATTATTGCTAATCGGTTAGCTCGAACGGTGACGATCCGACCAGAGTGAGGTTTCCCTTTTCGCCAAAGAACGCCACCATCATCCTCAAACACACAAACAGCGTTCTTTTTCGTTTTTGGAAGACCATTGTGATAATTCCCAACCCCGTGGAAGAAGTGGGTGATCCCACGACAATCTTCGGGAGAGGAGAGCTCATTGGCGCGAATACCTAGACCGTAATTGATAAGTCAAGCTTTTATTTTTTCATGTAACTTTATGGGCGTTGCGCCCGAAAAAGTTCAGTAAATAAATTATATATACCCACCGAGTCCGTAATGTCCTAAATCTATTGGCTATTGCAATTTTTTTATAGTTATTATGCGACCACAGAAAATGGGAATTAGTAAGTACTATGCACATAAAATTGTACTGATTCATCTCACAATATTTCGATGGAATGGTGGCCTTGGATCGGCATAGATTAAATTCAGCTCAGATAAAGTTAGTTTATAGAATAATGGATGATATTTCCCCTTATCGGTGAAACTGACTGTGTTGAGGACGAGACCTTCTCGAGCAGAAAACCTATAAAATTAGCACCATAAAGAAACTACACTTAATGAGATTATTGAAATTCCCCATGTATATTTACGCATAAGTACTTACGCCACCCTCAACTTGAATCCTTGCCATTGAATCTGACTCCCACTCACGCGAAAATTGACCCCTTCTGGTTGGAAGACATGTACCGGTTTCACTCTTGGTCTGTATGATTCCCACGGGCGGAGGAGTGGGTCATATTGGTGCTCTGCTCGAGACGACAAGGGACGACCCAGTAAGGTACGATTTGTCCCGTGGTACACGGGTAGATCCTGAATTTCCACAACTTTCTCCAGTTGTACGTCCACAATTGCAATGAAGTTCACAGGATGGGCTGTCATTACGGATTGATGAACTTAATGTTTTATAACTATTTATATTAAATATTTGATAAAACATTATGCAATGATGATAACCATAAAAGTTGTCTTGTTCAAAATTTCTTAGGTAGAACCAGACTTGGGCAATTCGTCTGTTCTTATACGCCGGATTTTCATCGTTGTAGATGTAGAACCTGTATATTCATAAATATGCATAAAGTCCATACAAATTTTGCATCAATTTAATTTCACTCTCACCAAGGATCACTAGAAACTTCAGCAGTAATGTTCTTAACACCCAACTGCTTAAACCTTTCCTGTACTTTTAAATCGCTTAGAGCCATTTGTGGTATGATTTCCCCTTCTTCGTTAATTGCAGTCATGGGTTGAAGATGAAGTTCTCTTGGCATTTGAGTCCAACTATCGACCTTCCCTTTATCCAGATCCACCACCACTTCGTAAACGTCTCCGCCATTATTAAGGTCAAACAAGACGGTGTGTGACCGTCTACAAATCTCGCCTGGCCCCGGGGCTTCATCGCGTAAAAAGAATGGAAGCAATTCGGCCTTCTTGGGCTCTTTGAGCAGAATTGAAGAAATTATGAATCGTCCGGATGGAACTTTTTGTTGAGCTGTGGATCTCACAAGGTTCGCTGTTAAGTATACTTCATCCGGTGTGATGGTATCAAGTGGGTGCAGTGCTGTAAATGAGGTTATGCTGTTATTATTTAGAGTGACCGTCGACTAAAATCTTTTTTGAGAAGGACGTCAGGCAGAGATTACCGTCTTTTCCTTGAACCGATAAAATAACAAAGCTCCACAACGAAATTACGATCAACATCTTGCACCAATTACTGGAGGTTATGTACCCACGGAAGGGTAATATGTGTCGTACGCCTAAACCGGAAAAGTGTGTCAGGAAATAAAGCTAGATTGTGTAATGCGTGTTCTCGTGCATATTTGCAAGTCAATCATACAAAGGAACCCGTTGTCACCATTGTGGTTAACATCCCCTCAACATGTTTCTAATTGAGGTTGGGTAGTATTTAAATAGTATGCATTTATGAAAGAGAGAGAGAGAGAGTTATGGGATGTCGTGCGTGCATATTTTTTACATTGTAGCACGAAGTAGCAGCACAGCGGGGGATATGAAACAGTGCCCCCCGGAACTACTTATTTATTAATTGTTTTCGGAAGTAAGTCAAACATGCTTTGCCTGGGTTTCATGAATTCATTACCATCGCATGAACACTAGCCACGTATAATCTATGCTGGTCTTGAATAATGCTTCTATTCTTGCTGGGAAACAAATAATTTGCCAAACTTCAAAATATTCATTAAAACCTGAAAAGGTCTTAAACTAGAATGTATGCAACAGTTTCATGGATTTGGATATTAATTTATACATAAATATTAGTTTGGCCAAAATTTGCCTGTGAGAAACTATCCACTGTATAATAATGTCCATAAAATGTCTTGTTTGCAATGATAATTTCTAAAGTAAGAAAGTAATACTTGTGTGCATACACCGTTTGTTGTGAAATCAATTTTATTCGCATATTTACTAATTTATTTTTTGGAAATATTTAAATGCTGTATAACGATCATTCTGTTATCCTACATATCTTTAGTAAAGGGCAAGATAAGAAATTAGAACAATTAATGCCCGCCCTAAACATCCTGACATGGATGCTCCTGACTCTGTTGTAGAGGGCGAAGTGACCACAGTTGTTGGGGGCGAAGTGACCACAGTTGTTGGGGGAGAGGTGACCACGGTGGTAGAGGGCGAAGTGACCACGGTTGTTGGGGGCGAAGTGACCACAGTTGTTGGGGGAGAGGTGACCACGGTGGTAGAGGGCGAAGTGACCACGGTTGTTGGGGGCGAAGTGACCACAGTTGTTGGGGGCGAAGTGACCACAGTTGTTGGGGGAGAGGTGACCACGGTGGTAGAGGGCGAAGTGACCACGGTTGTTGGGGGCGAAGTGACCACAGTTGTTGGGGGAGAGGTGACCACGGTGGTAGAGGGCGAAGTGACCACGGTTGTTGGGGGCGAAGTGACCACAGTTGTTGGGGGCGAAGTGACCACAGTTGTTGGGGGAGAGGTGACCACGGTGGTAGAGGGCGAAGTGACCTCGGTTGTTGGGGGCGAAGTGACCACAGTTGTTGGGGGAGAGGTGACCACGGTGGTAGAGGGCGAAGTGACCACGGTTGTTGGGGGCGAAGTGACCACAGTTGTTGGGGGAGAGGTGACCACGGTGGTAGAGGGCGAAGTGACCACGGTTGTTGGGGGGGAGGTGACCACAGTTGTTGGGGGAGAGGTGACCACGGTGGTAGAGGGCGAAGTGACCACGGTTGTTGGGGGGGAGGTGACCACGGTTGTAGCAGTATTGGTGGTCATTTCTTCGCAAGTCTCAAATGCTAAGCTATCACCCCAGTCCAGCCTCATTGATGTTCCTCTCGGGTCATTGAAACAGGGCGAATTCTCAATATCCCATTTTAGACAAGCTATTAAATGTGAATTACAATGTTTAGCTAATTTGGCCATTTACGTATGCATGAACTAGTGCGATATACTCACTATATTCCTCATTGACCAATTGGCTCACAGAACAATCCTACAGTACAAAAGAATATCATTCATGCATACGTATTAGTGTTTTTGTTCCATTATTTCAGTCGTAATATGTTTCTTAAGCTCACATTGATTGCATAATTAATAAAACAATGAATGTCAACTGCGACAATTCCACCCCAAATAAGATTAAAAATAGCTGTAAGGACTGCTCCAATGTCACCGGGTCCGTTTATCAATTCTGTATGCGTTCCATCTGCAGCGATTGTTTCAACCAACCAGTCAGCAGACCAAACAATTTCAGGAATATGCTTATCCCAGTTGAGCTGCGTAAGCATCAATTTTTCATAAAGTGGAAAGGCTTTTGCCTCTGCAAAGAGTGAGAGGAAATAATCTTCTGACTTCAGCTGGCCATTAGTTGAGCCAATATGAAAAGTGACATCTTTTGTTGAGTCGGTCTTATCGGTAATAATCAAATTGATGTCGTAATCAGCAATCATTTCCAGTAATGGAAGAGATATCTTCCAAAACAGCACGACTGCCCCGCTAGGCATGACTTTGAATGTGAGGAGATCTTTTAGAGAGTCCAGTCCTGAGGTGACCATTTCCTTGCTGGTCAGATTGATAATAAACACATTAAGCATTACTTGATAAAAGAAATAAATATCTTATCTTTTATCAGACAAGTGGGTAACAAATTGGAACTATGACACAAAAAATTAATTATGTTGTGTCCATGCAATTGAATAATTTCAACGTATGTAGGTAAATAGGTACAAATGGACCCAACTTGGATGTGCTCAGATGTATGTATGTACAATGTAATGAAGGGCAATGATTTTAAATAATTACTTGAAATCAATTTTGAGGTCCACTTTTAGATTTGGGAGGTCGAGTAAAGTTGTCTCTAATGTTGTTGGCTTGTAGCAAATATAATCGGGAAAGGGATAACCAGGGAGAAGCGGAAGTAGTGGGAAGGCTGGATTTTGTAAGTGGCGAAAGTGATTGGAAAGTCTGTTCGACACTGCATGAATAATCTCCTTTCTTGATGCTGTAAAGAATTAGAGTATTGTTTTTTTTATGCAATTAGTCTCATGTTTCAAGTTATAACTAATCAAGACAAAAATTACAAAAATACCGTTCTGAAGAAGTTCTTGAACTTGAAGTAAATTCGAATCTTTTATGACAAACCCGGAGCACAGACAATTTATCAATTGCAGTGAAATGAATGCGAATAAAATGCCTGATTTCGCCATGATTTTAACGATCTTAAGTTTCAGAAGTAGCAAGTTTTCTTCTCGGACTTGCTGGATGGGGATGAAAAAAACACTGCTTTATTGGGGATGCAGGTCGGGTGTGTAGAAGATCTATGTAATTATTGGGTATGCACCTCTCAGGAAATGTCACACAGTCGTATGACATGTATGACATTGATTATTAAGTGGTATGGAGTAATCATTAGCCATGTTAGTCTTATCGGGAATAAATGACAAAACTTGACTTATTACAAAATGGACATCCATTGTGAGTGTGCTATCAAGTAAGAATGCACATCTACAGATCTGTACTGGACATACAGATACGTGCGTATGTGAATATCGATTGTCGTACTTATCGACAACTTCAGTTTTTATCAAACCTCTTGAGTGTAATGCTTTATGTACATGCAAGTTCTGGAAATGTTAATTTCAGGCGTCACCAACAAGTACATACATAAATCTTCGAGAAAGTAATGTGATATATGTATGTACATATATTCGTGTTAAGAAATAAAATCAATTCTGCCGTTGAATAATTTTCGCAAAAGTTTTAATTTACAAAATTATGAAACCTCATATACATTTTGTAAAAGTTTATCGTCATTGAAGTTTTATATAATTGAATTTTAGCACTTTATCATAGGCAGAATAAGAGAGTGAAAAATGCCAATAAATAATAGCATTTAAAAGATGCTGTGGGAGGAGCCCCGGAATAGTGAAACGTAGTTGTGGGGATATTAGAAACCGTAGGAAAATTTGTTGTAGTTGTTCTTGGAGTGGTGCTAGAACGGGGTGGTCTTCGTGATGTTGTACTGGAAGGTTGCAAGGTCGTGGGGACTGATGAAGATGGAGTTGGAGTTGAGGTCAAGGTCGTGGGGTTTGATGAAGATGGTGAGGTCAAGGTCGTGGGGTTTGATGAAGGTGAAATTGTAGAAGTTGATGAAGACACTGGTAGTGTGCTAATGGGCGTGGTACTCAAATCAGTAGTTGTATCCGTTGTTGAAGTTGACGAGGTAGAAGAGGCGGTAGGTGATGAGGTAGTTGGTGAAGTAATTGTAGGCGAAATTGTTGAAACAGTTGTAGACATTGTAGGCTCCGTCTCAGGTTCTTCAGTAGTTGCAGTGGAACTTGCAGGGCTTGTGCTGGGTTCCTCAGTCTCTGTAGTTGGACTGGTGAGGTCTTCTGTTACTGTAGTTGGACTGGTGGGGTCTTCTGTCACTGTAGTTGGGTTACTCGTGGGGTCTTCTGTTACTGTAGTTGGGTTACTCGTGGGGTCCTCTGTTACTGTAGTTGGGTTACTCGTGGGGTCTTCCGTCACTGTAGTTGGACTACTGGTGGGGTCTTCTGTTACTGTAGTTGGGTTACTCGTGGGGTCCTCTGTTACTGTAGTTGGGTTACTCGTGGGGTCTTCCGTCACTGTAGTTGGACTACTGGTGGGGTCTTCCGTCACTGTAGTTGGACTGCTAGTGGGGTCTTCCGTTACTGTAGTTGGGTTACTCGTGGGGTCTTCCGTCACTGTAGTTGGACTGCTAGTGGGGTCTTCCGTTACTGTAGTTGGACTGCTAGTGGGGTCTTCCGTTACTGTAGTTGGACTGCTAGTGGGGTCTTCCGTTATTGTAGTTGGACTGCTAGTGGGGTCTTCCGTTATTGTAGTTGGACTGCTAGTGGGGTCTTCTGACACTGTGGTAGGACTACTTGTGGGTTCCTCGGGTTCCTCTGTCGATGAAGCTGAGGTAGGTAGGTCTGTCGTTATAGTTTGAAGCATTACTTCCTGTGCATCATTTAGCAGTTCACTTTGTTTTACATTGTCATTTCTCCAAAATTTATCATTCAATATTGATGCAGATGTATTTCCTTTTTCCTTGTCCTCAACTTTAAAGAGAAAGTGAAAGGCCAATGTATATAACACAAATACAATACACATGTTTGTATGCTGCATGTCAATTACACACTTAATTGGAAAACCGAAATCATATCGTCTAATGTACATACCCCAGGCTTAATAGAATTTGCAAATATTTTACCCATATTATTAAAAGCTACGCATATTGCATATTGCAGAACCACAAATACTGAACTTACATTCTCGGGATCTTTTCAAGTTTGCACCTTCAATTATATTTAGTGTCGTAATTAAAAATATAAAAAACGCCCAAATATGTAGACTGTTCATTTTGTAAAATATTTGTAATTCTAACTATTTATATATTTAAGTATCTATCTATGAATAAGTAATAGCTCGGATCAAGAAGGACCTGTGTGTGGAAAATTTTAATATGGGATATATAGTTATGAATCAATTGATTCGTGGTTTTTGCGTGGGTTATTTACTTATCAAAGTTACATATTTTTGCAGATAATGTCACATTTCAAAAGATTGTACGTCATTAGAAATATCTTATATTATTAGTCACCGACTAATGCACATATTTATAACATACGTATGTATTAATATTGTATAAATATAGTGTATGGTGACCCATTTAATAAACATTAATGTCATTGTCAATCTTCCTGGTAATCTGAGTACTGGATGTTATGCGACATTCTGGATTATTTGATTGATCACCGGTTTCACCATATTCGCCGTTTGGAGAAACATTCAGCAAATTGTGATGGGTTTACGCGTTATGTACATACATCGATGTGATGTGATCGCCGGTAGTCCAGTGGACAATTTATTATCGATAGCATAAGTATTCTTTAATCAGAGCACATATACGTATGACCGTAAGAAAAGCATTGGATTGAATCCAGCAGTAATGGAACATCCTGATCTTCAGGATTTTCCAACTTTGGTGTTCACATACCTTCTGATCCGACAACTATTAGATAAACAACGATGACATTTAGATAAGCGAAATTTCCCTTGTGTATTATTCAGAAAGTCAAACAGGTTAGTGGATAATAAACCAAGCACGCCTAGCTATCCCGTCCCAGTTTGGCAATGGAAAAATGACACGTGCTAATAAATATTCAAGTTTTACTAACTAAATTTGGCTTGCTTCACCGAATGAAAAACTCTTATCCTCGCATCAATCTTATTTGAATAGAGGATCAATCTATGTATCAGTGTGACCAGTGTTTACCAGTAAATGAAATTGCTACTGCTTGGTAAATGTACCATGCCCAATTGTCCACTACCTTCCTATAATCCGGAAAATTCATGCATTCTTTATGTAAGCGTGTAAAATAGTGAACTATATCCACACACAGTTCACTATTTTTATCCAGAATTTTATGTACACAAAGGAAATGGGCTACCTAAAAACCAAGCTGATTGATAGTATTTACGGCATGATCGATGACATGTCATAGCCTCATTTTGTCCTGACGTTACATTAATTCACTTTTTAGGGCTTTTCTCGTCAGTTCTTAAATTGAAAGAAAGTAACACTTGATCATAATGCTGACTTTTCTATTATGGTTATTTTTATTATTTGCATCAAGTTCCTCAAAATTTCCCAATAGTCCGATTTTCGAAAAAATAATTAATAACTTCCTAACAAATTCAATTTCCAACCATTTGTCTCACTGCGATCTAGTATGGACGTATTACGGCAGACACGAAAACAAAGAAGGGACGACAAACCAAGATTTATTTGTTCCAAGCTTGAGTCAGGATGACGACGGGATTCTTGTTCGACGAGAAATTGACCTGAATAATGCAACGACTCAACTTCTCAATGGGGCAGAAAATATACCCAAGTTAAGAATTGCAATCTGTTCTGTTGTCATCATCATTATTACGATCTCTGTTTACGATAACCACAATCTGGGCCTTCAACTATTTCAAACTTTAACTCCACATTATCTCCCCCTTACCCGAAAGGATGAAGATTATTACATTTTCGTGGGACAAAATCAACTCATGGCCTCCCCGGAGTTCGGGTTAAAAATAAAAAATAAAATTGGCTTTTATTTCCACGAGAGATCAGTTCTCGTAAAAACAATGCATCCTTATCAAAATGGAGGAAACCCCCAACTCATCACTTTGCTTAATTTGGACAGCAATACTTCAGACCATGTCATCCATTTGTCCAAAATATTTCCCGACCTTACAAAAAATCATTTTGGAAGATGCATAAAAATGTCAATTCCAAACGCCATATGGAGAATTCAAATCCAAAAAGTGGAATTAAGTGGGGATGAAAAGAAATACCATCCTAAGCGTGGCTACTATGGGACGTGGTTGGAGGGGGCAATGAAAAAGCTCAACTTTAGCTACGAAATGTTCCCCTCGTCCCACGGAGGGGGAACGGGGGTCCAGTTCAAAAATGGAACTTGGGCCGGAGCAGTGGGCGACGTGTATAATGAAGATGCAGAAATAGCCTTCGTCATTGGCCACATTTACAGTCGACACAAATACGTGGAATGGTCAGCTCCATTGTCGTACGAGTGGATGATCTTCGTTTGTCATTCTCCAGAAATGATTTATTCGGCAGAAGCTATTTTCTGGCCTTTACGATTGGATTCATGGAGTTTACTTGGGACATGCACCTTATTTTCTGTAGTTGTGGTCAAACTGCTTTTCCTCGTACGCGTATTCGATTCGAATGACGATGACCAACTGTCAACGAAACGGTCGTCTTCGTGGTCGTTGTCTAAAATAGTGTGGTATATTTATAAAACCGTTTTGGAGCAAGATGCCCCCCAGCCGAACAAAGAGTTCAGTTGGATTCGTGCATTTTGTGGATTTTGGTTGCTATTTGTTGCAGTGGGAACGACGGCATATAGAGCAAAATTAGTTTCGGTTTTGGCATTCCCCATACATTCATGGGTTCCTGAGACTTTTGAGGAATTAGCAGAGTCCAATTTTATGACGGGATTGAATGTCGTGGGGAAAGGTATAAATATCCAGACCATGATACATTTGCATAGTTGAATATGATCTCATAATATTTAGATAAATAAAAACTAGGCTAAAACTATTTCTGTTTAGGGGGCGCTGCTTATGACCTCTTTCACTCTTCTACAAGTCCCACATTTATGACCATTCTGAAGAAATTGTCCTTGCACCCTAACGCACTAGATTGTGTCACAAAGGCTGCGAAGGAGGATTTTTGCTGTTGTCTGTGGGAGGGAGCATCAGTGTATGAAATGAACAAGAATATAAGTGATCGCTTTGGAAGGACTGGGCTCAAATTTTCCCAATCTACTACTTTTTTCATTGACGACGGACTGGTACATTTTTTTATTGATGCAACCTTTGTATTAATGCTATGAATGCCGACATTTTGTTATTATTTTTCAAGGTTTATCAAAAACGAGCAATTTTTCGTCGTCATTTTGATTTCACAATTTGGAATGCCATCCAAATGGGACTTGTCGATAAATGGATTGAAATGGATATGTACAAAGTTCGAAAGGCGAGACAAGATTTAAAGCTGGATGGTGATGATTCAAACACCTTCAACGACGAAGATGGACCACAAAAGTTAAAAGTGCAGCAACTAGTGGGGGGAATCGTTCTTATACTTATTGGAAGTGTGGCAGGGTTTATGGGAGTTTTGACTGAAATTCTAGTCCCATTGTGGTCGTGGAGAAAGCATAAAAGAGAAATAATGGTCATATAAATTATAAGTGTTTAACATGAGTTATTAATCTTGTCGAAATCAGTTAATGAATAAATTAACAATCAAAATTAAAATAAATAAATGATCGCTCCTGGGAACTGATAGCCAGTCTACCTGGCTTTCTCATAACTGACACTTTCTAATGTAGTAGTTTCTTGTATTAATGACAACGTTTGGGGAATCTCACGTCCATATTGATGATGATATGCATGGCTTGATCCTCGCTTATTACTATTGGTTGCCTTTTTTTGTCTGAACGTCACTAGTAAAGTTGCAATCTCAAACGGTTTCCGTTCAACAATTGGCAGAAAACTACGTTTCCCAGAGTATTGGACGCCTACCACGCCTGCCAAATCAGTAATATCAGCAGAATCAATGTCTAAATTGACGAATTTAGTTCCTTGTTCAAATAAGTCTCTAGCATTTGAAAAAACACTGTAATTATTTCTGGTGCAGGAGGTCGTGTTTGCGTCAAAAGGTAAGTATCCAAGCTTTTGAGTGACCAACAACGCTTTCTCTGACGGCATTTCCGTTTCATCCGGTAAGATACTAAAGTTGCTCAAGGTTCGCAAAGTGAGAACGTGCGAATCTTCCGGGAGAGGTTTGGTGAGGAGGGAGTAACGTCCCAGAAATCCGCCAAGAGTGTCGTCATAGCCAAAAGTGGTTGGAACATGATTGAGACCAAGAGAAAGCTTTTGGGCTTGAAGGGTTGGGAGATTATTCCTGTAATCGGAATTATCCTTGGGATCCGTTCTTGGTTCTGGTGAGCTATCTGAGCTTGGACCCAATCTTTCAATATGAAATATGTAATTTGATATTGTCTTCCGATTGTCAGTCACCCCTTCGGCCATGCCTTTTCCATCATCGTATATAGTCCTACGTTCAATGAGTGCTTCTAGCCGGCCGGGATTCATTGAGTTGAAACCATGAGCTCTTTACAAAAAATGATGCATTATCATGAACAGTTTCTTGAATAATTTTCATGTAATATTTAAATACCTGTCGACCATTACAGAAAATCTGACTAGATTTTCAGTATCTTGCATGTAAACCATTGAAGTGACAGGGTAAACGTTTCCCTCATACCCTATCCAAGGCACCTTTACCCTCTTTTCCATCGTGTATCCATTTTGATCAGTAAAAATGGTGGGCTGGTTTTGTTTGTGGACTGATAACGTGGTGGAGTTGAGCCATGTATCGATTCTCATGTATACTTCGGCAGGTACATTTCCTAATAATATTACATATTCATTACAAATTAACTGCGTCACTATATCTTAACGTTTATTATTTGATACAAAAATCACCCAAGTCAATCTGATTTTCAACTTGAATCCCTTGACCTCGAGACCCAAGAAGGCGAGTAGTCACAACAAGTGGGGAGTCGTATGAGGCAAGATATGATGTCACAGGACCTTCAACAATCAGCAACTTTGCTGGGACTTGATCGTCAAAAGGAATCTGAATTATGCAAATTAAATTACATGAATGTGTAAATATGCTCCTAGCATGATTGCATGCATTACATACATACTTTTTTGACAAATGTACATAATCAATAAATTATTACTTGAATATGTGATTCGACATCAGGTTTTAAAAGATATGCTCCACTGTCCCTGTAGACAGAACGGTAAGCTCCAAACTGAACTTTGACAGGGATGGATATTTCTTCTTGAAGTTTGATCACACGTCGCAAAAATCCTGTTGTCCCGTTGAAGTAAAGTTCTTGTTCCTTGTTACCGAGAATAATTGTGGGTGACTGAAATGGCAAATGAATTGCTAACTTTGTGTTGCAGAACCACAAAAAATCTAGGATATTCAAATACCGTAATATTTTCGACTTCAAAATGCGAGAAAGTCCCTTCGTATTGTGTATCTAAAGTTTTGCACCCTCGACAAGAAACTTTTGCAGTTTTTGCTGCCAAAGGATCATCATAAGTCGTTCTTCGTATTTCGAAAGAGTGAAGTGTCATTGGTTCCAATTCTGCGAGAAAACTGAGCTCGAACACTTTGCCGAAAACAATCTCTTCTTGGTCAAGATCTGCGTATGGATTTATCTGTAAATGGTATAATTGTATTCTACCTGTTTAGTATATCAACAATGGTGTGTACTTTTGAAGCTATAATTTCACTTGATTGAGATTAACCTGACTGTGAATATTTTCGTTTCGAGTTCCAACAACTTTCACCGTTGGGCTTGTCACAAGTACCCGAATTAATTCAGTCCTGTTGAACGAAAGGCTGTTGAATACCAAGATTTTCTTGGTGATTGTGTCGCTCTCGTAAATGACTCGTGGCACCCGCGTCGGAAGTTCGCCAAAAGAGAGGGTTTGAGTGTCCAGACCGAGGCTAGAAATGGTAGCGTTGAGACCATTATAAAAAATTGTTCTGATAGACTGACGCTGGATTTGAAGTGCGGTCTTGCGTGCTTCCATCAGTTTCTGACCAAAATCCTCCATGGTGACTCTCCGTGATGTGCCAGTGACACTGTAAAAGGGAATTTTTTATATTAAGAATAAGTAAAAGAAATTGGACACAAAGAGTACATTTAATCGTAGCATGTGTACGTTATGTGTATGTGCATATGCATATATTTACCCATCATGAGTAGCAAACAGGGCTGTCATTTTTCTTGCTTCGACGAAATTTCTGTACTCTCGTCGTAAAACCTATTGTTGGATTATGATAGCAAACAAATACTATGAATTGCTGAAAATTTATTAATTGTGTTTAGTTTCATCGATGCCACATTACCACCGACATGACATGATCGGGATCTCGAGCAGCCAAATTACCGGCATACGTGTACAGAATCTCTGCATCTCTCATAAGAGATAGAGTTTCCTGATAAAATTTCTTCCAGTATGGCCTCGTTCCAAAATAACCTTATATTTTGTAACAAAAAAATCATGCGCATATGCACATTACAAAAATCACTATTGAAATATCTTACGTACCAGTCCAGTATGCGGGTCTTCCAAACCTACAAGTCAGAGATAACATTACATGTTTATATCACATTACATGTTTACATGATTAATTAAAATTACAGGTAAACGTCGCTGTACGGAAAGAAATCTCCCGAAAATGTTGCTAATTTGTGATTTTCCAGTTCAACCGCCTGTATAAAAATGTATGTGCATACAAATGTGACAACAAATGACTATTTACAAAAAAATTAAATTGTACCAACATTAAAATAGTCGGAAACTGTTCCAAAACGAATGTCAACCCCAAAACGGTCACGGTTTGCGTTAATGTGATTCATAAGTGGGACATGATTTTCATACTGCTGGTCCCACTCCTCAGATATGCCAAAACGGAAATCCTCACCCAGTTCTTATCATTAAATTCGCATTTAAGAAATTTCTCAAATACTTTCTCAACTTCATAACTTACCGAACATGACGACTCGAGAAGGCGAAAACAACGACGCCGTTCTTTGAAACTGACCCACCATGTCCGCAGCCAACTCATCCAAATCAATATCACGGACCGGACGAGCATGTCTGGAATACTCGGAATATTCACCAATAACGCTACGAAAGTCTAGTCTTAAACACACCTACATAAAACACACAGAATCCAGCAATATGTATAGGAAATAATATTTGACGCAATTCGAATTTGGAATTTACCAATGGATTTGGACCTGTGAATTTGATATTTATACCATTAAAAAGTATTACACTTTAGGAACTCTCTCGGAAAGAATACACTTGGAATACATGTACATACATACGTACCGCAGGTGTGTTTTGTCGTATAGATATCGTAGGGGGCGTGGTGGGTCAACATCTTATAGTCGGCATTCGTATCCCATCGTGGGACCCAATTAAAATTGCCATATCGCTTTGCTCCCAAATATTTTTTCCATCCAAAGTGCGTTCTCTGAATACACAAATCTAGTATAAATTTATAAATAACTATTGTCTGGATGCGTGCAATGCTTGCATAAATATATAAAGACTCCCTGCCCCGCGTACCTGCACCACAAGTTTGTCCACTCCAGCGAGCTTCATCAGGTAAGGCATCGTAGGTCTGAGTCAGACATAAAACCTAATTACCTTTTCTCATACTTTCCATTGTGTATAAAATTGGTACCCATGGCCAAAGGGATCTATGGCCCAAGATATGTTGGGAGTCACTCCTAAAAAGTTGCTGACCCATTGACGACCCGTGATAATTTCATCGACCAATGTGTACAAGGATGTAGTTGCTTCATCAGGCATGACGAAGGCTACACATGCATAAGACAAGGAAATTAGCAGTGACGCAATTACATATTCTGGAAAAAGTGTAAAATATAAAACCAACCTCCCGTCAGTATCTCTAGACGTCCTTCTTTTATCAAATTCAGAAACTTAATTTTCTGGTTGGTTCGAGCTCTATTAAAAAATAACCTTTGTATTGAGAATATAATTATGGAGTATGTAATGATATTATATACAACCATGTGACAACTTGAGCATCTCACAAACCCGCAAATAAAACGCCGCTTGTATCACAAAAAGGACGCCATTCTGACTCAAAAACTCAGAATCTCTGAGTAACAATGATAACATAAAGTTGACGCCCCTTTGCTTTGTTTTCAGAGGAAAAAATGTGACTGATTAAACGATGTACAAATCTTCTTGTCACCTATCTCATAAATATTCTTTTGGTCCATACTTTCACTGTAGATTTTCAATTCCAATCACTTATGCAAGCCCCATGTTCACCAATATTTCTTAATTGCATAAGCAACAAATCTTATTTATCATTTTTTTTGCACTCTACCTTATCCCATTCAATTCTGTGTACTTAAAATAACATACCTGTCCCACCACATGGAGAGGAAGGTAATCTCATTCCATACGAAGGTCATGTTTGGGTAGAGGGTCAACTTCTCCACTATAAGATCCAAGGTGTGTCTCGTATTAGTATTAAAATAAGATTCCATCGGCTTCAACCACCCTGGATCATCGTGCGAATGAGGCACCACGAATACTTTGAGGTGGGGCGGTGGTGAACCGTCTTGGCGTTGAAATTCCGACTTGAATCTTTTTTCAAAGTTAAAGTCTTCTGCATTCCAAAACCATTTTTGCCTGGTCCACGAATCCTACGTAATAAAAACAATATTATTCACAAGAAAAATAATATCTCACATGAATCAGATTTTGTGTCTCATTTACATGAAAGCCTAATCGAGGAAAGATTTCCAAGGAGTCGAAATCAGGTTTGTATTGTTCAGATTCAACTCGGGGGCAAGTAGCGTTGGGCGAGTCGGTAGTTTGTACCGGAACAGGAAACTGTTGTTGTTGGCTTTGAGACCGAGTGAGGTTTTTTGGCAGAAAAAACTCTGGGGAAAAATTGGTTGAAATATCCTCTAATGACGATGAGCCATGATTTACCGGTCTGGCCAGAGATAGGACATGAGCTGGGGATGGGTTTGGAAAAGATCCATTATGACCACGGTTTTGTTGAGGTTTGGCAGTTGTGCAAATTGTGAACGCAAACAGAAGCACAAAGACTAAAGAAGTTAACATGATTTCTTCCTTAATGCTGACGTACAACTGAAGAATGTGACGGTCCAAATGCAACTATTTGTGTATCAATCTCACAAGTGCATCAATCTCCTGCAAAGCAATTCTTGATTGACCTGATCAACCATTCAGACAAACAAGTGGAAAGTTTCAGAATTGGGTAACCAACTTGACAAAAACAATATTTTTGTAAATAATAGGACCAATTAAAGTTACTTGACAGGTCTGGAATAGACAATAAATTCTGCTGAAACTGAGAATGCATGCATACATATGTATGTCTGTATCCTACTAACATGCAGCTCTTTTTATGCACCTATTTATGTACAATAAAAGACTTGATAAAATTATCAATCACTTTCCTCACAAGTTTTTGACCAGAGCCAATTTTTAAAGGTTTTTATTTATGCAACCGGGAGAGACATGATGTCGTAAGTTTTAAGAAGACAACTAAATAAATAATATATGCAGGTATGTAGGTTCAAGGTTACTGTGTTTCATTAAGAATGACAAGACATTTCTGCCTGTGTAAACGTTGAACTTTTTAGTTTTTGATGATTACACAATTTACTACCTACATACGCCCATGCAAAATGGCAAGGTCAAAGGTCACAGTTGCTTCTAACCTACTGAACTTACATATATACGTATTTACAAATGGCTTGATTAAAAATGATTCCATTCACTCTGTCGGTCGAATTACCGAAACGCCCTGCTTATCCTTAGTTTTAATGAACTGTGATAAATTGTTTCATAGCTTATACCATAGCACTCGACTTATTGCTTAGATGGGTTTATCAGTTTTTAATCCAGCCTACGTTCTTCTTTTAGATTATTAATGTATAGTAGATAAAATATCTTCTATAAGTAGTATGCTTACAGGAAAGCTCATGTCTCCTCTTGTAAATCGGATAAGTCAGAGAGATTAATAATTCTGGTTGTAAATACTCGAGAAGACCGGATTGATCTTTGCTTGGTCTAACAGACAAAATGGTATTACAAACTAATCCTAAGTATAACGAGTGTCGTCTTGAAGATCAAGTCAACATGAATGCACATGTTGTATAATCATGCGAAACGAATCCAGTCTGCCAGGATTAGTTGCAGATATCAATTTGCATTACTAATTATTTCCGCACTCTTATTTTTCCCACAGTACTAAAAAGGTCGAAAAACTACATAATAATATGCATATTGCAAGTATGTATGTAGTAGTACAGAGAGTCATTGCTGTTGTGGTGGATGATAGAAAAGTCAGCAACACGATATTTCTGTCATGAAGCAATGTGTTTATAAGTATATGTAATCATGAGTTTGCATTAACTGGATATTAAAAAATGACACTACTGAAGATAGGAAGGAATTCGTATAGTGTTTTTTTCTACACTTATATAACTGACTAACACAATTTGTTACTGCATTTAAATTAAAAGACTTGCATGATTTATTGGTCTTTAAAAGTTTTACTATGTCCACAAACTTAATTAAGTACAAACAATAATAATAAAAATTGTAAGCTGACAAAAAATTCTTAAAAATCACACAATATGTGTCTTAACTTTAAAATCCCACATCATCACAAAGATTGACTAACTTCATATAATATTTTTCATATCAAAAGTCTTAAGTAACAAAAAGTAAGAAGTAAAAAAATCATGGCATCCTTCCTGGACGATACACTGATAAATACGAAACTCTTACACATACTAATACAAAATCGAATTCCCAGTCTTTGTACAAAATAAAAGTAAAAAAGCAATTCACGATACTGCAATAATGGCGTTCAGTCCAAAGTATGCATATAAGTTCTATATAGTAGGTTAGTTCTTCGTTCTTGTTGATTGTCTAATTAAAAAAAATAAAAGTAGGAATTAATCAAAAGAACAAAGAAACGGGGTGTTGTTTGTTTGTTGTCTGGAGGTATCCTTGCCCTGTGGATGAGGTTTGTTCAGAGAAAAGAGGAGAGATTCGATGAATCCTTTGTCAATGGACAGTTGCTCAGAACCTCCGCCTGCTCGCTTAAATTCACACATAATTGGCAGAATCATTTTCACTTCTATTGGTATCAGCGTAGTATTGTGATCCGAAGTCATTTGAGTACCGACATGGAGTTGACAGTTTTGAATCTGAGTATAGGTAGAATGTTACATTATTCAAAAGAAAGCTTAACTCGCCAAAATGTAGCATGAAAATTACCGGAATGCGTTGAAAGTCACACTTTGAGTTTTTCTGTTTCAATTTCAAATTCCCTGTAGAGGCAAGTATCACATTAATACAATTTCCGTAACGTCTATTAAAGTGACCTAGAATAAAATCTTGAGCACATGTACATAAATGCAGACTTACCAGAAAATAAGATACTGAGAGTGATCCATTTATTGGCCGGTACATCTACGGGTTCTTTAAAATGGACTCGGATCTCGGGTTTTGCATCAGTTGGCTCGTATTCAACCTCCACAATTGGAGTGATTGGTAGGTTCAGGGTGATGTTAGTTTGAACGGTAAGCTCGCTATAATCGTACTCATTCTTGTCAAAATTTTCACCAAACACGCCCCTGACGATGGAAAATCCAAAAAAGGTAAAGGGAAAGTTGACTAAAAACCTGTATACACAAGGAATTTAATGCTCATTTATTTTCTTTATTTTTTCGAGGACGTTTAGTTTTAATTCAAAGCTCATCCCCTTACAAAAGTGTCTCCTTAAGTCGTATTTTTGGATTTTTACAACGCCAAGGGATCAGAGGGGTTCCATTTCCATCTCCAGAGTATCTGGAGTGAACCAAACACATGGGCTCACTATATCGTCGAACGGTTTTGTTGTAAGGGTTGAAAATGTGTCTGGGAGTGAAAATGTCTCTCAGAATCTGGCTTGTATTTTTATTGCCAGTGTTCTCCAAGTGCGCAAGCCAAAATTTTGGCGAAAAATCACAAGGAAATCTAACATGTCGAAGAAAACTGGTAATCAGTGGACCAAAATTAGCTGGATTTTTGTCGTCAATTTTCTTGACTCTACACTGATTCTGACCCCAACTGAAATAGATGTATATTTCATTAAGAATTTTCTACATACTTCATATTCAATTTCTGGTAAAACAAAAATGTTTAAAACTTACTGGACAACAGCGCTTAACACTTCCATTTCATGTTTGACATTCAAATCATCTCGTTTAATAATTTCCAGCACCACATTTTCCGGTAGGGCCGTAAATCTTTTATCTTTAAGGAACTCGGTACCGTTCCTAATAGAAAAAAAACACAAAATTAAATTCATTCGCAATGATATTGCATAAATCCAATGCAATGTTATTTCGTCATGTTACTCACTTGCAGACAAAATTAAGCAGGGCGTCCAACAACGTTTCATGTGATTTAATAGCTAATGGTAGAAACATATACGCCGTATCAATTGTAAACTTTTCATTCTTAATCACTTCTTTACACTGGCTTTCCAAATCAGGTACTTGATACTTTCTAGCCATGACTTGAAGAGCGAACGCTTCCATGAATCTGACACCCGATTCACCAGTATATAAATACTGGATAAACAATATATAAAAACTACTATAACCATAATATACAAAAACCTTAAGGGTAAAAATAACAATTTTGATCTCACCTGAAGAAACAGTGTAAAAATCTTGGGATCTTCGTGCAAACGAAGCACGTTGATCCCATCGCTCAAAACCCTTATTACTTCGTTATACAAGACTAGAGAGCCCGATGCAAGTACGCTCTTGTGGACCAGCACCCGTTGGTCACCATCAAGGAGAACGGTAAAATCGCTAAAGAATCCGAATCGGAGCAGGTTGAGCTGTCGTTCTTTGAAAGTTGTGTTCCAGCGCCAATGTTCTGATGAAATTCGGGCAGGTTGAATAGGCTCACGAGGCGGTTCATCCGTCGCCAACGCCGCTGCCGTGGCACTCACACTTTCATGATGATCGTCATTACTCTCCTCTTGGGTATCTGGGGTCGGTGAGGGAATCGACGTTCTCCCGTCATGTTTCGGCTCTCCCTTATCATCCGATGGAGGATCGTGATATTCTTCCTCCTCAGACCCTGCACAATGACTATGGTCTTCTCCACCATCAATCTTTACTGCTGATGCGGATGATTCTGAAGGGCAAGTGCATTTTACTGTGCTGTCCTCCTTGCCCGACGAAGTACTGGGTTCATTTCTTGCTGGATCCAGATTCAGGTCGTCCAACTTGTCCACGATATTCTCCATTGGTTCGAAATTTTTTAATAAGACAGCATAAATGCAATAATGTGTAGCCCAGGAGTAGTAGTAGAAAAGCTATAGGAAACAGGAAACAAATATTTACAGAAATACGTGATATGCGTTACAAGACTAATCAAACCGTACCTTGATTTAACCAAATTAAGAGCCTCAAATTACGAATAGTGGCTGCCGAGACAAAAATTGACCTGTTGCAATGAAAAATAGCAAATACACGAACATTAATTATGTCTATTTAAAATAAATGCTTATTTACGGGTATGAGCTATTTCAACTTACTGCTCCCAGAGTCCACCTCTTTTTTCGAATTCGAACAATAAAATTGAACAAGTAATGTAGTAGATTGTAAATATTATAGTGCTTGAAGTATAACACGTGAAAATCTGATAAAGCTGGGTAGCAACTTGTTATGCTGCTGGATCGAAGGTATGGCACTTTCTGTCTATGTATCCCGGCTTGGTGGGTAAAATAAGATGGGTCTGCTCTGATCGGGAGAATAATCTCATATCGCAAACTTATTTTGCCGTTTATTGTTGCAATGATTTATTGGCATATTGCTGAAAATGCAAATGGCCAAGATACTATTGGGTACGGATGGATATGTGCATACTTTATTGTTATGCAAAATGGAAGGAGAAATTGAGACGCGATATGGAAATGATGCATCTCATTTCAATGATCGCGTCATCTCATTTAAGTAAACTGGAAGAAAATTTCAAATACAATTAGTTCATGATTTACGCCTTATTTAGAGTAACGCATTAATGTCGTTTTAATTTCTGTTTAATTTATTTTTCACCACGACATCAATTTATAGTATATTCTTTTCATTTTGATTTCGTTCAAAATTAATGTCATGCAAACATTTTATTTTCATTTTGTTTTCGTTAATTATTTATAGTGCAATTCATCTCGTTTTCTTTTCTGTTTCACATCATTTTGCAAAGTTGACATGCGGTCAACTTTTTCCGAGTGAAAATAAAACGAAACATCATGCAGATTTTAATATAAAGCGGAAATGGGTCCCAAAAAAATAGCCCTGAAAAGCGCATTCTCGCCAGAGGATGACAAACTGGCGCTCGAATCCAAGTTGGTGACCCTAGTGGAGCCCCACCGCCACATCTGGGACATCAAAGACAAGGACTACAAGGTCAACACGATGCGACAAAATACTTTTACTAGTATTGGAGAGCAGCTTGGAAAACCTGGTAGGTTGAATTTATCATAAAGTTTCTGATAATTATTAACTGCACCTCAACACAGGTGACGTGTGTATGGCACTTTGGCAAAGTTTGAGGACCCAGTACTTGGCCGCGAGACGAGCTCTTCCAACGGGAAGTGGGGCTAAAGCACGAAGTTCCTTCCGACTGTTTGATGCAATGTCCTTTATTTCAGGAGGACAAGATCAGTCTCAGTGAGATGTTTGTTGCTTATGATTCTCTTAGAATTTTTATTGATATTATACTTTCATTTAGGACCATTTGTAATCTTGATGGTGATGAGGACGAGACAGAGCATGCAGATGACGAATTCTCAACAATAAACTTCGCTGACTTGAACGATGACAACATTGACACTTCCGTTGTCCCAATTCAAACTCAAAACTCGGTGCCAGAGTCTAATCCTCGCCCGAGATCCCATGCTAAATTCGGAGGGGTGCGTATATTACTTCTATTGCGTGGTTTTTATGCATGTAAACTTATATTTTTCTTGTGCTGTGTCTAGAAGAGGAAGCTGGACAGTCTGGAGGAACAAATGCTTAATTTTGTCAAGGGAGGTGACTCGAAGGATGACGAATTTGAGCGATTTGGGAAGACCTTGGCTGCAAAACTTCGCAAAATTCATGAAAAGGATCCCAAGGCTGCTGCGACCTGCGAATATGAACTGCATGGGGTTTTGTACAAAACAGAACTCGATATTTTGTAATTACAGTTACTATACAATACATATAACTATATTTAATAGGCGTTGAGTTTATGTTGCATATCCAAAATTTGTATTTGTAGTTTATTTCAAGATGTGGTGAAATAAAAACTGCTCAAAATAATTTACAAATCAATGCACTCAAAAAGATTATAACACAATATAATACAACATAATAGAAAATCATTTACCCCCCGCGTCAACATGATGATCTTGCCAGCTCAGTCGTCCATCCTCACTATTAAAATAGTCTCGAAAGTGGTTCCTGACCTGAGCTGAATACTGGGTGTAGTTGTTGGTGCCTTGCCTTGGTATTTGTATCATCCCGTTATCATTCTGAACAGTATCACGCCAGTTCCCATGCTGAACTCTTCCATCCTCAAATCGATCAGGAGTAATATTGTTGAAGTCTTTCTTATTCATTAGATAATTGTGTAAAATTACGGCCGACAACGTAATTTGCTTCACGAGGTCCACATCCGCTTCAATCACCGAATGGAAAATCCTCCATCGTGCAGCCATTATTCCAAAGGAATTTTCAACGGTCATTCGAGCTCTTGAAAGCCTATAGTTGAAGACTCGGTCCGTCTTTTGCAGGAAGTTTCCTTTGTATGGTTTCAGCAAGTTGTGCCGTTTCGGAAAAGCGTCATCTCCTAGAAAAACATAGGGCAGAGGAGTACCAGTATTGGATAGTGGTTGTGGCGATGGAAGGTTGAAAGTGTCGTTGGAAATCTTGCGTCCAATGTGGGATTTTGCCAGAATTCCTCCATCTGACTCAGATCCGTACGACCCAATATCTACGGCTGTAAACTTGAAATCTGCATCTGACAGGGCCATCAAGACGATTGAAAAATAAGTCTTGTAATTGAAATACAGGGACCCCGATGCCGAAGGACACTTGATTCGGATGTGTTTGCCATCCAATGATCCACAAGCATGAGGAAAATTCCACTTTGTTCTGAATTGGTTTTCATTATTTATCCAAGTAGATGCGGTGGGCAAATAATCTGACTTCAATGCTTGATTAATTGCTGCAAGAGTTTCTCTAATAATTCCGCACACAGAAGAAGGCGATACACGGAAGCTCATTGCAAGAGAAATTTGAGAGTTTCCTGTGGCGAGGTACCTGCACGAAAATCATGTTTGTTTTGTCATACGACACTACCCGAAATTGGGATATTTTCAGTACCTCAATGTTATTGCCAATCTTTGAAGAGGTGATATAGGACGAATGTGATTAGCCGGATGCGAGATCATTGGGGTCACCAAGTCCAAAATGGTATCGAAATTTTCTTTGCTCATCCTATTTTTATAATGCGAAAGTATGGGTAACGGTGGTGGTAATATAATATGCATATTATCTAGTTTACCTAAAGTATCGGAAATGATAGTAGGGGTCATCTCGAAGATCCATGACCAACTGCTGTTCGCCGTCATTGTCACGCTTCAGAAATATGGGACGAATGTAAACTGATCTCTGCTTTCTCTTCAGTCGCCGTCGCAGACGTTGAACAATAAGAATTTTGATAATGGTAGTTCGATCCATGATTAGCAGGATGAATTAGATGGAAATATGTAGAGTAATTTGCAATTTTTCATGTTTGGCCGGGATTATTTTTTTGTCAATTTATAGTGTTTGGTTTTACGTTGTCGTGAAAATTAAAAGAAAGAGAGATGAAAATTTTTTAAATATTCATCTTGTACTATAAATTAGCATGATGAAAAATAAATCAAAACAAAAATAAAATGTTAAAAAACATAAACAGAAAATAATACTCTAAATAAGGCGTTGGTAAGAATATGCAGCTTTTGACTTTATGGAATGTTTATGCAAAAACGTCATGCAAATGTTTGTTTGCAATTTAGGTAGTTAGATTTGCAACTCTAATCTCGTGTGGAAAATTCATGTCGCTTAATCAATAGTTAATCAATAATAATTAATTATGTTAAAAAAGAAGTACACAAAGTTTTCCGACTGAGATTATACGGGTCTAACAATTAAATATTTTATCTCATCCACGTAGACAATGATGCTCAGTTTCAATGAATTGCAAATGTTTGATTTAAAAAACATATATACGTAGCTCATTAATTTTGAAGAATTATGCATGCATATCCCTGTATAATACAAAAATGATAAGATTCAGTACTTACCAGATTGATCACTTGTTATGTGCTGTTATCTTGAAATTCTCTTGACTTGATTGACGTAAATCGCTAATCATTTTGATTATCGGAGTAGAATTGTATGTACCGATTGACTTTCCTATATAATGAATTGTGACAGTTGTCAAAATTCTCACTTTGACTTTGAACGGTAGGCTTGATCTTTGAGAATATAGGTGAATATTAAATTCGGAAGACAACATGAAATTTATTGCGGCTCTTTTTGTTTTTGTACTCTTCCTTGGGTTTGCTGCGGTAAGTTTTTCGGTTCATTCAAGAAATTGGTTAGATTTATAGTGCGGTATTCTCCACAATTAAGAATATCATTGAAAAACACTTCATTTTTAATCAATGCAGGCCCAGGATGAAGGAGCGTGTCCTGTAGGAAACGTTTATTGGCCCCATGTAAACTGCACGCTTTTCTATGTGTGCCGTCCTCAAGGAGGCGTTCTTCTTGTGGACTTTTGCCCCTCGGGACTATATTGGAATCAGGGTGCAATTTCTTGTGACTGGCCATTGTATGACTTATAATTTAAGTAATTTCTATAATTATTAGTTTTTAAATTCATTTCTTGCTTATAAATTTAAAGCAATGTGCCCGAATGCGAAAATGGCCCAACAAGACCACCCTACACAATTGCGTGAGTTACTTTTCAATGATCAATTGAGTACATAGAATATGTGTCCCTAGTCCCTGAACGGACAAAGAATTATCAATTAACAACAAGTAGAGAAACACTTGACCAAGTATGAATGAAGCACTTAACTTACTCTCGAACTCAATAGGCCCACCTCTCCAACCACAACTATTCCTACAACTACGGAACCAACCACCACCACTACAACTCCCACTACCACGACTCCCACCACCACCACGCCCACAACAACGGTCCCAACAACAACGAATGGACCTTCCACAACTACGACAGCCCCAGTAAGTTTAAAAACATTCAGTTCGCATAATACAGTGCTTTTCATCCATGTGCATATACGTCTCTGAAATCGCACAGGTTGACGAAATTTGTCCTCCTGGAGCAAACTTTTGGCCACACCCCTACAACTGCAGCATGTACTACATTTGCATGGGCAATGATTACTATCTCCTTGTTTGTCCTGTGGGCTATTACTTTAATCCGGTCTGGGACAATTGTGATTTGCCTGTCAATGTGCCAGAGTGTGATGGAGGTACATACCCAACAGGGCCAACTACCACTGAGGTAACTACCGTGATCACATCCACGCCGACTACGACCCCACCCACGACAACCACTCCGACCACGACTCCTCCTACAACTACTACGCTTCCGACCACTACAACTACCACACCCACCACTACGACGAGACCCCCAGATAATGGCTGCCCTGCTACGGGAACAACCAAAATTTCGCATGAAGGTGAGCACCAATAAATTAAGTATAAGCTAGATTTAAAACTTGTAATCCAAATATGTATGTGTGTATGTACGTACTGGTAAAATTTGCAATTTGACCTAAATTTCAGAAATTTGCGAAGCTTTCTGGCTCTGTGTTGAAGGTACGTCTTACAAATACAGAAATGTCAGAATAAGCTCACAATGGTTTGATTTACAATTCGTTTTTTAGGAGTGCGACAAGAACCCTATTTTGTATGCCCTGGAGGACTTTTCTTTGACCCAATATTGCAAAAGTGTAATCTGCCTTCAGAAGTAGATTGTGGAAATCTTTAAGCCATAATTAACTTAATTCCGATTTAATGTTCATTTATTAAACAATAAAGAAATAAGTACAATGCATCAAGACTGGAATACGAGTTTAAATTGAATTATCTAACTTTACTTTCGTTGGATTGCGATTTCCAAAGAGAAGAATGATAATCTCTAATCTCAAGAAGGCATATCCGTTCACCAGTAATTATCCGACGGAGCATACATACATTATGACACGACACACAATTATGTACACACATTTGTACACATGTAATGATTATGACGTTTTCGATACTTAACAAAATCTTTCCAACAAGGAAAGGCTAAATTTATGTCAATTATAATTAAAAGTCACTCCTTATTTTCCTCCTGTCGTTCTACTGCATCCATTAATTCGTAGACTAGTTGACTTCCACCCCCACCATCTCGTATCGCATCTTCTACCCCTTCCTCCCATCCTTCCTCCTCAGGCACTGATCCACCCAGCGACTCTGGCAATAAATCAGGCTCCACTAATGAATGCAGCTTCGTAAAGTCTTGAGTGGTCACTGTAATCTGCGTATTTTATAAGGATTTTCATGCACTTTAAGCCACCTCAAGTAGTAGTATAAAAATTATAATTTACATATATCAAGGCACTCACAAAGTTTCTATAAAATTCGGGAATGGCGAATTTGACCACGGCAAAAACCTTTTCAAAAATGTAAGGCGAGTTCGTAATGAAGGCGCTGTTGATGCGAAAGGGTGATCCAAAAATTATACAATTTGCCACTTTTAAAACACTGGAGTAAGTGCATTCCCTCGCGTGGCTGAATGAAAATCCAGCCATGTCAAGAATCATGACGATCCCTGCTCGCTCTTGGGTGGGGTTGGAGGCCGTCGACATTTGAAGGGCATACAAAAATCCTGCTTTAATGAGCATGTCGATGTCTGCTAGACTGGTGTCCCATTGAGCTGTAAAGATGCATGCATATTGCATTAATTTGATTTCACAAAAATTTAATTATTTGCATTAAATTGAATGTTTTCTACGCACTTGTACGAAAAACGATAACAGTCGGACCCGTGTACCCCTCACCCCTCTTGACGACGCGAATCATTTCATTTTCCATGACGGGTTCTATGGTGAAGGCTTCAAGGTCGGTGAATAGGTCTGGGTACTGATGCGTCTTGAAATGGATTAGAGATTTTATCTAGAAATTGACAAGTACGAATTATTTAATCCGTGGTTTCCTTTTCAGATTGTTTGTTCAAGTTTAATAGTTTCCACACACCAGTTTCAAAGAAACTTCAGGTCTGTTTCTTCTAGCTCTGATAAGCAGGAGATAGAATTCATCGCTTAGTTCCGAAATGGCCGGAGGTAGTTCAGGATCATCTGAAAATGGTTAATATATGTAAAATTGCCGAATAAATGTCTGCATTTCATTGAGTTGTTGTTGTAGCAAACCTTGTTACTCACCTTTAATCAGGGTTTTCAATTTCTCCACACAATCTTTTTCCACTTGATCAATATCCACAGTGGTATCAGACGGAGGGGACGACGGGGTCGGTAGTGGGGTTGACATTTTAAGCGTTATTAAATCAAAATATTAAATGAAATACCATTTAATTACAACGACTGAAGAAGAATCTTGTGAATTTATTATGTTGTTACTGGCAAAAGTGGGATATGTACATCTGGTTTCATCAACCGTGGTTTATGACAAAACCATGAACATGTACACGTATCTAGTTCGACTATGTCTAGCAATTATCTATTTTTTGTGCTAAGAGAAGCCCAAAATTCCCATGTGAACTAATTCGTAATGAATGGTTGGTTTACATACGTAAGTGTTTTACATGGTGATGAGTAGCAATGAAGAAAATGAAAGGAAATTCATTCACAAAATATGTACAGACTGAACACACAAGGTTTTTATGCAACAGTTGATATAAAATATATCTGTGTGATGAGGCAATTTATGCGAATCCTGTAAGCTACGTAAATTTTTTTAGAGTTGTCAAATTTACAAATTTTTAAAATGTGTACGACTATTGTGTTTTAATTTTTGTACAAGCTTGTAAATAAAATTTAAAAAAGTTTGCAAAGTTGGGGTATATATAATATCTCAAAGAAGCATAAAAACCAATGTACTTATATGCAGAAAAATGTTGGGCAGAGGGATTCAGGTTAGACGAAGACGGAAAGTGCATCACAAAAATATCTCTTTAGTAATACAGGGTTTGACTATGTAGTATTTATTCATATGAGGATGATGATAATACGAAATTATGGAGGTCACATTTGGGTCATTTATTAATATGACTTATTTCATTAATTTGTGCGGTCATCATGTGATGGTGAATCATTTACCAATTCATATCTACATTTCCAGACTTGCTACACAATAATCAGAAATATTTTCAACACAATTGCTACAATATATACACAAACTCAATGAATTATAAATATGGCTAATTAATTACTATTTCTAAATTATGCATGTTTACTTAACGCTACCAAAACTCTCATCAAACCGCGAACCACGCCTGTTAAAAATCTTAAAATAGATAATTTCGTAACTTTATGTGTCCAGAAAAGTCCCTCATACCCAATTACATATTAATGGTTTGCACGACTTTTTGAATTTTTTGATGTAATTGAAATGCATTTTTGATCGACCGTTGCAACTCCATGATGTCAACGTTTTGCTCGATTCTTTGTAAAAGTAGCACCCAGTCTGAAGAGCCACTACCCAAAACGTGAGCACAATCAATACAATTAATACAAGCATGAATGATTGTGCTGGTTGGAGGTTGTTCCAGTGTCGAATAACTGTGTATGACACTAACAGCGTCCCATTTCCCAGGATTGCTTGGATCGGGAGAATTAGAGGGCCAAAGGTTTTCATCATTGCATGATGAAGAATTTCCACGCTTCTATTGTTCAATAATTCCAATTATTATTTACAGTATGTACAAAAATGTGTTCCTACACTACAGTCATATATAAATATGTACACATTAATGTACGCACCTGTATGCTATCGGAAGATTTCCTACAGTCCGCAATCTCCAACTGCTCCTGTAATTTATCAGCCCAAATCGCAAATCTTTCCTAATGATTGGAGTAATTACGAAAACATAGCAAATCAAGATTTGTGCAGCTGCAAGAAGATAGGCATGAACAAACCAATAGCCATAAAAGTGAATCAAGCCGATGAAAAAGGTAATCAGTCTGTTTCTGTAATTTTGAGGTATCATTGAAGTAAAGAATGGCGAATCCGCCGGTTCGTGAAGGTAGTGAATAATTACAAAACTAGGGACATTTCCAAATGCCAGTGTGAAAGCTAGGATGAATTTGGTCATGTTCCTGGACATTTGGTCGGTGTTCATGTTTAATCTTGGGAGATTTTTAGCTGGAATAGAAAAGTATTGAAACTACGTACGTAAGTAGCCTTTAGGAAATATTGACATACCTTTGAATTTGAGACAGAAATATAGGAAGCTATTAAAGCACTGGACACATTTCCTGGGATCGAGGTATGGCACGGTAAGAATTATGGTGTGTGTTATGGCAGTATAAAGATGCATTATCACAAGTTTTAGAGGTACAAGCTGGCTAAAGTGATGGTGAAAGATTGCTTTAATTGAGAGAACGGCCACGTAAAACAAGAGGCACTTGTAGTGATATATAAATTTTCGAGGATTCGAAATTTGAACGATACGTTTCCGCTTATTTGACCATGTGAAGGGTCCACCAATGATTCCTGAGAGGCGGAAAGTTAACTTTAGCAACGTGTGGGATAATTTTGGCAACATTTTTTTCTGCCAAACCTTTATGTTTGACTAACGATTGGTCGGTTATGCCCAGACGTTTCTGTATGATTCCATCTTGAAAACTATTTTCGCAAGTTAATATTAACCAAATTTTATATAACATATCAATCGTAGAGATCTACAATGCCAAGAATTGTCAACTACTGCTAACTCAAAACGTTGGAAAATTAACGGTTCTAATTTCATTAAAGCGATCAATATGGGTATATGATGATGGACAATACATTACATACATACATATGCAAGGTCAGATACATATGTCATATATCTTTTATGACATTTAAGAAATTCATATTGAATTTCAATTTTTATCTTTACATAGAATTTGATACGTAATGGTACGACAGTATATAAATCGATATCACATTGGTTTCACGTTGACGTAAGGATGCTACATATTTATATTTATATCACAAAAATGGGAAAATGTGAATGGTACTGGTCTTGAATGTAGGTAGACATTAGTTTAGTATTTATTTATCGTTTGTCATATCGAATGGCTCACATTTCAGGTGAAAATATTCACAATTTATGGCAGCTCCATTAACTAATCCCTGGACCAAACGAGGCTAGTTCCAAGATTACTCTCGTAAGAATACTCAAATCCTGAATCTCATCTTCCCAAGTCAAATTTCCAATCAGTAAATATTATCCAGATCCAGAGTGATTTACATACGTATTCCACAATCTCAGAACCCGACTTTCGGATAAATAGTTGTACGTATGTACATTGCGATTTATGCGCATATGTATTTATGTGCATGCATACGTTAGCATACTATGAACTTTATGCTACAGAAACTTGCAAAATTAGTCACAAAAGGTGTAACTCACCTAGTTCATACCGCATTACAATGCGTACTATATTGTATGTACATAATTCAGGTTTTTGTGCCAGAGTCATCCGTGACAGGATTGTCTTTCTTTCCAATATCTGATTCCGATGGAGAAAGTTCATTTTCCTCAAACTCGCTGCTCAACAAATGACTTGGTATCGTCTCTTGTTCGCAGCAGACGGTCATTATCACAGCACATTCCTCTTTACTTTTTATTACTGGAGAAAGTTTGGGATGTTTCAACTCTACATCGTTATTTTCCTGCTTGACTTCAGTTGCTTTCTTCTTTCTCCTGCTTTGACATGGAGTTGTTTCTTTCTCCTAAAAAATAAAAATAATAATGTAAATGAGCAAGTACCACGAATTTCAGGCTGTTTGAGCACTCACATCTGAATCCGATTCGTCCTCACTGGATTCTTGTACATTTTTACCGTATAATTTCAGAAAGACGTAGAGAAGATAGAAAATTAAGGGAAGTATCACGAGTAGGAGAGATGCAACAGTTAGCCCAGCAACAATATGGTCGACCGATACTATGTCGTCCATTATCTGAATTTCAGAATATCAACAATTCTGCTTGTTTTTAGCAAATTGTGTAAATACAAAAGGCGTTAGGTGATGGTTTTGACGAATTCTCGGGTGAATATCTTTGGCGGGGAGTTGAATTTTGGACTGATTTTTGGTAGGTTGCAAGATAATACTCTCAAAAAGATATCTTTAAAATTTTAGGGTGATAGCTTCACAAATGCACCCTACAGTGCCCCCGGAGTTGGTAGAAGCCAAAAAACACTTTCCAAACTTAATTGCTTATATAGCATGATAACCAAAGAGGTCAGAGGTGAATGATTGTTAATATAATAACCCTAGATAATCATTGCATGTAATAATAAAAGAATCCGTAATGAATCACACAACGTGGGCCTTCCATCATCGCGGATAGTTTGCCCAAAAAATGATAAATCAGACCGTGCGCGGAAAAATTAACCTGCTGACCTTGAAAGTTGACCCACCGGGTCAAATGCAGCTTGAGGGTAAAGCTGGAAGTGTCCTAAGTAATATTAAAACAAACAGTCAAGATTTTGTGTAAACAGTTTTATAGAAGGACCCGAGCTAATCAGCTGTCGCAGAATCCTAAAAAACTCGTGAACTTATTTGGAAAATTAATGGTCAAATTTTTTCGAAGATAAATTTTAATAATCTTTTGGTGTCCCCTGCTGCAGAACTATTTTATCTACAAGGTACAAGTGACAAAATAATAAAATTATTGCGTTTTGGTTAGTTAAATTATTTCTGAAGTTCGACATCGAAAACGACGGGAACTTTTCCAAAAAGTTTATAAGGTCTGATGAAAACTCAGTCCGTGGGGTGTAACCACTTATCAAAATTTTGTCAAAAGTACTTACAGTGCAATATACTATATGTACCTTGGATAAAAACCACGTTAGGGATTTTTAGCATCAAAGTCGTAAAATGTGGGGGCCTTAAAAGTGGAAGAGTTGCGTTAAAGAGCGCATTTCATTAGGACAAGTATGAAATTAGACTGTAAAACGGACTTAAAAGATAAGCATGAGGCAAAAGTGGTTTTATATAGTGAAAAGCATGCTAAGTCCCTTAAAAATAGTCGCAAAAACTATTTTTGCATCAGGACCTCAGAAAAAAATATTTTGTTCAACGCCATTTTATAAGAACACTGGTTTGGAAAACTAAAAAAGGACACCTCTCCAAATTTGACCTTGCCTCATTTCGCAGAGTACACAAAATCGGAAGCCAGATATGCTTACCTATAGTTTGAGACATGGGCTTTCAGATTAAAAAAGTTAGAAATCTCTACGACTAAAATCCATCCCGCAATTAAGGCATGAATTCGTCAAAACCATGTCCTAACGCCTTTTGTCATTTGTATTAGAATCAGACATTATTAAAACTTCATCTCACCCTTGAGGTTTGATTCTGACTGAGTTGAATACTCGAGCAAATATGCGTATTTATACATTTGCTCGAATTTCAATTTAATAACAAGATTTTGTACCAAATTCTCAGTAGTCATATGTATCTGTACTTAGCCTAAACAAAGTAGACGGAAAATGAGACAAAATATTGCACAAAAACATGTTATAGGGATTATTCTCGATTGGAACAAAATTTTTAAGTACTTACATATAAACATAAATGTAATTACATACATAAAAATAAGCTTGAAAAGCACACATCTTTATCGTGCAGAAAAATCATTCCTTGTTGATTTATTTTTTTTTAATTTTCGTTCTTATAATGAGACTCCTACTATCAAAAATTATACTCTCGTTTTATACATATTAACTACTTGTCTCAAAAGAAAGCCAGTAGGAGTACGAAAATTAGCTATGGCAAGAGTAGGAGTATGTATGTATATATGTGGGCAGAAACAGAAATTCTGCTGGAATTAAATACGAAAAGAAATTATCTGAACAAGCAACTCGACTATTTATTTAAACAGGTATAAATTTTCAAAGTCAAACATTTTTGTTTGTTTCCCAAATCTGTGAACCAGGATTTATATTTTTATGGACTTCGTAAATTCGATAAATTAGTTGGTTTTGATTCATGAGCACGAAATGTAAGAAAACATCAAATAAAGCTTCATCGATTAGCTAGTTGAAGTGAAGCATGAGCTGAAGTATTTTCGTACTCTACTGCGACTTACATCAAGCTACATTGTTACATTGGGTTGTTAAAGAGACAGTAACTTGATAACTTATCAAGTTACTGTCTCTTTAACAACCCTGTTGTAGATGGATCACAAAATATTAATATTCAAAAAATCCCTCATTGCGTAATTTATGCTGTCTTCCTGAAGTCGGAAGTGGTCCTTAAGATTAATATCCATTCGGATTAATTAAATTTAGGATGAAAGGACTTGACAAACTAATGATGAGATACAAATGAGAGTATTGCACACAAACAAACTTACAGTATTTACAATTTGATTTTTTATTGCGTTAATACATTCACTGAACCCCAACCAGAATTAGTTACGGGTTGCGACGGTACTCGTCGATGGTAGATTAAGAGGGGTCAAATCAATTTTAAATATCTCATCACGAGCTACTAACCTATCCGCAGTTACGTTAAACGTACTAACTCCAAAACAGTAAATTCTATTATTTCGAGCAACATAGACCGATGCGGGCGAGTGGTAAAAATAGTTTCCTGAAATCGGGTAGTTCCTCACTGGGACGAAAGCGTGCTCAAAAGTGATGGGATTAAATTGAATAATTCCTTCGGATGGCGTCACGGGTGGTGAATCAGGACGATAACCCCCAATCAGATAGGCAAATAGATTCCCGTCAAACACCAAGGATGGAAAAAGGATAATCCGCGGAAGGGTGGATGGACCAACAGACATCATTCGAAAAGTGTCCAAGTCCAATTCCATCGCCGTCGTTTGGTTTTCACCGGTCCCAGCATCAAAAACGTAAGCCTTATTTCCGTAACGAAAGGATGCTGCTTGATGAATTCCAAACGGCAAAGTTGCCACGGTTGAATGTGTAGAGAGCGACAGGTCCAAAGCCATCAGGGACGTGGGGTTGGCATCCCCTCCAATAATGTAGATTGTGTTACTCGTCCCATTGTATTTGACTGAAGTGCTGTCTTGAACGCTGAAGGGGAGTGTGACCACTACGGAAGTTGTATTCGTGGCTGGGCTGAATTTAACGACCTGTGTCCATTCTTCTCCATTATTAAGACCACCAATGTAATACATGTTCCCGGCTCTGTCACCCTGGACATGTCCATTCATACCGGAAGTAGGCAATGTCCCCACAAAGCGTATGACCTCTGAGATGATGGAATAAACCAAGATTTGATTTCGATTGTTTTCTTCACACCCTCCAAACAGATAGATGCTGTCGTTCCCATCGTAAAACGGCGTGAGACAAGAGTTTGGCGATGGGAGTTTAATGGCCAAATATTCAGGCGTGAGAATAGGTAGGCCTTGCCCGGATGAAGGTTTTAAAATTGACAATAATAGCAGAGTGCAAGTGGCTACTATTATCGTTGATAATTGAGAGGCCATTATAACTTAAAGAAATATTCTTTAAGAATATTTATATTAACCACTTTGTACAGCGATACGGATGCTAGTGGATAACTATTACATTATCTTAACGAATTACATATGTACATTGTGTAACATGCTGGGAAGTTTTGGTGACGCTACACGTTCATTCATTTTATTGACCTGTTTCATTCACATTCACCTGTCATTTGATAAAAATTGACATTTACTTTAACATATAAAACCAAAATTGAAGTTTGACAGATTGTTGATTAAACGTAACGAAATGTTTTAAGTCGACTAGTGACGTATTTATGTACCTATATGTACATAAAAGTGCATACAAGTGATTGGCTCCACATCCAGAAATTGTACATTTCAAGGTATTATTGCATAAAGTACATTTAACATTTATTACATACGTACACAGATAATTTTAATGCAGAACAAATAAGAGCGAATAATCGTACGCAGCGGTGTCTGATGAGAGATTTTAAATATAATTATGTTATGATGATGTAAAGATGTCATGTTAAAAATATTCTGAGTTCAATTCATATTCTATCCAAAAAATGCATAACACGCAAAGTGACAAAGTAATAGAATAAACGTGAACTTTTCACTTTTGCAGCCAAGTTCAGTTCAACTCTTGCAATAAGTCTATATGTACATACATATATAGTAGGTAGTCATTTGTACTCAAAAAGTGCACTATTTGCTTTCTTCGTAATCACTAATATAAAAATGTAAAGTTTGATTTTTAATAACATTGAGTATCATACTATTCATGCAATTATAATCTCTTCAGAATCTTAACTCAAAGTGATTATCTCATTCCCAACTATATAAGTACAAGAATATTATTACATAAGGAAAAATAGCGTAGAAACTTTCACTTCATGAGAACAATGTCTTTCACAACGACCAAACCCTCGACCTCCACCCATCTGCCTTATTACGACACAGATGACGGTTATTCTGCAGGGACGACCTTTTGTATTTTATTCTTTGTAACTATTTTATGCTATTTTGGGGGAGGGATTCTGATCAGGAAGGTCCTACGAGGAGCCGAAGGTCACGAAATGATCCCACACTACGACTTTTGGAGTGACTTACCAAATCTGATTAGGGTAACGTTTCATTAATAATTAAAATATTGTGATTCATTCAGCAAATGTATAGGTTTATTTTATTTACAGGATGGGATCATTTTCACAATTAAAGGGTGCCAGCCTGAAATCATTTATGAAAGAATTTAACTCAGAAGAATAAGAATTTTATAATTTATCAAAAATGATTACGACTATAGATATCCCTCATCTTGAAATTAGTTGTAGTTTGTGGAGAATTTATACGTTTTCAATAATGCTTATAGATTTATTTAGCATTTTATAAAACTAAAAATATGATTGCAACCATTCCCTCACTTTAAAAGATTGTTAAACTGTACCCATTTAAAATCATGTATCTGTTTGTACCAGGAAAATAATGAAAATGAACGAGGAACTAAATATTAATAATAAACGGTTTTAGAATACATTGGAGTAATGTTGATATTAAATTTTATTTTATTAAAGCACCTTGGAATTGATATTAATAGTTTTATAATGCACTAATGATTCACATTCTTGTTAGATAGGCATTGATTGGATTCGATGTATGAATATATGCATCAATCATGTGATATGATACATATGAGTACTTGAATGAATTTGCGAATTGTTACACTACACAGATCAATTCAAAGACACATTGCTTATACATACATACCTCAAAATTAAATTAATTTGGACCAAATTATAAATAAGGGGTACGACAATAATTATGGAAGTACACATGTACATATGTAGGCACACAATAAATCTCATAAAGTAACTTAGATTCCCATTGGCAAAAATATATAACATATGAACTATAAGCCCTTCTAGCATGTATTAATATAATGGAAGCAAAAGTGGAATTAGTAGTCACAGTTGGTCATGTCACAAATAATCTCAGTCCTCATCAGAAGAATCCTTTGAGAGGGCGTATGAATGATATAAAAAGTTCCTACAACCCAAGTATCGGAAATCGTCTGAAGACAATAACTCGACCCTTTCCGATAGATCATCTGCCAATCTCGCAGCGTACCATCCAATCTGTCCGACAGTATTGGATCGGAAGACGGAAATCGCCGTTAAATCCTTTTGGGCTAAGGCCTCTAGAATATTTAAATAAACAAGACACATATTCACATGGTACTTATTACTATTTAAATTTTAGTATGCATTTGAAAGCTGCAACTTGTATTACCATCAATGCGAGCGAAACAAGTCCCAGGCGGGGTTAAGTTTCCAGTGAAGAATACCATAGTTCCATCCAAAGGCAATCCCCCAGCGAAAATGTTGTTATTAATTTCAGTTAGCAATCCAAGGGTGTCACTACCGACTCGTCCGATTAAGGTGAAAATCCCCTTGTTCGTTGTAGCCACTATCCTAAGGGACTTCATAGAAGGGGGAGAAGGCGGGGGTCCTTTGTTTACTGTGCATTGTATTCCCTTGTCAATGGCGATAGAACCAGCGTTAATTAAATTGATGGACTCATCATTTAATTCGCCAACAAGATATCCAGACACTACGGCGCTCTCCAAAAACTTGATGTCAGGTGTGTCAGAGCCTAGAGTCGGGTGAAATTATAGTGATTACATAGGAGCAATAAAAGTAATCCCAGCATAAACCTTGACATAAGTTATTTTTCCTTACCATGAGTTATAATGTCAAATTTGCTCACGGATCCCAAAATGGATGAAAAGATCCCGAGTGACCGCCCCAAGTTCACCCATTTCACGTTTTGTGCCTCCATAGCTGTCAGAAGACTTCCTGCGTTTACAGCTCCGACGAAACCTTCACCTTTGAAGAAGGAGACAAACTGTTCAGCAATTTCTTCAGCGACACGCAACTGAGCTTCAGAAGTGCTTGCACCTGAGACGTCACATAAAAGTTAGACTTGCTTAAATCATGCTACAATTTTATACACATACCGAGATGCGGAGTGCAGACCATCTTTGGATGGGCAAGCAACTCTCTGTACGAAATGATTATATTATACAATTAGTTGCTGCATATTCTGATAGCTTGATTTAAATATATGTAGAAACACCCACTTGTAATATTCACTCTTTACTGGCTCTTCTACGAAAACGTCTAGACCAGCTCCACCACAAAGGCCACTCTTCAAGTTTTTCAGTAGGCTACATTCATCGATAATTTTTAAAATTCGTTAATTTATTTAATTAAGCAAAATTTTGATAAATGTTCATAATATAGTATTCATGATAATGGATGGGTGGACCCAAATAAAGTTGAAAGAGATTAATACCTTAGTTCATCGATAATTCCACCTCTCGCCACGTTAACCACTTTGACTCCAGGTTTGCATTTCTTGAACACTTCATCATTGATAAGATCTGGAAATTTGGGTATTTATGTATTACCATTTCCTATAAAGTCGAGTCGTACATAATACATGCGTACATTACATATGCATCTCGTCAATAATTTAAAGAAACTTTGCCTACGTTTAGTTTGAGGGATGAGAGGGACATGCACCGTGATGTAGTCAGCCACCGGCCAAATTTTTTCCAAGTCCATGCTTTCCACACCAAATTGGGCGGTGACTTCAGCCGGAATAATGGGGTCGTAACCAATTGTCTATACAATTTTAAACACGTTTTCCTCATTGCATATCATCAACATTAGTTATACCATTTTTACCTTCATCCCATATGATTGCATTCGTAGAGCGACTTCTTTTCCGATCCTTCCAAGACCCAAAATTGCCAAAGTCTTTCCACTTAATTCATGTCCAGAATAAAGTTTTCTATCCCATGCGCCCTGCTTCAAGCTTGCACAGGCTTGTGGAATGTTTCTATACATAAAATACAGCATGTAAATAAAAGATGCATCTACATATCAGCTATTCAAACAAATTCTTCAATATCTGTCAGTTTCTCTAGTACTTACCTTGCCATTGAAGCAATCAAGGCACACGTATGTTCGGCTGCACTGAGCGTATTCCCACCCGGAGTGCTATAACATATCGGAACATTATTGATATACAAATTGCAATTAATATCAACTCATTCATCATTATGCATGACAAGTTCAATACTTCATAACCAAGATGCCCTTCTTGGTCGCAGCTTCTAAGTCGACATTGTCCACACCGGTTCCTGCCCTTCCCACGACCTTGAGACCAGTTGCAGCTGCCAAGATATCGGCAGTGACCTTTGTCTCTGATCGAACAATTAGGCCGTCATAGTTCTGTCAAAGAAAATTAAAGATAATCACATATCCATTTACATATGACTATTTAAGATCTCGAGTAACCTTAATATTTTCGATTAGCTGCTCCTTTGTCAACTTGATTTGGTCGACGTGAAGTCCATTCTTTTGTAAATAGTTGGCGCAGACCGTGTCGACAGGGTCGGTAATGAGAATCCTTGCTGAAGGCATAGCGTCAGTGGTGAATTGTAGGTAATGTGAATACTATTTTCCAAAATGTGTGTGTTGGGAGTTGGTTGCACACAGTTTAGTTTTATGAGTTAATCAATTCTCTACAGAGGCAGGCACCAGGCAGACACAAGGCTTATTAAATTAGTGCTGATAATAAAATGCAGTGGGAGTCTTACTAACTTTAACTAAAGGAGCTTTGCTTAACAAAATCTGCCTATCTGACCAACAACCAGATATGGAATGGTGGAGTATAGCAGTAGTGGCTGAAATCTGACATATTTTATTATGCAGTGGAAAAGTAATGAAATGAAATAACAACCCGGCTCTTCTCTCTGGATGTTGTGATGTTGTTTTGTTGCATTGTAAATGAGATGATCGTGCAGTGTTGTTGGATAGCTTTTAAGTTGCTGCCTGGATGAAATGAAAATGGATTTGTGGATGTTAAAGAAAACAAGTTGGAGTGGTTTGTTGCTTATTTTCTGGTGGTGCATAATAATGTGACCGATATGGTGGAGGTGTGGCAAAGACGTGGTGATGATAATAAAAACTCATGACACTTGACTTGGCACACATGACGTTGACATGATTTTGTGCCCTGTGAACTTTTGTTACACATTTCCGAGTCAAAATCATGATGAGCAGGCGTGATATATATGTAAGGATTATAGGGCATGTAATATCAAATTCTCGGATTTAGAAATATTGGTTTTCTATGCTGATAAAATTCGCAAAAATGCATAAGATCATGAGAAAAAAAAGAAGAACAAATATTTCAGGGTGAATTCTCGGGAAACCAGTTAATTAATGCAAATTGAGGAATAAAATCGCGTGACCCTTTGCTGATGAAATTATATTTTTGTTATTTAAGATACAAAAAACGATGTATGTATAAGAAATTAATTGAATGACAAACTTTTACTGGCAGTCTCGTGAGTGCTTGGTGAGATCAGTTTTCTTCTTGTACCGTTTCGAACAATTTCTGCATTTGTATGTCACTTTGAGATGAACTGCTTTCACGTGACCTGGCAAACACTTTTTCTCACGAGTGGCATATTTGCATCCTGGTTCTGTACATTTATGAAGTGGGGCTGTCTCGTCGTGTGCAATCTTCTCATGCTTCTGCAAGTCTCCCTTGTACTTGTACGAGCGAGAACATTTTGTACACTGGAAACGTTCATCAGTGTCACTCCTGATCACACGTGGTTTCCCTTTCCCATGTTTCGATAAGAGATGGTAGGTTAAATTTTCCCCGCTGGTTAGCCATGTCTTGGAACATTCTGGTTCGGGACACTGATATGGTTTTTCTCTAGTATGGGTCCTGAAATCATATGAATTTTGCGAATACTTGGAAATCATGGGCATGACATAAAAACATACATATATTGATACAGTGAAAAATGGACTAACCTGAGGTGTTTTAAGAGTCCACTATGTCCGTGGTACAATTTTGTACAAAAATAGCACGTCACATCTCTCGTTTTGTGTCCTATGCCATGCTTCTGTTTCAGGTGAATATCTAGCCCGAGTTTTGTCTTGTACAATGAGTCGCATTTGGGACAGGGGATTTTGTTCTCAGAGTGCATCTGCATGTGGGAGTTAAGCCTTGTCAAAGTGATAAACCCTTTAGAACAATGTTTGCATTTGAAGGATCTGTCACTCGAATGCATCTTCACGTGAAGATCGCGTCCACTTTTTTCTGCAAAGGTCATAGGGCAAAGGGGACATTTATGGGGGCGAAGTTTTAAATGAATCCTTCTCCCATGTCGTTCAAGATCTCTCAACCAGACTGTTGTGTACGAACAATGAATGCACTGATAAACTGGAGCATTTTCGTTGTGCTTCATCTTGAAGTGAGTGGCGAGGTCGCTTTTCCATTTGAATTTTTTGGGACAATGGGGACAACAGAATGGATCCGTTTTTACATGGGTGCGCTCGTGACTCCGAAGACCAGCTAAAGAAGCCAGCCACATTTTGCACTGCCCACAAGGAAACGGTCTCTCCAAGGTGTGCCTTTGTAGGTGAATACTCCTTGCACTTGGTGTTTCCATCTTTTTGTCGCAAAAGTAGCATGAATAATTTCGTGTCCTTTCGATACCTTTGTGTCGGTTTGAGTGATGTTGGAATCCAATTTTTGAGAGGAATTGCATCCCACACTCAGAGCACACCCATTGCTCCCGTTTGTCCAGATTTAAATGAGTCTCTCCATGTTTGTCAAGCAGTGCTTTTTGGGCGAAGCGTTTCTTGCAACCCTGCACTGCACATGCATACGGTTTAACTGTACTGTGGGTCACAATATGAGATTTAAGATGAGATTTTCCCTTGAACTTGGCCGGGCAGAGGGTGCAACGGTACTTTCTTGCAGTGGGGAGATGTGTCTTGATGTGTTGTGTGAGGAGAGCGTGGGTGTGGCAAAGTCGGTCGCACGTGGGAACAGGGCACCGAAAAGGGTTGCCGTCTCGGTGAACTGAAAGATGTCCGCGCATACTCTCCAGAGCAGATTTGCTAAAGTTGCAAATCTGAAAAATGATATCAAATATGTACAACTTACAGAAGCTTACATGCACGTGTTGAGCATTATATAATATACTAATGTGTCAAATTATCAACCTACTCGACAAGCGAAAGTCCCATTTTTGAGCGAAATTATTTTAGTCTTGAGGTCTTTACCAATTTCTGCAGAATATTTCTTCATTGCCTTTAATTGTTTGGAACTTATGGCAGCATATTTGGAGGACGTTATTTCGGGACTGCATATATTTATGTATACAACATTTTATTTAATCATTTGATGATTTACATTCAACATTTTGACTAACCTGGTCTTGGGCGATTCAAGTTTGACCTCGCTTTCGAATTGTACAGCTTTGTCATCATGGTCGTCATCTTCCTGTTCCTGCTCAGTCTTGATAATCACCATGTCCCCGACTTCCACTTCATGGTCATGTATCATCACTTGATCAAGCTCGTCAGTATTCTCCTCTATCTTAAGATTAGTAGGCTGCAATAATGAGACATCTTCGTCTTCATCTTTATTCGGATCTTCGATTATTGTAAGAATAGGTTCCATTGTGAAACTATATTTTTTCAACAATGGGTGAAAATCACGTATTTATTATGTATGTAAATATGTACAGAAAACAGTTTAAAATTAACTTTAATACAATGATACCTTTAGCTTTGATTGGTCTACGTGATTGGATATGTTTTAAATTATCAATGTGTATTATTTTATATTAGTTAATCTAACCAGTGTCAGCTTATTTGCCATTTGGCTAAATGTTAAAGACTATGAACATGGAAAATGTGGCTAAACACGTGCCTTTTCCTTTTCGTGTTTTGGATTTTGGCTTTGATTTTGCATACTTCAGGCCATACATGAGAAAATATTTGTCCTTGACTTTAAAGTGCATACATTTCGTGAATACATTGAAAATTAGCTGATTCTATAGTCGGTCAGTGCATTTGACAAAATATGCGATGAAATCTATGTATAAAAGTATTTGATTTGAAATTGAGCAAAGGATATGGTTTGTGCAAACCAAGCATCAAGTCAATGTACGTAAATTATATTGAGCTCCAATTCATTACTATTTACAAAATTATTTATTAATTTGTGATTATAAATTGCTTAAAAATGTGTGTACATCAAAATATCGTTTTAGTAGCACATACGATTTAGTGCTTACAATCATTTCATACAAAGTATTATTTATTGAAAGAACGAATGTTTCTTACTCATTCGGTTGAAGTAAGCTTACATAAATAAAAAGCATTTGGCGTAACATAATTACATAATTGTAACTGTTAATATTATTTGACTTGGATAGTTTGAATTCTCTCGATCCAATAAAGCCATTCTTCTTTATTTCCCACTGCCTTTAATTCCCAGTGCATATGCTATTTACCCGAAAGATATGTAATCTAAGAGAATTGAAGGGCGTTCTTGCAATGAAGGACGTTGTAAAATATGCTCAAGTTGTGTTCTGACATCGGTAAACGATGGTCTCTTTTCGGGATCAGAGTTCCAATAACTTTGCATCACTGAAAATCTATGAACAAATAATTATATGTAAGCAACAATAATTTTTAATTTCCATTGACTTGTATGACGAACAAGTATTTATGTATTAATGCACGTACAATTCATCTGAAGCATAGGGCGGCTTACACAACCTTATATCATTTCCTTTCAATTGTTCACCAAATTCCGTCGTGTATCCATATCCAGCGTATGGCGTCTCTCCGAGAGTAAAAAATTCCCACATCGTTATCCCGAATGACCAAACATCGGACGCAGTAGAAAATTTTAGATCGCACAAACTCTCTGGGCTCATCCAACGCCAGGGCATCGGTGACTTCATGTCATGTAAAAAGTATTTATGTAAATATGCACAAAGTTATGCAACTGTCACGCCTCGATTTTTACCCAATGGGACGAGCCACTTCATATGCTTATCATGTTCTTACGTCATTCTGCTTAATGTACGCCGAGTAGTGATACAGTTGCCGGGATAAGCCGAAATCACAGATTTTTGCGGTTTTATCTTCAGTGAGCAAAACATTTCTGCCAGCAAGATCGCCGTGAATTATCTGTATGCAATTAAATTGTACAAAGGTTAATAATATTCATATTTTTGTCTGTTGTTCTTGTAAATGTGTACCTTCTTGCTGGAAATGTACTCCATTCCACTTGCAGTTTGCCACGACCATTTTATCAAATCCGACAAGCATGGAGGAGCATAACTTGTGTCTGATGCACTGAAAAAATTGATAAGGGTTTCATCTTCAATCACAAATTAAGGTTTACGTATCCACATGTGCCAGGACTAACATTCCCACCGAAGCTAACTGGACATCAAGACATGGAACGAACGTGCCTCTATTAGCCCGTAAATAGTTTGTAATACATCCAAGTTTACAAAATTCGACGACAATATATATTTTTCCTGCAAAATTATCATGCCAGTGTTTATACATTAAATTATAAATCTTTTGCTTGCATGCCTTACTTTCCTTCAACATTGAAGTACATGCCCCCACTAAATTGACGACATTTTCATGTGGTCCAACATAGCTCAAAGTTTTCAATTCTAGAAGTAGAGCTCTGAAATAGCATACGTTCGCATCTTTTGACAGCGTCTTTACAGCAACGGTTGTGCTTCTCGACGCGGTGAACGGATCTCCTTCCACCGCTAAAAGCTTAGCTTTGAGCACAGTTCCGAACGCTCCAGACCCAAGAGGATTTCTTTCATCGAGCTTGATTCTTGTAAATGGAATTTCTAAATCCGACCTGTACGGTTTATGCTTCACATCCGAATCTTCGTGCGGTGAGATGGTTGGATGACCTTGGAAGAAACTTTCAATTTCTTCGTCCGATAATTCCCTCAATGCCGAGTTGAAGCCCCCATAATATTTTATCTCTATTATGTAGCAGAAGACAACCCAAAAAGAGTATAGTTTGTAAACTATGAGGCCACCAAATATTGCAATGCCGTAATTATGTGACCAGCCGAGGTAGAAAGTGTAGACTAAGTATGCCACGACATACGGAATGAAAATAATACTGGATATTATCATCCATCGTTGTAGACGTAATTTTCTTCTCTATTAATAAGTACAGAATTCAATTTCATATTTTTTTTGTAATTTTGTAACAGAGTATGTACATACTTTATCTGCAGACGAGTACAACATCTTGGTGATTGGTATGCTGACAATGTGATATACGTAAAAGTAGCCCCAGATGAAGAATCTTACTGCAATTAAATAAACGTAATTATAAAAATAAGCAACAAGTCTGTTGATTGTATATTTACATATTTTGACATGAATATGCCGATTAGCATCCATTGGGCCCCAAGCATTTAACGAGGACATAATTCCAGTCGTAATGCATAGTATCATTCCGATTTGGACGCCCTGGAGTTAAGACTTTAGTTATTTAGTATAATCCCAATGATTTGCCGACACGATATGGTTGTGTTCTTACCACTTCGGTTATTGCCAAGGATTTTACTGCTCCTTGAAGAAAAAAACCAAAACATGGTCGGCCCACGCGATATCTAGAGTTCGCATCACCCTTGGACCGGTTCATGACAAATTTGTTTTGCTGGGGATTCACAGAGATTTGCATACTTTTGCAACTCGAGAGTATAAAATGTAAAACCGTGAACAGGAACAAGAGCTACGTTGTTATTACAATAAAGACGATAGCGGTCGTAGAGTGTCATTGTCGTCATGATGTTTATGCAATTTAGGTAATCTCAAATAATCAAACAATTTAACAATTACCACAAGTCAGGAATATTGTAACTCAAAAATCAACTCAAATATCTATTATGAATGACAGATTATTTACGCAGTTCACCTTTGTAATGTAGACTTTAGACTATTTATGTATAATTAACTACTTATGGTGATAAGCCATGTGAACAGTACACATGGGTTATCCAAAAAATAATATGTGCACATGGTCAATCAGTTCTCCTACCTTTTCTGATAAGCTCTGATTAACTCATTCCGTTCGATGTTTACACATGTATCTAATTTTTAGATAAGCCTTATATATGTGTTACTTAAGTTTTATACTGTCCACTAAAATTAATGAGGTCCAACGACGTATTTACATGCATTTCTGACTATTCTGGATCAGTGAATTATTCATTGGAGTATGAATTTTATTCGAAGAGTATGCATTACATATTATCATTTTACATCATCATTCGGAAAAACCTAATCGACCGGCGCCTGATTATCCGGTATAAATATAATTATAACAGCGCTATTTTTGGAGGCGTGGGTTGGACTGTTTAATTTTGCAAAATTGATGGTGGATAAAAAAAGAAGCTAGAAACAGGAACTGGAAGCAAATAATTCCTTGGGTAAATTTTTAATTTCTCAACTTTACTGCATTTAACCTAGAATAATGAATAATCCAATCAATTCGACATATGTATGTATCATGTACGCAAATATTGCTTTCTTTGAATGATGATGCAAAATGTAATTGTGTATACTCTGCGAATACAATTTATGTATACTCCAATGAATATAAATAAATACTTACATTCGTAAATATGTGAATGCATGAATATATCTACATATGTATATGTACATACATGTATTATTTAGTAAATGGATATGGACCAATCATAATTTATTTAATAACGGATAATAACAGGATTATGACATATATATTTGAACCAATTGTTTAAGTAGTTTGTCAAATATCTGTGTCCACATTTAAAGTGAATCCAGACTACATGACCCTTCCCTAAAACGTGTTTGGTGTGCTCCATATTTGTCGACTAGCTAAATGTACAAGTCATCCCCAAGAGTGGTGCTGGGCGAAATGGGGCTGGGCGAAGTGGTGCTGGGTTCAGCGGTCGTAGTGCGAGAGCAGTTTGTCTCGTCAGACTTGTCTGGACAATCATGAACTACAAATAATGGAAGGTATTCCCAATACAAATTTAAAATGCCAACGTAACCCAATTATTTAACTAATCATAAATATGTGTTTTTACTTCCATGCTCGTCACACCAGTATTCTTTCAAAACACACGTTCCATCATCACATCGCGTCTGCATATTGTAATAAAAACATTTTTTAACTGTTGTGCATGTATTTACTACAAAAAAGGGGCTACAATTACCCAATCGTCGACCGGATCAGGGCATGGACAATCTCTTTCGTCAGATCCATCCGCACAATCATTATCTACAAGATTCGAGTCATAAAATATCTAATGATCTGCTCGAATAGAATTTCAATTGCTTTCAAAAACTAACTTACCACCGTCGCATTGAAATAATAGAGGAATACAGTTCCCGTTGGTGCATGTGTACTGATGAGTACAAAATCAATAAAATTTGATATGCACAATTAATTCTACTCATTTTGGTATTATAGCAAGTACCTGGTCAGGCCTGCATCCATCGACGTTGCAGTATTCCGGTTTCTCATCTGAACCATCTCCACAATCTGATTAATTTTAAATTTGAGTATATCCCAAATAATATAGATAAATGAGATCGAAATATTTAGCTACCATTGTCTCCATCTAAGAAAAGTAAGATATGTATGTATTTATTAATATGTATGTGTATCTTTAAAGTGTATGATATTTATATCGATTCTGACCACAAATCCATGGACTGGGTATGCAATTTCCGTTGTCGCAAGGGAACTTAAAGGAAAAATTCGATGTACTCGTTATCCAAAGTTGAAAAGTAGGATATCAATTTATACCTCGTGGATGGGGAGGCATTGTTCTTGAGCTAAAGTACTGGCAATGCAGATCAGTACAACAAGACACACCTTCATGATGCTATCAGTAGATATATAGGAAACAAAGCGTCCCAATGACCTGGAGTTTTGACCAGTTCTAATCTACCCCCCGGATGGTGGATAAGTAGTACTGTATTTATGTATGTATCTACAGGTAGTAAGTATAGATCAATGCTAATTAGACTAGTTTGAATAAAATTACAGATTTTCCCAACAATTCCCAAAATATTTTCTGATGTATGTTTGTATTTATTCGAGGTATGTATGTTTAATTCAGTTATTCATTAAAGTATGGTCAGTGGTCGTTTTATTAAGCAATGCGATACGTAAATACATAAATTAATTGTACATATGATAACTTTCGATCAATTTGATAATCTCAATCCCTGATTTCACTGTGTGACATTGATAATAAAACGTATGAATGGATAAAGAACAGTGCAGTAGGACATGAGAGATTTAGTATCTATATTAATTAAAATAAACCGTAGTAACGTTAGAAGTAGCTCACCCTGTCATGATGATTCGACAGAACTTTGCACCGAAGGTGCAGAAGAGCTGAGCCAGCCCAAGTGTACTACAAAACTCATTTCCATTTTAGCATGAGGCAGAGTGAGAATCGGATTCTGGTGGGTATCCACCACCACCGCTGGTTGTCGTTTTGACAGTGCCGTATGGCACGTTCGTATAAATTAAAAAAAACCTAAGTTTTAAATTTGGGGTGATTAGGTAATTAAAATATCACAAGTTTTAGTAAGTTGGGTAATTGACTTACATATCTCATTAGTGGCAAGAGTTTGTTACGGCTCTTGGAAAATAAGTCCATCCCTCAGAAACTTTGACCTCAAATTTCTCATGGTACCAGCGTTTCCCTTCGGGCGACAAAAGCAGAAAATGTAGCTCTTCTCAAGGAGAAAAATCTGACATTAGGTTGTCCGAAGTGAATGGCTGGTACCATGCGTTTTTTAATGATTTGTGTGTACGTAAAAAAACCGCCAATTTTCGAATTTTGAAACTTTTGATGCATCAAAATATTCGTTTTCAAGGGGGAAGTCAAATGTCAAATGCAAGTTGAGGTCTTCTTCTTATTGTACCGAATGTACATTTGATCTCTCATTTTTCCCGATTTTATTCCCCAATTTTTAAAGGGGGAGTGGTTGCACATAATTCAAAAATAGCTATGCTATATCAATCCTTCCTCCCAAAATTAAATTTGGAGTTTTGTTTATTAAATTCGGTGACATTGATGCGAAAAGGATTTGCACAGTACACTTGGCCTTCCTCAGAATAAGCCGGCAATATAGATTATAACTCGTATGTATTATTGCACCCATGGTGAAACAAATACGGCTAGCCGTTGCACCATTACTGCAGCATTAGCGACCATCCGGGATACATAATTTTGAAAACTTTGTCAAAATTGTATGACCATTTCTCCCGGATATTTTGCACTATTGGTGCGTTTTGCATCCCTTCTCCCAATTATTTCGCATCATTTTGTGTTACCGATTGTTAGATATCAACGGTGCTATTAATTTATTAAAAAATTCGATTCGGTTTGTTCAATACCAATGGTGCGCCTAACTTATTCTATAATGGTCAAGGGGATTTTTAAATAGCATCAATTGATGCAAAAAACTCGTTAACAGACGGACAGACGGACAGACGGACAGACGGACAAGAGGAATTCAATAGCTCTCATGCTACGCAGGGTGAGCTAATAATGATAAATGACAATGCATTTAGTATGTATGTTGTAAGTAAATTTATTTTCCACAATTCGTCCATCGCATTTTATGCACATACATATACACGAATATAATACGCTTAGCTTTATTACTGCTCAAAGAGGTGAGATTGGCTTTAATTGTCCAGAAGACTATTTTGTCAACGCCACCCCGGAAACATGACGTGCATGTTTTATTTCAAGTTCTAAACTGCATTGAACGTGAATGCTTATAAGAATGCACCTGGTAGCACAGGCACATGAATTAATAAGGTTATTAAAGCAGATTTACAGTCAATTGCAATAATCACGGCACTAATGCAATCAACACTCTGCATTTTAGTCAAGTGTGCAGATGCTGGCAAGAATTAATCAAGTATTTTATGTACATTTTGGAATAGAATGAATCATCCAAATTTTCTTGTCGGATTTTTATACCAGTCGCTATGAAATTCAGAAAATGTTTCAAACATATTTATACAAGAAAATGGAGAGTGAATTTTATTCCACTCTAACATATCAACGTTTGCCGTGCAGATAGATATTGCTCAAGCGGAAACAAACAGACTCCGAATTTTACGAGTTTCTCATCCTTGTGCTAAAACAAATTACGCAATATGACCAACTTAACAAAGTGAATATAAATAAATATGAGTGTCATAACGAATTTTATAGGTATTTGTAGAAAGTTAGTTTTTCCATACGAATAACATTTCATAAAATATGGCGCAGTTCTAAATACTTGATATTGAAACTGGTAATAAAATAGTTATGCATATGGTGGTCGAATTGAAAGGATACATATCAATAAAACCAATTTTGCTACGGGAGTTAAACGAAATTTTAATTTTGGGGTTAATTACAATTAACACTTTACGACGAGTGTCTACAAAATTCGCATTGGTTTCAATCTCGCACGCTCGTGACAAATTTTTACGTGTTCTGCTTTATGAAATGATGGATCGAATATGTAGAGACCCAGGCAGTTGTCGTTGTGTAGAGGCTTGAAAAGTAAGCAAGTTGACAAAGTACTTGACTTATGTATGCATTACTTAATATATCCACTGCCACCAACACCGGTAATGGCACAGTGATGAATGGTGTCGTTAAGAAGACACACACATCCATTAAATTAAGTAATAATTTACTATATTGAAACCACCACTGCTAGAGAGCTACATTTATGTGTGCAAGAATTTTTGAAGTGCATGACTCAAGACGACGACGTGGATGTTGAATAATTCATTCACGCACATTATTAGGACATTTAGTAGCGAGGACGGATAAGATTAGTCATCACTTTTGCTGTATGGTTCTCAAGTGCATCAATTTGTAAAAATGTGGGAGGATGATAAGTTATTGTTGTTGTGAGGTATGCATAATGCTGGGCCAAGCGAGACAAGATTAAGCTTTGGTTTAACCTTCATTCATACGAAGGATCAAGCGTCTTCCCATTTCATTACGTGCATTTTTCTCCTAAATGTTCTCCTACGATCTACCAATAGAGAGCAATATTCAGTTTCACAAAACGCGAATAAGGATAAAATGTGGGTGAAATTTTATGATTGTTCAAGCAGAAAAATTTCGTCTAATTGAATTAGCAGTTATTAACACCAGTACAATAACATACCTACACATCAAATAGTTATTTAGTTATTGCGAACAGACCCAGCCCAACGATAGCCACGTTAAGTTAAAAAACAAAACAAACTGTTAACTGTTAATCTCACGAGGTTGCTGTGAGTGAGTAATCCGACTCCCACAATACTTGACGTTTTTTTGCTATAAATATATGAATTTGTTACTACCGAACTGAATGCATACTTCAGTATAGATATGTTCCATCATTGCTAATATTACGGATTGGATTTAAAATAAAAGTAGTGATTCGAGTGTTTAAGCAAATATCATCTCGACATGAACGCACCTCAACTTTAAAGCACGAACAAACTATTCGATCTCTCTCTCGCATCATCCAGGCTTCTTTTTTCACCACCATATTCCGTATCACAACTACGTAAGGACAAGAGGTGAAGCACAAGGTGTGAAATTGGGTTGAGTAAATAAATGCTAATTGTTGAAGCAATTATGGACTTCCACCACCATTAATATCACATCACCCTCCCATCCAAAGCATAAGAATCATTCGAATGCACTACCTGCCTCCCATAATCATAATAACACTGCTCCACTCAGCTCCACTACTAAACCACTCTAAATTGACAAGTTTGTAGTTTTGGAGCATCCATTGGGGCAGAAGGTTCTTATTCTTACCAAATATTTAGTTGCGCAGAATGGTCGCCCCCCAAAATATGATAATGACACGACAGCGACGACGACGACGACGAAACTCATATCCGCCACTCCGTGATCCGCACTAATGTGAGAAGAAGAAGTAAAAGCAATGCAAAAGTAATGTTCTTACCTTTAGTTGGTCTTGTCATGTAAGAATCATAGTTAAAGTTAAACTCAGTCCTGGTAGAGCAGTGAGCACAATAAGAATAGTTGGAGAGATAGAGATAGAGGAGTGTGAGGGTGGAAGTTAAGTGGATGGATGGAGTGCGTGAATTTTCTGCGTGCAAATTAATTCAAATTAGCAACCAAAGAACTAACGCACTTCCTGGTTTGGTTCATTTCACTCCGAACGCACAGTAGAAAGATTAGCGTTCGTGGTGTAGTGATCTGGATGTGGGCCACCAAATAGTGAGTGGGTGCAAGTACGACATTGTTCCGTTATTTGGCCGGGGCAATGATGTCCCCAGTCTAGCATATTTCAAAAAATAAGAAAAAAATGGAAGAAACTTCATCCCTCAGTGGAAGTTCTGGGTCATCCGGCCTCTGCTTGGGGGTGGGGGGGCCTTGGTGGGGTCGGATTGGAAGTGTCATCTTTTTCATAGCTTTCCTTCTGATTTTTACATCTTACGTGGCTCCAGATTGGATTGAAATTAATACGGGAAGGGCACCGAAGGATACAACGTTTCGAAAGTTGGGCTTGTGGATGAGCTGCTATACAAATTTGCATGATCCGTATTACTACGATCCATATCTTACGTCAGGATTTGAAGGATGTCGATGGATCTATTACCCCGTGGTTTCCACATTTCATGACTTGAGGGACTTTTTACTTCCATGTAAAAAAACGTATATTAAATATTTTTATTGGTATGAGAAAAATATAATTTATTTTTTGGGGGCAATGTAGCATTTATCATTCCGGTTCAAATTACGTACACCCTCTGTTTCGTCACCGTGCTTGTGCTGTTCTTTATGATTCTGGTGTACATAATTCGCTACAAGATTAATGAAGTGGGGACGCTGCCGTATCTTATAGTGATTGGGATGATGTTACAAGGAGCAGGTAACATGAATTTGAAAAAAAAAATATTCTAATTTACGTATGTACATATGTGGGGCATTTTGATGATTTTTTTTCATATCATGAATCATTTAAAGGTCTGCTCGGAACAATTTCCGTAATTGTTTTCGGAGCACTTTCCCGTTCCAGGACGTGGGCTCATGAGTGGCAGTTCAATGACTTATCCTGGGCGTTTGCCGTTGCGGTCGCGGGCGTTGTGCTGCTCCACTTGGCCGGCATATTGTTCCTTGTGGAGGCGCATTGTCAATACAAAAAGCGTAGCAGACAAAGGATAATGCACGGTAGTTATGATTTGAGAAGTGGTGGGGCTTCAGGTCTCGGTTATCAGGACGAGTTGAAGAAAAAATTTGGAGAAAAAGCGTGACAATCAGCCGCGGACTCGGGGGAAGGTCAAGAAGCCGGCTCCTCCGGTCCGCGGGGTATCTTTTCTGGATTGGGTGACCTCATACCGCGACTCACTGCACGGGTGAGAGACAGTTTTTCAGAAGCAGTTGGTCGCGCAGGTGGTGGAGGGGATGAAGTAAAATTAGCCGAGCCACAGCCACATCCAAGACAAACGACATACATTCCTGGAGGAGATCATCCTTCTGGATTGCTGGGGGAAGGTGGCTCAGTGACGCCAACATCGGACGAGGATGGAGAGCAACAGCAACACGAACGAATGTAAGTATGTCGGTTTACATCAATACGTTAAATCAATAATGCTTTAACTGTGCATGTTCCTATGCACGTAGGATACCAATTCAACGCCGAAACCACAATACCTCATCAGACGAATCTCTAAATGACCACTATCTCGGAAGACCCCCCATCGCGGCACCTCGGTCGCCACCTCAAATGTCGCCCACGGAGGATCAAGAATTTGGAGCAAGTCGAAAGTACGGGGGTCCAGCAGATAGTCGTCCAGATTCTGGTTTTCCGCCATCTCCTATTTTTCCACAACCTGTTGAAGAACAACCCCAATCACCACCAAGACCACAACAATTATTCACATCCAGTCTTATGGGAAAGTTTAAACCTAGCAAGAAAGGTCAGTCGGACAATGGTGGACAAAAGAAGCAGAAACCAAATTTGGGAAGAATTTTTTCGTCGCCACAAAGTTCCCCTGAAGGACAAGGGCTGGGTAAAAATATTTGAATTTTGCCAAGTTTTTATGCTACCGAAATTAAACCGTCTAATTTAGTTAAACTTATAATTCTGCATTATTGTCTGTAGATTTGGATGATCTGGAAGAAGGTCCACCTCGAGTGAGGCGACCAAGTGGACGCTTTCAACACCGCAACAGTGTCCGCACAGATAACATGGAACTTCAACAAGCCCACTCTCAGTTGCCTCCTCCACCACCCCCACCAGCGACCCCACTTTCCATTTCAATTCACCAATCTCAATCCCGTCCACCACCTCCACTACCGTCCGCTCCTCCCCCAAAACTACCATCTTCTCCAACCCATGAAACTCTGCTCAGGATTCAACCACTGCCATTCACAGCTAGCAAAAAGTCAAAAAGTAAACCAACGTCAATCGCCATCGGTACTTTTGAAATACCGCCACCTCCACCATTAGATTCAGATGACGATAATAACAACGCAGCCACACTTCCGATGCACAAATCTCACCTACATTACGAGCCAAGGTGGGTCACATTTTAATCCAAAACTCAAGAAGTTGGGATACATCAATATAAATGCCATTCCATATTCTTCATAGGTCAAGGGCTCCACTTTCTCCTCCAGTCAGGTCGCCACCTTCGGGCTCTGAACCCCATCGTCAGACTCCACTCTCACCATCGCGACGTTCGCCCTTTGCTGGAAGAGAACCAGGCATTACTTCTTATCAAGATCATTTTCTTTACAGTTCTCTGACCCAGACAACGACACAATCTCCGCCCACTCAACCACAACAGTCTCAACAGCAACCTTCACGCCATCAGGAAGAAGACGACTACGGACTTCCACCTCCAGAAGAGTATTTTTCAGGTAAGCAAATAAACCTGACTCATATCGTAAACTAATGGATAACACGGTGATACATAAATATGTACGCTCAGGATCAACGCGGCGTTCCCCATCTCAACCACCGCCATCAGCTCCGTCGCCAAGTCGTGGCCCAGGAGGAGGGTCACGTCCTGCCCCAGCCACACCTCAACAACGCAGTGCAGCCGAAGCTGTAGCAGAACTTCTCACTTCTCGACAACCACTCTCGTTGAGAATTCACATTCAAAAGCACAAAACGGAGTCTTCTTACAAAAAGTCGCAGACATTCGGTCCAAACCAGAAGCACAATAACGGTGGTGGTGGGAAGAATGGGGGCGATTTCTCAGAGTCGTCTATTTGAAAAGACGTACATATGCACACATATTTAATCATATCTGCCATAACTATATAATTATACACTTTTTACAAATCGGACAAGTGGCCTGTCAAATGAGAGGTGAACAAATTAAAATTTAATACCTGCTGAAATTTTAACTTTATTTTAATTGAACACAATTTCAGGAAATAATTAATATAACCAACCAGATTTGTTTTCAGTAAAGAATGAAGAAGCTCTGATTTCTAAATAGGTAATTTTGCTAGTTTTCTGTATGAAAAAGAACTAAACTAAAATTTTAGTCGCCACAAGTAATGCATATTATTGACATTTTTACAAATCTTATCATGTGCACTTTCTACAAACTCGTTGCATTATAGATTAAGTAAGTAAGTACATTAAGCAAGCTCTTGTGAATTGTATCGGTATGTATGTGTCGTTCTGTCGTCTGGGTGAGTCTGAGCGAGTATTTATAAAGAAATAAAACCCTTATCTAAATAAAATCACAGACCAACTTTACTAGTTTTGTTGAATATCCCGTTATCTCCAATCATCCGGATTATCAAAAAAATCTGAAGTTGACGACCATCCAGGATGTTTCAAGTCGGCCTTGTGAATGGTATGAAATGCTCCCCACAGCTTAAAAATATCCACCGTATTCCAAATTATGTGAATAATACTTGACGCAACTTCAACTCCTAGCCAGACTAATTTCCACAATTTCTTTGCAATGTGAACTGGGTTTAACGTAATCCACGTTTTCCAAGGGAGAATATCCTGATAACCAATTTTAAAAATTGGATATGGTATATCAACTTGAGGAACAGGAACTTGCAATCCAAAATTAATGTCGGTATATTCATTCTTCGGTTTTAAAAATCTAGACCAAAATTCTTTTTGTAATTCAATTTGGCAAATTTCCTGTAATAAAAACGCTAAAATCTTACCCCAAAAATCTCCCCGTGTCATTTTCCTCAGGACTAATTTTGTTCCCAGAAGCACATGGCGAGAACAACGTAAGCAGGAAACAAATTCCTAAAACCCACACTACGAAACTTGCACAACTTTGCAAACGAGTTTTGTTTAAAATAAACATTTCTGTTTTTATCAAAACGTGTTCTTACTTTATAAATAAATAAATACTGGCAAACATTATTTTTTGACTAAAAAGTTATCCGCACGCTACAATTGACTGTTGCATACTAGCAAGTTTTCAAAGAAATGCATCGACAAGACAAGTTCAACATCAATTTTTTCAAATTGCCACAATGTATGACTGAGGCGAATTTGCTAGACGTACTCGAATCAAAAGAAAGTTGCATGTAAACATATCAAGCCTGTGTATGTGTGCAAGGGAGTAGGCGATTTTTGACATCTCGGAACAACTTTTTTTTATCACGACAGGAAAAGGAACTTTTATGCATAGGTTTTTCATACAGGTAGGATTGCGATGATCGATTGATTGCAGTGCATCAAGTTACCTTGAACTATTAAACTACGTATTTAAATCCATTTAGTAAATATTTTAAATTCTTTTGAAACGTGATCACGGCGGTTACAATAATTTACATGCAATTTAGTTACTACACACATAAATAGTCTGATGATTTATGTTGAACTGATTTTATTAATTAAGCGCTTGAGCGATTTTACAAGTTGTAACTTACAACAATTATCTACCGTAATGACCAAATAAATTTACGGGGAGCTTATTTATGATGCAAGTTGTGCATATCTCTGATTTTGATCAGATGAATATGACCGTTAAAAATTTGCATTACTAGAATTGTGTGATATGTACTTGAATGAAGAATAATCTCTCATTCCAGTAATTTCTTATGCAAACAAATTTTAAAAGGAATTTTTGTAATGAAAAAATAGTTGATATTTAATTTGACTAACTATAAGTGATTACGTCTTGCCATTTTACGAACCCAGAAAATTTAAACGAATTTCAGTGAATATTCAAATATCTATAACGTATATTTAAGTATTTTGAACTTTAAATAATTAAATAACAGGGGCAATGATACATCACAATAAATGGGTTTAGGGAAGAATTTTTAAGGGAATGCAACATGTAAGGTTAGTTTTAAGGTAGAATGTAAGGTTAGTTTTTTTTACAAAATTATTGCTTACTTAACTGACTATACAAACAACATGAAAAATTATGCATCGTAATAATCATATCCCATAAATGACACATTGACGTTAATAACCAAAGGCACTACACAAAAACTTTCTGAAGTAACAAATCCATAATCATATTCATTAATTCTGGTGAACGTGACTTCTATCAGCTAGGCATGGCGATGACCCAAAGTTACAGGATACGGGTAAAGATATGCATGTGCAAAATTACCAACAATTGACGAAGATGAGTAGTAGTGCGAATGGCTACATATTTTCAAAATTTGGGTGAAAGTGAATTTTTACATATAAGTTGATCGTAGCCATTTACCAAGTCGCTATTACATGTTTAGAAACAGGTTCATTCGTTTGTTTCAGTTGGGAAGAGGGTGCAAAAAATTGAGACTTCTGTATACTACGAGAGAAATAGAATGAATAAATCAAAAATTGAAACAATGTACAATGCCAATCCTTCCTTGCAATTTAATTACTAGGTAAAATCAATCAAATATGACTAATATGCAATACATTTGTGTTAGTTTGAAATGTGTAAATTGTAAGAATAGTTGTAAAACTTGATTCAAAATTGCGTGATGTATAATTTTGAATCTTTACATGCAATTTTACTAGATCGATAAGCTACGTGTATCACTTTCTGTTGAGTTAAAAAAAGTTAATTATTTAAATACGTTAAAAAACATGCGTTAAATTAATCGAACCCCACATGGAGATGAGTCACACGAAATGATGTATTGGGATCTCAATACCCATTCATTTCATTACAAAAAATACATACGCATGTAGTAAACTAGTAATTTCTATATAATTAAATTTTTGAGAATTACATGTAATAAATTTAAACAAAAACTTGAATTTTTGAAAACAAATTTAAACAGAAAGAGATTGGATTCTTTAAACATTCATATGCGCGAACTACTGTAAAACATGAATTTGTGCAATCGTGCAATTTCAGTAATTATAAGACTGCTTGAGTAATACATGCTCAATATATATGTAAATATGCACACATTTAATAGTATTGCAGGGTCATGGAGTGTACTCTAGCAACTGAACATATTGCTAAAATTAGAGCCACATACGTTACTGATAGCGTCGTCACCTTCGAAGTAGAGGGTATGAAGACTGGCCCGGGTATAAACTAACAAAATGGAGAGTAAAATAATTTGACGTAACAACCGTTTCTTTATGCAAATATGTTCTTTATAAATGGGAATAAATTAATCATGCATCTTAAAATGTTCTCCCCGATTGCGGTCACATCAAACTCAAATTCTGAGACAACCTTGCACGCTGCAAATGTAAATAAAAAATAGAATATACGCCTTCTTCTCTTCTGATCCGTCCGTGTACGTCTCACTTGTTTATGAATGCTCATCAAAGCGTTTGCTTTTTGGGATAAACAGTCCCGAGTGTCGTGTCACACATTTGAGACGAGGAGACCGAGCTGATGTGAAAATCCGGGACCTAATTGACTTGGGGTGAGGAAAGGAATCCCGAAAAATTCAGGTTTGACGGAGAAACTAATGTTAAACATGCAACAATCAGCATTTATTTAAGTAGGTAAATGCTAGTTTGGAACACAACAGACTTTCATTCGTGTCTAAAAATGCGTAATATTCATGATCCCAAGGTTTTTCTAGGAAAAAAATCTACCTTTAATTTATTTTACTTCTCTATTAAAGTCTTGTTATATTATTAGGTAAATTTCGACATTTTTAATAACACTATTCGTGCATATTTTATGAAACGACTTCCTTGTGCCAACAATAACAGACAGGCGAAGCGTTCATCGCGTTGTACACGGGAATGGAACTGGATTGATTTCATGTCATTGGATCTACTATGTGCAACTCTAACTTTGGTTTAAACTGAGTCAAATGATCGTCATCATCTGTCCCAGGAAGGAAATTATGTAGCGTCTCAGGAGATGAGACAATCGTAAAAGTCGGGTTGTCAAAATAATATTTAACTTTATGGACAACTTACAAATTTCGTAAGTCGCTCACGGATAGAAGGTCTTTTTTATTTATTTTTGACAAACAGAGCAGAGCAGTCTTCAATGAAGCAGAAATAAGTGCTTAAGAGCATGTGCATAAAGTGGTGGTGGATGATCCTGCATATTTACTTACCCCTTTAAATAATTTCTACAACAACTTTGGCATTATACGTACATACTTAGGTGAACTATACATATCTGCTTAAAACCGGGTTCGAGATGAGGAGAAAAATCTCTGCCAAAAATCTAATGTCCTGTCTTTCCTCGCTCTCGTACTTATGAATGTACAGCTTGAAACGAAAACTCTCTGATTAACAGAGAACAGTAAGATGAGATCGGTTTGCATGCCTGGTTTCTTATGCAAACTGTAAAACTTAACAAACCCCTCTGTCCTGGGTCTCCAAGAGTTCAAGCTAATTATACACTCGTGCACTTCATTAAAATTGTAGATCACTTGACTATATAGTTCTAGTTGTTCTTCCGTTCTCCTTTTTGCGACACTTGTCGTTTTTTGCATGGACACGTTTTTTGTGGTTCCGTTTTCTACGCTGTTTCACTGAAAACCTTGAAACTACATAATCCTGTTTTATAATTTTCTTGCGAGACAATTTGAGAATATGTGATTTGCGTAGAAAATTATATCAGTTATGCCAAATTTGGTAAAGTGGTGGTTTGTAAATTATTCCTGGATCGTGTTCCTGTTAGTGCTGTGCTTCCTCCCAAGGCTGACTTTATCCCAATATGACGCGGTGGACTACGAATTGGAAAATGAATACGACGATGATCAAGATGTTCACGACGACCAACAGCAACAGCCACCACCTCCGGAAGCCACCCTTATACCCCCACCACCCTCACAAGCATTAGCGGATGACAAACCTACGATTTTTAAGCTACCCGAGCATTACAGTGTACATAAATCTCCTCCTTTGATAGGTAAGCAGGGGGAAAAAGTACGGAGAACTTGAGCATTTGAAGCGTGTCGCGATTTTATTTATAGGTTTTTTTATTTCAATAATGAGACCAGTTGTGGGGTCATGTTAAATCCAAATATTATTGTTTTCCGTTCCACAAATGACACTTGAAATGAAAGATGAATCTTGTTAGCAGTTGTTTTGGCATCAGACCACATAATGAATGAACAGGAACCACCATCACTCACTCATCACCACCCACCAAGATATTGTCATCTTCCACCACTAATTACCCGTAATGTATACGTGCATGTGTATTTACGGCTTTCTTTTCTCTTCTTTCAGGCGGTGAACCTATTCCTGTTGATTTTTCAATGTTAGTCTTTAATGTGTTTGACATCAAGGAAATATTGGAAGAAATCTCTCTGGAAGTAAATTACAAGTTATACTGGAAAGATACGAGATTGAGCAACTGGACGAAAAATATTGACCCTGGCCAAAAGTCGGCGACGATGAGTACTGCTCTCCTCCATAAAGTTTGGCATCCCGATATTTTCATTGATCATATTAAAAGAGTTACACAGCCGCAGCTCATTTCTCCAGCGTCGTCACTTAAAATTTATTCTGATGGTAAACTCATAATTTTATTTCCCAATTAAATAATAATTTTTTGTGCAAGTATGATTTTATATGTGTCCAAAATTCTTCAGGATCGTTACGATATACTTCTCGCATCCTTTTGGTCCTCACGTGTCGCATGTCGTTTTATTATTATCCAGCAGACACGCAAGAATGTACATAATTTAATATTTATTTAATTTAATTTAATATAATTAAATAATAATTAGTTGCTAAATTTTAGGTAATGTGACCATGAAAAGTTTTGCTTTTTCTACGAAGCAAATCGATCTCAGGTGGCGAGATGGAATTGGAGCTTTGCTGGCTAAATCAATCGAAGTCCACAACTTTGATGTAGCATTAGAAACCTATCCTGACTACTTACAAACAACGAAATCGAATAATTTTTCAGCTTTGGTGTTTGGGATAAAGTTACGGAGAAAATTATCGTATCACATAATTCAGACTTACATCCCGAGCACAATGTTTACCGTCGTCTCCTGGCTATCGTTTCTTGTCCCCCCTGACTCAACACCGGTGATTATTAATAATCATGATTTATAATAAATTATTAATAAATAAATAATAATTGACTTTATTGACTTCTTTTAAAAGGGACGCATGGCCATATGCGTCACAACATTGCTGACTGTTACAGGTAATCACAAGACCCATGCGATGAACCACCCATGTCTTAGACCTTGTGCAAAATTGACTCTTTGAATTATGAGGTCTTAACTGGGTGAAAAGGTCATGTGTACGGTGTCTAAGACATTGGGGATGGTAATCATCGGGTAATCTTTGCATGGGTCATGCTAACATGGAATCTTGATAAATAGCAATGTTCGGAGCTACGAAGCAGAACACACCCAACGTAAACTTATTTATTTATTTTATTTAAAGTCAAATTTAATTTATATTTGCATTTATTCTATTTATTTAGGTGGCATACTGGCAAGTCGAAACTACTTATTATTCCACTTATTTGATTTGCAAAAATGTTTGCCCTTGAACGGTTTGATATTTGATCATACATACATATTTATGTGTTTAATTCTAAATGTTGGCTATCTATTCATTTATTTAAATTCTTGTCTCCTACACTATTTACTTGATATAAGAAAAAAGATGCAGAAATTAATTGTTGTTTTTCCTCTATTCCATTTTAGTAAAGCCTTAGACGTCTGGATGTTGATGTGTATATCTTTCATCTTTCTCAGTTTAGGAGAGTTTACAATCGTCCTAAAATTAAGAAGTATGAAGGAAAAAAAGCCTAGTGAGACAAAATCCTCACAGTTCCGTAGATTGTAGCATTTCACGTGAACTTTGTTTCGTATCTTTAGAAAACGAAACCAAGAAACCGGATCCTCCGAAAAAGGATGAAATTGATGTGGAAAAGAATAACCATGTGACGACTGGAAACAATGCCTCTCCTCCCGGAGGCACAAATTCAGCTCTAATCCAAATCGACCCCAAAAGTGCAACTTTGTCACCAACTCCCGAGCCTGTTAAAGCTGTGATTCCTCCAAAACCCACACCCCCACCACCCACAAAATACTTTCTGACGGCCTCCAAGATTGAGAAGTATGCTCCCCGAGTGGTCCCCTTATTGTTTATAGCGTTTACATGCACCTATTGGCCGGTTTTGCTCATGATGTCAGACTATTACAGTCTCAGCACAGATCCTGAGATGTTCTACAGTGTTTAAATGTTATAAATATGCACGACTAAATTTTTAAATACATAAAGATAAGCTCACAAAATGCAAAAACGAAAATCAACCAAGATTAATCGTCAATTAATTTGATGCAATTACATACATATTTCGAGTATACATATGCACAATGTGCATTGCACATACGTATTGTGCACATACAAATTGTGGAATGTCCATCCTTTGGATAAGGTGTCCCTATCTCGAATAAGTATCGATTAGAAAGGATATGACGCGTTATAATGACGTGTATTTCATGAGTCATCTTACCGCAATGATGTTAGTATACGTATGTGCATTCCGTATCACAAGTTGCAAACGTATAGCTAAGGCGTAATCTACGTGTGCATGTAAATATTGCCATTTTGCAACATACCGAGCTTCACTTGGTTCTGTCAAGGTGATCTGACTGGTGATCTGACAAAAGCACATCTCTCTTCTACAGTCTTACGTATTTATATTTTGAACATTTTATACACAAAACAATTATGGCTACCGCACTAAATCATAAAGTTTCCAAACTTTTATCTACAAATTTCGAAAATAAAATTACCCGGGAAGAGTTAAATCTCGATGTTGGATTTGGAGGCAAAAAAATTGCATACGTTTTGCACAATGTTTTGACCAAGGAAGAGTGCGAGGCTCTCATCAGGCAAGAAGACATATTTTTAACTTGACCATAAATATGCATGCATTAATAAAGTCAATAAAATAATACTCTGCATTACAGCGAAACCGAAAATATTGGCTACTCTCCTGCTCTAGTTCATCACGGTCCTAACATCGCCGTCCTCGCGAAAGGTTATCGCGACTCGCAACGTATCATGATTGATGACAAGACATTCGCCTCTATACTATTTGAACGAATTGGGCACCTCCTCCCACAAAGTTTCAAGACAAGAACCACATCAGACGAACACAAGCTGAAGGAAATTAACGAACGCCTCAGATTCCTCAGGTATGACCCTGGAGACAAATTCAAGCCCCATTGTGACGGATGCTACGAACGTCCCGACGGATCTGCGAGGACTCGCGTGACACTCCAGCTTTACTTAAACGAAGGGATGGACGGAGGTGAGACCACGTTTCTAAAAATGACCACTGCCAAGGAAGAAGACGCGATGCTCCCAGAAAATAGAGTTAGCGTGATTCCCAAAACTGGGTCTATACTGGTATTTGAACACAATATATTGCACGAAGGGAGCATTGTCCGTGCCGGAAGAAAATATACTGTTCGAATGGATGTGCTGTACGCAAACTCGAATTTTGAAATAAACGAGACGAGAAAATGTGTTATTGCTTAAAAACAGAATGATGGTTGGGTTTAAAACATTCATAATTTATTTGACCATATGAATTAGAAGATTAGACACATGCACCATAAATACACCGACCCCTGCCACCATCGCAAACGGTGCCATAATCTGGAATAGGGCTTCCACTCTTCCATGTCCATATCCACCCTGGTTGGTTTGGGTCTGTATATTTACACTGAAGCTGTTGACAAAGCTGTTCCGCGGTCCTGGTATTGTCCGGGACAGCAGTTGCTTTTCCAGTGTACCGAACGCATTGTTCCGTCATGTCCACGCGGACGCCTTGATCTCCGACACATTGGCCATTTAGACAACGACCACCATTTCCACAAATCGAGTTGTCACCGGGAGAACGGTTTGTCGTCGTGATGTAAGGCACTGAATTCGGTCCGAGATATGTGCATACCAAATTTGTGCAAAGATCTGTCGGAGATTTGGTGGGATCAACAATTGCTTGAGGTGAATTTGTATGCTTGATGCACATTGATTTCATGTCAAGCTGATTTCCTACTTCAGGAGCAGCATCAGGGTTAGCGAGGGGGGTGCTTCCCTCCTTATTTCGCATACAAGCTCCACCCGAGGAGAGGATGAACTTGTTCATAATGTGGATGGAGCATGGAGAAAAATAAAATTTCTTGGTCGTCCCCCATCCATTGTAACTCATGATATAACCTTCTTCCCATGAGCATCCGGCAGCCTCTTCAAACCCATCATGGGGGGAAGCCAGATTGTGGGCAAATTCATGCGCGACGGTGTACACTCCATCATAGAATCCACCAAGGTCTTCCGACACAGAAGTAGCTAGGAGCCTTTTACCGTAAGTGTCTTTCCAACATGCGCCCTTCATATAGGCGAGACCGGCAAGATTTTTTTGGTAAATTCCAAACTCGTCCTTTTTCTGGAAATCTGTGCTGGACAATAATGCTGCCATATCGACCTGAGGAAAGGAGGGGAGAATGGTGGTGTAGGCCCATTTAGAAAAGTCTTCGAGGACCATGCCAATGTCGAAACCTGACCCGTCTGGCACCCTACTGTTTTCAACGAAGGGTTGAGCACTACGGGAAGAAATTATTGTAATGCCGGATATAGTAAAGGAAATTTTGGGTTCGGAAATTGTGGCATAGCGATTATTCACGGCTCGGAAAAAAGTGGCCAAATATGAAAGGATTCGCTCCCTGTTGAAGCCAAACTGGGCGGCATGGTCGTAATCAAGTACGACCCAAGTCTCCCCGACTGCAATCGTTGTAGCCTTGGTTTGTCGTTTTATTGGGTTGAAGGTAATATTTCTGTGTAGGTCGATATAATCTCTTCCAACGTGTTGAGAAGTTGTCAAGTTCTTTGCGGTGTAGGTTGGCTTACTATTGACCTTGGCTCTTCCAGGCTGCTGTCGACCCGGGGAGATGAACGTGTCCTCGACAATTCCTTCCATTACGATCAAACCATCTTTGTTGGTGCCGACCTTCATGACAGCGTCGTTTTTTTGATCGAGAAAAATGTGACTCTCAAGGGAGCGGATTTGTCCCTTGTTGGGAGTCTCATCTGTAAGTCCACCATCACTAGTAGCTACGGTGTACTTGAAGTTGGTGGCGAAAATGGAAGACGGAGGAGGTTTGAGTTTCAGAATGACATCGTTCTTAATGACCACTTTAAATTCTTGGGGGCCATTTAAGGATCGAGTTTCTCTGCCAGTTTCATATTCGATTTCTACGTCGATTTCAGTTTCTTGACAATGTGCAAACGTTGTCAAAAGGAAAACGAGAGCAAAGCAGCTACTGACCGTGAGTAACTTCATGGCGAATAGCAATGCATAAAAACTTGGAACTCCTAAAAAGTATCTCGATCACAGCATTCTTATAGTCTCAATTTTGCCTATCTTGATATTGAATTACCCTTATTTCAATAGAAATCGAATCAAAGCTAGTTATTACAAAAGAATTAATTCATTTAAAAGTCGGGGTTACAAATTGTGTCTGAATTAGGTATGTGTCATGACCAGATGCTGCTCAGGTATTGTTAATTCTAACTTTGTTGCCATTATAAATATCTTACACAATTTGTGATGATAAAAACGTTTGAGCATAATCTTTCATAAAATTACACTGAAAAGATTTACTAAGTATTCCTGCAGAAAACGTCACATGAGTCAGTTGAAAAATGATACTTTAGAATATCGTGTACGTGCAAATTTGTACAAACATTATACATATTTATTTGCATACATAGTTTAAAATACTTACAATTAAAGTCTGCAGTTACCTATACATAAATAAATTATTATATCAGTTCTATAATTCCATGAATTTGGTTTTCACTTTATTAACTGAAACTTAAAATCATTTTTAGTCACGTTTGCAATTCTTTGCTTTAATTTTGTTCGACATATTGACTCTTTTCTCCATTATTTACAATACTCCAAAAAATACCTTGAATATTGAATGCTTCCAACGAAAGAAGTAGATTTTATTTACAGAATTACTTTTGTCACGTCCACGTTGTTGTGTGTACGTATGGGCATGATTCGTGTAAAATCCAGTGAAAATACATATGCACAGAACTTAATATTTAAGAAAAAAATTATTTATTATCTTAATTTTGGCTAGTAATGCATAAGTAAAGAAAATACGCATCTGTGTAATTAAAGTGCGTAATAATTAAGGTACATTGATCTGCTTACATATAACAATTTGCTGATCGACTCTACGAATTTTTAACACTTCGATATTGATAATTTGGGATAATTTGAGATTGTTTTTATTTGGTTAGGTTTTGTAAATTGTGAAATACGGCTTAAAAATTGTCAAACTCATCCTCAGAGTACTGGATTTTCAATTTAGCTAAATACATGTACATATAATCACAGTTGCCTTACTAATATTAAATAAGTACTTGAGCATCAACAAATAAATAGATATGTAACGTCATGTCGCAATGTCTTACGCATATACGTACGTACATATGCAGTAAATAAATATGTTTGTAATCATTTATAAATTATGTAGCCTGTAAGTACTTCCAATGTCCAATAAAATATCAATTAAAACCAAGTGCACGCATACAGTCAGGCCGTATATAAATGAGTAATTTGGAACTGGAGATCATTATTTGAAGTTGTGTACTTTTCATTTTTGTATATGTAGAATGTATGTATAGACATGTATGTTTTGTTCCTGAAAATGTACGAGTTGGATTTTTGGTGAAGGTTTAAATGAGCAACAACGGAGTTTTTCTTGTTTTTGGCCCCGGGGTGTGGCGGGCCGTGTGAGGTGAAATTGCATAATTTTTTTTGCATAACATCTTTATCGTATAATGCCATTTTGCATACTTCCCAATTATGTAAACAGCAAGTTCGCATAATGCTATTTAGCATAATACGTAAATTAGGAAGGAATCCAAATCCTATTATACCTACATATCTATGTATTAGATGACTCTGAAACTGACCCATAATCGGCTGTGCTTCAAGCATCACAAGTCATACGAACACTTCGGAGATGACATTCTACCGGGAAGTGCCCAGTTTTAATTTTTAATGCCCTGATGTGTCGAGTACCTTCCAGGTTACTGTACCAAAGGTGCAATAGTATTTTACTCCGAAGCCCAATTTGCGCCCACGACACCCAATCAAATTCACAAAATGCGAAACACGAAAAAACCGTTTTCCCCGTTCATCATTAAAAATTAAATAATTTTTATTAAAATTTGAATTTGAAATACCTTAATGTTGAGCATGATAAAACAACTATTTATGTAGGATCAAGAAAATCCAAAGACTACAAAGATCGGGTACTCTTGCCCAGTAGACAAGGTCCCCTTCATAGACGAGCGCTACCGGAGAAACACAATTATTTAGGAACTTGTATCATCCCCGAAATAGAGTCCCCGAATTCTTAAAAATCATCAAAAAACACCGTGGGTATTAGATTCTACTGGTACACCACACCGGTCCTGGCATGCATGCTCATGACCAATCGTGCATCTTAATCATCTTAATTTGTTATGTGAAATGGAGTTATGTAAAAAGCTCTCTTATGGGAAGTGGTATTTATGCAATAAATTTTATGCCATAAGGGTGTTATGCAAAAGTGTTTTATGCAATTTCACATGGAACCGTGGCGGGAGTTTGAGGGACCCTAACCCTCCTTCACTTTTCCTACAATCACCTATCACTAAATATGTACAACAGGGCATTAAAATCTGATGTTGAAAAGGTCGTACGTTTTTTCGTTAGTAGTGTACGATCTCATTTTATGTCATCATATCTTTGTTTCAAAAGCTTAGAAATCCAAAATCCCAATCAAACATTTGCCAAACTCCACCCATCCAATTTCTTGTTGGCATTATCCAATCGGACATCATGTAATAGTAACATGACCAAAACAGCACTTTAATCCACCACAAGGCACACAACTTCATCACTAAAATGCAAAACTTGATGACTTTCCAAATTTTCAATTTCAATTTTATCTTTGGAAGTATTGGGTTCTTTACTAGAACAATTGCCGTCGTTGTGGTTGTCGTTATCGGAGTGGGCGTGGTTGTCGTCGTTGTTGTCGTCGTCGTCGTAACACAGGGTTGTGGTGGGCAGTAACATGTACCTTTTACGTAGCAATAAATACGTCAAATTTTAAGGTTAACAAATCCTTTGAAATAGCCTATGGGTGGAATTCAATATACGCGATCATAAGCATTTGCGTAGATAAGCACATGCTCAGCAAGGTTTTTGCTGAGCAAAATTTCGTATTCAATATAAAGTCGACTTAGGCATGCGTAAGTTTAAGAATGCTTAAACTTACGCAAATTCTGAGCAATGGCTAGGCATTTTGCCTAGCCATTTTCGTTGCCTAAGGCAACGAAAATCTGTGACCTCGTGTGAACTGACAAAATTTTTGCAAAATTTTGATGCTCCGCTCTTTGCATCTTATTTCATCTCGGCTAAAATATCAACCCGACATTTACCACTTTTTAACAAACTTAATTTTTTACAACCTAATTAAACTTTAAGTGTACCTTTTTTGACGTTTTTGAAGTTTGTTGTTGATGGTGCAACTCACATGCAGCTGACATATACCTAGGGAAGCATAACCTCCATCAAAATTTGGCTCCCGCGTGCGTATCCGTACCATGCTAATAGTATGGGAAGGATACGAGCGCGGGATGATGGAGGTTATACTTCCCCAGTATTATTTTAACAACTTTTCCACTGAGTTTGGGCCTGGGTGTTTTCCTGGCTTGTCAGAGCGTCGATTTTTCGAAAAACGGTACGCGTTACGTTTTTGGGGTCTGGTACCTTACAGAGGATAGCAGTCCTGCTAATTTAGATTTTCATCCAATTCCAAAGGAAGTAAGTATACTAGACTCTGTAGAATGAGCAACACTATCCGGATAATTTCAGCTTCTCCAAAATTTTCGTTTGTGACAATTTTCCTTCCGAAAAATGTTTTATGCGATGGTCGACTTCGGATGGGCATTTTCATAATTTCTTGGTCATTTTTTGACGAATTTTTGTCAAAAGCCCTCTAAACTTCCCCTATCCGACTCAAAACAAGATTTTAGGCTTTGTGTAGGAAGAGGTACTTCCAGCTTTGAGAAACGGACGATACTTTAAGAAAATTTCTGTTCCGGTGGAAGAAAATTAGTAATGAACTTGCAGTCTGCCGGAAAAGTACTAATGACGGAGGTGAAGAAAAAAGTTAAATACGAGATGGATAATGGATTAAAGTCTTCTTTGTCCGTAGATATATCCAGTTCGATATGTTTGGAATATTCTACAAAAATTTCAAATTTCTAAACCTATTTTTGACCACTTGGCTACTAAACTTACAAAGTGATGCACTATTTAGTAGATCCAGTATATGTGAAACTGTTTTTGAAGTTTTACTTTGTATGTAATTGCAAATAATTAGAATATTTAATAAACCGTTGCAAGCGAAATGTAACAAAGGGGTGAAGCGAAACGGTCACACGGTCATAGCATGTCAAAACCATGTCGATTTCTGTAATCCTCGCCCCAAACTACGTCTAAAACGATGAAGACACAAAATTTGACATTTTTGACTTTGGTGTCGTCTACACGGTCACAAGGTCATGGCACGTCAAAACTATGTCGATTTTTGACATCCTCGCCCCAAACTACGTCTAAAATGGTCGAAATAAATATTTTTCTAAGCTAAATTATAGTTACGCAAGTCGTTATTCCACCTCCGAGCTGGAATAACTTTAGGCAAAAAATTTAGGAATTTGTGCATATTGAATACAGAAAATCCTAAATATTTTGCTCAGCACTTGCTTAGAATTTTTCCTAAGCAACAAATATTGAATACAAATAAAATTTGCTTAGGCAAATTTCTCTTGCCTAAGCATTGCCTAACGTATATTGAATTCCACCCTATATGCATAAATAGGGTACGTACATATCTTTGCCCAGATATCCATATTGGGTCCGAGGCCCTGATTGTAAACTTCCCCGCAAACAAGACCTGTTCCCCCAGTACATAATCCGGCACAATCCTGATTGCACCTCGCAGGTGCAGTAGGATCTGGGTCGGGAGGGTCTGTTGCGTATGCTGGACACTGGTCTCCAAATTGATTTGCTGGAGGCTGGAAAATTTATCACACAAATTATTCATGTTACATATGTATGTCCGTATGTAGACGCATGCAGTATTTGTATGTTAAACTTTACAGTTTTCTCTTAAATGTTCTGTTAATATCAATTACCGCAGAGTCACATGGGTAATTGCACTGACAAATCCCATTCGCTGTACAAACCTCCAATCCCACTGGAACGGGAGCTCCTAAATCATACCCGCATGAGTGATAACAGAATGAATGACCAAAATTAGCAGGGTGACCAGCCGCCACTAACGGGTCCTGACAAGTTCTCGTAAATTGTTGGCAAATTCCCTGCAACAATTTATGCATAAATTTATTGTCAACTCAATGTATTTGTATGTATTTTCATGTAAAAGCAAAAATCGAACCAGTTACCTGCTTAAAATTCCAAATAATAAATAAAATAAGCCAAATATATCTAATCCGATTTTCGAAACGCAACATCCTCCTATTTTATTACAGATATTCTTGACTAGAACTTTCTTTGCTGGGATCACTTACTGTTGCTCTACTGAACTGATGCACATCTCAATAAAAAGTGAGACTGGCAGAAGCAGTAGCAGCACCCACAATGCAATACAACCACAAGTCTCAATCTGTATAATCAAACAAAGTTGCAATTGAGAACGAGAATCTAGTCGGAATATAGAAAGCCACTGTTTCCCATCAAGAAAAGTGACCGTGACCATGATCATCAACACCTCTATTCTAGTAAATGTCTAAAAAGAAATAAATAGCAGCATCTTCGGCTATTTAATTGCATTGCATTATCCTTCCTTTCTTTCGTCGGGAGTACGTTTCACCATCTCTTTTTGCATCACTTGTAATACCGCTATTCATTCCGAGTTGAAAGAAAGGCCAATTTATTTTTCCATCATAGAATTAGACTGTGTATCTACTTCTGCACATTTGTTTTGGGAGCAATGCATAAATATTCCTTACTTTTCCAAATGTTCATCAACACTGTGACCAGTTCAATAAATTTTGAAATGTTTGAAATGTTTCCAACAAATTAAACTTATGAAATAAGTATGGGACATACTTATTTCTAGTGATAATTATGGAAAAACATATTGACAAAACTATTCAACTTGTTATTATCCTGTATTCCAATTTAATGACATATGCGGTAAAGGAATTTCATTTAAGGAAAGAGTTCCTGTAAATCCGAAGCCTTTGAATTTTTTAGTGTAGAGTAACACAAGTTATAACTACATCATAGTTATCTCATAGACACATACAATGGCGACGCACATGGCTGTCATCATCCATCTGAGAGATTATTAAAGTCTGAATGAAAATGGATTTGTTACAGAGCCTTGAGCTGCCTACATAAATATGTAAAAATGGGATGGAGTTGACCAAACAAATCAGTTACTATTATAACTGCAGTACAAATTCGTTACGTATTTATGTAAATGATGACACAGCATTTCGCATTTTGTAAAAGATAATATTAAGTGCTACAAAATTGGATGGAAACACTGGTATAACTTAATTTAATGTCAGTTTTACATAATTTAATAAAAAATTAATTTTGCGTATTTAGATTTGATTGATATTAAAGCGTAACTGAATCGAATAGTTTAGCAGATACATACGCTGAGTGATTTCCTTCCCCGAAACACATGATCAAATAAACGCCGATAAGATTAAGGATATGTAGAAGCCAAACCCGTTCTAAATTTAGACAAATCCATTAATAATAATTATAAAAATGCAGATCGTGCAGAGAAAATGTACCTAAATGATGAGAAATATCGTCATGTAACCCTAAATTTTTCAATTAATTGGTGTTCATTCACATTGAGCTCCGCATGAATATAAACAATCAACGCCACCAGCACGGGGGTACATAGACACCGTCCGTATGTACATACATAGATACATTTATGTACATACGGTACAGATATTTCCATGTTGCATTGATTGATAAACAACGCACGACAATAATAAGTACAAGTTTACAAAAGAACGAAAAAACGAAGTTTGTTTGCTGATAGAAAAGCGTAAAAAGTAACCGTATTCAGCCATTATAAAACTCCTCTTTTAATCTATTCTATCATTTCCACCCTTTTTATGAAACCTCGTGAATAACTTTTCGATTAAAAAACATAAATACGTTTTGAAGTGAATTGGTTGAAAGACAGTGTCGTCAGACAAAAAGTGTAATGATACTAATAGAACAAACTGGGTCAAGTAGAATATCATTTCACAGCCATTTCTTTCATTTTTGAAAGAAATGGTGCATTGTTGTACAAAATGGATTTCGCATTTAATTTTTTTACGGCCACCCAAGCGTCCAGATTGACATGTGCACTATTTTAAAAGTTTTGGCCTTAATATATATCTTATGGGTGTGTGGTCGACACTATTTCCTATATTTCCTTTCCATAGGATGCAGTTATTTGAATAACTACATATTTAATTTCAAATGAGAATGAAAATACATATACAACTTTCAAAATTAAGACTTTGTACAGCAATTGTACACCAAAGAAGATCTGCAGTAGAATTTTTTTGCGTCACTATTGAATTTTTCGTGACATAATGAAGACTTCTTTTTGCATTGTCTATATATACATTAGTTTCAATAAATATCAATAGATATTGTCCATAATTAACTTAACAAAGCCTTAATTAATTTTTATCTGCATACAATTAACTTGATAGATAATAAAATTTAATTATACATATAAATGCATAATAAATGTAATAATCGTGTACATATATAATCAGTTGGCGATGAAATGCAGTCTAAACAAAAGACAAATGTCGCAGAGAAACCAGAAATTATATATATTATGACAGGGTGTCCAGTATAAAATTACAATATGTACAATTACATACGTACTTATTTAAACATGCAGAACTATGCATATGCATATGCAGCACGATAGATACATTTTCAGCCATATTGTGGGTATCGTTATTTAATTTGAGATTATTTTACACTTTTTGAATAAACCCAACAAAAGTTAAGCACTGCACCTTATGGCATTATTATCATGTACTGATAAAGGGTTTATTATTCACAGATGCCAAAAATAAAGGGATATTACGAGTTACAGAAATGTTTCATGTTTGCCGACACAGCTTACAGGCAGGTGGTTGCATTTCACCCTTAATTAAAAATATGTGCATGCATCGTTGGGCTGGGAAAGATTGGATGGCATCCGTTGCAAATAAGTAATTTAAAGCTATTTTGGTCCATTTTTAGTACAAAAATACCACGAGGTTAATATTTTTCAACGTATCATTCATAATTTATGGTTAATTTAGTAGATTCTCATATATTCTAGTTCAAGCCTTTAGTGCAAGCACCAAAAACACACGTAATGATTGATCTGGTGGCGAATGCGAGATGTCTGTGCCCCCTCACATCCCCCAAGGCTGGGTTCACCTCGGTCAACTCCATTCCTATAATGTTACTCCGTGCTTGAAGTTGGTCAATCAGGGTCATGGCTTGAGAAAGGGATATGCCACCAGGAACTAAAATTTTAAAAAATTCCCTAGGATTTTGCTCATGACATTGTGTATAATTTGCTAATCTATGTATGTGTACGTACCGGGTGTTCCAGTAGCTTCTCCGATTTCTAAATCATCGAGGGAATCAATATCAAAACTGATGTATATTGGTCTGTCTCTTTTCCCTAGCGTTAATCTTCTTATGGCTCGTCGTGCAACCTCCACAATTCCAAGTTGGTCAATATCTCGCATATTCCAATCGCTTATTCCTAACCGTTGTCTGATCGCTCTTTCACCATTGTTGCTGTATCTCAGTCCAATGTAGGCCAGATTTGAGGAGAATAATCTGTTTAAATAGTATACTTACTATGAATGTAAGGATGGATTTTGTGAAGGATTTTTGCAAACCTTGGGGTTATCCAAGAAAATTCGGCAAGACTCTGCACTTGATTTCGTAATTCTCTTACGACCAAAGATAACGGCATTCCGTGCAAGTTCCCAGAAGGTGTGGTTGCCGGTGTATTAATGTCACTGTGAGCGTCAATCCACAAAACTGCAAAATCTGGATAAATTTCTGAAATTCCGTGAATAGTCCCAATTGATAGAGAGTGGTCGCCGCCGAGAGTGACGGGAAATCGTCCTTCTCTAACAATTTTTGCGGTTTGGGCAGAAATCTGAAGCAAGCATAGTTAGCTAACATGCGAGACAGATAACAGGGATATTTTTGTAGAAGGACATATGTGGATTACCATAAATTTGGCGTTGGACACCTCAGCAGCATTGACAACTTCGGTCGACGTTCGGTTAGCTGGAGCAGGTTCTGGCGAAGCAAACCCAAAATCAATGTCCCCATAGTCGAGAACGTTGTGGCCTTGCTGCCGAAGAGCGTTTATGAAACCAGATCCTCTGATGAAACTTGGACCATTTTCAACACCAGCTAAAGGCTAGAAACCATAATTAAAGTGGAAAAGTGACTCGACCGCTTACTTCATGTAGATATTCAGATTGTTGCATTAAAGGCTCACCTGGCCTTTTTGTAAGCCCGCACCCTGTACGCCAATGTTGAATATTCTGTTACGAGGACTGAAATAAGGTGCACGGGTCGGCCTTTGCGTAGTGGCGAAACCTTAGTTATGCAAAACAAAATTTTCTTCTAAATGAAACACCTTGAAAGGTGCAGAATAAAATTACTGCACGTGTATAACATGCATTTGTACTTACTATGGATGGAAAATAGGATAAGATAACTCGAGAAAGTTTTCATGGTTAACGATTCAAGCCGGTTATTAATTTTGTCAAGCGTAATTTGTGGTGTTTGAGTTGAAATGGATAAGATTGCTCGAAATTTTGTGGTTTTGTATAAATCTTAAGTATAAATTAGTCAGCAGTTTTGCAATATATTTCATGGAAATCTACGAGTCTGTCGTTTAGAATATTGATGAATTGATTCTACACAGTCGCGTATGCGAATTCCAGAGAATTAAATAATTATCATAAATTTAAATCACACGACATTTCACATTTCGTATTAAAACCACCCAACTCACATGACAAATCTGATTAATATATTTATTTAATAATTAGTCAATTGTGATAATTCTCGTGAACTTGTTTTTTGTAACATATTTTTAGTTTGCCATTATGAAAATCTCATGACTTACATGTGTAATACAATTTCAGTAAACTAGTTATAAGTAAGTGACAAACATAAAAGACAACATAATGCATAACTATTTGAAACGAATGATTCCAAACGTTTACTGATCTAATTCTTCCGAAGTTGGCTGATTATTAGGCGTAATTGGCAGGGTCTGCAATGATGTTTCTGGTTGCGGTTGCTTTCTTGATTTTCTGACCCATCCACCTCTCCTTTTATTGAAGTCTGGAGGCTCAACCCAGTCCCCTTTCTTCATGTGAACTTGCCAATGTGACTTTAACGCATGTTTGTGAATCTTTTTGGCTCCACATATATGGCACACGTGATTTTTTTCGCCGGTGTGAATAGCAATGTGACCACGAAGACTAACATGATCCTTAAATTTCCAGGTGCAATGAGGACAAGCAAAATTTCTAACATTTTCATGAATCCGGAATATGTGAACCTCCATGGCTTGCTGAGATCTGAAACCTTTTTGACATTTCTCACATATGAATGGCCTCTCACCAGTGTGCATACGAATATGATAGGCTAAATTCTTCCGAGCGAAAAACTTTTTCCCACATTGGTCACAACTGAGAGTCTTTTTTAGCTCTTTTTCCATATCTGACGCATGTTTTAATATAAAATGTTTCCTGATTCCATTGGGAAAAAAAGTTCCATAGTCACAACCAGGTTCCGAGCATTTTCTAGGAAATAAGCCTGGATGAACTTGTTGATAGTGCTCGGCCAGAGGTTTTTGGTGTTTGTAATAAATGTTACAAAGTTTGCAAGAATTTTCATCGTCAGATTTAGGATAAATTGTCCGCTGTCGTTTCTTTCGCTGCTCTGGAGCAATGGATGTGGGTATATTTGAACTTGATGCAGTAGGATGCGACAGGACTGGTGGGGTTTCTGATGATGATTCCAGCAAGGTAATTGAAAGTGTAACTTCTTGGGCTATTTGTGGGGTTGGCTCAATTATATCACTGACTTGGATTACTGGAGATCTGTAGATAAATGATTAAATGTTTTAATTGATCAGAGTTATATAAATAATAAGAAAAGAATTAGCCCTTTTATAACCCACCCTTCATGAACATGTGTGGTGAGTATTTCTTCGTTCTCGATCACACTAGTAACACTTACGAGTCTTGGAATGTCGTACGCTGCAACTCCACTCACCTCGGGTTTCACATCTTCGTCGTCGTCCATGGAACCAAAATGATCAACAAAATGAATATCGTCTTCAACGAAACAAGACAAGTTGAACTCGTCAATTTGCAACTCCTCCGACGATGCTATTTCAATTCGCTCACGACGACAGTGTCGCTCGACTTCGAGAGGATCTAATCTCGCCAGTTTAATGTCAGGAAGACTAATCTTTAGATCACATGGGTGTGCAGCTTGCCCTACATACATTTCAAGGAATAAATCTTTTAGAAAAAGTTGATCACTGGTCTAAATTCATGATTTATAAATAAGTCTGTACCCTTAACCTCCACCTGCCTTCGAAAAGCATTGAAATGACTTTCATTCTCAGCGTCCTCTTCAGTGTAAATCTTCGTTATGGACGACCTAGAGTTCACCACCAAATCCCGTATCTTCTTGACCAAACTGTTCAATTGGATCTTGGCACTTTGTAATTTTAGAAAAAGAAAGTTCACTTGATCCAATAGCACTCCACATTTGTAGCATAAGGGGACATTGTCGGAGATGAAACTGAACTCTAGATTTCAAATAAATAGAATTAATAGAAATAGAATAAATAGAATTTCAAATAAAACGTAGGAAGCTTAGATAAAATGATTAAACAGCGGTAATATTTAGAATAGCCAAATTGAATCGACAATTTTTACCCGTGTTATGATTATTTGCATCAATTTGTACACCCAACTCTGACGCTAGATAGGCAAAAGTCCTCTTAAACTTTGATTTGACGTCATCTGATGCCTCGCCCCTCCGAAATCGTAGTTTATGATCGCGAGGAAATTTCAAGTTGCAAAAGAGACAAAGACCGTGAACAGGTTTGCGTTTAAACTTTGCGTTCCTTCGGCGTCGATAATCGATTCTTATCTTCTGCTCCTCCTCACAGACTTCTCGCGAGGGGGGTGGTGACTGGCTCATCTTCTAACTCTGAGAATTTCGAAAGTGTGAGAAAAACTGAATAGTGAAAAAAATAACACCACTGTTCAAGTTGAAACCGCTGTGAGAAATCTCATCTCGCATAAATGAGACTGCGGTAAACAAACTGTACAGTAGCGAAAATTTTGTTTACATCATTTTCATGCATTTTCATGTGTTCACTTTCAAGAGTGAGGTTTTGGATTTGGGAAAATAATAGATTGTTCATTCTATTCTAATTATATTAATTAATCATGTACATTAAAAGCATGGAGAACAAACTCATCTCGGGGGAGATATGGAGAACTTATGCATCGTTAATCAGATGTAGATTTATAACCAAAAGACTTGAGGTAGGTAAGCCTTGTTTTGTATTTTGAAGCAAAATTTGATCAACACGTCAAATAATAAAATATAATAAACTACCATGTATTTTACAGACATTAAAAATTAATCACAATCGATTATAATCATATACCATAAAATATGTTCCAACAGTTGTCTTGGAACACAAGGACAAAGTGGCGAGAAGAAAACCTTCGGAGTTTGATCAATCGATGATTCAAAAGGGAAGATTATAAGTTGGGAATGGACAAAATTGACTATAAGATCAAACTACTCTTTGTTACATCGATATTGCAAGAAGCAAGTGGTGACAAACCATAAGGAACAATGAACGGTTGTTCCGATCCAACGTGTGTAAGTACAACCGAAATGTTTTGGTATACGCATGCTGCGATTTTACAAGTATCAAATGCCTTATCTTTAGACCCCTCCACCATGCGTGTATCCACCACCACCTCCAAAGTCTTTTATGAATGCGGGTGTAAAATGCTGCCAGTTTCCGCCACAAACATGTCGTGTTGCCTTCACTCTTCCGACACAGCCTGACTTTGTACTAGATCACAATGAACCTATTGTGGTGGAATGGCCTCCAAAGAAGGAGCCAGTTTGTGAATATGTAGACACAGGACCAAGACCTGACTTGTTGGCGCAGATCCCACACCAGATTGCACCTCAGGTCGTGACCATGATTGCTGCGCCTCAAATGGTGAATTCGGATGATTCAAGTGAGTGCTGTGCGAGTTCTTAATATAAGCAAATGTGCAAAATCTATATACTGACCACTATTAATAGCTATGACCAATCAAGTTCTGCCCCACGAACGGTGTCCTGACAGCCAGCTTCACGTAAGGATTGAGCCAAAACAAAAGAAAAAGGTAGAGATACGAATGCCACCTCAAGAACCGCCTATCCGAGGTCCACCCTGTCGTCCATGGATTCAATGTGTGGAGAATACCCTCATTACAGACCAGGTACGACGTCCCCTTGCTCGATACTGCCATCGGAGACCGATGCCGCCCCTTGTGATTCCTACCCATAAATTGGAACAACTTAAGCTAAAGAGTACTGAACGACAAAGACAACGGGAAGAGGAAGAAGCTTATTTTAGAGAACGGGAATGTCAGCGATTGAAGTCAAGACAGAGGCAGGCTAAATGGAACTTTACTGTGGAGGTAGGAGCTATTCTCAATATACATTCATATTCCGTATAGTTTGAATTAAATGCAATTTTTGAATAACTTTTTGAATAATTAATTTGTACTGATAGAGTCTGTTGGACCGAAAACGTCAAAAGGAACAAGCTCAGGAAGAAGCCGAACGTGAATCTACGAGACAATTGATGGCTGAAGTAGCACAAGAGAAAAATTTACAGTCTGAGGCTCAAATTGCGAGAGCAGATCAGCTCATTTTATATCGAAAAGGTCTTATCCGAGACTTTCATTCTGCTTTAGCCTATTCCAAGGTGAGATGAATTACTATTACTAGCTTGTACAAGTATATATATAATCCCCCTGTTACTTTTTTCTGATTTATCATATTGACCATACATACATATTATGTTAATATTTCAGATGATGCAAGAAATTGACCAAATGAAATCTAAAAGTGGGGAACAAGACGATTCTAATTGTCCAATGTATGTACAAAAGTGTTACAAAAAGATGATGTATCCAAATACAAGTCGCCCAGATTACTCAAAGAAGGTCGAGGAGAAAGTGATTAATGAAAAGTATAAATAAAATGTGTACAGTATGTTGACTACAGTAATGTCATGTCATTTAAATTTATTTTCGAATTTTAGATTGCTACAACGTCTCAAGTGTATTGAGCAAAGAGCTCTGGAACAAAAAATGGAAATTAATTCAGAGTTGTGCAGCATGAAACAATTGATTGCTGAAAATATGCCCGACCTCCCTGAAAAATACAAAAAGTATATGGCCGATCCTGTTTGCGATGAAGATAATGTAATTAAAAATACATTTATAAATACATTATTGCATGTCTGACTCAGTGGATAAATTTCTTTCGTGTAGAAAGAACGGACACAGGAAAAAATGCGCTGTGATGTGTTTGAAGAAATCGGAGACAAGTTGGCTGCTGATGCGTACATCGAGTCCCATGAGAATGAGATTGACCGTCAAGCTTGTGAATATAACGAGTATAAACGTCGAGTAGATGCTATCAGAAAAGCGAAAGAGAAACAAGTATGTCCTGTCAAACATCTACTTCAAAGATTATTATCTTGAAACCTCATAAGTTGGTTAATCTAAATAAGCTGGGTTTGTTTGTATGTAGCTCATTGACGAGAAAGTTGCGTATAACATTGCAAAATCTGAAGTGGCCGCAAGAGCCTTAGTGAAAGTGCAGCAGGAAAAGAAAGCTAGGGCGAATGATTATGATAAACTAAAGGAGCAGTGGTACATTTTTTGACAAGTAAATTTATGCATATATTGTTGATTTTTAGTACAAAGTTCTTACAATTATTTAAAAGGGAATCAGAGTTTGAGGCTAAAGAAGATGCCAAGAAATCCGCTCAAGAAAAACATATGGCGAAAGTAATTGCCGACTTCAATCGTCGAAAATGGTAAATTATATGTTTTACTATAGATACTCGAAATCTCTTCCGGTTGGAGACACGATAATTTTACTTCAAGTCAAGTAATCGTGGGTTAGAGAAGAAATAGATTTCCTGATTTTGTATTTTTGTATGATTTGTATCGATTTTGTACAAAATGTTCACATCACCCTTCAAACCTACCTTTTCTCATAACTATTTGTCACCCATGTATTTGAATCGCAGTGCCGAAGGTTGGAAACAATGTGATCTTCATCCTGCTCGTCAATGGGCGAGTAGCTTGCTCGTAGCGGAAGAAAACTTTGAACGTGAATGTCAAGAAAAATCTGATCGACGACTAAAGGCGGAAGATATTGCACTCTACAACAAAGCTCAAGCTGTAATAATAATCTCTAATATAATTATATGGAATAATGGTGTGCATGCATATTTATTTTGAACTTTATTTTAGTCTAACAAACAATGTCATGAGCAAAGGAAAAAATACATGGATGACGTTTGGGCTGCAAAGATGAAACAGGAATACTTGGAAGAGATGAAAGAGATGAAATCATATGCGCAACAATGTATCGAAGACTGGAAGGCCAAAGGACGCACTGCCGTTCCTATGCACCAAGCCATGAAGGCAAGTATTGTATTGGATTAAACCGTTTGAATGTTTATAATACATACCGTGTTCTCCCGTTCGTAGAAATGGGACTATGACGCTGGAATGCAACCTTACCTTTTCGCTGAAGGTGATGCTCCTTTAAATCTCGCCATGAGTAAACAAATGGCCAAATCTGCAAAGAACACAAACTGCCCAGGTTATGAAACTACGTCTAAAAGACTCGGGTTTGGATCTGGAGGATGTGCCTAAAATTGCCTTACTACGCATCCAAACTACATTATATATGTATGACCGAATAAAAAAAATAATCATTTAGAGGATTAGTTTATACGCGTCCTAATTATATGCTGGTACAATTTAAGCTTTGTGCAATGAATGTTTTAACCGGAACTGGTAGTAAATTTGGATGTGGAACAGTAAATCTAAGAAGTTACAACATGTGCATGTATGTGTTTCATGTTCCATCACGTTATTACTGAAATTTAGCTGCATATATTTTGTGACTTTCACTATCACTACGTATAAATAGTCGGAGAAACTAGCCTGCATAAAGCACAGTGCTTGATTCATCTCCAAAAAAACTCGGCTCGGAATAACCCGGGTAGAACTTTCTCCAGTGGAAGCTCTTGTCCGTGTCCAGAGTCCGGACAATTTGCAACAATTTTTGACCTGTTTCAGGGTAACCACCTGTTGCTTACCCGGGTAACAGGGGCACAACAATTGAGGGCAGCGAATTCTGCTTATATATGGAGTGCATATGTACATAGTTTGTCTTTCTTGTTTCTTTTTTCAGGCCAGGCTGTGCTCTACACAGAATCCATCCACCCAAGTATGTATCAGGGTCGCTGCAATCTCAAGTTGCCTCTCCTCGTTAGCAGCCTTTCTCTCCAAACTTATCTCAACTTTCTGCTCGTTAGCTTTCTCCAAACTGTCATAAAAGTTGAACACACAATTCTAAAGGCCCAAAAAATGGCCATTCTATGCATGCATACATATGAGTATACGCTTCGTGTGTGTGCACTGGAACGGGAAACTATGATCTTTATAACAAAAATGCACATCCTTGTCTGTCTGGATCTCTAATGGTGGAGTTGAGTGGGGTTCAACCTGTTTGTGCAAGTCAAGTACGATATCCATCATTGAGACACTCGGTTAGTGGGCCAACACGACTGTCTGGCGTTTTAGCAAACTGCGTCGTACATTCTCCCAACATTTAGCACATATAGTTTCGCACACTTTCGCAAGGAACTTTTATCCTCTCTGCAAAACTACATAAGTGCTTTTGGTTTGATGCGCAACGTCAAGTGGTTTGCGGTTGGTACTGCAGGTTTATGCCTATTTTAGTACCATCAATTAGCACTCATCAGGGAATTTGAATACTCGAATCTCTTATATGCATGAACATATTTATGTATGTATGCATCGCTCGTATCGTAGACTGTAATGATGGAAATGCTAATGGTTGGTGTATGTCTATCTGTCCTTATAGCGTCCTCCGTGCTCATGCCAAATGTCAGTTAAAGTGAAGGTCGCACGAGTTTACGGTGATTGGTCCGGGAGTGGAATAAATTAAGGCGTTATTATTGAGACTGATGACAAAATTCATTCATTTAGAGTCGGAGTTTGCATTTGTTTTTGTACAATTGCGATCCTTTGTATGCAACGACAGCAAAATTGCTCCAAAGGTGTTAAAAAAAGTCAGTCTGACATGAATTAATTGTGTTGAACCAACCGGTTTATTAACACTTCCTTAACAATATCGTGCCAGGAAACTTTTTTTGACAATTTTCTTTTGTGTTTAAGTATGCTAGCATATCAAGCAAGGGAGACTTGTCGGATGGAAGCCAACATGCCAATATATCATCTGCCATAATAATGCATATCCAACAAATGCAATTTTCTAAAACAAAGGAATCCAAAAAAGGTCTCGCTTCATTAGAGTCAACTATTTTTTAAGAACCTTGTTGAGCAGTATTCCAATTACAGGTCCAATTTAGTCCAATTAGCTCCCACCTGGAAAATCCTTACGTTTACATCGTAATCAAATTCACATGCTTGTGCCGCATGCTGCATTTAATAATAAAAGACATCACATCCGGCGGAATTCTCCCTCAACAAATGAGTTTGCTCAGGATTGGATTTATTTGTTTTCCTGCCTTTTGTACCTTTAGCCTATAAGATAATGTTCGTGTTCTCCAATGATATTTTGATTAGTTTTCCCAACTTCTCCACATTGATTTACTGTTTATTGTGCTCAAACGACCTGCCAAAATTTAGGTTAATTAATACTAATCAGATGAATTTCAGATTTCTCGGAATTATAACCTTGTTTATTTTGAATGTTTGTATGTTGAAGTTAAACATAAAGCTGCAAAGTTACATAAGCTAAAGACTATAGTTGTAGGCTCTAGTTTTGGAGTTTGTCAAAGTCAAAACTGACGAAACGACTAAATTTGTAATACGTACATTGGGAACATTGCTTTCTATTGATTTTGATAATATCGATTAATGCGAAATTGAACTCGGTGAAAAATATACTCATATTCATCTATTAGGTAGAAATACTTATTAACCGTTAAACTATAAGGTAGCCCAGTTTATTACAGGAGTTGGCAAATACCGTCTCTCCGTGAGTGCTTATCTGAGTTGCTGGCAGTAGTAAATAACCCGGAAATTACTTGTTTCACTCTACATACGAATAAGTAATAATAAAAGCTAACGTTGTTGTCTGTTGTAACTGATACACTCATCTATTCCTAGTCAGGCTAAGCATACAGAGTTTAATGCCCGGTGTCATAATTTAGAATAGTTTTGGACTGGCACCGAAACGACAATCTCGGAACTAATCTTAAGTAAATGTGTCTCATCCCCATTTTAACGAAGTTCGGTGGCCAGTATTTAACAGACAGCCGACAGGACAACCACACCAGTTTTCATAGGTAAGAGGTAAAACAATTGTGATTTTGGAATGCGAATTTACTTTTTGTAAACTGCGATTAATTTGTCTAATTTAATAAAAATCATAGCTGTAAAATTGATAAAACTTTTGTAAACGTAAGCTTAAAAATCCATACAAGTCAGGAATCTCACCTTTTACTCATTAAATAAACCTAATTAAGACCATAAAACATAATTGCGTGGTTAAATTGCATAAGTTAGAATAATGCAAGCTAATCCCGGCCGTGTTTTCCCGGAGGATGGTCAATTGCACGCAAATATTTTTTGTCTGTTATCATGTTTTCGTCAACCCACACACTAAACGTAGAGGATGTACACAACCAATAACTAACGAAAGTCATGAGTGTTAATTTAACCAAATTCTTTTCAACGTGCAGACAATATGTTATACAATCCACTACGCACTTGGCAGAGTAGCATCGCAATTGCAATTTTATTTCGAACATATTTTTTGGGTGCACCATAGCACTTCTCATGACAGGAATTTTAATCCTTCGTCACGTAAAATCAAAAGTCATCATTTCTTAAATAAACTTGTTGATTTATTCCAGGGTCTGGAACCTTCTTGAAATATTTTGCATGGCCCGTGACACAAACACACCTCCAAATACCGAGTACTCATTGGTTGATTTAATTCGCAGTGGAAGCTGTACAAAGCAAAAGAGTTGTAAACATCATCATCGTCGTCATCATCATCTCTATGCAAAAAATATTGCATAGCCCGATTCTACGCAGAAAAGTCTATCGTGGGTTGGTTGGGCAATTGGCGATATAAAAGTGGGTCGACCTTGTGCAGTTCTCTTCATTCAATAAAAGCGATCTTCTGTCTGCTGCATCATGCACAAAAGTGTTAGCTTGTTGTAAAGCACAGCCACGTTTCTGCGAGTTACTAGACACACAAGTTGAAGCGAGTTCAGTTCTGCATAAAAGTTCACACGAGTAGCGAATTGCTTTTGCATTCACTTTTTCATACCAAAAACTCCAAATATTAGCAAGTTCACGACCGCATTACATGTCCTAGACACGCGTGTATTGTTGCGTAATAATAAGTAATAGGGCAAAACAGTGATATCAAAGTTTTTTGTGAAAATAATCAACGAAAGAAAAAGCAAAAAAAAAATACAAAAAAATGATATCAAAGGCTGTCAGTTTCTTTGCGAATCTAGTCTGGATTTTGTTATTTCCGGCTTTTGTAATCCTAATCTTAACGCCCATCACTGCTTTGCGGTTATTCACGAGGATATAATAAAAATAGGCCGGTTTTATCGACGGTGCAGAGATGGATGGCATATTAAACGAGCTGGTGAGTTTTTATTAGGATTATCAATATTTTATGTGGCTTTGCTGTTGGGGAAGCGTTGGAAAAAGTTTATTAATATATTTATGCCTGGTTGGCATTATTATTTTACAGGTTCGAGGGGTCCGGGATTTTCCATGCATTCATTACACTGAAATAATAAAGCATGCAAGGCGAGAGGATGGCCGAGGAGGTGATGAAAATATTCGGGAAACCCCACCCGTGTGAATGGAACGAAAGAATAGAATGTGACTGTCATGGGAAATCTGGAGAAAATAGTCTCATCATCCGCCATTGTCCGCAAAATGTGCTGGTCCTTCCTTTCTGGAATGTCAATTATTCTATGTCTAAATTTAGATTTTGTATTTGGAGTGAAGCTGCATTATGACAATGATTCCTGGTCGTAGCGTCTTATTACCTTCCCGAAAGATCTCAACATTGTATTTACATGTGTGTATGTAGTGTACATTATTAATTATGTATGTATTTTAAAATAAGCTTTATATACGTAATGGATGAAAACCCGGATTGGACTTTACATTTACTTAGCCTTTAATAATTTAATATGAATCCAAAATTCGTTTGGGCTGTGCCAATAATAGCGAATTGACATACTAATTTATTTACTAGTCTTTCTTATATACATAAGTTTTGCATAACTATAATATTCTTATGTGCATTTAAGTATCGGTTTATTTAAGGAAGGGATAAATTGTGCGAAAATAAACGTATTATGAATAACTAAATATGTGGCTGCTTGTTTTTCAGTCATGGGTTTGACCCAGTAATTTTTCACTGACATAGCGAATAAACGATCGCCATTAACTTGCACGGTTTAAAATAGGGCAAATATTAATATAATGCACATGAATACTTAAATACATTTTTACACGCAGTAAATAAAATTTGCATATACTTATTTATAAATAATATGTATCATGTGGAGAGCATACACATCAGTATGTACAGACTTATGTATGCGGAATACTTGTCGTGTCGTATAGGTAGTTCAGTTTGATGCATTCATTAACTAACTGTAGCCTGAATTACACGCATGTGGAATTTGACGTCATGCTAAGAAGAAAATTACGCGTGAATTTAATGCATTTTTTATGCTTGTTATGGGAAAAGTAAGAATCCCCATATGAAGTTCTACTCCAGAAGTCCCATTGTGCCTGCCACACCCACTCATCGGTAAACAATCTCAAGAAAACCGTGACTTTGCTGGTTTATACATATGTAGATGCACAAAAATTCAAGCTTGATCCATGCATTATTGTGGTCCCAAATAGTTGCTTCGTCCATCAATATCAATTTCAATTTCTTCAAAATTTATAATTTTTTCTACGATTGGTACGTTTGCAAACGGATATTATACAACTAGATATCTGAGACTGCTAGTGTTCAAGAATTTTTCAAAATCCGAGCAAAATGGGAATTTTGACGTAGGTTTTAAACCATACAAAGTTGTATGGTTCTGTGGTTTTAAATGACAATTTTAAATACAAGTTTCTACCCATTTGTTAATGCATAGGTAGGATCAGAATTCCCACATCATTTGCTGAAATGTGAGTGGCCATATGTAAGATCACTTTCGACAAGTTTAATTGAAATTCTCATAGGGAAAGTTCCGCTCGAGTTTGCTAAAGTATGTAAATATTTTTACAGCGAAAAGTTTGTGCATAATTTTTACACAACGTCATGTAGCAGAAATATATGTACAACTAATTAAAAGTTTCCTGCATCAAGATCAGACTCGAGATAAAATATTGGAGACGTTTTTGATGTACTTCTGTACATTCATATGTACATAGTACTGATTAGGCTGCTAAGACGTGATTTGCAAACATCAGCCTTCAGCTTAGCCAGGAGGCTAAACTGAACTAAAAATATGACAATTTCAACAAATTTTACTCCCTCGGGAATATAAAGTTTCACTGATAAATAATGGCAAACTTGAACTATGTAACCAACAACAAACATACACATACATATTTATGTATTGTATTATGACCACCATTTTCTTACACTTTAATGGCGGCGTACTGCAAACAAATTGCCAGAGGAAAGCCTTTCCCCCATCATTTTCATTTTGCCTCAATCATTACCGTGCAGTGATGAAACATTTCACGTACTTTTTATGCATCATCATCATATTTTTCATAGTTTTGCAGTCAAAACAGACAAAGTCAATCCGACTCATGTATGCATGCGGAATAATAATATGTCGAGAAAACTATGCGATGCAGAATAATAAGACCTTTCCCCCGCTTTAAAAACGCATCTGCTGCTGCTGATTTTACTCTCCTTCAACTCCAGCAACTGAACATGATGCAGAATTGGGACGCACAACCCAGGCCAGAGTTGTGGAGAAAGTTGCCTGGAAGTAAAGCCCAGATTTCCTCAGTTCTTATCCAGCTCTCTCTCCGCAAACATCAAATCGGGCGAAAGCAATTTCCCTGCTTGGTTGACGTGCTGTTCTTGTTGTCTCAACTCTCCTCCCAAAATTACACAACTCGTAACAACTAAAACTCAAGTGTGCACCTCGCATCCATTCGAATAGTACCATTCGCGGATCAAGAAAGTAAGAGATAAAGATTAAAGATACTCCCAGCAATCCTGACGACGCTCATTGTTAGATAAGCAAACCTTGCGTAAAATTACCGCAATACAATACTGCGCAACGGGCACTATTGGGTCGTCACCTCATCACTATAACTCCTACCTAATCTGGTACGTCTTTCTGAATTCTTGATGAAATGTAATTTGTCGTGCTTCATTAGAATCGAAATATATTGGTTGCATACCTAAACAAAATTCAGGCAGTAAATCACATCCGTACTGTTGGGGACTTGTCCTGTCCGTTTGTTCCCATACCTCGTCCCATGTTGCGGTTGGGCTGAATGGAGTGAGAGCATTTAATTAAATCGGTGAACCCTCTGTCCTGTCACATACAACACATCCCTTCTCCTCCTCTGCTACTGGTGCTACCACCACTTCCTCTCCCCCAAGAGGAGAGATGAGATGAGATGAGATGAGGACGAGATTGGCGATATTCTCTTTGTTCCCGAAATTAGTTTTCCAGTCCAACAACTACCGCAAAAGCAAAGCAAACATTTGCTTGTTGGGATATGTAATTTGCAATCTTGTACGAAACGTACGTACGTAGTCCGAGTATGAGATGGAAATTCAGCAGTCTGAACATTTTATTGTTTGTTGGGCTGGGATTTGGGATGGAGGACTAAAGAACACCCACAAATGACCACTTTCTAGCAAATTAATGCTCATGTAACCACACACTCTTTCGCCGTCTTTTTCTTATGGCCTGGCAGATTGCATTCCTTCCCCGCACCACATTTAACTTTAACCCAATCTCGACTTTTATCCTGCACTCTTTCCGAGTAGAAGCTTGGAAAAGGAATAAAAAAGATGATCTGCCCCAATTCTTACGTACATACATACGTACGCCTTGTGTACTTATGTAGCTGGGTGGATGCGATAGCGAAATCCCTCTAAACAAGTAAAAACGGCACTATAACTAAATTCCTCGTCCCAGGGTAGCACTACTGCTTATTTACTAGGATCCTATATGTACATACATATCTACGTATGTGTTCCTTCTCTCCAGTAATCACTATTTTAAGCGTTTCTGAAGCAAAGTGCATGTAACATGCATAAAGACCTTCACGGATTTTAGTCAAAGTGGTTTTTCCACATTACCAATTTGCATGCATGAGCCGTCATGGTATTGTTTTTCTGGAATGCATGTGAAGAAGAATTTAATGAAAATGGCGACAAGAATCCGGTCCAGGATTTGCACTTTATTATTAATGTCTCATCCCAAGCTATGCATGCATGACATAAACTAAAGTGACATCAAAACACCTCCGCACTCCACGTTCTGTCTCATTCCGTGATGGAACTGCTGCCTGAATTTGACTCTGATTAAATCTTCCAACATCCTGCACAAAGTCAAAATTAGACATTGGGCAACGTTTTCAAATTGTGACATCAAGTTTGTTCAAATACTTTGAAAGATGTCACTCTATTTCGTGATTGTGTAGTAATACAGAAGTCAGTACCGTGGTTTTGCAACTTTTGATTTGTTTCTGAACATCCGTTCGTTGGTTACTTACTTGCTGGGTGGTATACAGTTGTTTCGTTGCATAATGAACACGAACATGACGGATAGGACAGCAAATTGCAAAGGAGACGTGATTTAATTTCACCAGTAACGCGAACCAACGAACCAACCATCCAAACTAGTGCGGTGTGGTGCATGGTGATTCGTCGACCTCTGGAGAAATACATGTCCTGTTCTATTACTCCATTACATAATAATATTTTGTGCCTCATTTCAAATTCTGTTTACTTCTGTTTCAGCAATTTTGATGCAAGTGCGAGCAGTGTGACTGAGGGATGCTGATGCTGCCGCTGCCCCCCATTAATTGAGACGACCAGGCAACCACAGCAAACAAAGTGCACATTTGTAACTCCCAATTTACTCCGTAACACAATACATGCACCAATTTGAAATGAAATTCATCACTGGCTTGTTCGTAACGATATTCCTCCTCCTCGTCATGGGCGGGCTGGGAGCAGGGCGAGGGTTTCGGAGTAAGGTAAGTGTTTCCATGTGTGAGAGTCGCCTCTTAAATGTACGATCGTGTGTCTTTTAGCGCCGTGATTTATAATGAAGTCATTTATCCTTTATCTGGAAAATACTCTCCTCGTACTCTGCAACCATACGTATAACACGTCTTAGTGTGTATCATGAATGATCGATTTCTTGAAATAAATGGGTGGGAGGATAGGATCCAATTCGTTATTATATTGCATATATATACATATCGGGATTCGGGTAGGTTGGCTTTTTGGGTACAATTTGCATATCTCCGAAAAGGAGTTCATTTCATGGGAGCGCTCCATCATCCTGTCAAAGGGCTCAACTGCATTGCATCCAAACTGCTATTCACCCACCCGAGGAGTAAAGTGTTCTAACTTGAGGCTAATTTAAGAGATTACATTACGTATACCATAACACAAGTAGTAGTCAGTAGGTAGCCATGTATGAATAGCGTGGACTTTCTCTCTCTCTGGGTGGAGAAGAGTGATCAATCTCTGCCTTAATCCATTCAACTCTTTCCTCTCTCTAAAAACGCTACCTCGTAAGTACTTGCATTTTGCAGTCGGTACATGTGATGTGCGACTTCTTCAGAAATTGTAAAAGGTTTAAAATGTCATTTAACCCCGAAATATTCATAATCAAAGGCCTCATCATCTTTATTCTCATTCCCATAATTTAACCTGCACTCAGGGACTACTAAAGCACGCCATGGTTTAAACATTTCACTGATTTCACAACGTTAAATAAATTCATTTCGCGTTTGCTTGAGTGTACTTTGCCTTGAAGATGTGCGAGAGAAGGAGGAGGATGAAGCTATATGTATGGCTTATTGTGCTGCTTATGGCTTGCACGACGACTGGGGTAAAGTGTTGGCTTGAAGAGTTAATGACTTTCACTATTCCACTCCTTTGTTGGCCATGGTCCAACTAAATAATCGTGAATAGGACAAAGAGGCAGATAGTTTGTCTCTTAATGGGAGGCAGATTTAGAGAGAAAGTTTCCACGTGGCGTGCCTTTGACTGGTCTGCTGCTTTCTTGCTCCATGCTGTTCTGGGATGGACGGCGGATGAATGAAAATACCAGAGTCAGGGTAAAACATTCATATTCGTCCAATGTAAAAATTTCAACGAATATAAGAACACTAGGAAAATGCCACTGCCGTGTTGGAGAGAATAAGAGCAAGTCGAGATAAAAGACGACATATTATATGAACGTACGTACGTATTGACTTGGATTTAGAATAATGCAAACAAACACTGTCAAAGTAAACAGAAGAGTGGGGTTTTTGAAAGGTTGCATGACTTTGACTTTCACCGACTGACAAGGAAAGAGTACGAGGATGTGATTTCCTTCAATGGATATACTGTCAAACAGCCTCGTCAAAATATTATCATTTCCTTTACTACAAGCACAAGAAAATGCAAGGTTTTCCCTGAATTGAAGTCTGTAAGAAGGGAAGGGAAAGAAAAGAAAATAATACTTTTGACTTTCAACTTTTGCCAGGAAAAGAAAATACGCATCGAGACTCATTTTGAAAACGTTACACACACCCTCGAACGAAATATGCGATGGGAGAATTTCAGTTATGAACTGGCAACATTTCATTTCATTTGTAATGATTTGGAGAATGGGGCATTTCAGTAATAAGGAAATAATGAGATGGGAAATAAGCGGATTCCTCACAACAACAAGGACGACGACGACGGGGTGGCTGCTCTCGTCGTCACATTATGCAAACACCGCATGAGACAGAGGGAGAGGAAACTGCATACCGGGCGCCTTGCTTTCTCCACTTCGTTAAACCTCCTTATACAATGTGATCACATAATATTTGTGAAAAAACGTGTATATATATATGGCTCAGAATTATCGCATGTTGTGCAACAGCCGTATACATATAAATATTTTCCATTTATTTACATGTTCCCCCATACACACTACTTTCTCATACTTGGCAAGTTTGTCGTGGGACGGCAACATCACGCATCGTTATGTTATGCTGTTATCTCCCCTGTTTCCAGTTCCGGCTTAATTCTTCCTCCGACGAAGCAAATTCCGTTTATTGCTCTTGCAACGTCCTCCCTACGGGTGGGTTTGTGGTGGTTCGGCTTCGTGGTGCTGGTACCATATTTAATGGTTTCATATTGTTGGTTGGTGGTAGATTGTGTGTGTACGGGAAACATTCTTATGCATGAGGTTGGGGAATTAAATAATCTTTTCCGTGCAATATAAAGCTGGTTGGTTGGTTGGTGGAGAAAGTGTACAAATCATTAGGATGCAGCCGCTTAAGAAAATAAGGTTTCTTACCAGAATGTGTATAACAATTACAGATTACATTCGGATGAAGGGAATAATTGGGATAGAATTTTTATCCTCCGCGGAGGACGAGGAGAAGCGGGAGGATGCCCAAGTTAAAGCCATATCCAATTACCATTTTAATTTTACTGAATGGATTATTATATGCGGGTGATAACGTCATACGCTCAAGTCATCTTTATGACTGGGATTATCTCAAAGGATAGCAGTTCTATATCCATTTCTGCGAATAAATGGTTCAAATTCTGTTAATAGCTTGAATCGCTTTCTTCCCTATTCAATGCTTGTATGGGAGAACAAACTGGAAAATGATGAGCAGCGTCCATCATGTCACATCGTCTAAAACTTTGTCAGTGCCATAACGATGGAAAATGGTTTTACAAAGACCATGTCCATGAAGAGAGAATTGGACCATGGTACATATTTTGGCATAGAACGGAACATCATTTCTTGCACAGAGCGAGAGTGAGACAATGGCTAATGTTCTTTTCTCGTCCCAAACTTAATCGCTTCTCCGATAAAAACCATCAACTAAACTCGTTTGTACTTCATCATGGGAAAAAGTCACATTCTTTCTTTTGTCTTCAAATCATGAAACGAATTTTGGATTTTTTTAGGCAATACTTTTCCTCCGATGGCTGATAACGTTCCTTTTCAATTTCTTCCTTTTCTACGAAATGATAATAATTTTGTCTCAACGGAGAAAACATTTATTTACTAAACGACCCAACAAATATATAAATTCAATTTAATCTTTGCTCATTGATTAGCAATTACACTAAACTACAGCCTAACTACCGAACTCAAGTCCATACAAAGAGGTAGACGGAGAAGGAGAGAAAAGGCAAAATAGACAGCCTTGGGAACCTTGTTAGTTTTAGTTAACTCTTTTCTCCTGAAATAACTAACTTCATCTCTCTCTCTTTATTTACTCTCGTTCTGCTCTACGTAGTATTCTGTCCAACAATAAAATAACAAAAGTTTTGCTCATCACACTTGAGTGAGTTGGAGTGGTCACTTCCTCTCAACCACTGTGTAGTGGTGCCCTGCTGTACACAATCACCACCAGCACCACCACCACCACCACCACCCGGGTAATTAAGCCATGTGCTGTAAAAAGAAAACTGTACGGAAGAGAGACAAGAGGGGAGAAAAGTAATCCCTGGCTGCCACCTCTAATTGCCCAATTGATCCCTTGCCGCTTTCTCTCCTCTCAAACCAGATTAAGTTTAGGTTTGGTTAGCAGCAGACAACAGAAGAAGACGAGGAGAAGGAATGAAGCACAATAATTATAGCCGCAGTTCTCCGGAAAAGAGCAGAGTTCAATGAATAGCACTGAAAGGGGTCTACTTTTTGTTTGGAAAAGCGATCAATTGCTGAATTTCGGTGAATCCTCTTTGTTCTTCGTGTCCTCGTCGGCCCAGTCCTCGCCCCCAGTTGGGTGCCTTTCAAACTGGTAGCACAGAGACAACCCACACTCTTCAACTTCAAAGGACAAAACAGGAACAGAGACACCCCGGGCTCGCCATGGGCAGACAGGCAGCGAGATGAGTGTGGCATACGTAGTCGTCATTCTGATTTGTTGTTGGAGTGAAAGCAGTCGGTTGAAATAGCGGAGGTGAAAGTTCTCCAATGGTCTCCAACTCCATCGTCATGCATGCCTCTCGTCCATCACGTGCAGGCAGACGAATTACTAAACAGAGAAAGAAGCGAACGCCGCGCCGTCACTGCCACACGATTTCTACGATATTTTTGTTGTATTTATGTATGATAGAAGTTGGGACGGGATTAAATCAAGTTGGTCTAAATGAAGAAGAAGAGGGGAAAAATTATGAAAAAATTCGAGATTGTTTTGACTTGCATCATCACGTTCCTTTGCGAAATGTACATCCTCCGAGGATTTAGAGGGAGGCAGAGTGAAATTGAGTTGAGATGAAAACGTATAATTTGCACGTAGGTCCTCTTCTCGTAGTCGGAACTATGTATATGCGTACACATCTCATGGCATGCACACGCCATCCATATCTCGCCTCACTCCACTGGAGCAGGAGTACGAGAGGAAAGGAGAGAAAGTGGGAATTGATTTGCTGTGTTTGAATAGCCCAACTAACGAGAAACTTGTCTTCGTCTCAGTTTCACTTTCACCAAAAATTCACAAACTTTCCAAACTCAAACAAAGTAAGTAAGTGAGGAGGAGAAAGTCTGGTCTTTTGGCTGACTTCATTTTTCGAGGCAGGGTGTCAAAATTATAGAGATATGTATGCGTACTTACCTACCGCCCAACCTGTGCATATGTATTTTGCGGCAGATGTACTACTTATTACCCACGAAGGTATACCTAAACTAGCTTGATCTAAATATACAGCCACAGAATATCAGTCCAAATATACACGACTTGGTCTAGAGGAGGTTTTCATGTCCATAATTAAGTGATTTTCCACGTAATCTGTTGTTCATTCAGAACATAAGAATAAGCTGGAAATCTGACCAAACCTGCACCCTGGGCGGCCTATCAGCTATTCCCTCATAAAAGAAAGAAGGCTGTGGAGTGGATTTTGAAGGATTTGGAATTTGAAATTGTGTGCTTCGAGAGTTTTGCGGATGAGTTGGTTGAGATGAACGAGAGAGAGGAAAGAAGGGTAGAAGAGAGAGGATCACGTCAGATGGGCGGCTTGACATCTAATCCCCTCACACAGTACACCAGGACAGGACCTCCATTTATTTATTGCAATATTCTCTCCTGCCACCTCCCCTCACATACGACGACAGAGTCAGTCGGCAGGCCGTAATAAATATATAAACTCCGCAACTGAAATCCAATCAATTCACCCACCAAGTTTCCAGACCAGCTTGTTGTGAAATTGATGTGGAAAACCAGGTTGTCAAATTCGACTTAAAAAATGACAGAAAGTGAAATCTCTAACATATTAATGCATTCAAATACATCATTCATGTTAACATTCTCATGTCTCTTGTCAGACTAAACTGCGGGATATCCTCGTGTGTATTGTTGTACGTAGACAACAAGAGCTTGAGTCGCATTGCATACATATGTAGGGATTCAATTCTGATTCAATTTCCTTTGTCTCACTTTCCCCACTTTCTCCATACCCGTAATAACTTCACTTTCTCTTTACAACTCCTTCCGGTGAATTACCTAACAACACACAGACCCGAGGGAATGAAAAGCGGGGACGGAGAGGGCATGCTTTGTCCCAGCAATGCAGGATTGTACATAAATAAGTGGAAAAGTAGTTGACTTGAACGAGGCGTATGACATAAATGCGCACCTATATTCCTATATTTACCTATACGTATACCTACCTACGTATAGATAATAAATACGTTTTATACTTCCCACCGGAGTGGGAATAAATCAGGGTTTTCCCAGTATTCAATTTTCCATCCCAACACATTTATTTATGACTGAGACAAGTGGTTGCCGCCGAAATCTGCTTGTTATATACAAACATCATATGCACTCTGTTTGGTCGGCTGGGGCTTGAACTATTCATAAGCTTATCAATTTCACGCGTGAATTCCATTATTCCTCCACCACCACCCAGCAGATACGCAGGCAGGGTAAGGAAGGTGGAGAAAGTGTCGCCGTCATATGAGGCTTTGGCGCATTACAATTTATGAGGGCAGTGAAAATGGGTGAAATTTGGCAATAAAATAAAATTACAAAAGTGTTTTTGCGCAAACTACAGATATGTAGGCAGAGTGAAATGAGATTCAAGTTTGCACAGCGGAGAAGAGAAGAGTGAGGTCATCTGATTTATGGGGTTGGCTTGGTGAAAGCAATTCATCTTGGAGAGAGGAGAAAGGTTGGAAGTGGGAAAAGACGATAAAATTAAATTATGTCGAGTCTAATCGAGGAAAGAGTTGAGCAGGAAGGAGGCTGCGAGTTTTGGTCCAAACACAAAACACATTTTGTCACACGTTTTTCGTGTGTGATGGGCCTCTGATACGTATGTAGAATAATACCCACGAACGTGCGTACATGGATGCGCGTGCCTCACGTACATATACATAACTTATTTGAGTTCGTTTGTGCAGTCGTTGGAGAAAGTTGGCAAAGGGCGGAATGTCGCTGGGGCCAAGTCGTGAAGAGCTCTGCTGAACCGAAATCGCTTGTTGTGAGATTATTTTTGTACGAGAATGAGTTTCAGATAGAGATGAAAAGATATGATACCAACATAAGTTGTATATTGTGTAAATGCGTCGTCGTCCTCTCGAAAGTGACAACTTTCCCGACATAAGTGGCATTCTATTTAATTTATTTCGAGAATAATTGTCCTCGTTTACATTACACGGAGAATCGCGTGAATCATGCAATTGTTGTGATACTTACTTTAATGATATGTTATGCTCGTACACTTTACCTACGTGCGAAAGTTTTCATTTGAATTTATTTCTTCGGAATGACAAAGAAAAAGCAATTTTATTCAGGAAAATTCAATTACATTTTTTAATTCTGCGCAAAAATGCATTAAAGTTTTTATAGTGTTTGATGTATATAGAAATATACAGCTTCCATATCGTGTGATCCCCGGCACGCGTATTTGTACTTGGTATGCTTCACCTTAGCTTTCTCCCTGTGCAGGAAAAAAATGCACCTGCTGATGTATAGATACTCATGTGATAGTTGGCATCTTTTATATTCTGGGATGGTACAACTCTCATTTGAATAATCGTCTTAGACGAAGACCGCGTCGTCGTCGTCGCCGACTTGTCCTTATTTTCCACCAAGTCACATCGTAGAATATACAACGTCGTCGTATACAACATTTCCACTTGAACGTTCTGCTGCACAGAGTGACTTATTTTTCCTGATACCGGCAAGACTCGACTTCAGCTTTGTAATTATTGTCCTGAAACACAAACTCGTTCCAAGGAAGTAATACACGTTGTCCCAGATTCTGCCTGCGGTAGGCAATTCCCTCCGCTTACATACATTTATACGCCCTCAAATTTGTTAGCTTCGGCCGGGCTTCTTTGTCTTATTGATGGAAAGCGGGTCCTTGGTCTTGATTAGAATTGGAAAATCTTGGCGAACATAAAACTGCAGAGAATGTCAAACGAGTCAAACTTAACTCAAACGTCATATTACAAGAATATTGCTGTTCACACAGTATTTTTAAAAGTGAAATGAGCATGCAAAATGGCACGCAGCAGCCGCCTCGCTCACTCAGTCGGAGTCACCAGCAAAGTGTAGTTTGTTTGATCTGTAAATCTGCTGAGTAAGGGGAACAAACACCGATTTATTTGAAGAGCAGTCAGCACTTTTCCAACTTTTCTTTAAAATGTAACATGCGAGTAAGTGCTGGGGAGTGAAGATTGAAAGGATTCCAAGTGGGAACCTACACACGCACTTAATAACGAAGGGAGGACAGCACAGGAGAGAGAAAGTGGAGAGAGATTTTGGTGTGGTTGCGCTAAACGGTGCTAATTACGGCATACGGAATTCAGGTCATGCCCAATTAATGGGCCACTTATTCTTCCCACGCTCTCGCTCCGAAAGAAAATTTTCCATAATTTCTGATTTGAAATGAGAAACACAGATTTATTGCGGGGATGAAGAAGTCTTGGCGAGATCGTGTCACATGAAGAAGTGGACCAGTCTTTATGCAAACCAATTCCAAAGGGCTAAAGATATCTATATATTTTGAAAAATTCATGACTTTAGGGCTGCTTTCACTTGGTATGTATGTATATCATGGTACTTTTTCTTGTGGCATGTGTGTGGATTGGATAAAGTGGGACGATAGTGCGGGTGGCCGAAGTGGTGCCAAGAATGGTGGGATGAGGGGCTAATAATGCTAGAAATCAGGAATTGATCCGAAAATCCGGGAGCCGTGAAATGAATGAATGAATAAAGCTTAAGTACCGACACATTCTGAATTCTAATTTAGTTTGGGAGAGAGCGGAAGAAGAAAGATTTTTCGCTTTCTCACTGGCCCAGTTAATGCTACCACAAAATACAACTTAGGTCTGCGCCATGTTACAGATTCTAGGAAATTCTGCTCAAATCTTAAATACTAGCGCATTCTGGAACTGTTTCCATTTCCAATATTTCAAAAACTTGGAAGGTTCCAGTTCCTCTTATTTGTTTACTATGTAAGGTCACGGACGGCACACTTTCACAAACCACGGATATCCCCTTCCTACAACTCGTATTATTCGTTTGACCCGCCGTCAAAATTCCAATATGTGCATTTATTACCTCATCCTTGCCTGATAGGTATGTACATATGCACATTCGTCCGAGTGCGGCTGTAAAACAGTAGATAGTTTCAAAGTACTTAAATTGGATGTGATGACACATAAAACTCGTATAAGTTTCATTAGTGTGGTTCCATCGTCAAGCCAGATAACTGGTTCAGTATAATTTGAGTGATCAACTCAAACTAACACTGACTGAGGATGAGCACTGTCGGCCTCTCCAACCTTGTTAGTTTCAAATGAAAGCTGGCAACTAACAGAAATTGAGGTCTGGCGAAGCGGAAATGTCCATCTCGCTTCGAAACGGGACACAATTTCTCATGTCCTGTTACATACTCTGGTACAATTCTGGCCCCTTTAAGAATTCAGTCCGCGTCCTCATTGCATATAACGTAAAATTGTTATTGTCGTCAAACTATATAAATCGGGGGAAATTACAGAAACGTGTGCATTAAATACAGGTTTTTTGAGCACGGTCGAGCTTCTAAAACTGGAATTTTAATACACAAGCTAATCTAAAAAGTATGTATGTTCGCCATATCTTGGCAATCAATTTGATATTCAAAATCATTTATACATAGATTATCCAACTGCACAATTGTCATTATTATTCATCAATATGCATAATACTTAGGATTAGTTACAGTGAAAATTGTACTCTATGTTTGATAAACATAGAGCTTGTACCCTGTCAATATGTAAATTGGTCAGATTTCATCAAGAAAACCACTGCTTAGATTGTTCACATTGTAATTAAATATTTCAAAATATGGCTTAGGCATCCAACTTCATCTCTTGTTGCAACAGATAAGCGGCGGATAATTGGCTGAGCGTAATCACATTGTGTTTAGAGATTTCTTGTTGAACACGGGAAGCGTTTCTACATAGTTAACTTCCTCTGATGGCAAATGGCCGAGTAGGTGCAGGCTGTAGCGAAGGAGCAAATTGGATTGGGGGAATTGGTGCCTGAGTGTAAAGCACCCCTGAGACCGATCTGTACTCCCCAGAAATAAAAAGTTGGTAATGCATAACATTACACGAGTTGATGTTGATGTTGGCGTGTGGACTGAAATGCATACGTTGTTGCAATACTGGATGCAATGCAATTCATGGAAATGTCTTCGGGTTCATTCCATTTATGAGAGAGTTATGGCAGCAGTTAGCAAATTCCGATTATGTACAAAAATCCGAGGTGCAGAGTTTCATCGTGTGTACAGATACACTTGTATACATGAACAGTATATCTAATCCTACGTTACGAAATGGTCAACATAATTCATATTACTTTTAAGAATTTCAACTACTTTGAACATGTGAAAATTTTATGTTTGCAGAGAGGACATAAAACCACAGGGGATGTCAGTATGGAAATGTCGCACTCTGCCCAAAATCCGGAAAAGGGTATATACTTACATCATAATTAAGCCTTTCTCAGCTAACTTTACACATTTAATCCAATTCAACATGTACTCCAGGACTTGGCGATTCCTGGAAAAATGAGGACGACGGAAGTTACGTGTCCTCTCAAAACATTTGCGACTCTTGGTGGTGTGGACAAGGGCAGGAATGTCGTCCAGGAGGAGATTTGCTTCCAACTTGTGTTTGCAAAGAAGTTTGCCCCCTCCCTTCCTCAGAAGATGTCAAGAAAGAGAAACAACCGCCCACAGGATGGGATTGGAAAATGAAAGACGGAGAAGTTCCCGACCAAGGCTCTGTTTGTGGAAGCGATGGGATTGTTTATCCCTCCGAATGTGAGCTTCATCGCAGCGGTTGTTTAACTGCTAACCCACATCTGCAAGTTGCGGGAACACCGGAAGCGTGCGAAAGTAGGAGGAACGACGAGGAGGAAGAATCACATCCACCACCCAAAGAACAAGATGATGAATCTCCCGATGTAATGGTGTCACCACCACGTCCGCAACAACCACCCGATGAGACAAGCCCCTGTAATCATGGTCGTCGTCGTCGTCGCAATACTTCACCAGGAGCAGGTAACATTTTTATGGAGGAAAACAACATTCCTTCCCCCACTTATTGATACATAATAAAGAACAGAAATACCAATTTTCCACTCTTTTCCCATCGGTATAAAATTCTCCCAATTCCCAAACTTCCTCCTGTCCATCATCCGTCCGCATAGTCATCACATAGTCGTCGTCGTCGTAAGTAAGTAGTAGCCCATTCTAAAGATCACCACATCCATCCAAAGTTAAGACTTTTTTTGTCAGCGAAAATGAAGCGATAAAGTTGGTGACGTGAGATGCGTTTTTCACCGTCAGTGGGAAAACTCTCCCTCATCTACGACTACTTTCCCTCGTACTCAGCATATACGTACCTAGTTCCGTTTCCTGCACAAAAAAACGCCGTTACTTTTCGTGGCATCATCTCAATCATTGCTTCACACACACTGGCACGAGGGCAGAATAAGAAAAGACAATGAGATGATGAGGGTGAAGGAATGGACAAAGTTCTCTCAGCTTAAGTGCATTAAAAGAGCATCTGCCACGAGGACAGGAAGAGAAAAGAAAGTCTCTTGAAGCCCTGCACATTCTTCCGTCGTCGTCCTCGCCCTGCTCGTCATTTTCCATTTATACCAGAAAAAGTCAGTAATAGAAACCTAACTGAATAGAATGATTATTTTTATCCGCGTCTAATTCACAACCGCTAACTTTTGTCATGAATACGCAACGTCAGAAATGAATATAAATGTAATACGAGCATTTACGAATATTTGTCATGTCATTTTGGAATTGAGTGTGTGCTTCTTTGGGCGAAAAAATGGTTATTTCGTGTCGGACATGGAGGTAGCCGGCGAGAAGAGAGAGCGAGAAACACTAGTAGCAGCAGCATATCTACCACGACGACTATTTAGTTGCGGGCAAGGAAGGAAGGAAGGGCGAGAGGAGAGAAAGTGGTGAAAGTCCAGAGTGATGGAGTGGTGGATGTAATGGTCTCCGTTTATTTGTCCCTTGCGACTCCTGCTCCGGAGATTACTCACCATCCTCCCAAGAAGGATGGATCGGAGGGAGCGAGACCGAGAAGGTTATGCGTCCCTTCCTTTCTCTTTATGGCAGCCACTCACATTTCCTCCGTTTGTTCCATACCAATTATTGCAGTCCGGATCGGGGGGAGGGAATTTCATCCTTCGCATCGCGTTGCACAATCACACAAAAAATATCACAAGTCTCTTAAAAGTGCCGAACACGTTTTACAGGGAGGACGAATCGGAAGAAGAAGCCATCCTCGCCGCCGGGAGGTAAAAAAGATGCAACGCTATTATTATTACATGAAACTTCAAACTTAGATGTGGAAACACCCTCGAATGATAATGACGGGGAGGAAGACGACTACGACGGTTACGACGACCGAGACTTTCACAACGACGAGGACGACGACGACGACCTTGAAAACAACGACGGTTACCCAAGAGGAAAGGATGACTGCTCATCGCTCAAGAAAATGAGGAAATCCATCAAAAAGTTGAACAGACGGAAGTCAAGAGGAGGAGGAACATCAGAAAATTCCAGGACGAATAATAATGCAAAAAGGAAGCGAGGTTCAACCCTGTGCACTTTATCAGAGTATAAAATATTTAAGGTAAGTAAGGTGTGGATGGAGATGGAACGTGCCCTCATTTTTAATAACTTTTACATTACGAAACACGAACAAGGGAGATTCGTCCTCCACAATTCAGCCAGAACAGGAGTGCAGTATGAAAATCGTGTGTAGTGTGAAGTGAAACGGCTCACAGTTTTATGTCATTTTATATCGTCCTGTTCCGAGCTGGATTGTCAAATGGGCTCTAAATCTTTGTAATGGAGCGATGAAAGCAATTTGAGAAATGCATTAAAATATTTCATATTTTTCATTTCGTCTCGCATGTACAGGAAGCATTACTAACGTACAACGAGAAGCACCTGGTTCCATCCTCACAGGTGGATGAGGACAAGGAGAAATTAATCAGTCGAGTTTTCGGGTATTTCGACCGGAATCATGATGGAGCTCTTGACTACGAAGAGTTACAAAGGGTACACAATAACCAAGTTAAATATGCAAGTTGAAGTATATTTAAGCTGAAAGTTTTTTCTAAGCAGATTGGTCTCGAAGAGAATTTGGGACGACCTCAGCAGCGTTGTCATGCTGTCGAATTTCTCCATTATGATGATATCAACCAGGACGGAAGAATAGATCCAAAGGAATTTGATGCCGCCTTTGCTTTCACGGGCTCATCCATTTCGGGTGAGTGAGTCGATCATTGCCTACAATAATGATGGCGACGCAATAAGATTCGCTTGAGTGAAGCTCTATTCATCACTCTGACCAATAAAATATCTCGCTGGTCAAGAATCCGGATTATGTTGGACATTGATTTATTCCTTTCTTCGGTTGGAAGCAGGTGTAACTAAGAAGAAGACGACAAGGAAACCAATCCTCGTGAAGGGTAAAGTAGGAGAGAAGCTGGCGGACCTGCGATGCCCCTTTGTATCATCCCCGCCTCCGCAATGGACTCGATATGGTCACCCTGTCGATGGATTAGGGCTGGATATTCGAGACGATGATGATGCAACCGTGTTGTCAATACCAGTCTTGGAGTTGGTCCATGCAGGAAACTTTACTTGCAGAGGCAGCAGCAACATTGGTGATAAGGACAAATTCCTTGAGCAGCCATACCTGGTCGTAGTCACAAGTGAGTAAAAGAGAGCAATCTTGGCGCATTATGTCGTATTATTTCCCTGGCGAGAAAGCGAAAACGGAAGCAATTAATCACATCAAGGAGTGTGTCACCACATTCTGCGATTACATGCTTCGCTTACTTATAAAAGAAAAAGAAAGTGAGTGGTCACTTTCGGCTTGGGAGGAGAAAGAGAGAGAGGGAAGTGTTACGAGTTGGTGACAGGTGGATTAAGCCCGTACATCATTTTGTTCCGTTTCTTGCGGCCAATCGTTGCAGTGTTGCAATCGTTATATAAATATTATGTTCTGTTTCATAAGAACGTGTTATGTATGGAAACAATTACACAATTCACTAAAAATTTATATGCATTGGTCTTTTTTAAGGTGAACCTGAGGTCCAAGTGCATCCAAACATGGTTCTGGAACGTCCTGGAGGTGGAGTAAAGCTTGAATGTCGAGTTAAAGGAGAACCCCTCCCATCCATTCGATGGCTGAAAAATGAGGCTCCGTTAAGCCCGATTCTGCTTGAAAGCAATAAGTACAGCGTGGTCGGACCTTTTCTGGAATTAACAAACGTGGTTGTAGCCGACACAGGGGCGTACATGTGCGAAGCCAGCAACACCGCAGGGACAAAAGTTGACATTGCATCACTACTGGTTTTGGACGAATTTGTCGAATTTCCTTCCGGTAAGAAAATATAAAGCAAAAATACTTATGAATTTTTTAAGAAGTGACAAAATTAATTGATGTATTGTATAATTATTATGTTAATTAATTAAGGCGTTAAAATTGGAACACAAAACGAGTCTCTGTTTGTTCTCTTGCACGATGGAGGAATTTCTTTATATGATCCAACCAACTGCAGATTACACCAGGAAATTTTAGGAAGCGATATTATTCCTGGGACACAAGTAAGTTATTTATAACCATGATCATGAAATTGTATTTTTACATTTACTAATATTGAATAATAATTTTGTAGGAAGATCTGGTTTGTGGGTCAAGTCCATGCGTTTGGGGTGCCGGAATTCACATCCCAACTTCCTACATTTACGCCTCACAACCTTTGTTGGACCGTGTTCTTGTCGTATCCTTGTCGGAAATGGTTGTGGTTGACTTAATCCCAACCATCAGCACTCCATCCAATCTTCACTACATACCCCACATGGATCAAGTTTGGATCCACGGACAGGGCGGAGGTCAAGTTGTGAGAGATGCCAAGAAAAAGAGAAAGCACGGGGCTAAAACGATAGAAATTGTGGAAGCGAGCCCTGTCAAGGACATGTTTCTTCCTTCGACAGCCCCATTTGCGTCCGCTTATCTCACAAAGGAGGGTGTTCGAGGGATCTACAAAGTTGACCTGAGGAGTGGTTCTTATCTCAAAAGTGTGGACCTGAGCGGCTTTAATTGCCTCCCGGACAAGATTCATTTCTCTTCGCTGTGTTAGTTCATACATATTTGACTAAATACTTGTATGAAAATTGTTCTGCTATTTTGTAATAAGCCCACAAATTTCTATTTTTCATTTATAGATGGCTTGCTAATTCTTGAATGTCATGAGCCAGTACTGCACCGCCCTACTGGGACACTGCTACTAGATTCGTTGACTGATGCTGTCGTTGGTCACTATCCGCATCTCCATGGACGATTATTCCTCAGTCCTGATAGCAGATCTCTGATAACTTTGACTCCAAAGAGGTCGAAGAACAACAAGGCCGCCACAGACTTTGTGGTTCATCAAGTCACACGTACATAAATCAATAACTATTTATCGACACAAGCAATAGATATGTAATATTCACAGTAATAATGGAGACTAATTTCTTGCAGAAAACGGATTAAAGCTGCGTTACACTGTCCGAAGTTCAATAAATGCGTCCGACGTTGATTTTTTCCCATCACAAGTATCGCAATCATACGACGTGTTCGCCAGCAGTAAAGGTGCTGCCCACCACGACAAGCACCTCCTCTACATTGACCTTTCTTCCGGAAGAACGGAAGTCGTTCCCGGCGTGGGGAAATTTTCAGGACCTCAACAACAACAAAGACTAATTGCTGCGCAACCTGGAGGGTTTGGTCATTACTTGGTGACACCAGGCAGCAGTTCCGCGTTCGTTGTCAACGGAAGGACGAGAACGGTCAACTGTCAAATTGGTGGAGGTCCATTACAAAATATTTCTTCCATCCTGTGGCTCCAGCCAGTTGAATAATTTACCAGCGCTTGTTTTGAGGATAATTCAGCATATCTCATCTATTTATCTGACAAATACGAGTACTTCTCGTGCGGAAAATGATATAAATAGATAAATAAAGATGATTATATAATATTGTGCTGATTTAATGGTGCTGTAATAACTCTGGTTTGATCTGGGAATAAAGTTTTTTACGCTTGCAATTATTGTGGTTATTTTTATGAAATTCCTACTTTTGTGTGTTAGGATGACCATTTAAAACGAGAACATATTTATTTACATACTAATTTATCCAAGGTTCTCATATGTATAAAGCCAATAGGAATTAAAATATATAGAGGGGTAAGAAAAAGTATTGAGACACTTGGACCTAGGTCCCTTTTAAGGGTCAAAAAATGAATTTAAAAATCTCAAAATTTGGTGTAATATGCTAAATATATCGAACTCCGAAGCCACAAAGTTTCATGCCTTTATAATGAAACATAAATTTCCTACAACCTTAGAGTATTTAATAATAATATCGTTATTATTATTAGATACTCTAAGGATAAGCCTACAACCTTTCCAAGCGACGAACTCGCGAATCGAGTTTTACGGAAGTACCAAAATTTGATTGACAACGACTCTCAGAAGGCTTGACTACATTTCAACGGAGAAGGGGGTGGGGGTGAAAAAATTAAGACTTACACGAAAAAGTATGGAGAATCCGAAAATGTCAACCTCGAATACCCACCATGAGAAAAAAACATCATAATGACCCATTTTAAGTTAAAAACGATTGAATTTATTTTCGGAAAATGAAGCTCCACGTCCATGGATGATGCGGCCAAACGGTCAAAGATAAATTCAAACCACTTTCATCATACTAAGGCCCATAAGTTGTGGGTCAAGGCGAGTACAAACAAATCTTCATCAAACCACACGGAAGGTCAAGAAAAAATGGTAAACGCAAGACCTCACAAGCTCTACAATAAAATTTGACCAAAAAAATTAGTCACTGACGACGAGTCCTACGTTCTTAAAAACTTGCCAGAAACTCCGGGAAGGGAATTTTTTCATGACAAATATATGTCTCAAGTGAAAACTGAAGAAAAATTAAAATAATGTTGAATATTTCTGAAGAAATTTCAAATTTGGCAGGCATCAAAATGCATGGTGATCAAATGGCAGTTTGATTTTGAAAAATGAAAACCCTCAAAATGTCCCTAATTTTCGCCCCAACGAAAGATGTTGGACTTTATGTAAGAAGACATACTTCCAGCTTCGTGAGAAAATCGATACTTTAAGAAAATTTCGGTTCCAGTAGGAGAAAATTGAAAATAAAGTTGCAAAGTCTTCCGAAAAAACCAGTAATGGCCGGCGTGATGTAAAAAGTTAAATACGAGATGGATAATTGATTAAAGTATTCTCTGTCCACGAATATCTTTGACTATATATATTTAACATATTATACCAAAATTTGAGATTTGTAGAATAATTTTTTGACGATTTACAAGGAAAATGGTCCAAGTGTCTCAATACTTTTTCTTACCCCTCTAAAATAAAAATTTTGCATTAAAGTACTTAAAAATGTTGAAGTCTGTACACGTTTTTAAATGAGGTACGCCGAAATTTCCAGTACTTTCACATTTTTAACCAAACGGTAAACCGTAAAACGGTTCTTTTAAAATACCACATAAAATTTGGAATATATGATAAACTTTGCCATTACTGGTCTTAAATTAGAAATTGAGTTTTGTGGGGGAGATGATTTGGGGCTCAATTTAAATATTTATGACCCCAGAATGAATCTTTATATTAGCACAATTTGTTCATGCATAGTACGCGAGGTCAAGCCCAACGCAATAATGCATGCAGTTACATATTAACCATCAGCAATGCAATTTCGGTTGTTCACGGAAGATTGGTAAAATGGACCAGACGAAGGAATTTTTAAGTGGATTTGTCCATGAAGGTATTTTATTTTTAGGGGGCTTATGAGGTCATGCAATTTCAACCACTTGCTCTGTTTGGATTCAATATGAGGCAATATGCGGTGGATATTTTTCACTGGATAAATATTACTACCGGCTACAAATGTTTGCATGCCCAAGTAAAAGTTGGTAGACATACTATTTACTAGTATTTGAAAAGGTTTCCAGTTTTGTACCATATTCTATCAAAGTAATAGTTACATACATTTTTAGAAAACTATGTTGGTCTGTAAAAAAAAGTTATTTTGACAAAATAAGTGTATCTTGGCACAGCTTTTCAATTTTTCCAAAGACCCAACTTCTTGACCATGTAGGCAAATATATCCTTATGCGATTGCATATCTGCATATATGTGATAGACTATAGTTATCTTGGTTGGATAATGTGAAACAACGGAAAGGAAAGAGGAACATCATGTACAGCGTTTTAATCTCAACGGTCATATTTAAATACATATATTTACATAACGTTTGATGCCATACTATGACAAATTGTAATTATAATGTATCGCACAGCTTGCATATGTACCCCCAAACAAGCTGTTCGTAGACATAATACGATTGCGTAAGTACTTTGGAGGTTACATGATGGATATTTTGTAAATCATTTCGTCAGACGAAAATCACAGTATGTTATTTTGGCTTTGAAACATAGAATATATTTTTCAGTATTCCTAAAAACAGATCTCTATAAATTTCTAGACGTTAGCTAACAAATAAACTGATAACACATTTATCATTAACTTATCTTAATATACTTCACACTTTCATAGGTATTTTCACGCAAGATAACAACCATATATTTACAAACATGTATATATTTTATTATCCTATTATTACAACAATCTTATTAAAATATTTAGTACATGCCAGGTATTCAGTAGTTGTTACAATAATCTCTCAAAATCAACAATCCATCTCTGACTACACCACACCCAACTGAAAACTATTATCTCCTCTATGGTCCATCTCCACGCAGACGTTGACCATGTGCGGCTGAGGTTTCCCATCAAAACTGGAGGAATGCGGTCTCAACTGGTTCATTCTGATGACCGTGGAGTCTCTTCTACTCCCGTGACCAGACCGCTCCTCGTCATTCTCTTCCGAACTTATGCTCGCCACACCGGCCCCGCTCCGGAGGGTGCAATGTCTGACAGCGTCGTAAGGTTTGGTCATGCAGCTAAGCAGCATTTCTAAAAAAGTTGGCCCTGGTCGAGGGACGTCTGATGGGGTTGGCAACGAAGGGAGTGGAAGCTCCCGGATGGGAGGTCTTCTTCTCATGTAACGACACAGCAAGAGGGACAAAAGGACGAGGTACACGGCCAGGACGACTGCCACGTAAAGAGCTGCATTACACAAAACCGGCGAAATATTCAAATTATGTGCAAATACTGAGGGTAAGTGTAAATATTGATGTTAGGAACAAACCCGCATTTGCTGCACTGTTTTCGTGCATCGCAAGCAGTTTGGCGAACTGGTCTTCGGGCATGAGATCCTTGTACTGCGAGTATGGAAACGAACTCCCACGCCACCAGGGTTGTGCAGTGGTCGTGATCACGCCAAGTGCTGTAGTATCGTTGGGCGAGTGTGACATGTTTAATCCTTCCCGTTTCGGGGACAATATGATTTAGTTGAAATCAATCAGAGCGTGGTGTATGTAAACTTTTTATTGAATTTGTAGGTCCAAGGGTTTCATTGGGTAGTGATTCAATTACGGTTCTGAAAATGCAAAAAAGACAGCTTCAATTTTACTTGATTCAGTACAATAAACTTTGGAACACAATTTATAAATTTGTGACATTTTAGAATTGCGAAACTACATATGTGGTCATGTCAATTGTCCATGCCCTTGAAACCATGTCTGGTCACGCAACAGTGAACTTGGACAGAAGCACAATGGATGGCCTATCAAAGAAAACACAATTTCTCCGTGAGCCATGACCCCTAGAAACTACACACGACTGATATGCATCTACTGATTGAAATTTCACATCAAGCAAAAGCGCACTATTCCGGATTGCTTGTTCCCTTTCGCATTTGTCTGTTCCATTTTGTGTTTTGCAATATATCTGACTGAAAACCAATACTCTTTAACCAATCTTGCATGGAAAACTTTTCATGACCAATGAAAAAAAAGTACAAAGTGAATCGAACTGGAAATAGTAGTTCAAACGAATCAAAGTCACACAGCGATTCGTATAATGCAAAAACTTGAGTATCTGAATGTACGTGTGTGGGTATAAGCATGTACATAATAGCAGACAAATGGATTGCTGTTTAATACAAAAAATAACTTTTAATAAGGCATAAAACCTTTGGATGCTGTTTTGTATCACTGCCTAATTATATATCTACTTCTGTCCGATTGCAATTAATTAGGAGAGGCTTATCTATTATTCCTGCAGGCGTTGTTATTTTGCCAGCGGAAGTCTGATCCGACTCTAATACTCTTCTGAGCAGAAGAACAGAACGTATTTAGAAAGTGGATTCTGTAATGATGCACAAATAGGAACTTTACTTGCCCATTTGTACTAATTACAACTCGTTCTATTTATCAGAAAGCACTGTAGGAAATTATTTTTATCCGGATAATTAAATCCAAGTTGCATTCTCCTCTGCAAGAAAAAATCTTTGTATTTTAAACACGTTTGTGTATAAAGGACCGATAAAATTGTGAAAACCTCATCTACTTTCATGATGTACTACAAATCTGTCTAAAATAGCTGTTCATCTGGAAGAAAGGAAAGTAAATTTCTGCTCTAGTGCGTAGTATGTAGAGATAAAAAGGGATTTCTTTCTGCATGGGTTCCTTAATTTCTGGAATTTATGCACTACATCCAATTTAATGTTGTAATCGTGCCTTGTAAAAATTGAGCTGTAATACAAAGGACCAAAAAATCTACTCATTACAGCTTTATTGATTCCATGGATGTAGTCGTTTAACAAGGATGCGAAATTCCAGTACCATGCCGTTCTCTTTGAACATTCAGCTTCGTTGTGAAATATCTTATTTCCAATCGCTACGAAAAGAGAGGTTTCTTTTTATAAGGAGGTGAATTTTAAGAAACCCGAATCTTATCAACGATCTACGAGATGTAGTTCTTTTAATTGAGGTGTTGGCTCAGTAGACGAAAATTTAGTGAAAGCATTTCATTTCTCTACGGTATGTTGCGGTCATACAGATAAATTAGTCTTCGGTTTTGTTATTTAGTTATAGGAAGACAAAATATATTCCTAAATTTGGGGTCACGTCTTAATTAAATCTCTATCGCAAAGTTGTAACATTAAATTACGATGAGATGCAATGTTAAGTAAATTAAACTCCTTTGAGGTTCTTCAATGGCTATGCAGAAAGAGAACCGTTATTTTATCTCTACCGTGACCATCTCTTGTGCATACAAACTGTACTCTTAGCATGGTGGGCTTGAAAGCACATTGTTTGCATAACTTTATTACTTTCCGCCAATCAAATTCAGTCAAAGATCATTCTGAATAAATTGATGGAAAATTCAATTAGTCCTTCCCCTTCTTTCTTTCTTCTTCTAGGATAAGACTCATTTACATATTTTTATGCAAGAATATTAGCATGCATAGTAACTTTCGTCTTGCATAGATCCGCTTATAAATATATTTCTACGTTATTTATAAGACTAGGTTCAGAAAAACCGGTACATGGTGTTGGACGAGTTGTCGCAAAACTCAAAACGCTCTTACACGTGTCTAATAGAATCAAAAATTAAGGTACACGTGTTCGCGCGTTTTTTCTCAAGGTGCCCCAAATTTTTCATTTCGCCCCAAATACTGGGAAAAAACATTGTGACGCTACCAGTGCGTTGATTACTTCCAAACTTGGCATGCAAGCCTTATTTGGGATTTCCCATAGTGCCTGAGAGACTTGGCCGCCTAGGTAGAAATTTACAATGCCAATTACCTGACAATTTTGACAATTTTTTTCGTTTTTTCAACATAGTTTCCTAGCTTATGTAATGGTATCTTTCTAGCTTTATATCTCTACAGAAACCCTATATTCTGCTTCGAATTCCGTTTCGTTGAACCTCATAGCTCAAATATTAAGGGTACTTTGTAGGGAGTTCGATTTTGATGGAAGTTCCAACAAAGTAATCATAATGCTCGTTTTCTCTATTAATTTCAGTTCGATTTAACAAAATTTTTGATATGTTCTACATATTTAGTAGTCAAACAACTGTCAGTTGCAAAAATGTCGAAATCTACCTGCGTGACCTTTTTCTAGAGGTCCGAAGGAAATGTCGGGCAGTAAAGTCTCATATAACCCCATAACTGGGGTATCGTTGGAAAGATCTCGGAGGGAGGATTCAGAATATATATACTTTGTGGGGTCTGAGACCACCCACTAAGTATTTAGAGACAGAGAAATATAATTGAGTTTTCATCAATCTACTGCTATGTTAGATTTCAATCTGCTCCTGTGTTAACGTCTGTATACAAGGAAAAATGAAACTCAATAATGCTTTTTAGTCTCTAACTAATTAAGGGGTGGTCCCAGACCCTACAAAGTATATATATTCTGAATCCTCTCTCCGAGATATTTCCAACGATACCCCAGTTATGGGGTTATATGAGACTTTAGTGCCCGACGTTTCCTTCTGGCCTCTAGAAAAAGGTCACGCAGGTAGATTTCGACATTTTTGCAACTGACAGTTGTTTGACTACTAAATATGTAGAACATATCAAAAATTTGGTTAAATCGAACTGAAATTAATAGAGAAAACGAGCATTATGATTACTTTGTTGGAACTTCCATCAAAATCGAACTCCCTACAAAGTACCCTTAATATTTGAGCTATGAGGTTCAACGAAACGGAATTCGAAGCAGAATATAGGGTTTCTGTAGAGATATAAAGCTAGAAAGATACCATTACATAAGCTAGGAAACTATGTTGAAAAAACGAAAAAAATTGTCAAAATTGTCAGGTAATTGGCATTGTAAATTTCTACCTAGGCGGCCAAGTCTCTCAGGCACTATGGGAAATCCCAAATAAGGCTTGCATGCCAAGTTTGGAAGTAATCAACGCACTGGTAGCGTCACAATGTTTTTTCCCAGTATTTGGGGCGAAATGAAAAATTTGGGGCACCTTGAGAAAAAACGCGCGAACACGTGTACCTTAATTTTTGATTCTATTAGACACGTGTAAGAGCGTTTTGAGTTTTGCGACAACTCGTCCAACACCATGTACCGGTTTTTCTGAACCTAGTCATAAGTATTTCGTTGGGGCCATATTTTTCAAGTTAGGGAATAAAAATTATATGTAAAAAAGGGTTTACATGTTAGCGTAACATATGTAAATTCAGCTTTACTCTTCAAAAACTAGCTTGTATAAATAAACTACATACATATGTACGTAGATTTACTTTCACAAGTTGAAACTGATGATTTGCTTTGGAACAACGGATCATGGAAAGATCCAGTGCAGAAAATGAGGCAAAACAATGGCTGCACATTCTGTTCCAATATCTAAAAGTGTATGTTTTTTAATTTTGTTTTGCTTTAATGTGTCAATCTTTCGCTAATTAGTTAATTTAGCAGTTGGATCTACACCATCTTCAGCGAAACACACACAATTCCCATAAACCTTTAAACCTATTTACATTTAATTCCAGGAAAAATAACTCCGCCTTAAATTTTTCTGGTTGATACATAACATGCTACCAGCCAAAATTCCAAGGACGATTTTAATACAATGTCGCCCTCCAAGGAATTTGATTAAAGCTTTTCCTGAAACCCTCTCTTCTCGCAAAACTCGTTTTCACTAACCTAAAGATACTGAAATGGATTGTGTGGAGCACAAAAAAAATTCGATCCGAACCCCTGGCATAATGTTCAAATATGTACATATGTATATAGTTGGAAGCATGGAACACAAAGCCGAATTTTATTGAGTGATTGAGTCAGAAATGGGTTTCCTACAATTCCATTTAGAGCAAATCGGGTCAAATTTTTGGAATATTTGGCCTCAAATAAAAAATTCCAGATGAGAAAGCCACTGCGGGTTCCAGTTTACAGAGTTATCAAATCAAAGATCCGCTATATGAGGGAGAAAGCATGTGCGATTTTTTAGTAGTGAGCAAAAATAGGGTTCCTTCAATTCCTCGTATTTTTATTCCCCCAAATGCGACTTTATAGCCGGTAGTAGTGCTCAATGTCTATGTATCAAACTAAATATGATAGCCCAACGTGACAAATGAATGTACATCTAGCTCATGCTTCTCTGATTCAGCTTGACATCTCATAATTTGAAAGTCCCAAAAAATGATTGGAATTTTTTCCGAGATGTGGAAGTCTGCTATTTGCTTCTGATTTGTTATGTAGATTGGATTAGAGTGGAGTTCCAGAAATATGTGATTGAAGGGTATAGCATTGAGTCAGAAAACGAACCATATTTGTTCATACATAAAAATTCAAGGTAATCATACGTAATAACTGTCTCCACGTGGAGAGAGATAGTTGAAAGATGCAAAAGAAAGTTAAAATGTGGTGTGCCTGCTTCAAAGAAAAGCGACTTTATTAGTTGAAATATAAGTAGTTTCTCCAGAACTCTTTTCAAGGTTTACTTTCATTAGGAGGGATTTGAAAAGTAGATACACGGGAAGAGAAATTAAAATTCGAAGTATGTACACGATCTTTTGAGGCAACGCGTGTTGAATATTATAATATTTAATGATCACAGTAATGGTCTTGCATATGTATGTCTACGATACCCTTCAAATTCAACCTACTCTTTTCACCACAGAAGTCGGAAGCTGTACTGCGAAATACCTACATACCCTTCAAAAATGATGATTTCAATCATTTTGAAATTCCCATCAAGTTATCTTACACTAATCAAAAGTTAGGTACTGATCATAAATTAATAATGGTTTTTCTCAGGCAATGGAAAAATTATTTTAAAATCTTTAAAATTAATGAACGGTTCCATTCCATTACGAAACAAGTTGAGAATCTAAACACAAGCTTGTTTCTTTGTGTACATCCATCGTTCCATCTACTTATTAACAAGTATTTAGATGGAAATAGTATCGGTTGTGATATTGTCAAACTTAAACTAAAGTTTGGCAAGATTACTTACAATTAGTATACAGTTTTCTGAAGTTTGCTGTTTTGCATTTACAATATTATGCTTACTTCCCATTTATGCTTGGTATCTAACAAAAGCCACTTTCCTGGCACTGAATTTGCTTTCTTAGAGTAAACCATGTGAAACAATGTGAGTCACTAATAGTTCAGTTTCAGACAGTTTGTGCATACGTAACGGTGGTGGTCAAATTGTAATTACAAGTGAAATCAACCATGAATCAACCTTATATATTTGTTAACATGCATTGATGGATTACGACTTTATGACTTGTGATATGAGGTAGGTGATGGCAAAAATGAGACTTACGTTTTATTTATTCTTAAATGTGATTATCTTGTATTATTTTCTATTTACAGTAATTAGTTTTAACGATGATTCAATATTAAAAGTTTCAGTATCCAAATAAATAGATATGCCCACTTTTTTCTATAAATTATGAGTTATGTTTTTCCGAATGAAATGGGAAGAAAACTTCAGACCCCTTTTGCCACGCATAGGAATTTTTAACTGAAAAAATATGATGCAAGATTTACTCAACAAGAAAAATAACTTAACGCGTATCTTTTGTATCGTGTGCAACTTTCCATGTCGTTAGGACTGACTTGTTTAAAATTGAAAACTTTTTGGCAGCACCTTGAAAATGTTATCAATTGGATTTCAAGACAACTTCAAGACTACACTTTATAAATGACCCCGACCTTGACATGAATTTAATCTAGTACTAGTAAGAAATTTAAATTGGACAAATATAATTGTCAATTACGATTACTCTTCAAATCATGTGTTTAAAGTACATACATATGTTCATGTCTTATAATACAATATGTATTCACTCGATTCAAGACAAACTTCTTTAACTTGGACTAAGAATTGCATAAGTTGTTATTTATATATTCATAAAATTATGTGACTGTACTTGGGTAACAAAAATTTCCAAGTTAAACTTAATTTAATTGCGCACAGTTAGCAAAATATTTATTGGTTGTATGTAATACGTAATTTTGTCATCTATCAGGATTATTTATGTATCTTCATATATTCATTTTTCTTACATATATTAACCCACTTAATTCAAACTATTGTCTTCCTTGACCATCTCCGCCCACAATTGGTGCACATCTTTGCCGAGTCTATCTTCCCAAAAACTGCTATTGAATTTTCCCTCTCTCGAATCCCAATTAAGCAATTGGATAAAGTCCATCTCTTCGTTCTCTTCTTCCATTTTAAACTTTAAATTGATATAGTTAAAGAAGTAAGCCAAGTCATCGCTGCTTGTGCTGTGTTCATCAAACTTTGACGTGGGTCCAGGTTTCTTGAGAACTTTCTTCTCTTCCTCCTTCTCGTACATGTATCTTCGAACGTACTGGGCAACGCCGTACGTGACATAATGTGCAGGCCGTGGTTCTATATTGTAATTTTGGATGATAAATGTTAGCACAGTGATCAGAGATCCGATGTCGGTTGGATGGGCGAGGTAATGCGGTGTGCAGGCCGTGATACGTCCAAAAGGTCCAAAGTTGTGACTAGCTGCAGAATATTTCGCGCAGTTTTCAAAGTTGAGGTAAATAAGTGGCGGTGCTGTATAGTTTGGCGAAGAGAGACGAGAGCTGATCAGAGGATGCCAGTGATACAGGGCAGTTTGGGCTTCGAGAAGAAAACGTGACAATTTAGATGGGACGGATGTTCCGTTGATATGAATTTTCAGGGGTGCTAAATGCAACAAATAGTGTTAACGATCCCACAAGAGAAGATAAGTATACAAGATTTGCTCAAGAACAACTTACGACTATTTCCTGAAATTTTGTCAATTGATCCAAAGCAAATGACTGCTACTGACACCAGAATAAAAAAATCACTATGCTGCATTTTGTAAGGAGTTTTTTTTAAACCGTATGCTGACGATCTGGATAAAATCCGACTGTCATCCGTAACAAATTATTTTGCATATCCAATGTCAGCTTAATGTCATTCCTTTCATGATATGATTCTTATTCATGGTCAATTTTGTTCGAGATCATGTCGTGACCAGTAGTAAATGGAGAGCAGAGACTTCTTTTATGACAAAAGTTTGAATCATTTCATGAGAGGAAAATCAATTGTCAGCGAGTTCCAGTGTTATTGAAGGCTACTGGGAGCATGGTCAGTTTTGTGTCTATTTCAATAATGATACACTCCCACGATATGTTATTGTGAGATGTGGGAGTAGATAGTTTAGTCTAACGACATATGACTTATACATAAAAAAAATTGCACCTGTTTTGGACATTTTTCTCTCACAATAACTTATAAAATATTTGTTTTTTTAGTGAAGCACACATATACATGTTTGCTTAAGGATTTGTAGTATATGAACTTGAAACTTGGTTTATTTATATCTAAGTACTTCACAAAGCAGGAGCCGGATGTATGGCGTAAAAGTGCGTGGGGACTAAAAATGTCAAATATTATACAACCCACTATTGCATTCATTTCTGTAAAATTAACTAAAATTAATCGACTCTTTCTAGCAATTTCATGCGTCCGAATTTCATTATTTATATAAAATTGCGTTACTTTAATTCTCCAGAGCTTATACATACTCGGACTTCTGAGAGCTATATATCAGATTGTCAGCTTCCATAAACTGGAACAAAAGCCATTATTCGTTCACCAAGTGTGAGGTTAATTGCTATCCTGACAGGGAGGAAATAAAGTGCCAGAAAATACGTGTCCGGGTTGTTCCTCGGCCAGACGTTACCCTTCCTTGACACATTTTTTGCTTTGTGTTTGCCATTCTGTTTTTTTACACAACTTTCAGTTTGTTGCCCTTTCACTCTTTTAGGATACATATTTGTGACGGCAGCTTCTATTTCAAGACAAAAAAGAGACCTGTGTCAACCTTACTTTCACTTGAAATGTTGTAAAGTTTTTTCAATAGGCTTCTAACCAAATGTGTACTTTGAGTAGTGGGGCACCAGGGATATCGCGCCTATACATAGAACGTACTACATATATGTTCACAGGCAAGAAAGTCTTGGATTATTATTGCACATGCAGTAATTTCCGAGAGAAAGAAACTCTTCATCTTTCTTCAGGAAAGTTTGAAGGATATGAACTCTCCATGGTCAAGTAGGGAAGGGTCTGATGTAATCCGAATCTCCACAAAATCTCAACAAGGAGACGTGTAATGTATAGAAGTCAGGTCAAAATTCTGCAAATTTATTTTCAACTCCATTAATCACTCGCTATTTGTGTGTACTGTGCTACGCATTATATTTTGGAAGTCTTGTTTTTCTTAGTGAGGCAAATACCTTGACGCCTTATTTAGAGTATTATTTTCTGTTTATGTTTTTTAACATTTTATTTTTGTTTTGATTTATTTTTCATCATGCTAATTTATAGTACAAGATGAATATTTAAAAAATTTTCATCTCTCTTTCTTTTAATTTTCACGACAACGTAAAACCAAACACTATAAATTGACAAAAAAATAATCCCGGCCAAACATGAAAAATTGCAAATTACTCTACATATTTCCATCTAATTCATCCTGCTAATCATGGATCGAACTACCATTATCAAAATTCTTATTGTTCAACGTCTGCGACGGCGACTGAAGAGAAAGCAGAGATCAGTTTACATTCGTCCCATATTTCTGAAGCGTGACAATGACGGCGAACAGCAGTTGGTCATGGATCTTCGAGATGACCCCTACTATCATTTCCGATACTTTAGGTAAACTAGATAATATGCATATTATATTACCACCACCGTTACCCATACTTTCGCATTATAAAAATAGGATGAGCAAAGAAAATTTCGATACCATTTTGGACTTGGTGACCCCAATGATCTCGCATCCGGCTAATCACATTCGTCCTATATCACCTCTTCAAAGATTGGCAATAACATTGAGGTACTGAAAATATCCCAATTTCGGGTAGTGTCGTATGACAAAACAAACATGATTTTCGTGCAGGTACCTCGCCACAGGAAACTCTCAAATTTCTCTTGCAATGAGCTTCCGTGTATCGCCTTCTTCTGTGTGCGGAATTATTAGAGAAACTCTTGCAGCAATTAATCAAGCATTGAAGTCAGATTATTTGCCCACCGCATCTACTTGGATAAATAATGAAAACCAATTCAGAACAAAGTGGAATTTTCCTCATGCTTGTGGATCATTGGATGGCAAACACATCCGAATCAAGTGTCCTTCGGCATCGGGGTCCCTGTATTTCAATTACAAGACTTATTTTTCAATCGTCTTGATGGCCCTGTCAGATGCAGATTTCAAGTTTACAGCCGTAGATATTGGGTCGTACGGATCTGAGTCAGATGGAGGAATTCTGGCAAAATCCCACATTGGACGCAAGATTTCCAACGACACTTTCAACCTTCCATCGCCACAACCACTATCCAATACTGGTACTCCTCTGCCCTATGTTTTTCTAGGAGATGACGCTTTTCCGAAACGGCACAACTTGCTGAAACCAAACAAAGGAAACTTCCTGCAAAAGACGGACCGAGTCTTCAACTATAGGCTTTCAAGAGCTCGAATGACCGTTGAAAATTCCTTTGGAATAATGGCTGCACGATGGAGGATTTTCCATTCGGTGATTGAAGCGGATGTGGACCTCGTGAAGCAAATTACGTTGTCGGCCGTAATTTTACACAATTATCTAATGAATAAGAAAGACTTCAACAATATTACTCCTGATCGATTTGAGGATGGAAGAGTTCAGCATGGGAACTGGCGTGATACTGTTCAGAATGATAACGGGATGATACAAATACCAAGGCAAGGCACCAACAACTACACCCAGTATTCAGCTCAGGTCAGGAACCACTTTCGAGACTATTTTAATAGTGAGGATGGACGACTGAGCTGGCAAGATCATCATGTTGACGCGGGGGGTAAATGATTTTCTATTATGTTGTATTATATTGTGTTATAATCTTTTTGAGTGCATTGATTTGTAAATTATTTTGAGCAGTTTTTATTTCACCACATCTTGAAATAAACTACAAATACAAATTTTGGATATGCAACATAAACTCAACGCCTATTAAATATAGTTATATGTATTGTATAGTAACTGTAATTACAAAATATCGAGTTCTGTTTTGTACAAAACCCCATGCAGTTCATATTCGCAGGTCGCAGCAGCCTTGGGATCCTTTTCATGAATTTTGCGAAGTTTTGCAGCCAAGGTCTTCCCAAATCGCTCAAATTCGTCATCCTTCGAGTCACCTCCCTTGACAAAATTAAGCATTTGTTCCTCCAGACTGTCCAGCTTCCTCTTCTAGACACAGCACAAGAAAAATATAAGTTTACATGCATAAAAACCACGCAATAGAAGTAATATACGCACCCCTCCGAATTTAGCATGGGATCTCGGGCGAGGATTAGACTCTGGCACCGAGTTTTGAGTTTGAATTGGGACAACGGAAGTGTCAATGTTGTCATCGTTCAAGTCAGCGAAGTTTATTGTTGAGAATTCGTCATCTGCATGCTCTGTCTCGTCCTCATCACCATCAAGATTACAAATGGTCCTAAATGAAAGTATAATATCAATAAAAATTCTAAGAGAATCATAAGCAACAAACATCTCACTGAGACTGATCTTGTCCTCCTGAAATAAAGGACATTGCATCAAACAGTCGGAAGGAACTTCGTGCTTTAGCCCCACTTCCCGTTGGAAGAGCTCGTCTCGCGGCCAAGTACTGGGTCCTCAAACTTTGCCAAAGTGCCATACACACGTCACCTGTGTTGAGGTGCAGTTAATAATTATCAGAAACTTTATGATAAATTCAACCTACCAGGTTTTCCAAGCTGCTCTCCAATACTAGTAAAAGTATTTTGTCGCATCGTGTTGACCTTGTAGTCCTTGTCTTTGATGTCCCAGATGTGGCGGTGGGGCTCCACTAGGGTCACCAACTTGGATTCGAGCGCCAGTTTGTCATCCTCTGGCGAGAATGCGCTTTTCAGGGCTATTTTTTTGGGACCCATTTCCGCTTTATATTAAAATCTGCATGATGTTTCGTTTTATTTTCACTCGGAAAAAGTTGACCGCATGTCAACTTTGCAAAATGATGTGAAACAGAAAAGAAAACGAGATGAATTGCACTATAAATAATTAACGAAAACAAAATGAAAATAAAATGTTTGCATGACATTAATTTTGAACGAAATCAAAATGAAAAGAATATACTATAAATTGATGTCGTGGTGAAAAATAAATTAAACAGAAATTAAAACGACATTAATGCGTTACTCTAAATAAGGCGTGACAACGAAAAAAATTTGCTAAGTATGCATTTACCCCACCCAAAAAAAGTGATATAAGTCGATTTCTCAGCCATTTCTCAACCGATTTTGATAAAATTTTGCACAGATCATTGATAGGTAATTTAGAAAAGATCTGCTAGTCGACTTGGCGAATCTTTGATTTTTACCCAAGTTATGTGCCAAAATGTGCAAAAATTTTCCCCTGAAAACATATTTATTTTTATGATTTATAAGTGGTGTATCTCAGCATGCTCGCTTATTGCAAATATTTTAGTCAAAGTCATTCCGGACATTTTAAGCGCAAAATGACCTAAATCGGTTGAGAAATAACAGCGTTATTCAAGTTTGAAAATCAAAAATTTAATAAAAATATTCAGGGTGCCGATAACAACGGCGGTTGTGCAGTAAAAATAATGTCTTTGACAACCAATTACAAGTTTTAAATAAACAAGGCCCCAAAAAATGGGAAATCTTAGTGAGTCAGCGCAATCACAGTTAATAAATAAAGTTAGATTGAATAACTTTTGCATCACCGCTCTCGGGATAATTTTTACTGGCTCCACTGTAAATTAAGTTTTGCATACGCATGAACTCTTGCATTCATTAAATTAGTTGAGATTACAAGATGACGTTTTTACTATTGAACGAGAAGTTGGCTAAATTAATCGATATGAAATGTAATTGTGAACTGCGTTTTAAAAGAAAGAGTTGAAAGTCTACAATTTCGATATATAAATTTGGATATCCTATTA